TATTTCAGGTGAGTAAAGAAGTCAAGAGGACATTAGCCTTACAGAAATTTTACGTTGGATTGTTGTCCTTTTTATTGTGGTAAGAAAAACAAAATTTTTAGGAAAATTTTCGATTTCTTACAGACTTTCCCAGAGAGCAGTACCAACGACCATTGGAAACTTTCGAAAGCTTGAAATCCTCATGACGTACTATAACAATTCCTTCGTGGTGTCATTGGAGCCAATTCTGTTCCTCTGGATTCCTGCCTCTTGCGCGATTGGGTGTGCCTTTGCAGCCATTCGGTTCCAAAAAATACTCTCTTTTTTTGAGTATGTGCCATTTCCGGCCATATTAACCAATTGCATATCGATGCTCACGGTCAGCATGGTTCCCGCCACGAGGGTAGAGCACGAGTCGAACAAGCTGTTGGTAAGTCTTGGGAGGAGGATTGGACACAGCAAAAATAAGTTGTGGAGGAAGGAACTTGCAAGTCTGCGACCGTTCGGGGTCAGATTGTGGTTTTGTTCCGGGGTGAAACGAGAAGTCATTCTTCTAAGTTATTACTTGATTTCTAACTATATATTTACTATAGTAATTGCAATTCCAGAAAGTAGCGTGATTGCTTAGTTGTTGGTGGGAAGGAACTCATTATTGCAAAGTTAATTGATTGACTGTCTGGAAGTATATTATTTACATACAAACATATTTAAAATACATACTTAAAATGCATTTGTATGTATGGTACACTATCTACAACAATAGAGTATACGTTTGCGTATTTTTAATTGCAATATGATCACGTGCACTTACAGATTTGAAACTTTGCAGGCAGTTGTATAAACTCATTGGCTAATAATTCCGCGTCGTCGATTTTTAAGGTCACCGACAGGTCAAAAGTTCTAATTTTTTTAAACTTTCAAAATGAGTGGTCGAAAAAAAAGTTCATGGATAATTTTTTTTGAACTTTGCAATATTTTTTACTGGATGCGGCATGCGTTTTGAATAATAATGAGCTTTGGTTGGACCGTGTACGATTTTTTTGACGCCCACAGGAATTTTTCGCCAAAAAAGTTTGTAAGGCCTAAAATCGCGACCGCGGCGAAATTCAGAGATTTGAGATATACAAAAGCATATATGTGCAATCTATATACTTTTGTATATCTCAAATCTCTGAATTTCGCCGCGGTCGCGATTTTAGGCCTTACAAACTTTTTTGGCGAAAAATTCCTGTGGGCGTCAAAAAAATCGTACACGGTCCAACCAAAGCTCATTATTATTCAAAACGCATGCCGCATCCAGTAAAAAATATTGCAAAGTTCAAAAAAAATTATCCATGAACTTTTTTTTCGACCACTCATTTTGAAAGTTTAAAAAAATTAGAACTTTTGACCTGTCGGTGACCTTAAAAATCGACGACGCGGAATTATTAGCCAATGAGTTTATACAACTGCCTGCAAAGTTTCAAATCTGTAAGTGCACGTGATCATATTGCAATTAAAAATACGCAAACGTATACTCCATTGTTGTAGATACTGTATGTACATACATACACACACACATACATACATATTTGCATACATATTTGTTCGAACATATAACTTTGAAACTTATGCTTTATGAAATAAATCAGGAAATTGTCCTCAAATTCCAGTTATAATATTTTAATTTTTTGTAAACGTAGTGGCATTGATTTATTTTAGATACCATCGTTCATTCATTTTAAAATAAATTATGTATGTACAGTATAAACTGGAGAACTGTCTATTTACGAGTTCCATACAAATCTAGAAGAATGACAGATGTATTTGCTATCTGGAAATATCTGCATTGTAAAAAATATGAATAAAACTATAATGAGCTCTTAATATTTAAGTTTTTTTTAATTTTAGAACAAAATTTAATTTCCAGCATTTAACCCCACCAATTTTTTATTGGCCGTAAATACTCATGAAAATGTCTTTCTAGCTTTTATGCATTTGCTTTTCATCATTGAAGCTTTATATGACTAGTCAAAAATTATTAGAAACTTGGAAAATAAATGACTAATTTAATCAATACTGAATTCAATTACCTTATTTTTCTTCGCACATGATTTCAACCTTTCGACGTCAAAAGTGTATAGCTTATGCTTTGAACCGCAACATGATGTCGCGAATCGAAACATGAAACTTTAATAAAGTTTACATTCAAGTTTGTCCGGAAATTGTGTAAACAAAAGAATTCGGGCAAGTTTCATTTTTTTCCGTTTCTCTGAAATAATTGCATCTCGTTACATACTCATCCTCATTATGGCTTCGTTGTCCTACCATGTATGTGGACTTATCTTTGGTCACATATCCACTCCCGTCTTCCCTGCTCACTCCTGCGCAAACGATTATTAAGTTGCATCCTACTTTATGTGAAGACTTTGTATGTCTCTCTGTCCGTCCGTCTGTCTGTCAGCAGGATAACGGGAGAACGGATCGAGACAATCGAAATTGATTTTCGACATTATGCATATGACCCCAGGGGAAGGATCCAATCAACTTTTGAGGCCAATCGGACAACACCACTTGGCGCCAGGGGGTGTGGTCTGGGGGAAAATAAGATTTTCACTGAAATTAAATCTATAGATGAAATACAGCGAAATTAAGTGTTGCGATGTCGTGGGAGTGGTTGGGGTGAAGTGACTCTGAAGCTACTTCCTTACGTGCGTTTACGACGGTTTATTACATAATTCCGTTGTGTGCTATAATTGGTCATTTAAAAGTTGACATGTCCGGAAAAATATACATTTTCAAATAAAAAAAAGTGCTGCTGGTCACGCAAATTCCGGTTTATGATGTACTTTCGCCACGTCTCGTATTCAGCTTAACCACCCATAATTGCACTTACCCACATATTACAATTTCATAATTCATGCTTAGTTACCTTTATCGCTATTCTTCATCCTGAGGACCAACTATTTCCCAAACTTTACAGCGGTTTTTGAGTAAATGTTTCAATTTCACTGTAGACAGGGTTGCAAACTTGATTCCAGAATTATGAGATTTCCAGGGATTTTCGTACATTTTTTAAGAATATTCGATTTTGTATGAAATTTAAATTGGCCAGCAGGTAAAATTTGAAAACCAATAAGATTACTGGACAATGCAAATCTGAAATTTCAATCGCCTCGTAGATAATTTTGGAAACCCTGACTATCCCAGCATACACATGTAAATATGTACATATTTCGAAAGTGGAATTTCCCAAGTTGTGTTGCATGGTCATGGCTACGACAGCTTGAAGTTTAATTAAAAAATTACACCCAGAAATAATGGAGATGAAACCATACCAGATATTGGCGGATATGCAGAACATTCCACAACCAGAGTACCTATTTGTAAATCTTGTATTCATGTTATCGCTTCCGACTAAGTGTTTGGTTAGTTAGTGCTGATGTTTTGCTATGTAGTACATATGTATGTTGCCAAACTGTGCTATGGCGAAAATTTTTTCTGCGCACACATAGTAAGCCTCGATTATTTTATTTAAATAGGAAAATGATGCCAATGACATACATGCACCTCTGGTCAGTCCAATGATACCAGAACTTACGCAGACATGCAGGCTGCTGGAGGATTAAAGAAGCGCAAGAAGCGAAATCTTGCTAAGGTTGGCAATTACTACGTATTATCATCGTTGCGGTTTTAATCGCAATTTTGAGAGCAATAATTATGTATCTTTAATGTTTTTTTTATTATGCATTAATTTGGTGGAATTGAATACATAAATGGGTATGACTAAATATATAGGTTTCCAATTCCGACGTGGTTCTCTACGACCCAGATGCAGACGTCTTTGACCTGTACGCTCTCGAACCATCTCATAAATCTCATCAGCAAAAGTACGGAAACCAGTTTGATGGGAGTGCCGAATTTGGAAGACGCACGCCACCTCGTTACCAGAAGAATGGGAGGAGAGAAAGTGAAACGTATGTCAACGAATTGGAGGACTCCCGGTTTGCGAGGAATCCAAGGATTACGAGAGATCCGAGATATTCTTCAAGAGGCGGATCAGATATTGACCTCGAGGACGGATGGGGCTCCCCGTACAGAGGAAATTCTGGGAGCTCAACTAATCCGGTCAAAGACCACAATCGTCCCGTTCTGTTGAGCAGTAATAGTATTGCACGGTGAGCATCATTGAAGAAAAACCAAAATTTTATTCATTACCCATAAATTTACTAAATTTGACCAGTGAATTATTTTCTGATACAATATATCGTATGAAAAAGGGAGAGCACATGAATACTGTATTTTACCCAATTTTTAAATTTCACTATTCAGATTTTTATTTTAAGAATTAGCAAATTTACACCGTACAAACCGTAAGCGTATTTAAACTTCTGAAATACTTCAGTAAATTATACAATTCATATGACAATCACTTGATAATGTCGCTGTCTGTAACGTACCAACTGAGAACATGTCTTTTGCCGTTTTTGTAAGTTTGTAAACAAAAATAGAAAGTTCCTGAATTGCCCCAAATGACAAGCATAGTTAGTTCAACTGATGCAATCCGTTGATATTTGTCATTCAAATTACAGACTTCGCCACGTTTTCGCCCTTGGTATCACCAGCTTTGCCTTTCCTTGGCGGTACAACACAAAAACGCAACATGTCGACAAGTGGAGCCCATTCTTAGAGAGCGTCTGGAGAGTGGTCTGGACTTGTACGACATTTATTTACTTACTGATACATAAATACTCATAAGTATAACTCATAGCTAAATATAAAAATAATTAATTAATTTGGGCGACAGGTACCACAATTCAGAACACGTGCATCACTGGTTTTCAATTTTATTCTTTCTTCTCTCGAATTAACACGGATGAAAATGGGAGTTGGCGACCCGTTTTTATGTCCTCATTCTCGGTTCTGTGGTAAGTTACATTAAATTATGGGTGTTAATAAATAGCAGAGAGATAATTCAGAATGTAATGCTATATAATGTAATACATATAAATATGTACAATATCGTCCTGACAGGTATTGCTACTCGATCTGGCTGAATGTGACCATGTACTACTACAAAGATGCAATCCTTCACTATCTCAATACGTTGCTGGAATTGAACAGACAACTTGTCGGTTAGTCACTATAATTCATGGTTATCAATATTTCGTGATTTTATCATGATCCGCTCGAAATAAATCGAAACAAGTAACAAAAATTGATCAATTGAAGGGATTCATAACGGTGAAATCACAAAGCAATCGTGATTTTAGCATAAAAATTACAACCCTTTATGTACATAGATGAATACTTAATCACGACGGAGGGACATAAAGAGGGTGGTCAAATTCTTCTCAACGTCTCAATTCCGACCAACATAACGCAAACGTTCATCTCGATAAGCTTATTTCTCACATTCCCCAATTCTCCATGGTACCTGTACAGCTACATTTATTCTCCTGATCATGGATGGTGGTGGCTCATTCCGGGTGCAATTCAGGTGTGCAAAATTTACTACTTAACAAAATTGCCGATTTTCATTTAAAATTTCTCCCTAAAATTGTAGGAGTACCTCATGGTCGGTCAGATCTTGTCAGTCTACCTTCTCATCGCATGGATTACTGTAGCACATGCAAACAGTGTCGAGTTCTGGCTACAAGAAGCTCAGTAAGTGCATTAAGCGTCTCAAAGTACCCCAATCTAAAATTTCTAATTCTCCTCCTAGCAAACTGAACGATTCTGACATGACGAAAAAAGAACTTCGCTATGCCCACAACGCGATAAAAGTGTACCGCCGCCTGCAAATCTTGACCACCCTTTTTAATGATGCCATGGCTCCAATGGCTGTCGCCGTGGTCAAAGTGATCAATTGGACAGCCCTTATCCCATGCGGATTTGTGCTAATTCGCTCGATGAATGGGAAAATTGTGGAGGAATTTCCTGGCATTCTGACATATCCTTTTGGTGTTATTGATTGCGTGACATGTTCGTACGGGCTGCTGCAAATGTCGGCCAGGATGTACGATATTTCTGCAAGTTTGCTAACTTCATGGAGTCAAACAAGGCATAAAGCACTGAGGAAGATTTTAGTCTCTTGTCCCGTACTTAAAGTTAAGATTGGACGGTTGTACTTTGTCACGACGTCAACAACGGTCACATATTTTAAATCCTGTTTGGACTACATTATTAATGCTATCGTTTCGTTCGAATGAAGAGCTTACGAGGTGAGGTAGATACAAATGTACTTATGTACCTAACATGAAAGGGCAATTTAATATTTCGCACGATTTGTGCCTGGTATCTGCAATTATTTATGGTTTTATTAATAATACATAGATTGCCGTGCTACATATGTGTGTTGTGTACGAGTTGTCTAAAAAACGCATGTTGAAGATAGTGAGGCTTTAATTATTTGAGACTAATACCATTGCGTAAGTGAACAAACTATTAGAATATTTATGTATGTACCACCTGAATGTCTGATTTGTGTACAATTACAACTATGTGCTACCTTTTGAATTAGCAAAGTTGTGCTACTGCTAAAATTGTCATAAGATTTATGCTAATTGCTCAATTTACAAAATTTCGACTAAATGTATCATTATAACATGTATAACTGAATTGCCACCCATGTCAAGGTACGACCAGGACCAACTATCTGTATTATGTACGAATATGCATGTAAAATGTTCATCACTTAAATTTAATTCATCGTCGGTATTTCATTATCGCAAATGCTACCCTTCCTCTATGTAAATATGCACTTTGCAATTTTATCAAATATTTGCACATATATATATGTCCTTTATCCTGGAGGTTACATAATAAATACAGCCCCACCCTCGTCCACCTGGTCAGTATAATTATTTTAGCTAATATTTCTTAAACATCGCCACTTTCTCCATAAAACCACTGGTCAGATCATGAATACAAAAATGTGTCCTCGTACAATTTTACAACATAGGTCGCCCTTTGGGGCTAAACTACCTTTTAGAGTCTTACAATTCTGCGGCTTCTTCCCCCTATCGATAAAAACCTACCGATTAAAAAATTCGTCAACGATTGAGATAGTAAAAAATCCCTGGTTCTTGTGCCCTTCAACAATTTGGATCATCACGTTACTCTTCACCACTATTTCACACGTCTTATTTGGATTTTTTCTTGATCCGGAGCGATACACAAGGCCATCCCGCAATCGAAACGGGTCAGGTCCTCGGACTTACATTATAATCAACATAATTTGGAATACGTCACTAATTCTCTGCCCAACCTTAACCAGAATCAATTTGTTATATTCATGGCGAGAAAAGTTTGTTTCATTCTGGGATTCTTATTCTGACCTAATTTCCAAATGTCAAGAAATTTTACAGGATTTCAATCTTTATGAAACCCGTCACTGTAAAGTGGTCCGATACAAATTCGTTTTCCACTTTCTAGCCCAAATGTGTATAACCTGCGCCGCGTCCTGGGCAGTCTCGACCTCAACTGCTGCTGATAATCAACGCTCAGTTCTTGATATTTTCCAAACTGTGTTGACACTATTTAGCGGAATTTGCATCGCATTTGCGTTACACGGTCATATCTACATTGTTACAACTTACGCTTTTAGCATGTCACGTTTAGTGGAGGAAATTCAAAATATACGCAGTTTTAGTAATGAGAATTGCTTAAAACTGGAACCTCTAATTGCACTATATTTCCATTTGGAAGAAAGTGTACACGGATTTTGTTCAATTAATGGCACGATATTAAACATATACGTAATGCACACGTTCGTTTACATTCTATTTTGCTCATATTTTATCCTTAATTTTTTCATACTGTTAAATTATCCTCTATTATTCTGCACGATTTCACAGCTAACAGTATTTACGTTGTATTTTTACTGGTTGGTAAATAGTGCCAGTGAGTTGCATGAACAAAGTAACACCTTTTGCAGATTGATGAAATCAGTATGGTTTAATTTTAATCATGGAGCTACCAGCCCTTTAAATAAGTCAACTATTCAAAAAATAAAACTACAGCGAGTAAGTTATGTGCAAAAAATTCCACCCATGCATACATATTCATGTCAAGAAAATATACAAATATACAAGCACATTATTTTTGTTTAGATGGGTCACGATGTTGCAGTGGGTCAATTTGTACCTCTCGACCCAATCAAAATCGGGAATACAGTTTTCGATTTAAATATTCGCCTCTTAACATCAGTACGTAAATAATGAGAGCGTTGGATTAACTTTAATAATAATGTGCACTTGATTTCTGCAGATAATTGCTGCCATTACAACGTATTTGATCATCATAGTTCAGTTGAATGCCGGTGACATCTCATAAACGTGATCTCAAATATGAAATTATTTATATGAATTAAATACGTATGTATTAATATTCTTAAAAACGGGCGAATTGCCGAGAATCTCTTAAAAAATATTTTTTACTCGTCTGTAAAATAGATACCATATGTATGAATTTACATACATAATTGATTGGGATAATGGATTAATTGATAGTTGTGCGCAAAAAATTAAATAATTATTTATGTACAATTTGCATATACCTATTGTGTAATACAGAACATTACTGTTCAGCCGATATTAATAGTCTCAATTCCTTGGAAAATTTTCTCAGACGTTATTTTGTTTTTGAAAATATTATGAAATAATCTGCCAGGAAACCTCTCAGATTTTTTTCAGACTATGAATATTAGCGGACATTATTAAAAACTGGAATGTGTAAAAACAAAAACAACGTTGATCTACAAATAGTATAGTAGTACAATAGTTATATATATGCGTGGTATGTACGTGCATATATGTATGTATAACTTTCATACATTCTGTACACATTTAGTGGGTCCCAAGATTTCGAATAAAATGTGCTAATTTTATTCAGGAATAGCAGCAGTAGCTTTACGAATCTCACTCAAAACTTCGAGTCGCTTAGTTCTCAGGTCACGCTGCCAATTTGCAATATCTCTTCGAAAAGCCTTGACCTCTTCCAACTTATTCGCCAACAGCTCCAACTCCTTTTCCGAACAGAAATACCTGGTTGCACACGCAACTGCCAGCAAAATATTAATTCCTGCTAGTACTCCAGTAATTCCTAATAATACTGGATTACTAAATGTAGCAAGTAGACCAACATTAGCAAACCCAGAAATACCACTGGAAGCACCACCAATTCCATTAATAACGACTTGTTTGCGACATTGAGCTAGTTTAATGTGACTCGTCCCGATGATGACTTCAAGGTCGCTAATTTCTGTCAGAATTTCTGTCAAGTCGTCGTTAATGGCACCGTGAATTCCGTCAAAATCTGCGTGAATGAAAGTGATCTCGCGTTGGGTCAAACCTTCCCTTCTCAGTTTGACAATAATTTCATTCAGGTGTTGGAACATGGGAGGAATTCTGTCGAGCATATTCTGAATTTCTTGCATTTTCTGAGGACACCGCCTACCCACATTTCTAGCGTTTTTAATAGCTTGCCAAATATTCCACAATGAATATGACGTAATGGCGACTTGGACCACACCGAATACAAGGGAGCAAGCCAACATTCCATTTCCCATTCCGCCCAACTTGTGGCGGATACCGTCCGTGATTTCCTTCGGGGCGACGGTGTTGCTTGTCAGTGCTATGCAGATAGCTTCTTGATTGTTTGATATCACGGACACGTGCTGAGTGCTCCTGACAACCTCGGTAGCATTGGAGATAGACATAACTTGACTCGAATCTTCGCAATGCTTCAGAATTGCGACGAATGGTAATGTTTTCAAGGCGACGATTCCAGTATTTGCAAGTGCTGTAAGGTTAGCGACGAGGGTAGGTGCGGCCTCTTTAAATTCTTGTGGAGCCTGGAGTCAAAATTGTTACAAATTTGAGTATACTTCCGTAATTCAATTACAGATGTGTAGATATTTCATTGAAGAATAATGAAATACCTGATCCAAAGCGGTCTGCAAGGTTTGCAGGATACTTTCCTCACTTATGAGTGAAGATGAAGATGGGTGCATGGTGGACATCATTTTGATTGAATTATTCTTATACCTTCAAAAAACTTAGGAAAATTTGTAACTAATTATGTAGTTCAACTTTGCACAAGTAAGATTTTTCTGATGAAGTAGAAAAATGTGTACAAAATCTCAGCTGGCAAATGTAAGTGTTGCGACTTGCGAAAAGTTTTACTAGGTTTTTTAAGTCATCTTGTAGAAGGTGATTCATTCATGTACCCAAGATTTGCATAGAAAGTAATCGTTTCATTAATTTATCTATTTCGGCGAAATCTTGTACTTAAAGTGTAGTGCGTGATCTCAATTTCGGCTTGCTGCAGACACATATTTATGTATATACATATACATACATGTCCACACATGCATTGCATTGCATTTTTAGGTGTGCATGTATGTATGTATGTAGATATGTACATACATAGTTAGAGAATGCATGGTGATCTTTTACAATTCATGATGGAGATTTGTTGAAGACGAGACTCGTCCTCACAGTACAGATACACTAGTAATTATGACGCATTGTATTACATGGTCCCAATGTTTTTCGTACTTAGGATGAAATCATCGCCAAGTTCAGTCATACCTCCTCACATACATACACACACTTATTCAACAATGAGTACTTATGCACGTTTCCCAATGAAGTCTTGAAAAATGGGTTTCGATAGGCTTCCATCTAAGAAATAAACTGACTAGATAATTGTACATATTCTCATGAACCCTAAACAATACTTCGAATCTAGGTAAAAAAAACCTTGTGCCGTAAAGTGGAATTGGCTGGAATAGATAAAATTAAAAATTAACATTTGCAGAACCACATCAAATCTAGCGATGCGGTACATACAGTCAAGAGCAAAACTTTACGACATATGGAAGAGACTTTTGGGACATGTTATTCAAATGGGGAATTAAAGGCCGTAAAGTTTTGCACCGCGTACCTTTCCGAATAATTTTTTTAACGCTGTGATATAATTTTTATTGAATAAAGCGTGCAAAAGTAGGGGGTGACGTGGTAAATTATTTTTGTCGCCGAATTTTTTTCAAGGAACTACAAGGAATTGAAAGAATTAATTTTGGAAGAGACTTTTGGGACAACACATTGTGCTTATGGCTGTCCCAAAAGTCTCTTCCAAAATTAATTCTTTCAATTCCTTGTAGTTCCTTGAAAAAAATTCGGCGACAAAAATAATTTACCACGTCACCCCCTACTTTTGCACGCTTTATTCAATAAAAATTATATCACAGCGTTAAAAAAATTATTCGGAAAGGTACGCGGTGCAAAACTTTACGGCCTTTAATTCCCCATTTGAATAACATGTCCCAAAAGTCTCTTCCATATGTCGTAAAGTTTTGCTCTTGACTGTACATAAATGCGTGGGTCTTTCAGCTTTACTACCTTTTTTATCAAACTACTAATATAGTTTTAGCTAGATGCATTACTAATATTTATTAGATTTTGATTTGAATTTCTAATTATTCTAACTGCTAATATACGAGGGGAGATAGGGAGGTTAATAGTACTTGATAGTAGATTTTAATGCCCTTTGAATATGTTATAGCACGTGATCAGGTTTGTGCTTATGATTTTACCCCATGAGTAATACATATGTATGCAAAAAATACAACACAGATATATACATATTCACGTCAAGAAAATATACATTTTCAAATCAAAGCAAATTATTTCGTTTCGATAGGCAAAGATTTTGCAATGACTCAATATGCCCTAGTACCTCTCAATCAAAAGACTTAAATATTCGAATTTTCGCATCAGTTCGTTTGTAAATGTTTAGTAAGGACGCAGGGTTAACTTTAACCGATAATGTGCACTTGATTTCCGCAGGTGATTGCAGCCATTACTTAATTGATCATCTTGGTTCCCAGTTAAATGCCGGTGACGTCACATATGTATCTGTAAACCTGATTCCAGTTATGCAATTATTTATACGAATTATGATATGTAAAAACTGGTGAACTAATCTCTCAAAAAAATGTATTTACTCTTATGCAAAGCTACATATAGTACATATGCATTCACGAATACATACAGCATGCAAAATTTAACCAAATGTATATTCACATAAATCAGAATTAGAGATAATTGATTGGGATAATGGATTAATTAATGTGGTAGTTGTGCATAAAAAAGAATATCCAATTATTTATGAACATGTACATTTTGTGTATCTAATACTATCGTTTTATTTAATGTGAATTATTGAAAACTTAATTTTGTCAAAACAGAAACAACGGTAATCTACATATGTACATGCATAGATATTTAATTTTCATACTTTTCGTTCATATTTAATGATTCCAAGATTTTGAAGTTTCGAATAAAATATGCCAATTTTACTCGGGAAGAACAGCAATAATTTTACTCAAACCATCAAGACCTCACCATGTGCATAAGCATGCATGTACACACACATATTTCACGCATATGTTTGTATATGAATTAATTGCATTATAGGTAGGTTTGCATATTTAAAAAAAAAACTCATTCAACTTATCAACTCATTAGAAGTATTTCGAGGTTAGTATTTTTGCATTAAGGTAATTTAAGCTTAAATTAAACAATAAATAATCCCTGAACATTCTGATCTATATTTTTCGTCTCAAGATCTAATCTTGAAAATCACTTCCGTGGGTTTATAACAACGTCAAATGGAGCAGCAAGCGCACTGAATCCAAGCACTGGAATTAGGCTCGGTTTTGGACGACCTTCCGGCAGAGAAAAGTCGAGGTTTCTTATAAGTGTGGTCAGCATAATGAATAATGCGTCGCGAGCTATTCCTTCGCCAATGCAAGACCGTCTGCCTGAGAGTGAAATAAAAGGAAAGTTCAATTTAACAAAAAATCCTCAGTTATCCTTAAAAAATACACAGTTGACCAGATTTCATTACTCACCCGTCCCAAATGGCAGCGTGTTTTCGTCAGCAAACTCTTTGTTAAAGGATCCATCTTTGATGAATCTCTCTGGCCGAAAGTTGTCTGGATCGCCCCAAACGTCTTCGTCCATATTAATCGTGTGTGCACACATCATTAAGGTTGTGCCCTGGAAGAATTCGTAGTAAATAGATATAAATAACCAACAACGCACCCACTGAACATGGGAAACATTTCCTTTATGACTAATCTTTGTTAATTAGATTTATGACCTTTTTGAAGTGGAACCCTTGATACCAAAAATCCTTTAGTACATTTCTCGGAAGTAACATCACAGTTCGGGCATATCTGAGTGTCTCTGCTATGACCGCTTGGGTGTACGGCATTCTGGAAGAATTTTATGAGTTATTTTGTCAAAATTGTGTCTGACTATTTAAATAAATATATCGAGAAAAAATTGACTTTATGCATATTACTTGGAAGTAACTTAATGTCTCTCCAAAACAATGGGAATCACCCTCCAAATATTTAAGAAGTTACCTAAGTGGAAAACAACCTCTTAATGCTCAAAATTTTCCCTCCGGTTAAATGGAAGGAGCCTCTAATTTTGCATATCGTAATTCTATGTAAATTCCTTAGCAGTGATGGGTCTTATTACATTTTGACTCAATAACCTTGGATGCTCCACTCCTGCCTCCAAATTTGGCAGTCTATTTTCATCTTCTGCTTTCTTACGATTAAAAATGGCTAACATTACTAGAAAATTAACTTTTGATAATGATCCATACTCTGGGTCTGATGACGACTTAGACCCAGTAACGCAAAATAGTAAACCTACAGTAGAGACTTCATTTAGCCTGAGTGAGGTACAGAGTCCGCTTCTAAATTTTTACCCACCCTACTAATTTCTTTAAGATGAAAGTAGCAACTTTTAAAAGGTATAGGTCACCCTCTGGGGTCACTGGTTGCACTTTGCTCACTTTTCACTTCATACTCATTCATGAGAAGTGATTAACAATTTTAGATTAAAAATTCGACATGGTGTCGAATTTCACGTTTTTAAGACAATTTCTGAAAATCGTAACCCTATGGTTCGTTCGATTTTACTGCAATGATTGGAAACGTCGACATGCACGTGTACCAGTTTTTTTAAGAACTGGTACTGTAAATTTGCAAAGATGTACTTAGGGAAATTAAAAACAATTTTTGTATCTTGTCCTGAAGCCAAAACTGTAACACTTTATATCGAGAGGAAGCGTATGTGGAGGACCTTTAAGTCCACAAAAGCTTTGATTGCCATGTAGTTTTTAAAAATATATGTTTTTATGGACGCGTTAACTTTAATTTTAAATAAATGATACGCTTTTTATATAAAATTCCAAAATTATAAGTTGCAGATACGTCTATTATTTTAAGAGGTAGTTTGCCACCAAAATCCTAATTCAAAAATAACATTAGGAGGTAGGGTTCAATGGAGGGTACTTCTAAAATATTGGGAGGGTACTTCCCATTTTTTGGAGAGGCTTCAAATGCATGCCATATTACTTATCTCTATCCTCCAAGCATGGGACACCTTGCAACCCAACAACTCTGATAATTTCTTGGACCAATTTTTCCTGCACGGTTGGATGTGAAGCCAGCAGCAAAATTCCAAACGCAAGACTGCCAGATGTAGTGTCCGACCCGGCTTGGATCAAATCCATTATGATGATAATAAATTGGTCGTCTGATATCATTGGAATTGTTAATTATAATAATTGTAGTGGATGTTTTATTTGTAATATATGTAGATATTCATGCCTGTGAAAAATCTTTCTTCTCCATCTCTCTTTTTCTCCTCTTCGTCAATTTGTGCAAGAAATTCGTCAATAAAACAGTTCTGACTCGTTTTATAATTTCCAGACGCTCTCGCTTCGTACAACATTTCCTATAATTTACGTCATATGAATTATTAAATAAGTTTATTCTTTTGTCTGTTTGGCATAAATTATGCTGCATACTAACAATGCGATGACGCCAGTGGTCTCGCTCCGATTTTAATGATAATTATGTAGCCTTAGGTAAATAAATGAACACATGTTTCGGGATTTTTCATAATGCTCAGTTTAAACAAAGTTATGACAGTAGTACTGGCCGAAAATTCGCATTTTTCCCGTGAAATTTTTCTTTTTTTGTTTTTAAGGGAGAAAATGCGAATTTTCGGCCAGTACTACTGTCATAACTTTGTTTAAACTGAGCATTATGAAAAATCCCGAAACATGTGTTCAATTATTTACCTAAGGCTACATAATTATCATTAAAATCGGAGCGAGACCACTGGCGTCATCGCATTGTAAGTAAATACTTAATTTGCCGTACCCGAGCAATATCTTGCATTTCTGTGGATAACTGCTGAGCTTGTGTAAACCCGCACAGTTGTGGACAAATATTTTTGAGGAAAGGCCAATAATTGTAAAGGCCCGAAATCATGGAGAAAGATTGTGAAAATTTTCTCCCAACTACAAGAAATCGATTGACGACAGAATTCTTATCATTCCGATCACATCGTTTGCCTTTGAACGTAATACAAATTGTTGTTCGTTTAGTTTTTAATTTTAATTTTGTACTTTAAAGACTCAAAATTAGTGACCCAGTGCTTACCTGTGACCATCCACAGCACTATATTCAATGTGCTTACAGCAAAAAAGTCTCCCACGATGCGAATCGTTCCGTCTTTGGAAGATTTCGACATTTGAATAAGTTCATCCTGAATTAGATTCGCTTCTGAACTCATGACATTCCCCATCACGGACCGTTTCGAAAATCCAAAATTTTTCAGCGTTTTAAGCGTGAACCGACGCATTTCCTTCCATGGGTGACCAACTCCGATCAGTATTCCTATCGTGGTGGTGATCAAAGGTAGAGTTTCATGAATCTCCAAGATTTTCATATACTTATGAAAAAATTAAAACTAAAAATTAAAATATAAAGTAACCCAGATTTTTGTTCATATTCCTGGCTTTTATTTCCTCTGCGAATTCTCTACTAAAGGTTTCTTCCCGGTTTATGAGGTCTTTCATTGTTTGGACATCATTAAGGAACACTGTAATACGTACACGTACGTATTTATGTTATTTATGTTTTCAGATAAATTTTGCTAATATAAATATGTACATACTTACCTGCATTTATGAACCCCAACTGAATTCGTGTAAGGCCATGTTTTCCATACCGCTTGCATATCTTGTATAACCCGATATACGGAATAGGATCGGCTATAGCGACTTGGAAGAGATTTCCAAAAAATGGAAATCTTGAAGGACCTTGCGTATTTAATTAAGTTTGATCAATATTTAAGGAAATTGTATATTGTTTAAAGTTTAAACTTTAAGGGCCTGGGGGAAGTTGCTTAGAAATCACGTCAACTTTGACGATAAAATTCAGCAATGCACAAGAGGGCAGATTTTTTAAATTATGTTTAATGCGTTAATCATATCTTTAGATTTTACTTGAGTTTTTTTTGACGATCTGCCCTCTTGTGCAGTGGAGATATTTGGTCGTAAAGTGAGGACAAATTGGCTTAGAATTGCCAAATTAATGGCAGGAATTGCATTTTGAGTATCCATGGAACAAAAGAAACAACTTTTTTCAAAAACTTGAGGGACTTGAGGGAAACTTTTTCAAAAGCAGTGACAAAACCAAAGCTTTTGAACGTGAGTGTCCCATAGAAACGGTGTCAATTAATTGTGGTCGTAACCTAACAGAGCGATAATAATCTTGGGGCCCTGGCAACTATTGTTGCTAACATAAAATCAAGTAAATCTTCCCCCGGGCCCTTAAACTATGAGACTTATTGATGAAAATTACGTATGTTAAAGTAAATATTTAATAATTTCGTGAGACTGTACCTGGGGGTTGATTTTTGGAATCCAAATAATCCCAAATAATCCATGTGATGACAGCAATCACTGCAATAAATATCCCTTCATTTACTAAAGGCTCAAACATTTTCCGTCGAACCAGATTCTGAATGATTAGAATAGAGCTTAGAGCTTAGGACAGAATGAAGAATGACTAAACACACGCGATGTTATGCTAATTTGAGCCAAATTTATGAAGGTACTCCAACTGTTTTTTGAGGCGAACAATGAGCAATAACATTTCATTTATTATCGTATCGGAATTTACAAAGCCAATTGACAAGCAAAATTTAACTATGGAAGGATCTTTGATCTGTTTGAGGAAAACCAAGCTTGCAAATTAATTTCTCAATAAAACAAAACTTAGGTGAGTGATGAGTCAATTAGTCGCGGCTGGATACGAACGCGTAGGTAACAGGTCATGTTATGTCATAAATATTTAAGTAAAAATTTGTGTGTGATCATAAATAGATATATATGTACATAATTAAAACGTGCGTTTATTTTTAGTATTTCGATGACTTAAAACTGAAATTAATTTCAATGTTAATAATAATTTTTCGAACCCCACCATTTTTTAGGGTGATGTTTTTTATTAACTTCGTACATATGTAGGCGGATATTTAATAGATTGTAGATGTTCCGGCGTCTTTTTTTCACGACCTTTACCCCACGTTTAATTTTGGTTTTGCTAAGAAAAACGCCACGTGCATGAAAAGACAAATAAAATTGATGACTCAGGGCTTCACATTTCACACTGAATAACAACATATTTACGAATCATAATAAGTCAGTATTTTTTCTCGAAGTCCAATCGTAAAAAGTGGAATGCAAAAAAAAACAACTCGTGTTGAATCTGCAGGTTTATTATGCAATGCAATCTGCATAACTCTCAATATTGACTACAACGCAATGATTATTTTAATTATTACTACCGTGTTGGCTGGAACTGATTCAACGAGAGTACGAATGTTAAGTTTTTGCCACTTATATAACATTTGACTACTATAGCAATTCTTCGTGATTAGATTGCATTAAATGCATGAATGATGTTATGCAATACAAAAATGCAGTGCAGGCACCAGACGAGGAAAATGGGTGCAAATTATTTTAGTAATTAATTATCAACTACCAACACTGTCATGAACCCAATAATGTATGTAATACGTACATCGGTAGTACAAATGTATCTATGACTTAAATGTTAGAACGGTCAAAACATTAATCCTAAATTATAATTAACAATGCCAAATTTTTCAAGTGCTATACATTTTAAAAAAATCTATATTTTATTATTCAGCATTAAAACTACAAGCTTAAGTACATTAATCAATACGTGTCTTTTAAATTGTGGTTCGGATTTGAGTAATTAGTTGTAGAATACAGGCCACGTGCATAGTTTCATATTTACTTTCATTACGCAAGTGCGTTCGACCCGAGTAATTAATGCTAAGACTAATATAATATTGGAATTATGTTGAATAATATCTGAACTCAAACGGATTAATTCCAAGTTTAGATATGCAATCACTCCGGCAGTGATTTTATCAAACTACTTATTTACGTAATCAAAAATTACCCAGTCAAAATCCGAATGCTATGCTAGTAGTTATAATTTTCTATTTGTGGTGGTTGTACAGGTCTTGGCTACAAGAAGATATATTTTTCCTAAAAACCTGGTATCCGTAAAGCGATCTTACCTAATGTGAAGTGTTGAACTGGTTATGTACAGTCAAGAGCAAAACTTTACGACATATGGAAGAGACTTTTGGGACATGTTATTCAAATGGGGAATTAAAGGCCGTAAAGTTTTGCACCGCGTACCTTTCCGAATAATTTTTTTAACGCTGTGATATAATTTTTATTGAATAAAGCGTGCAAAAGTAGGGGGTGACGTGGTAAATTATTTTTGTCGCCGAATTTTTTTCAAGGAACTACAAGGAATTGAAAGAATTAATTTTGGAAGAGACTTTTGGGACAGCCATAAGCACAATGTGTTGTCCCAAAAGTCTCTTCCAAAATTAATTCTTTCAATTCCTTGTAGTTCCTTGAAAAAAATTCGGCGACAAAAATAATTTACCACGTCACCCCCTACTTTTGCACGCTTTATTCAATAAAAATTATATCACAGCGTTAAAAAAATTATTCGGAAAGGTACGCGGTGCAAAACTTTACGGCCTTTAATTCCCCATTTGAATAACATGTCCCAAAAGTCTCTTCCATATGTCGTAAAGTTTTGCTCTTGACTGTACATATCACATATACTAATCTTCTTCAAAAGGTCAATGAAATACGACACCGTTTATTTTAGACTTAGAAGATATGTAAATTGTTTTGGTGAATTAAAGCTACCCAATTAAAGGAAATCCCACTTTCCCAAAAGTTTGCTACAAGTTCCAAAGTTAACTTTCATTAATTTCTCCGGAAAAGAAACAAGAGTGAAATTTTACATGCTTAAATATGGACTAGGAAAAGTTTCTAAGCACATGATGTTCACTCCAATTAAATTCAGGTTGTATATGATTAGTAAATTCACAAGTTGAGATTACTTACATACATACTACATGTGTACAGTGCATAATAATATATACACATACTGAAAATTAAAATAACTTTGTCAACATTCGACAAGTACTTACACGTTGTAAAATCAAAATCATGTAAAGTGAACAAAGAATTAAATTTAGAGAATAAAACATGAACATATATGCTCATTCGTATACGAAACAAGATATGCAATCAATTATTTAATTTATTCAAAAATTAATACATACGTCGTGTTTCGATATTTGCTTAGATATAGCTCCAATTCTACTTTCCTAGCTAAATTTTGATATAACCTGACACGGGTTAACTCTCACTGCTCGGATTTTGGAGATTTCGCCAGTGTCCTTCTGTCAAATCATAGCGTTACTACCTATTATCGACTATGTATTTTGTCTTGCTTCCGTACAAAATAATGTATGCATGTCGTGCCCCGGATATGATATGTGCATACACGTAGGTAATTATATGTATTTTTCATAAACTAAGTTTTCACCCTATTTTCCAGTATTTATTTTCTGACTCCTACATACACGCATAAACATGTGTGGGAGTATTTGTTTTGAAAATGCCTAATAAAGACACACAAACATAGTTTACACAAATTTGAATAAAAATATATGTGTTGCTATTCAAACATAACTAATTAGCAAAATTTCATTAATGGATTCCTTAATGTTCTAAAATATCCACATTAGATGAATGTTACTTTCTCTGCAGTTACATACATAGATACATAGATATGTAAGCTCCCAGATCGATGCGCAATTTGACAAAGAGGTTACAAACAAAAGCGCAGGCAATTTATTCAAGGAAGTCCGGAGTTATCTTTGTTTTAAGCTTCTTGTGATGTCTTTGAAAACACTGCGAAATAACAAGCTTTAATATTGTTGTGTACCCAAGTAATCAAATTGGAGTTGATGAAATTGTCGCCGTGAGGGGACTTTTGTCAACAAGAAACTTTGTTTCAACATTTACACAATTTTCTAGACTCTAGTGCTGTAGCCTATTTTGTAACTCATATTTTTGAACTTATTGAAGCAACAATAAACAGTACCTCCCGGTGCAGTTATTTTTGTTATGAAATTTTTCAGGAAATTTGAAATGCATGTGTACTGACGTTTGTCACAAACATTTATGCAAGTAAATATGTAAGTACCTAAAATAGAAATTGGTCCCAAAGAGTTTATTTAGCAGCAATGCTGCTAAATATGAAAACGTTGCTACGAAAGTTTTAGTGAAAAAATATATTTGATGATTGGATATTTATAATTTATACATACTAGGAAAGATAGAGTAATAAATAAATTTTGTATGTCAGGCAGGGGTCCAAAATACTATTTAAGACTAGACACTCGCAGCCCTTTTGAAATGTTGGAAAATAAACAAGTTAAGGCCTGACACGTCGTTAATATTCATTAAAGTGTTAGCCATGAAAGATTAGTTTTCTCAGACAATTGATGAAGTAGAAGTTTTGACATCGTAAGACCAAACTGAGGAAATCAAAATTAATTTTAAAGTTCCGAAATGTGGTTTATTTTACTGTGCACTTTACTCCTCGATCCTACTTATTTTGAGATTTTTAGTGTGTCTGTGCGTAAAAATAGTATGAAACGAATGTACATATGTACATGCATACCTATAAGTATGTAATAAAACAGACATTAAGGAATGTGCTAATTTTAGGATGCGAAGAGTTGCTGGAAGCAGATAACACAATTTATGAAGTTATTTATTTAATTTTTATCCATGACATGGGCTTTTTTGCAGGGACGTTCAAGCAAATATTATTCGGGAACTATGTACACACGTGTCAGACTTATACCACAAATGTCGACTTGGAATTTCTAGATCTGAACAAGTGGTTGGTGCAGCGGTGGAAGAATCTGCGAGAGTGATTAATGCCTCCTCTTTCACTTTTCACGAGCTAAACAAACTAACAAACCGCAGTGTTTTCACATCACTTTCCCCTACAATTCCTCATTCTATCACGATGCTAAATTTAGACCATACACCGTTTGATGATATAAAGCTTCAAGAAGGGATTTTGTTAATTACATATTAAATTATGTACATAGTTGGCATCTACGTCATTCAAGTCTTAAATGCCGACAATATTTTTATTTCATGTGTTCGCACATTGTTCGATTCACATACATAGATATGTGCATATATACATACACATATATATGTTCTCAACCAAGACGAGCCCCTAAAACCAAGAAACTTGACAGAGACTATTTGCCATCTAAAATTGCATTTACAGTAATTTGAAACTTTGATAATTGCAAGAATTATTAGGCATCGTTCGCAGGAGTTAAAAGTCTCAACTTGAGACATTCTTACATTACGTATATTTAGTCGGATGGCGACAGAAGTTCCTCAGTATTATTTCCCTTGTGCAGTCGCCGATAAAACGGGACAAAGAGTAATGTTTCGCAAACGGAAACAATTATCTCCGTGAGACATGCTTCCCTCTAAAGAGTACATTCACAAGGCAAAGTTGTGGATGTGCTGGGTTACAAATATTTGTAGAGCAGAAAGTACATAAGTCTGGGGTTCGTGATGGAGCGAATGCTTGGTAATCCTTTAGTGGCAGACGTGTTAATGTGACAAATCACCAGTAACACGTTGACCATACTAATTTGGGTCAGAGGCGGTGTGAATTATCGATGTAGACAAAATAATTGCTCTCCGGTGACAGTTGACAATAAATTTGGACAAAATCGAACCAATCGAAAAGGATCGAGCTGGTTAAAGTATTTAATTTTAACAAATCTTTATTGGAAATGTTCTTTACTCTACGTGTTAAGTCTTCTATTTTGTGCATTCAACTAAAGATTCCTAACGCAAATGAATGATCAAAATGAGACAGCAGAAAACCAGACAGAATTCTCTTTATGTGGCAATGTGTAAAATATCAGTAAATACATTTGAAAGGTCATTGAGAATCTGATCCTGAGTAAATGTGCAAACCAAAATGAACATTTTAAAACAACGGGGTACACGCGTTTTCAAAATCCAAATATTTCTGAAAGTGCATACCTATTGAGAAAGCATCAGGCAAATTAGTACCCTCTTCAAACGACATAGATTTCTGTTAGATGCTGCGTGAAAGCTGAACACTGGGAATCTGAACAGCTCGCTGATTTTCTAAGGACCAATTAAGATATATATTTAGACAGACAATGGTTCTCCTTCGTTCCGTAACTTGAAACTAATAAGGCTTTGGCTTCATCCGGTAATCTGAACGATGCTGGGTTTTCATGAAGAATTAATAGAGCGAAGAATTCCATGCTTCATTCTCCTGTATCAAACTCCATTCAAAGAATAACCAGCCATTGCGATTGATAACAATATAACAACATCCTAAGCAATTATATTTCTTATTTACGGACATTCGACTTTAATTGTAGTTTCCAGACGTGGGAAAGTGACCTGGAGCAATCAATTGCATAAGTGGTAATTTCGTTGTAAATTGTTTGATATTGACATTGATTTTGCTGGGTAAGAAATGAACTTGGAATATGTACATAATCTGCCAAGACGTGTTTCTAATCACAAGATTGTTACGAACTTTTAAGATTATTAAGTCGTTTACCCTATTAAAAATTGAATATTCACTAATTTACTTAACCTTCTTCACAATGAAATTTTGGTACGTATATTTGTGCGAAACTCAGAAACTGATTTCTCTCTTTTACCAATATTCCTTGGAAATATCTATCTAACTCTGATAAGTTTACGTATTTATGTGCTTACTTATATTGAGTTACACAGTTGACAGTTCCACATGAATGAATTGTGGATTAAAATTATGTTAACCCACAAAGTCAACGCCCACTGGGAATTTCATTCATTATTAAAGACAATATTCAATCGATGAATGGAGGTGATTGCTTAATTCTTTAATGAATTTTTAATTAAATTGCACATGTGTTAGCCAAATACGAACCCAAATTTACTTAATACATATATACATACATATATATATATACAAGTATACTTCCATAGACCTATGATTTTTTTATTTAACAGAAAAATAATTTTGACATTTGAAAGTTTACCAAAATCTTAAATAATAATTAAAAGAATTTCCATAGGAAACACATCCGAAATTGACACAATATGACTCGATAGCATTTTAACCCGTTCATCTAATACATACAAATAATTAACAAATTTCCAAGCATGACTAGTGTGATCAAACCATTAGAAAATATTTGTAAATACAGTTACACGAACATGCATATGCATATTAATACGTATACCCAACGCCCACTGGAAAACTGTTGATAAGTATTAACATCGACATGTTCAAAATTGGTAGAAGTTCAACTAATAATATTAAGAGCCGTGATACCTTTCTTGCATAAAACACTAAAATATTCATACTTTAGCCACCATAATTATCTTTATATCCAACGGAAGCGTTATTAATTTGACTTCTGAGTTGTTTTATTTGCAACAATGACGTGGCATACATAATACTGAACAGAATTCCGTAAACATAACATAATTCGCAGGAAATGTTCCAGGCACAAGTACTCCAAATTTTTAAAATGCACATCAAAGTTGGTCAGTTTTTGAAATGCATTCCGTTTGAGTATTATGATACGTCTGGAAAATTATTAAAGAGTGAGTCAGCAGAGCAACTGCAATTTTTCAAGTTCCAATCCATAATCTCAGCGCTTTACGCTGTGACAATGTTTGTAAACGTCTTCGTGGGACCACTGACGTTAACCGGAAGATTTCAAGGTCTAACGTTTTCCCTTATTTATGCAATCGCCGCAGTGTCAGGGTGGAACTACCGAATGGACATAATTCCAGCTCAAGTTATCAACTTCTTCCTCCAGTTTGAAGAAAAAGTGATAAAAGGTGCAGTATTTTTTCTCATTTCTTAATTAACCGTGGGTACAGTTCATACTTTAGATAGCCAATTAAATATAATTTTAGCATTAAACTTTTTAATTGTATGTTACAGAATTACCGTCGCAAGGGATTTCCTTTCTAACCAAAGCATTGAAAATTGTCGTCGTTCTTTGTGAATTCTCCGTCGTAACGGTCCCAATCCTTGAATTTATTTTGTTATCATTTGCACCATGCATACCACCCTTCATGTTATCAATGATGTCGAACTGTACAACCCTTCAGACGAATGCATCATGGCAGATTCAAGGAATGCAATTGGTTATCCATCTGTTTGAAGCGTGGGTAGGGTTACTTACCCTCGAGGGCCCTCGCTTCAGGTTGTACCTGGATCATATACATCGGTATTGTGTGTGTGACTTGCATTCTGAGTTATATTCGGGTATTAGATAGGTAAGTATTTGGATCAATAACGTACTTGTCCAACAGAGAAAATCGATGATATATAAATATACATATGTATGCACACTTAATTACAAATATCAACTATGTATTTTATAACTATTAAATTATTTTAGTGAGATTACGAAAATTGGGAACAGCGCCGATATCCGGAAATGCGTCCACTTCTTCCATTCTATCAAAATCTTGGAGAAATCATGCAACGCGATGAGCCTGCTTTTCCTCGGCCTCGTTTTGGGCATTCCGGGCATCGAAATCGTGACACTGTTCGTTGCAGTAAATTTGCATAACGAGATCATTATTATTCATTATGCCTGGATTTCTTGTGTTCCCTTTACTCGCTTTTGATGCTGTATTGGTGAATATTTTGTCCTTCGGCGTGGCTGGCTTGGTCCACACTAGGTCTGAAAATTTAATTGAACGCATTTCCGAGAAAGTGATGTGGTTGGAGAAGAGATCGCTGTTGAAGAGAGAGCTGAGGGCCTTGCAGCCCTTGAAGATTCATTTTGGGTCGAATTTCGTGGATCGGGGGACTCCATTAGTAATGCAGAGCTTCTGTTTAAATAGAACTATGACCCTGACGCTTATCCGAAGTCGACATGTGCGAAAGTAGTAACTTAACGGTAGCATTATAATTATGTATGCAAATATATAACTCTGAGGACAATTTCAACATTAAAATACTCAATATTACAAATATATATGAACTTTGATATTGAAAGTTTAACAAGAGTTTTGAGTGTTTTATTTATTCACGAAGGGTACTTGATACGACCCCAGCCCAATGCACTTAAACGCACATTTTATACGCATTCACAAAATTGATCAAGGACTCTAATGGAGGACTCCATTAGTAATGCAGAGCTTCTGCTTAAACAGAGCTATGACACTGACTCTTATCCGACGTCGGCATATACGAAAGTAGCTACTTATCTGTAGCATTAGACTTACATATGCAACTCTAAGGACACGTTACGTACTTACATAATACGCAGGATTATAAATTTTGACAGATTAGCAACAATTGACGTTTATTATAATGCACTCACGAAAGGTGCATGCATCCGAGTTTGATACCACCCCACATTCACTTCAACTCACGCTTAATACGCATTCACAAAGGTTGCCTAGATTGATTTGTGTATTATGATTTGCATTGCAATATACAGTCGCACATGCCCAACTCCCACTGGAAATTACTTTATAAGCAATAGAATCAAAATCCTATTCGAAATTGGTAGACCTCAGCTCGTAACTCATTTAGATTCGGACCGTGATAATTTTCTTAAATAAAACAATAAACTATTCATACTTTAGCCTAGATAATTATCTTGAAATCTAAAGGAAGCGTGGATAATGTGACTCTGGAGTTGTTTTCTTCCCAACATTGACGAGTCTACTTCGCAAAATTTCGTTGGCATACTAATAACACTCTGCAAAAAATGTTCCAAACACAATTCCTCCCATCGCTTAAAGTGTACATTAAAGCCTGCCAATTTTTTAAATGTATACCGTTTGAGTATGACACAAAGTCCTGGAAATTAATCAAAAGTAGATCATCAAAGCACTTGCAGATTTTCAAATTCCAGTGCATCATCTCCGTTCTTTACGCTGCGGCAATATTCATAAATGTCTGCGTGGGGCCATTGACGTTAACCGGAAGATTTCAAGGCCTAACGTTTTTCTTTACTTATGCGATCGCCTCATCGTCTGGTTGGAATTACGATGTTGACATATTGCCTGCACAAATTATCAATTCCTTCCTCCATTTTGAAGAAAAAGTGATGAAAGGTGCAGTACTTTTTTGTAATGCTATTTGAGACACTATTAAATGGTGTGTCTTAATTGACGGCGTACATAAATAAGCAATAATGTACCACAATTCTGCTCCACTTTAAAACTTCTTAATTGTTTTTTCCAGATTTGACTTCCCTGCTAACTAAAGTAATGAAAATTGTCGTCGCTCTTTGTGACCTGTCCGTAATCATCATCCCCATTCTCAAATTTATGCTGCTGGCATTGGCTCCATGCATGCCACCCTTCATTTTGTCAATGATGTCGACCTGTACAACCCTTCAGACGAATGCATCATTGCAGATTCAAGGCGTACAATTGGTTATCCATTTGTTTGAAGCGTGGGTGGGGTTGCTTGTCCTCGCTTCGGGCTGTGCATGGATCATATACATCGGTTTTGTTTGTGTAACTTGTATTTTGAGTTATATCCAAGTGCTGGAGAGGTAAGCCTACCTTTAAATGGAATATCTAAATTTGTCGTAAGTACATTGCACCTTTATGAACAAATCTCACGGAATATTGGTAGCAGAGGACAACGCCGACAAATTTGGCGGCGGCGGTGGAGGCAGCCCCAATTTTGAATGGTTTTTCGACGGCCCTTCAATATTTAGGAATAGAAAATCAGATTTTTCGGCGGAGGCTGTGCTTAAAATGCTACCGACGTGCGGCGGCGTTGACCTCTGATTGCTAGCTGATTTGACATTTACATTTGAGATAGATATAACATAATATGATATAACATGATAGATATGATATAGACATTTTACGGTGAAATTTCTTACCTTTAACACAATTACTATTATTGAGTTAAATATTTTAGAGAGATCACAAAAATTGGGAACGTACCTGACATCCGGAAGTGCATCCACCTCTTTCAGTCTATTAAGATCCTGGAAAAATCATGCAACGCGATGAACCGACTTTTCCTCGTCATGGTTTTGGGCACTCCAGGCATCGAAATTGTGGCACTGTTCGTTACAATAAATTTGCATAATGACATCGTTATGCCTGGATTTCTTGTATTTCCTTTAGCTGCATTGGATGCTACAACGGTCAACATTTTGGGCTTTAGCGTGGCTGCGCTAGTTCATACCAAGTCTGAAAAGTTGATGAAATCTCTTTCCGAGAGAGTAATGTGGTTGGGGAATAGGTCGCTGGTGAAGAGAGAAATGAGAGCCTTGCAGCCCTTGAAGATTCAATTCGGGTCGAATTTCGTGGATCGGAGTACTCCATTGGTAATGCAGAGCTTCTGCTTAAACAGAACTATGACCCTGACGCTTATCCGAAGTCGACACATGCGGAAGCAATCACCTTCTTTCTAGCATTCTAAGTACTTATGTATGCAAATCTGCAAATTTCAAACTTATATAAATAAAAATACTTAATATTATAAATCTTGACATTTTATAGTTTATAAACAATATTAAGTTTATTGTAATGTCCTCACGAACATCCGAAATTGATACGACCCTACTGCATTGAAAATTCCCGTTTTATACGCATTCACGAAATTACATACAAGTATGGTACAAGTAATAGGTACAAGTTTGATAACTTCATTTATGTACCATGATTTGTATTGGAAGATTTAGTCGCACACGCCAAACGCCAAGTGGGAATGATTTGATAAGCATGTAACATCAACAATGTTGATTTAATTTCATATTCGAAATTGGTGGACCTTAACTCATAACTTATTTAGATTCGGAGTAATGATACGTTCATTCCATGACACAATAAAATATTCATACTTTAGCCACGATAATTATCTTTTAATCCCAAGGAAGCATTATTAATGTGACTTATGAGTTATTTTCCTTGTGGCAATGACGTATCATATTATTATATTAAGCAAAATTCCGTAAAATATTCCCAAGAAATGTTCCGAATACAATTCCTCCCATTGTTCAAAATGCACATTAAAGTCTACCAGTTTTTTAAATGCTTACCATTTGTGTATGACATAAAGTCCCAGAAATTAATAAAAAGTAGGTCATCGAAAGACTTATATATGTTCAAGTTCCAGTGCGTAATCTCAGCGCTTTACGCTGCGGCAATATTCATAAATGTCTTCGTGGGGCCACTGACGTTAATCGGGAGGTTTCAAGGATTAACGTTTTCCCTTATTTATACAATCGCCGCAGTGTCAGGGTGGAATTACCGACTGGACATAATTCCAGCTCAAATTATCAATTCCTTCCTCCATTTTGAAGAAAAAGTGATCAAAGGTGCAGTATTTTTTATCTCCCTACATTTCATTTGAAATTATTGCAATTCTTAAGTTAAGAATCTTAACTGACTGTGAATCTGGGTGTACAAACTACAGTACAAAGTTCACACTTTAGACAGCCGATTAAACATAAGTTTATTGTAAAACTTCTTAATTGTCTGTTGCAGATTTACCATCTCGAGGGATTTCTTTGCTGGCCAAAGCATTCAAAATTGTCGTCATTCTTTCTGAATTCTCCATCATCTGCGTCCCAATGCTGGAATTTATTTTATTAGCATTTGCACCATGCATGCCACCCTTCATTTTATCAATGACATCGACATGTGCAATCCTTCAGACGAATGCTTCATGGCAAATTCAAGGCGTACAATTGGTTATCCATGTGTTTGAAACTTGGGTGGGATTCAATACACTCGTATCGGGTGCTACATGGGTCATATACATAGGTTTTGTGTTTGTGACTTGCATTCTGAGTTATATTCAGGTATTGGCGAGGTAAGTATATATTTGTATCCCGTAAGTACTCGTATAGAGAAAATACAAATAGATTATAAACATGTACACATTAGAAATATCTTAGAGTTAAGCATTTTCACTTTAATGCAATAACTATCATTGACTTATTTTAGTGAGATTAGAAAAATTGGGAACAGCTCCGATATCCAGAAATGCATCAATTTCTTCCACTCTATACAAATCTTGGAAAAATCATGCAACGCGATGAACCGACTTTTCCTCGTCCTCGTTTTAGGCATTCCGGGCATCGAAATCGTGGCAACATTCGTCACAGTAAATTTGCACAGTGACATCGCCATGCCTGGATTTCTTGTGTTCCCTTTAATCGCCTTGGATGCTACAGTGGCCAACATTTTGGCCTTTAGCGTGGCTGCCCTGGTCCGTACCAAGTCCGAAAAGTTGATGGAATCTCTGTCCGAGAGAGTAATGGTGTTGGGGAAGAGTCCCCTGCTGAAGAGAGAGATGTGCGCCTTGAGTCCATTAAAGATTCAATTTGGGTCAAATTTCGTAGATCGGAGGACCCCTCTGGTAATGCAAAGCTTCTGCTTAAATAAGACCATGACCTTGACCCTTATTCGAAGTCGATATATGAGGAAGTAGAGGTTCTTACAAGATTAATACTACAAATTTTATTAAATGGTGAATGGTTAACCTGATTTTTTACTTATTTTATGAAGTTGAGTGATCACATTATTTTTGAATGCATAAGTACCTATGTAAAATCAGAATTTTATGTCTTAAAATTCATACTTTGCATAACTTCAAATTCAAACTTTACGCACGTCTCATCAGTTGATGCCACAAGCTTGGAAAAAATTACAGAGGTTTAAATGTTTTCACTTATTTATTAACAAAGTCCGTTTATATACGTACATATTTCAGTGACAGCCACAATTTTCCGCCACCATGTCGACATACTGTTTCAGCACGACGTTATCATTGTCGTCATAGTAGAGGAGTGAGATTGGGAGGAGAGTCGTGGGGACGCAGCACGGCCTTGCCAGCCCGGGATGGAGATTTAGCTCGTTAATTATGCTTTGCACCGTGGCGTGGTTCGTGGGCGAGGCGTCCGACCCGAGGGGGAAGACACAAGGTCCAGCACAATAGTGGGCGTTGTACCCTTTCGGCGAAATTATCCATGACGACCACCCAATAGACTCGAATGACACGAACAAATCGTGCCGCCCGCATTCGGTTAGATTGCTCGAGGAAAGAAGATGTGCTGTTCCGTTGGAGGTGGAATCAGTGTCATTTCGTGACCGTCTGGATCGAAATCGACTCACGGAGTTGGGATGGCGGATTGAGTCCTGGAAAAGGAGAGAGTGGTGGAAGCGCGGATTTTCTAAACCTGACAAATAGTGGAATAATTTTAATGCTAATAATAGGTAAGCAAGAAGTCACAAAGTCATTAGAGATAATCACGCCAATTTTGCACAATCACACTTTTGAATTTTTTTGAAATTATTGTGCAAAATTTAAAAAAATCCCAATATCCTAAAATGAATATGCTCATTTCGTGCAAATATTTGTAAACTACATATGTTAATCTACTTCGCCTTCAAACTTTTAAATGACTCAGAAATCCTTTACTGAAATATGTACGTTCTTATCTACATTATTCTCAACTTATGAACCTACATAGTTGTGCAGAATTGACATATTTATGTAAATATAGTTTCTAAACTTTGTGCGAATTCCATTTTTCATGCAGTTAACATATTTATGTAGATACATTCTTCTGTATAGGTACTTACTCGAGAGTGGTGTCGTTGTCTCATACGTGGTATCCATGCCTTGTTCATTCTCCTTATCGTCCAGATTGTTTGAGTTGAGTCCGTTGGAAATTTTTGGCTTCGGGACTCGTTTCCGTGCCGTCTGTTGGGTTGGTGGGGGGTCGAGGGTGGCCATGTGCGTGTCATGGTTGAAGAGGACAAGGAGGGGTTGCTTGCTCTCCACGGTTTCTCCCCTTCGAGCAAATCGGATCGGGACACGGTCACCCTGAACACTTTCAGCGGACACGAGCAGGCCGTAGTTCTCGGAGTGCGAAGATAACCATTCCACCACGGGCTGGATAATATATTGATGGCAAATTAATACCAGAATTACAGGTTGACTTAATACTTGTATAAATATGTATGTTCCGATATTCACGTTAACTTTACAAGGTAAACTCGCCAGCCTTTATAATCTCATTTTTGCTTAGTATTTTTCCTTTGAATTAGAAATAAACTTAACAGACTTATTCCTATGTTTCTTAGACAAGGTTACCAAGTTTATGTTCTAAATTTTAGAGCGTTTATGTGGATTGCGTCTATCATTACTTTAATAAAATTCGGTTCCACGTACTTTTTTTGCAACACAAAACAACAACAATATCTAAATCCTACAATGAATTAAGAGGCTGGCTGCCATTCTCGCACATTTAGAAAATCTTATCTAATCTCTAAAGTTTCACATTCCTCTTAAAATTTAAGTATCTACGTTAACTCACCTTTTTCACATTAAACACTTGCCACCCAGACCCCAACGCAGGGACATATTGAACCGCCAACAATTTGTGCAAGTCTGGGATGTGCAGCTTGCTCAGATCCGTGACCTGGTAGAGGGACAGGACATAAAATGGGTTCAAATAGAGCGAGGGGTGAAGTTGGGCACGGGGTGTGTCCATCCGGAAAAGATGCAGCTCGGCCTCCAAAACGCTTTCCGTCGCCTCCAACGCGGTCGAGGACATGTTGAAGAAAAAGTAGTCGTTTAGTGAGGCGTCCTTCTCTAAAAATGACCGCACTACATGAGCCCCATATGGATTCTTGGCGCGGGTAACCCCACTCGAGTCTGTTATTGTGTTGTACAGCTCGATCATGAATTCTGGAGGTGGTCCGTGAGATTCAGATCGAACTTGGGATTCTGTTAGGCCAAATATCTACACGAAAAAATAAAAAAATAAGCCACATTTCCAAATGCAAATTTTTAAAGTTTACAATAATTAAGGATCTGTGCAAATTCTTTCGAGTATTTTTCCATGCAATTTGTTACCTGCATTAGATTTTGCACAGCAGCCGCCTTCACTTTTGCATTACGTTGAGTCGGCGTTTCCAGGATAACTTTTTCTTCGTCAATTGCATTTTCTGCCCTCAGAATTTCCCTCATTTCCTCTTCTGCATGAGCAATTTCATCCTCGAGCTCTTCCTCTTCAGCACGTGCACTTTCCTCGTCATCCAACGGACTCACCAGCACTTCCGGTATCGTATCATTATCACTTTTCTCTATGAAATTGTTTAATTTGCTACTATTCCTTTCATTGCTTTCTTCCCCATAACTTTCCGTATTATTTTGAGATGTACTAGTAAAATCTGCGGAAGAAGGCTTTCCCAAGAAAATTGGTATTAAAAGCAAGGCGAAAATGCAGTACAGTTTTGGAGATAACATTTCTCACTAAAATATACGGAATTTCAACAATCTCAGAGAACAGACAGGACACAATTGGACCGAAATGCTTCTTTGCTCGTGGATTAAAAACCGTTTCGTTGATCAACCAGGATGCTTGGAATATTTATTACGTAACACAAATTCATACTGAAATGCATATCTCACATCATGGCTAGCGTGCATGCTATAATATTTATTATTAAGCCTACACACGGTCAGCGTAGACACAAATATGTGTATATGTACATATACACACACGCGGTAAGTGTTCCATTTCATTGGATTAGGTGGACAGAGTTTGATACATTTTTAGTAGAATTCAATTTTTTAACATACTTTACGATGTGATGATGTGCTATTCAAGCATGCACGTACTTTTGTACGTATATCCATGTAGGTACTTGTTTGTATAGCGTATGTATAACCAAGTGAGGGGAATATGTGTGCAACAAGTTAATAATTCGAAAAATAAAAGATCTAAGGTTTGGTGTAGAGTGCACATTTTCATTCTTGGAAATTGGTGTTGAAACTTGATATAAGAATTTTGATGTATCTAAAAAGTCCCTCATTTTGGGATAAATCGATCTTATTTTTGGTTCTGTTGTTTAAAATATTCATACAATAATAAATATTCATAAAATCTTTCATTTCGTTATGATACTGATAAATTTTTTACCTCGCCTTAGAAAAACGAAAACTCTGCGAATTAACCAATCTTCCTACGGTTGGTTGGCAGGAGTCCATCCCGGATAAGTGATAACAGTAGAGGTGAGAAACATGTTCATGTATTTGAAACGTTACCCGTGGACCACCGGTGGGTGTTGTGATGTATTGAATGCTTGCTTCCCCTAAACATCATTAATCACGACACACATTAGCATGCGAATTGCCTCATCTGCTTATCTCATTCTGCATCATGCCCCATTAATTGGGTTGTGACAACTAGCACGACTATCAGCCAGCATAACAGTCAAATTTACTGCCCAATTTATTCCTGTCGACGCTAACATTTCGCATAATCCAGAGATGCGTCATGGCTAAATTCATATCTCAAAGTTTTCTTTGATTTTTTGAAAATGTTTTTTATTAAAAATTATGCAGTTTTTTTGAAATGGATTTTTATTACATGACAGTTTTTTTCACTGACACCCACACGACAAGACGGCATAGAGGGAGTGGTTATGCCCCTTTTTGTCCGTGTAGGAGTGCGTGTGCAGTTTCGTGGGGGCACAGGAAGACTGGCCCCCGTACAACGAGGACAAACACCGGCTCCCACTGGACGACCTGTGAGTTAAAAATGAACATAAAATAAATGGGCCACCGTTAAGTAAACCAAACCAAGGTATGACATTTAATAATTGCATTTTTACCAAAGCAGACATTTCGAGGTCACGGCGACCTGACCCTGTTTCCCGATAAAACAGCTGCCCTCGCAACGCCCAATATCAATCAACTGTGGAAACGTTACGAGAGAAATTTAAGTTTTTAAAGAAAATTTTTATTTACAAAAACTGCGTAGAAAACCGACCCACCTTTGTCAATGGTTCTCCTCCTCCTCCTCTCGTAGAGGAAAGTGGGGGTGGTGACGTTGTGACCGAGTTCGAGCTAAGACTGGGAATTAGATTGTCTTCATCTAATAACGATGCCGGGGACGATGTTCCACTACTGTTTCGAAGCGAATGGATGTGAGAATAATCAAAAACTTTGAAAAACTCTTTGACTCGGTAGCACCCACCGGTGCAGGCACACTCCTCGATAACCTGTCGATAAGGTTAAGATTAATTGTTAACTTGTCGATAAAGTTAAGATTAATTGTTAACCTTATAAAATTCCTACGAATATTTATGTACCTGCATGCATTCAACGCCATTTGGACCCTCGACACTCTTAGTTTTATTCCTCACAGGACGGCATGACGATGGTGACCCACTTCCCTGGTCGCAACGTCCCACACATTCTCCCATGTCGACAACAGTCTCGAACGGTGTGTCGCTATGGAGACGAATTGGTCGCGACAGTTTTTCGCAGCCGTCCCCTCCAGAGAGCGGGACACAGTCGCATGTCTCAATAACTTCCACTTCATGGTAGACCCCACCCAAACCGAAGTGCCGTTCTCGACGGGTCAAGGTGGGGCGGCACACGGTGGCGTCAGAAAGGCAAGATGCGGTCGAAGTTGTGGCGCTGGACAATCTGGATAAGGTTGGAGTTGGAAGAATAATTTCGTCAGAGTCGACATCCACGTCGTCATGATTCTCCTCGGGCGACGAGATAGAAGTTGAGTTGGTGGAGGCAATGCGAGACTGGAGGGCGAGAAATATCTGCAATATGCGTGTGGGAAGTTTTTCATTTTTTTAAAAGCTTGGATAAAGTCGGATGAAATTGATAAATGTTTAAGTTTTGTCTCATTCTACTAAAATAATCTGCATCATGCACGATAAATCAATCAGGCTAATGGTAGAAAATGACGTGCAAAAGTTGGAAAATTAATGCAAAGTCTCAACTTCCCCATTCCCCTCATTTTCAAGAACATATTCATACATTTGATATATTTGAGCCTACAATGCAAATATTTAGAAATTTTGTGTAGAAATATTACAAAATCTCAGTTTTCCCTCATTCTCCATATTATTCCATTTTTGCATTCTTTGCAAAAAAATTCGCTAATAGAAACGAACCGGATCCATAGAATCAAGGATTTTGTATTAGTATTGACGATTTTCTACAACATTTTCCCAGATAGTAATGGATTTTTATGCTTTGTTATTTTGTTTATTTGTCACAAATTCCAACCAAAAGAGTTGATTTGATTGGTCGTGTCCCGTAAAAGTGAACCCGGATCTTCTCTTCACTCCAACAAACTGTCCAGATTTATTTACTTAATTCAATGCAAACCAAATTGGGAAAATAATTGCCAATGCTGTTTGTTGATTAAGTTGTTAACAAGAAAAAAAGTCAGCCCACAAAGTTACGGACTTTTGGTGGTCCGATTAAGCAATGCCAATCCATTTCACTCAAAAAACTTTATCCTTCACATTTCACAGATTCAGCCAACTCTCAACCTGAAGCAGGATCCATAGCCAAGACTTGTTGTTCCCACGATGACATTAATGCCATACTTATCTTGGTTCGCATACTTTGACCAAAAACCGGTAGTCGGTCTACATCGTGACTGATTATTATTGCCAGAATAATTAATAGCACTCCACACGCAATACACATTAATTACCAAATCGACATTTTTACATAAAGATAATTTTTGAGGCAGTTTGAGACTGCCAAAAACCCGACTTAACTTTGAGGCAATATGCGACAAACTGACTTGTACCCACCTGAACCGGATCCATATTCGGATATTTCTTCAAATATCTATCAAACTGGTCCCTTTTCAACGGTCGTGGTGGCGTCTTGTCGCAAACTTGTCGACAAGTTCCGACATCAACTCGAAGCTGGGTTCCATCTCCGCCTAAGCCAATTTATCACCATTAGAAAAACACACCTTTACAGAAATCCATCTCAATTTCCTACCATATCCGACCGTAACAAAATGTGGTTCTCTTTTACAACACTGATTCACCACTTCCTCCGAATTCTCTCCAGATTGCAGCCTCCTAAAACTCTCATCTACAGGGAAATATTATTTCAGATTCTTTTTTTTTACCAAACCCATTCGAAAACTACTCACCAGCAAACGGAATATTATGCTGCGAACAATCCACTTTCTCCAACAACGCAACTTTCAGCAGAATCCCCACCATCACAAATTTTACGTAGATTCTCATATTTACTCCAGATATTCGCAACCAAGTCGTTAAAAATAGTTCCATGTATGGCGTTAAACTTTACTTTTATGTATCCGTCTCCAAATTGTGTCTCCTGCTTTTATACTGAAATTGGGAATGGACTTACAATCCACACATTCCAAAAGTTGCGATGAGTAATAAGAAGAAGAAGATTTAAGTAGTTCATTAGCTTATTAGATTACAATATGGCTACATCGCGGAGTTAGTTTGGGTTTTCTCGAGATTTATTTAATTTGCTCAATCACAACATAATCTCATTCATTCATTCATTCCATCCACACCTTAAGTTAGCTTCACATGGCGAAACGATTAGTTACGAGCCCTCCAATACCATCAAGTGCTGCTCCTTCTTCGTCGTCGTCGTCTTCGTAATCTGATGCATAAGTAAAGTATTGTCATGGTCAACTCATCACCTGTAGTAGTAAATTATCCCGCAAACTTGCCACCGGTGGGTGTCTGGTTGGTTGACCAAGTACAAATTTGTATCTCGCAGCTCCCTCAGTTCATGTGGTAAATTGCAATAAAGGTTTTGAACGGTAGTAAATACAGGAGGTGGTGCCAGGCCAGGTGGTCTCGTCTCGCATGGTGCCACTGCGTCTAATCAGGCAGAAGAACAAGATGTGTATGATTTATTGGGCTAGTTTGCAAAATTCCGTCGTGTTGTGTTGGTCATGTTCATTATTACAAGACTTAACTTTTGCAATGCTTAGCTTTCCATAAGAGGGAGGATAAAGTAGTCGTGGTGGTGGTGTCACCTGAAAGAAATTAGCATCACGGTGACAGTTTCAGAGTGTGAGATGGGTGTGGACGAGGGATTTATGGAAGGAGGACGCTACAGCGCAATAAGTAGGGAGACCAGGTGACAAGATCACGTATGTAGATTGAGGAGTCAAGAAAATGTGTGTGAGTAGTGTGGGTGTGAATGGAGAGATTTATGACCTCTTTTCTCCTTAAGTATTTATTTATATGACAAGGGAACATTTATTTATTCTTGCCCAAATTCAAGCAAAACATTGTAGCATTGCCTAATTCGTGAGAAAACGAAGAAATGGCGAGTTTTGAACTAAAAAGTTTGTGTTTTACTTTCATTTTAATTATGGCGTCATGCAGTAACTCATAATAAATAGTGCAGAAAAGAAGCTAGAGAAACTGGGGACTTTACTGGAAAGCTGGAAACTTCACGTCTTGCGTCACCCGAACGTGCAAATACGTAGGAATACATATCTTGCATGTCCGTGTGCACTTGAAATTGGTTAAAATTAGAAACAAGCATAATCTGGATGCATTTTCATTGACGCATTTTGATAAGAAGGACCAATAATAATACAATGATAAGGCTGCAAAATTGTGCAGTGAATAGAAATCGATCTTGTGTATGTACATACATATGGATGCAGAATGTAATATGATTTCAAAAATTAGCTGCCACGGACGTCAATGATCAGTTGATTTTCAATTAAAATCGACCTTGCATGACGACAATGACACCAAAAAAAAATTGGATACATCGTTTCAAGTGGAATGAATTATGTCACGCCAATACAGCAATTGTGCGCTATCAGCACTCCGCGAAAATGAATGTTGAATTCCCAAGCTTCATACGTACACAAGGAGATACATAACTGAGATTCAACCTAAATAGAACGGATTGTTGTCAGGATTATGATTAATTAACTGGAGATAAGCCCAAAATATTCCCAAGAGTTATAACAAATACATATGTGCATATCGAGTTTTCCACATAATATGGAAATCAATTTGACGTTGTTTTTAAACAAACAAAACATGACGTAAGCATGTTCCCACAAATTTGATTGATTTGTCCACACACCGCCACCACGTAGGCATGACATGTCACCGATATTGACAACAATGCTAAATCAATCAAATGGGGGGTGATATCGGAGCACTATAATAGGTCGCAGCTCAATGTCGAATCTCATTGACGAGTGATAAGTTGACTGGAGAAGATTCATACTCAAATTATTACTTGGTCAACAGAATAGCGAATAAACAGTCGCCATGATTTCGAAATCGTTACTTGCCGTGGTACTATTAGTCAGTCCTTTGTTATGCGATGCAGGAAATTTGAGAAGACAGGTAACAACTCGCACAAAAATCGTATAAATTTCTGTAAAGATTGGTCTAAAATTTCATACTTTCTCTTAAATAGGTCCGCCAACTGGGCCAGGAACCGATTGGACCCCTGCCCGACTGGGACGGTCCTTGTGAAGGCGCCTTCCCTGACCCCGATGATTGTCGCCAATTCATCGAATGTTGGGCAGGCGAAGCCACCCTGTGGACCTGCACGGAGAGAATGCTTTTCGATTTAGAATACTACGGATGCAACTATGCTCAGTACACCCACTGTTACGAGAGGCCAAGACCTACGGATGTGCCCTCCACGCAAAATCCTCCCGCCACCACGGTCCCCACGACGACGTCCAACGTCACCACGAGTACAACACCTGCACCACCAATTGACTACACGTGTCCCGAGGGCGATGGCGTCTTTGCACATGAAGAACGTTGCGAATACTACTGGAACTGCTATGCGGGCGACGTTCAACTGATTCACTGTCAAGGAGACTACCTTTTCGATAGAAGATACAATGGCTGCAATTTCCCCGAGATGACAGACTGTGACCACAGGGAAAGGCCCGATGGGAGTGGGTCCAACCCGACGACACGCCCCACACAGACGACCACGGTGAGAACGACGACTGAATATACCGGACCAACCACGCCGGAAGTGGAACCGACCTTTCATACTGGACCGAGTGTGTCGACAACGACGACGACGACCCGAAGACCAGGAGGTTTCGAGTGCCCGGTTGATGCGCCGGACGGTAATCATGCAGATCCAGATGATTGCACGGCCTTTTTCACGTGCGTGGGAGGCATCGCGTACCGGAATCAGTGCCCAATTCCGTTGTACTATAGTATTCCGGGGGATATGTGCGATTATAGGAATAATGTGGATTGTGGGACGAGGCCATAAGCGATTAAGTAAAAATGTTGACTGATTTATTTGTATTTAATGTATATAATAAATAAAAATAGAAAATCGATCTCTACGAATGCGTGATGAGATTTTTTTCATTAAATGGCACAATTATTTTAATAGTATTAGAAAAAGTGAGTCAAACAAATTCTCGGTTTTGGGATTACTGAAAAAGTAGGTGTGAACTGTGATTGCAGTTTTTAGGCAGGGTAAAGGCCTATGAACCTGCATGATGTCTCTTTCTCTCTCCATAGTATAGATTAATAATGTCTCTAACATTACGACACCCTAAATATTAATTGGTAATTAAGCACAGCTAAATTCCATGATTAATTTGCAATTGTAAACTTGGATATAATAATTTTGAATAGTGAAATTTTGGCTGAGTAATCATTAACTTGTTGAATGGACAAATCAATCAAATTTCTGGGAACATGCTCACGTCAGAGAGAGGAATGCTCTTGTTTGTCTAAAAACAATGTCTATTTGATTTACATATTATGCAAATATAACACTCAATTTGTTTGATTGCAACCGTTGAGAATATTTTGCGGCTTATCTCAGTTAATAAATCATAATTGTGACAACGATGACTTCATCATTTATCCATCTTAAATTTAATGGCAGTACGGTGTATGAAAAATTCAGTGTTTGACATTTGTGGCGTTGCCCGTAGGCTTAAATCCCAAACACCTCCTTTAAGGGTCACAACATTATTCAAGAAGCATAAAAATTAAGTAATAATTAGTAAGTGAACAACGACTCGTATGCATTATTTCAAAACCCGCTTTTGACCACACTCATTTGTATGAATGACCACCCTTGATTTATCGTTGCTGAATATGCATTCGCATACATCTCCAAACCTTGAGCACTGGAGATATTTATGTCCGAATAAAATGCTCAAGTATTAGATTACAATATTAATAAGTCTTGGATTTATGTTCGGATGCATATATAAGTTCAAATGATTCTTTTGCAAGGAGAGATCCAACGGCGAAGTGCAAAAATTCACTTTCCCTTCCTATAATAATATCTACTTTCTAATATCTACTCTCGATGTTCCCGTCTGATACCATGCTTCTCATTTGCCTCAATTTGCATCTTATACGACAATAGTTGCACATATCTACACATATCTATACATATAAATATACGTACTTACATGGATTCGTTCATAATATAAAGGAGATTGCAGCAATAAGGGAAGCATTGACAACACTTTTCTTATGACATTCTCCTCCATATTATAGCTGCATCCATAGTCCGTGATTTGTTCATGATTTGGTGATGCTTTCACCGGGTCATAATTTCAGCATGTTAATCACCAAATTAAAATATCGACCAATCAGAAAATCGGAAATAAATAATTTTTGGAAAGTTATGGAGTGTGGATGCGATAAACCATCAAATCATGACGAAATCATGAACAAATCACAGACTATGGATACAGCTTATGGAAGAATCCCCTGATTATCTCATGACTATTATGACATGTCTCAAAAAATGAATTTATGAACAGGACAAAGACATGACAACACATTATTCATATAATCTTGGCCCCGATGCAAACAATAGCTCTCATTTTGTTGTATAAATTGTCGTATCGAAATTAAAACTCTACGATTTATTGAAAACTAATCAATTTTTTTAAATTAAGCGTGATACATTTTCATTCTAGTAAATATTTTTGCAAACAATCCAGAGTTAGCGAATGTACATACATAAATATGTATGTAAAAATGTACATATTTATGTGCAGAGGCATAATCAACATACTCGTTCAATCTCAACAAAAGGTAGTGAAAAAACATTTAATGCGAGTATAATAGTAGGTACATAAATATGCATATACATATTCTGGCTAGGTAAGGTTATTTGTTTACATACTCAATTTGGTCCAGCGATGTACTAACTATAAATATGCTGTATAGGTATGTATACTTCTTTAGGTACGTATTCATTCATGCCTAAGCCTGGAATTAGATATATTTTGAGCCCACTATATCTTGAGTTCCATGAGAATTACTCCAATTTTTAACCAATTTAGTTCATAGTAAGGCAAGATTACTCTTCGCTCAAGATTTTCTCAAATTAGAAAATATGAGATGAGATGAGCTTCTCATCTCATCAACTTGGAAGATGAGTTGTACGCAACCCAAATTTGAGTAAATATCTGTACGTATCTCACCGGCAACCCTACGCCAAAGTTCAGACATTCGTGTTATTCAACCTTTGGATAGAGTATTATTAAACACGAAATGTTACTCAATTAGTAATTTGATATAACTCAAAGTTCCCAAAAAGCGATGATGATCACCTCTAAACATTTGATTTTTTAAGCAAGATTCATAGGGTGAGACGCACTCGACTGGAAATTTCCTCTCTTGTTCATACATACATACATAACATCGTAAGTACAAATACTTAAGTACACAACTTCACGCTACAAATTTCCTCACCATGCATCGTTAATTACGAGAGGAAACGCAAACAAAAAACACTGGAGTCGTCCGCCTTTTATCTTACTCGTCATTTTCTCACGATTCTCTCATAAAAGTTTTTCTTTACTTCACGGATATGATTTCCTATAAGGTTTACAACTGTTATGGTTCCCTCAACTAGGTAGTTTACACAAGCTACTTTTATATGTATTTACATCTGTAACATCACTGAAAACCATGCCCTGTGCACAGTTGCTCCATAATCTTCTTAAAAGCAACAAGTTCATTTAAGGTGTGAAAAACATTGCTGAATAAATTTTACTTTTCCAACAACAAACGAAACAAGGTAAACTAAGAATGAAAATAATATTGACTTTTCTAATCGTCATGGGAGTCCTTGCTGTTGCCCATGGTAAGTTTTTGCACTAAAACTCAAATATTGGTTTCATTTCATCAATAGTAACTAGATATTTAAAAGCCATCAAATTTTGCAGGGGTTTATCTTCAAGCATGCGACAAATCGTGTAAGGATCCCAACAACCGGTTCAACGAGGCTGTCCGAGAATGCTGTCGAGACAAAGGATATCGCACAAATGGGTGGTATGTATTTATTGTCTTTAATATGGATATTAATTAAATTTAAAAATAATTAGTGGTTAAATTTAAGGTGTCGTCCAGGAGATTACTCGTGGTGTCTGTACTAAAGGGGGGGTCATGCACATATTGAAACATTATTAACATATTTTTTGTCGATGTCATGAAGTGTTTTAGATGCACTTAATAAATCAAATGTTTTAGATGGATCATTTCTTAATTGTGTAAACTGGCACGTTTTTCTAATTACTTGGTTCCTAAATATTTTAAGGCAGAATGCACGGAATTTATTCGCAATGTGATCATTACTGACATTATCCTACATAAATATATACAAAGCTGAAATGAACAAAATAAACTCATGGTTTGGTAAGTACTTTTATTCAAGAGCATACACATAAATACATAGGCTTGGACAAACGACAAATCAGGATCTTAATTAACTTTGATGCTAGGTTTATTCAAATACCTAGATTTGTACATCAATTTGTTTTCATGTACACGACGTGTGTACAAAATTGGTTGTTTTCTCTCTCACATAATAATTATGAGATGCACGCGAAAGATAACTTATTTTCAAACTTTCTCCATTACATTGAATGACGTGTGTGAAGCACAACTTTATTTCAATAAACGCCATAGATTCGCAATACCTTGAGCTCAATTTTGTATCTACAAAACATATTTTACTTTGCTTTCTAGTCATGCACCTTATCAGACTCGGCTTTACAAATGATATACATTTCATCTCACATATGGCAAGAAAAGTTGAGAGTCACGTCCAGTGTCCACACGGATAATGAGACCCACATGTCCTCCACAAAGCCCCTTTAGCATTTTCCAGACAATGCCTTCACTCCACTCCCGGCACCACAATTTGTCGACACAAGTCACCAAAAAAGACAAACTTTCTCCCTACTTGTGCCCACATTCCGGTCAGTCGGGCACATTAGTATGACCATCATGATCCAAGTATCTCACTCAGCACAAGCAGGCTGTGAAATGATTATTGTTTTCCCGACCCCAACTCCTGCCCGACTTTCTCTTCTCGAAACATTTTCACGTCGCATGCTTTCCCTCTGTGTGCTTAGGATGCGAAGGGAGAAAGTAGTCTGACGAGTCATCACGCCATTAGTTGTCTGGTTGGATGATGGCATGGCATGGCTTCCCAACCTCTGCTGACTAGTTGTAGTCCTGCAGGAAGAACACATGATGCTCAGGAAACCCTAAAATTAATTAAGTTTCTCATTTAATTGGACAAAGTGAACGTATCGATTCGAAATTCAGCAGTATTTGTAAAATTTACTTTGAAAAGGCTGAATTAGCATAATTAAGTTATTTTAAAGAATTACCCGTCGGAATCTCGTACTCATGGCGAAGTAGATGAACGGGTTGATGCAGGAGTTGGCAAAGGCGAAAAGGTTGATGAGCAGCATGGTGAAAAAGTATTGCCCACCGTGGAGAAAGTTCTCCGACTGCAGTTGGGTCACCAGGGTCACGGAGAAATAAGGCGACCAACATAGGAGAAAAGAAAGTACGATGACAAGCACCATTTTGGCAACCTTTAAAGTTAAAATGTTTGCTAATTTTAAGAATCGATACACGCTAAATAATAATTGGTCAAATTAGTTAATAACTTTAATTTGAATTTGCTTACCTTTCTCCGCCCTTGTTCCAAATGGATTGATCTCGAATCTCGACTTTGCTGGGCAGGAATCTCTTTAAACAATTCTCTCGCGATGGAGAAGCACGTCGTTGTGATGAATCCCAAGGGAAGAAAAAACACGAGGAGGAAGAGGGTCAGGAAATACACGAACCGAAATGTATCAGAAAATCTGAAATAAGTTTCCAGATTTAATATCATAGAATTAAAATCGTTTTTATTTTGTATCGAATGTGGTACATAGATACTTATTCATTTTATTTTTGGATGTCAAAATGCATGTGCATAGAAGAGTGGATTATGTAAGTATGTATGCAAATAACGTTACGCAAGTTTATAAAAGATATACCAAAGTGTACAAGTGAGTGGCTGAACATAAGTAAATAGACATAGAATCTCTTCAGAAGCCTGACTTATGCATGTATGTATTTCACAATAAATGTGAAAGTGGTAAGTAGGGGAAAGTATGGAGTGGAATGGTGTTTGGTTTGTTTAACACTTGAAAAGTGAAAGTCGTCCAGGGTTGTTGGGCATGTAGATTTTCACTAAAGTTTCCCCATCATATTGTCCAGTTGAACCTTGCATTTTCAATCATTTTGTAATACACTGCGCGCATTGGGGGCGGAAGCAGGGGGATATTGCCCCCCCAGACATTTAGAAAAATCGCATCTTGCCATGTTAATTTAATAAGTCCCTCCTCGTCCAATCCCACAATGCTAATGTTCCCATACATATGTCCCCCAACTTCCGCCGCCACTGACTACAAGAAATTGTGTTCCACGACTGTTGCGACAAACTAAGCGTTCACGAGGCGTGTTTAAATACGTGCATTTACATAGCTGATATTCATAATTATTGTTTACAAAGAAATGAATGATGTGACAGGCGGAAAAACGGTTGCAAGGAAGTTGCTGCACGTATGTATGACACTGCTTTTCATCTCAAACTTAATTAAACATCTTGTCTCTTTGCCAGCAACTCGTTACGTGTTTCTCTGAAGGTGCCTGTCTTAACGAACGCCATCAGGTTGCATTGTTGCAAATGTTTCTTGTATTTACATAAGATTTTGAACTCGTCTGAACTTTGTCGCCTCGTTGGGTGGAAGTAACAGTGAAGGACTCTGTCTTCTAATCAGACCCAGACGTGATGAAAATTAGACTACTGAAAGTGTCTGCTAAACATAGCGTGTTACGTTTTACTGCAAAACTATGAGGCTGTTGTTTGCAAATTTAAATTAGAGCAAATTACCGTGTATTGACAAACTATATTATTTAATACTTATCTGTACAACGGCAAAAGGCAATGCTGGAACACTTCCTTTAAAGATTTGTAAAATTTTGATGTCACATCACATGCAGCAGACAAAATTAGTCTCAAAGAGCTTAAAATCTGACAATTTAGAAAAATGTCAATTCTACATATTAGGCAAGAAGTATTGCAGATGCGTTATTAAAATCTTACAATGTTGAAGCAAAAATCGCTAAAATTGTGGAAAACATATAACTGCTACAGTGCTACGCACATCTATTTACTTATGTAATCCTGTTATATAATGCGACTTTAAAAACCAAACTACGTACGTAACAAATAAGCTCGTGACATTTCAGTAGTACAGATTACACACGTACGAAATTACTTTCTCCATCTGGTCAATACGTATCAACTTCGGGTTTAATTAAAACCCCAAAACAAAATAAACCGTCGCAAACGCGCATACGGAAGTAGCTTCAGACTACTTCACTCCAAGCACTCCCACGACATCGCGGGAACACTTGATTTTACTGTATTTCATCTATACATTCAATTTTTTCAAAAATCTCATTTTGCCCCGACCACACCCCCTAGTGACGAGGGGGTGTGGCACAACTCTGGAGCACTTTATTCTACTGTATTTCATCTATGCATTCAATTTTTTCAAAAATCTCATTTTGCCCCGACCACACCCCCTGGCGCCCGGGGGGTGTGGCACAACGGGGGAACTCAAAATTTCACTCCATTTCATCCATAGATTCAATTGCACTAAAAATCTCATTTTGCCCCGACCACACCCCCTGGCGACCGGGGGTGTGGTCCGGTTGCACCCAAAAGTTGATAGGATCCTCCCCCTGGGGTATTATGTATGATGGCGAAAACCGATTTCGATTATCTTTATCCGTTCTCCCGTTATCCTGCTGACAGACAGGCGGACAGACAGACAGACAGACAGACAGACAAAGTCTTCACATAAAGTAGCTGAAGCTACTTAATAACCGAACTCCCCTCCAAACTTACTACGTGCCAAGTTTCAAACCAAAATTGTAGACGACAGCCAAATTTGTGCACCCCTTTAATCCTTTTAAATTGGAGATTTCACCGACACTGCAACATTTATGGTCCATCCCCTTCACTGATATATACCTAAGATGAAGGGCAGAGTCTTGCACTTCATCTCCAATAAAGTATGTCACATCAGTCAGCACTTCCTCACTTGTTCATAATCACAGGGAGAGGAACCTGCCCCCATATACCTTGCATTAACTTTGAATAAGATATCATCAAAGCGATGTGACATGTCTCACGTAATTGGCAAATGCAACATCAAAGGGAGCATAAAAGAGGAGACCTTGACGAAATTGCGAAAATTAAGTAGTCTCGATCTAATCATAAGATTCGAGCAAATCAAATGTGAAGTACGACCTGCATACGTATCTACATATATTTTAGTGCATATGTATATACGTACATATATATTATCTCTCCTTTCTTTCTCAGATCACGCATGAGACTTCAATTGTGTAAAGGAGAGCAACATAACAAATATGTAGTGGAAAGTAATATGTATGTCTGCCTGCATCTAAATCCTCACAATGCTAACTAAAATAAGTAAATATGTAAGCAAATATTCTATGACAATTCCTCCCCGCATCCATAACCACGAGATTAAATAAATGAACAAGAATTACCCTACCCGTCGAAGCAAGTGACACGGGTGAATTCTCCGAAATCCGAGTAAAGGGAGTGAAACACGGCGGTGGCAGGGTACAAATTTGGCGACGAAAGTAGAATCGAAACTATCCACACAAGTGTCAAAACACGACGGATTCTGCAATTTGTCATGTTAATCCTTGACTGAACTGGGTTCACGATGGCATTGTATCTGAAATGGATTAGTCGTTCACAATTTAGATACTTGACTGTCAGAATTCTGAGAGAATTAATTTTATCATTTCATAAGACGCAGGAGAATATGTAATATGGACAATGACGTGGTGGCTTTTAAATTCAAATTTCCAATTTGGAAATTATTCAAATGCTTGTCAGCTGAAAAACTCGATGACATTTTACATGAATTCCATAACGAAACTTTCTCCGCTTCCTGTTATTAGTAAGTAGGTGAAACTATTCCCAGTTTCCCTCTCACATATGTACATAGCTGTACACACATAGTTAAAACTTTTAGGTGTCGGAGAAAAGTTTAGGAATTTATAAATAGTTACTTACTACATTTCATACCCGGATTCTTCCAATTTGTTAATTAGACTTGCATATTTCTCCATGAATTTCCGCATAGCATAAAAACTTTGTGTAACTCACCTTTCAAAGCAGATTCCCACCAGGGTAAAAACACACGCGAAAACTACGATTGATTCCAAGAAGCGGATGATTGTGCATAACGAATCCGACATCACGTTGAGCTCTGCATCCGCCGTCAGTTCGAATAACTGTAGATTTGAAGCAGATATGGTTACCATATTTTATGCAAATTATGAGAAACCCGCAAAAAAATATGCAATCTATATTATAAGCGAGAATGTCTGTTGGCAACGGAAGTGAAAGGAATTTGTTCGCAACGGAAGTGAAAGCAGAGAAAGTGGGGTTATCGGGTGGTTATTGCCTGGTGGGGGGTTATCGGAGCTTTGCTGCCTGATGGTGGTTATCGGGGTGTGGCGGCCAGATGGGGGTTATCGAGGCTTTGATGGCTTTGCTGCGTGATGGTGGTTATCGAGGCTTTGCAGCCTGATGGTTACCAAGACTTTGCTGCCTGATGGTGGTTATCGGGGGACGGCGGCCTGATGGTGGTTATCGGCGTGTGGCGGCCTGATGGTGGTTATTGAGGCTTTCCAGCCTGATGGTTATCAATACTTTGCTGCCTGATGGTTATCAATACTTTGCTGCCTGATGGTTATCAATACTTTGCTGCCTGATGGTTATCAATACTTTGCTGCCTGATGGTTATCAATACTTTGCTGCCTGATGGTTATCAATACTTTGCTGCCTGATGGTTATCAATACTTTGCTGCCTGATGGTTATCAATACTTTGCTGCCTGATGGTTATCAATACTTTGCTGCCTGATGGTGGTTATCGGTGTGTGGAGGCCTAATAGTGGTTATCGAGGCTTTGCTGCCTGATGGTGGTTATCGAAGCTTTGCTATCCGATAATGGTTATCGAGGGTTTGCTGCCTGATGGTGGTTACCGAGACTTGGCTGAATGTTAGAGCTTATCGGGTGTGGAGGCCTAATAGTATCTAACTCCATTCTGCTTCTGCAGACCAGCTTAGACTTTATTATTGCCACTGTCACAAAGTGTGGCAGTCGACCTGGGTCTGCCAGTAAAGATTGCCATTGGGACTGCCATTGCCACTGGCAAAAAGTGTGGCAGGAGACCTGGGTCTGCCAGTAAAGATTGCCATTGGGACTGCCATTGCCACTGGCAAAAAGTGTGGCAGGAGACCTGGGTCTGCCAGTAAAGATTGCCACTGGCACTGCCATTGCCACTGGCAAAAAGTGTGGCAGGAGACCTGGGTCTGCCAGTAAAGATTGCATTGCCACTGGCACTGCCATTGCCACTGGCAAAAACTGTGGCAGTCGACCTGTGTGATCTGCCAACAAAGATTGCCAGGGGCACTGCCATTGCCACTGGCAAAAACTGTGGCAGTCGACCTGGGTCTGCCAGCAAAGATTGCCAGGGGCACTACCATTGCCACTGGCAAAAAGTTTGGTACTCTGCCTCATAGCTTCCAATAAATTTGTCCATGGTACATGCTCCATCTAAAAAATGATCGACGTCGTCTGATGAAGCAAGTGAGGCTGTGTCAATGCAGGTACTAAATAGTATGGCAGACCTGCCAATTCACAATTCACTGCCAATCATAAATAGAAATGCCGGAGGCAGCTTGGATTTCAGATCAATTTAGCCAGGTGGGTGCCAGTTTCAAAACAATGCCAATGGCGATGTGCCAGTAGCAGTTTGGACTGGCAGAAATGAGTGAGACAAGTGGGTCGCCAAACTGAATGTGACAAATAGCAATTAAGGCATGAGAATTGTTAATTGAGATTATTATTTTTTCTTTCGTCAACTTTCCACTGTCCATTCGTAACAAATTCGTTTCACTTCCGTCGGCATGGAGTTTCAGCTAATAATAGTGTACAAAACATTTAATTGGGTGGAATTTTAAAACCTAAATCCAATCTCGCCCGGCGGGAGACGGGCTTATACGCTACTATGCAATATGCACCAATGTACGTCAATGTCACGTAAAATATAAAAAGCCCTCAAAATTCGTACATATGGAGAAAGCTTTCACTTGCCTTCACCGGCAGGACGACCGCACCCACCAGAAAATCGCACACGCTCAAATTGACAATGTAGTAGTTGACTGGAGTGTGCATCGCCTTGTTCTTGTAGACAGTGAGACAGACGAACAGGTTTCCTATGATGGCGATAAGGCAAACGGCGGCGAACGAAATGATGAAAGTTGCCCGCACAGCGTGAATCTACAACAAAGGAATGATCCACTTCAAAAGCGAGGAACCTTTTCGCGTACATTGGATTGCTCATCTTTTAGTTATTTGAATCGTATCCCAGGAAATTTTTCGTATTGCAGAGCGATATGAACTTCCCGAGAAAAAATGGGATGATACACATGTCATTTGTTAAAAGAAATATGTCATGAATCTTTCATATCGCATTAGACTGTAAAAGACGGTTCATTCATTTGGAATTTGGCCAAATTTTTCACAAACGGAAAGACCGAATAACTTTATATTTTACTTGTCTCATTGTGCTTAAACAGTATTCAAAAGTTGTGTAGTTCTGTCTGTGATTTCAAAGTGGATATGCGTATATACTTAGAAAATAGTCTACAGTCTCTCAATCCAAGATTGAAGGAGGTATCAGCCTACATAAACTTTTAGAGGAATTTGTTCATTAAAAACTTTACCTGCGTAAAATCCGGGTATTCAATCCCGATCCCTTCAGAATTCGTGGCATTCTTCAGAGTCAAGAATGCCTCGAGAAAGTTCAAATAATCCTCACTGTCGTTGAAATTGTGGTGCAGTGTGGTTCTCATATAGTCACTAAACCAATTATCCTGTGAAATGTGCCCACTTTGCTGAAACCTCTCGGAAATATAATCTGTGTGGAGATGTCGAAAAACGGGAGGTTGAGGCACATCATCAGATTTCAATGGAAGGGTTGCAGAATCAACCATTTTTTGTCAATCTTCAAAGCATTAACAATCCGCAAACATAGTGTTTGTACATCCTTAAAATTTATTCGATTTTCCAAACTGTCTAGAATTCCCTCGTGTCTTAGATTACGCGAACTGGAACATGTCTGTACAAACAATCCTGTTCTTAATGTGGCCAAAATTTAAAAAAAGAACATAAGTCACGAAATATGTTGGTAACAAAAATTTTCAACGAGTATACACTTTTGACTTTAAACTGTACATGTAACGGCTACGATTTTATATGGAAAAGCAAACCAGATTTCGATTAAAGATTTTGACCAACGTCAATGTCTTTTTTTTGTACCAATGCTTTCCCCTAGTGCTTATTCTTCTTTGGTAATAATCTTTTTAAAAGACTTATTTTAATTGAAGCGGTATATCCTTTTATAACTTTACTTTAACTTTACAAGATTTTAGTTTCAATTTAGAAATTAACTTTCAAACTTTCAACTTTCTTGACTGATAGTATTTTGAAATAAGAATGGATGAATGCGTTTATTGACGGGAACACTTTTCCTGCATCTTCTCTCAACCAGTGTTGAAGGGAAACTGAGACAAAGACGGAGAAAGTCGGAGAAAGTGAATGAATTTCTGTTTGCCAGATCTGCACGTCCTTTCCGGAGGCAGCATCTCATCGTCCCACATACATTTTCAGCCCACCCTGCTCATCAAGCCCGTTCATCCGTGGGTTAATCTTTCTCCAAGCCGATGAGTGGTCTCGACATTATTGTGCACTACGAACACACATACTTCGACATATGTGTGTTTGTGTGGGCCAAAATGCGCTTTACATTTCGCCAGAACACATACAATTTCCATCTTAAATTCCATTACATTATATTTGAAATAAGATTATACAAAAATGTACATGCATATTTATCCACTCACTTGAGATAACAAAAGTAAAAGCATCCACCGCAAATGTCAGGAATCTAGAGTGTAATGACATTTTCAGAATAATGTAGAGATTAGATTCAGATTTAGAAAAGTTAAACCAGCCAACATTTTTTGCAAATAAAAGTGAATTAAATTTGCTCCGACATGCTGAATGATACATGAATACGTATGTTACGAACTCTTACCTGATTTATGCATACTGTGTGTAGTGTATCATTTCGTGGTAGAAATACATAGGAACACAATCACTTTGTCACTTGAATAAAGATTATTGTTATGAAATGGTCGAAATGTGTGAGCTTAGCGGAGTGAACGCGACCTTGTTTTTCAAAGGGCAAGAAGATCTGTCGAAATTTATGGGATCAGACAAATTGCACAAAGGAAGCGAAATAATAATACAAAGTGTAATCTCCGTTCCTTGGAATTGAATCGATCAAAGGTTAATCTCATCCAGACAAACTTCTTGCAGAAATCTACCATCAGGCTGGCTTTGTGCCTTATGTATACAAAGCTTACAACTGCCGGTTGTTTGCTTGACAAAAATATATCATCATTACTTTGTTAAAAAGAAGGAGGGAAAGTCTGCTGGAAATTTATTTTATTTCAGGATCATGATGAATGTAGCAGTACGAAATATTTGCTCAAATTACTCAAACAAAATTTGTAATCAATGTCTTTGAGCATTATACTTGTTTGTGTGTTCAGTTTGATTCGTATGTATAAATATATATTTATACCAAATATAATTGGTACATACGAATCAAATCAGTATATACTGATTATATATGAAAGCTTTTATGATACAGACAGAGTACAAATCAAAATTGCATTCGGACATATATGTGGAGATGTGCCTAAATGCATATTCAACGACGCTATGTAATTTGATAATGACCTCAAGATCACCAAGAAAGTTTCACATATGTATTTGTCATTTTGCACGTTAATAAGGTCTCTCTCATCCAAATTAGGCATAAGAGAAACCAGATACTTCACGGAAAAACTAAAGAAATATTAGAATATTCGTCTTGCATCCTCTTGCATTTAGAAAGCAGTTTGTCAAATAATTTTGCTAAATATGATCATGCCCATTTGCTGGTTATATTTGTGGACGAAAATCTAATCTATTTGTGGACGAAAAACATTCTATACTTGTCTCAAATTTAGCATAGCGTTGCAATTTAGACCTATATTGACATGTTCAACTTGAGGAACAGAGGAGCTACGCCATTGTTGTCGTGCTTACGCCCATCGACAATCAAAATACAAAATTTAAAAAAAAATTGACAATTTATGTGGGCAATTTACTTGCATACGTAGGTATGTACACCTAAAAATTGCAACTCATGAGTCCGTGATAACAAATTTATTTCATTCCTTAAACCGGTGGTAAGTTTTCCTTGTGCATGCAATTACTAAATTTTGACATTCATTATTTGCATTTACACCATGTGCCATTTCTCACTTTGTAATATACATTCACAGTAAAATACATATTAAAATACATATAATTATTTATATGCAATAATGCAATAATCTACTTTCTAAAAATATCATGTGCGTGTTGTCATTATATAAATTTTGAATTAATTTGCAAAATTCAGAACAATCAATTACTTACTGGGCTTTCTTTGTATCCTAAAAGTTATTCAACACGGAAATATTACTTTACATATTCATACATGGCATTTTGTATTAAAGAATGAACTTGTGCAATTCCATGTACACAAGTTATGTATTCCGTAATTGAACAATGGACAATTTTGTGAGCGATAACATGTAAGACGTCCTTCACGGACAATGCCCTGCTTCAAGTACATACATATAATCTAGTTCTACTTTGGACCCAATAATCTGTCTCGTCAATTCAAAAGATTATCGGCATTTATAAAACCACCCCCACCCCCACCCAAATCCACCCCCACCCCCACCCCCATCCACCGCCACCCTCATCCACCCCCACCCCCACCCCCATCCACCCCCACAATTTTTATGGGGCAACGTGAGATACCTTGGGGCAAAGTGAGATTCTATTTCATATTCGGATATCGTTCGTAATTAGCGAGCGAAGCGAGCAGATTAGGTTAGATCAACTAGGTACGCGAAAAGCCTGGAAGGCTGAGCTAGCAAATCTAGCTAGCTAGGCTAGATAGAACCTAGGTAGCTAGGGTAGCTAGATAGAACCTAGGTAGCTAGGCTAGATAGAACCTAGGTAGCTAGGGTAGCTAACCTAGCTAGCTAGGCTAGATAGAACCTAGGTAGCACTTCTAGCTAGCTAACCTAGGTAGCCTTGCTAGCTAGCAGAGCTACCTAGGTTAGCTAGCTAGAATTTCTACCTAGGTTCTATCTAGCCTAGCTACCTAGGTTCTATCTAGCCTAGCTACCTAGGTTCTATCTAGCCTAGCTACCTAGGTTCTATCTAGCCTAGCTACCTAGGTTCTATCTAGCCTAGCTACCTAGGTTAGCTACCCTAGCTACCTAGGTTCTATCTAGCCTAGCTACCTAGGTTCTATCTAGCTACCCTAGCTACCTAGGTTCTATCTGGGGGTGGGGGTGGGGGTGGGGGTGGATTTGGGTGGGGGTGGGGGTGGTTTTATAAATGCCGAAGATTATCCAACATATGCACAAATTGATTGTACTTTCCGTCTACGCGTGTATACTCGAAATTACAACCATCTTAAACGAATGAGGTCCTTGAAGTAGGTACAATTGACTGTAGTACATAGTAAATATGTAACAGAATTTTACGGAAGTGTGTACGGTCACAAGTGGATTAAGAAATTTTGTTACCGTTCTTCACCCTGTGCATCTGCTGCCTAAAACAATTGCGCAATGTTGAAAATTACCCCACTAATTTGTATCTGCTTAAGTTTGAAATTTAAGTGGACACACGAGGCCACACTAAGCAGAAACTTGGGACAATTACAAAAAGTGCTGCCACCCATTAGCACCATTGAAGTTGTATTAAATTTTACCCTCTTACATGATGAGTTTAATATCAACGATATTGTAAACTGGAAGTACGACTATACTCCTTGCGTCAAATTAACTACAAGGAACAGCGACACCAACAACGAATCCCCCCTGAGACGGAGACACGTACAGAAGTTGTTTAACATACACACAAAACTGATACTAATATCCCCAACTTTCAAGAATTATTTTCTGCAATACTTGTCAACTAATGAGCTACACATTTCCCAAGACATCGTCTTAATTTTATCGCACAGTGACATAAATTTCTCACATCCGTTTAACGCAGAAATGCCAAATTTCATACCCAGATTCGCATTCTTACTCAACATTAAAACCAATTTATTGCACGTGTTACTCCCGTACAAATCCGTGACCCTCGTCGACGCTAAGAAAAACATGCCAACTGGCATTAAATTGAAATGGGCCAAGTTTGACGTTACGAATTTTGACTTGAACATTGACAAACGCATGAAAAACTTTGCCCGATCATGTTTATCTCTGCGTGGCGTTCATTTGCCTATTAGTAGCGATAAGAAACCTCTTTGCCAAGATAGCAAATATCTAACCCCGTGGAAAATTCGGACCGATGTTCTCCTTGTCTGTGAATTTATAAATCGATTAAATCTGTCAGGTTATATTTTCTCCTCGTACAAAACATCCTCCTTTAATTTTGACGAGTTGTCGAAAACTTTCACCCCCTCGGACCTATTTCCGACCGGTAACACAAAAGAGATAGGTTTTCTCATCCCGGTAGACAGACAGGGATTGGACTTTCGCGGTATTCTGGGCCCCATCGGGGTCAAGGTTTTGATTTGGACGTTATCCTTTGCAATCGGACTCACAATATTTCTCTACCAAATTGTACAAGCTGCAGTACAAATGAGAACTTGCGGTAAACTGATATCTTTCTACACCTCGGTGGAACTAGTGATTCGACCCTTGTTAGACCAGTGTCTGGAACGCCTGCCATTAAACGAGGAATTTTTCCGTTACGCCTTATCCCCATGGTTGTTTTACTCCTTGATTATATCGGAAATGTATCGCGGTGAGTTGGTCAGCTATTTGGTCAGGCCGCCGGATGTGGGTGCGCCAACGACCTTCCGGTAAATATGTGAAAATGCAATGCAATTTCATAAGTAAATACGACTGTTTGTTTAAAAAATAGATAAAAGTCCTTAAATTTTCTAAATGAAAAATTTTTTTTGATACCATATACCTAGTCGGGTACGAAGTTCTTTGATAAACATTTTTTACTGCAGAAAAATAACGGGTAAGAATGTTTAATCAAAATTTCCCATATGGATGCATAATATAACTGTGTATAATATAAAAATACTAAGTTTCCAAATTTCCTCTACTGGAGTACACACGCTTGAGAAATCTGATGGACGGCCGGTCGCTTGGAGAACGCACGGTTTTTACCGGAAAATGGTCACAAGCGTTGAGAAACAAAATTTGAGAACTTCTGCATCAGTGGAAGTTTTAGACCAGGCAATGGTCTCAATTTTAAGCCGCAAGTCATAATCCAGATGATTAAGGTCTTCTATTATCAATGGAATTTTTGTGACCAAATTAAATCGATGAAATGAGCTCATAGTCAATTTTGGACAATTTTTGCACCATATGGCTGAGTCGTGACCTTTTAAGAAATTCAGTTTCTATTTTTCAATAGGCCGGACTCCAAAGGTTTTACACTAAGTTTGGCAACTTTGGTAATGTAATTCTTGGCTTGCACTGTAACCGTTTCTGGAGAAAAGCAGGGTTTCGCTTTCTCCAGCAGATTAATTCAAATCCAAACCATCACAGACTTAGGGGGATGAGATCTTCGACGTTTTCTATTTGCCAGGGGTACGTATGATTTTTGCTTAGTGCAAATTCTTTAATTTTCCTTGTTGAATTTACGAAAGGCTTGGGATTAGTTTCCACAGGAACGTGTGCGTAATCCGAGCGATCAGTTTACCATCAGATTTTGTAAGTGTGTGTACTCCAGGAGAGGAAATTTGGAAACTTAGTATTTTTATATTATACACAGGTATATTATGCATCCATATGGAAAATTTTGGTTAAAAATTCTTATCCGTTATTTTCCTGCAGTAAAAAATGTTTATCAAAGAACTTCGTACCCGACTAGGTAAACAAGCTGCCAGATAACCTCTCAGATTTTTTTGTCACAATTTCTTTGAACGAACAGTAGCAAACATTATTGTACTTATTTTCAAGAAGATAATTTACTCTTACAGGGAACTTGGATTCTCTAATTACCCAGTTATGACTCTCGGTCAAGCTTTTCCCTCTTCCATGACCGCTCAAGTACCACTCCATCTTGTGATAAATTCTAAGAGTAACTGCTCCTTTAAAATCTACGGGCCTATGACCCCCACCTATTTCGCTCTTGTCAAAGAAGCTCAACACACTGGCAACAAAGTATTAGCCAAAATTGTTTCTAAGCTTGAAGCTTGTCACGGGGTCAATATCGTTCAAAATTTGGCCGTCCGACTTCAACGACTCGCCTTCACTGGCACGGTCCTCGTCACGGAAGCAGCTGGGTTGAAAGCGATCAAAAGCGTCGTCTCGCTGGCCGCTCCGCAAAAAGACTTTAAAATTTCGAAGGAAACTTTAGTGAATCCGATTTACATCGGGGTGGCAAACGATCTCTTTAAACCGGAGTTGTGGGATATTTTGAGCCATTGGAGGGACACTGGTCTTTTCCAGTATTGCCACAAGACAGATTGGGAAGTCAGGTTTATCCGCTTCTGGAGCTCTTTTTCTGTAAAACCTAGCGGTATGGTATCAGACGTGGTGAATGAGTTGAGGGAGTTGGGCGTCCATCTCGATATTGGACGACGAGGTGGGAACGGTGCTATAAAATTGAATATAAATCATGTTGCGACAATGTTGTCGGGTTGCTTGATTTTGGAGTTTGTGTCGATTTTAGTATGGGTGAGTGAAATAATTGCTAGTCAAGTGGAGAAAAGTGGGAATACCGTGAAAAAATATAGGGTAGAGTTGTTAGAGCTACAAATATCGAACTCATGATGTTATCCATACATGAAGTTGTTTAGTGTCGTCTCGTATGTGTGACATAAGGGAAAGCATAAGTTCACTTGAAGTTTCAACTTAGAAATATATTTCCCAAGAACAATGGGCCTACTCACGACATTATTTCACACTGTAACTTGTTTAACAAATACAGTTTGCGAACAAAACCCCATGCTGTCAAAATGTTTTGTAAAATCTCAATTTAAATTTCAAATCCTAATTTCCTAATCCTAAGTTAAGTTACGTTGATACTCTGAATATGTGAGATTTACCAGGATTATCGTGCATGTCAAATCATCAGCCGAGTCATCAAAGCAATTTTGTTGTACAATTATATAATTGTTCTGTTTATTAAAATTGTTCTCCAATAACGTAAGTACAGTCAACTTTAATTCTTTAAAATACGGTATGCGAAATGTTTACCCCTCTGCTGGGGGAAGTGGTACAGAATCTGCTTCCTGTTTCTCGAGGGCTTCCAACTCCTCGTCCGACAATTCCCCTTTTCCAACACCAATCAAAAAGTAGGTCAACAAGTCGCCCTTGCCTTTCACGGACACGTATCCTCGTAGTTCAAATTCGTACCCGTACATTCTCAGAATTTTGTAACATTCTTCAGTCACCTACTCGGTTTAATAAAAAAATCCAGTTTTCTTCATAGAGTGACATGTTTAGACCTGAATTTGCAACAAAAATTCCAGAAATGCGTACCTGCATTTTGCCAGCTTTTCCTGTGCTTTCCATTCTAGAGGCAACCTGCGATTAGATTAGAGTATTTACACAAACTTTTACCCAAGCTGACAATTTTTGATTACGATGCAATTATAACTCAAACTCTTATTCTTACATTAACGCTATTTCCCCACATGTCATACGCTGGTTTCGTGGCACCAATAACTCCTGCAAAAATAGAACGCCATGCTTAATTGATCATTTATTTATGTCTGGTAGTACACAGATCATAAAATAGAATTACCTGCGGTTACAGGGCCATGATTGACCCCGATTCTCAAAACAAACTGATTGTAGCTTTCTTTATTGATTCGGTCCAGTACATTTTTCATTTCAAATACAAATTCAACAAGTAATGATAAATGACGCCATCGTTCACGAAGTACTTCCCCCGGCTGGACTTGGTTATTTGGATTCAGTCCGCTTGCTACAATTATTAGTATTATTTGTAATTGTGCATCGTTGCATGTACAAAGTTACATAAGCATGCGCTGGTATACACTTTAGTATTTTGCACTAACCTGCCATATATGTTGACCCAATTGTTTTAATTTTAATTATGTTGTCCTTAAATTTAGGATAATCTAATATCTACAAAAGTAAAATAATAATTGTAAGACATAATTTATGCATTCATTTGATATTCATCATTTATGCAAAAGTAAAAGTATTAGCAACTTACGGCATCATAATCTGATATAACTTCATTCAAGAATCGCAAACATTCTAAGCCTTGATTGTTTACAGCGTCTTCCGTATAAAAGTCTGAAAATTATAAGAATAAGACCTGCATTTTTTTGCAAATTGCACCCACAATTTGTACCCTCATTTCAATTACGAATTACCAGAAAAATTAGGCATTGATGCAAACACGACACCAACCTCTTGATAATTATGGCTGTATAGCTGGTCATGATTTTGTGTCTTGTCCAGGAAATGTTCTGTATGTGAAGTCGTTATAAAATGCAGCCCACATTATAGTTTTAGTGCTTGCATATGCAAAGACTTACCTGCGACATGTTGCGGCATAATGTTGCACATCTAGATATACCCACACATTCAAGAATTAGAATAAATTGTACTCTAGTCTCAACATACCAAAGCTTCATTCCTTTCCCTCAGCGCCACTGCCTGCTCCCCGAGACGTCCGACATCATGCTTTTGTAAAAACAACGACCGAGACGACGAGTCCAACTGGAAATATTACAAAACTGGGTCGTTGTACATATGTCTATGTAACACGTAATTTATTGGCATTTTAGTTGGACACGAACTTGTCTATTCAACCAGCACATGAGTGCAAATATCAAGAGGAGGAATATTCCTGCCTGTGCCGACTCCAAAACCAAACTGTGGATCAAAAAACGAATATCGTAATAGTAGAAAAATTATGAAAACTTGATCACAACTTACTCAAATCCGTCTGGAAAGCTAAAGATTTCCGAATACGAGTAGGCTTTGTGAATCGAGCCCAGATTGATTACAGTGATTCCCATCAGCGTAATCAAGGCAGATGCAATTATTTTCAGCCAACTTGCCGTGTTCGACATTATGCTGAGTCCGAAAAGACAGAGGGCCAAGAAGACGGAAAAATATGCTGGGTAAGAGCAACTCAAGTCTGCCCAATGTTTCACCACTTCTTGTCGAGTCGTTAGGGCAGAGGAATTTCTAGATTTAATGCTTCCTGCTTGAAAACATGGGACCTGTGGACTCATCCAATTTTCAGCATGAATTGATTCATGATGATTAGATTACATATTTACAAGTTTGCACATTTTTACCAGGTATGAAAAATTGGTCGCTACTGCGACTATTACACAAACGATAGTGAGCACACTTCTTGCCAGCATTTTGCCCAAAAATGCACTTCGACCCGTCATAATCCATAATCCTATGACCGAGACGGTAATAATGGTCAAACTTGCCGATGTGAAGCCGACGGTTTGGAAGGAAATTATTAATGCGGAGGCTGCCGCTGTGGCTGCCACGATGCAGGTCAAGCCGAAGAAGGATTTTCCATTTGATGGATCTTCCACCTTGGCGTATGCTTTCTCTTTGTCGGTATCTTTGAATTGGAGCGTTACCTTGTTCACGGATTTAGCAAAATTTCTGAAAAAATTAGCGAAAATACAAGTATTCTGCGAACTAACTAGTTTAGTTTTATGTACACGCGTGTAATTGTTATTACTTTTGCTGTAAGCTAAGGTGAGCCTCCAATCGTTCCCCGTACGAGTTATCGTTCCCTTGTCCTTTCTTTGTCTTCTTTTCTTCGACTGAATCATCAACAAACTCGAGTTCGATAAAGAAAAAATTGCATTTATTTCAGATTGATGATAAGTACGTAAATAAGTACAACCATAATTTCATATTTACACTTACTGGGACTAAAACTTTGGTTATAAAAAATGTCTTGATGCCGGCCATTCTCAATTTCTCCTCTTGAGCATCACCATCCCCAGGTTCCACTTCAAACTGACCGTTCAGAAATTCCAATGTTTTATTGGAAATGTGAACCCGGCTGTTGAAAATAATGGAATCAATTTTACCATAACGTGATAAGTATGATTAAACATTAATAATTACCCTGGTCTTCCACTGCTTTCCATCTTGTTAGCCAATGTCACATCCTCTGAATAGACGTCAAATTGCCTATTTTTTGTAATTGCACATCATTACTTTCAGATATTATTGTGTATTTAAATTCGTGAGTTAGTTACCACTGACGCTGCCCCAGGACGCCAGCCAAAACGGCCCCAGTGTGAATTCCGACCTTGCGTATGTGATGAATTTAAAAATCCATTAATTATATTTTTCTTTAACGGTATGTCCCACTGAAATTTAAGCTTACTCGCATGTCCACATTTGAATTTGTTCGTTTTTGAAAAACTCTGCAAAATTTAAGTTGAAATGTAAAATGTAAAGAGTCCGAATTAAGCAAAAGCTAAATAATGTGCAAACTTTACTTAATAGCTTCGACAACTGCGAGACCCATGTGAACACATAGCACTGCATGCTCCGGATTATCCTCCGGAGCTCCGCATATACTGCAAGATATTTAAATTCAGCAAAGCGTGTATAATTATTCCTACGTACATATTTATTTAAATGTGTAAGTAATCGAACCAGTAGTAACAATCTCCCAAAATTTTAATCCGGACTTGCTTATGTTTCTGTGCATGTAAATCACAGGTAATTAGATAATTAGTAATCCTAGACACAAATTGAATATTTATATACAAAGATTTGCAACCTCGGATAGACTGTCAAATGTTGTAAATAAATCGTTCAGAATCTCCACAAGTTTAGACGCAGATCCGATCGCTGCTGACATTGACGTGAATCCTACGCAATACCAAATTTGTGCAACATTAGAGCTTACAATTGGCCTTAAAATCATTTTTACTCATTACCTACGATATCTGCAAACAAGATTGACACGGGTTCGTGACGATTCATGTAAATTTTCTTAAATCCCCCACCCCCGCCGCCTCCACCATCTTGATCTCCACCCCCAGACGCTTCCATGTCCTTGGCCATTCTATTAGCCAAATGTTCAAATTGTAATTCATTAGCATTATTGTTGATTTTTTACTTACCTGTCAGCCAAATGTCGTGGCAGGACAGAAAATAAAAGTCTTTTCTATTGTAAAAACAATATCATGTGGATAATTTCTTAAATTTAATACACGTGAAAAGTTTTGCATAATATTTTTACTTGTTCTTTTGTCGCCTCTTCCATCGCATCTTTGACTTCGAGGGACTGACGCGTGTCTAAAAATGCCAACCTCTGTCTCGTATCGTTAAAGTGAAATGCCATAATTCCCAGCAGATTACTCGCTCCGAGAAGAATGACATTGGCTAAAAGCTGGTTATGCAAATTATCAGAAATTTGCTAAATAGTAATTAGCATTACTTTTTTCAGCATTATTTACCTGGTTGACCAACATGGGTTGTTTGCTCCCCTTCCAGGCGACCAGCACGGTGTGACAAATTCCAATGCTACCAGAGTACAGAGCCGCCACAGGCATTTTGACCGGAAGTGTGACCCAAATTAGAAAAGACTCCAACATGACCCAACCTAGGCCTACGCGGAGGGGAAAGTTATCGCTCCGAACTGATATCGGAACCTTATCCAAGAATTTTATGCTTTAAGTCATACCATTTTTGTTACTAAAATTTTTAGTTAATAAAATTTCACCAGAATCATGGCCGTCCAAATTAGCACCACCACCGGAGGACATATAGGAGAACTGATCAGCTTTTTATTTTGCAGCAAAAGAACAACTACAAGAACGCCAAGACTGCACATTCCCATCACGACGGCTACAAAGAGTGAGTGCTGACTGTCATCTTTCTCCTTGTTATCCGCCCCTATAGAAATTATAAAAATTATTACTGATGCATTTATGTAAATAATTAAGTAGGGCCAAATGAGACCTATGAGACGTTGCGATTCTGCATGAAAACTTGTATCCGTCCACCACAAGAGATGAGTAAGGATTTGAAAAAATGCGCAGATTCCCATGCCAATTGGAAAGCAGTGAAATCCACTTCTTTTCTCGGAGATCAAGTGGTTCGAGTACGATTCTTCTACGGCAGCATTGCTGAATTTTCTAACAATTTTTAAACTTTTAGAGCTATGCATGACCGGACGTTATCGCTTTTCAGCATGAGCCCACTCCAAGTCCAGGAGGCTATTAATCACGTCAGGGGAAAAGTTCGATGCACGACAGCTATGGATAACTTTCTTTGGGGGAAAGCATGACTTTCTGGAGACGGGACAAATTAGGTTAACTTAATTATTTGAATTAGTCACATGATTATTATTTTAAGAAGCATACATCAGTACATATTTATTAAATATCTATCATGTGCATAGATACATGTACTTATTTGTACGTACATATGCACCCACATACATACATAAATATCATACAAATATATGTAGATGCATATCATTTATGTTTCCTTCTAAGGTATGGATTTAAGGTATGGTAATCTATAGTATGGAACTGCTCAAAGTCTAAATTTTAAGTCTGACAAGTAGACGAAATAAAACTGATTGATTGGTTACAGATTTTGAAAGGACTGTATGCATAAGCAGTAGCCGGGTCATAAATAGATTTAACCTTACGATATACTCGTACATTACGCATTTTGTATTATTATGAGGCACATAAATTTATGTACTGCTCTGGGAAGAGTGAAAATCAATAAATGGCAGCTTATATTTTGCTATTTTGCTTATTGATGTGTGTATGCACAAATGGATTTGAATACGTTTGACATTAGATTTGCATATGTATTTGTCCGGCTTGTATTTTTGATTATATGCACTTATATATGTACTAATGCACCCGGTCCCTATTTCAGGGTTGGCAGGTTAGTATCTTAGTTCAAAATTTCGAAACAAGACGAATAATTTATCAATGCACATCTGTAATGTGACATGGATTTGATTGCCAGTTAAAGTGACATCAGGGAGATAAACAAAAATTCTGCCATTGTCAATTGTAATTCTGATCTTCAACGGAGATATAACAAGCAGATAAATACATATAATATATACCACTTATATAGTTAATATGCATATTAATCCGAGTGAAAGTTGGCATGACATAGCTATTTGTCTCAAGTTTTCATGATATGTAATCACAGAAAAATATATGTGTATCTGTAATAAAATCCTCAATAAAATATTGTTTTACGTTAACCTTTACCTATTCGACTTTCATATTTATTACTGCAGAAAAGTTATTTCTTATAGATTAGAACAAATTATTTTTTATTGATGTTGAAAACAAGAACATTTTAACCAAGAGTGAACATAATGAACCAAGACATCAACTGATGAGCATTATGCAAATTAAATCTACTTTAGTTACTACGACAAGAGGCAGTTATAAAACAACAAGAAATGTGTTTTAAATTTCATAATTGAATCACACAATGGTAAAGCCGGCATAATTATTATTCTTGGATTTTTCCAACTCCTCAATATAGGCCGGAATGCCACCCAAATAATTCAACGGCTCCCTCTTCTTCCCCGGAATGTTGGCCCCTTGGTACCAAGAATCCGTTGGGGGAAAAAGGGAGGAGTACCACTCGTCTCTCAGGGCCTTGGTCCACTCCTTTTCACTCGGTTTTTGCGCCTCCACCCGGGTCTTGCCCTCCTCTCTCATTTTCACCATCAGGTCGACCACCCAATCGGCCTGCAGACCCCCGGAAGTAGGTCCGTTGGAGAACGCTGTCGGACCATGTGGTCCATAAAACCAGTACGTGTTCGGGAAACCATTAGTGCTCAGACCCAAGTAAGTTTCCGTCCCGTTCTCCCCACGCCACTTTTCCTGAATCGTTACACCCTCCCCGTTGGTTATCTTGATGTCGAGAATTCCCCCCGTCACCGAATCAAAACCGGTCGCCAGGATGAGGACGTCGACATCGATGACACCTTCGTTTTTCGTTTTCACCCCGGTCTCAGTAATCTCCAAGATTGGGGATTCCTTAACATTGATAAGATCCACGTTGGGCTGATTGTACACCTCGTAGTACGCTTGCTCGAGACAGGGTCTCTTCGTGCCCCATGCATGCGGCGCTTTCTTAGGCGCTAGCAAGTCCTTCTTGACGGGGTCATCTATCCTAGCGCGGATGTTTTCCGACCAAAAATCGTAGACTTCGTCGTTCGCTTCCTGGACGTAAAAAATGTCCTTGAATCCCGCCAACCAGAAAGAAAAGCCTCCATAATCCCACAAATATTGATAGAGAGCGAGTCTCTCCTGTTTTGAAGAGGAGTCAAATTTTTTCTCCGTGAAGTCCAGGTCGATTATTAAAGCGCCGAAGGTATCCTTCAATTTTCGGAAAATTTCTGGGTATCGCGATATTTCAGGGAATTTCCAAAGGGAGGAGTTCACATCGTCTTTGAGGTACTTTTGTCTCATGGGTATGGCCAAGTTGGGGGTTCTTTGATACACGGTGAGATGTTTCACGACAGGGCCGATCTCTTGAATAATTTGTACTCCCGAAGCTAAATAAATTTAATTAGGTAATTAAAGATCTAATCTACTTAATCTACATAATTTCCCAAGTCATTTTCATTCACCTCCTGTTCCGATAATGGCGACCTTTTTCCCTTCGAAATTAACGCCCTCCTCTGGCCACACGCCGGAGTGATGGATGACGCCCTTAAATTTTTCAAGCCCTGGAAAATTTGGGGTGAATCGTTTCGCTGCAAAACCCGTGCAGAGGATGAGATGTCGAGCCAACGTGGTCAGACCCGTGTTGGTTTTGACAATCCAGACGTGACGAGATTCGTCCCAGGCTGCTTCAGTGACGCATGTGTTGAAAACGACATCCTTCCGAAGTCCAAGTTTCTTATCTAAAAATGTATGTAAACAAATGTAATTAAAAATCTTTGGCTTATGAAATGAAGCGAAATGAATGCAAAAATCTCATACTGCATAAAAACGAGTTCTATTGCATTATTATTTGCGGTATTTATAACATTGCTAGCTACTAAAATGGAACTAAACATATTTGCATAGAAAATTACCAGCGTGGTTGAAATATCGTTGCAACTCTTCTCTGCCGGGGAACCGCTCTCGCCACTCAAAGTCGGACCAAACTTCTGTTTCTTCGGAGAGTTGGTAAATCGGAGTCTCACTGTCCACACGGGCGCCAGGATATCGGTTCCACCACCAAGTGCCTCCCAGACCGTTGCCTGTTTCGTAAATTTTTACGGAAAACCCAAGCTTGCGTAACTTCCAAAGGGTGTGAATTCCAGAAAACCCGGCACCGACTACCAGGGCGTCAAGAATGGTGGTGTCAGACATGTCGAAGTTAGTTTAACTCAATATCTGGAAATTGCAATAAAAATGATCATTAAATAAATATTTACATACATAGACTGTTATACGTTTTTGTAGACTTTATAAACCTTACAAAAATAACCATGTATTTGATACATTTGAAATTATAGTTATTTTACATTAATTTGCAAGCTTAGTAACTTAAAATCTTTACACAAGTAACAAAATTATGCGTAAATTGGTTCATTGTTTAGCATGAATTTCATGAACCCTAACTTTCTAGCGGATTTGCAATTTACAGATATACGGATGTGTACATACATATATTTGCACATAAATATGTACATCTCTTATTATACACTCATATATAAATATGTGCCTTTGTTAATTTGCAAAAAAACTACGTCCGAACTTACAACTATTTATCCTTCCAGACGTTAAGCTCAAAATTTTAGGGACGAAATGATCGCAGAACTTTTCTCTTCAAATGTAGAAATGCTACTGAAAAGGTGAAATAGAAGTCATGCAATGTCATTTAGTAATAATTGGAAATATGTCCCTACAAGAATTTCTCTGATAAAGGTTACTCTTTCCTTACACGTGTAATGAGCATGAATCGTGAACCTTATAACCTTGTACATGTTTCTATTTAACAAAATCATTAGTGTACTGTACAAGTCCATTTATTACTATTTTCCTGTTGCACGTGGAGATGGGTGTGATTCATTGTTTTATGTATGTATGTATGTACATATGCATATATAACCAGTTTTTGCTGTGTGACATTTGAAGATGTTTATGTTAGTACCCACTCCAGACTTATCCAGCACAGATACCGGCTCAAACTAAATTTAATGCATAACCACCACGCGTTGGACTCTGTGTTTAGCTTTATAAAAAAATTCAATCATGGTACTAACAACTTGAAAGTCAATACACGAACATAATAGTTAGCAGTGTTTGACTGGAATTTATTATGCTGCATCTTTTCCTAAACAAGTTGGTAGATCTAGCTTTATATATCCAGCCCGGTTTCATTGTTATCAAACTATTTTTTAGTCACGTAGTCAAATAAGTCATAATAGAATGATAATTAGTTTTACTGATACGCTATATTTTTTTCCTTCAATTATTTATGTACCTAGGTATGCATGTTATGTATATATGTAGGTGCGAACTCGGTAACCTCATGCATAGGACGATGATGGTTATATATTCAGCAGGAAAACTTGTAGATTTTACTAACTATTTATTTATCCAATATGACACGCCTACTTTAGATACTTAATGTAAATATGTATATGCAAATTCGTCTAGGGAAATTAAATCTATGCGTGATAAAGCTTTAATGAGTTGAGTCCTGCAGAGTTTCCATGGTAACTAATTATAAAATAATATCATAAAAACTGACTTATTCACCATAACTACATAGATAAATTTGCGCAAAATAAAAACTACTGAAAAATCCCTGCACATAATTGTATATATGTTTGCATTTACACGAGTCTGACACAGTACGTATGTAATCTAGCAGAGAAATGAGCCAAGGTTTAGAATTTTCAGAATAAAATAAATAGAACATTCAATAAGTTTCCCGGACACGGAAACCAATTGATAATTTGGTACGAATCAAATTTTATTTTTCAAATTCCTTTCAAAAATTGACCTCCCTACAAATTTGACTCTTCAAAAAAAAAAACAATTATTATTTTTCCGAATTCCACATCTCCAAAAACAACGGTTCCATCGTCTCTCTCCACTTCGCATACCCCATTGTCTCCAAGTGAAGCAAATCGGGTGAGTACAGGCCCGGATAAAATTGACCATTTCCCATGTAAAAGGCGTCCCTCATGTTCAGGAACCTCACGGTATTTCCATTATCCAAAATGGACACCATTGCATTAATTTGTTCCACCCGTTCCGTCTCTTCTGCATTAATCCTTGGGAGGATGCCGAGCAAAAGAATCTTCGTTGTTGGAAGTCTGCCCCTCAGTTCGGCCACAATGGCGGAAATTCCTCGAGCAATATCCCTCTCAGGATACCAACCAACGTTGTTTGTTCCTATTAAAAAATCAGGGTTAACAATTGCTGAATAAAAATTTCAAAATTTGCGTTCTTCACCAATTTTTAAAACGCATAGTTTCGGGGCCAAATTTTCCGTCTCGCCATTCATTGACCTCCAGAGGACGTGTTGCGTCGCGTCACCACCGATCCCATAATTGGCGGCGCCAAAAGGGGCGTAAACAGTGTCCCAGATTTGACGACCCGTGTAGTCCCAGCCCTCCGTGATGGAGTCGCCGTAAAAAAGGAGGTTGATGTTAGGCCCGTTAATTAGCGTGTTGTTCACGTTAGTTTGATATCTTTCCATCCAGTTCCAGGGCATCCAGTCCTGCTGAGTTTGCGGTTCTGGAACCCAAGGTTGCGCAGAAGCTCCGATGATGAGGATGGAACAGAGAAAGATGAAACGGGTCATTTTTAAAGTAGTGTTTCCGAAAATGGTAATGTTTCCTTAAAACAATTTCAAATTTCAGGGTAACCGTTCTATGTTGTGCATCGAGTGGAATTGTACCACTTTTGCGGTTCGTATTTTGCTTTATTTATAAATTTGCTCAACCTAGTTTATTAATTACTTGATACCTTGTAAATAAGACAAAAATGTTATTATTTTTAAATATGGGTGATAAATCAATTGAATAATGTAACTTTACTGATAAAATGGAACTTGTGATTGAATAATCGACATGATTAATTACAATACATAGATTTACAATAGGTTTATTGATTGCCGTCATAAGTTGCCATTTATTTTCGAAGTATGATTGATTTTATCGGAAAGAGTGATAAGATCGGAATTAATTTCACACCTCGATTCTGGTGTTGGTACATTTGATGCATGTTCGAATGTATTTGTGTACATATGTAGGTGTGAGAAAGATAAATTGCATGAAAATATCACGATTTCTGATCATGCTTTTGGATAAAAGTGGTCACCTTTAATCCTTTTTCGATAAATGAATCATTCCGGAATGCATCACAATTTCTAAATGTTAAATTTCAGGGAAATTAAAGGTGTATAATTCTTTGCATATGTATGTAAAATGGCTGAATAATATTAATGCATATTAATTTTTGTGATATGGAGTACCTCTAAACTTATTTATGAAGATGAGGCAATGTTCTTAGGTAAATACTGTTGGTATTCACGTCAACTGCCTAAGCGTCGTAGCTTCGCAACATACATATGCAGATATCTTCGTAACTTTGCGATGTTTGTGAAGAGTTGCGATGTGACCTTTATTTCGATTAGATTCTTTTATTTTTTATGAAATTTGCGAAGCAAAATGGGATCTATTTATGTCATAAAATATTTTTAGCTAACTCGTCGCCAAATGAATTTTAATTTCTCCTCTTATTTTCAGTTTATGTATATTCATTATAATTGGTCGTTCACGACACCGATTCCAAATACCTTGTAAAGCTGCGAAGATGTGTTGTGAAGCGTATTTACAAACATAATGGACTTGACAAATGAAGTATACTGCACGCTGTGACTGCACGTACAGATAATCACGACGACGTCTTAAATATTTCGCAACTCTTTTTTGCACATATCTAGTTTGTGAAATAATATTGATAAATAAAAGTAAAAATTTATTGGGGAAATTTAAGATAAAAAATCTCTTCATTGTCCAGAAAATTTTGCGAAATCAAGCTAATTTCGTTAACTTTAGAAGTAGCATTGATAGTTAATCTCAATTCGCGAGGATGCGAAGGTTGTCTATGGGTAGAGTACCAACCAATCACAATTTTCTCATTTACAATGCGTGTACATACATACAAGTAAGTAATTTCATGGGAATGTAAAACCTAATTTGTACTCAAAATTTCATCATTCTGCAAAATGTTACCAATATCTAAAATAGGTTCGGGTGCAAAATTGTTCCAGACACTAATCCCTCCGTTATTCCCAAGTTTGCAATTAATGATATTAATCATAATTAAGTATGACATATTGTCACTGGATTGACAACTTTGGCAGAGTCTAAGCCGTACTTAAAATAAAAAATAAACCTCTCCATCAATTCACCGAGGTGGATGGAAACGTTAAGTCTGAAATTTCCTCAGTTATCAGTGATTGGAATAATGCAATCTCAATCCATATTCGAGGAATGCAAGCTTTCAAATCTGCTTATCAGAATTGATTGGCTTATATAAAACCGATCAGCAGTTTGTCATGATTCACACTTTATTTAATCGTATCCAATTGGAACCAACTTTGGTAAAAGTTATAAAAAATGACGCCAAAATTATTTCTGGTAGTCCTTCTTGGCCTCGTAGGGTGGACCATGGGGACTCAGGAGGTTCAACAAGGTAAGATATAAACCAAAAGAACAAAACATGTTTGCAAATTTTTTTTCGCACAATTTAGCAAACGTTAAATTAATAATATATCAAATTTCTTGCAGATTCCAAGATCCTCGTCTGCTACTATGGCAGTTGGTCCGTGTACCGCCCTGGTAACGGTGCTTTTAACGTCGAAGACATCGACCCCATGATTTGCACACACATCATTTACGGTTTCGTGGGGTTGACCGTCGATGGCGTCATGGAAGTTTTGGACCCATGGAACGATTTGGAGGAGAATGATGGACGAGGTGAGGTCACATCAATGTAAAAATAGAAATTTTTAGAAAATAACGTATATTGCAATTCTTCCAGGCGCCATGAGAAGATTCACAAATTTGAAACAGATTAATCCTAACCTAAAAACTCTCCTCGCGATTGGTGGGTGGAACGATTGCGAACCATTGGTTGGAAAGAATTGCGAAAAATATGCAAACGTGAGGAAATATTACTTTACTAATTGGCAACAATGAACATTTAATCATTTGAGAAAAAAATAGATGGCTTCCACCGCCGCTAATCGTAGACGATTCATCGACAGTGTCATCCCATTTTTGGAACGCTACAATTTCGATGGTTTCGATCTTGATTGGGAGTGAGTTTAACTATTAATGTTGAAATAGTATGACTTCATATACTAAAAATAATGTCGCGATCATCAGGTATCCAACATTCAGAGGTGGTCGACCAGAAGATAAGGTATGGTCACATATCAAAAAACAATGCGTATTGTCGATCGATATCAATTAATGACGGATCGAATAATAGAATAATATGTAACTTTGACAGGCCAACTTTGCTCTGCTTTGTGCCGAGATGAGGGCAGAATTCAACTCACGAGGCTGGCTTCTCACGGCAGCCGTGTCGGCAGGCGAACCCACCATCAACGACGCCTACGACATCCCATCAATCTCACAGTGAGTGCTAATTATAAATCATTTATCCGTTATCTCATCCACTAATAATCCGAATTGACAGGTCACTTCACCACATCTTTTTGATGGCCTACGATATGCATGGTGTAAGTCACATTACAATATTTTGCATTGATGAATTGCATAAATACGTAAATATTGTTTAATTAACAGGGTTGGGAAAGCTACACTCATCACAACTCACCACAAGGCTTAATTCCAGAAGATGCCCCGCATGCAAACAGCTCTTTCCTTACTGTGGTAACTATATTTTATCCAATTTCAATGAAAAAATCAATGTAATAAATTTTTGCAAACTGACTGATAAGATTTCGTATTTGTTAGCAATATGCCGTCGACGTCTGGCTTAACGGTGGTTGTCCCGCATCGAAACTGTCCCTCGGCATGGGAACGTACGGGCGTGGTTGGCTACTTCAAAGCGAAGCTGAGACTGGATTTTATGCCCCCACCAGCGGACTTATTGATGCTGGGCCATACACCAGAGAACCTGGGATTTGGGGATATAACGAGGTGCGTGGTTTTACTAAATAATAGAAAAAGAGGACACTATTTTTTAAGAATTTATTAATATTAATGGTTCATAATTTCTTAATTTATTCTAGATCATTGAGAAACAAGCTAGCGAAGCCGGCTGGCGTGTGGTGCGAAACGCTGCGATTGTCGGACCCTACGCAGTCCAAGGAAGGAGATGGATTGGTTACGATGACGTAGAAAGTATTGGAGTGCGGGTAAGATTTCAACCCAATTATGTAATTAAATGGAAAAATTCCCCGTGGCAGAATATTAATTTGCCAATTGACTTACAGGTTCAGTACCTCCTTCAGAAGGGACTGGGTGGAGGAATGTTCTGGTCCATTGAAACTGACGACTTTAGAGGTCTTCACAGTTCGGAGAGGTATCCACTGCTTAAAACAGCGAGACGTGGCCTGTCTGGCACGATTCCAACGCCACCACCAACAACCACCCGAGACCCGACAGCACCGGTATTTAATTATTAACTAGTGCATTCATTAATTGAAGGGGAATATTAATTAAGTAAAATCTTATCATTAAACCAGACCACAACCACGACGACCCTTCCACCCGACGGTGTTTGTCGAGCCCCCGGCATTATTCCCCACCCCGAAAATTGTCGCCAGTACATCACATGTGTGCCGAACGGTTCGGGTGGATATGACCAAATCGTGACGAACTGTCCAGAAGGAACGATATTCGACCCAAATATGGGAGCCTGCAATTGGTACGATCAAGTCCCAGATGCACCTGAACTATGCAATGAAAGGGTCTGGTTTTAAATTCTCTGATAATAAAATACTTTGTGATATTCGAGTACAGATTAAAAGAAATATTAATAAATCAAGCTCTGTAAATATTCATTTGAAAAAATATATTCTCACAAAAATAATTTGCCATTTGTGGGATAAGTTGGCACAACATCATTCATACAATGAAGTATCAAATTGAAGGGACATGACCAAATTGCAAAAATTGGGTATATACAACTATTATGCAAGACATCGTAATATGCGATGTCTTGCATATGTATGTGCAAGACATGGTAATATGCAGATGGGATTTATTTGGTTTACTAGCGTTTCATCCCGGAGGCCGGTGATCTCCAACGTTTACCAGAGCTAGGTATAAATTTATTTGGTCATTTTAATTTAATCACCAAAGTACTCTGATACCTTTTATGTAATTGTCAATGTAAATAATTATGTAGATTAGGGTAACATTTGAATAAGGCATGATGTTTCCCGTGAGATGACGAGGTAACCATTCCACTCTCTTTATTTACAGAATTTTACATCGTCCTTACTTTCGTACAAGTCGGGGATCATTATTCATTTTTATTCGCGTATAATAGTAGAATTTTCTAAGTCTATGAATAAGAAAAGTTCAAGTTCACCTAGCTGTGGTTATACATTCTGAAATTGAGATACTGGACCTGCCTGAATGACAGACTGTGACCTTATCTGGTCCGTAGTTCCGTACTGATACTACACAATTCCTGCAAACGTATATACTCCTGCATGCGTTATTCGCATAATGTGTTATTCTGAGCATCGGAATTGGATTTCTAAGCGATTGCGTAAATAAAGAAAGGAATCTATTTAAACTGGTTGATAGAGGAAATGAATTATGTGTGCATATATGCATAATACTTGAGAAATGTTGGCCAAGGTCGATCTCTTTGTCGTGTTCCCCTCCCTGATGGCACAACAAGAAAGATATGTCATATCCTCCCGAATGACACAAACGTATTTTAAATGAACAAATAATTTATGGCGATTTATCATGATCCTCCTTTGATGAAGTGTCACTACGAAACTTAATTTTGAAGGTGTGTATGCATAATAAGATGCCGACAAAATATGTACAATGTCACACGGTTGGTTAATTCTACATACATACATACATAGCCAATCTTACGTCTCTTATGCGATATATGTATGCATATTTACATTAGTATGCATATCGCGTTATTAGTAGAAAAAGTGCTGTATTATATACAAAGTGTCCAATAAGTCTGGAAAATGTGGAGAAAAGACGGAAAGTTGGATGCAATCGTGTAAATTGTATGTTCTACTGCTATGTATGTACATATGTACCTCTTTACGTTAGTACAGCCATGAAATCCATCATAAACCCAGGGTCTTTCATCCATCATCAATGACAAGTTTTGTTCCCAGTCTTGCTGGTGGGTATGCATCCTTCTAGTTTTTACACACAATTCCGAAATTATGACAAAGTCGGTATGTACGAATATGCAGTAAGTATGAGCTCATATTCAATTTTTCCTTTCATGAAATTGGACTTTAAATTTTAATGCGAGTCTTTTTGTGCAACATGAAATTCTTTCTCACTGGATTCCAAGTATACGAGTACCGAGAAGTTGAGGTTGGCGTGGTGGACTATTAGCGATAAGTGAGTCGTTGGATTTTGTGATGACATAACACACCTCACAAACCACCCACCAAATAAACATTACTTTCCGCTGCTGATTAGTCACTCACTCGTCTTTCCCTGCTGAATCTTCTTATTCATGGTGCAACCGCAGAAGGTGGGATAACAGAGATCGCGTCTTTGTTTATTTACTTACTGTGTGGCCCGGTCTGCTGGCCTTGCACTCTCTGAATCTACGGATCGTCGCATGAAAATCCACTTTGGCGAATCATTCGTTACATAGCCCACGGTGTTCTATTATGAATCCTCGGAACCATCCATGTCCTCCTTCTCTCAGAATTCGCTCACAAATAGTTACATCCATAGTTCAGTGATCTCTCTGAGTCTAAGTTTTGGGACGTTATATAAAAGCCTGTGTACAAATTGATCTCGATTCTGTTGGTGATCCTGGGTCAGTTATGAAGCTACTTTCTCATCGTCCGTTCTCTTCTTCTTCTTTTGGGAGAGGAGAACGGTGCATGGTGATAATTTTGTCGTCATATTTTCTGCTAACGTTGTCTCGGAGCGAAGTGCAGCAAGGTCACCCGCAACTCCAACATTTCACACCTCCGTCAACGGTCCAGTTCCTCGGAGTATTTACGAGAAGTTCGGTAAGAAGATTGACATATGCATCTTATATAAGTAGTTTCAATTGTGATGGTAAATTCGTGGTGGTGTATGGATTAATTGATCAAATTTTCTGGTTTTGTCGTATCGCAGAGTGCCGCGTCCGTGGGGGCGTCCCTCGCCGTGGACGACATAAATGCCCACAACGTTCGGACCAACCTTCCCTTCAGAGTCAACTTGGTTGAGGAAACTGGTGTAGGAGGAGGAGGAGAGACGCATTGCGGAGCTATGGAGGACCCTGTGACTTTGATGTCCCGGCTGCTCAGTGCTGCCATGTCGTCTGCAAGTCCACCCTTCACGCCGATAACGACGAAACCTATAATCCTGGCTGGGTGTCACTCAGACTGTGTTCTCCTTGCCCAGGCGGAAAGTGATGCCATCACTGTACGTACATATTTATATGTGTGCATCACGATAATGATAAATTATGTCATAGTTTTAAGCACATTTTGCATGCAGATGTGTTACGGGCTGAGATCTTCGGTAACTCGGATGGACGATGTGACCACGTCTGAAATGTTTATGATGCAGCCAGACCTCTGCACCCTCATCATTCCTCTCACCAAGCTCGTTCTTCAATTTGGCTGGAGAAAGGTGGCCGTGATAAGCTTTGGAGGAGATCCACTCGGATATGTACGTATATAAATGTATAAGGACACGTGATTAATTAATCACACAGGTCTCACACTTTTTGCTTTCATCCAGTTGGCAGAACTTGTTGGGAGCGTTTTGGAGGAACATGGAGTGAGAGTAGGGCGTCTGGACGGGCGGGCAAGCTTTGGTCTTGTACAACAACGCAATTTTCGCATTGTTGTCGTGGTGGGTGGCGAGGTCATGGGGAGAGAAATATTGTGCGCTATCTATAAAGCGGCAATGTTTAACAACTACGTGTGGATATTCATTGGTACTGAATAATATATAACCTTGATTATATGCTTTCATGGTACGTATGTATGTATATATTTACTTGGTCCAATTTTTGATGCAGGTCCGAGTGGGAAGGAGTGGGTGGTGCAAGGAGAACATGGGGCGATACCTGGGAGTTGTAGAGTGGATCAGTTAGTAGCGGCGGCGGAAGGTCACCTCGTCCTCAGCCCCATGATGTGGCACCCAAACCCAAACTTACGCACCGTCTCTAACAGGGTAGGCATCTTCTAAAGAAAGAAAGCTATGTATGTATTTATTTGTTACACACGGGCTTTGTTGTTCCGATAATTGTATGTTCAGACAGCGGCCAGCTTCCGGAGAGAAGTAGTGCGGCGTCTGGGCGGTCAGCTGCGGATGATGGATTTTGACGAGGCCCCACTTGCCTATGACGCTGTATGGGCTGCCTACATCGGTAAATGATGTTCATTAGATGACCTCCAAACCATGTTTAACGATTATATTTAAATGCTTGAGCAACATGATAACATTACTGTAGGAGTAGCGAGCTCTCTGTTGGAATGTGGGGGTACTACGTGCCCCATCCAGATGGATGATTCCCTCAACGGGGTCATGTTTCCTGGAGTGTCGGTCAGTAAATATGACAAATAGTATCTTTGTACATGGATGTCAACTATAATTATTCCACACAGGGGAACGTATCTTTTCGCGATGGTCGGCGGAGCGTAACGGGAGTCACTTTACGCGTCGAACAGTTCAAGAATGGACGTTATGAGGAGGTCGCATTCCACTTCAATGGCAACAATAGTTGGTCCTGGGTGAGGCAGTCTATATTCGGGTCAGGTGAGTAATGGGGGGATGTGTGTACTATGTAAGTCGTGTATTCTGTATACATCACAAGTTTTACTCATCACTTTTGTCGTATTTAGAAGTTCCAGGAGACGGGTTTGACGTTGGGGATACTTTTTTCCCAGACATCCCATTTCCACCATCTCTCACCCCACCAGAACCACCTGAGCGCAGCTCTGCAAACACCCCACTTGCCCCTCCCGCAAGATTTGGCATCGCCACCTTCTTCTATCCTCTGAGCATTATATCTCAACACTACATATTATACTGCATCATCTCAACCTGAATAATAAAGGGACTTAAATATTAAGAATAATGAGAGTTCATATATGATTTAAAATTTGCAAATGAGAACAGTGCACGAAGATTTTATAGGATGATACATAAGTGGCAATTACCTAAGCATTGAATGAAGGAAAGTCATTGGCTGTCTTCATAGGTGCACATTTTATTTGATGGGCATGCGGAGGTGAAAGTGGGGAAAGTGGACGGTATATATCTGAGCAGGCAGGAAGGATGACTCTCTTTCTCCAAGTCCACTCTAACTGCGACTACAAGTGGGCAATGTCTGCTTTCTGCTTATTATATAACTTATATATAACTTATAATATAAGTATGCATCTCTATGCATTTCTATATATGTTATGTACCTCTGGTCAATGTGCATCTATGTATGTAGATAATGTCCAATGTTCGTGAGTACAAGGTATAAATTGTTTCTAGTGTACTGAGGGTTAGGCGAGATTACAGAACGTGTCGAAAATGATTAATTTTTGGCCGAAATATCCATCGCTGGATATTTTAAATGACCTCATCGTATTCCTCATCCTTTTTTCATGAGGAATGATGTTATCATTTCCAAAAAAGCCGGGCTTTTAAAGCCGGCAGCAGATTTTCTTTGAACCACTGTTCATCTAAAAGTTTGCAAAATGCATAAAAAAAATTTTATGTCCATTTGAAAAAAGTGTCGATCTGAAGTTTCAAATCAAAATTAAAGCACTGGAGGCGCATAACCGGACGTAACTAGTTTATCTTTATGCAAAATAATTTAAATTCCGAATATTAAAAAAAGAATGCCTGCGAACTGGGTGGTAATCCGAGCGTTGTCAGAGAAAAAGTTTCGCGTCGACCTCATATCTTCTGATCCTCGCTGAAGTTGTGCATATCTTGGTGAATAATTCAGTTCAGTGTACGCCCAGGGACCTGACACTTCGTGGTCAGCTGATTTTGGATTGATAAAAAAATTCTTGCCTTGTCCACATCAATTTTTCTCACGTGCGTCGGGTTTCTTACAGTCCGGGGAGCATGCGTTCGATGGATGTGGCACGATCAAATTTCTTGCCTGGTTCCTTTTTTCAACTGAATCCTTTATATTAGGCATTGGGCCATTAGAAATGACAGTTTTTTCATCATGGAGTTTGTTTAGTATTTTTTGTACGTCATTATTGCTTGGCAAACTGTTTTATCAGCATGGAGCTCTGTGGGGTCAATTTCTGGACCCGTTTTCAAACTTTCGAAATTGAGCTTTTGGGTCACGGCGCAGCTTGAACCAAGCTTCGAGAAAAGTTTCGAATATTTGGAATTAGCGCAATTGTTTAATTTATATGGGCAAATTGCTACACACTAAAAACAAACCGCTTTGTCTGAAGTAAAAAACGACTTCTCGTGAAGTAAAAAGTGCCCTTCACCCATATCAAGTAAATTCGAGCTTTACTTCATAAAAGCAACCAGTTTTGCTCTTAATGAAGTAACTAAGTAAGCTATGGATGAAGCACAGCTATCGCTCTGGATGAAGTGAGCGCAAGCTTGATTCGGGGCACGAGCATACTTGAGATGAAGCTTTATTATATGCTTCAGGTCAAGTGCATTTTACTTTTTCTAAAGGATCAGTATGCTTTAAATGAAGTTCACAAATCAAGTACGTATTATTATTTATGACGAACAATTAAATTTAAATTATCAACTACAATAACAATCAATAATCGTAAAAATTATTAGGGACGATTTCCACCAAATCCTCCCTCGATAATAGAGCGAACAGCTTGTCATTGATAAGATTTCCTGAATAAATATAAACAATTTTAATTAATACAATTTTGGTATAATTTTATAAAAATTCCTATTTATATTGTACACAAAATAATGGCTGAAGGGCTCACTTTTAAATTCGTTGACATAATTCTCCAAGCCGAGTTCTTCTAATGCACGAGTAACCTCGCTGTACTCGATTTCGTTTATATTTTGTGCAGGTCAATTCAATTATTAATTTACTTATTAATTGGGAAAAGAAAATAAGTAGGGAAAAAATTGAGCGGCCAACCTTCCGAGCCAAAAGACGGACTGGGACGGTAGTGGCGGGACAAGGCTAATGGAGGGAGCATGTCCCTATTGCTCCATCCGAGGCAAATTGGGACGACTGAGCTTTGGATGAAGTTGTAATGCTTCGGTAATGCTTCCGTTGTAGTATGGCGAACTTGGTATAAAGTGTTCGGTTACGAATGCTTAAAACGAAGTACCAAAAATTCTGCGCTTTATCTAAAGTTCTCCAATTTGCTTCATACAGGGAGACATTTACTTTAAACAAAGCAGCACAAATTTTTACTTTTCGAAAAGTAAGTTAGTTTATTTAGTGTGTACACGTTCTGTAATCTCGCCTAACCCTCTGTATGTGGGGGGGGGGCGAGATTCCATAATATTATGGAATATTAGTACAAATACTTACATATGATCCTGTGCATATGAGCATTATCAATTTTTTGTATGCACATACATAACTAGGAAAATATGTATGTTTAAAACTCGAATTAAAATTTTAGATCCTGCATACTGCATGTGCTTGACTTAAATCCAATTAAATGATGATGTAAATTTGCGAGTATTTCTCCTTGCGTTGTTAGAGAAAGGGGTTTCGAGGAGACGGAAACCTTTTGACAAGTCTTCCATCCGTGCCGAGTTTCTAATCGATAGATCGTTCACGTCAAAACATAAAATTGTACGTTCATCTGCCGAGTGAAAATGGAACGCCAAAACCTTTTTTCGTCACTTTCAGAAAAACTTTCTCTAATATGTATTAGTTTGTAAAAGATGCATGAATTATAAAATAGCTTTAGTTTGGTGTCCAGTATCATCAATTTTGCTTGCATATTTTCCCTACATTAATTAAAACTATTTTTGATACCACAATATTTCCCATAATATACAAGCCATAAAGTATCGAAAGTAAAATAAATTTCAATTTAATCATTCTCTAATTAAGAAGGAAAATAAATTTGAATTTAATAATTCTCTAAAGTAAAATACGTTTGAATTTAACAATTCTCTAAAATAAAATAAATTTTAACTTCATAATTTTCTAATTATTACGGACACATACATGTAATCTGTGCCTTAAAAATTATTAATCATTACAAATACTGTATTTTAGATCTTTATTTATCTAAGTATATCTCCAAAATTTTTGCATACATACATTGAACTAGTTCAACTAGTCCAATGTAGAAACCATTTAACACATAATTATCTAATTACCCCGAGATATCTACTAGTTGGTTGACGAACGCGATTGTCTAAGGTTAGGTCAACGGCAAATTTGTTTGGCTAAGTTACAACTTAAAGCCAATTTAAGTATTATTATTATTTTGCATAGGCTAAAGATGAAGAAAATTTCGACGCTTATGCAACTCGATTTTAAAATGATGCCGTTTGGTTCTATTAAAAAACGTTAGCTCAGTAACCGGTCATCACACATATGCATAATATGGCTTCCATATTATGCAATACATTATTGAAGCTCATTAAATTTCGAACTAAACGCACACGGCTCTTCTAACTTGAACTGGGATCACATTTTAGCTAACAGATCCCATTTGTACTCGCCAACATGCAGATAGGCGTGGACTCGACACAAACATCTATAATTATGCCAGATTTTTTGTATGTATTCTTTATTAAATAATTAAGTAAGTATTTAATATTTATGTAACACTCATTATATTCAGATTTTACATAATTGGTCATTAGCTGCGACATAATAGTAAGCTTAAGGAGAAGACATTTGGTTACATACGTTAATATGATTACTAAATTTGTCGTGGGTTTGTTCTGGTTCCTGTTACATATCACTATAATTCAAATATGAAAAGCAAATTTTGTACTGCTCGTGCATAGTGAAAATACAAACATAATAGCTTCGTGTTAATTCTAAATTTAAGGGCATACTACGACTAAACTGGTACTTACCAGGGCGCATAAACTTTTTGTTGTCCGTGGTTTCTCCTAAGGAGAAACCTTATCATCACCCCCTTAGGAGAAACCACGGACAACAAAAAGTTTATGCGCCCTGGGTACTTACTAATATTGTCGATATCTGCATAATATTTTACATCCAACAAAGCTATCTATATATGACTTAAAATTAACTATTCGTAAATATCTGTGTAATGTTTCTTTAACTTTTTGCACGCTTTGTTTTTCAAGTTTTTTGGTATGAGATCTTGGGCTAAAGGATTTGGTTAAAAGTTCACTTGATTTTATGTTCTCTAAGGCTTTGATTTGATGAAATCTACCGGTTTCCGTTAGCTCGCTATGAATTTTGTGGCGACGACGACGCAACTTCGTTTCCATCGTCACATTCATATTGTTGATGTACAACGGATCGCAGGGAACATGATTCTGAAAGGTCTACAGTTTCAACTTTTGGTTGTTGGGAACCATCGCATTGTGTATGATTTTGTTGTAATGTATGTTGGGACAAAATATCTGCGTAAATTTCTGAACTTTGAGATGAACCCGAGTCGAAAGACTGAGCAGCATTATCCTTCCTAGCATTCTTCAAGTATTTGCGCTGAATTACGGGCCTATTGATTTTAGCCGGAACAGTTGATTCACAGTCCGAGGAAGAGACTGACGACTCAATATGAGCCCTTCAATTTAATGATACAGCATATAAATTAATTGGAACAAACAAATATTTCGCTAAAAAATTCAAACCCAGAAATACCATAGTCTCCGTGGAATACAAGGTCTTCCTCTTTTTCGTCTAGTTGGGGTGGATGATTCGGCTAGCCACGCTGACACTAAAGACTTCGTTTTACCGTTAACCGATGAACTTGAAGGCGTTTCTGGAGTGACACTCCAGAAACCAGGTTGCTGAGCCCTCAATCGGAAAGACATTTTATGACGTTTTTGATTACTATTCATTTTTGGCGTCCACTCTGGATCTTCGTAATCCTCGTGCTTATTCTTTACTCGCATGGTGGAATGTCTGCGAATTCGAAAAGGCGCCTGCAACATGGAAGTAACTATTAATGGAATTCCGACTACAGTATTTATTTATCTTCCAATAGCTACATACCTCCGCTCTCGGTGTCGTATCGTTCATATGACTTTGGGAGGTTGGGCGAGATTCGATGATTCTGGAATGCTTAAGTTTCCCGTGTTTTTTTATTTTGATGTTAACGCTGCAAACTCTTGGACTTCGATCTTCTTTATTTGTTTGGGTCCTCTCAAATGCCCCCTTAGTTTGAGAACGTGTAACAACACCTTCGGATTTTTGTGGCAAGGAAGGGAAGACTTTTTCCTTCACTCGTTTTGTTTTGGCCAATACTTTGACGATTTCCTGTTGATCACAACATAATGCAATGCTCCTCGCATCCGCGTCGCATCCGGAGCATGTGGCATCGTAACTTCTTCCCGTTTTGGTGGATGAATTTCTCGGTCGTAAATTTCTGGCTGCTGATGCTTTTGAGGGATCAATCTACACACGAATGAAAATTGTGTGTGTAATTGACGATGATTTCCCAATCTCATACATATAACTCAGGAACCATAAATAAAATGGAAAATATAGAAAATCTTACAATTTCCTTCCTTTTTGTAGATTCATCCAAATCACTGTCATCATCATCGGTAAGTAAATTAGGATTTAGGGGCCGAAGTCGTAACCACCTATAATCTATCGATTTATCCTCAGCATCCGACATTTTCAACCCTTCAATTCGAACAAAAGAGAAACGTAATTTGTCGCTTAAAACCTTTCATTAAAATCGCAAATAAAACCGACAACCTCAACCTCAATCTTTAGCCCTCAGAAATTATATTTTACCAAACGTACCGACTAACTTTTTCGTTCCGAGCTACATGACGGGAAGAAATAAGAATGATTAGAAATTACGACTCATCCACATCCACACCAAAAGTTATAATTTTTTAAACCGAACATATTCAAAAATTAGTTCTGTCGCAGAAGAGAAAAAGAAATAAACAAAACTTGGCCCTTCTCGACTTTGCTTTGTCCAGTCAAGCCGCTCTCCAACTTGGAGCCTCCAAGTCCTAGCTTCTCGCACAAAATGAGATTATTCACATCTCACGGTGAGATTCTCACCTACACATTTTCATATTTTTTGTATGTTTACTGCACAATAGTCTGAATTCCCTCAATTCTCGATAACATGCAAAATAGAGTAAGAGGAAGGAATTGCTACAAAACGAGTCAATACTAAGAAAATGTGAATGTGCAAATATGGACATTTAGTGCAATAATTGATATGTACGGTGTTCATTATGCATACATACAATTGCAGGTAATTCAGTTTATTCAAGACCAAAAAGAGTTTGAACAAAATTAGAAAAAAATGTGTAGGTATGTAGATCACAATTAATCCATACTAAACCCTGGCAGCATGAACCTCTTATTCTTCTCTGATTCCGGATGATACCTCTTCTGAGCCAAAGCTTTGCACCGTTCCAAGTACTGTTTCGCCAGTGGCATGTCGTGCGGCACAATACGCATTGAGCAGAATGTCGACAATATTTCCCTCCAGGATTGGAACAGTTTCACAGATTTCCACAAGTCGCTTGATCGTTGGCATCATTAAAAGATTAGGATTGACAAGATGTGTTGGCGACCATTCGTTCATATTGTCGAATAGTTGAGTGTGTTCTTTTGCGATCATTTGCATTTCCTTGTCCCTGTAGATGCAATCAGGCGGACAGATTATTCCATAAGTATTTTTCAAGTACAGTCGTGTGCCATCAGTAGGAATGGGATCCTTAGCGAAACGCTTATCATCCATGTAGATGTAGGAAGTGCAGATTTCCTCACCTGGTCCAAAATTAAATAATCTCATCAGCTTTGTAACTAACTATCGTAATTTCACCGTTGTACATATATTCCACTAATATTAGTGAGGAAAAATTCGTTCCCTAATGAATATGAGAATATTTTTCTAACTCGACATTATTACGTATCAGACAAATTTGAAATTTATCAGATTCTTATCAATTCAACATTGCAAAAAGCAATATTGCTTAATTGCTTTGTGTAAATACAATTTTGTGTTTCGATTCTCAGAGTCAATGCCCTTTTCTAAATTTGGTATTTTATGAATGTATCTTAGACAAAAAATATTTTTATTATTTGGAAATTGAAATCAATGTACCCATGTATTTTCACAGTTCGCATAATTTACTCAACCTCACCTTTTTCAATATCTTTCATCGAATACAAGATCATGACCTTCGACTCGGACGCAGAAATGGTGCCGGCATTTGCAGCACACTTATGATTAACTCTGGACATGCGGGCACAAGTAAAAATGGACTCCTCCGACAAACCAAACGAATTTAGGTTAACCTTGTCCTGAAAAGTTCCAGAAGCGGGTTCCAAGTCGTTGATAAGTCGGACTCCTATCTCCAAATCGTTTGTTCACCATGCATCCACAATAATTCTTGAGTTGGCTGGAATTTAGCGTAAGGCAATGACGCCAAGCCCTTTTCCTGCTACGGGAATGACCTTCCAGTCCAAATCTTCTTCGCCGCAGTTGAGGTCACACCATTTTTCGTGTTGTTGTCCATCACCGTTCCGAGCCCAGTCTACTTTTAGACATTCATCACTGCAGTAAGCTCGGCGGTGACATTGGCCACAAAGCTTGACATTTTCAGGGAGAACAGTGACGAGGCAGTAGGCACAGTGGCGATTTTCAGACGATGGTGCCGACATTTTACTTCCTTTCAAATTTTGAGTCGATTTTTATTCTGCAGCACAAAAAAAATATAAGACCGCTCAGGTTAACGTACCACTATATACATACTTGGGGTTGTTTAATAATAGTACTGAATATAATATAGTGAATTGTCAGCTTACATTTATTTAATAGAATCTCAGAAATATATTTCCAATTATTTTTTTATCCTGCCTTGCATAAAAACCTACTCCAAGCAACTTTGCGGGGCCTTTTAAGATGGCATTGATACCATCTTGGTAGTTAATGGCAACACATTTGGGTGGAAAAGACCCCCACTGGCCAACTACTTGGCCGATCATGCCCATCTCCGAACTCATCCTTACTTTTGACCAGTGGCGGCGGAAGATGACGTCATCGTGGGGACATTAGCGTTGCAGGATATAAGAAGGCGGGACTTCTCAACATTGACAGGATAGCAATGTCCCCCCGATGACGTCATCTTCCGCCGCCACTGCTTTTGACCCGAAGATGAAGTGTGCAAAATTTCAAGTCAATAGCTTATGTTTAAAGAGAGTTATCGTGCGCACAGACGGACGCACAGATGGACGGACAGACAGACATCTTGGTAAATCTATAAGGCCATCTTAAAAGGCCTAATAAAAGGCCTAAAAATCACGTCTGCTGGTCTGCTGGCTGCATGCTGGCTGGCTGTTGTCTCCTCTGGGTCTCAAACTTCCTGAATAGACGAGACAAACCGTCATGGTTACATTACATACACATGCAATGCAATATGAATACCAATAATTCCTGATTGGATTAAGTAAGATTTTTCATAATCCAATCAGTAACTATATTTACCTATGGGATGAGAAGACAAGTCGTTTCATTTTGATGGGCCACGTTCAAATTTATTTTTAGTCGCCCTCTAATTTTAATCTTATCCGCACCATTCGCAATAAATTGGTCGCTGGTCGCTGGTCCCCGGGGGACCATCTAAAAAAATGGTCCCCGAGGGACCATCAAAAAAAACTGGGGACCCTCGGGGACCATATTGGTCCCGGGGACCATGGTCCCCTGCGAGCTATGATCCGCACGTAGTTTTGGCGGCTGGAGATTCTATCACTATTATTTAAGAAATATCCTTTTAATTACTCTACGCCTTAATTATACCTGAAAGGATTAGGTCGTCCCACCTAGGTGGTACGACCTGTGTTTCTGATCTGGGGTAGGTGCACCTACCCCAGATCAGAAACAAAGTATTTCAAACACTGCATAAAAGCAATCAATGAAATCTGGCTGCCTTTGGCTCATTTTATACTCTGAAAATTTTATTCAACTCACGTATATATGTACGCCTCCTTGCATAAAACTCATAGAAGAAATTCTTTAGGACTCACACATTGTACCAAAGATAAAGAATAAGTAAAAACCTACATAATCCCAGGAGGGATTATGAAGGATATAATCATAAACCTACAATTCTCTGAAACAATTTAATACATTCGGCTAATCAAAATACAAAGGTTCTGTACATATGATTAAATACTAATTATTTCAAATTACATTAGTTTTCTGCAATTACATATTTTACAAAATGCAAATCCCGAATTATAGATCTATCACTTTCATCCTGGATCTTGAAAATAATACACAACTACAACACAATTCAACCAGCAACAAAGCAATTGATATGGTACACAAAACGAGAAATATGACACATATCCCGTACATATTTTCCACAAAGTCTAACTTCTTCCAAGCCTGTCTTAAACTTTGTGCAATTTTGATATATTTCGTGACACCTTTCTCCTTGGATAACTTGTACCACTTTTCCGCCAGACCGGAAGACATTAGGCCCGATATTCTCGACAGAACAATGTCGTTCCCCCAATTAAACAGCGCCCATCCCTTCGTTAATTTAGCCAGTGGTTGCACACTCTTACTAATTGCAAAGTGCGGATAAATCGCTTGCAAATGCGCGTGCACCTGAAGCACATGATCCGTCCAAGATGCCAACGCTGTCCCTTTTGGACCATTGCATTCCTTGATTAATTCCGTGAATGAAAAATATCCGGTGGAAATGTTCACATAATCCGGCGGAATTGTAGTAATATTTTTCAATTGTAGAATCATTTTGTAGTCCGATGAGTTACTGTCGTACTTGCGCCCCCATTCATCCCTCCCTTCCAAGAAATATTCAAATATAGATATGAGCGACAACGACTTGCCATACATGGACAAATCCTGGCCAGGTTTGGATTGGTTGAGGGCATTTATGTAGACTGAGGCATCAGAAGGGATGGTGTAAACGGAGAATTTATTTTCAATTAATTCCTCAAATTGTGTATATGTCGCCCTGGTGGGCGGAACAGTTTGTCGTTTGACGTACTCCCCCTTGTACGAGTTGGACAAAATGAGTCCTGCCAGAATCCACGTGGCGCAAATGATGTATGCAAAGTCAGAGTAGATCGGAATGCTGAATTGTTCAGAAAATCGTTTCGGTTTAGATTGATTTTTAGCCCATGCATTACTCTGCTCCAGCAGGGAACCGCACCCCACGAGTAGCAGTGTTGTTGAGAAGGTGTTCGCATCACTTCCCAGCAAAGTGTACCCAATCGATAGCAAAACACAAATCGCAGTACAGCTCAGCAACAAAAGGAGCCATGTCAGGTCATCCAACGGCGTCGCCAGATCACTAACGCCCACCAGACCCGAGCTTTTCGCACGACATGTTGTAAACTCTAATCCTTCACTTTTATAAGTTAGAATCTGACCCATAAATAAATCCATCAGGACGAGGGGAGCATTACTCCGGGTACTTGCAATTTGTCCGTTATAAACGTGCCTGAACAGTTTTGCATACTTGACATTGTCTCCAATGCTTTCAATTAGAGGAACCTCCTCACATCCGGTCTCCACTCCAGTCATGGTTGCATTATCAAATGCTAGTTTGAATAGGATTAAATCCAAGTTCATTCCTCGTGAATCGTACTTTCTGAAATTGAGGTATTTCACTGGCCTCCCGTGGTGATAAGCGGCCGCGGAAAGTCGAGCTTCTTGCATCGCGATATCAACCCCGTTTAAGGAGAGATGATTAATTGTCCAAGTTCTATCAACCACCCCAACGGTGTGCCCCGATATTGCTGCTTTCAGCGCTACAAGACTTATCAAATCTGACTTTGAAAGCAGAATGAATTTTGCGTGGCACGGGGTACAGACGTCGCATAGGAAATAAAACTGTGAGCCTCCCCTATCATCAAAATTCCACTTGTTTTTACCTGTACGTTTTATTACAATCACGTCAAACAAGCTTGCCGCTGACCATTGGCCACGCTTCCCGTCAACCAACGGTTTCGCCCAGGCGCCCCATTTCTTGGGATCCGTTACATTCGTAATGAGAACTTTGTGAAAATTGTATTCCGAAATTTTATACGGGATCGCATAATGGTCCAACCGCCCAATGTAAGAATAGCCCACGTTAATGTTCGGAATCCTCATCCGATCGGTGAATTGGACTATTCCAAAGGAGGAAACTTCGATTGGGGGGAACAAATGGAATTCAAACGTGCAGACGTGGTATGTCGCCCGGTATGCGATCGGAGACGAACTAAAGTTGTGATCCACGTCGGCGGAATAGAAAGTTTTATTAGTCCCATTATTTTCCCATGTAGTTTGATACACTTTTAATTTTACTCGGACAAGTGGAATACTTATTATTAGAGCCCAGTTCGTCCCTGAGTAGTCGTACAAAACAAGGAGACATGATTCTAATGTTTTTAAAAGATTGGTAAATTCGGGGGGAGGGTGAGTACTGGAAACATATCGTAGGAAAAATATAATAAATATTAGAACCCGTTTTGAAAATATATTGTCCATTTCTGCAATTAGTTTTGGATGTGATGCTAACTTGCAAATCGTTAAGATCTTAAATATTGGCTAGACAGTCAGTTATCTTGTACATTTGCTTGATAAAATGCTACCCATTGATCTTAGTAACGTTGGGTGTGGTATGATGAAAAATAATTTGATAGATAAATAAGGAATAGAAATTTCAATGCAACTTCAAAACGCCTTAACTTGACTTCGTATGAGGAAAGTTCCAAAGCACTGTTAACCTTTTCCCGACGTCGGGTCATTAAGTTAAAATAAGGTGGATACGTATGTATGTAAGTGGATTATGGTGAAAAATCTTAAGTATATATAAACTCACTTTGTGGATAAGTAAATAATAAATTTATTCAAAGTTATAATAAAATATCACATTATATTTATTAAATATACATACATGCATAGATATGTACGTATGTATGTATGTGTGTATGTATGTATGTAGACATTGCAGACATATCTACATAAATATGTCTACACGTGTGATACATGCTGGTATTTATATTTCGCTTATTAAACCATAGCGTACATATGTTTCCATAATGATAAATTTCAAGAAGTTCTTCCCTTGTTGCATATGTTAGGAAATCTCCAAATTTCCAAATCAGACCTTGTTATTCCCAAAATATTTTCAAGCTCATCATATGGCACGTGTAACTCTCGTAACTGTCTGCATGTAGAAATTGTCCCAATTTTTCTCTCCTTTTGAAGCAGGAATGTTTCAAACAGGTTTTGACACTTTGTTATCTCTTCATCTCGACTATATGCAATTTTGAAGTGATGCTTAATGTCCAATCTCAAGTATTGCAAGGATGGTAAATACTTCTCATAAAGGTCATAACACTTATCCGCGCCACCCTTACAGCAACACCCCTCCCTGAAATACACTCTCGGACAAAAAGTCTTTTTATAGTATCGATCTTTCAGTGTCCTTCCAGAGTCCCCTTCGCACAAAATTGTCAAATGTTTCAGTCTGGGCAAAATCGGAAGCTGGATTTCACTCGGGAAAAGCAGCATGGGCAGAATCACGCGAAGATGAACTAACGTCTCTGCATGTTTTGCTATCAATTGTTCGAAATCCTGGAAAACCCCCATCCAATTATCGTCCCCAGAGGTTTTAGTGTACAACCAATTCAGTTCTAATTTCGTTAATGGTTGAGGCAGGATGAGACAACAGCGCAACACTTCCGGGGTCGAATGTAAGACCATAATTTCTCTCAAATTTGTAAACCCGGAGGGATCGCTCTCAACTAATTTTGACAGTTCATCCAGAAAAAGAAGCGTCAACATTTTTGACGTGGCGAATCCCATCGATTTAATACTCGTAGGACCCAATATCTTCAAAAATGCAGCACACCATCCCTTATTCTGGTCATTTGCTTGAGTAACTGGGTTTGCAATGTGCTTATCATTGTCCATTTGTAATATTTCAAATGCGATCGTGACACTTTTTAACTTTGTAAAATTAATATTCGGAAACCCCAATGTTGCACACCCCCAATCACCCAGCATTTCGAGATGCTCCAACGTCTGAGCGACGCCATGGAGCAATCTGGTTCGTAAAGCAAGGTCTTGTTTCGAGCAAATGGCACCATTCATTCTCAGCGATTTGACATTGTGCGAATTTTTCTTGGGATTTAGCAAGACTGAAAAATCATGTCGAAATTTCGACAGTATATTTCTAACCGTGGGGTCCTTCAGATTGGAGAGCAGAGGTAGTCTGATGTACCACGAGGGATGTGAAAAGGTTCTCATTTCATGATGATATTGGAAGAAGCGCATGGATTCCTTGGCGTCACGATACGAGTCAAAATCAAAGGTTATGATGGATCGAGCTTTTATGTGAGACAACGCTTCTGAATTCCAGAGAGAGGAAACGAGTCGCAAAGTTTTTAATTTCTGGAGGTTAACATAGCGCAAAATGGTGTAGACAATGTTCCGATTATATCCAATTGATGATTCGCTACTATTGTTGGTGGGTTGCGAGTTTGGCACAGTTCTACTTGAATTGACAGTGCTAATTTTTAAAGTTTTCGATTGCTGAAAATAAAAACGAAGTTAAAAATTCAGTTTCAATTATTATGCTTAAAATTCCTACCTCAAAGAGAAAAATCGGAACCCCACCCCACTTTTGATTATATATTTCTATGTAAGAAACCATGTCGTCTTCCACGCTGCAATTTATTCCCAGTGACAAATAGTCGCCGTGATTGAGTTGCGTTTTTTCATAGATTTCGTCCCCATTTACACTCGTGGCGTTCCCTTCCAAAGGTGTTATCCAATAAGAACCATCTCTTTCGACGGAAATTTCGCAGTGAGACCCTTCCCCAACTTCGGAGTAAAGGCAAAATATAAATTCATTCTTTTTTTGGCGTCTTGTAAATCTTTTGCCGATTGTATACTGCAAAAAAATATTTGATTAATAAATTGTTTGACGTGAATATGCAAGGTTGAAATTATTATGTGTACCTTTTGTCCAGAAATATTAAACAATGTGCAAAATTCTTCACTAAAGTTTTCTCTTTTGATGCTTTGCAGTGCATGTAAATTCGTAAATTTGGTAACTCCTTCATTCCCAATCTTGTCGAGAATTAGAGTAGAACTGGAACTCAAATATTTTGAGAGGAATAGTTTACCGTCGCACATTTTAATTAAGCTTTTATTTAAAATTCATTCGTGTTATGCTTTTAATTTAGGTGGTAAAATGGGTAAAAAGAATTAAAGATTAAAGTTTAGCAGATGGCATGCAATTTGTGCACGTGGAACTGGTCCGGACTGGTCGAGGAGACGAAAAATGAAAGACATTTCGTCTCTGACTGAAATTAACGAGGTTCAATTGCGTAGTTGAGTGATATTTAAGTAGAAAACAAGTTATTCTACTCAACTGGGTTACATATGAATACGTATATAATTTGGATGGCATGAAATTGTCTATGTATTTATTAAACAGATAAATATTAAGGAGATAACAAAAACAAATGTGTGCGGCCAGTTAAGCCAAATACATATGTACGCAAGCGAACGTCTCCAAAGAGTCATGAATTATTCATTAAGAGCTGTTATTCCGTGACTAGAAAACTATTTATAAGCATTGGCCGCATGCATGCATATCAAGCGATTTAAACAACAATTTCTTAAACTAGTAAGATTTTAAATAATTAAGCCAAGACGAGTGAATGAATGATATCAAAGATGATTTTCATGAATGCATTGATGCAAATCAAATTCGTGTACGTAATGAACTTCAGTCCCTGTTACGATTGTACCATGTGTCAGTTCAGATTGATAAACAAAACAGAAATGTAAGCTCTGACGTAAATGCAAATTTATACCTTATCAGCTTTACTTTTCGATGTTCTCGTTTCTGGTCTCGTTTTTCATTTTAAATTCCATAAAACCTTATTTTTAAGTACATAATTATTGTATGGTTTGAGTACCCTCGCATGTTGCTGATTGACTAAAACGACATTTCACTCGGTTTCTGAACTTGCCTTCGACCCTGACCCTGAAGGAGGATAAAATCGGGATTAGACCAGCATTATTTAATGTAAAAAATCTGAAATAATTTTTTCTGAATCTGCTCATATTGTTCTTCGTACAACAGACGAGACATGACCTGGAAATTCTTTCCCCATTTTTATAAATATAAAACTAATTTGTATTTATGTATAAACATTATTGTGGAATTTTTATTTGCGAAATGCGAATACGAGTTTTTGGGTGAATCCCACAGGAAGCTTTTCGTCATAAAATTTACTTGATTAGATCAAAAATCTACTTACCTGGCTTGGTTTAAGGTTGATGAATGCTCAGATATGAACTGATGTTGAGTGGGTTGCTTGCTATACCCACTAAACCCATTTTTGCTCCTTCAAACCTTCACGAAAAATTAAATTTTTCACTGATTTTGAAAATTCTTTCATCCTATTCATTCATTATATGTAGTCCCAGATTATTTTCTTGTCATATTCATATCAAACTCAATTTCAATTATTTTTGAAATAGTGTAACGTCGCATGTCCGCCTACTCCACAATGTTAAATACGTGTATGTATGTAGATAACTAGTTACGTAATTTATGCACCCTCCCTAAGAAGATAAACTTACCTTTGCTCTCACAGATTTTGATACCCTTTTGGCATGTTATCCTCGGAGAATAGTAAGTAAGTCAGCCCCCAGTGGATAAGTTAGTTCAATTCCACTGGGCTGGATGCATGTGAAGGTCAAGAAGACCGGCAGTGGTCGATTTTACTCGGAATCGTATAAATTGTGATAATTATTACTAGAAATCTGGTTTTAAAATATAATCTAAGAATATATGTAAGATATAGCATTGTGTTATTTATGTGTCTGCTGCTTGGAAATCCAATTTCACAAAAATTTACATAGGTAATTTCAATCCGGAGATCTGGACGAGTACAAAGGTCACACATAAGCATCATACGGACAGGATAAGGTGGTAATTAAATCTTACGAATTTGGCATTTGGAATTTCACTTACCCAAACGTTTACGATACTCACATTTATTACAGTCATCCTCACTCCTCACTCCATAAAAATAGTACAATACAATTTTACAATTTTTTATCACGAAGCAAGCAACCGTGAACTAAGACAGTAAAATAGAGCACTATTATGGGTTGAACAATGTATTTAAAGTCTCAACTTTGTTGGTAAAGATAAATATGTATCGTATCATAACACCTAACTACCATACCGAAGTTGACCACAAGAATTGCTATAGTTTTGTACATGCATAGACGAAGAAATTCACATCTTGGTCCGGATGTCAGGTACTTGTGTATTCTAACGTCACTGTAAATGTTTATTTTGCGGATTACTTAAAACGGATGGCATTAAAGATCAACTGATTAACTGATTCCAGAATATTCTTCGCGATAAAAATTGAACAATGTTCATATCAGTTTGTTCACACTATGTTTGACCAACCTTGGCAAGACTTTTCTCTAAAAATCTCCGTGTTCCAGGCAAACGGCCAAGCTAACTCTAAAGTTGTATAATATAACTTATATTAATCATGCATTTGGGCTAATCCACTCCAGTCGTAATTCAGCTTGATAAGTACATACGCATACTCATTATCTCAATAAGATACTGTCTTTGTACTTAGTTGTCACAAATTTAAGGAGATAGTCCAGTGTTGCATCTTATTTTCGACATGAGTGGAAATTTCGGTACATGATACTCTTCCTTCTAATACCTTAAACCTTGGATTTAAGTAAATTGTAATTTTATTATGCAATTAATAATAGGATGTCAATTTTGGATAACGTATGCTGGAGATGACAAGGAGGCTTGGAAATGTATTGGGCTGGCACGCTCTGTTAAACGGACTTTGTCAACTCGACCACTCGGAGTCATTTTGTCCGACAATGTCTCACTTGACATGGGGTATGCATTTAATTAATTACTTATTTTCGAAAATTTACATCTAAATACAAAATTATAAAGTTATACAAAAATTGTATTACCAAAATTGTTATATAAAATATAAGGCGTCGTCTTCAATCTGAGTTTCAAATCTGTCACCGAATCGACCCATTGCTTCTCCAGCTGAACGGAATACCTTACCAATTTCGATCCACTGCAAAAATTTACGCTCAACAACTTCCACAACTGGATCACAGCGTCTTCATTGATTGTAACTGTCTCGCTTTAAAGAACTGTGACGAATTATTTCGACAAAACGGAGTTCAGTGGGTCAAACAAACTGGATCGGAATATGCCGCAATTGTGGTTCAATCATCAACGGTGACAAAAGAAAACAAGAAGACAAATATCGAGAAAATTGTTTCCAGAGAGAACGGATTGAAAGTAGCCACACCGAGTATGATTGATGTCGACGATCAGGAGTTTCATTACTGTATGGAAGTGGATTTTAGTGGGTAAAAACATTAACACCACAATTACAAATATATGAATGGGTTCTACTTATACAATTGTCATAAATTTTGTACATATTTTCATAATTATTTGTAGGGAAACTCCAACTCAACTGAGTGGGGATGAGATAAAAATGGTCTGTTTTGTCAATGAGAATCATCCATTGGAATATGAACGGGAAAAAGCGAACAATCGTGATGGATTTCTAAAAGAGTTGGCTAGATTTTGGAAGTCACTCCTGCCAGAAAACTTCGCTACTTCTCGTAAATTGCCTGTAAGTTGGTTAATATATTACAAGATTTACTTTGTTAGCATCATTGCGCGACAAGTGAAAATTTTGCTCAATTAACCATCCTTACTATTTAGATTATGCATATATTATTTCTAGCTTATTTAATTTTTTTGGTATTTACGGATTTACAAAATAATTCAGTATTTATTCAAAATGCCACACTATATGCAACATAATTATCCAAAATTTTCACAGCAGCTCTCAGCGTTGGACTCTGGTGATCAAATATTGTTTGATCAGCCCCCTTTCGAACTGAATAATTCCATCGCGATTGTCGGCATGGCGTGCAAATACCCAGGTGCCAACACAATTAGCGAGTTCTGGGAATTACTAGAAAACGGCACGGACTGCATTGTTCGCGTCCCTGAATGGCGCTGGACCAAGGAAAACTCGTACATAGTGATGGACGACGTTCGAAAAACTGAAGCTGGTTTCCTTTCTTGCCCGATTGAAGTGTTTGATGCTAAATTCTTCAATACGAATCAGGCTGATTTGGCATATCTCGACCCACAACAGCGTATTGCACTGAAAGTAGTTTGGGAAGCTCTTGAGCATGCAAGAATTGACCCGGCAACCCTGAAGAACTCATTAACTGGTGTATTTGGGGGGTATGAATATCTTTATTATTTACATTGGGGGTATTCATTACGAGTTCGCATGTTCATATCATAGCACAATTCACAAAAATTGCAAACTAAATAATAGTATTGGAGATGTGCAAGTGAATTTTTCAGCCAAAATTTTTGCGAATTTTTTTCTACGATTGTAACTATGCAAACTCGTAATGAATACCCATTATGCAAGTAAGTACTTTACCCATCAATGAAGGAAAAATTAATTACTAAACTAGTTTCTGGAGAGGTGACTATAAAGAGATGCTGCAACATCAAGGATTTGCTGGCACAGATTTTCTCCGAGGTTACATGGGAAACGCGTTGGGGCCATTGACGGCCAGAATCGCTCACTTCTTAGAGTTGATTGGCCCATGCTTTTCAACAGAAAGTGGCTGCTCGACCTCTATTGCGGGGGTCGATATGGCCTGCGAAGCCTTGAAAAATGAAAGAGCAGATGTTTGTATCGCCGTGGGAGTAAATCTACTCCTTCATCCATTTCCACTGATTGGCGGACTTATTGAGGGAGTCCTTGCTCCAGACGGTCGTTGCAAAACGTTTGACGCATCTGCAAATGGATTTGGCCGTGCAGAAGGTGCCGCTTCACTTATTCTCAAGCGGTATTCGGACGCAGTAGCTCACGGTGACCGAATTTGGGGTCTAATTCGTGGAACAGCGGTTGTGCAAGAAGGCATTTCAAAAAATATGGGGACTCCAACGGTCGATGTAGAGGCTACAGCGATGGCACTTGCACTACAGCGGGCAGCTGTAGACCCAGAGGATGTGGATTTTTTAGAAGCGCACGGGACGGGCACTGAGGTTGGCGACCCGATCGAGGTCGCAGCAATCGCAAGGGTTTATGGAGGCAGAAAATCAGACAATCCACTTACAATTGCATCAGTCAAGACACAAATTGGCCACACTGAATCGGTGTGTGGGATTGCAAGTATTCAAAAGACGGTGCTTTCCATGAAATATGAAAAAATACCAAAACATCTACATCTAAAAGTTCTAAATCCTGACATTGATTTGAGCAAAATCCCTGCGAGAATTCCAACCGAAATAATTCCATGGCTAAAAAGAACTAGTAAACCACGGATCGCTGGAGTTAATTCATTCGGGATAACCGGAGCTCAGGCTCACGTGATAATTCAGGAACCACCTGAACCAAGCCCAACCAAGCCAATTACGCTTGCTGATAATCGAAGTATGAAAATCTTAACATTTTCGGGGAAAACCGAAAAAGCTCTTCAAGCTCAGCTAGAAGCATATCGCAATCTGCTGCCAACTACAGATGCCGATTTGGGAGACGTCGAATATACAATGCACATGGGTCGGTCGCATTTTGCTTTTAGACAAGTAGCACTTGGTAGCACGTCGGAGGAAGTCTTGACCTCGATTGAAAATATAAAATCCTTCAACTCGATTCCAAACCTTGCTCCAAAAATCTGCTTCCTCTTTACCGGGCAAGGTTCTCAGTACCTAGGAATGTGCAAAGCTTTATACGATGACAGCGTCGTATTTCGATCAAACTTTGACAAATTGGATTCAATTTTACAGAAAGAGCACAACATTGAAATTAAAGAAATAATTTGGAATTCAAATTTAGAAACCAGTTCCATACATTCAACTTTATTCAGCCAAACGTCAATATTTTGCGTCGAAATCTGCATCCTTCGTCTCTGGGAATCTTGGGGTGTGAAACCTGATGCCGTCTTGGGCCACAGTTTAGGCGAGTTCGCAGCATTAGTTGCGGCTGGAATGATGTGCGTCGAGGACGCTTTAAAGCTTGTGGTCACACGATCGAAGCTAATTGACGAATTACCACGTGGCGGTATGCTTGTTGTAGGATCGGAGATCGAACAAGTACAGAAAGCTTTAGATCAGGCAGGACTCGGGAAAGGAAATCCAAACGGCTTGGAGATTGCTGCTGTAAATTCGGTCACCCAGACTGTCGTTGCTGGAGACCTCGTCCTAGTAAAGAAATTTAAACTGTTTTGCGATAATAATTGCATTAAAACTCATGTGCTGGACTCGACCCATGCTTTCCACTCAAGGCACATGGACCCCATTCTGGAGGAGTATGGACGAGTTGCAGCAGATATGAAATTTAAAGAATCCAACTCCAATGTCATATTCGTATCAGCGGTAGAAGGTAAAATCATCCAAAGAATTGACGTCAACTATCTCATAAAGCATACGAGAGAAAACGTGAAATTTATGGAGGCGTCGCATGCCGTGGTAAAAGATGGGCTTGGACTATTCGTTGAAAATGGACCACAACCAATTTTATCATCTCTTTTAGCCTCAAATTCAGAAGAGGTTAGTGATTTAAAATAGTTTCCCCCTTGCGTTCTGAACCAACTATCTAGTATATAAATAATTCTGGTTTGTAGATTTCGGACAACATAATTCTGCTGCCATCAGTACGCAGGAACGAATCTAATTGGGTCACCATTCTTGACTCGATGGGAAAGCTGTATAAGGAAGGCATTCCAATAAAATGGGAGAATTTCCATCGTTTCACATCCGCAACCAAAATTGACCTACCGGGTTATGTTTTCGACGAGTCACCCCATTGGATAAAGATTAAGGATGACGGAACCGTCCCTTTTCATCCACTGCTTGGCTCGTACATTCCAAACGCCTCTGACGTCACTATCTTTCAATCAAGTGTTAATGTGAATCGCGTCCAGTTCTTGCGGGATCACCGACTTGGCGAAAAGATAATATTCCCATGTGCTGGCTACCTCGACATGTGCTTGACTGCTGGATACGCAGCGTTGCAGTGCGACGAGGGAAAGTACAGAAAACCAACCACATCTCTTGCCATTCAAAATTTTTCAATAGCATCTCCAATATGCATGAGTGAGATGCATAGTACAGAGTTCCAGGTGTGTATGGATCTAGGTCTTAATTAGACTAATATTTGCACTTGCTAAATACTGCAAACATGAAAATGTATCTAAAATATTTTCAATGTCGATTTTTAGGTTGTTGTATCAAAAACTCTCGAAGGGGAAACAACAGTAAAAGTGAACTCGCGTTTATTTTTGGAACCATCAAAATATAAATGGATTAACAATGCGAGAGCCAGATTCGTCATAAATTCCACCTCCCCCGAAAATCATTTAACAAATTTCCATGGACTGAAATCCAGAATATGCGAACCTATCAATGAGTCATTCGACTATGAAAAATTAAAAGAGTATGGATTTAATTTTGGCCCATCAATGCACACCATTTGCAATCAGAGCTGGAAAAATCCGGAAGCTGACTCTGGCGAATATATTTTTTCCTTCAAGTGTAACGAAACTGTTGAATATCTGGATAAATTCATCCTCCACCCTTGGGTAATTGATGCCACGTTCCAAGCACAAATTCTGGGAATGACAATGCGCAGAGATAAATATATGATCAAGGGCCAATTGATCGTGCCTATTCAGATAGAAAAATTTATCTGGTGGGGAGGCTCTTGCTCATCTGGATACATATATTCGAAACACTTGGATGGCTGTAACGAAGCCCGCATTTATAGCGAAGAGGGAATCCTAATAGCAACTGTGCTCGGAACGGAATTTATGGAGACGACCCTCAATAATATAATGGCTATGATCGACTCCCAAAAAAATCCGTTGCCAACTATTACAGAATATGTTTGGAAAGAACATCTTGGAACGAGAGAAAGAAGAGTTGTCGTCGATGGGGAAGATGCAAAGTTGCAAAATATTGTAGGACCTGTCGAACCCGTGCATTTAACACCTGATGAGGGAACTGTCTATAATAACTATGCTAAGCACGGTGGACTGTGCATGCTTAAAGCAATGAAAGAACTTGGACTCGATCAGTATCAACAATTTATGTGGCCTGAAATAGCGCAAACGTTGAAAGTGTCTCAAAATTTGCACAAGTTTTTGCGCTATATTCTTTTGGAGCTGGTCACAGACGGTTATCTGGTTCTGGACCCCGATCAAAATCGTGACGCATCGGTCCTTCATTTTTCGTTATCGCTAACTCTACCCTTCCCTACTTTGGAGAAAATTTGTTCAGATATTTCCACTTCAACTGAGACCTGCCAGACTGTAAATTATACGTGGACCAGCACAATGTCTGAACTGTGCAAGTTTTGGGCCGTATTATCAGACATCCTAACTGGAAGGCAGCAAGCATTACAATTACTTTTTGAAAGTAATTCCAACCTACCAGACGAAAGATGTTTAGCCGACATGTTTTATGCAAATTCATTTTTTAAACATACAACTGACAACCTTGTTAGCATTGGATCACGTATTCTAGAACGCTTTCCATCAATGGGTGTTAAACCCATGGCTCGAGTTTTAGAGGTTGGAGCAGGTGTTGGTGGATGCACAGAATTAGCAATTGTTGGAATGAAAAATGGTGGTGTCTCGAGCTATGAATACACATACACCGATCTGTCTCCAGTTTTCTTACAGAGAGGGGCAACCATTTTTCAGGACACAGGGATCTCAACAAAATTTGAAATTCTAGACATTGAAAAGGATCCTCTGCAACAAGGATTTGTTCCGCAGTATTACGATGCCGTACATATTGGTTTTGTTTTGCATGCAACTAAAAACATTGAGGAATCATTACTCAACGTAAAAACCTTGCTTCGACCGGGGGGATACGTTTTTCTTTTTGAGCTTGTGGGTCAGTCGAGGGACGTCAATCTGACGTTTGGAGGCTTGGAAGGGTTTTGGAGGTTTGAAGATATTCATTTACGACCCTGGAATTGCGAATTAGATCAATATGCATGGCGTACTTTATTAGAAAAGCATGGCTTTATAGACTGTACAATTGTACTTACTCCCTATGGAGCATGTGAAATCATCGCTCAACTAAGCTTAGATAGTGAATCTCATTGCGAACAATTATCAGTGCTCCCAAGGCGTATAACACGCCAGCCGAATTGCTGGCTTCTGTTTGGTGGACAAGATTCAATAACACAAGGTGTAAAACATAAATTCGAGCTAAACGGATTTGAAACAAAAATTATACTGTTAGAAGATGTCAAATCTACTGGTCATGATATGGAGGAGGATATAGCTAACTTATTTTCATCGTGTACTTCGGACATTAGCGGGATTATTTACATGTGGAGTTTGGATCCCACGGTTACTACAAAAAATACGTGTGAACCATTCCTTTATATATGCAAACAACTACTTCAAATTACAAACTTTCAGGTGCTCGTAGTAACAAATGGGTGCATGAATATTGGTGCAACCGATTATTACCAAAATACTCCAACGGCCTCACCGATTGTTGGAATGCTTCAAGTTTTGGCAAATGAGAACATGGAAATAAAGTGCAAATCATTGGATATCGATGATGGAGAGTTTGTGGTGGACGAAATATTTTCTGAAGTATTCAGCGGAAATATCGACACATTAGTAGCCTACAGGAATAACAAGAGGTATACTCCACGCCTTAAGAAAGTAAATATGAAAAAATGTCCGCTTGACGTTCCTCCAACGCCTAATACTCGCCTCATTGCGCCCCCGACCAACTTAATTTCAGATTTGTACTTCGCACCCTTTGAGACCCTGCAACTAACCGAAGGACAGGTTGAGGTTGAAATTAGGGCATATGCGCTTAACTTCTTAGACGTACTTATGGCTACAAAACCTGACCCTATCTTTACAACGTACAACACTTTAGGAATGGATATTACCGGGGTTGTGACAGCACTTGGACCCAAATGCAGTGAACGAAAAATTGGGGATCGTGTTATTGTGATCCGGCGTTCTGGAGACTCGCTACCCAGTCGTATCGCATCCACCGAGGAACTTACGATACCCATCCCATCAGATATGACTTTTAATGATGCAGCAACACTACCAATTGCATCACTAACAGTCTACTATTCCTTAGTACATCTGGCCAAAGCACGAAAAGAAGACGTTATTCTTATTCATACAGCGTCTGGCGGAGTTGGACTTGTTGCTATTCAAGTTGCCAAGCAGATTGGCTGCACAATAATCGTCACAGCAGGAAACCTCCGGAAGAGGAACTATTTAAAAAGCTTAGGCTTGAAGTATATATTCAATTCAAGGTCGACAAAATATGAGCATGACATCAGGCAAGCCCTTGGGGGAAATATGGTAACTATAGTTCTAAATTCAATAACAGGAGAAGGATTTAAAGAGGCTACATTATCTGTCTGCCGAGAAGGTGCAAAGTTTGTTGAAATGAGCAAAATGAATATTTGGAGTAAGAAGGAGGTTCATCTGATAAGACCGGATGTGATCTACAACAATATTGATGTATCAATTCTGCCAGAAGATGAATTAAAAATGTTGAATAAAGAACTACATACTCTTATGCAGGGAGGATTTAAGGACGGCAATAAACGTCCTACGCCGCTTCCGTACACTTCTTTTGAATCAAAACATATTAGAAATGCATTGGAATATGTGGAGAAGGCAAAGCATATTGGAAAAGTGGTCATAACAATGCCAGAGTTGGACAAAGGAAGTAATCAATACAAGTATCGATTATTCAACAAGGAAGCAACATATCTTATAACGGGCGGACTTGGAGGAATTGGACTTGAAGTTGCAAAATGGATGAGTGAGGTTGGTGCGAAAAACGTACTTCTAGTCGGTCGCAGCGCCCCAAAATCAGAAGCTCTTCGAACAATTGAGCTTTTGAAACAAAAGGGTGTTTCAGTCAATTTCAGACAAGTGGACATTGGAAATTTTCATGAAGTGAAGAATCTTTTTAACGAATTTGTTCCGGAAAATGGGATGTACCACATCAGAGGAATTATGCATGCTGCAGGAGTTTTAGAGGATGGAACATTGGAAAACCAAAATTGGGATAAGTTCGAAAAAGTATATCAATCAAAAATACAAGGAGGATGGAATCTCCATAAAATTAGCGCCGAACTGAAATTTCCATTGGAACACTTTGTTGTATTTTCGTCAATGGCTACTACCTTTGGTGCTGCTGGACAAAGCAATTATGCATCTGCAAATTATTATCTCGATGCCTTGGTTCATTACAGACATAGCCTTGGATTGCCAGGATTAACAATAAATTGGGGACAGTGGGGACAGGTCGGACTGGCAGCAAATATATCCAATTCAGTTTACAAACCATTTACTGTACATCAGGGAATTTCCGCTTTGGAATATGCTATGAAAAGTCATAACTCCCATTTACAAGCTTTTGAGGCGGACCTTGGTACCATTAAAAAGCTTGTGCCATCAGCACGAGGCCTTCTCGCTGATATTGAGGTAACTACTTGCTTGGATACTGAAAATATCGACGAAGAAGAATTTTGGATGCAATACGACTCATGTACAGGAAGAAGCCAGAAACTTGATGTACTCAAGAAATGTATTACTAGTGTTATCCGAGGGACACTCAAAATGAATAAAGATGATCTCATAGATGAGAACACAAGTTTTCAAGATTTGGGTCTTGATTCCCTTATGCTAGTGGAGATGAAGAACAGTCTTCAAACCTCAATAGGGAAGCGCGTAAAGATATCCCTGCATGCAGTGAAGGACTGCAAATCAATTGTGGAATTGTCAAATCGACTGGTGGAATTGATATCTGGGGAAGACGATCTTGTAGACTTAACAACAAGCGAGCTTCTTGAACTTGCCGAAGAAGATGCACACCTTCCTGACGATATTCAAGTGGATGAACTCGTTATCAATACGTTAAGACCTGTAAGCAGAATATCCACTGTTCTGATAACTGGGTCAACAGGAACTCTGGGACCTTACATACTTAGGGAGCTTCGAGAAAATTATCCATTCGTTGAAAAAATTTATTGCTTAATGCGTCCAAATTCTTTTCTATCTCATGAAGATAGATTTAATCGTATGATGCAAGGAAAGAACTTAATTAGTCAGACTCACCTTGACGGATGGGTAGAGGCAATACCTGGAGACGTGGGGAAAGACATGATGGGGTTAAATTCAACAATGTATGCCAAACTTTGTGAAGAAGTTGACGCAGTTATCAATCTAGCAGTGAAAGTTTCATACCAGGAAAAATATAATGCCTCGAAAAATATTGGTAGTTGCCGAATTATTAATGTTCAAGGATTCAAAAATGTCTTGGAATTTGCTGTGTCGAAAAAGCTCAAACACGTTTTCTACTCATCGACAACAGGGGCCCAGACAGACCTTGGAGAAGATGGATTGTACTCTGAGACTTGGTCCACGCTGGATGAAATTCAATATATTCCTAATTCTGCGTATCTAATATCCAAACGGATTTGTGAAGTCTTAGCAAGTCAAGCTATTGAAAGGGGTATTCCTTGCAAAGTTTTTCGGATAACAAACATTGGTGGCGATAGTGAAGTAGGTGGTAATATCCAACTGGACAACTTCTTGATGATTCGATTCTTGGCATATATGTATCTTGGCTTTATGCCTGCACATAATGTGCCTCTTTGCATGTTGCCTGTCGATTTGTGTGCAGAATTTTCAATGAAATTATTTTTCAATGAGGAGGCTCCCAGTGGATTGTACAACATACTTAACCCAGACTTAGGTAACTAAACACATTTACTGTTTCTATCTACTTACGTATTGGAATTACTCATTAATTTATCGATCAAATTAAACAGACGATGAACGTGAATTTGATGAAGTTGCATTGGAACTCGGCGTAACGGTTGATGTGCTGGAACCTGACGAATTCTTTGGTCGCTTAAAATCCATGGACGATAGTGACCCAATGCATGAGTTTATTAAACAAATTATAGAATACCAGATATATGTGGATAAAGTTGAAGAGAGGCCTCCTGGGTTCTATCTGCCATGGCTCCAAGGCAAGAAAAATATTACTTGGAGCAAGAAATTGGCTCAATTTATACCTGATGTTTACCCCTCAAAGATAATGTCATCTTGGGATGTGCTAAAAAAAGATTTAGCTACAGCAAAACGGAATGGAATCTTCGACCGATACCGAATTCGGTATTCCAGTTGCACATAAATTATTTGGCGTGTTTATCATGACTGGACTCAATATTTTCACGATGTCCATCCATTAATTAAAGTTTATTTTTTTAAATCAAGCATGCATCAGTGTACATTAGCTAACCTACTCATACAAATATACATATGTATTTATGTATGCATAAAGCATTAAGGTTTGAAGATATAATAAGAATAACAAATCGGATTATCTCCTCAAACATATTGCCCGATACAATTTTCATATGCATATTGAAGTGTTTAGTTCCAAGATAGAAACTTTTCAGTAAATAATAATTATTAATTAGCCGGAATTAGTGCCAAGAGGTGCAGTTTCATAGAAGTTTTCAGAGCAGGAATGTTACCTAGTAATATTGCTGACAACATGTATGGATACATAGTACGTACGTAGCAAAAATAATACTAAACATAATAATGATATTCATTAGTCCTTAGTATCTTTAGTATTCTTCGTATCGTAAAATAAGTTACAAGGTGTTGTAAGCGTCGTACTCGTAAGATTTTGTCATCAAGAGTCTCATTACTAAGCTTACGATTTTTACGAAGCTTAAGCCCTTCTTTCTTCTTCGTACTTAAAAATATTTTATGATACTAAGGATGCATAGGAATAGGGCATATCCTCAATGAAAATAACTAATTATGCAACAAATAAATGTAAATTTTTGCATTCACAAAAAGTTTTGAGTAATACCAATATTATTTTATTTCAACGTAACATCAAAACGCTAGTAATATTTTAATAACTTTTCCAAAAGGTACAACGACCTTCAAATAAATACCCGCTAATTTTGTACATTAATTATGGTAGAGCTTAAGTCTTTCTGGGTTATATATGTGTGTATGATATATATTTAATGTAGCCTTGATTTCAGCAACGAGATCTACATACGTATGTACTATTTAGTAAAAGGCTATCAGGAAATTCAACGGTCTAATAGCTCGCGTTTAAGCTATAAATTAAATTATAACAATAACAATTCCGACCTAAAAGAAAAGAGAGTGTGGTTTGGAATCAAAATTGTCCGATTCTAAATGGATAAAGTCCCTGTCCGGGGCATATTTGAGTGTTAAACTTGGACATGCCTCTCGCATCACGTAAATTCCAGAGACCTAACGATACAAAATATTTACAATCCCTACTTAATTGAATATCGTCGCGCAGAAACCAATCACGGTAATAATAAATATCTTACATCATTTTCCACCGTTATATGAAGATACCTCAAGGCAGGCATTTCTGCAAATACATAACGAAACGCAATATCTCCCACAATGTATTTCCTACCAGAAGGTTTTAAGGAATAACTTGTCTTTTCATATCCCCCATGAATTGTAAGTTCACGAAGACCTTAAAAATGAATTATGATAATAATGAACAAATATTTTGTCATTAATCTTGTTAACTATATATGTAGCTCACGTCTGAGACGGGTGATGGGGGGCTCTTCCGGTTTGGAACGCATTCCTCGACTACCCGATGCTGCTGCTATATTCATTTGCTTAGAATCGAATCCTGTGAGTAGTTGTTCTAAAGGGATATCCAAGTCCGAAGGTATATAATTGGGGGGTGGATGACAACACAGGATAAGCGATTCCAAGTTGGAACACTCTGTGGAGATGTTGAGATGTGCCATCCGGCTGTGATATCCTATACAAAGGTGCCTCAAATTGGGAAAGAGGTGGTCAATATTTGCATGAACAGAGTTATCATCTGTGCAGGATGGTAATTCGAGACTGGTCAGGTTCGGGTGTGGCATGGGTGAGGCAAGAAGTTGTGCAGAAATATTACCATCTTCAGACATTTCTGATTCGTGGAGAATGATGATGGTTTTCAAGGAAGGGAAAAAAGAGGGAAGATTCACAGGGACTAACTATATCAATATAAATATATATATACTTCAATTCATACAACAGAATTAATCACTGATACGTATTTCACAGTTTACGAGTACCCAGTAAATTTGTTACCTTTATGTTGGATCTTTTCTCTACACCGATCTTAAGAAGGGTTAATTTTGGCATTGACTGTGGTATTGAAAACGAAATCACTGGGCATACAGGAGTCCACCATCCATCCTTCAAAAGTTCTGGCATACTAAGCGTCTCAAGGGTTGAGGACTGTGTATTTAAAAATTCGCCAAGGTCATGCGCATCACTTGGAGAATTCAGATTCACTGATTCAGCCATAAAATGCTTAAGGTTGAAAAATTCCTTAACGCTTTTGAGAACATGGATCATCCTACTGTGTACAAAGCTGAGGCAAAGTGTGTCCAAACTTTCCAACCTATTCGTAAGTCGTTTCATTAGTTCATTAGCTCGACAAATAAGTTCAACTCAGAAATACAAATTATCTATGTGTCTACCTGCCTTCCCACATCCCTTAATTCGTGCAAAAAACTCTCCACGCCGGATTGAAGGTCAGGACGAACTTCCATATTAAGGTTAACTTCCTTTATCTCTGGATCAGGGCCAAGTCCCTTAGAAATCGGGACGATTCTATGTATGAGGACGATGTATTGTCATGAATGGTTAAATTTGAAATTTTTGTCCTAGGTGGTGAAGCCGCCTCTATAACCGACAAAAATCCACTGTCGGGAATTTGTCCGAGGTCGAAACTTTGCAAATTGGGACACTGAACTAAAAGTAGAGTTTTTAGACATGGCAAATCCACATCGTTCCGTTCAATCTGAATATAAGTAGATTTGCATATATGTGCATACACATATTTTTTAAAATCATCTCATGCATAAAGTATTTCATAGCATACCACGTTGTGTGTTAGTTTTGAAGTTTTAATTTCTGAGCCACATTTCTCTAAAAATTTCTGCATCTCCAAATCTTGGAAAGAAATGTTATGAAAGCAAAAGTTGGTGAAGTGGAGCGGCGATCCAGAGTCGATGAGAGAAATGTAATCCAAGATCCGATGACAATTACTGGTGACATCGTTTTGTTCATCTGAAAATATAAATCACTGCAAATAATTGTACTCTATGAAGAGACAAAAAATCAGTTAATCTGTAAACTCTACCTCCTGGTTGCTCAAAAATTATCTGGGTGTCGCATACTTTCTTTAAAAATTGACCCTCTATCACAACCTTGCGCCATTGTCGACAAGTGGAAAGGCAACTTATAATCGCGGATTTCTCCAAATTTCGAAATATGTTTTCCAAAATCTGCAATACATAATAATATGCAATATATCCGAAAATATTGGCGATAATTTATTCTTGATTATACATAAAGTGAGTAAGTTATGTACTGTGCGGATGGAGTTAAACTCACGAGAAACCCTAGTCTCAGCACAAGGTACTTCAGGAGGCCGTAGGTTTAAGCTCCACCCGCACAGTACATAACTCACTCACTTTATGTATAATTAATCAACGAGAGACAGTGAATATCAGAAAATATTAATTGCACTAATTACCAAATCGACCTGGAGTGGACCTTTAATTAAGGGCGTAGATTTTGAAGCCATGATGTGAAAACGCCTAGAAAATTTAAATTTCTCATGAATTTAAATCAAAAATTAATTTAGGAATGCAAGATGAAAATGAAAAATAAATGTCAGCTGCTTGCCGGGTATGAATGCGATTTGTTATTCTCTTTGTTGACTTGACATTCCAGATCATTTCTCTTTGTCAAGTTCATATTATTCCCTGTTTGCATAAATGTCTATGCAGTGTTATTGTTCCGTCCCTCAGTTTTATATTGTTTCATCATTCATCAATTATCTAATTTACTTCACCTGGCATTATGCATCATGATCCTTATTGTTTATGAGAAATCTCAGTTGCTAATATCCAGTTCGACTCCGTTATAAATATGTATGCAAAGACGCATGTACATATTTACATATGTATTTAGATACTTGCGTCCGATTCCCATTCTCTGAGAATACAGTTCTATTCTATACCCAAATGAATAAAAGTAGGATAATACGATTTATAAATCCAATAGCAGTGATATCATAGCACTAAATGTAACTGGGATTAAACCTATAATAATTAAATATTCTGATATGCTCGCCATTTACAAATGCAAATGTCCTTGCTGCAAACTAAAGAATGTTCACTAATTAAAAATGTCAGAGCAAACAATCCGTCAATATTTATTTAACGAAATATGTCTATGTTATGTACATATGTAGTTCCGCTGACTTTTACTACATGAGATGGGGTCACTATTTCAATTAGTTTTTTTGTGAAGAACTTATTCGATTCGATGGACCCGAAATTTGTAATTCATTTTAGAAATTTGATATGTATATAACAATCATATATTTATAGATGGTTGTACGCATACAATATGTACAGTGAGCACAGCTTCAATACATACCTAAGGAATACTATATAAGGATTATTATATACACTACTTACTTAAATTATTAATCTTGTTACGCAATCATTTCAGTTAATATAATTGACAGCATTTCCATCCAAACTCCGCGTACTCTGATCAACAAGACCAAGATCTTCAACCGTATTAATACATACATACATATTTTATTTAGTATTGCTGTCTCCCTTAACGAGTCCTGAATGCCATCATAGAAACACTTGACCTAACCAGAATCAAAAACGCAATAAGGTACTAAAGGACTGCATATGTACATATATATGTACATATATGGTGTACATACATATAAATCTGTGCTATATACACAATGTGTACAGGATGGGATACAAATCATTTCTAAAATTAAATTACCCTATTACAAGATCAATTTAAGTTTGTTAACTCATTGTACTCCAGAGTCTAGATTCTGATTTAAGCATTTATATATTTGCATACTGCAAGCCCTGTCAGGATTAAATGCTGACTTTATTCTTAGATGAGGCCATAGTTACTATATCGAAAAAAATCATCTAAGTAAGCATTCACTACAGGTCTGAAAAGCTTAATTTTTTCAGATCTCCGTCGATTTCCAACCGATTTTAATGAAATTTTGTCCAGAGTTAATTATGGCTACATCGAGTAGAGCCCTGATTTGGCCGCCTGAAGCATCCAACGGTTTATGAGATATTCAATAGAAACCCAACCAATAGTGTGTTTTTTGGAGATTTGAAAAAATTTAAGGCATGTATGAAAAAAGTACACGGATAAAAAGCTGATACATTTTTTCTATAAAAATACAAAATTAAAATTTTCCAAACGGTTTAAAACTGAGAAAGTTTTGATGGTGGTGAAATGTGACCGCTCCCACCACCGCCCAAAGGTGAGTTGCTAAGGTCGGCCCAGCAACTTTTCAATTCAGAACACGATTGCTTGAAATTTAGTATCTAGGCTACGCTTGGGTCTCTTGAAAAATGATGAATGATGAAGTCTCTGAATTTCATCGTTGTTTGGGAAAAAGTTATCGGAAATGTACCCAGTCGGATTTTTGGGACATTTTTGGGAGTTCATGGGACCTTTGACCTTACTTTTCAATACAAATAAAAACTAATAAATAAAAGAAACCCAAAAAAGGAAAGCTTAGATGAGGCTAAGAAGTTCGATAAAAAGTATTTAATAAATTTCTTCTCCAGTCAAGGATATAAAATTTTAATATTTCCAGCATCAGCGCCCCATTTCACTTCAAACTGACTAAATTGCATAAGCAACATGTTTTGTATACATATTACTAAGGAAAAGAGTCGAGTCTATTAGGTCAGACCTGTATATCATGTGTCCACTTTCTGTATATTTGCAAGCATTCATAATTTTTAGCGACAAGAACAATTAACACATGATTTTAAAAATTATCTCTGCATCATATTTGAGATTTGATGCATATTTGTATGTGCATGGTAGTGAAATGGGGCGCTGATGCTGGAAATATTACAATTCTATATCCTTGACTGGAGAAGAAATTTATTAAATACTTTTTATCGAACTTCTTAGCCTCATCTAAGCTTTCCTTTTTTGGGTTTCTTTTATTATAACTGATTACACTAAGGTCCAGCCAGGCCAGGACTGCGTATATCAATTAAGAATCTGTAAAAAAAATCATATGCATACTTTCCTCAGATTATGCAACACATGTTCATAACTTTTAAAACCATTCTGCAAATCATACTTTCAAAAATTCAATACTCCTTGTTTATTTTCGTAATAAATATGTCATTTACTCGTAAAATTACTACTCGATATTCCAAACTTTTACTGTGTGTTATCCTTACATGCACCTGGGTAAATCTGGTAATTTCCACTTCCGGTAACGATAACAGTGTCGACGACCAGAAAGTTTATATCTACTGGTCAAATTATTTTGTCGATAACAAATTGAATACCGGTTTTCATGGTAATTAATTAAAGCACCTAGAATTAAAATATATTTACTTACATTGAAGCTTTTTTGAAGCTACACCGAAATGTTCTAGTGAGTATTATCAAAAAATTAAGCCAAAAATTAGGAATCACATGGCGCTTATCCTTCCGTTGAATGACCCTTTTGACGAAAAATATTGGCAGAAAAGTTCAATTTTCGAATTAATTTTCTCTCACTGTTTCCTTCACGGGGCGAAAAACAAGACGAGCGCGTGACTTTGCCCCCAATATTTTTCTTCAAAGGGGTCATTCAACGGGAATACGAGTGCATGTGATTCCTAATTTTTGGCTTGATTTTTTGACATAACTTGATAGGAAATCCCGGTGTAGCTTGAAAAAAGGTTCCATTGTAAGTTGGATACATACATACATACATACATGCAGTTAATATATACCTAACTTTCACCACAGCACAGCCAATTGACCTCAATTCTTGCCAGGAAACAGTGCCCCAATCCGAAAACGGAAAAATCGCTATGATTTATACAAGACAAAAGTGTCTCAATTATTACCTCACAAGTAGAAATTGTCAAGGCCAATTCATTCGCTACTTTCCTGGACAGGTTGAGCCTGTCGTTGACCCAATGCGGCATTATTTCGTGGATAACAGCACATTGGTTGCGCAGGAATTAAAGTTTTCCTCCATCGGCCCATGCTATGATCGATGCGATCCTAGAAACTGGGAAGGTCTCGAGAGGTCACAACCCATCAAAGTGACCCTCTTCGCCAGTGCAGAATATAAAGGTTATTTTTAATTTCAATTAATTAGAGCACTCACTCGGATCTTTGTAACTCTGTAACATCACGTTTACAAAAGTTTACAAAAGTGTCAAGAAAATTTAGGTAGAAAGTTTTTATAAAATATCTATTTCGAAATCTTTATTCTGAAGAATTCATCTTTGACCTAGGTGTGCTGGTATATTTATATTTTACTTTATGAAGTAATGCTAGTATTTTTTAAGCTTTGAAAAACTACTGTGTTACCAAGGTCCGCATGAATTGCCCGAGGTTGCTGATTTATATATGAGAAATGTTATAAACAATAATAATGTAAAATTTTGTAGGAAACTCTGCAAATTTACTAATCCCTGATGAAACGTGTAAGAACATTCCCTCATCAGTAAGCGGATATGAATCAATCATAATTTCCGGAGATGAATTCAATTCATGTGTCGAACTCCACGTTCAATCCGATTGTACCGGTGATTTCACCCAATTGCGACCCGGTTATCCAGAATTAGATGATTTATCATTTTATGGACTTGGAAATGCAGATGATGCAACGGAAGCTAAAGCAATGTCACTCTGTGGACTGAAATGTAAAAGGAAATATGTCGACAAAGTACAAGTTCGTGGTAAAGAGAAGATGCGAAATCCATCAAGTTCGCCAATCACGATACCTTTGACAACAACACAGACGACTATGCTGGAAAATAATTCGGGGCAACTTCAACGTAAGGACAGCCGTGCAGGAAGATTTCCAGAGTGGTTAATATTTGTGGTGCTATTTGTCGGCATGATCATTTTCGTAATTTTTACTGTTATATCATTTGCATATAAGAAGAAGAAATTCAATCAAAGATTTAATCGACGTTCTGACAAGTTTGAAAATGTTGCGTGCAATGTGAACGCTTAATTCGTTTCAAATCGAATGAAACTAGATAAGTGACTGCGTATTTGTACTTGTGATTAGTTATTTTAGGGGTATTTTTTTCGGGCCGTCCTTAACACACAGATACATATGTATACGATATCTAACTTTGATAACTCAAGCTAAGACGGGGCATTGGTATGAATGAATATTTTAGCCTAATGAGTTAGAAAACCTATATTCCTGGCCAAATTTAATCGGTGAGTTTAATTACTCGTTCACCTTATCTTTGAATCTTATACATACATAATATTTATACTTGCAACGAGCAAAATGGTCTTTACAGAGTTGAGACGCCTGGCATATAGCTAAATTTCTGTAACTTGCACGTGGAAAGCAATTTTGTATTATAAGGTTTTCTACCTATTACAATTTGCATTGTGTATTTAAGTTAATACTTCAAAATGTTTATGCCTACTACATGTTAGTCATTTAAAGTTTTACTGTAATATACCTGAGATGGAAATTTGTTTACTAAAATTTTGAGGTTATTGGGAATCTAATGTCTTTTATTGATTTTACCATTATATACGTCCCACTATTAATTGTCAATTAATATTAATCAATGTTGTCATTAGCGAGTTTGACATGATTTAGGCTACATATTTTATGGGCCGTCGTACCCATAGAATAGAAAGAAAGGTCGTACCTTCCCATTTAATCGGTATGTATGCACATATGTACATAGTGAGGGTATTCATTACAAGTTCGCATGTCCGCATCGCAACATAACTTTTTCGAAATTGCGAAAATTGCGAAGCAAGGAAGTGAAGACACTTCGCCAATGAAAAATTCGTAAAATTTTATTAAGATGTCTCGAATTTTACAATGGGAAAAATACGTTAATTTCCATTAGTTACCGAAATTTTACATCTGAAATTTACCAAATAAGAAAATTCAAAAATTAGAATTTTGGTGACTAATGGAGATTTATGGGCTTTTCCCATTGCGAAATTTGTGAAAAATATTTTGCAAACTAAATACTAGCCTTGGAGATGCGTAAGTTCGCAAATCAATTTTCAAGCCAAATTGTTTTGCGAACTTGCGAACTTTATTTTTTTGCGAATGTTACTAACGATGCGAACTCGAAATGAATACCCTCAGTATTTCCATTCAATCATTATTTTACGTGATTTTCATAACCTTCAACCTTGAGGAAAATTATCTAGAAGTTAATTGCGCCCATTTAATTAAGATAGTTATTATAAGCTATTATCTACACGTTTGCAGCCCATGAAATCTCATTTGACGATTAAATCAAGTTTTCAACGAATTCGATCATCGACATACGACCTCCATCAACATGTCAGTTTTGTATTATATTCGACCTCGCAGGATTTCAAACATCACCACACAATCAAAGTTCCGAGATTTTTAAACAAACACAATAAATGTACACTACAGAATTCCTCCCAATTCTCATTAAGCTGCATCTCCCACTATGCCATTTCATGAAATGTATTCCATTCGAGTACGATCCAAAATTAAATTTCTTAATCACTATCCGGTCACGCTATCGCCTCCAAATTTTCAAAATACAATGTGTAGCATTCGCAGCCTATACAGCAGCAATGTTCCTCCACATATCTTTCGGGCCGCTGACGACCACATAGAAATTTCAAGGCTCCGTCTTCTTCCTACTTAATCTCCTGTCGCTATTGGTCCGCTGGAATTTCCAGATCGACAATGCTTCGATTCAAGTCATCAATTCGTTCCTGAATTTCGAAGCTACCTTAATGAAAGGTATGATAAAACCTTAAACTCACCATCTTTTCTACATATATTTGCATAAAAATCTATTAAATTAGCATATGTATTAAAAATAGATTATCTAAAAACTATGCCATTACCAATTGCCGTAAAATTGATGAAACTCTTCACATGGGTGATTGAAGTGTCCCTACCTATCATCCCCATTTTTCAACTCATCCTCCTGACCGTGGCCCCTTGCACTGCACCCTTCATGCAATCCATGTCAGCTGGATGCAAGATTCGTCATACACAAAGCGGCGGAAATTTTTTAATTGTCATTTTAGAAGCCGTCCTGACATTAAATATGGTTTATGCGGGAAGCGTTTGGATCATATTTGTCCTGTTTGGGGGAACTGTCTCTTTCGTGACGTATTTTCAAATCTTGGAAGAGTATGTTTCCGCATGTCGTTTATTACTAACAGGCTCCCTAACTCAACTGATAATAATGCATTGTCCACCACCGCGACGAGTTTTTCCCACATGCGAATCAACGTCAACGAAATGTTAAAAATTAAAACACATTAAAAATATAAAAACAATTATCCTAAAATAAAGTTTTAAATTTTGAACCTGAAATTTTTCTGTTTTTTTCGAATTTAAGAAGTTTACCTGACGTAATTTTGTTTATTTTTGGATGCCGTGGTGCGTGTGCAAGGCCACCAAGTTGGTGCACACACAACGGCATCCAAAAATAAACAAAATTACGTCAGGTAAACTTCTTAAATTCGAAAAAAACAGAAAAATTTCAGGTTCAAAATTTAAAACTTTATTTTAGGATAATTGTTTTTATATTTTTAATGTGTTTTAATTTTTAACATTTCGTTGACGTTGATTCGCATGTGGGAAAAACTCGTCGCGGTGGTGGACAATGCATTATTATCAGTTGAGTTAGGGAGCCTGATTACTAATTATTTATTTGTTTGATAAAAACCTTATCAATTAAATTCAATTACAGGAATGTCGACATGATTCGAAACGGTCACAATAAAGAAGAATGCATTCATCTTTATCGCTCCATGCAAATTCTGGAGAAGATATTCAACGATTTCGTGAGAGAACGAGTTCTACCAGCCATTCTGTTTTGCACACCGGCCGTCCAAGTGGTCGGGATGTACGTTGGGATAAATCTTCAAAGCGAGATTGCAATGCCCGGGTTCCTTGTATTTCCATTGATTGGAGTGGACGCCGCGGTGTGCAATATTCTCGTAGTTACGATGGCATCCTGGATATATAAGAGATCCCAGAAATTGATACTCTTGCTTAAAAAGAGAGCGGCGAGGATTCCAAGTCAGAAAGCCTTAATTAAACGGCAGATAAGGTCATGTTCCGAAATGCGGGTTAAATTTGGGTCGAATTTCATCGATCGCGGAACCCCATTGGTTATACAAAACTTTTGTATTAATCAAACGATGACTCTTACTCTCATTACGGCGAAGAGGGATATTGTCTAAAGTCGTTAAAGATGGGCTGATTACGTACTGTCTCGAAAATTAAGACTTCACGCGTACTGAGAATTTAGGTAATGAATTAGGAAATAAGTATTTCGGTATATTTCATACCAATATGAATATAAATACCCATAGTTTACAATACTTGCTCGAAGACATATCGACATTTATTTACTTACTCAGGTTGCACTTATATCAAGTTCGATTCAAATTGAAATTCATTTAGTAAATTTGCAAAGTTTTGTTTGTGAAGTGAGGGGATTCGCAAAATATGATTTCGCAAATCTCACAAAGCTATAAAAGCAGCCGTGTTATCCTATTTTAATTTGGTCTCCATGAATTATCTGGAATTAAAAATAATAGGATGTGTTATAAATTGATTATTATTTATTAATTAAGTAATTCAAACTAATTATCTTGATAAGCTTGATCTACTGTTAATGGAAACGCACTATGTATATTAACCTTCATTCATTAACATTGTGTACATTATACATACGTATTTGTACATATGTATCTGTACCATATACGTATGTCCATACATATGCACAAAGCACTGTAGATTTTGTCTAATGAACTTCTTGGTAATTAGGCTAATTATAACAATAAAGATGGTTTAAATTGTCAAACATTAGGGATCTCTAGACCAGTCATAAAGTTTGTGAACTCATACTAATTGTAAGATATATAAATAATCAATATCTCTAGAAATTTCGATCGATAATTTGAAAACATGAAGTTCACAGTAATTTTGGTAAGAAGCAAGTACATACAATTCATATTAGTTCATGAAAATCCCATACATATTTTTACAAATTACAAAATGATAAACTCCCTAAAAACTGGATACAAACAACTCAAAACCCTATTAATGCACAAAAATAGCCGAACAATTTTTGTTTACACTTGTACAGGTTGCAGTTGTCGTTGTCACACTTTGTTCCGCTTACCCACAAAACTTTAACAATAACAACAACAATAACAATGGAGGGGCGCAAATAAATAATAACAACAATAACGGTGGCGGTGGTGGTGGTGGGAGGCGTGGTGGAATCCTTGGAGGGATTCTTGGGGGTGGTGGTGGTGGTCCCTTATCTGGCAACAGTATCAACATCATCGGACCCATCACTGCTGCGCGTGGGGGTGGTGGACAAATAAATAATAACAACAACGGTCAGCGAGGTGGGGGTGGTTTCTTGGGAGGCAACACCATTAATGTGATTGGATAATCGTATATGTGTATAAATTTCTTATGCTCAATGTATAATAAAGTTCAGTAATTCACTACCCTTTAATTTTTATTTTGTAATTGCACGGTTAAATTGCCTATGGTCTATGTTTCATCATTTATGCAACAACAAACAACGAGAAATAAGTATGTATGTATGTATGTAACTCAGAATCAATTCGTATATTATATTATTATATATTATTATTCGTAAAATTATATTTCGTAATTTACTTGGAATTTATTTTTGTAAAACCAAAATTCGTTAACTTAACTTTGGATTTCAGACTTTTTACAAATTGTGAATTTTTAAATGAACAGCATGGCAGATGAGGAGTTGATTATTTCTGTTCACAATCAGACCTTCACAAACCGAGGCCACGCTTTGCCGTTTTGAGCAGTGGATACCTCTCCGAACTGTGGAGACCTCTAAAGTCGTCAGTTTCAATGGACCAGAACATCCCTCCGCCTAATCCCTTTTGGTTAATGTACTGAACCTACATTAACAAGTTTACAAGTCAATACAAATTTCACTAAAATTTAGCCCATTAATATTATCTCGTACCCGAACTCCAATACTTTCTACGTCATCGTAACCAATCCACCTCCTTCCTTGGACTGCGTAGGGTCCGACAATCACAGCGTTTCGCACCACACGCCAACCTGCTTCGGTAGCTTGTTTCTCAATAATCTAAAATATAAGATGACAACATATTTCACAAAGGTCGTGCATATCTCAACTCTCTCAACCACTCCACGCACCTCGTTATATCCCCAAATCCCAGGTTCTCTGGTGTAAGGTCCAGCATCAATCAGTCCGCTGGTGGGGGCATAAAATCCAGTCTCAGCTTCGCTTTGCAATATCCAACCACGCCCGTACGTTCCCATGCCGAGGGACAGTTTCGATGCGGGACAACCACCGTTAAGCCAGACGTCGACGGCATATTGCTAACAAATAAGTATAAAATCTTACTTTAATTTGTAAAAAATTATTATGAAGTTGGGAAATATTGCGAAATGTTTACCACATTGAGGAAAGAGCTGTTTGCATGAGGAGCATCCTCTGGAATTAGGCCTTGAGGCGAGTTGTGATGAGTGTAGCTTTCCCAACCCTGTCAATTAAATGGTTACATAATATTTGCATATTTATGCAATTCATTGGTGCAGAAATATTTATATTTAGTCTGACTTACACCATGCATATCATAGGCCATCAAAAAGATGTGATGAAGTGACCTGTCAATTCGGATTATTAGTGGATGAGATAACGGATAAATGATTTATAATTAGCACTCACTGTGAGATTGATGGGATGTCGTAGGCGTCGTTGATGGTGGGTTCGCCTGCCGACACGGCTGCCGTGAGAAGCCAGCCTCGTGAGTTGAATTCTGCCCTCATCTCGGCACAAAGCAGAGCAAAGTTGGCCTGTCAAAATTATTATTCTATTATTCAATCCAATATTAATTAATTGATATCGATGGACAATTCTCATTGTCCGATGGGTGAGCGTACCTTATCTTCTGGTCGACCACCTCTGAATGTTGGATACCTGATGATCACGACGTTATTTTTAATACATGAGATCATACTATTTCATTATTAATAGTTAAACTCACTCCCAATCAAGATCGAACCCATCAAAATTGTAACGTGCCAAGAATGGGACGACACTGTCAATGAATCGTCTACGATTAGCGGCGGTGGAAGCCATCTAAAATTTTTGCAGAAATTAATAACGTACTCATTAATTTTAAATCATGTTAAATATATTTCCTCACGTTTGCATATTTTTCGCAATTCTTTCCAACCAATGGTTCACAATCGTTCCACCCACCAATGGCGAGCAGTGTCTTGAGGTTAGGATTGCTCTGTTTCAAATTGGTGAATCGTCTCATGGCGCCTAGAAAAATTGCAATGATTTAGCAAAGTCTCATTATTAAACTGGGATAAAATTCAACTACAGTTTCGAATCTCACCTCGTCCACCGTCCTCTTCCAAATCGTTCCATGGGTCCAAAACTTCCATGACGCCATCGACGGTCAACCCCACGAAACCATAAATAATATGCGTGCAGACGCTTGGGTCGATGTCTTCCACGTTAAAAAGACCGTTACCAGGGCGGTATACGGACCAACTGCCATAATAGCAGACTAGCATCTTGTTCCCTACAAGGAAATTTAACAACACGATTACTTTCAAAATTTCCCCAATTTTACAGAAATTGTGAAAAAATTTGCAAATAAGTTTTTAGCATGTGGTTTATATGTATCTCACCCTGTTGAACCTCTTGAGTCCCCACGGTCCACCCGACCAGTCCGAGGAGGACGACCAGTAATAATTTAGGCGTCATTTTTACCAGCGTTCTTTGCAAAGTGTGCTTCAAATAATGGCACGATTGACCAAGTGTGAATTATGCATGCAAACCTATCCGTTTTATACAAGCGAACCGTATTGTTATCAGAATTAAGAGCTTGCATTCCTCGAATATGGATTGAGATTGCATTATTTCAATTATTGATAACGGACAAAAATTTGCACACTGACATTTGTTACTCTTATTTGATTGATGAAGTGGTTTGTTTTCTATTTCGAGTTATATACCAACCTGCCAAGACTTGTCAGTTATATATTTAAATAGTTGACAGTCTGTAACAATCAATGATGATTAATAAGCAAGTGTGGGAATTCACCGGGATGAAGGGATTAGTGGTGCAAATTACTCAAATTAGTCATTTCTGCACCCGACCGTACCCCATTTTGCAGCAAAGCTTAGAACATGCATAGGTACAAATACATACATTCTTTTAAACGTAACGTGCTTTCAATTGATCGGTTTTCAAACGTTTCTCATCTTAGTTCTTAAGGTGCGTTTATGCTTCACGTAATCGTCATGTCCTCCTCCAAATCCGATTTTTTGATTGGTTAAAATTGTTAATTGTCGTAGTGATCATTTCGTTCAGCCAATCAAAAAATCGGATTTGAAGGAGTACGTGACGATGACGTGAAGCATAAACACCACTTTAGCTTTGAAGTTTCTTATTAAGCAACTTAATTTAACATCTCATAATGTTGAAGTCATAATACGTATGTATGTATGTACATACGTACCACTTTGGATAAAATTGTGTAACGACATCATGAGGGTATCATGTGAGTGTTTCACCAATCATCCAAATCTGACTGGAGTGTCAAATCGCTCTTAAATCGTTCCTATAGTATCAATCATAATTTGAAATACTTAAATGACAACTTGATCCCGAGTGTGCTGGTGAGGGCGTGCAACATGTTGCAATTTAACACATTTCAATTGCTTATATAATCACATTAATTCAGTTACATGTTTTATTTATGTACACCTCTCGACCTGGACATGTATCGCTGTATCACGAATATGTACATTGACATGTCATGTTCGATAATTATTATTACTGACCATTATTACTAACCAGTAGGGAAATTGGTTGGGCACCTGGTTGTGCACGCAATGAGAAATTAGTGAAATTGCTGACAACGAGTCAGTAAGTAGGGTCAAAAGTATTTTTTTCGACAAAAAATTTCAAATTGCTTTTCAAATCTATATCGTTTGTCCACAAATTATGAACTTTTACTACACTTTTGGAATTTTATGGTAAATACGTACTTATGCATATCAGAGTGAGCAAATTTTCCTTCAGGAAAGACGTAGAACAGCTAAAAGTTCTTTAAACAATTCCAGGATATGACGTACGAGTGGTCAACAGCAGAAAACGATGTGAAGATCGAAGACGAACGTAGACTTGCAAAATTTGTTACTCAAACTGTAGAAAGTAAAAATTGTAGAATTTAACGAATGCATTAAGTTTACATATAAAGTACCAAAATATTTAAAGCAATATATTTCCAAATTTTCATAGAAATCAATAATAAAGATAAGTTTGCACCCGAGTTCAATCTTAATGAAGTTAGACTTGGTCATACGTATTTATTTAACTCACAGGTTTAATTTAGAAATAATGAATTTATTGTCAGAAAAATGTTTGGTTGGTTATGGGATGTGCTTGTGTTATCTGTAGGTACATACATAATTAGTCATGTATTTTTACACGTTTCGCTGAATGCAGTCAATTATTAAGGGGCGAAAGCCCTTTATAAGATCGTTATGTCTGTCCGTCCGTCCGTCCGTCCGTCCGTCCGTCCGTCTGTCTGTCCGTAGCTCCGATAACTTTTGAACGAAAAGACATAGACACTTGAAATTTTGAACGTAAACTCCTAACGTCAATGGACAGGACGAGTTCGAAGATGGACACTGTGACATCGTCACCTGTGACGATGACGTCGTCACAGTGACGAAAAGTGACGAAAAAGTGTCACTTGTCAGTTTTGGCATGTGACACATCATTTTTAATTAATTTTCAACGAGGAATTCGAAAATTCAGGTCATTTTGTGTTTGGACGTCACCTGTGACGATGACATCGTCACAGTGACGAAAAGTGACGAAAAAGTGTCACTTGTCAGTTTTGACATGTGACACATCATTTTTAACTATTTTTCAATGAGGAATTCGAAAATTCATGTCATTTTGCGGTTGGACGTCACCTGTGACGATGACATCGTCCGGGTGACGAAAAGTGACGAAAAAGTGTCACTTGTCAGTTTTGGCATGTGACACATCATTTTTAATTAATTTTCAACGAGGAATTCGAAAATTCAGGTCATTTTGTGTTTGGACGTCACCTGTGACGATGACATCGTCACAGTGACGAAAAGTGACGAAAAAGTGTCACTTGTCAGTTTTGACAGGTGACACATCATTTTTAACTATTTTTCAATGTCAAATTCAATGGTGACCTCCATTTTGACCTCAGAGGTCATGTAAAGGTCATAGGACATATCTATATCAATTTCAACTGAAATTTAACCCCGAATTCAATGGTGACCTCCATTTTGACCTCAGAGGTCATATAAAGGTCACATAAGGGTTATCAACTGTTAAATTTGACACAAATAAGACACAAAAGTCGAAAACACGTCAGAAGTGTCAATCTTAACAAATTTTCGAACAATTTGATATTCACATTGACGTATGACACTCCTTTTACCCCTTGGTTACATGCGTTGTAACGGTTTATTTTGTTACTGCACTGGGATTTTATTAAACTAAGGATAAGCTGTAATCGTTATGCACCTCTTCACAGACTCAACGATACTTATCAACACATTCGTTGTTATCCAATTAACTATGTCGTCACACTGAAACTATAATGAACAAGTACAAACTTTATTAGATGACTTACGTACATGTAATAATTACACATATTTTTATAAATACGTGCATGAATTATGTTTAGTAGGCAATTTAAAGGTCATTTTTTTTATTAAATATTACAATTTCCTCCCGATTTTCTGTTTGTTAAAATTCATTTAATTTTCCTTATTCCACACACTACATAATTATTTTACATAACTTAAAATTAAATACATGTAAATTTTAATTTTTGCACCCAATTTCTCACTCCTTGCAGCAATAACACGTATCAAGACCAAGAAATCCACCAGACTGCTCCCACCAGCTATTCCATCCACGAGCTAAATTAAAAAAAATAATACGGTTCAGAAATCAAATAAGCAAGTGGAACTTTAGATATGTACACTTTGTCGTTACCAATGCAATTATCATTTCGAGTCCCTCGATTTCCCCAGCAAGCCCATCCCTGCCCATCGGGACAGTCGAAGGGGCCATCCTCCGGCTTAACCACGGCAGCTGCAGAGTGATAAATTAAGGCTCCCAAAATCAGGAGGGTGAAAAAGATCGCAATTTTGGCAGACATTGTCAAGGATTTGATGAATTTGAAATAATTAATTATTATTGGCGTTTATTATGATTATAGTAAATGATAAAATTAACTTCTCTGCACGTCCATTTTATACTAAATTTTAGATAGGTCAGTGTATGTATATGTTTAATTAAGCGAAAGCTAATGCAAGATTATTATGCGTCATTTCCATTTAAATCAAAATGTCCAGTTTGTTATTACCCATACAATTTATCAAATGTGATACATACATATCTGTTACTAAATAAAAATTATTCCAATTTATGTGTTTTACTTATTAATTGCTACATTTACTTATGACTCATGTCAAGCGTAAATACGCACACTTTATAGGGAGTAAAAAACTGGAGAGCTAGGAAATGAGTTATAGTAACTATGTACATAGTATTAAAGGTAAGTGTGTTAAATAAGTGTGTGCATAATTTATGATACTCAATAATTGTTATCTGCCCACCTTGATATGCATTGCACATGGAATGTTTTGTTGCTAATGTGTCAAAATGTTACAGTGTACGAGTGTGTACCAATATTTGCAAATATGTACATATATGTATTTATGAGGAATGAAGCTTACATAAAATAATTTTAAAAAAGCTTGCTTAGGCGAGGCGCTGCTAAAAGTGAAAAACAAGGCCTATCTGGCATATCTTTTAAATATCTCGTACCTTTATCATTGTAACAGGAGTTGGTGGCTTTGTCTCACCGCGAGGCCAAACATTTTTACCGTTTACCATACCACGACGTTTATTACTTACATTTTCAACTAAGAAATTTAATTATTGCTAATTAAAATTGTATCTATATGTATAAACGCTTAAACAAACTTATTGCTTCGAAAGGGTTATAAAATTGAGTTGATTTTGTAAAATTATTATGCAGAGGACCAATATGATCAATAATGTTTATTTAGCTCATAATTAAATTTGACAGTTAAGCAGCAATTCAGGTAGCTAATAAAATTTGATGGATGCACAATTTTCAATAGGTGCTATGCAAAAAATTAAGATGCCGACGCACGAATAACAACGCGAGGGTATTTCCAAATTTTATTTACATATTAAAACAACTAGTTTTCAGTACGAACTAAAAAGTGATAAATGATAATTTTGACGTGAACCCAGATTAGGTTCTTGCGAATTCTTGAGAATATATTCTTTATTACTAGAGGCTTGGCGTAAAATGTTTGGCCTCACGGTGATGCAAAGCCACCAACTCCTGTTACAATGATAAAGGTACGAGATATTTAAAAGATATGACAGATAGGCCTTGTTTTTCACTTTTAGCAGCGCCTCGCCTAAGCAAGCTTTTTTAAAATTATTTTATTTCATGAATTTTAGGTGATGCACATTTTCAGGCAATTAATTGCACCTCAAAATTGTTAAACTTTTTGAAATGAAGACCGAATGTCTTGAATCTTTTTAATTACAAAATTAGTTGAAAATATGTACAGGGGGTCGCAAAATTAATTTAAAAAACCTATCAGTACAGCTTTGCTTAGCCCGAACCAGGTATAGTAAACCCATGTTTCTCAGTAGTTTTCTATAAAATTATGTGCTACTATTTTACACTAATTTTTGATTAACTTGCATCAATCTTTCGTACTACTAGGCTCCAAATTCTAAAAATATTTACTATCCATTGCCCTTGACTACTTCCCAGTGGGGGTCGCCTCTACAGCCCATATGGTTAATTTGTGTTCATATTTAACTTCGTATTATTTCATGAGAAAGCAGTAAGGATCTCTGGTCCAAATTTCAGCTTTCTATGTTAATTTCTAAAAATCGGTATGGGTCATCCCAAAGGGTCGCTCTAGATAAAAATTTTACCAATTTCATGTCATATTCTTCCATTAGGACCCATAAGCAACCTCTCCACCAAATTTCAGCTTGATATGACGATTTTGAAAAATCAGTATGGGTCACCCTCTAGGGTCCCTCAAGATGAAAATTTTTCCAACTTTAACTCATTTTTATCTATTAGGAGTCATTAGTAACCTCTGTGCCAAATTTCAGCTTTCTACGACAATTTTGAAATTTTGGTGCATAATACCCCACCCACTTCGATGACCCCCACCGGTCCAAAACTTTTCTGATTGAACCCATCTTCGAACTCGGTCGTTGCATTGCCCAGATACATGTCTGTACCAAATTTGGTCCAAATCGGTCAACTCGTTCGAGAGTTATCGAAAGACAGACGGACGGACAGACGGACGGACATGACGATTACATAAGCCCTGGTTCGGGCTAAAACGGATTAAGGATCAATATAAACTAATTCTTTAAAAAAAACTTAGGTGAGGCTTGCTTAAAAGGGAGAAACAAGAGGTTCTCATCGTGTAATAAAATAATATGCTACATCAATGTTCATCTCATGATTTATAATTTTAGGTGAATACAACAACAAATTATATGCGTTTCGGACCATTTGCCTCGCCGTGGGCCTGATTAATTGTTCCATACAAATACATATATGTATATATATAGTATGTGCGCCATATTGATGGTTGTACCTAAATATACATAAGTTGCAATCTTCGTTACTATTCGATTCTGCTTATACTGATGGCCTACATGAATATATTTCAAAAATAGGTCGAAGTTTTTAAAATTTAGTGTTCTGAAATATAATATTACAAACTAACTCAAGCTTCGTACATTACATCACCAATAGATTATGGATAACGAAATTATCTAACTAAGTCCTGTATCGTTTCATATGAATTATTACTGCATATGTGTATCAAATTCACTGAGCGCTAATAAATTTTCAAGTTATTTTAATTATTTGAATCATAAAATGGCCCACGCCGAGGCAAATGGTCCGAAACGCATATAATTTGTTGTTGTATTCACCTAAAATTATAAATCATGAGATGAACATTGATGTAGCATATTATTTTATTACACGATGAGAACCTCTTGTTTCTCCCTTTTAAGCAAGCCTCACCTAAGTTTTTTTTAAAGAATTCGTTTATTTTTTTGTTTTTAAGTCTCTTTAAGTTGTCATCAATAATAGATACCAAATTAAATCTCATTAGCCTGGATGCGTTACATAATATGCAATTAATTCTCCAGTGGGTGTGAATGCGTGGAACACCAAATTAAATTCCCCTATCACCCGTGGACTAAAGGGCAAGAAATGCATCAACATCATACATACATGTATTTTGTATATACACACACTTAGAAATCTGGTATAATTGAAATCTCAGTGGTTCCTATTGCTTGCAATACGATGACGCCAGCGGTCTAGCTCCGATTTTGACGAAAACACGATAATTATGTATCCTTAGATAAATGATTAAACACGTGTTTCAGGATTTTTCGTAATGCTCATCCTTAGTTTAAACAAAGTTATGATGGAAAACGTGAAAGAGAATTTGCATTTTCACCGTGAAATTTTTCTCACATGGGAGAAAACGAAACATGATTACGTCAGAGCATTAGTTATGAATACCATTTTTGTAGTCATTTCTGAATACCGCTTGGTACTATTTTAATACTGGATTTCTAAAAGTGCATACATGTACATACATATTTACATGTTTACAGTATAGGCAGAAAGTCATTATACCCTCATACTTTTTGCACATAGTGCCTTATATTTTTCGAGAGGCTTGAGAGGATGAACTGCAGTTTTGCACAATTACTTACTATAATGCAAGGTTTCCGGAACCATACTTTGGATAACGGCGTGGCACAAGCAACGACACGGTGAAATTATATCCAAAATTCCGACAGGAAAAAAGTCTTTACACCCTCTGACTTTCTCGTACTTTTAATGTAATTTTTAAAAGCATCCTCTTAAATCCTTCTTCACCCACCAGGTGATGCATTATTCTATGAAAAATTGTATTTTTCTAATGATAAAGTACTTCTATGTTATCAATATTAGCTCATAATCACTCAAAAACATCTTATCCCCGTCCTGCGACAAAAAGTCGTAGATTTCGATGATGAAAGGCTTCGACACCAAAGAATTTCCGACTAACTACCCATTAAGAATGGTACAGTTGCCAGAATAGTGCAGAACTGCAAAAAATTTGGGATGGTATGGAATTTAACAACTTTTCCTGGACATGGAGCACACGCCCCTTTGCGGATCACGGCAACTTCGCCAAAAGTCAAAGATTTCACGGTTATCTTCACCAAAAATCAACTTGGAAACGAGAGAAGAATATAATATTCGAGTTTCTGTACGAATTATAAAGAATAGGATCACTTAACCTGGATTTGAATAGCCAGCAACATAGATAAATTCATTTCCCCGCGAGGCGTATATTGGGGACAGCGCTAAATGGGCTAAAAAACATCTCAATTGGACGGTTAAATTTTCGAAACTCCTGATATTGTTTGGCGACATCAACATCAACCTGTTTGGTTCAAATTGGGACCAGCAGAATATGGATTCCGTAAAAAGACACTGACAAAACCAAGTACCGTACACTAAGCATTAAGGATGGGGGTGGAAATTGAATTGTTTGGGCGTTACGTTGTGGAACGGCGTCCGAAATCTAATCGAAGTTTAATCTAATCGAAGTAATAATGTACTCCAACTACTGCTGCGACGTTCTGGGTTGGAATTTGATGGCAACGGGAGGAAATTACCGTTAGGGAATAATTATATTTTCAAATAGTAAGACCATCCTAAGCACACATCAAAATTATTCAGGATTTGGTTTACAACAAAGGAGATTGAATGGTTGAATTGCCATCCATAATCATAAGACAGCATGTTAATGCACGTTTGTGGTCAATGGTGAAGCCCAAAATTTCTCAGCACACGCCATCAAACTTCAAAGCCTGGTCGACGCCGAATAGCTTGAATTGGAGAATTTTGACACTTCTTTCACCAACCCATTTCTTGGGTCGATTCCAAGGTGTGTCTCTGCCTTCCCAAAGGATCCAGGTCGACAACCAAGATGCTAATTTGACTGTTATTTAACACAGAAGACTCTGAACAAATTTGTCATGAAACTTAAATCGGGGTATAAAGAGTTTTTTCCTGTCGGAATTTTGGATATAATTTCACCGTGTCGTTGCTTGTGCAACGCCGCTATCTAAAGTATGGTTTCGGAAACCTTGCATCATAGTAAGTAATTGTGCAAAATTGCAGTACACCCTCTCAAGCTTCTCAAAAAATATTAGGCTTTATGTACAAAAAGTATGAGGGTATAATGACTTTCTGCCTATACTGTAGATATTTGCATATGTAAGTGCAGAGCTTACATGTTTCTATTGTGCTGGTTGCTAATAGAAACGAGTATTTGTTATAAGTAATGAAGAAACATTACAAGCAACGTAACTGGCTGCAGATGCTACCAAGAAAACTTTTTCATTTCTTGTCCGATTTCGCTCGGGTTTGTTTTAAATGACGCGTTATAGATTTCCGCACATTAAAACATGGACGAGTCACAACCTTTGCATGGGAAAAGTGAATTTGCCAGTCGTTTGAAAGTTTAAAATCGATTTAAAATGGGTTAAAATAAGATTGTCAAGTCTCTAGACCTAACGGGCATCATCTACCCAGCAAGGTCTGCACGATTGCCTTTTACACCATTTTGATACGATTAGCCGTTTTGCCACAATCTTGAGTGGAATTTTGGGAGGCGGGGTCTGTTTGCATACTTAGGCTTCGCCGTAACCATGCATTTTTTCAAGAGGTCATGGTTACTATGCCTCACCTAAGAAAAACCGTAGTAACGTTAGAAGTAGCTCACCCTGTAATAATGATTTGGTTATAACTTGCCCCAAAGGTGCAGAAAAATGCAACAAAATAGATACATAATTTTTTGCAATTATGCACCAATTTTGCAGAAAAATCCATAATTTTTATGCAATGTTGCACCAATGGTGCAGAAAAATTAAACAAAATAGATCAATAATTATTATGCATCGAGTAGAGTCCAAAAATTGTGCATCACTGGTGCAGAATTACCTACCAACGATCAACGATAACTTTGAAAAATTTATGTCAAAATTGTATGATCATTTCTCCCGGATATTCTGCATTATTGGTGCGTTTTGCGTCCCTGCCTCCAATTATTTCGCATCATTTTCTGTTCCCGATTGTTAGATATCAATGGTCCTATTAACTTGTTAAAAAATTTGATTCGGTTTGTTTAGTACTAATGGTGCGCCTAACGTATCCAATAATGGTCAAGGGGCTGTTTAATTAGCATCAATTGATGCAAAAAGGTCGTTAACAGACGGACGGACAGACGGACGGACAAGAGGAATTCAATAGCTCCTGTGCTACGCAGGGTGAGCTAATAAACCGTAGTAACGTTAGAAGTAGCTCACCCTGTAATAATGATTTGAGGATAACTTGCCGCAAAGGTGCAGAAAAATGCAACAAAATAGACACATAATTTTTATGCAATTATGCACCAATGATGCAAAAAAATCCAACAAAGTAGATCAATAATTTTTATGCAATTATGCACCAATGGTGCAGAAAAATTAAACAAAATAGATCAATAATTATTATGCATCGAGGAAAGTCCAAAAATTGTGCATCACTGGTGCAGAATTACCTACCAACGATCAACGATAATTTTGAAAAATTTATGTCAAAATTGTCTAATAAAATCCGCCGAGTAGTATGCATTATTGGTGCGTTATGCATCAAAGCCCCCAATTCTTTCGCATCATTTGGTGTTTCCGATTGTCAGATACCAACGGTGCTATTAATTTATGAAAAAATGGAGCAGGGAGATATTAATATGCATCAATTAATGCAAAAAACTCGTCAACAGACAGACGGACGGACAGGAGGAATTCAATAGCTCTCATGCTACGCAGGGTGAGCTAATAATCCAAATTTTTAAATTAATTTAGCAGATAATAATTTTTCAGATATTAGGTTTTACGAGGATTGGTTATTTCACGAGAACAATCTGGATTAGGGAGGAAGATTATTTAATCTGGATTAGATTATAAATTACAAAATGAACTTATAAACATTTAAATCCAAAATATATGCATATAGGATGTTCAAATTTAAAATTTGTAAATTTGACACAGTACTTAAATATAAAATTATTGAAATTTGAGTTTGCAAAAGAATTTGTAATTAATATGGATTAATAATCGTGCCCAACACTGATCAGGAGGAAAGTTTTTGTGCAATTGGCCAAAAATGGAAATTACAATTGACCAATTAATTTGGCAAATTAAAATTGCCTAACACAACTACTTGTATTTGGAAAATTGTTATATTGATAGCTAGTAGCAACCAACTAGGAATATTGTAATTTTTGGTTAGCAACATGAATGGTTTCAGATGCTTCCATCAAAACTTTTTCAGTTTTGGACCGATCTCAGTCGGATTTGTTTTAAATGACGCACAACCGATTTCTGCATGATAAAATCAGGTTTTATGCATATAGTCCTGTGGCACAAGTATCTCAAATTTTGATTTTAAAGTTGCAAATCCAAATTTAAGAGCGAAGAATAAAACTTTTATATCGGGCATATTGAAAAACCACATCTCCTAATTCTCCTCTGCACGATTGCTCTTTACACCATTTGCGTAGGACTAACCGTGTAGGCTCTAGCCAGGCTGACAGTTTCAAAGGGTGTATAGGAAAGCATACTTAGGCTTCGCCGTAACCATGGTGACGCTTTTTTGCGGGCACCCATTGTTACTTTTGCCTTACCTAAGAATAAAAGTAAGCCAATAGCGGAAAAATAAATGAATTGGGATGTCCAAATATGTCATTTTTGATTAATTAGTCCTTGCATCCGGGAGCCGGCGGGATGCTCCACCCAGGACGGGAAGCGTCCCGACGGAATGACGCTTATTCCGTGGTCAAGAGGAAAATCCTTGCTTTGGGATTTTACATGCGTAGACACTTTTGCTCCCAGTTACCTTCCCGAAACTGTGCGCTATCACGGCGCCGCTGCGAGCATGGCGGAAGATAGAAAGAGGAAGAGGTACGCCTTCCTCTTGGACCGTTTTATTTTTGTCCCCGTCGTAATGGAAACGACGGGGGTGTGGGGCCAGGAGGGGCTCTCCCTCATCAATCAAATCGGTGAACGGATCACCGCAAGAACCGGACAGCCTAATGCTGTCACCTTTCTCCGCCAACGAATCTCTCTAGCTGTTCAGCGGGGAAACGTAGCCTCCATTTTAGGGACGCTCCCAGAAGGCAAAGAATTAGAAGAGGTGTATTATTTTTAATGTATTTTTTTAACTTACTTTGACTTTTTTATGATTTCTACGATTTTTATTCAGGTTAGGGACTTTTAATGTACGACTCCTTTGTTAGTCAGCTTTTCTGATGTGAAATTTGTGTAATGCAATGATAATTAGTGAAATAAAACGAATACATGAGGTTATGTTTGCTATGTAGGTGGTTATATGCCTCACATATTAATTAGTAGTGCCTGAAAAAACAATTTAATTTCACCTCGGATTACGTACCTAGTTAGTATTAAACGATGTGACGAATCCTATAAAAAAATATGCTTATAGACTTCCATGAAAAAATTACTAACACAATTCGTCGAAACAATTTTGGTTTACTACAGTTTGATGTTGTTCAGGAAATTTTTTTTATTTAGGGTCAACAATGTGAATTTGAGAATGATCCGTAGACAATTGATTTTCGCTAACCAGCGATGGGAATGTCAAGAGTAGGGATGATTTATCCAGCCCGAAGATATTCGATCAGTCAGATAACCAATCCTAGTTCTTCGTGTTCGCGTTTGTATCTGCTCTTACAAACTATATTTTAGCACATTCCCAAAATTCATAAAAATTAGTTATCTCCACGAACTTACACATGTGACATGAAACAGTATAAATAGATAAAAAGTTAATGAAAGCCGCACCAATAGCGGCGCTTTTGATGTCAAATAGGGTCCATTATAGGAACATCCACCGCACTATTTGTATTTCAAACATTATTCTATTACGTTATGGAAAATTTGTAATTAAGATACATCACTTATCTGAAAATTGAACATAATCCAATTAAACCAACGGGGAAAACTTTCTCAAATATTTATATTTAAATAAATACAATTTACGAAGTCCGATCCATAAAACAAAATTGAGAAAAATGGGTAAATGTGAACACGTAATTTTGATGGCTCTATTAGCCATCCTATTTTTAATTGGGGATATTTTGTCGTTTCAAAGTGTGAATGACATTGGGACAGAAGATCCTCGTAAGTACTTGAATAAATTTTGTGTCTAAATTGCCTCATAATGAAGTACGTCGTTGGATTTTTAATGTCACATCACAGTTGTCTCGGATCGTAATCTACTAGAAAGTCGCTTGTCCGCAAAAATCCGCCAATTGGTCCAGGACAGTAAGTTTAAAATTAATATTATCTCGAAATTTATAAATCGGGATGAAGTAAATGATTAATTTACTATGTTCAGCTAAAACTTCGACTGAGCTTCCTGCTGTCGGGATTGACTTACGGTTTTTCGTTCCATATTACTATGAGTGGCTGGTAGTTGCAATAATTGGATATACTGGATCTTGGTAAGATATTATTAATCCAGATTCAATACTTAAAGTCTGGCCATTATAGTCGGTCATCCATCTACATATTTACATACATAAATCTGTATTCAAATGACTATTTTTAAACCTGTTCATCTTTTTGCGCTTTTTACGTGAAGCTTTTATTGTATTCAAATATGGATAATTTTTAGGTTTACAACGCTAGGAGGTTAGAATTTTGGTTTGTCTCTTCCATAAGCAAATAGTAATAAAATAGATGAGAAATAATTAGAACAAATTAAATATTTGCTTATTGAAGAGAAAAATCAAAATTCTAACCTCCTTACTTTGTAAACATAAAAATTATCGATTTTTAGATGCACATCTTCAAGTTATAAAAAATGCACAGAGATGAACAGGTTTCAAAATCACCATTTGAATACCTATAAGTCTAAACTTAAAAAGTGATAGTAGAGTAGACGACTATATTAGGTTAGTTTTAAGGAATTTCAAATTTCTTTTTATTCCATTGAAAAGCCAGTTAAATTTCACGTAGAAAACATGTATCAGACTTGAAAATATATTCCTCCTGTGACCATGAAAAATTGGTTACCAGAGGAGAAGCCTCTATCAAAAATACGCACGAAATTTATTGAAAAAGTGTATCATTCCCGGGTCAGAAATTTTTTTGTGACCCTGACACTTCGATGGGGATCAGAACAGACTTTTTCCTCAACTTTAATCATGATTTGGCGGTGAAATCAGTTTCGGTTCGAAAATACCAAGGACAAACTTAAATCGGAATTAAAGTCAGAAATGGATTTCTTCAGCCAGGTTTTCACGAATTTCGCTGTATTTATTTATGTAGAGCCCTGCAAATAGGTGGGTGGCTTTCCACCCAATATGGACCGGTCGAGGGGATGTTCCATCTTCATTATGACGTTAATCAAATATTTTTTAAAACTATCTCCTCTCCATAATTGAGGAAACTGGGCGGTTTTTGTCCAATTCCGCCGATTCCTACCAAAACCATGAGTGCAACCCGATAAGATAACATACGACCCCCATTTCGTAATCAACTAATACTAAGAATATTTAACATAGATTCTACTTTCTTTTTTGTGGATTTATGGTTCCATCTTAAAGAAATTCCCATCGGTTAACGGGTTATTGTGTTTTTGTTTTTTACCGTACTGCTGGGAGAGGGAGGTCGACTTATTGCCCTTAGCTTGGGTCTGGGAAATCTGTAGCGCGTGACGCTTTCTACTCTAGAAGGCCTTCATTTTAGGGTCATTTTTCAGTGCTCACCTGATTCCTAAAGTTGAAAGGTAATTTATATGGTCCAAGTCTTTGGCATCAGACGGAGATTTTGTGCTATTCTGGCGTTCAAAGCTTCGGACATCACTGTAGCTCTCCTTGACCTTGGACCAGCTGAACTTTTATATCATAGTTAGACACTGTCTCTAGGGTTACTTTAATAGGTTAGGCAACCAGATCGTAGTTGTCCTCGAATTTCTACACTACATCTAACATTGTGAATTGTTCGTCTCATAAAAAGTGAAAAAAACATTGCCGCGCGCGTGTGGTACAGCTCCTCCATCTTTTGACCTTTCGAGGTCAGGTAAAAGAGGTTCACAACAATGATAGCCACTGAATGTATGTACAAACTGCAACTTACATCTTAATTTTATGTTGACCAGTTCAAAAACTACGCTCTACTATCACTTCTTATGGGAAGACTAGGTAAAGAACGTCCGGGAATGAATGGGAATGGTCTGAAAATGTGGTCATAAAATCACAATGAGTTATCGGAATTTTAAACTTTTTGCATATGTATAATACCAAATACGTACCTACATAATTTAATTAATAGCTAAGGCCGCCACACCCCCGTTGGCGACTAGTTCGATTTTCTTGCGAAGATTTTTCATTAAATTTTTTCCCGAAGTTTTTGCCACTTCCGAGGTGATTTTCTTCCATCGTCCTTTGAATTTTCGAAAGGTGTCAGGCACATCTTGAAGCCGGGAGTATACTGACTTAGAACGTGCCCAGAATTTTTCGATTGGGCGGAGTTGGGGTACATTAGGTGGGTTGATATCTTTTGGTACGAAATCAATATTTTTCTTTCTGAGGTACTCGGTCACTTTCTTTGCATAGTGACAAGTGGCGAGGTCAGGCCAAAACAAAACTTTATCATTTTTGTGAAACCTATTAATAAATGCTTCCAATCCGGCCTTGACGCAATTTTTCAGATAAATATCTTGATTGATATTCCCTTCGAGAACTACCGGGTCTGATACATGTCCGTGACTGGAGATGCATTGCCAAATGCAATATTTCTTTGGAAATTTGTCTTTTTTTCGTACTTTTTCTTCATAAGCCACTTCAGAGGGATCCGAGCTATGAAAAAAATGACGCCCTGGAAGATTTGAAGGGTCAACCGGAACATACGTTTCGTCATCCAGGATCACTACTTTTCCACGCATTTTCTTCAACAATTTTTGACAGCAATCCTTGATCCGACTTTCTTGTACGGGCTTGTAATTTGGTGCAGGTTTTTTGGTCCTTGCTTTGATTCCTAATTTATGGACCTTAATTTCCCCCAGGTAGCTTTTGGAAATTTTGACTTTCCTGGCAGCTACAGCTACTGACGTTGATGGCTTGGTTTTGAAAATTTTTTCAATTCTATTTTTCACTCGAGTGGTCGCTAGCTTCGCCGGACGACCAGCTGGCTTCTTGAATTGCACATTTTCGGAATCCTTGAACTTTTTTATGTAGGAATACACATTTGAACTTGGAATTCCTTCCTGCTTAAAAAAGTTCCAGGTCACCTTGGAGTCTCGGTTGGCTGTCGTGTTGTAGAACTCCATCACTCGTTTTGCTAACAGCTCCCTTTCAAACAAGCTTCTTCTACCCTTATCCATTTTTGAAATTTAAGAGTGATATACCAAATTGACCCTAATGAAGTGGGCTTTCAGAAATTTAAATTATTATAGTTCGCGGGTTTATTGATTTGTCAATATACTCGCTAGAGCGCGCATTCCCATTCATTCCCGGACGTTCTTTACATGGAAGAGGGAAAGTTGCGGCATTTATAATTCCACCCCCACCCAAATCCGGAACAAAAAAAGCTATTGTTTTCAAATTCACCATGGGTTTTCCACTCTAGATAATATTATTAAATACTCTAAGGTAAAATCAGTCAAGTCTGCCATGGTTTTCATTAATACGTCGAAGGACAAAAACCCAGGCAGTGGCTTTCTGCCTTTTGCCTCAAAAATGGATGTATTTTTGCCCTTTTACTAATTGAGGCGAGATGGAACGCAAATCCTTGGAAAAAATTAAAGTGAAAGTTCTTTATTGTGTTGCTTATGATTCTTTCAAGTATGACCCTTGGCCCCAGAGTTTGATTAATTAAGCTGATGGAGCGATAGTGGGAATAAGCAGTATAATTTACTATCCTTCTACTCAGGCGTGTCACTTCATCTTCATAAATCTCACTATGCCCATTTTCGACGATACGGACTTTCCATGTCGAATAAACTCTATGACAGAGTTTATGCAAATAAGGTGACTAGCACAAATAATTTGACTATATGTTATGCAATCGAGCAAACGGGCACCAAAAAGGCACGCAAAAACAGCAAAAATGCTGCCTTTTTGCACACTGGTCAAAATAATCAAATGCTATAATTGGCAGCCGAATATGCTAATATACTATGTGAAAAGTTTAAATATAATTTCCGTATTTCATACCTATACACAGGTCGCACCATTTACTTGGGTCATCGGCGATAGAGGATGATTTCACCATAGAATTCATTAATGTTGAAGGCGACTTTTTAGCGAAGCTAAGAATCCAGGCTTCTCGACTCAAAGTTCAGGGAAAATATCAGACCGATCTAAAAGATGATCCCACTTTTCGGAGCACACCGAACATAACATTCGATGGGAACAGACGATACGACATGTCGCTCAACTCGTTTGAATTTTTTCTGCAAGTCGAAGGACGAGCACCACCCGTTGGAAATGTGTCCATTATCTCAGCCAAGATTTCTATTGATTTCAAAAATCCTGACGTCAATTTTACAAATCTTTCTCTAATTAGTCATGCGCGTACTGGTTTTGATAAGATAACCGAGTGGGTTCGTACCGTCGAATCTATGCAAGACATCCATACTTATTTTTGGTGGGACTGGAAGGACGCGGCCAATTTCGTTAAAATAGATAATCTTGTAAATTAAATGACCAAGTGCGTCTTGCAAAATTTCTATCGAGTGAGACAAAGCCATCATTAACAAGCTCACGCTTATTTTGTGCATTGAAACATCAATATTATGTAAATTTTAGGATTGCAGTCTAATGGATCTAATACATTCAGGTCAAGAACTACAAAAATTTAAACTTTACCCATGCGATGGTATCCAATGACTAGATTTTGAAAAGTTTATCAAAAGTTCATTCGAAGACAAAAAACAAAGATATTTTTGAGTTTCCAGAGCTTTAGACTAAAAAACATTTTTTCAAAAGGATCAAACTCCTCGAATTTTTGCCCCATTTCACAAATTTAAATACAATTGTTTTAGAATTATCTCTCTTAGCAAGAAAATATTGCACTTTACCAAATAAGACTATTTCAAAAACGTTCGGGTTTTCACCAAATTCAAAATTCTACAACGAACGTTTTTATTAATTTTTAAGCTTGCGTATCGTCTGACAAACCAAATCGTATTTCATTATCGATTTTAATGGTTCCAAATGAAATGAACGAATGAAATTACAAATGCGCAATGTTTTCCTGAATTTGTTCTGGTAGATGAATGCATCAAATCTCAGATTGAATTGAGCTGTCTGAACACAAATAAACTCCAAGTGTTTTTACCGGACTTAAACGACGACCAGAACGGAATTAATGTTCAATCAGTTCCTTCAAGTTCAATTTCAAATAAAGTGAATGGGCTTCATCACTCGGAAGTTGCATATGATGACCACGTCGAATTTAGACTACTTAACACACAAATCAGCTATCCCACAGGTGTATATATAAACATTTACATGCGCACATATGTATAAGTATATTTATATATTGTCATGAGAATGTACGCAATGAATGAAAAATCTAAATATTTATACAATTTAGTGAAGAATCTTGCAAGTCGATTCGCTGCAACTTTTCAACCTGATGGAAGCGCACTTTCGAGTCAACCTGATCACTTCGTTTCAACTGCATCTTTGATCAATCCGGACCATCCTATCAACATTCCCGACATCGAGACGCAAGTACTGTATCGAAATCAAGACTGGGATTCATTCGGGGGGTATCTTAGAATCAGGTACATATGCGTACTAGAAATGTGAAGTTAGAAACTAGGAGGTTTTGATTGGAAAAGTTTTCATTTCCTCACAAAAAGTTACGGAAACTACATGCATTGAAAAAATTTTAATGCAAATACTTTGTGCACTTGAGAAATACTTACAAGAGAACATGCCATAAAATTACATACATAAAATTGAACTTTGCCGCCAATCTTTTTCTTTAAAAGGGTCATTCAATGGAACGATAAGTGACATGAGATCCTTAATTTTTGGCTTGATTTTTTAGTACAACTCTGACAAATAATCCCGGCGTAGCTTGAAAAAGGTTCCATTATTAGTTCCTTCATAATGGTAGCAGGGTCCATTAACTGACCTTGGAGAGTTTCTAGATATCTAGGTCCTGTCAGTTAAAAGTTTCCCCAAATTTTTTATATACATATATTTTAAAGTTTGGAAATATGTTTATAGTGATTTATGCTTGCCAAGCAAAAGAACTGTTAGAAGAAAAACTCATTGTAGCTAACCCGGTTTATTGAACTAAAAAAATTCATGGCCAAGAAGCCAATGAAATTTTATATAAGAAAGACTATTCATATTTCAAAATATCAACCTTTTAAGGCGATACAAGCTTCGAGTTCTTGTATCCACTTCCCGATCACAGTATGTACGCGTTCCAGGGGAGATTGGCCCCATATCCTGACGACAGAATTTTTTATGGATTCGAAACTTGTGTGAGATTTAGCACATACATCCAGCTAAATTTGGAATATATATCATAGTCCAGCAGGTTCAAGTTCGGCGAAAGTGAATTTCTTTCTTGCTCCGAATTGGAGTCTCAGGAATTTAGGATTTCAACCACCCAATTACCGCATTGGTCTCTTGAGCCGGACCTGAGCCCTGCTTGAATATCACTTCACTGTTTTTGAACAGGTTGTGGTTCACGGGTTTCACAATTCGCTCGAAAACTTAAAGCAATAATTTTTGATACGAGATTTAGCTCCTAGAGGAAGAAAAAGCATTTTTTCGACCCAATCCAACTTATGTCCAATCAAAAAATCGTAAAACCAGGTTGGTGGGTACCACTGGTACCAGGCTGCATAAATATTTTTGTTGTCTTATCTTAATTTTTACAAACTGCAAAATTTGAAGTCAAATGGTTTTGGGTGTATCGTGTCGATGTCTTGGACCGACGGACAGACATGACAAATACATAAGGCCTCACTGGGCTAAAAATTTCTGGTTCGGGCTATGCGAAGCTGTACTAATAGGTATTTAATCACGGGAATGTTTGGAACTATCTGTAGAATATCTGTAATATTTGGAACTATCTGTAGAATAGTCTCACTCACGTCATTACAAAACAACTGAGCTTTACAATTAGATTTAATGTATTTTATAGCTATATGACAAACAATGGGGTCGAACTGAATTTATCCAGTAAACCAAATTACATTTATCTGTAAATAAATTTGTATATGTATGACAGAAGCTCGACAGCCATTGGATTTGATGGACAGGAGAATATCTTTACAGAATTTATCGATGAAAATGGAGCATTTATTGCCAACTACTCATTAACATTTCCAATTTTAATCGTCAGTGGATTCTACGAGACCGATTTGACACTATATTTATCGATATCGGATAGAACTGAAGGTCAAGGCAGACTTTTTGGAAGTGGGGATTATAATTGGGAGCTAAAAAACGTAAGCTTAAAGATTAGCGCGAGGGGACGGGCACCAATTGACGGAGCATCGAAGATCACGGTGTCCAATGTCAGCGTGGAGATGTCGCACGAAAATCACTACACTCGGCAGGGACTCAACTTCACAAACATGACGAGTGAGCTGTGGTCCTTCAATGGCACTTTGGGAATGCACGTCCGTCCTTACAATTGGCACCAGGTGATCCAAGATCATCGCTTTCTTTTGGAGGATTTTTTTTATAATGTTCGTTACGGCCAACGTCCTCTCCAAGATACGTTCAAGGATTCTGTAGCTCAACAGTTGCAGTGTGCTCTCAATTACACGCTAAATGTAAGTCATTTGACAAGTACATATATGCATGCAAATATGTATGTTTGAATGCATATCGTACAACCGACTGCACTACACATGTGTACATATTTATACATGTATATGTGTTCATACTTATATTATTTTAAAATAAAAATGACCACAAGATAATATTTAATTTGCGTGCCTTCAGGGTTGTACAATTCTGGAATTACTGTTTTCAAGTAAAACCAATGCAATTTCAAATGTGTACATATAATATTTTAAAACTATGTATGCGGTATTATTTAATTAAGGGGACTGTCTCCGAGTGGAAAGAAACGATGAATGTTTTGGTGGACCCTCAATGTCGGTGGCACTGTTAGGTATATGTATGCCTACGTAGATATGTATATGTAATTAGTTATGAATCTGTACTCACTCCAGCTTTAACTCTCTACTAATAAATACTCTCCTCTGTCTCCTCTCACTGTGTACCACTTATTTATGTATAATCATATATACATAACATTGGTGGACCGTCGAGTACTTTCTTTCGCTCCTCCCACTCACAATGGATTTTAAAATTTTCAAAATTCTTCGTCAGACATATTACCTACCAAATTACCTAACAGCACCTTCGACGACAATTTACACCACTGAAATGCCAACTTTACCCCCAGAAACTACCACCACAAACGCCCCAACAACGACAACCATCTCGTCGGAGTCAACTTGGATTACTGAGATTTCATCTACAATGAGACCTTCAACCACAACGCAAAGGCCGGAATTACCGGATAATGCCGGCCTACTCCTAAATCAAACCCAAATCTTGCTCGACCAGACACAACTATTACTTCGGTTGGTGCAAGCAGGAATATCGTTAACCTGAAATTATTTCTTTGATAATTTGAAATTCCAAACCTTTATTTTATATAGAATAGTCTATTTATTACCTATGTAAGAATGTATTTATCTACTGGTGAGCAGAGAGCCTAATCATTACAAAAATCTATCAATTTAATAATGATTCAAAGTACTATTACAACAAGTGATTACAATGTGTTTTACTTGTGTTTGAGCTTGACGAAAATCAAACGAAATTTAACGTCTTATTTCGAAATCAAATTATTTCCGAACTAACAATTTTCCGAATTACTGGTGCAATATTTATTTATTTCACTTTGATTTTTGTGCAAATAAGCTAGTTCTTCACTCCCTGCACTTGTCTGTCATCTTACTATCGGACCAAGAATTTCCATACTCTTTGATATTTTGCTCCTTCCAAAATTCGTCATTGTCTTTCCACACTTCGGGGACTGGGCGCAGTACGGGTGGATCCTCAAGGTGCATAATGTTCTGGTCCCCGGTATCATGTTCATCCTCAAACGTTAACCAAGACTCCCACGGCCCGTCAGGTTTGCTTCGAATTCAGATGTATTTAAGTACACGTTTCTGAAAAATGTGCCCAATAATTGATTAATTCTAGTTATTTACGTACCCAGTTTTTGCGAACGATGTCCAAGTGGAAACTAACTGCTTGGAGAACTCATAATCCTCCGAGCCTTTGCTGATTGGTTCATAAAATTGTCCCATTGGTCCCGTCCAGTCGAAAAGATAGGGAAGTTCGTCCGCATGTGATGAAACACGTCGAGTACTTCCATCTATTTAAAAATATACGAATTCTTATAATTCAATACAGTGAGGGTATTCGTATCGAGATTTTCCGAACTTTTTCATTTGCGAAGAGTCTTCACTTTGTTGCTTCGCAAAATTCGCAATTTCGAAAAAGTGATGTTGCAATGGGACCTCGAAATGAATACCCTCAGTAAAAAAAAATATTGTTCTATCCACCTTCAAATTTCGGCATAAATTTCGATAAAACTGGGTCCGTCAAAATTGGGACTTGTTGCGTCCAATTGTACACATAAACGGGGACATGTTTTCCATAGAGGGCAGCCATCGTTCGGAACGGATAAGTCCAGTGGCGTTCAGAAATCATGTTCTCGAATGAGACCAGGTCGATACCGTTCCGGAGGAATCGATCCCGTATTGCGTTCACTGTTTGAGATGGGTCCTCCGCTGAATGGGTTAAGAACAACATGTTCGGTGCGACCCGACCCCATTGGGATTTTACCTTTTGGGTTAATGTGGTATCGCTTGTGACTAACAAAATTTAGAAGAAAATTTGCACGAGTTTAATATTTAGTATTCGAGTGAGTAAATATTTAGGTGACCTAACCAATCAGAGCGGATCCATAATTCTCCCACCCGATCAATCCCATCATCATGGGAACCTTGTGAAATCGTCCAGACGCTACGAGGTCGTAAGGATCTTCCGCAATGAAGACATCGCCTTTTGTATATGTTTCGATGGAGGGTCCCATGAACATTGCGGATTCGTCAAAGCCCTGTGATTTTTTCACATGTGTAAATGCACCTTATTATGCATGTTGGTACAACTTTATCAAGTATCGAGTCATCACCAAACTTTAAATAATGTGATAATAAAATAGTAAGTTAAATATCACTTTGGTATGAAATTGTTGTAAAACTATGAGAATAATTTCCCATGAAACTCAAACTTCCCACCCTGCATTACATCAATTTTGTTACCACATTACTTAAATTATGCTATTAACACAAGCCGTTAAGAAAATTAACGAAAACATTAAAATTACTTCCTACTTCAAAAAAATTACCAATAAAATTAAGTATTTTTAAACAAATATTTACAAAAACCATTTCCCTTACAAATTCATTCACTAACTTCATCCAAGGTCCGAACAGTTTTGGATCAATTCTCTGCAAACATTCCACCAAATATTCTCCATGACTCGTCGGACAATCCAACTCTCGTCCCAACCTTTTTGCCAGCGTAGGTCCATCCATGCCGTGATAGTTGAAAGGCTGGATGGCCGTCCCACTCTGCATTATGGCACGATGAAATAAGCCTTCCGCCATGGGAGAAAGTGTCAAAAATGACACTGATATTGACCCAGAACTCTCGCCGAAAATCGTGACGCAGTTCTTGTCCCCGGAGAAATGGGCGATGTTGTCTTGCACCCAGCGCAGCGAAAGGACTTGATCCTTTAAACCTTGGTTTATGTATTAATATTAATTTGCATAAATACATATTAATTTATTATTACTAATTTGCATATTAATTTAACCTTGGTTGCCGGAAGCGGAAGAGGTTCCCGCGTTCAGAAATCCGAGCGGACCAAGGCGATAATTTATCACGACGAGGACAACGCTGGTGTCCGATTCCATAAAGTAGGACGGCCCATATTCGGACGAGGCTCCTTCAACAAAACCACCGCCGTGAATCCAAACCATCACGGGGAACAGAGTTTTGTCATTGGAGGATGGCAACTGTGATTTCATAACATTTTAAAACATACAGTAAATCAGATATGAAAGCATGCCGGGCTACTTTTGTGGTGTAGACGTCCAGGGTTAAGCAATCCTCGACTCCTGTAATTGGTCCCATCATTCCCGAAGTTATGCAGCCTGGACCGGAATCAATCGCTTGTAAAGGAGTAAACCATCGATCGGCGTGTCTTGCGGTCTATTTTTACATAAATTTCAACCCATGAATTTTGAGAGTTTAAAGATACAATTTGTTTTCGTATTTTGCTTTACACCGAATCGTTTTTCCACTTTTCCATATGGGATTCCTTTAAAGAAATGGTACGGTTTTCCATCCCGACTTGAAATGGCGGATCCGCCATGAACTTCACCATTTCTTAAGTGTACTTTGCTTTCCGTGGAGGTGTCCCCTCGAGCAGGAATTAATGGAAGGAGGAATAAAACTATAAACTTTAATGGTATCATTGTTTTCCAGCTAAAAATTGTAAAATGAAGGAGAGTTGGGACACGTTGGTGGTCGTCTTGCTGAGATAATAAATTGTTAGATTGACAAGTCACAACTTGTGTTTCTGCGACAGAATTCACATGCGAAAATAGTGTGGATTCAAATCAGCGAGGTGATAAAGGTGATAAGTGCATACATATGTACAGAAGTACATAAACACAAGTAGATAAGAGCGACAAATGTTTGTTCCACATTCATTTTTTGTGAATGTTAATTTAGCTTCACAGACGGCTGAGCTGTTCAGAATGTATTAACATCTTCACATAATCTTCATAAACAATGTAAATATTTAAATTAGTATGTAAACTAAACATTGGTAATGCGATGTAATACAGGATGTTTACAGATTTTGTGGAAAGACAATTACATCTATTACTTTTGAACGCGTAATCCAATTTGCACCAAATTTGGCACACACAATCTCGAAGGTCACGGCCACACCTGCCCAAAGTTTCAAATTTCCATCTTCAAAGATGGCCCCTAAAAGTTACCCGAAAGTGGGCGAACCGTAAAAGCGGTTTCCGAAGCTAATTTGGCCGCGAAAAGTGCCCAAACGATAATCCAAAAATTTGGAACCCATCTTATCGTGTCCCCCACATATAATTGTATCAATTTTGTAAGAAAACGCCAGTAACTAGTTTCATCCGACCAACGTATGCGACGAAATGCATACCCCTCAAAACGATGAATTCTGCCACCCTGAAGAACATTGATCGCCACGATGTCAATCAGAATCCTGCAACCAAAAGGCAGGTCACAATGCAATCCCAGGTGTCTCCTGGACACGTTAATCGTATTTTATAGCACAATTTTAAAAAAGCCTTGCAGAGGAAGGCGAAAGTCCGCGCACTTAAATTTACCCATATGGTAAACAAAAAAACTAACAGCCGGAGGCTGTTTGAAGGTCATGTTGGGAATAAAAATTCCGAATTTGTCGTCACATTGGACGGGACACTCTGCTGCCTTCAAAACTTCAACAGGACAAAAATAATTTGCTGCAAAACCGATCGAAAGCAGATTTCAAAGCATGGGTCTGAAAAGAAGGAAAAGTTGTCTGACTGATTCCTGGTGGCAGGTGCAATGACGGACCGTGGAGTGCGAACATTGATACCTGTTGGGTCTAATGCAAAAATAAACTTTATGGACAGTGTTTTACATAAGTTGTTGGAGGTCAAAATTGCAAAGAAGCAATTTGGGGAGCTTGACAAGGTTTGCATCCATCACGACGCGGCATTTTCATATACGACCGTATTTACCCAACCGGACGCCCAAGATTTAAAGGCAAACCCCGGAATGACCTCAATATCCTTTTCCGGGGTACACATTAAGTAACCTGACACCAGTCCGATGGAATTTTTTGGGTTTGGATGCTTAGAACAACGCTTTTTCAATGGAAGAGATAAAAAATGTCTGTTGTTTAGAAACCCCTTTCACCGATTCCTCCACTTTGAGGTCACTTTTTGCGCTCATTTTTGAAGATAGAAATTTGAAACTTGGGACATGTGTGACCGTGATCTTCAGGGGTGGGCAAGATACTTTGGTCGTAAGATACAAGATACAAGATAAGATACTCTCTAAGACAAGATATAAGATACAAGATAAAAGATACATCTTGTTTAAGTACACAAGATACAAGATACTTTTCTAAAAATTGAGTAGTCAAGACACAAGATACAAGATATGTATGTTAACATACTTTTATACTAGATAAGATACTTTCTTTTTTAGCTTGGTATTCATGCCCAATTAGTCATGTTTAATCATTTAACCGAAAAAATCTAGTGAGTACAAAATTTAAAATCATTCTAGAATCATTTTACAAATTTTGTTGCCAGTGCTTATACATCGAAAAAGGTCTAAATTTCGAGAAACTAGAACTCTACCTAACATACGTATATTCTTAAGAAGCTGGTATTATTTTTACAATATTCCCTGCTTATTCAAACTAAACCCTATAAGATCTATACATTAGTTCAGCGTAGATGTAATGTGCAACGTATGTATCAGTATGTATGTACGAGTACACATGTACATATATATATATATATATATATGTACAAGTTTGTTACGAATTGGCAAAACATAAACTAAAAATTCACCAAATTCTGGTTACGACAAATTCATGGTCAAATTGACTGACTTTAGTAAGAAATTGACGTAATTTGACGGAATTTTGAGAAAAAGTATCTTGTATCTTGTCAAAAGTATCTTAAGATACTTTTCTGCCATGCATATCTAGATAAGATACTTACACAAGATACTTTCGACTTTCTAAAAGATAGAAGATACAAGATACAAGATACTTCTCTGATCAGGCGACGAAGATACAAGATAAAGATACTATCTTGTATCTTGTATCTTTTATCTTGTATCTTGACCAAGTATCTTGCCCACCCCTGGTGATCTTGGGGATTGCGTGTTCAAAATTTGGCGCCAAAACGGATAAAGGGTTCGCAGTTTACCCATAAAATTGTCTTTCCACAAAATCTGTAAACACCCTCTGTATTGATTTATGAAAAATATTTTTAGACAAGTGTTTAAATAAATGATGTCATCGATAGAAATTGAATTAGTAGTCACGGTGTGCGAAATTTATAGTCAAAGTATTTGTTGTGTCCTCAAGACGCGACACTCTTATGAATGACAAAGGTGCAAGTGTACATATACTTTATTGCTGGGATGAATATGATCCCGAAACATTTAATTAAACTAATGTTAGTAAATGATGCAACCAGACTTTAATTAATGATAATATTATTTTGGTCAAGCTATTCCATGGGGACAACATGAAGAGAGTAGTATTTTATTATTATTAATCAATATTTATGTATTCATCAGAGACCTGGTCTTTTTGTCAGATTTTTGGCAATCCATGATTTCCTGCATTTCCACTTTTGTCTTGTCTAACCAGTCTTAACAATTGACTTCACTGAAATTAAACACATTATAAATGATTTATATATAAATTTTTTGCCAATAATGACCTTACCCTTCTTCTTGACACACTCGTTTGCAGAACATGGCGTCGTGGTGCATGGATTGACCCGAGGCTTGCATGATTGACCCAACGTGCAAACAACTCCATCGCAATCTGCAATTTCCAAAAATTGAAATCCAAAGATCTCGTAAAATACGAAGTAATTTCCGTTCGGAAATACCTTCTTCAGAAACGTGAACAAGCAATAAGATCATGACCGCTACCAAGCCCAACTTCATCCTGACCCAGTTACGGAATTCGATTATTTAGAAATTCACTCTAAGGTTTTGAGAATGCTTATTTTTGAAGAGTTTATAATGTAGTGACTTTTAAAACGTAAAAAAACCACGTATACGAATTTCAGTCAAAACAATGCAGTTTTTAGTCATAAAACAAACAGGTATTTAGATTTGTTTATTGCACAAAGCGATGCATGAGGAATGCACTTTTGTGTTTTGTAATTGTTCCATTTTATACATACCTATAAATATGTATAAATATCATTAAATTCTATACAAACTGTGTGATCAATTGTCTTGATTGAGAAGATTGTAAAGCGTGTTTTGGTACCAATAATACGTACAAGAATATAATGACGTATTTGGCAGTAGCAATATTTATGAACCCAAACAAAGCAGTATAATTTCGCAGGATTAGGTTCGTAAGATTATTATACGTAATTCAGTTTATGGACTCGTCCGCGTAAATATATTTACACCTACGTTCATACCTATCTATTTTAAGTATTTGCTAAAATAGATGGACAATAGATGCATGTAATATAATTTGTACCGGATTATTCTAACCGTCAGTTTAGGATAGGGTTAGACTGCGTCACACACGGGTTGAACTGAAATTGTTGGAAATAAAGCAATTGTTGCCAATTATCAAAAATATCAGCACCCAAATCAACTTGCAATGTAAAAATATAGTCTTTACCAAAAATGCATTTTTAAATAGAAACTCTAGATTTCAGACAAATTTTTGAACCAAGGGATCGGAATGTCATAATTTTTGAAACACGCTGCACAAGAGGTCGACTCTGCCGGTCGTATGCCTCCGTGTCCGTAGGATTTGTCGCCCCGCTGATAAATTTGAGTTCCTATTCCTTCAATATTGAGCCTTCGAAAAAGCAGCAAAATTGGTTGGCTTTGACCTCCGCACTGCACGAGGGTTTGCAACTTGCAAGAAATGAGTTGGTGCATATCTAACTCATCTCATCTCTGAAGCGTTACTTTACTGGCCATCCTGGTACATATACATGCATAATACATATTTACATACATACGTGTGTACTACACAAATAAATAAAATAGATGCTACACATTGTGTAGCATCGATCATACTCAATTCTCCTGATTAGAGGAGTTAATCAATAAGGTCAGTTCTTCCTCCGTCATTGTAAGCTTATAATGATACATTGATACATAGGTATGCAAATGAGACTGAATACACAAATCCGATTGCATTAGTAACATGCAACACGAGAATAATTAATCTTAAACAAATAAATCAATACTATATTGAGAAAGACCAATAAATGTATCCAACGCTCAACAATACTCGAGTAGAAAATGTCCCGAATCAAATTGTAATAATGAACAAAAAAAAATACGTTACGTCAAACTTACTGTCAAACGTTCTACTAAATATGACATCTAATTTAATAACTTATCATTAAAGAATTTGAAATGAATTTCGTTACGGAAAAATATCAAATCCGATTTGAAGTTTTTCGGATTGATTTTTTAAAAATAAGTGTGTACTCGGGACATGCTTGTGGTGGCACACGCGTCGAGAGATTTACTTATCCTAGTGCTTACATATTCATATACAGATATCAGGCTTGTATTCTCTCAAAGTTCTTGATTACATAATTTGACAATGAAAATATTATCACTTACAAATTAATCCCCTAATCCAGCAAAGTTAGTAATAAATAAATTAACTAAGGTTCACTTTGGTCATTTACATAAGTACACGCTTATGCTGTATACATATGTACATATCTGGGTATTTCCATACTCGGGTGGGTGGAATTTCCGCGAGTTATGTCAGACTTGGTCTTATGTAGTACACATTGTCCAATAGATTATCCCGAATTATTGCGTTAAAGTACAATCGGAAAACCCTTGTATACGTAAACCATTTCACATTGTTTTGTAACATGTATAAATAAAAATGTAAGGACGACATTCAATCATTTTTAGGATTAAAATGTCGCAAATAATCCAAACTCATCAGAGACTTTGTAAGTGGACCAAACTACTTTTACATTCAGTGAAATTGGAATTTCCCCACTGACTAGGCACTTGATTAACGGCTTATCTATTTATCGAAGGATTGCCACCTGTGCTTATTCTACTTCTAAACAAATTAATCTTTGCATCTACTCGTGTTGATTCTTTTCATATAAAAGCTCTCCCAGGTTCCCATTTCTTCACACCGTTCCAGAACGACCAATCCAGTTATATCTCCAATTAGCTCCACCATGAAGTTGCTTCTCGTCCTCGCTGCCTCCCTGGCAGTCGCCGCCGCCGGCACTGTCGACCCAGCCCTCAGCCTGGCCATCCAACAAGGTTCCACCGAGGCGATCCTTGCACTTCCTGCAATCGTCGACCAAGTCCAGTCCAACCCATCGCTCTTGTCCCTCTCCGGTGACGCCAAGGTGTCCGCCCTCGTCGCCTCCCTGCAAGGACTCACCTCCGCTGCTCAGGCCCCCTACGTCCAAGTCGCTTCTTCCCTCGGACTCGAGACCCAGACCTACTGGGGATCCAACATCATCCACGTCAAGGGTTTGACCTCCCAGACTCTCGCCTCCTTGGCTGCCACCCCCGGAGATTTCGTCCTCCGTAAGCCAGTCACCGTCCGAATGACCCCAGCCGTCGCCGTTGAGTCAAAGAACATTAGCCAAGCCGCGCAATGGGGTGTTGAGAAGATCAGGGCACCAGAGGCCTGGGCTCGTACTCAAGGAGAGGGCGTCGTCGTTTGCATCATCGATACCGGAGTTAATCTTGGCCACGTTGCTCTCGCTGACGCGTACGGAGGTGCCTGGAGCGACCCGTACTACAACACTGCTGGACCAACTGACCAACAAGGACACGGATCTCACTGCACTGGAACTATTCTTGGACGTGCCAATGGTGTCGGTGTTGCCCCAGCTGCCCAATGGGTTGCCTGCCGTGGACTTAACCACCAAGGATCCGGAACTGAACCTAACCTTATCAATTGCGCCCAATGGGTCTTGACCGCCAACCCCAGACCAAACATCGTCTCCAACTCGTGGGGCGGTGGTGGTAACAATCCATGGTACAACCAGGTTGTCTCTGCCTGGCGAACGGCTGATATCATTCCAGTTTTCGCCATCGGAAACTCTGGAGCATCCTGCAGGTCCGTCATCTCCCCTGGAGATCAGCCCAACCTCATCTCCGTCGGAGCCACCACTGACACCGACGCCATGGCGACCTTCTCCTCCCGAGGACCCAACGCAGCAGGAGCACTCAAACCAGAAGTCTCCGCACCAGGAAACAACATCGTGTCTTGCGGAACTGGAGCCAACAACTACGTCACCATGTCCGGAACTTCAATGGTAAGTTGCACTAAATACCTTAGTTTCAGGGGAATTGGCTAATTTTTCTATAATTATGTAATCACAGGCCACCCCCCACACCGCTGGAGCCATCGCTCTTCTCATGTCTGCCAACCCAAGCTGGGGATATGACCAGATCTTCAATGCCCTCACCACCACCCCAGCCCACCCAACCTTGTCTACTGGTGACAGGAATTGCGGACTTCCCGGACCTGGAGATTTCCCAAATCACGCTTTCGGTAAGATTTGCTACAATTGACTTGTAACTTCCAGTGAGCCTGGATAATGTCCACAAAGACTTGTTTATTTAAAATATTTTGTGAATTTCAGGTCACGGACGTATCGATATTGCTGCTGCTCTTGGTCTTTAAATTGAGTGATCACAACTTGTTTTAAACAAACCAAATTATTTTCAAATTGGAATTTCATAAATAAAATATATTTTCAAAAATAATTAAATTGTCTTTCTTGAAATATTTAATTCACATCATATCATTTCATTTTTACAAGCCTATAAGTTTATTTTAAACAATACACAATTTATTTAAATGGCAGAAGTTGACAATGGCGATCAGTACTACATACATTCGAATTTCAAGATATTTTGAACAACCAAAGCTAATGTTCCTTATATTTTCAAGTTTACACTCATGACTCGAATCATTTCACACATTTCACATAAAAATCTCTTCTCATTTGAAACAAGGAAAAATCCTTTCTTATTAAAAATTTGTTTGAGACGATGCAAATTCTGTAAGCAAGACAGTAAATGTGAATATAGTAATATGTAACTTACGAAGCTGTGCATATTATATGCGTTGGATTTCGCAACAACTTTCTCGTTATCTACAAAATTAAGTAAATAAACTGTTTGTTACACGGTATTTTTTATTTTTCTGCCTTGTTAACGCTGAATTGACCAAATCTATGAGTCATACATACCTGCCCAAATTACATTATTATGTTAATTTAAAAGGATTTTAATCTTGACATTGATAACAAATGATGGAATATGGTACAATGAGTTAAATTGGTGGCAGTGTACCCCCAACTTTTGAACGAGTACAATTAAATTAATAAATTAACAATTTGATCACTATGAGACGTCAATATCTTGCCAGCATTTTCGCCATGTTTTGTTGCATAAGCTTGGCAACGGGTCAAGAACTTGTCGCGGAACTTTGTACGGCACGACTAATCTCGCCTAGAATTGCCGCAACTGCCGGATACGACGGCCTCGACGCGGTCTATATTTTTGGCGGACATGCTGCAAGTAACGCTCCAATGTCCGGGGTTCAAAAGTACATTATATCCGAGGACAGATTAGAATTAGTGGGAAACCTGTACGAAGCTAATTTCGGTGGGGTTGTCTCCCTCGACACGAAAGGAGACTTTTTCCTCCACGGTGGCTACTACTTTGGCAGGGAAATTGTGAAGTTTTCACCGTCTGACAATAATTCCATCACCGCTTCTGGATACTTACCTGAGCAAACTTCTTTCAGTCCGGCTGTTAAGTACTCGCCTGAAAGTGACGTGGTTTTCATCTTCAGCGCAAAGAACGCCATGAACGAAATATTTATGTTTTACTCAGAAGCACAAAATGCTACTAAAGTGGGACAGTTGTCACTCAACTTGTGGTCAATGGGTGAGTCAAATCAGCATTTTCATATCAATTTTGTCCACTCAATCTAAAAATGTAGTGTTATGTTACCGTAGTACGTGCAACACCATGAATTCAAATTTGCTATCAATTGGTGACTTCTCAAACTGGGCAAAAAATCATTTTGGGAATAACCGCTTACTACAAAATTAATAGCTCTGTTATTATGAAACCGCAGGTGCCGTGTCTGACGGGCGTGGGACTGCGTACATCTTCGGAAACCAAGTCATGGCCAATTCTTCGATTCAATATCCCGTTTATGCCGTAAATCTGAACACTCTCGAGGTCACTCCAGGCCCCCCAAACTTTCCCATGCTTTCTTCCACTCCCTCCGTTGTTTGGGACAGTCGCTATGCTTACATTCTATCCGGATTTAGCACTACCACAAGCTATGGCATGATTCGGTTTGATCCGGAAACAATGGAGAATATTTTCATCCCCGTGATTAACTATCCCGGACCGAGATTATACGAACCAAGTGCCGTCTATGTGAAAGAGTCGAACAGAATTTACATATTTGGGGGACAAACATCAACGCCAACATACGTGTATCATGACCAAATTTGGTTTATTGATTTAAATCCGATCCAGAAACTCTAATTAAAATTAATGTCGTAAAATAATTATTTTTTAGGATGGCTTTGTTCAACAGGTAATAAAATTGTATGCAACTAGAGAATAAATAAGAATGCATTATTTCGTCAAATCTCACGCTTAACTTCGTTATCTCTTATCTTATCATGTGCTTTTTGAAGTGATAATCTGCACGAGTTTATTACTAACAGGTGCAACCAATTAATCGAAAATTAAGTAATTTTTTGTAATCAGCGTATTTAATTACACACATTAACACCTTAGTAAGAATTTTAAAATCATACATAAACAAATGAATAAATAACGTTTTTTAGTGCGTTTCATCCTTTCTCCACTCCGCTAATTCGTCCTCTCGCTTAAAATTGTTCGTTCTGACCTGAAAATTTCCACAATATCCGACCGCTTGAAATAATTTTGTCCTCATCCCGGCCGGAACTGTCATTCCGACCTGATATTCCTTCTGCACTGTCCACGTTTGTCCCGACGTCTTGCTCCAGTCATAACCCGTAGTGAATTGTCGGTCTTGTGCGGTCCCATCTTTTCCCGAGGTGGATGCACTAACCTCTTTTGAGACATCTTTACTAATTTGTTTGGAAACTTGGAATGAAGTTTCGAAGTTTTTGGTGTCTGTGGATGTCCTCGAGGCTTCGGAAGTCATCGTTTTCTAAACATATTTATATGCAGAACAGTAGAGCAGTCAGTAAACATTTCAAGAATTGTAAATTAAATTTTTCATGCACATTCTTTCTCATAAACGGTTTCTTAGAAAAAATATTCAAATTTCGGAGAGTTTATGATAAATCCGCCTAAATTGAAATGATTACAAAACAGGTTAATAACTTTTCTTACCTGATTTGTTACCGTGTCCTCCTTCGTCTCAGATTGATTCTCAGTTTGCGTATTTTCCACGTTACTTTGTTCATTCGAAGTGAATGTATTTTCCACACTTTGTCTAAAAGTTTGCGACTGGGATTCAGATTTTTCCACGCCTTGACTATGCTCCGTGCCACGATCTCTTGTTACAGAATCTTGCCAATTCGCGGAATTCTCACTTCCTTGTGCTATTGACGAATCGTGTCTATTTTCCTGTCCTTTCGACCCCGTCTTTGACGCCGAACCTTCCCCACTTTGCTGGAAACTGTGTTGCCTGTTATTTTCCACATTTTTCGAAACCCCTTGCTGCCTAGTGTTATCACCGCCCAATGTGTTCGACTCGGAACGGGATTCATCCCGCGAATTAGACTGCGTATATGAATAACCCTGTTCGAAATTAGTGTTCAGCTCGGCCCCTATCCCGAGAAATTTGCCACCCGCACTTCCCCCTATGGACGATCTAGTATCTGACGTCGAAGAATCTTGGGAACCCTGAGACTGAGAAAAGCTGCCCGTATTCGACCATGAGTCCGAATTCGAAAACGAATCAGTAACCCCCGCACCGACACTGCTTCCTCGCGAGGTCGCCCCCATCCATCCCTCCGACACGCCGATCGTGTCAGAAGTCGAGTCCGAGTACGTTTGGCCTGTACTCGTCGTGGCCAAAATAGTTTGAGACGTCGCCCCACCGCGGGAAGAAGTCGAACCGACATTCTCCCGTTGTGTGAACCCTGTCGAAACTGTGAGACCCGAAGTTCTCGTATTATCCACCGAACTTCCTTCCGTCCTTCCGTGCGTGGTTCCCCAACTGTGACCTTGCGTATGAGAGGACGAACTTCCTTTCGTGTGAGAGGTTGACTGCCCTCTCGTGTCAGAATTTGAAACGGAGTTACTCGCCGTATTTCCCACCGAGGTGGAGACTCCTTGCGAATTTGAGTTGGTCAAAGAATCCATACTGCCCTCGGTTTCACGCAGGGTTTCGCTCCCAGTCAGCGTCCACTCTTTTGAGAGGCTGTTTCTTAATTGTTGCTCATTCTTGGTAGAGGCCACGTATTGCCGGGAAATGGTCACCCCTTCGGATAACGTGTATTGGCAAGAAGTTTCGGCATGGGCTGCTAAGGCGTCACCTAAAAACATATATGAAATCATGACACAAATTTTTATATTTGAATCCTCATTACTTTAAATATGTAAATGTCCTCACATTCTACGACGAGTTCGTAGGCATCGTGCGGCACGCAAATCTCTTCCATGCGGGGAACCGTGCAGCATTTGACTTTCAAATGGTGTGTCGCATCAAGGGACGTTTTCGCCTTGAAGCCACAAATGGCTTGATTTTTAAGACACATTTCCGGCTTACCCCAAACGTATTTGGCAGTAGTAATATCCCTGACTGGTAAAATAGTCTTGATGTAAGGTATTTGCTTTGGGGAATTTGAAAATGAACAGAATAACCGAATCGCTTGAATAGTTTCAAACCGGTCGGAATACAAAATTTGGAATCCGATCGCTACTCCGGGACATTCAGCTCGTTCACTTAATTCCTCCTCAAACTCCCAAATTCCAATGGATATGTTTTCATTGAAAAGATCGCTGCTGGTATCCTCCGACATTTCGAGGTCTGTTTGTCTTCTTGGCTTTGGTTGGTTAATGTCGGTGCAAGAGAGGCGAAATTGTCCCTTTTCGACCTGCATCTGCATTCCCGTCACGTATTGGGATTGGGGGCAGAATGCCCACTCCCAGAAGTATGGATGGTCGAACTCTGAGATGTAGTGACCATTTTGATACTCACTTCGGTCAGGAACTCCTAACGAAGCTATGATTGACGAGGGGGGAGGAATGGATTGCAAAATTATTCCGTCAGTGGCACCACGATAGCTCCGCCTTGGAAAAATGGTCATAAGAATTAAAGTTGTGTATGTAAACATCTTTAAAATATGCCATTGTTATTTTTGCATACCATCCCACATTCTCGGTGAATGCGCTACAACATTTGATCCTAATATCCTTTACGGCATACGAAATGGTGTCTAATATGAAAAAATAGTCAACTTATTTTGTGGAAATTCGTGTTTTAAGTGTGTAAATTTTTGTAAATCGAGTGACAGCAACACTTACCATACCGAAGCCGTTGGCCACAAATGTATTCGCTCCAGGCACACAATTTTGGTAATTTCCACACCCCAACTGCATTTGGCTTCCCAGCAAAATTTCTATTCAAGGGATAAATCCGCTCCAGACTTTCCTTTGTGTTGCAGTACATCGCGAAATCAGTAACTTCGCTCGACACCGGAGAATATTTCATTTCAACGCCGACCCCGAAACCAAAATGATTCCCTAATTCGAAACTATTCGTGCAAACATTGTATAATTGAGTGGAATTTGAATCTGGTTCGTCAAATGTCGCATAATTTTTGCCATCCTCATTATTATCTTTGTTGTAGATTAATCCAGGGATAAATTTTCCACTGACCAGAGTCCCATTCTCAAATGAGTAGCAATCAACCTTGAGAAATCGAAAATAACATATTTACTTATCGCGAAATAAATAAAGTGTTTAAATCAAATGTGCGAATAATAATTTTACCTTAATTCCAAACACCGTTTCAAACCCTAGGTCTAATTTTGCAGTTGGATTCCTTGTCCTTTTCTGTTTCTCAATTATTTCATTTGAAGATTTTTTAAACAAAAGTTGAGTCCCGATAACAAAGTGATTCGGAGGGCATTCAAAATGAGATGTCCATGCGGATTGAGAATAAGGAGACTTTTTTGGTATGGACGCTCGTCTGGAAATGCATATTATTCCATAAACAAAAATTAGACGTGAATATAAATATTTTAGTTAAATATGCTTAATATTAATATAATTATTTTACTTGAATTTTTGTCATCTTTACCTGGATGTTGCAATCGCTGAATTTACTGCAGAGTCAGTCAGGTATGTAAATAATAGTATAAATCTGTACAAATTTCTCATAGAAAACAATCCCTCCATTTTCTTCAAGGGCTTTATGATAGCCATATTTGAAGATTATTATAACTAAAAATTTAAATTAACACGAAAAACTTATTCAAGCCAGAGTGGGCAAAGAGTAGCTGTTAAATATAATACACAATAAATACATAAATATCATGAACTAGGGTTCAGATCCTGAACCTGAGTGCAACAATTATAAATATTTTTGGATTTTCCAGGTAGATTCTATGAACTTTCATACATGTTTAAATATATCTCTTTTAGGTTAGTTCGTCAACTATATTTAGAACCGAAAGTAAGTATTTTGTGTGTACTGCATATACAATTTTAATCGATGACCCTTCCCATTCCTATTTGGAATAATCAACCTTTATCTTTTGGGCATTAACTAGAATGGGTCAGCCTACATTACTTAAAATGTGGATTTGGCATGCATATTTCTATATGTACATGCATATGTGTGCTCGTACTCAAAATTATCGCTTCATGGTTTTGGTTTACATTTTCATTTATCTCAAAATTATTGCTTCAGTGCTCAAAGACATTTAAGACCCTGTTGTCCAGAAAAATTTTGTCCAGTCGTCAAATCTTCAAAAATCATTTGTATGCGTTAATCATTCCGCAAAAGTACGTTCAGTTTACGTAATTTGTGCAAATTAAACATTTACTCCAAACAAGATGGCACGATACCTCAAAAAACTAGCCTCTATTTTACTACTTGTACTTTTTCACCTCACAAGCCCCATGTTTGCCAAAGTGCTTGTTAAACGCCAAGTTTCTCCTGGAATTCAAAAAATCTTGCAGGACTTCACAACAAGACTTAACCAATTGGAGGATACTCAACAAGAAGATCGCGACAGTTTGGAATCAGTCAGTTTAAACATAAAGATATTTCACGAATATTTCATTTTTAAATTTATCTACAATACTCTTTTCATGTCAAACTATGTACACAGATTCGTGGATTTTTTAACGCAATCGGAGTAGGAAAAGGGGACCACAATCCTTGTGGAGGGAACGGCTGGATGAAATTCGCGACGACATCTTGCATAAAAGTTATGCCAAGCATTTACACCATGGACGAGGCGGATGCAGCTTGTGAGGCGGACTACTCACCTGGTACAGTTTTTAATAAAACACTAATTATTTCGAGTATTAATTAACTTCAGCTTAATTAATTACACAATTCCCCCCAGATTCTGACCTCGACTACCCTTCCGTTTTTGCCATTAATTCCGCCGAGGAGCAAAACTTAATTTCCTCTCTTCTAAAGACGAAAACGTATTCATTCATCACAGGAATTTGGCTGTCTAACAATATTTCCAGTCCTTACGCTAACTGGGGGGCAGGATCTCCCACGAATTTGGACGGTCGAAACTGTGTCGAGTTAAGAAATGATGGTCAAATGAGCGGCGTATGGTTGGATGTTACATGTGATAGAAAAAACAGCATAATTTGTCACAAATCCGTTACAATTTCATATCTCGATGTTATAAAAGAACTGACAAAGTTGGGCATGAAAATAATACAACAAGATCAAGAGGTAGTTAAAATGGAAGCAGAGAAAGCCGAGCTGAATCACAAAGTAGAAATTCTGGAAAATAATTATGCCACTTTAAAACTGGAAGTAGATTCCATTTCAGTTAAAATTGAGGAATTTAAAACAATCGACCAAAGTCCTCCACCTCAACAAAATCACGATAACGGGATCGACTGGGCCGGGAAGACTTGGGCATTTGGGTGCGATTTTGTGGGGAATAATGCATTCAATGTAAGACTGCGAGGGGAGGAGTGCGGAGGGCATTGTTGGCATACGGCGGATTGTACACATTTTGCATGGACAGATTGGACATATGACGGACAAGGGCCTGGAACCTGCTGGATTAAAAGGGGACAGATTTCGAAACATGATGCGATAAAGAGTAACACTGCAAATATCGTGTGTGGATTTATTCCAGAAAGATTGGCCCATGCGTAATGAAATTTATGGTTAAAACAATGTATAATGTATAAATTTTATTTCTGGATAATTGTGTTAAGGGTGAGGAGATGCATGTGTAAATTATAACTAATATTAATTCTCCCTGTTAATGATACCCAAAATGTAATGGTGTAAATAAAGTAATATGTTACAGCGTCACTAACTTTGACATGGGTACATGGTATATTTATTCCACAACTATTTACTTACTAGCGTATAGCCCGTCCAAGGACGGGTCCTAGAATGTATCTACATACATAAAACGTCTTTGTTGTCGGTATTATTTTATAAGTAATTTTTGCAGAAGCGTTAGCAGGATATCATATCCTCCCAGGGCAGGGGACGGGGACCCCCTTCTGCGTGCTGCCCCACAGGCTTTCTTTGTTTTATTAAGAAAGCACGGACGGTACATTTGTCTGAGCCACCGCTAGCTCAAATTGACTTGAATTATTGACAATCCGGGTCTAATTGCTTTGCAAATATTTCTTCATAGACCACATTTTTGGTAAAAACTCTATCTGAGCCCTCAATTAATTTTCCCTGTTCTGGGCCGTCTATTATCTTAATTTTTGCATCTGCAAAGCGTCGCACTCTTGATAAGGCAACATATAATTGACCATGGCTAAAAACTGGTTCAGGGAGATATACTCCGACCTTGTCTAAAGTTTGCCCTTGAGATTTATTAATTGTCATTGCAAACGCCAATTTAATTGGGAACTGCCTCCTTCGTAAAACGAATGGAAAATCTGCATTTGCAGTGGACAAATCAATTCTTGGAATGAATACAATTTGTTGCTGTGCAAACCCTGTAAGCACTTTTGCAATTATTAAATTGGGCTTCAAGTCTTCAACAATTAGACGGGTGCCATTACATAGTCCTCGTTTAGTATTTAAGTTTCTAAGGAGCATAATATTGCTGCCCTTTTTAAGATTTAACTTGTGGACAGGCATTCCAGATGGCGTTAAACCATTTAGAAATTCAACAGGATAATGTTGTCTATCCTCTGCACTTTCATCATCCACGGAATCCGTACTGAAATAAGTTACCGAATTTCCTTCTAGAATATTTAAAATTTCTTCATTTATGTTGTCAACGTCCGTGTTCTTTGGACACAAAATTGCCATTTTTGAAAAGTTGGCAACATTGGCAACCGTAAGACGTTCTCCGTATATTTCATAAATTATTGATTCCCGACAAATAAGTTGTTCTGGGATTTCAATTGTATCCTTAGGGAGGCCAAGAGGAGTTTCTAATGTCCCATCTCCCAATTTTAGTAGCCAATCACTATAGCTTTTGTCTACAGACCTTACATTACTCAGTAAGTGTAGAATTTTGACTTTTCGCCATAAGCTGTTAAATTTCAAACTCGCTTCTACAATGGCAGATCTACTTGCATGAGGAACTACGGGTAACGTTTGTCGAAAGTCTCCTCCTAATAGCAGGACTTTACCGCCAAGTGGCTTTTGATTATTCATGACTTCTTTTAGAAATTTGTCAACTGCTGCTAATGCAAGACTTGGGGCCATTGTAGCTTCATCCCAGATGAGCAATTTTGCTTGTCGAAATAACTCAGCATCTGCTGAGTTCGATCGAATTGGTGATGTTGTTGTGTCATCTATAGGAATGCGGAATTTAAACTGCGAATGGTAAGTTCGTCCACCATCCAGCAAATTGGCTGCAATTCCGGTTGATGCCATAGGTAATGCAATATTTCCTTCACCACGCACTGTGGAAAGTATAGTCTTGTATACGTGTGTTTTCTCACTTCCACCAACCCCATCCATAAAGAATATTCTATGGGGAAGGTTTTCATTTTCGGCAGCATTTAATACTGTATCGAAAGCATTTCGTTGCTCATCGTTAAGAGTATCTTGCAATGCGTCACCTTTTTGTTTCTCTGCAAGTACATCAAAATACTCGTCCGCAGCCGCACGCATATTGGCTGGTGGAGACGGCAAGCCAAAGTCTACGCATTTCTTGTAGCTCAAGATAAGAATTGCTTGAATTTCTACTAAAGCAAGATTTGTACAATGCTGGCAATTATCTGTGTGATTGTGCCTTGCATCTCTTGCAAAATCTTCATACAAATCGGATTTGTATTTTTCAAAAAGTTCCAAAGCGTTAGGAGGAACTGCAAACACGCAGATATACGCAAATAAGTCTCTCATTTGCCGAGGCATTTTCCAAATTGCTGCATCGGTTAATGCAAAGTCCCAAGTAGCATCATCACTAAATATGCCACTTTTTTGGGCTGCTTCTTTGAAGGTTGGATAGATTACATCTTCCACAGTTCTAAGATCTTCAAAGGAAGTAACCCCTCGCTTATGAAGCAACAGTAGTCTTAGGCAATATTTTTCTGTGTCGGTAGATAAATTAACAGGATACATTCTACCGATTGTATTATTTGTCTCTCTTTGACGTGGTTTCCAGACTCCACTTACTTTATTAAAGACATAATGTTCAGGGATATCGGCATATAAATAAAGCCTTGCATCTTCATCTGTATCGTTTAATTTAAACCAAGCCGTCAGCATAGTTTCTTTTGATCCGGCCCTTTCGGCCGCAGCTTCTACATTATCTGCATTGAAGTACACAGTTTGTTCACTCGGAAGATGTACTGGCAGTCTATAGATTGTATGTGACTGCTCATGCATAGAATTGCCAAAAAGTCGCCAGGCAGCTTCTGGAGCACTTATGTACCTTGAGTCCATAAAAGTTTTAATTTCATCATGATTAAGGACGTCTTGTTCAGAGATAGCAATATTTGCACAGTCATGTCCTTTATACACGTATTTGAAAAGGTACTTGACACTTTTTACAGATGCACAGCTTTCTACATTAATGTGACAATTATATTTCAAGCTCATATATGGATTATATGGGACAATCCAAGAGTTGTCAATCTGTCTGCCATTTACATCAGTTTGGCCAGTATTTCGTCTGCGGTATTTGGGATAACCATCGCAGTTTACTAAAGTTTCATTTTGAAAAGGCTTTGGAAATTCTTTAGAACATTTGTTATTAACCATACATGGTGAGTTTAGATTTGCCGAACCACATGGGCCGTGTACCATATGCTTTGTTACAACTGCATGTAACCGAGGACATTCATTAATATCTGGTATTTCAGCGGATATAAGCTGATTAAGTTTTTCGGCATCCACAGGACCGTCATTTTTAACCATTAAAAGAATGTGGGCATGCGGAAGTCCCCTCTTTTGAAATTCAATTACATGAACTTTTGCTGTTAAAATGCCCAGTATTTGTTTTTTGGAAATATCATCCAACAATTCTTTTAGCTTTAGGTTAAAGACCCGAGTTACTAAATCGGGTCTAAATTCAGCTTTCTGGCCATATTGAAGGTTATCTGTAATTTCGGGCCATTTTGGATTACATGTCATAGTTACAAAAAAGTCGGGCTTTCCAAATTTCCTGACAATTGCCATAGCGTCTTGGTAATTTTGTGCCATATTTCTTGGGCTTCCTATGAAAGAAGAAGGCAATATAACCGCTCTTCCAGGTATTAGCCCTTGGTCATTGGCTGCAGTTTGTATATAATCGATTAGGCCAGCATATTGTTCAGCCCGTAAAGTGCCCTGGTTTTGTCGGCAGAAATTTAATCTGTTTGCTTCAGTTTTTACGTAGGCATCTACAAAGTATTGCTGAGTCAGCTTTCCTGCACACAGAAATGGGTTTAGCTCGTCACGAATTGATAGACGGTACCCATAATACTGCATTTGAGTAATTCGTGTTCTTGGATTAGCAGAGGGTTGTCTCATATTTGCCAATGATGGGGGCCGATTTAGCTTCAGATCAATTCCCCAACTTTGATCCCCATATGGAAATAATAATGGATATACCATTGGTTCCAAATTGGGATCCAATATATTTATCCTTTCTGTTCTCTTAGGATTTAAATCATTTTCATTGGGTCTACAATGGATGAGAATGTCCCTTTCAAGTTGAGGTTCGCCATCAGCGTTTTGGAATATTACTGCAACTTCATTTACTCGTGGTGCATTATAACGTCTTTGATCAGAATTACGATCTTGAACAATAGCCATAGCTACAGTCGCTGGTTCTACTCCATTAAGTGTAGCTTCTGCTAAACACTCTTTTTCAACTTCGTAAAGCATTTTAAATGCTTTAGCAAAAGGATTATTTTGAGCCATGAAAGAGCTCAACTCTCGCATAATTTCAGCATTACAATGCGCATTTTCACGAATCATCATTCTTTGATCACATGCCTCATCCGGGTCAAGAATATAAAGTTGGGCAAATTTTCTTTGGTCCCCATTTGTTGGATGAAGGGATCCAGTTCTGTGGTAAATTTGACCATTAATTCGAAAACAATAAGGTCCATATCCTGGGGGAGGGGCGATGTTTGCTCCCATTGAGGCAAAAGCCAATGCACTGTTTATTGAACGAATGTTCTCAAAAAAATTATTTGAATATTCATGCTCTTTTTTCATTAATTTTTCTATATTCGGGGCTAATTTAATAGGAGGAAGAACAACCTTTCCTTTTTGACAGCATTGTGTAAATTTTTTGTCTTGTGGCCGTTCCTTTAAAAAATGTTTTGCACCACAGAAAGAACATGGAACATTTAATTCGCCACAGGTGTGCTGCTGTATGTCGGCTTCATTAAACCTATTAATTGATGCCGCATGAATGGTCTGATTTAGATTTCTAAGCCTCGTTGCGGCTCTTGAAGTTGATGCAGCCGCAACATTTGCACGCCTTTGTTCAATACGTTGAGTGGTTGCCATATTTGCAGCTCTATGTCTTTTGTTCTTTGAGTTCCGTTGCAGTTCAACGGAACGTTGTTCTTCAGAGAGACTTGCAACTCGGTTTCGCTCAATTTCTGCATGTCTTACTCGTTCAAGGGAACGTTGTTCTTCAGAGAGACTTGCAACTCGATTTCGTTCAATTTCTGCATGCCTTTCTCGCTCAATGGAACACTGTTCTTCAGAGCGACTTGCAACTCGGTTTCGTTCAATTTCTGCACGTCTTTCTCGTTCAATGGAACGTTCTTCCGCAGAGAGATTTGCAATTCGGTTTCTCTTATTTTCTGCATTTCTTTCGCGTTCTTCTAAACGTTGTTCTTCAGAACGGTTTGCACGGCGCATGCGCATATTTTCAGCATGTTGCCTTTTTCTTTCAGCATCTCCTTCGGCAGTCCTTTGTCTCTTTGGGGGCATTATTCAGTTTAATATAATTTGTTGCAGCACCCTGTTGTTTATGACGGCACACTACGCTATGCTTTGTTACGGTACCCTGCACTGTGGCCTATATTACGGCACTTTGGCCTTTAATACGGCACTTTGGCCTTTAATACGGCACTTTGGCCTTTAATACGGCACTTTGGCCTTTATCCGCGTGAAAGATACTACCCCGTAGGATAATGTAGTTGTATATTGTGTATGTAAATATGTCTATGTATGTATGTATGTATGTATGTATGTAGTAAATATGTACGTTTGTTTACGTACGTACGTACGTACGTACGTGCGTAATGTAATGTATGTGTAATATGTAATTATTTATATTGTTATGGGTGGTGGTTTTAAGTGGGAGGAGGAGGTGAAACTTGGAGGATTTGTGGAAAAATGTGTTGTTGTCGGTCTGCTCATCAGATCCGACTGAGCGAGAAGAAGAGAGTATCGCGGTGGATATAGTCAATAGTGAGACGGAGTGAGAGTGGGGCAGCTTGCATCGCATCACTCCTCGGTCAGTCAGGCAGGCAGTGACTTAACACTAACGCTTTATGGAAGTTAGATATGCATCGCTTGAGGGTTAAAAATATTTAGAATTTATATACATGCTATGATTGGATGGGAATACAGGTGTATGTACATAAATATATTCATATTTATATTTAGTCAAACATTCTCGCTCTACCTGAATTCTGAGTAAAGAATGGTTCCCTAATACACAAAGGGAACTGAGCATCCTTCTTACGCACTTTAGTGCATTTTAGTCATTTGTAAGGTATCGTCTACGGTGCAACTAAATAAGCTACTTGAAACACGTATTTACACATAAATTGGAGTTACATTGAACTTGATTAATTTAGAAAAATACAATGTTCATTAGAGCTTCTGCCGTACTCATATTTTATTTCTTGGGTGGGGTAAGTAGCATTTTAACTCCAATTGCTACACAATTGTGTACATTCACTTCTAAATGTCCGTACAAATTAATAAATTTTAACGTCTGTCATTATGCATATTTAGACATTTTCCGCCCCACCTGCCTCAACCCCACTTATTTCACCTCAAGAACAGAAATTCATCACTGCCCACACCATAAGCAATGAAGAATTTCGCAAAGTAGGATTAAATCCTAGAGCATGGGACAAACTCTCAAACAACAGAATGACCGACACCAAGCCGGCCAACACATTTATTGTGGGGGACTATAACACAAAAATTCTCCCAGCATTGCAAAATTCTGAGGTAATTTTTGAAATATTATATTCAATGTGTAACATAATTTCTTACAACTCTACAAATTTTATAAAGCTTTCAAGTTATCTAAAACAATTTCAAAATCAAAATCTTCCACGAATTTAGCAAAAATTTATAATCAAATTGTATGCATTTCACAAGGTTGTAAATACATAGCCTAGAAATCTCCACTAATAAATTAAAATTCCCAAATGTTTCTAGAACATTGCAGCCCCCGGAAGTCGGACCGTCTTCAAAGTGAACACACCCCTTCGAACCGTCACGATTAAGAGAGACGAGAAGAACGATATTTCCAGCCTGTCTTACAAGCAAAATGAGAATGTAATGGTTGGTATGAGCCCAAGTAAGGATGGGCGTGGTCTTGTCCCAGTTCACTTTGAGGGGGTCAAATCCCCTCCGAAAGTAATTCTGGGGAAGGAAAATTCGCCCCAAGTGGAAATCGTGCAAGCTCGGGAAGACAAGGTTATCTTCGCTACTCAAGATCCAAAAGTGGGAGGTGTCGTGGTGAAAAAACCAGATCAGAAATCGCCAGCTGTCATTACACAGACACTCAACCAGATTCAGAACAGGGTGAACCAGTCAAAAAAGGGGAGTTTCGCCACAGGCGGAGCGACAGGGTCACGGTCTAAATCACGTGGGACTCGAGCGACAACCAAGGTATTTCAGAAAATAATATTTTTCACTAATTTATCTCTGAACTTTGCTAACTAACAATAAGTTATAAAATGTGTGCAAATTTAAGTTGGTTATTCGTCCCCATTTTACATGTGCATGTTAACGATACATACACAATTCTGTATATATTTTATCATGTATGTAAACTAATGGTGCACATTTAACAAAACTATGGATTACAATTTCATGAAGTGAAAAGGAATTTTTTTTATTAAAAGCGACCATTGGCATCAGCATCCGGTGCCGGGAGAACAAGACCAACTTCACGAGGATCTACACGTAAAATGACCTTAATTTATTAATTTAAACCAAGTCAACTTGATAAATGACTAAAAAAAATTGTAGGTCCAGGTTCCTCATCAACGAGTGGACGACGAACAACTGCTTTTAAACCTGTCGGAGGCACCACCAAGGGATAAATTTATATGATAAATTGTATCTATGTACATATGTATGTATCAACGGTAAATCTAATCTTCAAGATTATTTATTACGTTATGACATTTCTTATTTGAATTGCTTCAATAAATATGTATATTTAAGTATGTTGCACGCGTGTATCTACACACTTCTCGTGGAAGAAATAATGTGTTGAAAATTGGAAATATCCATGTACATACATATGTACATGCGAAAAAATCATAAGAAATGCACTTCTAACCGAAAAAATTAACTGGAGGAGAGAAATCAATTGTTTTTCCCACGCACTGATTTTTTCCTCTTGCAATACGACTTATTAATGCATATTTTCATACCTACATATGTATACCAAAAATTACAGAGCCTGAATCGATTTTATGCCAGAAACTAAAGCCCTTCTCAACCTTGAGTATCCTTTTATACAATGAAACAATTCCGAATCATACAATAAGATAACATTGAACAGTCAATTAATATATTCATTCTTTCCTTGTTAATGTTAACAGCACTTTTTCTGATACTGTATAACAGCGTAGCTTCAAACAATTCAAACCCTAACTAAATTTTCAAAAATAAGAAATTTAAAATTTAACGTTACATACGAGTAAGTCATGTTCCGTAGAATAGTATACGTTTCATTCTCAATCTTGGCCATCCTTCATTCTTTAGGTGATTTAATAAATATGCAGTTGCGATTTTGTCCTTCATCTCAATAAAAAGCTAAAAATATTCCTGTTTTCTTCAGTCAAGCTTGGAGAAAGTACGACCTGTGTGTCTTCGCAAGGATGGACAGGGATCTGTGCAAGTGTGTCAGACTGTGCAGCGGAAGGAAGAGCATCCGGAAAATCAGATTATTGCGACGAAGTCTGCTGCATGGTCATGATCGTCCCTCGCCATTACTACAACTTTGGAGACGTGGAACCCAGGCGTGTCCGATATTAAGTAATTGTACAATTTTTTGCGCATTTTTTAGGAAATTTGCCGATATGTTTTTACCGCCCCAGTACAAATACGGATAATTTATGATATAAATTGCATTCTACGTGAATCATTTGAAGTAAATAAGTATGTTCATAAATAAATTCATATTATGGATAGATATAAATTTTTATATTCTGTGTCTTTCGGCCCTCTTATACATAATTATTAACTTCATTCATAAAAATAAATTTTAACTCAATTCTTTGGCACAATTTTTTCAATTTTTTTAACACAGTTCATATAATTATTGACGAAAAAGTATAAATTATTTAGAAAAATTCAATGTTCCTCTTCCTTAATCGTGAAAATTTCTTCATACAATTCACCAAATAAGTTCAATCTAATCGATGTTACCCAGCAGTGGGGCACAGGGGAATTGGGATCCATTTTCCAGGCCAACTAATAACTCGGCCTTTTCGTATCCCAGAGGGCTGGACATTGGCACTGTGTGGTTCCTGGTGGGAGGAAATGACCCCATTATGAGATTCCATTTTGGGCTCCTGACACATAAAAGAGGGCAAATTTGATAATTTGTTCAATAAAAAAGTTACTTTATAAAGGGTGTTAATAAAGTCCGATCCCATGCATTTTTTGGAGCGTGGTTGTTACAAATTCAGCTGGAACTTTTGAACCAGTGAAGTTATTTATTTCAAATTTTTACCATGGGAGGAACAACTAAACGTGTAAGTCATGAGCATCTTAGAGTTGAGATACAAACATTGCATCAGCAGGGGCTTAAACCTACAGAAATTGTGCAAAAATTGGGCTGCAGCCGCAGAACTGTTTGGAAATGGAAGAATAAAAATTTTGTCCACAAAAAGCGACCAGGGCGACCCAGAAAGGTGTCACCTACCACAAAAAGAATGATTAAAAACAGACTTTGCAAGAAAACCGGTAGTTCATTACGTAATTGAGCAAGGGAGTTAAATGACTCAAAACGCTATAAAGAGAAGAAGAAGCAAATTAACTGTGTGACCGTGCAAAAATTTGTGAAAACTACGAAGTGGGGTCACACAGCTTACAAACTAACCAAAAAAACCTCTCATGTCACAAAAATATATCGATGACCGTCTGAAATTTGAAGAACTCCTTCAGAAAAGTGCCCATTTGAGTGAAAAAAGACTTGGTGAAGAATTGCGCAGTCACATCCTTTGGACTGACGAATCTATTATTGAACTATATCCAAAATTGAACCAACAAAATGTTCGTTACAGGACAGAAAACAAATCGGATGTACCATCAAGAGCGATCCCAAAATTCGGGCTTAAAGTTATGGTAGCGGGTGGATTTTGTGCACGTTGCGTGACCCCTCTACATATCATACCAAAAGGCCAATCAGTCAATGCAAAGCATTATATGGAAAAAATATTACCTATCTATTTCGATAGCATGGGGAACAAGGAAATATTTCCGAATGAAAGAAAAATAGTTTTCATGCAGGATGGTGCTATAGCCCATACAGCAAAAGCGAGTTTGAGTCTCATCAAGACGCAAGTTTCAACGGTCTGGAGCAAGGGGGTGTGGGCCGCTAACGGCCCAGATTTGAATCCCCTGAAGAACCAGTGGTCCATACTTAAGGAAAATGTATACAAAGAGCCACAACCCCGGACGAGGGAAGAGCTAGTAAAAAAAAGTTCAAGATGTATGGAATTCGATTTCCAGAGGCACATTGGAAAAATTAGCACAGAGCCTTAAACAAAGAGTTGAGGGCATGGTTAAAGTAAATGGTAACAAGACCAAATACTAAGGTAAATATGTCGAACATTTTTTGTAAGTATCACGGGTAGTTTTTTTTTATACTAGCCTTCACTTTTTTACAGGAAAAATGGGATCGGACTTTATTAACACCCTGTACCTACTTCCAAATTTTGATGACACACAATTTTCTCAACAAGGAGACAATCACCACCACAACGAGAATCGATTTAAAAATTGAAGGGTTCATTCTTAACGTGAGAAAAATTGTGTTCTGTTTGGTGTTCACCAAGGAGATATATATCGTTATTTTAGTTATGGAGAGAAGTTGTATATCAAGTACTGACAAATTGTTTTAGAAAAAAAATCGGAATTTGGAAATCTCAGATTTTTAATTGGTTTGGACACGTTACTTTCAAGTCACTTTCCTCTCCTGACCAGAATTATTTCTCAATTGCCTTTTATATACAGGATTATTTTTAGATTATTTAAAAATGCTTTTAAGAAAACATAGGAAGGTAATTTGGGTCGCATTACGTATTTCAGCCGAGCTGTAAACGAAATAAAGCAATAATGCCGATATCGCTTGTCGCAAATTTTGTACTTCCTATCAAAATATGATGTCATCATAACTTGTCATACATACATGTGCATTTAGATATTTTTAGTGGGGAATCTCTCACTCGATATTTGTGGGTCACGGTCATGCATATGTATATACATATATATGACTTAGGATGAGGTTTCTGGGTCACGTTCATTTGTAACTACGCCCATTGTCCGATTGATAACACAATGATGGAAATTAAAACACAATCCTAATCATCATGACACTGCAAAAATTTAAGAAAAAAAGTTAAATATTTCAGCGTCATTCTTCATACTCAACTTTTCCTCGACCCCCACAAAACAACATTTCTCTAAAGACCTTCCCTTCAAAATTCGCCCAATTTGAGGGATCCACAATTTGAAATAAAATTCATACCACATTCATTCAGTTTAATCCCAAAAAAGTAAAAATTCATTCCTTCCTTCATTCAAAAATTCAAAAATTCATTCATTCATTCCTAAAAAGTAAAAATTCATTCCCCGTCAGCGCGCCAACCGAGGAGGATTTGCTCTTGCACGAGCTCCTCTAAATTTATTTATTTTTAATCTAATTTAATTAATTCTAATTGGTAATAACCTCAAATTTAATTGGCAATGTGTGAAAATCCCTCATTATCAAACTGAACAACCATTTCAGTCAAAAATTGTATTTTTAAATCGTATTTTTATGTATTTTTACGATCAGAATTACCACCTGGCTTCTGCCTGTATCCACTCGGTTGGTTGGGGAATCAAAATTGGTTTGTATGTCAAAATTAAGTTGGTTTTTTGGTGCAATTTTTCCAACAAATATAATTTAAGTAATTAAGTAAAATGTAAGTTGATATAAATTATAATTGGGTAATGATTTGAAATCGTAATTGTATCTAAATTTACAAACTCAGCCAGTCTTGGTATGCAACCAACTTTGTCGCGTTCCTTTGAGCTGCGAGATGGTTTTGTTTGTTCATCTTGCTAAATTATAATTTGATTGTATAAGTATTGGCTTAGAGAGGATGTAAACTGACGAAACTAGGCAAGTAAGTTACTTTAATTTGTCTAAATGTTTAATTTAGAGTCCCCTTCTCTAGTGTTAAGCATAAGTTTTTGTATTTCTTGTACTAATAAGCCAGTATAATAAAACTTCAATTCAATTCAAAAAAGAAATCCTCCTCCCGTCAAATCTGTTTTCTTGCTGAGTGAAAGGTTTCAAATTAAGTTGACACTGTTCCTATGCTCCCGTCATAAATTCCCCTTTGATGTTACATTCCCTTTTAGAGGAGAAAATATCTCGCGACCCGAGCCAAACGTCTGTCACATTCATCCCATTTCGGAAACAACCAACATCTATATCAAGCAGTCGACTGGAATGTGTTCTTCCATATCCACACACACAATTTTCCTCAAACTTGTCCCAAAACCAAAGGACAAACAAACTTTCATCATCGATACCACATAAATCTTAAACATCCTCATTAAATCCTTGACACTTTATCTCCCTTGTAAAGCAAGTTGTTACAAAGTCACGGAGAAAGTGGTGGGAGTGACTTTACACATAAATCCCTTGCATAAACTTGTCCTCGAAGCACACCCACAAAGAATAACCAGCTCAGTAAACTCTGGGACAGTTCCATGTTTCCATGCAAAAATACTTGCCCAAAAACCACACTAAATATGCAAACGTAACAAAAAAAATCAGCATTTCGCCACAAAAAAATCCATGTAGCCGCCTCATTACGCATATCTTAATGTTCTAGTCCCTCGTTAAAATTAAGATGTTGGTCGTGTTTTTTACAACTGCTTAATATGTACGGTTCTAAAATCGTGTCGTCTTTTTTACAGTTACACTCTCATGCATATCCAAACAACTTTTTTTTCTTAGCCACCACCAAAGAACATAACAAACAATTTTATTTTAGCCTTGTTTTCCTTCTTTACTGCAAACCATGCTTGATCCTACTCTTTTCAACCCTGCAGTAAATAACAACCCGTAATAAAAACAAGTCACAAAACTTTTTCTGTCCGCGTGTACCCAGCTTCTAGTCAAAAACTCAAGTCAGAGAATTGCTCTCTCATTTTATTCTTCTTCTTCTTCGGTATGTCTGGCTGCTCAAGAAAACTAGACCGGGTAGTGTGTGCCTCCACTCTTAGGAATTTGGGAACAAAATTTTTAGAGGGTGTATCCGTTAGTTTGTAAATACTTAGGTATCACTAGTATGAAAATAAGATGGAATTTCGTATTTACAAAATCTCTAATGTTACCGATTGGTGTAAAAGCGTTGCCAATCGGTTGAGTTGCAAAGTTTATGTGTTACATACCTCGGTGACAAACGCTACTGTTAATACGTGACTATTGCTCTTAACTTTGTCACCCATCGATGATAAATAAATCCGAATTTACACAGTTACCAGTCCATTCGAAATTACGATCTCACGGGTGTTACCAAATCGGTAGTGCAATCATATATAAAGTAAGCAGTCTAGTTCCAGATTATAAATTTGTCCCCAAATTACTCAGAGTGTCATGGCAATTGTCCGTATTCTGGAGTACAAAAGTGTACAAGTTACAGTCGTCGGGTAAGAGCAGCAGTAGCAGCATCATAGATACTCGTTCACAACGCAAATCGGCAATCCAGCCAAACTTTGCCTTAAAATAAATGGAACTGGGCCCACAGTCGAGGACCATTCCTCAAATCGGGGCAGAGCGGAACGAACCAGCAGCAAAAGAGTAAGCGTTGGTCCTACCCGAGCTGAAAGATTTCATGCTTCTCCAGCCAACTTGCCATCATTTCACTCCTGGAGAACTGGAGGCTTGAAAAATATCAAATCCGTTCCAGTACCATCGTGGCAGCTTCGGGTGAAAGTGGTCTTCTCGACAAACTTCTGCACCACCGCTTTGAGATAAAAGTGTCCCATAATAAAACCACGTTATGGTTTCAAGTTTTTAAAGTGCGGTCCTAAACTGGCTCCATTTTAACACAAGTTTAATTATTTACCTCCATTCACGCCATTCATTGTGCACTTAAAAACGGAACGAAATGAGTGAATCGTGTTATTCATAGCGAATTTGAGTACCCAATTTTGCAAAAGTTTGCCCCGTAAGGAACCACTTTATTTCACCAGGTGAGACAATATTTCTCATTAAGCCAGCCCCATAACTTCGCAATTATTAGTTTACACATACACACGCGTATGTATGTCCATGGCTGAATAAATATTTAGCAATCATGCCGTTGACTAGGGTGCACAAGGCATAAAATAAAGTGACACATCAAATCTTAGTCCGTCCGTGCCGTTGTCAGACGACTGGCGTAACACAAAACCGCGATCTGTTTACTTATGCATGCACAAGATATCTTTTCTCAGCTCGTAACAAGAAACCGGACGCGTCTTAGTGTACTTTCAACTTTCTCCCTGCTTTCTCCTCAATCCTTAAACAAACGTAAACTTTGAGAGTGCACGGCTTAGACTTTTCGGTGGTTGTTGTGTTGCTACAGAGGAAACGGACACCCTGCTGATTTCCTTTCCATTGAGTTGTCTTGTCTCGAAGGGTGGGTGGCTTTGTTGCTTAGCGTCATGTCGAGTTATGACAAAATGTATCACTTTCTCTTTATGCGAGGGGAAAAATCTATCTCTGAAATCAAAGCGGACAAATTTTACACCGTGTTTTGAATTTAGATAGATTGACAGAAAAAAAATGTTTGGTCAATTTCTAGTCATCGACACCTTCCTCCTTTTTTGCCAGGAATAAAATTCAGATCAAAAATGAAGTGAAAGCTCCTGGATTGAAAGGGAAAGGTCAAAAGGATATGGAAATTGTTTCCTGTATCAAATCAGACTTGAGATTTTTTGGAGAAAGTGATCGCCTAAATTTACATGTACGGAAAGATTCCCCAATTTTTTTTTCTTGGTCTGATATTTGACTTGCTTTCATTTTTCCCAATCTCAATCTCTCCCAATTTTTTGTATCGTTTGTGTGTCTGCATAAATTTTGATACACTTAGGTTGTTTAAAGTGGAATATTCTTTTCTCTTTCCATGCATGTCAAAAAGTAGGGGAAAGCCTTTGACTTTTTGATTTCTGGATGACGTGCAGAGAGAAAGTAGGCAAGACTGATTTGGACGGATTTCCCATTTTCTTGTGCTGCGTCCCAATCCGCTCATTTTCAATATCTCTGCCGACTCTGCCTCCTCCACTGTTCCTTATCATCAACTGTTGTCTCTTTTCCTGAGGAGTTTTGCATGAGAGAAGTTAAGCTTTATTAAGATTAAGCCACACTGGGGAAACGTCCCCGTTTCCAGTTTGGAGGAAAACATGGCAAAGTTTTTAGCCTGGTGAGAGGACACTTTTGGATCTTGGCTCTTGTGCTTGATAAATTTCGAAAATTTTGAAAATCAAGTAACATAAGGAATTCAAAAATAACTCTTAGATTCCTTCAATGTAACCAAATAATTATAAAACCAGGAAAACTTTCTCCCTTCCAAAAACAATGGGAAACACAATCTCAGTTTTGTTTAATCAGAAATCCAACTTTGCCTCTGCATCCGTCCATGGCCTCGATCTGCTCCACTATTTCTTTGTGCTTTCCCTGATCCAATTTCCCCATCGGATCCAATTGTCCTCTTAATTACCCAATTTTCTTGTACCCCACTTTATTTGTCTCGCCACCATCCAATTAGCCAAGATAAAATCTATGTATTCCGACCAGCCGCAGGCCCAATAATCATGTCAAATTCCTGATTAAAACTATTTACAAAACCCTATCTATCATCAAAATTTCCATTTGTTTTTCCTCGTCCAATTAAAATTCCTAGCGTCCAGTATACCAAAATACGTAGGGGGATTGAGATTTCTCCGAAATTAACATTTCACTTGGTGCCGAGTGAAATTAAACCTGCTTATTATTCTTCCTTAACTAACTGTCACCTCAAATTCGACATAATAAAACTTAAATCTCGCCATCCTCCTCTCTAAAACTTGAGTCGGGCCGGGACGGGAAGTAGGATTAAGAAAACCCACAAATTAAACAACTTTAACACTTTTCCCAGTCAGACTGGAGTTACTTATGCGAAGAGAACATCTTCTTTTCTCCTGAAAACTTTTAATCCAGAGGAAGGAGGCAAAGTTTAGGGACGGAATCAGCATTATCATCAGTGCCTCGTCGTATTTTGTTAGCCCGTTTTAAGGAAGAATTAAGCCTGACAAGTTGAGCACAATGGAGATAAAGAGATTCCATTATGAATTCCTGTATAGTCAGTATCATCACTATTTCGCAATTAGTGAAAGCACTTCATTGTCACGTCGTTTAAATAAGTATGGCACTCTCAAAATATCGCAAATTCTGTTGATTTTTTCCAAAAAGTTGGCCGAATCTGCTAAAAAAAATCCGCAAATTCCTCGCCAAGTGGTAACTGACGGGCGCAAGATTTTTAATGAAAGGCGAAATTAAGTGCGAAATCGCATTTGTTTCCCTCCGTCGTCCTCTTTTTCTGCACGTCTGTGTGCCAATCTTTCTTCTGACACTAAATGACTTTGAGTGAAGACTGACGACTTGGCTTTTCTTCTTTTCTGTCAAAGACACACTTTTCCAGTCACAATTCATCATTATGTGTTTTCCCAGTTTTTTTTTCACTTTATCCGCCGTGGTTCACAAATGGGTGAATTTTAAAGTCAAATTCAAACAAATTTGAGAAAAGTCTTCCCGTTTGTCCACCACCAATAAGTAACGCATACACACACAGGGAGAGAAAAAGTACTTTCACTCACTTTCTCTTATTTTTTTCTTTCGCGTGACAACTTGGTGAATTGAATCTGTGTAAGAATTCTTGGTCCATGGAGCTGTTTAAAAGTCTGGGCACGTATTTCTTCCCTTGGCCACCAAAGCCAGTGCTGCGCTGCCACTTGAACGTGGTATTAATAAGTGGCGGACCTTTTACTACGAGAGACAGACAACACAAGACAAGCTTCTTCATCATCATCTTCAAAGTACCATTTATTATCTCGGGAAAGGAGGAAGGGTGTGATTTGTTTGATAATACGCATTTCTGCCGACTTTCACTCACTCATTTCGCTACGATAAGAAGACTACACCGATCAGTGTACAATTCTCGAGTATTTTCATTTCTGCCAATTCTTTCGAGGAAATCAACACTTCCTATTTTTTTGTGGTTTCTCTCGCACTAAAAAAAGATCAGATTGTGTGCCCTCCTTTCTTAAAGTTTAAGACTGTATATACATACGTACACTTTCATTTTATGTTGTGAGGCGAGGAGGAGTACACCTTTTTTTAAGGAATTTCTTCAATAAAAAATGTGTCACATTCCCCCGTGTATCCTATCGCGTTTCACTTTCTCTCCAAGTATTTCGTCCTATAGGCTGTTTTCTTGTGATCTTTTCTCTCGTGGTGGGTGGAGGTGATAGATGAGCCATAAATTTTTGTAGGTATTGGAAATTGGAATTTTAGGAGGTGACAAGGACCAAGATTTGATTCAAGTGGTGGTATCTATGCAGCCGTATCTTTGGAAACGGTGCTAGTGGTAGATGTGGTTTGGCCAAAGAATTACTACGTTTCCTGCTTTATGAGGCGAGTAAGAGATAGATAGATAGCTCCCCCTGCAATTTATGGCGTATTGATTCCACATCAACAACGCACCGGGTGAAATGTGACTCCACTTTCACTTCCTTGCGCTCAAATGGTGAAAGTCGACTCATTTATTCTTCCCCACCCTGCAACCAATTATATGAATCCAAACACTTTGCCAAAAACAGAAGTGGGCAAAAAACATTTCTAAAATTATATAAATCCCACACACACATACGTACATGGAACCCAGTAGGAGCAGTAGCACAATAAATAGTGCTGATTCCCCATTTCACGGATCATCATCATCTATCTCACTGGGTAAAATATAAATCCGTCATTACTATTCCCAGGAGCAATTCATTCCTATTCTTCTTCCGCATCCCTTCTCACAAAATCTATTGAATTCTCCATCTAGCCAACTAAGTAAAGTCGCAAACTTTTGAATTAACGGGGTTTGTTTTGTGAGAGGGGAAGTGAAAGTGAAATCGAGACTTGTGTTCGATCTGGAGTTGAAGTTGCTTCGCCCTCTCGCCATCGCCGCCGCCTCCTTCTCATCGTCGTCAAAGATGTGGTGATGAGATTCGTTTCGTTTTAGTGAAAGTGAACTAAGCAGCAGCAGCAGCAGAGTCACACGGACCAATTCGCTTTATTTAACCCACAGTTTAGTTGGAATATCTACTCAAAATTCTAATCCTGTCCGGGAAAATGGAAAGACAAAGATATCACAAATTGAAGACGCGAGATGTTTAAGCAAATTTTAGCGAATCTCGTTTAAATTTTAGAATTGTTGAGTCGTTTCAAGACCGAGAAAGGGTCGTGGTAGTTTGTGATTCCATTACTTTCCTTTCCTGGTGTATTCATATATCTTGAAGATATTTATTGTCGGGTAGAAACTAGAAATTCTCACTTTCCCAAAGTTTCGGCTGGCTCACTTTTGGGCAAGAAATATAGCCATCCATCTCACCCTGGAAAAAGTAATGTAATGACGATAAATTGTGAGCATTGTTGTCTAATTGGTTTCCAAGAGAGGAGAAGAGATAGAAAAATAATTCGATTCTCAAGTGATATCTTTCACTTCCAGTTGCCAGAAAATTTTATCCCCCTACAAAAAAGAGATTAATGTTTCCACTCCAAAATTACAAAACAAAACGAGACTCATCACATCACCTTATTTTACACGGATCCATTTCCTCTTTGTGAAATTGTCTCTCCCAAGTGAGCCGTTTTTGTTTGTCCTCTTTCACCGCATCCATGACGACATAGTTTCTACAACAATTGGAATAAAATTCGCATCTCTTTTCCCCCTCTTCAAGTTAATTGCGTCATTAAGATGTTATTCGTGATAGGGGAATACGTCCATCCATACATTCATTTACTCCTCCGAGGAGGGGATGGGACACCACTAAACTAAACACGTGCACAAAGGATTGCGATTTTATTGTATTAGGTTGCCCTTTGTAGGAAAAAAATATAGACCAAATATTTTTATTCCTATGTATGCACAAGTCTGGATTATAAAAGAAGAACGCGGCTATAAATTGCGTAGCCAAATTCGTTCCCACTTTTGAATTCATTCTTATTCTTCTCGCAGAGTAAACGTGTCACGAGAGAATAGTGAAAGTTTTGTGGCTCATTTTACGGACGAGTGGAATTCGCTTCTCTTTCTTGTGTCATTGTCGCTGCTGGTGCTTTCTCCGCTTTCTCCAGTTCTTAGTTAACTAGACGAGAGGCCAGTATCCAGCTACGAGTCTCTGCTACTACTTACTTACAACTACGGCTTTACTGGTTTGGTGGCCCTACTACTACGCTGCCCATTTTGGCACTTACCAGGAGCCAACAAACTGCGGAGAGATAAGAGAGAAAGCAGTAGCTCAGATAGAATAAATGGTTGGATTGGATGGATGTCGTATAGTCCAACATTTCTGTTTCGCCTGGTTGACTCTGACAATTGTAGGGAACTAGAAGGTCGGGTTTTAAGTGCAGAAATCTTGTCAAAAACGTTGAGAAATTCGCATAAATTTCGCCACCATTACCCGGTGTATAAAATCTGTGATAAATATTTCATCCTTATCGAAATAAGTTTCCCTGTTCGCACGGAGATTACATTTGCAAATTGATATCAAAATTTCTATTCGAAAAGTCTCAAAATTTTGAGACTGTAATTGAGCCAATTCAAACTTGACACACCACCCCACCGCATCGCATCCGGAAGAGAAAGTTGGCTCATTTTCGTCTCCCTCGTAAAATTATGACCCTCCATAATAACCATAATCAGATTGAGACGGAGTGGAACGGGAAGCGAGTCGTAATTGAATGGGAATTAGCCCTACTTTCAAACCCGAGTCAGTCAAGTAATAATAGTTTGAAAGTAATGACACCAAATATTCGAGGAGGCGAAAAAGATGACGATCATCATCATCTCCATAACGTTGGGACTTATACTCTCGCGAAAGTAGCGAGTTTTTGTGGAGGGGAAGTTTCTCAAAGAAAATATACGATACAATAACAACACTTCACCCCATCTGTGACCTTAGGAGAAATTTATGCTAATAAGGCGAATAATCACACCCCTCCGTCCGCTGCTATTAATTCCGCCTGCTCGAAACACGATATTATTCCCATCTTTGAATTTTGATTTCAATGAGAAATTCCAAATTCACGGTTGCTTTCACCAGCATATCTACACTCATCTGCTTACTTAGCAGCATATATAATTTTATCCTGCTGCTGCTGCTTTCACCCAGCCAGATTTTGTCACATGCATGCACACACATTCACCTCATTTCACTCGAACCCATTACGACCTCTCGCTCCCGTTTATTAAGTCGGCACGAGGCGAACATAATGATGATTACACATTCAGAAAGAGTTCCTCATTAAGCTTTTAATGAATTTTTGCACCAAAAAGTGAAATGATTTATTATACAACTTTCACTTTTCAGTTGTACAATCATGGAAACTTCATGGTGATAAGGACACGTCGCCACGGATGAGATTACTATGAGTCCGATAAGTGCAGAAATGAAGGGAAGTGCATTAAATGAAGTCCCACCTGCCACCTGCGACGGCACAGGTTCTCCTCCCACCCCGACGACGACGAAGGAACAGCAAGTAGCGACGAGTGAAAGCAGTACGGAAATTGTGACCCCGGTGACCCCGACGGAGACAGAGATGCAACTCCCGACATCCTCGACGCCCTGTGAACCTACACTTATTCCAAAGTATGGGACGCTAATTCCGAACAGAGTGTTTGTCGGGGGCATTTCGACCCACACGACGGAGTCAGAGTTGGCCACGCTCTTCTCCAAGTATGGATCCGTGCGGGGAACGAAGATTATTCTCGACAGGGTTGGGATCTCGAAGGGTTATGGCTTCGTCACATATGAGACGGAGGATGAGGCGAGGAGATTATTTACAGCGATGAATAATAGGGTGAGGAAGTTATAAATGTATTAACGCAAGAAAAGTATGGAGTGTGTGCTGAATGAATATTTTTGAGCAGATAATTTGAATTATTTCTTAACTTTTGCAGGAATTACCCCCAATTGTTCATCGAGATCGGAGATTAAATATTGCACCCGCCGTTAAGAAACAGGTAAGTGCGACTGCAATTTTCTGTTTGGGGTGGTTTAAAGTCTTGCTGCAATGGAAAATTTTCCAATGGGAAAAAATCGTAAATTTCCATTAGTTGCCTAAGTTTTGCCTTTGAAATTCATCATTTTAAAACTTTGTCATTATATTCCATCAGTTTTGAAGTTGAATAATCCATAGAATTCTCGATTCCAAATCCTCGTAACTAATGGAGATTTATGGGCTTTTCAAAAGCTTATAAAATTTTTCCCTTTGCAAAATTTCCCATTGTAACGAGACACTTGTGTACTCAATTGTCACCAAATTTAAACAATTTGACATCCATTTTAAACAATCAAATGTGAATTTTTCAGCCTGTACTCACCCGTCAGGGGTGTTCCTACTATGGAACTTCCCCCTCAGGGTCTGCATCTACCACACTTTCACCTCCCCCAACCCTGGTCGAGTCCCCCTTCTACTTTCCCACGGGGGGAACCACCCCAACCGGAACGGACTTTCTCTTTCAGGGCGCCTCCCACCACCACCCAGCACTGCCCGACGCTTCCTCCTTCATCTACCCAGGCGCCCACAATCCCTTCCCTTTCTTCGCTGCGGGGGGTGCGGGAGGAACGCCAACGACGCCAAACGGTCTCGGACTCGGGCAGGCTTTACCCGGTCCCAACGGCAGCATTATTTTCCTCCCATTTGGACTTAATCCGTATCAGCAACAGCCGCAGGTGAGAATGAGTTATTTTTCATTGTAAACAATAGGCAGTTAGCGATCTTAACGTAACGTAATAATCTTAGATAACATTTGCTACGTCACGAAGTATTTATTCAAACTGCATAAATGAAGCAGTTCACACAGGACTTGGTGACATTACAAATTCTCCAAAATCAGTTTACAGTGCTAATTTTCCAGAGAAGTTTGCAAAATTTTAGAAGCATTTTCGGAATTTTGAGGATTTTACAGTGTTACGAATCGTAACTTACGATGCTTCAAAGAACTGCAACTGCAACATCATGCATGTACAAGACAAGAGTTTACTAATGACTTATGCCACCCATGTATTGAATAAATTGTGCAGTATTTTTCGCACGAATTTACTGCATTTTTCACACCAGTATTAATTAAAATTTACAAAGTAACAAATTACGTAACTAATTAACAGTCTCAAAGTATCCTACAAACTTTCATAAAATAAAACATGACTGTGTAAGCTTACAAGGATTTTTATCCTAATTTCTAATGACAACGTAATTTGCGCAAGGTTGCACAATTTACACAATTTACTATGTAACATTCTTTTGAATTTCATCCATGAGCAGCCTCTACTCATGTCAATGTCCTTGATTACCAGTAGGGCTACTACTTATCAACTATAATCATCAAAACTAAACAGACCACTAAAAAATCACTGCTTTTCTTTCCAGTCTATACAAGGTGACCCTTGGAACTCGACCTCTGTGACATCTGCCCTTCCCACTTTCGCTCTGCCCCACTCATCCCCCTCGCTCCCGCACTGGGCCCGTCTCCACCACCAGGCCAGCACCATGGGGCCCCCACAACTGCCCCCCGTGCACCCCAGCAACACGAACCACCACCACTACTCGACCCAGCAGCACGCGACCTCCTCCTCCCACCACCACCACCACCACAACCAGCCCCACCACCACCCCTACTTGAGCGAACAGTCGGCCACCCCACAACACCCGGACCCACTCCTCTACTTCAGCAATGCACTCATCTCCACGCCACATTAAGATAAGCCCACCAGATAAGCGACGTCTATACGTACGTACATACGAATGTAGTTACCTACACACTAATTTTATTATTCTTGCACAACACCACATAAAACATTCCACTTTCCATAAAATCTAAATGGGTCGTAAAAACCGATCGTATTTTAATTAAGTGCTTCGATTTAGGTACATCCACATAGCGATTAATCTGTGCAGTATTAATGATGTATGTATGTACATACATGACGGTGCTCTATACAAATCTCTGCATAAAATGGGAGAGAAAGTGCTAATAATTATTATTGTATCGTAATCATTACTCAAAATCGAAATTGCCCCCATTAAGGATTCCCCTCCATTAAACAGCAGCGTTGATCTCATGAAAGGTTTCCACTCACATAAATCCGCAATCAATTTCATATTCACGCCATAATTTTGTAATAGCGGAGCGAACAATCTCACCAAAAATCGCTCGAAACGCCAGAGACTAAACTCTCATCGTAATTAAACAATCCAATTAATTTTACATCCCCATATTCTCATCCTATTTAGTGGCATCAGGCTACCCGTAACCTACTTAATTTAAAAATACGTCACCATAAAAAGGACGACGATGGGGTACGTACGCAATTTCGAACGTGGCGGCCATAATTCCCTGCCTTTAATAACATGCAGCTAACAATCTCCGGACTAAAAGCCAAGCCGTAAAGTATGAACAATTCGGTTTCTCTGTGTCTGCAATTACACTTTTGCACTCGAACCTCTGTATCTCACTTTCCCGTTATTTCATTAAATCCTTCGTACCACGGGATCGCCTTTTTATTGTGTGCTTTGCCTTTATCCTGCCAAATTGGTAACGATGCATACGCGATATTTCGCAGCAGACTTGACTCAATGGTGTGGATTGGATTTGTGTGTCTGCTTCTACTGCGACGTGGTTACTTAACTGTAATACTTACCTTATCCGAAACACCAAAAAGCAAATCTTATGGGTGAAACGGAGCCAAAATCTGTACGAACCAGGCAAGTTTTGGCCCTCATGTTGCACTGGGTTGGAGAAGGAAGGAGAAGGAAGTATGTAGTCGTGGAATTAAGGAAGTTATGGGAAGAGCTGGATTTGGGATGGATGGGGAAAGCTTTTGGATGGGGAAGGCTGGACGGGAGTATTCTGGCTTTGGCAGGGAGCCAGTCTCACAGAATATTACTATTTCTTCCGCCCTGCCAGAAATAAAGGAAATAAAAAATACAGAGTATTTTATTTTGCTTTTTCATTCCTGGAGAAGTCGACGACTTGCTGGAGGCAGGAGGGGAATGTGTGTTTCTTTAAGCGGTGGACAAAATATGGGATGTTTCTTCACATGTAATGGTCCTGCCTGGTGTGCTGCTCTTCACCAAGTGGGAGGAATCACATTATACATACAAAATATTTTAAAAGGGATGCCAGAGAGGAAGGAATTCCGGAAATTTATTTCCTTACTTTGAATATGAAGAGAGCTAGTTTGTCGTGGCGCGTAAATTCGTCAAGTTTTGGCAGAAAGTTGGCCAATCTGTGAAAAGTTAATTGGTAGAGATGTAAGTAAGTACATGACGTCATGAGGATACGTATCTTTTTTTAATCTCCATGAAATGAAAAAAGGGAGAAGATACTGCTGCTGATTGGGATCTAGGGAATAGACTAATTTAGTTTTTACGGTATGAAATACTGCTGGATTAAAAAAAACTCGATTTTTTCCGAGATTAATTAACATACATAAGAACTATGGACGCGTATGGTTATAAATTAAAATGGGAATCGTTCTGTAACGATGACAAAGATGAAAAGGTTGAACCTTGAGTGCCAAAAAATATAAAATATGTATAATGCACATTTTTTTTCTCGTACATAAATAAACCTTGTAGGATACGTAATACAGAGTAAGACCAAGGATAAATTAAGTAAAATGTCATAAACTTTGGGTTAACTAATTACCAAAAATAGCGATATTTTATTATTATTTTGTACAATGTAGATTTCTAATTCTTTTACAATAGTAAGACTCCAACACATGTGAATCTATAGAAATGAACAAAACCTCTAGAAAATCGGTATCTATTTAGTAATACACTTCTCTGATTTTGTAAATGAGCACCCCGTATTTATTAAATCTTAATTCTTCTCTAAATCAAATCTATCTGGTCATTTTATTCCGAAAAATATTTCCCAGGCTTTCACTTTCAGCAAAAAAAGTGAAATGTCCCCCTAACACAAAAGCCAACTCTCCCATTTCGCATCATTGCCCAATATTTCTTCAATTCCAATCCCGTCCTGGCCAAATCGTCCCTCTTCCCCGTCCTTTTTAAAGGGCTGTCCTCAGTTTTGGCTGGGTGAACGCAATTCTCTCCTCCTAACCATTTATTATGGAGAAAGTAAGTAACTAAGTAAACCGTAAAGAGTTTTCCTTGTGTTCCAATAACGCCGAAATGTGCATCGTGTTTTTCCTTTCTTTCCCAGGTCCAAGTAAATTTCGCCTCGATCGCAATAACACAAACAAGTTAGTGAGGATTTACCGCTTTTTGGTTCGGACAGAAATTATGAAGCGGCCAACTGTACCATGAACAAAATGAGGGAGGGAAAAGGAGCTTCTCCAGTTTCCATGGTCATGAAAACCTGTAATATGTACGTACATACATTCCACGGCTAAGCTAAACTAGTGCAGTCGTTGGGATCCAAAGTAAGTACGAGCATAACATAAAATATCCAGCTCCACCAAAACCCGACCTGCCCGCACATAATCCGTAAAACAATGGTTGCCCTGCTTATTTTATTTATTCCAACTAAATAAAATTTAACAAGGAAAATGCGTCCTGTACATTTACCAGTTCGTGAAAGGGATTCCTTTAAAAAAACAATACCTGTGTGCATATCATCTCTGGACATGATTTTGTATTTGTTTTTAAAAAAACATGCAAGGAAAAGGAAAATGCTGTTATTTTTAATCCAAGAAGTTGAAGGGGCGCATACCTTGGAGGGAAATACTGCTTTTTATGGGAGGCGATACTTTCACTCTTTCCGTGTCTAAACAGGGTCTTCCTTGGAAAACAGGAATTTTGTTGCAGAGTGAAAGTGCTGGCATGTAGGAAATTTTATGCTCACTCCTTGTTCTCCATGTCATGAATATCTTGCCGGGAGGAAAACGAGGGTAATGGAGACACGGGGAGGAAAATTAATGTGTAAGAAGATTTCTTGATTTCACGCGTGTATGTATTACACATTCTCGTAAAAATAGACTTGCTACATCCTTCCCAAAATTCTTTCCTGTTTTTTTCTGTATTTTGAAGTAAATGAAACGCAAAGAATTATGAAAACAACTTAATAAACAAATTTCACGCATAACTCTGCCATTTTTTGCCAAAAATCAAGAAAATACATATGTTACAAATCAAACTAATAAGCATTAATCGCATATTACATTTTCCAATCCATTAATCTCCATGTTTAAACACTTTGAATCATTAATCAACTTTAAACCTCGTCAAATTCTACACTTTTCCACCATATTTGGTTTCTACATATTACTCATCTCACCAGTTTTGCACACAAACTCACCAACTTTCCATCCCAACCGAGTGACTACATACATACATATGTAAATATGCAGTCACCAACACACTGAAAATATGAAGTTAACCACTCAATTCCACTTCTCACGTTTTGCTCCCAAGAAACAACTTAACTTTTACGAGGCAAAGTGGATGGGAACGCATCTGGTCGGCATGGTTAGTTACATGTATGCACATTCACTGCAATCTGTACCCACTTTGTTCTGATTTAACTAAAACAATATTAAAATTGAGAGAGACTATTGAGCAGTGTTCCGACGTGGATTGGATCATAACAGGAAAAACATGAAAGCCAACACCCTTATGAAACCAGATTACTGCAGGGAAAATCATGTTAAGCGGAAAATTCAACAGCTCAACCGGCTGTTTCGCACTTAACGTCACGTCGTAAATGATACGAAATGAAGTGAAAGAGAGAGAGAAAGTAGAGTAAATGAGGCTGCAAAATTTCAGTGGCCACATTGCATAACACCCGGCACAGAAGATTGCCTTATGCAAGCCGAGTTTGATTTCCGCTCGAAATAAGATTAGTTTTTGGCCAAAATATGGTACAAGAAGTGATCATAAATTAAACTAGCCATTAAATTAAATGTCCACGTTTTAATCCATGCAATTGGCCATCGTGTTGGCATAGAAAAAAAAACATGAATTTATTCTTTTTTGTCAATTTTGCGAAGAGGAAATATTAAAAAGTTTACAATCGTTTTGTATGCATACATAAAAAGTGTGACACAATACCTACTTGATTTTTAGCCCGCATTCAATGGATGGGCAACACAATTTTATGACAAAAATCTTTCCCTATCAAATCAAAGCCTGACCTCCAATTAAAAAAATAATTTCATGATATTGAGCCCAAGCCAAAACGATGACTAGGAAAGTATTTCGCCTAGAAATATTTCTACTTTTCATTGCGAAATCTACGGTAAATTATTTTAAATATCTAATTTATACCAAATTCAGCCTAACATTTTTTTCCCAAATGAAAACCAGGCACAATATCCGCCAAATCCTGACATGCTTCAAATGGGAGCTGGAATGATGATGAAAGGACCCGAGATGATGGTTGCGACCGGTGCGATGGGGGCCAGCACGGTGGTCAAGTCCGCCCCAGGAGGAGCCCAAGCTTACCAAGAGATGGGAAAAATGCAGTGCAAAGGAGCCGACCACGTGACAGGGATTGACTTTGTCAAAACAGGGGCTGGAGAAGGGGTCGATTTTGGAGGAGATTATTTATGCGGTCCAACGTGTGGGGGTGGGTGTAAAATAGATGTATAAGTTCAACATTTTTTACAAATTCGGAAATTTATTCACCTAGATTTTTTTGACAGGCGTTTGTCAACCCAATCAAAATCCAACAAGTGACACCCCGTTTTCTGGTTATGCCTTTAGGTGTAATTGTCCTCCAGATCGGTGCACTTACGACGGTCCTGTTGTACGATAATTAACTAATTTACATATGTAACTAACTTATTGTGAAATCCACATACGTATTTTGTATTTCTGCCCAGGTTACCGAGACGACCTCAAAAACTGTCAAGTACGCATTTAAGGTCGTCTGCGTGAAGGAAGGCCAATGCCAATGTCAAGGTGGCAATCCCCCTGCACAAACGGGTTATCTATGCAACTGGATCAACATCAATCTCAACGAGACATCTGGAATGACTGACACCGCGTCGAAAGTGAAACCAAACGTGTCTCCCATTCGGTGGTGTGCATGTTGTCCAAGTTAATGCGGAATAATTAAGCCTGCAAACTTACGTCAATTTGTCTGGATTTAAATAAATTCAAATAGAAATTGCACTCATAAGTATTTATAAACTAAGAGTATGCTACGAATGAAAGTGGCAGTTTGTTACGCTCGCTTAATTGTTGTAGGAGACATGTTCAATTTTGCAAGCCTATTACGTCTCATTCGGAATTTAACCAGCTTTCCGAATTCAAAAACCAAAACCCGTTATCTCTATTCGTTCTAAAATGATAGCAAAAAATTCCGACAAAGTCGCAAAACGGTTTTGCCAAAACGTACCAAAATATTTTTTTCAGGAATCGAAAAAACACTCACAATTTTGTTCAAAATGGAGGAATGCATCGGAACAAAATTAACCGAGTACTGGACAGATACGAGGAACGCGGAAATGCAGATTTCAAAAAATCAGTTTGCCGACCTGCCCTCCTGGGATCGGTGAAAGTAGTGAAGAGAGTGGACATAGCTTTTCTCAAGAAATATTATTTATTATTTGCAAGACTTTGAATTCTAAACTTTAATTGAAAGATGTATCATAAAGAGATTGACCCCCTTCATCAAAAACAAGCATGTCATGGACATGACGACATCCGACTATGACAAGATTGTGACCGACTTTTTTCGAAGCAAAAATATCGATTTTGTTGAAAAAAGAGACGACGCTTAAAATATCCCTCAAGCTCGTCCAATTGAACTGTTTTTGGCACTAATCAAGAAATAATATTCCAATAGACAAAAACCACCCAAAAACTTGCGAGAATTTATACAGGTCATGACGGCAATAATAAAACTCGTTGGGGAAACCAGTGGCAAAGCGTTCATGGCGACCGTTCGCAATAAGCTTCGCTCAATCGGAAGGAATGGAGTGTTTCGACCATTGGTGGACAATTATAAGTAGCTACAGTCCCCATCTATAATTTATATAAATTTCACCAAATTTCCTGTTACCATTCATTTTTTACAGACAATAAACCAACTGCCACTTTCATTCGTAGCATACTCTTAGCTACATAAATATGTACATTTAAAATGTGAGTGCACTTTAAATCACAATTTTTCTGATTATCCGTATTCTCATTTTATTCGCATCAATCCACTTAGAAAATCAGAAAATTTTACACTTTATCATTTACTCTTATCAAAGTCCGTCATCGCCTCGGACGCATCCTTCGGCCCGACAACTTTCTCCACTGTGAAAGTATAGGGAAGAACATGTTTCAACCTTATGTGAAAGATCAACTTGGCCACTTCTGCTCGAAACATGTGATACATTCCTCCAGGAATTATGACCTCCTTTGCCATCCCTGCATCGAGAATGACCACTTTGCCTGCCTGGACGTCCTTGGCTTGCTCAGCCGTTAGCATGGTGGCAATCTTGTCCTTGATCATCTGCTCCAGGCCGGGATGGCGGATGAAGAGTTGTTGACCCATCATGTCGCTCCCACCAGCGGCGCCCCCACCTGTAGCTGCCCCCATCCCAGCGCTGGCCATCCCCGCCATCACGGATGATCCTTGCATCGCAGCGCTAAACATGTCTCCTTCAGGAGAAGCGAGCTGCACACATGGAAATCCAGATAATTCTCATTAGATAGAAACAAGGAAAATACAAATTAAGAGATTTTTTTGTACAAACCGTGCTTTGTAAAAGAACAGTAATTACACAGATCACTGCCAAATTCATGACTAATTTCCACCTTTTTGGATTTGAGTGTTGATGGAAGTATATGGTGGTAAGGTATACAGTCGTCAAAAACGAAAAAAACGAGCAAAAATGTGTTGCAAATAAGGAGAACAATTTACAGAATTCATTCTTAAAGTGTATACAAAACAACGGGAAACAGGACGCAGTAAAATGCAACAATGCATAATGATTCTAAAAATAATTATGTAATTAAAAATTATTTATTTACGAATACATATATTGCATATTTTTCATATAAATATTATGCATGTATCTAAGTATTTCATTAAGTGTAAGAAACATTTTATTTTTAAGTTTTGCAAAATAGTATGTTTCAAAAAATCCGTCATTAAATTGAGATTAGAATATTGTACTCCAAGATGTATTTCTTAATTATCCATATCGAATTGGTTCATCCGGGTGAAGAGGCAAGCAGTTTTAGAAGGCAGGGTCTACATTTTTGAGAATTGACTTTTCCGTTGCATACATACGTTAGCGTATTACTTTATATTAATTATTATTAACTGTATTAGCGTTAATTATAGACTTCAATTCCCTATTGTCAATAATTGTGGAAATTTTGGAATACAGTATTCTTATAGGCGAAAGTAATCTTCTTCATGATTCATGACCGGAGCATTTGTTGTTTTGCCAAACTTTCCACGGTACGCATTTATAAGTTATGAATGAAGATTCCGATGAGATTCAACTTTATAGTATTGTAAATGTTTGTAACGAACAACTTTACATACAGCGTTTCTACATGAAAAATTTCTCTGGCTAAACATGACCTCACTAATTTGTACAATATAAATATTATGGTATTTGATCTTAAAATGCTGGATTATGAAGATGAACATAGGCACTTATTTGTATTTATTCACTTATAGAGATTCGTCTACATTTGCACATTAAATAGGTACATATTTAATCGTAAAGACTTATTAACATATATTGATAAAATTTTGCTGATAATTTTTATTCGTTTTTTGAAACATTATTTAAGTATTATAAACCAGGAAGTAATTAATGTACTTATTCTTCACAAGTTTCAGGTTAATGAAGAGTACATATAAATATCTATATTAATTTTATTGTTCAAGCCATCTATTAAATTAGACCGTGTGGAAGGTTTGGCCGTAATGGGATCCGGCCCTCATAGTAAAATTTATTATTGTATATCCGAAGGTTTCGTTTGTCACTGGGGTCCATGGCCCCTGGTTTAAATCTTCCTTGTCGTCAGGTGCACCAGGATCTCTGTAATAATATTTCATAATGTTAAACTGATGTACACTTCAAGTCAAATTCGGGCCAGAGAATTAAGTAGAAATTATTTAATGCAAATACAACAGCGTTACACGTGAAACCGAAAAAAACAAGTACACGAGAACTCTTTTCGATAAGTATTAACTATTAAATTGCCACCGATGAGCTTACCCGTGCACCATGAACCTATAGATCGTATTGATCAAGCGCTCGCTAAAAAGCTTCTCTTCTTCCGATAAGTCTTTAAACTTGAAAATGTAATTCAGTTCATCCGCGTGAGTAACTCCAGGCAAAATTTCGGGAATTCCTCCGAGGTCCTCGTAGAAGACGTGGGTCCTGCAGGATCGTCATATTACAAGTTCGAAAATTTCGTAAATATATCTATTTGTTCATTGAAGTTCTTACGAGCTTTCATATTCGTAGGAGTAAAGGTAGGTCTTCAGCCCCAACAGGGCATGTGATTTAGCCTTATGAAGGGCTGGGGCCTTGAAATAGAAGGTCGAATAGATCTGTGGAGAACAAAATATTTTAATCGTCAGTATTTCTTTGCAGTTTGTTTTGTTGGAGTTATGCTAGGTAAACATTTACTAATAACAAGCCCACTTTGTTAAACAATAAGTCTGCATGTGTAATACGAACTTCAGAGCAATTTCTTACTAACAATGGACATGATTTCTAATCAACAATGGAGAATTTATTCGTGAGTCTCACTTTCGTTTTAGTAGAAAATAATCAAACTCAAAATTACTTTCGCTATTCAAGAAAATGAGAGGAAATTATTACTATTGATTATTTTGCAATGAAATTAAGAACCTGCTCAAACCAGCCACAATACAACAGTATATTAGTGTGGGTTTGTATTAATTGATTGCTTGCAATTTTCGTTTTTAACGACCAGTACGTTTTCATGTACAAGTAAAAAAAATTATATGCCTAAATTCTTAAAATTTTGTAAATTATTCTCACGTCGGACACGGCCTGTCCCATGACGGTCAAATTCACACCCATCCTGTGTTCCTTAAGGAAGGAGGCAATGATGGACTCCACCATCCCAATTGGAGTGTCGTTAATTCCTGCAACAGTACATGAGAAACATGGTCAAATTTATGTACCAAAATTGGACGTAAACCCCCCTTGGACTCACCAAAGTGCGACGAATTTAGGAGAGTTTGCAAAAAGATGTTGCGTAAATACGTAACGTTAAGATGGTGGTTGTTTGGCTTGAGAACTGCTTCAACATATCGTGATAAGAGGAACGTCCCGTCATTCCTGTTTCCCCCGATTAACAAGGGGACACGACTCCTCGTTTGTTCTGGGTCGTTGTCCAGAGGATGTTTCGGGACAATCCTGTAGGCGTCATTGACCAGCGGGTTGTTCTGGATGCTGGGCGCCGTCTGTTGTGTTCAAAATTTAAAGACACATAAATTACAAACCAGTATTAAATGTCAATTTATTAAAAACTCATGCATTGAAATGTACGTGTAAGTACTTACATAAAAACTGCTGTCATTGTACCCGGCCAGTATAGTTTCAATGGTCAGACCACGGAGGCAGTTAACTATGTCTAGGTTCGTCTCATAATCGCAACCAACATTAATTGCGAACGCCTTGCTTTGTTCTAAAGCCCGCAAATTTATCGTCCATCCAGCACAGTTGTCGCCTACGTGCATTAGGATAAAAACTAAGATTTATCATTCAACTTTAACTCAAGAAACATAATTAACAATTGTATTTGTAGTTTTATAGCTCACCTGAGGATTGAATCACTCGGTGAAAGAGCCCTCTATCCTTGGTAAGAGACGAATCTGCCAAATAGGCAACGCTCGCGCTGCCGGCGCTTTCGCCGTACAACGTGATGTTATTGGGGTCCCCTCTGAAGTGGTGAATATAGGACTTTATCCATTCTAAGGCCGTCAACTGGTCCAAGAGTCCCAGGTTTCCGGGGGCCTCGTCGAAATCCAGCGTAAGAAAACCTAAACACATATTGTTTAGCTCAGAAAAAGACGACACAATTTTGGACACTCCATTTTTCTAAGAACTGCAATTCACAAAATATTACCTAAAATGCCAATCCGGTAATTCACTGAGACAACCACCATCGGGTGATTGTCAATCAGTCGGTCGCCGTTAAACACCGAGGCAGTCCAACGTTTGAACGACCCTCCTGTTGAAATCAAAATTTAAAAGGTAGAATTAACTACAAAATTCAGATATGTAGAAAAAAACTATCACTTTTTAAATGTTTCATAAAATTTCATTTAGAAAAAAAACATGGTGTGCGTGTGCTACTACTATATGTATTATTAACATACCCCGAATATTTATTTATTTATGACTTTTTCATTTCGAACACGTCGACCCCCAAACTTTGTAGGGTTGTTTATCAACACTTGTGGTTATCAAAAATTAAAAAAATGTTTTCAATTTTAAAAAATATTTTGGACTTTTCGTAAATACAGGGTGGTCCAAGAAGCTGTATAAAAGTTTAAGCCACCCTACTTCAATGCCGGGATAATAAAATTCCAATTTGAAGCCCAAATCGTGGAGAGCAACTCAGAAAATAGTTTTGTGATTTTTTTTGTAAACCTAATTTCAAAAGTGCTCCCACGGTGATCAGGTGAAGGACAGGTACCAGTGAAGGGCTGTTCCAGTCGATTTTTCACGGGAAACGTTATAAAAAGAGCTTAAAGTATGTTGCCATGGAATGAATTTGCAATTAATTTATAGAGTGGTACCTGGTAGACGTATGCAAGGTAAATCCAAGGGTCTAATATCATTGTTACCACTGAGAAACTACGCAATGCTAAACGCCCGAAAAAGCTGAAAATTTGGTTTATCTGACTTAACCAACCACCAAGATTCCTTATCCCAATGCAGCACGGTCCAATGGTTAGATTGCAATAAATCAACTATCCAGAGAACCATTAAAACTGATTTAGGAAATATTATAACAAACATGACCTACAGTGGGTCGACGCATTGAGAGAAATCAAACTTTTTTCCGCTTACTGCAGACAAATCTCACCAGTGCGCAAAAACGGACGACGATAATTTTGGTTCTGCAGTCGTAAAAAATCAAGACACATCAGGGTGGTTATCAGACATTGATCGATTGGATTATTTCGGATGTTTCTTCGTGGAATGACAATTTTTACATTTGACTATTTACGAATTTTCGCATACTTTGGAACGTCTAAAATAATCAGTGGAAGAAAAACACCGTAGAAAAGTTCCTGGAAGTTTTTTTATCGGCTAAAAAGCGATGTATTCTTAAAGATAAGAACAAGGACCATCACATCCAGCAAGTTTCAAACCCATAAAGTTCCGCCTGCGGGCTAGAAAAATTATGGAATATTTATACAGCTTCTTGGACCACGCTCTGTATAAATATTTTTGGCAATATTTCGCCATTTTTTAAGAAAATATATTTTTTTTCATGATATTTTGGTTTTTTGTAGTAGTTTTTTGATTTTTTAATTTTTGTAACTTCTTTACTTTTTCGTAATTTCTTAATTTCATGACATTACACAAATGTGTGCATTAAGGAACGACAAGAAATGCAATCACAATACAATAACATCGGTTGACGGCTTCAACCTGAAGCTGACGAAGAAGAATATGTAAGGTCGCAAGTGTGGGAGCTCCTTTTTAGTGTTTGTTCCTTTGGGGCTCTGTGACCAGAGAAAAAGCGAAGAAGGATTCGACTCCATTGGGCCAATTGTGTACGCCACACCCACTCAAAGGCGTGAAAGCTGCGAAAATTGTGGCACTTAAATCATCGCTAAAATTAGAGTTGTGCTCAGATTTTGAAAATATCTTCATTTTGTGATCTCAGATAGTCAGATAGTTGCTCTATCATATCCAATAACAAACTCAGCTTTTTTGAAATTTATTTTTCAAAATATTGTGACTATGGGCAAGTATCGAAAAAAATTCGAAATTTGAAAAAAGCTGAGTTTGCTATTGGAAAGATTATAGAGCACTATCTGAAATTTAAAAAAAATGTAAATATTTTCGAAATCTTAGCAAAACTCGAATTTTTGCGATGATTTAAGTGCGACAATTTTCACAGCTTTCACACCTTTGAGTGGGTGTGGTGGACACAATTGGCCCCTCGAATCCTACTACACTTTTTGTGTGGTCATAGAGCCCCACAATCAGGGATTGTCAAAATGCATGTATTTTAAATACAATTGTATTTTGAAAATACAAAATTCGTATTTTGTATTTAAATACAAAATAATCGAAGTATGGACTGGTCACTGATTGAAAGTGTCAAGATGTTTTGACCTGCAAAAAATGAATGCACGAATCAAATGTAATGAGACTTTTGTGCAATACTAACGATGACTAGACGGAAGTTTTTTAATCCTTCACTGCTCCAAATACACCTTCCCGGAGAGAAGGCTTTGTCGAGCACCTCTCATGAGCGCTTTGCCACTCGTTTCGTCAACTCCTATGATGGTTTTCTCCATAACCCGTCGATATTTTTCAAAATTGTTCGGTCTCATTTTTTTCCGAGTATATTGATTCTAAATTAATGCTCCAAATCTTTCAATGGACCGCAAGTGAGGTACGTTTGGACCGTTGTCCTTTTTCTTGACGAAATAAGTTTTTTCCACTCGGTGGTACCCTGTCACTATTTTGGCATTCTAGCACGTACCCATGTTAGACCAAAATAAAACGTGTTTGTTTCTGATGGAGGGGGCCCATCTTTTGATGATACATTCTTTCAAATAAAATCCAAAGTTCATATTCTTCGTGGGAGCGAATGGATTGGAGATGCTCCAATTTTTTCCGATCGCCAGCCATTTTATGTATTTCATTGGAAATTTTCTTTGGTTTTGCATTTATATTTCGGACGAACGTCATTTTTACTTCCACATGAGCAGAACTTTACACGGTTGACGCTTCGAGGTCATCGGGGCTGTAGTTTTCATTATCCACGACGAGAAACTTCTGGGAGTCGATTTGAACATTTTCTCAACAAGTTTTCCACAAATTGTTCTAGCCCCGGATTTTTTATCTTCCTTTGTATTTTAGCGCGGTTATAATGTTGAAAGTTTTGAAGCCCAACTTATTGGCTATGATCTTGCGAAGATAGGTTTTTGAAATTTTTAGTTGTCTGGCTGCAACCCTCAAGGATCTGTTGGGGCTTCTTGTAAAAGTTTTTTCATGTTTATCGTCAGTTTTTTAGTCTACTGGCGGACAGGTCGACAAGGCCAAATTTAATATTTTGCATTTTCACGATCCTTAGATATGCATAGTGTAGGATTAATTTTGTCCGGTGCATCCCTTGAAAAATGCGCTGGTCAGGAGCCTTTCTCCGATTCTAGAAAAACACTTTTTTGACCAAGTGGCAAACTAATTTTCGCACTTCCTCTAGATTTTGAGCTGTCATTTTTTAACGAAAAGAGATAATCAAATTCTGTTTACAGTTTTAGAAAGCTTATCAAATGTGAAAATTTTTATGCTTTTTTACATATCCAAAATTAGTTGTTAAGTGCTTGAAAAAGTAGGGGGAACCTTGACACTTTCAATAAGTGACCAGCCCATATTTTCAAAATACAAATGTGTTTTGTGCCAATACGGACAACAAGTCTTAAAATTAACTTGTATCTCACTCTGCGCTTTTGCATGATGATGATTATAATTAAAATCTAATTATCTCGGCCTAATTTGTGTAGGAAGTGATGAATTATAGCTGAAACTCGAATTTATGAGTATTTTGACGTTCGAATAAAAATATTTTGTTATAAATATTTTGGGGTTTTTTTCAAAAAATAAAATAAATATTTCGGGCTTTATAAAAAAATATTTATCCGATTAACTAGATAAATAAAATACATAAATCAGACATTTAAATACACAAAGTTTCAGTTCTACTTCATTTAACGATCAATAATGTGCTCAATTATGTACATTCATACGTAAGAATGAGAAATGAAAACAATTGCTTGCTTGTAAATCTAGACCACAAGAATTTACATATTTTTATGCCCTCTTCTCCCTCTCCTCAGTCAAAATTACATAAAGATGTGTAAATAATATTTACTAAATATATAAAAATAAATCAAAATCATACCATGAATTTTTACCAAGACTGGCAGAAACCCGTCTGTCGTCTACACAAAACTTTCAATTAGATAACTTGATTTGTTCATTTCTTGTGAACCATAGCATTATTTGTACATATATTCTTACCCTCGGTTTATAAACCGAAAGGGTAACGCAGTCCTCTGTCATGTTGTCGGAGGGCACAAATTCAGAAGGCGTCTGAAAACAAGGGTGTTGGTTACTGGCATCAAAGTCGACCATATCTCCTGTGGGATCAGTGATTGGGCTGAAGCGCTTCGGTGGTTTTCCGTAGGGAATCCCCAAAAAATTGGAGATTAGTACCCCATTGGGGCTGGTCGTGGTGAAGCCACGTATTCTTCCCACTCCTTGAATGTAAATACTTTCGCCATCCTGTTTGGCGAAAGCGAAATTTTGGATGATAAAGAAGATTACGCAGCACGACACACAAGGCAAATTACACATTTTCTGACAGTATTGTGGACTTATATGAAATTATGTATAACTTTCCGATTCGGGAACTTTTAGGCTAAGAAACAAATGCAACGGGTGTCTAGGTGCAATAATGGTCTTAACTCTTGACCTGGCACTGTATTTTTAAACAATTAAAAGGAAATGGCTTTATCTGCGTGAAAGCATGAATTGTTCATATTTATTTATAATACATTCGACTGAACTAGATTCCACACAATCGTTATTGTAAAACCAATTTAATTTGAAATAACAATTTTGAAACCCTTTCAGCCTTATAAACATGGAATGAGTAAGAATGCACACACCCCATTTTTTTATCTAACTTAAATGAACAGATATTTATAATGCTCATCAACAAATTATTATTCTATTCAATTAATTATTAGATTTCGACTCATTTAATTTCCATGCACTTTGTGCGTCTAGAAGCGAATAAGAACATAGTCGAAAGATTTAAATGCAATGCATTTCTAATTAGCTCCCCTTCAGGCCCCTCTCAATTAAAAATAAAATCAAGCTTAATTGGGAATTCAAATTTTAGAATTTCATAGTATTAAATTCGTAATTTCAGGTTGACGACAATTCTGCCTGCACCAACCGAAGTAATAATTGTGTCTGGTCGAGCAAGATTTGGGTTTGATTTAGGAGTAGGCCGGCATTATCCGGTAATTCCGGCCTCTGCGTTGTGGTTGAATGTCCGACCGTGGATGAAATCTCAGTAATCCAAGTTGACTCCGACGAGATGGTTGTCGTTGTTGGAGCGTTTGTGGTGATAGTTTCTGGGGGTATGGTTGGTATTTCAGTGGTATAAATTGTCGTCAAAGGTGCCACCGACATCGAGGGTCCACCAAAACATTCGTCGTTTCTATCGGCTCGGAGACAGTCCCCTTAATTAAACAATACCGCATACATAGTTTTAAAATATTACACACATTTGAAATTTCATTGGTCTTTACTTGAGAATAGTAATTCCAGAATTGTACCTAATTAATTGCCGTTGAACTAATTTTTAATTCTGAGTTCACACCCACAGGGGGAAATTCATTTGGTACACTCTAGGAAATCCAGTATTGAAGTTATACAAAATAAAACTGTTGTTGATAAGTAATACATACATTATAATAGCTTGGTATTAAGTTTGCAGGTATAATTTTAATACCAAGCGGTAGTAACTTGAATATCGAGAAATCCATCATCCATACTTACCTGATTTCTAACAGTGCATGCAAACCATCCACACCAACTGGGGGATTAATTTCGTATGAAACGCATAGGGGATTAATTTGGTGAAATGTATCCACACCCACAGGGGAAATTAAATTTTATATAAAACGCGTCGACCCCCACAGTTGGGGTCGACATAGGGTTAAGCTTGCAGGATTAAAAACAACAAATAAACAAATTCTTTAAAAAAAAGCTTAGGTGAGGCTTGCTTAAAAGAGTAAAGCAAGTTGTTATCATCGTGCATTATAATAATATGCTAAATCAATGTTCATCTCACGATTTATAATTTCCCGTAAATACAACAGCAAATTATATGCGTTTTGGACCATTTGCCTCGCCGTGGGCCAATCTGACTTCTGTGATACAAAGAATTAAATTAAATTCTAAAATTTATTGGTGTTCAGTGGCAGGAAATAATTCATGTGGGATGATACGATTTTTAGTTAATTTCGCTATCTATAATCGATTGTTGATCAAATTTACCAATGTGGGTTAACTTATTATAAAATATCATATTTCGGAGCACTGATTTTTGAAATATATTCATGCAGGCCATCAAAGATCACAAAATCAAATAGTAAGGGAGTTCAATTATTGAAATAGGTAGTTCATATTTACTTATGATCATCGAAATGGTGTATTTCTATTGCACTTTTAATCACGGCCCACGGCGAGGCAAATGGTCCAAAACGCATATAATTTGCTGTTGTATTTACGGGAAATTATAAATCGTGAGATGAACATTGATTTAGCATACACTCTAAATAAAATCATTACCAAATCATTACCAAAATGCACACGTATATGACTCTGCAGAAACGGTAATAATAACCACCAGCTGGTAAAGAAATTGATTGAACCCGAAGTGGTAATAAAGAACACTTTTCGGATAAAATTAATACCATGATGTATGACAGATGTACTACAATATGTAGTAAAATGTCTACCGCCCGGTAATAATCCATACCACTTTGTACACGGTGTGCTATTCATGCCGGTAATAATGCTTCTTATTACGTATACCCCATTATTACCATATTTTGTGCAGATTTCCACCGAAAAGAATAGACTTTTTGCTTTTCTTTACAATAATCTTTTAATCAATTATATTTGTTGTAAAATCATTTTGAAACATACTTACATAATTATAAAATTTAAGTATAATGCAAAACTATTGAGTTACACACATACATATATATATTTACATATTTATTCTTCTATTCTCCCTTCAAATTCCGATAAACCGTCGATTTTGGATGACTCCACATCGGTTAACGTCATCAAATAATATGTCGTGTAGATTAAAAATTCACAATTTTTAGAAATTCTCAATACAAGAGTACATTTAAATAATTCACGAAATTTTCACTCACCAGACCCTCCCCTGACTTGGAACATCTCAATGAAGGCAGTAGCTTAATTATTGCAGCTGCTAAGTGTTTCTGGTCGGAGGTTGTAGGAGAAACTCTGAAATTTAATTGGTCAAATTAAATATATTATTAAATATTAAGAATGCTTTACTCTTTTAAGCAAGCCTCACCTAAGCTTTTTTTTAAAGAATTTGTTTATTGTATGTATGTACTTAACGGGGCATTATAGTTTGCTCTGGCCGCTCTACCAGCCAATACAGTCCCTCGCTCAATATTTCTCCCGTATGTTACCCCATGCATTATTTTTTGCACAGGTTTTTGATCTTGTAATTCGAAAACCGAGATTAAATGTACACTCAAAAATGTGAAGTATGTTGGATTATAACTAGTAGTTGTTGCACAACAATAAGATAAGGCCCTTGAAGGAATTGATAAGCTACTTGTATTTATATTAATCATCGAATCTCGAGGAAAGCAAAATTTAGACGAAACTTGACATTCGTCGATTAATATAAATAAAAGTAGCATATCAATTCCTTCAAGGGCCTTATTTTCTTGTTGCGCAACTATCACTAGTTTTAATCCAACAAATCTCACATTTTTTAGTGTACATTTAATCTCGGTTTTGGAATTACAAGAAAAACATTTTGCAATTTTTCCTGATTCGTCTCATCTCGTCATAGAGTATGTGCCGGGAAGCCACCACCACACATACTTTTCCCATTGGAAACCACTAAAAACATAAACAACTCCAGATGAATTTTGCAGTTTTTTGCAAAAAATTCAAAATTCCCACCAAAGCTCGTGAACTTTTTACCCCACCGAGTTCATCAGTTTCGCCACTATGTGATTTATGAGGATTAGAATAACATAAAATATTGTCAACTCTTAAGTATGAACGCACATAGATGCATACACATGTGTAGTTAAATCGGTTGTACGGTGTGCATTCCTACATATGTACATACGTGCATGTACCTATACACTTGTCAAATGACTTACATTTAGCGTGTAATTGAGAACACACTGCAACTGTTTTGCTACAGAGTCCTTGAACGTATCTTGGTAAGGAGGTCGGGTGTAACGAACATTATAAAAGAAATCCTCCAAAAGAAAACGATGATCTTGGATCACCTGGCGCCAATTGTAAGGACGGACGTGCATTCCCAAAGTGCCATTGTATGACCACAGCTCACTCGTCATATTTGTAAAGTTGAGTCCCTGACGAGTATAGTGATTTTCGTGCGACATCTCCACGCTGACATTGGACACCGTGATCTTCGAGGCTCCGTCAATTGGTGCCCATCCCCTCGCATTAATCTTTAAGCTCACGTTTTTGAGCTCCCAGTTGTAATCTCCACTTCCAAAAAGTCTGCCTTGACCTTCCCATCTATCGATGTCGATAAATACGGAGGGTGATTAATATAAACACTTACTCTCCTTTAAGGCGGATGGGACCGCTTTTAACTAATTTCATGTATATATATAAGGTAAAGTGCGGTAAATTGTTCATTTTGTATATACAATTTGAAGGTCTTCACTCTAACATGTTCCACAAAATTGACCTCGGATTGAAGGCACACGCACAACCATTTTCCAGACAGTTGACCTGAAGGCAGATCGTTGAAGTCATAAAATCTGAAGGGAAGATCATCAACCAGTCCATTGTTTCAAACATTATCAGAGGCAAAAGGAATTTTATGAAAAAAACAATACGTCGCGCCATGAACAACGGTGGAAGAGAAAGTATCCAAAACGGTACAGAAGGGGCTTGTTCAGGAAATGAGAAGAAAATCCAGTGGAAAAAAGGAGGATGACATATCAATTGGGTATATCTCAGCCATGCGTGTGCCAATTAATTAAAAATAAACTTAAGAAAGTTATCAGCAAAGTTTATCAGTTCATCAGTTAAACGGTACTTTCTTCCTGAAAGTCATCCTAAAAACTAAAAACGGGGGCCATCAACGAGGTGAAGCGAAAATTTGGGAAAACTTTTGTGAAGAAAGGGGACATATCTACCTGTGAAGTTACCCGATATTAGTCCTCCCTCTCGACTTTCGACGATTCGGCTATTTGAAACAACCTCTGTTTCAGAGAAAAGCAACCACGTGCTAGATGAACTTTGGATAAAAAAAAGTTTGAGGATGGTCTCCACTGGGATTCCTCGGCTCGGCAAAGTTGAAAATTTGAAATTTTGCACATTAGAAGAAAGGTCTATACTATTACAATAGGCAGCTGAGGTAGGGGAGAGCACGGACATAATTAGTGAGTTGAGGCCGGTCTCCACTCACTTACCTTACGAGAAATAGAAACCATGGACCGTAAATTTGCTCCGTGTTGCATAGCTGCCTACCGTAATACTTCCATTAAAGGGACTAAGGACATTCATCGTCGACGGGTTTAAGGTCAGGAGGTTATCGCAACTAAGTAAGTGTTTATATATATTAATCACCCTATGTATATTGCCAAATCAGTCTCATAGAATCCACTGATGATTAAAAGTGGAACTGTTATTGAGTAGTTAGAAATAAATGTTCCATTATCGTCGAGAAATTCTGTAAAGATATTCTCCTGTCCATCGAATCCAATAGCGGTCGAGTTCCTGTCACACATATAAAAAGTTATTTGGAGATATACATAATTTGGTTTACTGGATAAATTAAGTTCGTCCCCATTGTTGCTTGTCATAAAGCTACAAAATACATTAAATCTAAAGCTCAGTTGTGTATATGACGTACGGGACGGGAGTGAGGCCACCAAGCCAAACATGCGTTTTACACGAAAATATGAATGAATCCTCAATCTCGGGTCCTAATAGGTCCATAGTGGGTACCCTGGACACGATTATTGCGGTGCATCGAAGTCAACCGGATGGATTTGATTTGAATTTCGGCCCGCCTCCTATGTTAATCAAGTGGGCACGTGATTTTGGCGCGTAGAAATTCTGTCCGGTTGACTTCGATGCACCGCAATAGCAGTCGGAAACCTTCACCTTGTGAGCTGATGCACACACATGGAGCTTGGAATGCGTATCGTGAGTTATAAATGTCTGGTGTGCAACAAAGCTGGGGTGTAAAACATTTGGCGTGCAATGGACTCATCCTCCGATTATTTTACAATTTTTGAAATTTGAGAATATACCAAGGTAGGTGATTGGTATTGGTAGGTATTGGTAGGTGATTTATGCTAGGAAAGCCTGATTGCCGAAAAAATAAAATACTCCCATCTATAACATTTTTATTTACCGTTTTTGATACCTATCCTGTAAAAATACTTAATGAATATTTTAATTCACAATTAAAGTAAAATCGCTAGCATTTACATATGGTGTTTTATGGAGTATTCTATTTTTCTTGACAACCAACTCTCCAAGCATAAATCTCAAACTCTCAATATTCTCAAACTTTACAATATGCAAACAGCTCAATATACCCTGTTACGATGATGAAATGACTATTTATTATTCATGATGAAGTATTTTTCGCCATATGCAAAAAGTATTTGAATTATTATTACTCTTTAAATGCATAATGCAAATATCTTTTTATGAGCAAATGAAAACTTGTCCAATCAAAACTTCTTCGTTTCTAACTTCACATAAGCATACGTACCTAATTCTTAGAAACCCGCCGAATGAGTCCGAGTATTGATTTCGATATATCACTTGTGTCTCGCTGTCGGGAAGGTTGATCGGATTGTCTAGATTGATCAAAAGCAACGACGACGACGAAACGCCGTATTCAGATTGATTCGAATCCCGAAGTTCTCTTTCATCAGGTTGAAAAGTTTCAATGAATCGACTTGCAAGATTTTTTACTAAATTGTATAAACATTTGGATTTTTCGTTCATTATGGACATTCCTATAATCATACTTACATAAATATGTAAATGTTTACATACCTGCCGGAGAGATGATTTGTGTGTTAAGTAGTCTAAATTCGACGTGGTCATCATATGCAACTTCCGCGAGATGAAGATCATTCACTTTATTTGAAATTGAATTAAAAGGAACTGATTTAACATTAATTCCGTTTTGGTCGTCGTTTAAGTCCGGTAAAAACACTTGGAGTTCATTTGTGTTTAGACAGCTCAATTCAATCTGAGGTTTGATACATTCGTCTATGAGAAAAAAATTCAAGAAAACATTGCGCATTTCAGATGCTCATTCATTCTTTTCATTTGAAACCATTAACCGCATAATTGGCATTGAGAATGAAATACGATTTATAGTATCAGATGATACGCAAGCTTACAAATAAATAGCTTAAAAACGTTGCAGAATTGTGAAATTGGTGAAAACTCGAACTTTTTGGAAATTGACTTTTTTGGTTAAGTGCAATATTTTCTTGCTAAGAGAGACAATCTTAAGAAAATTTGTTTTTAAATTTGTGAAATGGGGTAAAAATTCGAGTAGTTTGATCTTTTTAAAAAATTGTTGTTTTAAACAGTTAATAGCTCATGCTCTGGAAAATCAAAAATATGTTTGTTTTTTTTTATTTTCGAATGAACTTTTGATAATCTTTTCAAAATCTAGTCATTGGATACCATGGCATGGGCAAAGTTTAAATTTTTGTAGTTATTGACCTGAATGTATTAGATCCATTAGACTGCAATCCTAAAATTTGCATACATAATATTGATGTTTCAATGCACAAAATAAGCGTGAGCTTGTTAATGATTGTTTTTTAATAATAATGAGGATTTGTCTCACTCGATAGAGATTTTGCAAGACGCACTTGGTCATTTCATTTACAAGCTTATCTATTTCAACGAAATTGGCCGCGTTCTTCCAGTCCCACCAAAAATAAGTATGGATGTCTTGGATGGATTCGACGGTACGAACCCACTCGGTTATCTTGTCAAAACCAGTACGCCCATGACTAATTAGAGAAAGATTCGTAAAATGGACGTCAGGATTTTTGAAATCTATAGAAATCTTGGCTGAGATAATGGACACATTTCCAACGGGAGGAGCTCGTCCTTCGACTTGAAGAAAAAATTCAAACGAGTCGAGCGACATGTCGTATCGTCCGTTCCCATCGAATGTCATGTTCGGTGTGGTCCGAAAAGTGGGAACATTTCTTAGATCGGTTTGATATTTCCCCTGAACTTTGAGTTGAGAACCCTGAATTCTTAGTTTCGCTAAAAAGTCGCCTTCAACATTAATGAATTCTATGGTGAAATCATCCTCTATTGCCGATGACCCAAGTAAATGGTGCGACCTGTGTACAGGTATGAAATACTTAAATTATATTTAAGCTTTTCACATCGTATATTATACAGTCAATGGAACAAGTATAGGCACCACCCACGCAAGCTACCTAAAATTGCCTATAACTTTGGAATGCATTATCAAATTAGCATGAAACTTTGTACACATTTAGCAAATCTAATGTAGTGTTCGATTATAATCATGTTCCCGACTGAAATTATGTAACCGTAACATTATTTTGATTTTGACACGAACACGTCAGGTTGGAACCTGCAAAAAGTATTGGCACCTTATGTCTTAATTATTTGAGCGAAATCTTTATAACGATAAACCTCTGCCTTTTGTCAAGATAAGTTAATCAGATCACAAAATATTACTTTATCTGCTTCGTAAGTCCAGATTGGTATTGTCTAGAGCCAAAATTGCGACACCAAACGAGCTATTTTTGGCGGAGCGAGAAATAGTCTTGCCTCCTTCTCAAACAAGCTTGGATATCGAAAACTCAGACAGAAAACATGCTCCGCCATATTTATTATTCGATACGTGGCCAAAGAACATGAAGCGACATTTCTAATTGCTTGTTTCCCATGATCCGGCAGAAAAAAGTCACCTTAGCCCAAAATCGACAGATTAATCAAGCAAAAAATCACTCGAGATCGGGAGATTTCAGCTCTCAAAACCATGTTGAATTTGAAAACCAACTGTAGGGTCAACATATCATACAATTTGGTGATCAATCAAAAATCATGCCATGGGGTTTCAGGGTCCAGTAGCCCGACAGATGCGAGGGTCCCCACACCGAATAAACTCTGGAAATTGTAATCAGCTAAATATCACCCCACATAAATTTCTAACGAATGAAAACGAGTCCATTGGTGCGACAGGACCATATTTTGATTATTCGGATGGGACTGACTGGTTCAAGTTTGGCAGATGCAATAATAGGATCCGAAAAACCGATATGTTCGTATGGCTGTTTAGCACAGAGGAGGATCGATTATGGTTTGGGGTTAAATGACTTGATCGCGGCGTAGTTACCTGGTCATTATCGACGAAATCATGACCAAGGAGGTCTAATTAATCATTCCAAACGATAATTTGAAAAGATTTGACAAAAACCTGACCTAGGAAGGAATTTCATATTCCAAAAATGCAGTGGCCCCAAACATGCATCAAAATTAACGATGCACATTTTTGGAGACCGAAAAGGTTAAGCTTCTTTCGTTGGCTGCACAGTCTCCCGATGTGATTCTGATTGTCCGGGTTGAGAAAAGAGGGACTGATGGGAAACCGCTCGTCGAAAAACGAGCTTGTCAAGAGTTCGAAAGAAGTGTGGGCAGCCATACCCGATCAACAAAAGCTATCATTTTTACGCAAAAGTCATACAGTTAAATTGCAGCAACTGATGGCCGGCAAAAATCCGTGAAAAGATACTAGATATTTAACGTAAAATAAACTGTCAATATTGCATAGAATTGACAGTCATATTCATGCAATTTAGCCTCAAGAATATTGCGTAGAAATAACCGTCAAATTAATGCAATTTAGGGCGTAGAATATTGCGCAAAAGAAACGAATAATTTGATGCAAAACTTGCAGTTAAACTCCATGCAATTACTGCAGTCAAATAACACGAATTATTAATTTTTATCAAAATCATTTATTTCATAACAAAAATTATATTGTTACATTATACAAGGGAATGCAAATGTTTTCATCTATTTTATCCGACGGGAGTAACCAACATTTCTTATCAATATCATTAATACCTATTATGGTTACGCTATTTGATAATTTGCTAACTTTAATTATTCCTAAAATTTTACTTTCACACGGACAAGTGAACAAGTTGTCCGAGTGTTTGAATTTTCTACAATTTATATGTTTTTTATCTTTACTTATACTACTTATAACAACTACTTTCCCATCCTTTAATATAAAACAATGATCCTTTCCGTTCGATTTTATAATACAGTGTCTATTTAAATTCACAGGGGACTGGTACTTATGATTTTCTCTCAGCAGTGCGATTCAGTTTGCTCAAAAGGTTTATAGTGAGCTCGTGGCGAGCGCTTTATTACTTGCATATTATTTTCGAAATCGAAAGCACTAAAAGAATCTAACGGGCCATGCTTTAAAGCGTCATCACTAATATGTATAAGAGAATGCATATTATATGATAAGAACTCTTCTTCATATAAATTGGGAACATTTTTAACAAACTTCAATAAAAGCTGTCGTGCATAATCGTTCCAATTATTTGCTTGCGCCTTGGTAGTTATAAGAATCGTGACTGCTACGCAAAGATTTAAAAAATGTGTATACTTTTTCGGCGACAATAATCCTTTTAACGTAGGATTAGGTGACTCATCGTCACAGGTCTAAAAATCTGAACACTTTTACGCATTTCTCCGTTCTGGGAATTTATTTTTAAATTCTATCAGATCCATTTGTAGACCAGGTCAGTACCAATTTATTAAAAATATGCACTCCAGAGTTTATCAAGTTTTGAAGGAGGAGACCCAAGATAAGACCTCTAGTTAAAAGGTCTTCAGAAAAATTGCGTGTCCAAAAAATTGGCTTATGTTTTTTTTTTAAATCATCGCCATCCTATTAATCAGCTTACTGACTACAATTGGATCAGATAGATTTTCTATTTTCCATTCCATTCCTCTAGAAAACAATTTTGAAATCATGGTGTGGAAAGTAACCTAAACTCCGTTTCACGTTACATGGAGTACATTACCCGAATGAGCCGAATTATTTTATTATTTGTTACCATTTATTCTTATTTTGGCGTTTACATTAGTCAATGTCGTATGATTTTTACGCCAAAATATAAATAAGTGGTACCAAATAATAAAATAATTCGGCTCATTCGGCTAATTTACTCCATGTCTTGTGCCGTGAGATTTTTTGAGACGATGAGTCACCTATCGTCATCTTAAGGCGACGGGTCCTGTATAAAGAAGAAAAGTTCTAAACTCTGTGGCTTTCCACATATCTAACTCTTTTACTGACCTCGGCTTACGACAAAATTCTTTAGGGCAACTATGCGAAAATAATACTAATTTACTTGATAAAGTTGAAATATCACGAGAAGATAATTTAAATGGCAATGGACCTTTTACCCAACTTCTTAATAGTTTTCTAACCACACCTAAGCAAATGAGGTGCATGTAGTCAAGAGGAACCGAAGAAATCATCAAACTTTTAAGCTCCGTAAACGGGGAAATGCCTACATGGTGGTGTTTATCTTTTTGAACATAAAAATCTTGATCTGTCCTAAGTGGACTATCGAATGTTCTGAAAATTACACGTCCCTTCCAGAAACCTGGATCTATACATTTCTCGCATCCATTGTATGCATTATGACTTTTACATTGCTTTAAAAAACTCCTGGCTGGCGCATCAGCTATTATTTTTGAAACCTTACAAAATATTTTCAAATTATTGTAACTAATCCCAACTCGCAAACTTTTTAACTCTGCTATCAAATCCATCAAGTATTCGTCAATACTTTCTGGTTTTGTCTTGCCATAAAATAAACCCACGACAAATACGCCGTACGTACTTTCTTCACACTTTGCTTGAATTGGCCAAAACTGGTTACTGTTACTCTTAGAAATGGGCAATCAATCAAAACTAAATATAAGGTTTAATTTAATTTCGCTACCAGAAGCAAGAATACAATTGGAATCTATTTGCCGTTTTATATTTTGAATAACATCAAAGTGTGCATATTGACCCTGACCGATAGTTTTCATAGAATATTTAATTGAGTTTTTAAGCAATGTCCTACTATCCAATGGAAGAAATCTAAATTCTTGATAAAAGTTAAATATGCGTAGAAGATCGTTTAAAGCTACTCCCGTTATGTTATGTCGAAGCGACCAGTCCCTCAAGTCCCGTGTTAAATCTAAAATATTCCTATTATTTTCTACTACACCATTGTCGCTTAGTGAATCGGAAACTAATGGCTCGTCAATATTATGGATAACATTACTGCTTCTATCATTATTGCTAATATTACTACCTGAATCGCTATCCTCAACGACAGAATCACATATATCTAAATTTACAAGATTATTACTAATAGCAGGTATGTTTTTTGCACGAGTGAGATTCTCTCTAACCCGTTTTGCAATTATTCGCCTAATGTTTCTCGGTGATTTTCCATCTCGATCATGATTATGATGCAATTCCCGAGGGAGCGTCGTCGTTGCACCTACTTTTTGAAGAACGAAACCAATTCATTGCTGCAGTTTGAATTATATCATCGGTGGGAATACGGCCGCTGGGATTTTTGGGATCGGGAACGGACTCAACTGTAAAGACGTTTCGCACGGTTTCTGAAATTTGCAATCCAATTAAACATTAAATAGAGACCAACAATTAGAAAATTTTCTTCATTTTAGAATATATTTTAGCACCTTTTACGACTTCCAATAGTTTTAGGTTTTTCATCGATGTCTTGTTTCCTTTACCCGTAAAATTAATTCGCCTGCCAAATTCATTCGTAAATAATTTTTTCAAGATTTTTCTAGTGCTCGCCTCGATCTGTGTCGCAGTTGAAAATGCCAAATATTCAACCTAATATCAAATATAAGAAAAAACATTAAAGTTTAATTATGCATGTAAAATATCTCGATTAAATCGTACCAGTAATTCGCGATTTGAATCCACCTCGAGCCAAGATTCAAACTCCGCCAGTGCTACCTCGTTGTCGAGGGGTAATTTTGGAATGGCACTGAAATTGGGAGCCTTCCTACCATCCGGCCTTTGTTTCACATTAATCAGTAAAGCCTTAATGTCTTTAATGTCTTCAGCCTGCTTTTCCAACAAAGTTAGCACACTTTGCGTTGTCCCTGCAACGTGATTACAAAGCGTTAACATAATACATCAATTTTAATAAAATTATTTTGCTTGTACTAACTTGAAATCAACAGCCGTAAATCATTTAACTCCTGCGAATTTACAACAACAAAAGAGGTGTCTCCAGTTTCAACTTGATTTCCTACTTGTAGATTGCTTTGCTCTTCAGTTTCGGGAATTATTTCAGGAATGCTCAATGGTTGGTCTAAAAAGCATCACCATAATGATTAGTATAAAATATTTGTGGCAGTATTATAAGCCTACCCAGCTCCAAATTATCCAGAAGTGAGCCAGACGGAGGACTGTTTTTGTTCGCGTCGCTATCCTCCTCATCGGATGAAGACGTTACATCCCCTCGTGTGCTGCTGGGCTGAATATCGGGAATTATCTTCTTGCTCCTTAATCTGCTTTCTGGTTCTGTTTCACTTTCCAAGTTGGAAGTGTCCTCGGCTACTTGAAGTTTTTTTGTCGCAACTTCATAATCATCTAAAATAATGATATTTGTTAGTAAATGTAAAATAATTGGAATGACTTCTCATAATTTGAATTAAATAGCTATTTACCGTAATTCCCAATAATCCTGGCGTAGCTAACTCTTCCCCACTTGACATCAGGAATAGCAGTGCCCTTTTTTATCAAATTTCTAATACTTGGCCCAGAGTTTGGTGGCCAGAGACAAACTTTCTCTGCGGGGATAACCCAGTGACTTGGAACAAGCTCCACAGGCACTGAATTGTATTTATCAGGGGGGAATTCAATTATGTAATATTTTTTTGGCGACATTGAGACAACAGATAAATTAACAGGGAATTTACGAGACTGCGAGGGTGGGAGAGAAAAGGAAATACCACGCTTCTCTTAGATTCAAACTCTCGCGCGTTGCCTGTCTCTTCGCACCCACCATTCATTGCGTATAAATTGCATGATTTTAACGCCTCATGTAATGTGGGTATTGACGAGATATTGGTGCGGTATTTTTACGCAATATCTCAGCACGTTTGGGTACAATAATTTTTCAACCATAGGTTACAGTTTTTTAATGCAAATTTAGCGTGTCTCACGGTGCACACCAAACTTAGCACAAAATTTATGCAATAATCACGCCTTTTTTTGTTTGTTAAAAATTTTCACCATGGATGCGTTACTTTGACGCAAAAGTAATAATTTTTGTTGATCGGGTATAGAAAAGCGTTATCAAGAAACTTGTCAAATCAATTCCACGGCCTATTTATGCTCTTATTACGTCGAGGGGAGGTGCCACGTAATATTAGAAGCAGTGGGACGTAATAAAATTGGCGATTCTTTGACTAATGATTTTATAAGTTAGAGGGTGCCAATACTTTTTGCGGGTTAATTTTGTATATTTTCCAACAAATTATTTAAAAACTGTGTTTATCTAATTTTCATCAATAAAACATGATTATAATCGAACACTACATTAGATTGGTTAAATGCGTACAAAGTTTCGTGTGAATTTGATAATTCGTGCCAAAGTTATAACCATTTTTATTTAGCTTGCGTGGGTGGTGCCTATACTTGTTCCATTGACTGTATAGCATATTCGGCTGTCAGTTATAGCAAATTACATAGATTTATGTATGTAGATGGGTGACCGACTATAATGGCCAGACTTTAAGTATGTAAAGTATTAAATCTGGGTTAATAATATCTTACCAAGATCCAGTATATCCAATTATTGAAACTACCAGCCACTCATAGTAATATGGAACGAAAAACCGGAAGTCAATTCCGACAGCAGGTAGCTCAGTCGAAGTTTTAACTGAACACAGTAAATTAATCATTTGCTTCATCCCGATTTATAAATTTCGAGATAATATTAATTTTAAACTTACTGTCCTGAACGAATTTGCGGATTTTTGCGGACAAACGAGTTTCTAACAGATTACGATCCGAAACAACTGTGACAAAAATTTGCAATCCAATGACATACTTAATTATGAGGTAGGCACACAATTTAGTTAAATACTTACGAAGATCTTTTGTCCCAATATCTTTCACACTTTGAAACGACGAAATACCCTCAATTAGAAATATAGTGGCTAATAAGGCCAGAACTACTACGTTTCCAAATTCGCCCATTTTTCTCAATTTTAGGTTGTTTCAAATTTGCATTTATTGTAAATCGCATTTATTTAAGTATAAAATATTTGAGGCAGTTTTCCTTGTTGGTTTAATTGGATTATGTTCAATTTTCAGATAAGGAATTGATATCTTAATTACAACTTTGAACAACTCAATATTGTTGTTGGAAATAGTGCCGCGGATGTTCTTACAATTTGATTTGACATCATCAGAAGCGTCGCTTGTTAGCTGTCTGGTTGATTAATGATTTATAAGTACTTAGGTAAATTGGACTGATGTTTGATGTTCCCGTCGTTGTTCAAGCTACGTAAGTATACTATTGAACTGATTGTACAGAATCTATAAATTCCACATAAATCAATTGGTATTTGTAAAAATTAATGCTGATATGAAATGTGTAAAAGATGAATTATTCTCATGCTCGGCCAGCGCATATTCAATACAAAAAATTATCTTCATATAACCATTAAAGTTTTTTTACCTAGCATTTCCTGAGGTGATGTAATATGAATAACAATGCGGCAAAAATATTTGGATTACACGAAATTATTCGCTAGAATTGGCAAACTTAGACGCTAAAATACTATTCTTCGGATCAGTTTTATTTTTTGAGCCTTCAGATAGGTTTGTGAGATGACCAAATTGTCAAAGTTCAAAAACTATAATTTTGCATCGATTTTTACAGGAAGGTGAGGATATATAGCAACTGGTCTGACAAAATTACAAGATAATATTGTCAACTAAAATCAATGAAGGATTAAAAAGTATAATCATAGATGCATCATTATTATTTTTGAGTCGTTGATATAAAAAAAGTAAAAATTAAATAGAAACATGAAAACAATAATTGTATCCAAATAAATATGCCATATTTTCATTCCTTGCTAACTTGTGCAAAGCACGTAGTTGACATTGAAAGTTTGAATTGTCAAGATGAATGTACGTATGACATATGTATTTTTGTATGCAGATATGTATGGAGATAAATCCATCTGTGTACGCACACAATTTTAAGACAATTTGTTCATCATTATAAACCGTTGAGATTCATGAAAAATTTTGATTTTGTGGTGCCCTTCATACTTCCTGTACATATTTCTTTGGCAGAAAGAGGATAACATTTGGGTCACTGTTTGCAATTTCCCTTAATCGTAAGTAAACAAACTCTCATGTTTTATAAAAAAGTGTGCATTTATGTAAGTAATTGACCAATTAGATATACGTAAATAGATTAAACGTACATATGTATGTATATCGATGTTTCATAATCGCTGGGCAGTACCTAAATTTGTATAGAAAAGTAGGGACCACAGTCCGAAGTAAGTATGTATTAAATACGGTTTCATAAACCATGACGTCAATAATCGTAATTATATATGTACACATGTACAAGTATATACTTGTATAAATCTATGTATGTACATACGTGTGTCCATATATTCAGAGTAAATGTACAAAGATATCGGTAAAAAAATCCAATTCAGATATTTTACAAAGCAAGGTTTCCCGAGTTCAGATTTATTTATTTTCCAGATCAAATTTAAATACCAACTGCCCATAACCGTCTTAATTTTTCCAAATGTATACTGATTTATACTTTGGAGTACTTATCAAGCAATTAAGCCTTTCCAACTATCTTGGTGCCAGTCCGATCCTTTGGGATGCAAAAAATAGAAAAATTATCGTAACTCAGCTCTCCAAAGTCAAATTTTACATCTTTTCAGTATTAATGTTCATAGCGCTGGTTTACATGGGAGGTGTCATCATCTACATTAAGATCTGCTATGGAATGTCTCGCATTGGAATTTGCATTGCTGTATTTTACAGCGCATCTTTCCATTACTGTGCAGTCGCTGGATTTCTACCAATGCCTGAAAACGTTGCAAGCTTGACAAACACAATGCTTAAATTTGGAAAAGATTTTCACCGTAAGTTTTTCGAAATTTCATTTTTAGGTTTCTTACAAACATAATTTGTAAAAAAAAATGATAGGCCAATGGAAACTTGAACCAATTCCAAAGAATAAGCCTACTCCAAAAAGAAGTTCTGCCTCGTACTTTGAAAAAATATGTGACGGAATGTGCAGAAATGGGTATACGACTCCAATTTGGATTTCCCTCCACTTTTTCATATCGCCGACCACGCCACCCTACCCATTCGCCCTGCTGCCCCCGTCTTATCTTAACGTCTTCACTTATTTCAGCTGGGGTATATTATGCACATACCTTATCTTCGCAATTTCTAGTTGCATGATGACCATCGTGATAATATTTGTGACGTATGGATTCCTCATGCACAACGTGCTGAAGAATGAACTCTTCCCGCAGAGCAGGAATGGATACACGACTCATGATCAGTTACGGAATAAGGGTAATTTATTCCGGGCATACCGCCAATTCGAAATACTGCACAAATATGCAAATTCGACATTCGAACATGTCATACTTCCCGGGCAGATCCTGGTCACACAGGGATGTCTTTCTTGCAACTACGTGCTGCTAACAAGTTGGACGAATTTAGACGTTTCTTCAATATCGATACTAATCATGTGGACCTTTCTTGGAATAACGATGTGGACGGTTTTTCTTCTCACGACGTCGCTAGTGAGCACGCAGGGGAGGAGGATGCTCGACTCGTGGAAGTTTTTAAACTGGTCGAAGGCGGAGATGAAATATATGAAAAAGTTTAAGAAGGGCTGCAGACCATTGGGTGTGAGAGTTGGGGGATTCTACTGCGTGAAACAGATAAACGTTTTGAAATATTTACATGGGATTTTTAGAGGTACTTTTAGAGCGTTGTTGGCACTTGGGTAGAAAGTTTGTCAGTATTTTCGGTGTAACCCATCATAGATGCCCAACTTATCTCAACTGATGAAATATTTTCATATATAGTTACATAAAAACTGTGGAAATAAAAGCATATTTTTTTTAGCTTCACAGTGGCATACGAAGTTCCAAAAAAATACATTTTAGTATGAAATATGTTAAGCAAATGGTTTATGAGCATTAGATAGAATATTTTAGACTTTCTAAAAATGTTAAATAATTACAACAATTCAATCAAAATGTTGTCCATACTATAAATGTGTCTGCTAATGGTGTTGTATACTAAATATTATTTAATATTACGACTAGGACTACTTTAAAAAGAGTTGTATCACCAGTTCTAATATATATTTATTTACATCTATGTAAATGGAGTAATAAAAGTATTAAGATAAATCTTGTCAGCAAAGATATGGTTATGATTTCCATTTTTTTTTAAATTATGAATATGTAATTTTCTGTACTTATTCTGGAAAGCATCTCCACGTATATCCAGAAGGTATACGACCAATCCTCCGACAGAAATTTCCTGGGCAACACGTGTCATCGGAGGGACTGCAGAAGCTAGTGCGGGACAAGCATCCTATATTATTCTCCTACATTATGTAAATCAAGGAAACATCAAATATCATGTGCATAATAATGTACGTAGTTAATTGCAAGAGTAGCATATCTCACATGTATTTTCTTGCGTCGTAAATATCTTCCGCTATAATGATGTCGCCGTGGCTTAAAAATTTCCCAGCTTGATTGACTCTCCATGTCGGCTTGATGTGTGACCACTTCCTCTTCGGGTGAGTCTTCGCTATCCTCCACTGCTCGTGAAGGCACCAGAAGAAAAATTAAGTACAACAGATATTTCATGCCGAATTTCTGTTATTTACAACATAAATATATTTGGTTTAAATCTAAATAATTTTTTTTAATGTGCAATGTAAAATCTCAGTGTATTTAAATATGTAGATTTCATATGTAACTAAACTAGCTCTTTAATCTTTAACAAGGCAAACATTTATGACAATTGGTTGAATTTTATTACACCAAAGAATTATACAATGCAAGCTTTCACTTGTAACATGGCCATTATTGCGTAATAATTTTTCAACTACAAATAAATAATTCATGCATGCTATGTACGAGCATCATTGAGCAAATTACTTATGTATGTAGTAACCATGTATTTACTAACAATGGGGATCTCCCAGTGTATGCTCTCCGATTTTGACCAAATTAATGTCACTCGATCATAAATATGATTAGTATGATATGCCAAATATGATATGTATCACATTTGCCAAAGACAATATCTGCCAATGCTCAGGTTTAGCAGAGATATTTGCATCCGAAGACGAAAAAACGAGCAGTAAAATTTGGAGGTGTAAAATTTGGCAACTTAATGTCGATTCAACTTGAGTATTTTTTACATGCATACATAGATATGTACATACTCAAATTGTCTTTCATTAACGATGAAAACAAGGTTAATACCAGATACACTTTACTATACTTTAATATTGTTCTTGAAAATAAGATTATAGTACATTTATCTACATATACTTATTTATGTATATATTGTTCAGTACTAATATTCGCCCGAAGTGGGAATGTTATGTGTACTATTTGTTGTGTATTCGACTATCGAATTTCATTATTCTACTCTCCGTGTGCAATGTCCCGTTTTATGTATTGTAAATATACTAAGGGTTGATCCGTAAATTATGTCACGCAAAAATCGGGATTTTCTAGACCCCCCATCCTTCCCCCCTTTAACATGTGTCACATAGGCACGATATCATTAGAGGCTTGGACCCCCCTCCCCCCTCTTGCGTGACATAATTTATGGACCGTCCCTAATCGAAAACTCGATAGCAATTACATACATCAAGGGAAAATTGCCTCCATCTTGATTGTTTAATCGGAGATGTCATGAATCTATCTAGCATGATTAAACCATCAAATCTTTAATACTCACTCAGAATAATAAGGAATTCGTCATTTAGCAAGCATGACAATTCTTCATTACGACATTGTTTCGCCAATACACCCTAATTTTTGCCAATAAAAAAATCTAGTGGCGGAATATCTGCTTAACTAATAGTAAATATGTTCGAGTATAAAAGCTTATTCGTCAAAGGCTCTCATTGTGATCACGGCAATCCAAGTAGCAACAATTTTCAAAATCTCGTAACAAAGATGGAGCTTGCTTTTCATTTTGTTATTACTGTTTTACAAATTCTAATTTCAGCACAATTAGTGCTTGTCAGAAGCCAACCTGCTCCAGCCGCGTCTGGTAGAAATGATACGTTCAAACTGCCAACAAATTATTCTAAAGGTGAGAAGATCGTAAATACCAGGGTCAAAAATCATTCCAAAATCAGGTCATACAGTGGTTAAACAAACTGTAACAAATTTGATAACACTACAGTTTCGGATTAATTACGAAGTTTCTAAAATCTAAAATCATAGTATTTTACCTGCTATAATTTCCTCCCCAGAACATCGACCTTCCCACCGAAGGGAACCAACCGATGTTATGGTAAACATTCATGTCCAAGCCATAAATCCTATTAAAGCAGCAGATATGGATTTCAGGCAAGTAAATAAATCCGGCCATAATGTTTAAAGTAAATTTATGCATGTAACTTAGCATATTGGTACTTATTAAACATTTATTAATCCAGAATGGACATGACCCTAACCCAGCGTTGGATGGACGAAAGGCTGGCATTTGCCGAGCAGTGGTTTGACGGAAAAGACAATCTCATTTTACCACTGGAGTTTGTCGATCTGATCTGGCATCCTCATCCCTTCGTTGTGAATGCAAAATCTACAGGCAAGCTTTTATTATGAAAAAAGTTCCCACTTTAAATACATACTTTGTTACAGACGTTGGCCAACTAACGCAGAAATTAGTGAGCGTTTACGTCTTTCGAAATCGTACCGTCCAATACTCCGTGAATGTTTTTATAACAGTAGCTTGCGCAATGAACGTAAGAATTTAACCATTAACAATTTAAAAGTCAAGATTTTAAAAAATTGAAATTTTAGTATCGCTATTTCCCATTTGACTCTCAACTGTGCCCCATGTTTTTAGAATCATGTAAAATTTCAAGCATTTGAACAGGATCGTGCATTCATAAAAATTCTAAATTTTCTCATTAAATGTTCAGTTTCGTTTGACGAAACCCAAGTCAAGTACACGTGGGCGGAGTATGAACCCTTCACGATCAACCCTGACTTAAGAATGTTGCAATTTGAACCAAGAAGACCGCTTCATTTTAGCATAGCGTCCGTACCTCGGTTCAACGAGGGTGAGCAATCAAATATTAATACCTGTTACATAATTGCATACAACTTACAACACAGTTAATACATAAGGTTACAAAGACTATACAAGAAAATCATTTTACAAATTTGCGTATTTATGATCATATTTAGATTAAGGGCGTCTTTGTTCTATACAAAACTGTATACCATAATTTTGCATAGCTGGTTTACTAGGTTACAAACATTCGAGTGAAATTCCTTGTCAAATTGCAAGCCAGAAATACATATAATCGTAGCATTTTGTCTAAACTGCGATAAAAAATTACACGTATTGTACCCAAGTATCATAAAATGGTAATCATAATCCGTACATATTATTACTATTGATTTATATTTACTTACTTTCAGCGAAGAACTTTTCCCAGTTAGTCGCCTATTTCAGGTTTGATCGATTAATGGGAAATCATTTGATTCAGGTGAATTCTTATTTTTATTCCCTTTCTGTTTATGACGCCATTTGAATATCGATTTGCTTAATTGGTAGACATTTGCCCCCTGTTCTCTCGTCGTGTGTTTAAGCTGGTTCAGCTTCTGGTTGGAGCTTAATGCCTTGTCGGCCCGAATGTCGCTCTTGGTAACGTCCATCTTGACCCTGGTGACGCAATTTGTCGGTCTCAAAACTGACCTGCCTCCGGTGGCATATATTAAAGCGGTACATATGTATTATGTCACTTTGCATAAATTATGTTTGTATACATAGTTACAACATTGCATAATTAATATTTCGCATATTTAATTAAGTAATTAGTATGAAATTATCATTAATGCCAAAAGCTTTATTATGTTAAAAATATTCAGGTAGATATTTGGATGGCTGGCTGTATGGTCTGGGTGTTTGGCGCGTTGGGAGAATTCGTGCTTGCAAAGGTCATCTTTTCGTTGACGGAGGATGCCAAATTCCATTATCATGAAGACCACTTGAAATTTTTTAGTCAGCCGGGATTGTCACCCCAACATGACTACACCATGAAGCCAAATGGTGCCAGAAACGGGAGAGATATTGATGAAATGCTTATGGTTAGTAACAAAAAATGACGGTTTTTACTCTAGCGTATCGTACACTGTAAACGGAGACCATGACCAATGTATAAAATTTTTAATTTAGACCCATAAAGAAACGCTAAAATAACTAAAAATATTTGCTACAGATAAAAATATTGAGGTTATTCATGACGTGTTCGCATCGTTAGCAACGTTAACAAAAAAAAAAAGTTCCCAAGTTCGCAAAAAATTTTGTCTTGAAAAATTATGGACATCTGCAAGGCTAGTATTTGCCCGCACATATGTAGTTCGCACAATTGTTTTCAAAATTATATTGCGATGCAAACATGCATAACACTTGTAATGAAAATGTTTGCATTAATGTTAATGTTTTCATGACCAAGATCTAGTTGACAATCTGCCTATTCATCTCCGTTTTACAGCATAGAACAAACAGTTCTGAAATAATTACCGAAATGGACATGACTGGACAACCTATTGAACAAAATTTGCAAAATCAGCGGATTCGTCACCGCCGATTGGCGCCCTTGGACCACAAGGATAGCTTTGAAAATGCGGATCTTAAGAGCATCGCTACGACAAGTTCTGCCAGCCTCGACAAGAATGTGGGAAGAATGAAGCTTCCGCTGCAATGGACGGATCCCAAGACTGGAAAGCAGATCCTGTTGTGGAAGAAAATCGACAACATTTCCAAGTGGGTCTTCCCTCTCTCCTTCGTCCTCTTCTGCACCGTGTATTGGATCATTTTGTACATTCACAGCAAAGTGGACAATGATCTTGACCTCTACGTGGTGAGCACGAACCTCACAATCTCAGCTTAATTATTGATAAGAAAACTGATAAGAAAAAAGCAATTAGATTCTTGTTAGATACTTTTCAATTAATTGGTGCATTGAATGTCTATGTGTTATAAGTTGGGTGGTGAAACCACAGAAAAATCTATTTTTTCAGTAGTACAGCCTTCAATTTTTGTAGAAAGCAGAGTATTAAGGAGAGAAAAAGAATTAAACAAGATGTAATACCCTTTGCTTAAATTAAATATTTTTACTGAAAAAATAGTGGCAACAATTGCTCATTTGTTTCACAGTGGTATTCAATATTGCCCATTATTTTCAAGAAGTGGACATGTACAGAGCAAGTTAATTAATACAAATATGTACATACTCTTGTTTTATTTACCATACGATCCTCGACGTCATCACTCTCATTACTAATAGCATTGCAGTGGTGACGTCGAGGGTCGTATGGTAAATAAATGGACTGTAATTCTTAGGCAAAGGAAACGTGACAAACTAAACATTCTGAGTTTAAATAGCAAGCTATGATCTGCAAATTTATATGGAAGTTATGGAACTTCCCAGTAGACAATTCGATGGTCGAAATCTCTGCGAACACAGCGAATTTAGAGCGAATTCGCTGCAGCGAAAATTCGCCACGATTTCGAGGACTACTTCACGAAGAATTCTGCACGAAATCGCAGCGAAATATGTAACAGCGAAAGACCTACGAACTTTCGCTACGAATTCGTGAAGAAAAATTCGCTTTATTTTCGATGAAAGAAAAAGCTCCTCGAATTCGGGGCGAATTCTCAGCGACTTCCGAGCAACAATTAAGTCAACAAATCGAGCTGCGATTTCCCAGCGAAATCACAACGACTTCGCTGCGCCTCCAGCATCATCATAATTCTAAATGGTAGTCTAGTTCCAACCTTAGCCATGAGCACACGTGCGAGCATCTCTTGAGTAAAAGATACTACGACGAATAATTTATAAAACAGTTACAATTTTTTTATAAACCAGCCAACTGCACCTGAAATAACTAGTTACCCTTCCGATTTACAAGTGTACAGTGATTCTAAAGTACGACCATTTAGTATAGAGACGAATGAATTGGAATTATGGCCCTCATGTTCATCAGACAATTCTATTGAAGTTTTTGAAAACGTTAACGTTCCCAACGGTGAACTTAGTAAGTTTAAACATAGCAATTCGCATGAGAAGGACTATTTATTTGAAATAACGAAGTGGGCAGTGAGTAATAATATCACTAGAAATTCTACTTCAGAATCATTGCTAATTTTAAAAACTCACATGTGTTTTGATTATTTTCCGAAGGATGTAAGGACATTCTTGGAAACGCCAAAGTTACAAATAGTTTTCCCGTTGGAAAAGGAGAATTTTTATATTTTGGTATAAGCAATGGTTTAACTAGATTTTTAAATTGGGATCCTCTTGTTAGTGCAATTTTTTCCTCTTAGGACCCTGGCCACCATAGATAGTTTGGAACAAATCTTGAAAGATCTTGCTCCCAGGCGAGAATTGGTATTTATTTGAACTATGTATTTGTTATTCCTTTGATCTCCAAAGTTCAAAGTTGTAATTTTTTGTTTCCATACAGAATAATGTGCTTTTGGGATGTGGAGGAGATAACTTATGTTCGGATGAATTACTTTCACGGCACAGTTACCAGGGACGAAGTGGGAAAAACTCATTTTTAAGTTATCCTCAACTTAATCAGGCTATATTTGGTAAATCCTTGTTTCAGTATTTATGTTGATGTATGTAAGAAAGCTTAATCGTGACAATTGTGTATTTCAGAAAGTCTATCAACTGAAGCTTGTGCCATGCCTGTTACAAGAAAATTTGTTGATGAAGCCTTCCCAAAAATTTTGAAGAGAGCAGCTGATAGATATATCAAGAAAATGTAAGCGATTCTTATAAGCAAAGAGCATAGTGAAAATTGTGATGATAAATTAAACGAAGTGTGTTTTCTTTGTTTATAGGAAAGCTGCGCCAAGCTTCACACCTTTCAACGCCGAAAATACAACAGTTGGACGGAACAATGAGACTTTGTTAAAAATAACTATTTCACTATGATACTTAAATTTGTTGTCCTGGTGTTACCGTTAATAAATATATTTTAAATTGACCATACAAAATGTGTAACGACAAATTCGTAACTAGTTAGCAGCGAGATCGCATCGAATTCATGACGAAACCTCGCCTCGAAATCGCTGCGAAGTAGCGCGGAGTCGTTGCGTAAGTCGCGAATTCGCTGCTCTTTCGCAAAGAGTCGGCGGTCATGTAGCTCTGTTTTCGACGTCGATTCGCTAGCGATTCGCAACGACTCGCTGTTGAATTTCGTTGCGAAGTCGCAGAGAGTCGTTGTGTTTTTGTCTCCTGGGTTGCACAACCTAATTGTTGCCCCTATTTTTTCAGTAAAAATATTTAATTTAAGCAAAGGGTATTACATCTTGTTTAATTCTTTTTCTCTCCTTAATACTCTGCTTTCTACAAAAATTGAAGGCTGTACTACTGAAAAAATAGATTTTTCTGTGGTTTTACCACCCAACTTATTTGATGCTTTTCACCTTAACATTAACATACACATATTTTGGTTACACCTCCCTAATGTTACAACCTCCATAAAGCACTTGCCCCAACCTCCCAAGTTCCAGGAAAACAATTTAATTGTACTATTTTTCATCATTATAATCAATGTATTCATGTCTTAATTTGTCCCCAAACCACTCCCGACTAGGCAAAAACATTAATCTTGCTATTATTCATCAATTTCAACAATAATCTCAATTTACCCCAAACCACACCCCATAATTGTCATAGGGGGTGTGGTCGTGACTCATTATTAATTTATAATACCACATGCTGAAAGCAGAATAGAAAAATTTTCACTTCTTCTTAAATTATTTTGATTTTACTGTGTTGGGTATAACCACTCCCCCTGAGGTCAAGGGGCGTGGGCGGACAAATTCTTCGCATTAATTTGCTGAAGTTACTTCTAAAACATAAAACTTGGATATTTTGGTTTGACTCCCACTCATCTGGGGCATTTAGGGACTGGTATACCCGTCAAAAATTATTCAGTGAAAATTTCAAAAAATTACTATTACAATTCCGCCACGGTCATATTTATAAGTTGATGGCCACGTTGCACTCCTCATACATCTAAGGAATAGAAATCCGTGGTGATCGGCGATAAAAACCCATTCACGAAGGCTGTACATCGGTGAGATTGAGGAATTAAAAATTGTGAATTTTCAATTTTGTGGCCTCCAGGAGGCCTTAATTCGAAAGGGTCTAAATGTAAATGTTGTAGACAAATTACTGCCGGATGTGATTGTAATTTACTTCAAGTCTCCATCATGCACCCAATTCATTCAGGATAGCATTTTGTGATTTTTTAGTCAAAAATACGTTTTAGTGGATATTTCAAAAACTATTCGAAATTTTTGAAAACGGTACGCGTGCCCTATATCTATATTTGTAAGCTGGTTCGAATGCTTTTTACCGCATCCCCCTAGCTCATAAGGTCGAACCACACGGTCAAAAACCATTAACATTGAAGTTTCGTGAACGCATACTATATATTTCTCATATAGCGCTAAATGTCTCATGTTGCCTCGACATTTGGGCTAAATGGAAAAAATAGAAAAATGCTTTGGCCGATTTTTTAAAAATTAGGATAATAATGGTTTACTTAATTCCATACGTTTGTAAATGTAGACCCTTTATTAAATTTTAATGGAGACAGAAAATCCTTAAGTAAAAGTAAACTCTTCCGCAAATCATTAAATTAATTTAAGATTATAATTAAAAGAAAAATAAATGGTTTGTTCTAAAATTAGAGGAAATTATTTTACATGCGTTCAATAAATGCCCAATCAAATCATGGCAATTTGTCTGTAATAACAATTTGGCAACTTCCCTTTGACCGTTTTGTTAATTATCTCCTATTTCATTTGGTAAAAACATACATTGTAACTGTTCATACGTTGTGCGTAGGCAGATGTGTATACATATGTATACCTCCTTATATGATACTACGAAATGTACATGTACTCCTGTTTTTTTGGCTATAAAATCTCGCGGTAAAAAGGTTTCCACCTGCTCCATACAGTTCGCACCCACTTCCATTCAAAACCCTATGTCTAAAGTTTTAAGTTGCCATAAGCTTTGAATGGAATTGGGTGCGAACTGTATGGGGCAGGTGGAAACCTTTTTACCGCGAGATTTTACAGCAAATAAAATAAGAGTACATACAATTTTCATTGGACCCACCCAGCACATGATCATTTACCTAAATAATTGATTTCCAATCGTAAAAATACTATTTTATTAACAGGAATTAAAACAGCAATAAACTTTCATACGTATAAATTTAGATAGGATATTAGAAAATTTAAGTACTTTTATCATATTAATTAATCATAAATTGAGATCTTATGCAAGTTATAACCTTTATTATTATGGTTTCTTTCCTTAAAAAGGCAATTAATGTATGTTTACCTTACATAACTCATGAAATATTGAGAAATGTATATACCTATCCATTCTCAAATCTGGTCAGAATTCAGCAATAAGGCGATTAATACCTTGGAAATAAACAAATTCATTAATTTTGTTATTTAGTTGACTTCTTTTAATTTTGCTATTGTTGAGCTGAAACTCGCGATTTTACCCCTGATTATAACTTCTTAAGCATTCCGCTGTATTACAATTTGTACTTTTTGATCAATTTGTTTCCGTCATAGCTAAACTAAATATGTACAACTGTCCCCACTTGAACTTTACCAGCCAACAACTCATGACTTGCCTCGCATTCGAAATGAAGCTCATTTGTTTAAGTCTTCGAATTTGCCAAATAGTTGACACTCTGTTTCAAACCCTATTACAAATCTGGGATCCTAACCTGGTCCCATCCAACATCCCAATTTTCCTGAAAACATTCCGGTTTAGTAGCTGGACCAGAATGTGTCTCATTACGTTTAACGGGACACAGTTTCAGATTAGTTCCTCCCTGCGTGACAGATTCCTTGCCGTGTTTGCAATTTCTAATCTCATCCTGCACTTTCTCCTTATTTTGAACTGGTTCATTTACAAATATGCTTTTCCTAGTGATGTTTCCCCCGAAAACTGGGAGATTTTCAGCATGATTTATTTCATGGTCCCGTTCTCCACCGCGATTTATTTTGTCATTCATTGCCACTTGGCGAAGGACGAGATCATGTTCATGCTGAAAGCTACCACATGGTTGGAGACCAATTGTCTAGAAAGAGGTAAGTAACTTGAGAGATTTCAAAATCATAACTTTTTTTCATGCTGTTTTTAATTTTCTTTGAAGGATCACAAAGCTACGTTCATCGATATTTTCTTGCAATGGGATTTCTAATTCTCTCCACCGAAATATTAGTGCCGGCAGCACTGTTCGTCACAAGTCTCCACAAACCATGCATGCCGCCAATAATTAGTTCTCTGGTGGTGTTGAACTGCACATCTTGGCAAGACGATGGTCAGGCTGTGATATGGTTTCGAGTATGCGTTGGCCTGTTGGAAGGATACACGTGGTCCGTGCTCTGTGGCGTCGTCTCTTTGTCCATGTATAGCTCTTTGCTATATCCGGGAGAAGTGTTGCTCGAATTTACCAGCTTGCTAGAAAGGTGACCAATTGTTGAACTTTTGCACCTCATAATCTTATCTACATTGTGTATGTACTTAATTGAAAATTATGTTCTTAAATTTTTCAGGGAAATCCAAACCAATATTTATTCCATTCTGAAATATCGTCACATTCAGATATTGACACAGCTTCGGAATAACGTTTGGGGAGGTGCAACAATGCATGTGTGCATTTGGACGATTTATTTCGTAGAATGCTTGGCGTTGTATGTTCTCATCTCGACGAAGGGAAGACTGCCTGTACCCGCAATGACATTATTTTCCATTGTGGCTTTCGACTTGTTTATAATTATCCAGTTCCTTTTTAAAGTGTTATCGAATCCGGGTGAGAAAACATGTGCTTTTTTAATGATAATGAAACGTAAAAAGATGTCAAACTGGGTCAGGAAATACTTGCAGTCATGCCAGCCATCGAAACTAACCAAGGGGAATGGTACATATTTTAGCAAGGTGTCATCTTTAGTGACTTGGCAGAATTGCGTGGACTGGTTAATCCCTCTTCTGCTAATGTAAGGAAAATATGATAAGGGTTCTCGAAGTATCAACTCATTGTTGAGCTACATATTTGTTATACTCAACAAAAATTTTAGAGTTGCTAACAAAATTGGGTATAGCGATTTGTATTCCTAGCAGAGTTTCGTGTTATGTACGGGTTATTTAGTAATATTCTATAAGATAAGGAATTATAAAAATAAGATTTTCTGAAGTTATTCCTAAATGGAAATATGAAATGGTGAAAAGTTCAAATATTCTTATAACTCGAATTCAACGTTTATATGATTGCATGATGCATAATATTTATTTAAATCCAGATTTCAGTCGTGCAACTACATACATACATATGTAAGCTCAGCATTCATTACATGAAAATCATTACATACATACAACATATAAATACTATAGGTGAGCTAAAAATATTCAGTCTATTGTTTATTACTAAAATGAATATTTCTGCCCATGTATGTCCATACATGTATTTAAATAAATATGTATGTGATATTAGCATATATTTATATTTCAAATATACTAGCTTCTCATAATTTGCATTCTCAGGTTAAATACAAGTAAAAAAAAAGTAGGAATAAGCTTTTCTGAAAATACTTGTCCTAATTAAAAATTAATTTTAGTCGCAAATAGCGTATACGAATAAGATCTAAAACTTTTAACTTGGCCAGTAATCGTATTTGTGAATGGATTTGTATAAGCTGTTCATGTACAATAAATATTCATATTATAATAGAAAAGTGGCAATAAGGTTATTAGTAATGAGAGCTTTATATTAATAAGAGTGGAAGAAGGATTAGATAGATAAATTAAAAATTAAACATGATAAATTTATGAATTTTTGACATTGTCTTAGACAATGTCTGAGACAATTTGTCTTACAAAGCTTATATACTTTTATTTCACGCATCCCATGCATACATATAATTATCCTATCTGCATCCTACCAGACGCATTTTACGTTATAAAACGTAAAATATGTCTGGTAGGATTATTATAAAATAATAAAATGCATATCGCCGGACTAATTCTAAAACTACCTAAGTACACAATAAAAACGGGGAAAAAGACCTAACTGCAATTCCAAAATTATACAGAGATAATTACTTATCCAAAATCTTGCTGTAAACTTAAATATAAAAATTTTGGTCAGATGAGACTAGTGATTAGAAAACGTTCGAAATTTGAGAACCACAGGTTCAGGGGGTGTAGTTCTCGGCATTTTTTTTAAACTAAATAAATCTTTCGCAGGTGACCTCTTGTCACGGGTGACCTATCTTCTATCTCAGTCCGATGAGGAAATTCAGACAACGGTAGAAATTAAGAAAACGCACCCTCAAGGGGTTTGGTTGGAGTACTTGCATACATATTATTTATGCATGTACTCCAATTTTTCGTTTTTTTGGCTTCATCAGTTCCATCAATGTATAAGATGATTTACAACCAAAAAGAAGTATAAAATCCACTTCGTAGAGACGCTAGACCTTCGAAATAAAAATTATATTGTTACGACTTATTGCTAAAAATTTTTTGACAAAAACATAGTTCAAGTTTTTACCTCAAAACGGGTGGGCAATGAGAAGGATGGAACCCTTCTTTATTTCCACCTGGACTAAGTCATGATAAAGAAATGTTTCAATTTATTCTACAAATTATTCACTTCATCGGATTACTTACGACGACAAAGCCGCTAAAACACAGGTTTGTGTACTCTCCACAAAATTGTAATCCTTATCGTTGGAATCTAATGGGCACCTGTAAAACACACGGAAAAATCTTCCTTGACTGGGGTCCCACGAACATGCAACATAGTCACATAGCGGATTAGATCTTGGACAGAACCGAGCTTTATCTGCTGGTGTAGCAATGGCAAAATAACCGTCCCTAGTGCACAGGAATGGCTGAGCAGGCCTTCGGGTAGTAGTTGTAGGTCTTGTTGTAGTTGTGGGTCTTGTTGTAGTTGTGGGTCTTGTAGTAGTTGTAGGTCTAGTAGTAGTTGTAGGCGTTGTAGTAGTTGTAGGCCTTGTAGTAGTTGTAGGCGTTGTAGTAGTTGTAGGCCTTGTAGTAGTTGTAGGCGTTGTAGTAGTTGTAGGCGTTGTAGTAGTTGTAGGCCTTGTAGTAGTTGTAGGCGTTGTAGTAGTTGTAGGCGTTGTAGTAGTTGTAGGCCTTGTAGTAGTTGTAGGCGTTGTAGTAGTTGTAGGCGTTGTAGTAGTTGTAGGCGTTGTAGTAGTTGTAGGAGTTGTAGTAGTTGTAGTCGTTGTAGGCGTTGCAGTAGTTGTAGGCGTTGTACTAGTTGTAGTGGTTGTAATAACGGCCGGAGTACTTGACCCTTCCGTAGTTGGTAGCGTGATTGTCGTGCCCTCAGTGGTAACGTCTGTAGTACTTGACCCTTCCGTAGTTGGTAGCGTGATTGTCGTGCCCTCAGTGGTAACGTCTGTAGTACTTGACCCTTCCGTAGTTGGTAGCGTGATTGTCGTGCCCTCAGTGGTAACGTCTGTAGTACTTGACCCTTCCGTAGTTGGTAGCGTGATTGTCGTGCCCTCAGTGGTAACGTCTGTAGTACTTGACCCTTCCGTAGTTGGTAGCGTGATTGTCGTGCCCTCAGTGGTAACGTCTGTAGTACTTGACCCTTCCGTAGTTGGTAGCGTGATTGTCGTGCCCTCAGTGGTAACGTCTGTAGTACTTGACCCTTCCGTAGTTGGTAGCGTGATTGTCGTGCCCTCAGTAGGTAACGTCTGTAGTACTTGACCCTTCCGTAGTTGGTAGCGTGATTGTCGTGCCCTCAGTGGTAACGTCTGTAGTACTTGACCCTTCCGTAGTTGGTAGCGTGATTGTCGTGCCTCAGTGGTAACGTCTGTAGTACTTGACCCTTCCGTAGTTGGTAGCGTGATTGTCGTGCCCTCAGTGGTAACGTCTGTAGTACTTGACCCTTCCGTAGTTAGTAGCGTGATTGTCGTGCCCTCAGTGGTAACGTCTGTAGTACTTGACCCTTCCGTAGTTGGTAGCGTGATTGTCGTGCCCTCAGTGGTAACGTCTGTAGTACTTGACCCTTCCGTAGTTGGTAGCGTGATTGTCGTGCCCTCAGTGGTAACGTCTGTAGTACTTGACCCTTCCGTAGTTGGTAGCGTGATTGTCGTGCCCTCAGTGGTAACGTCTGTAGTACTTGACCCTTCCGTAGTTGGTAGCGTGATTGTCGTGCCCTCAGTGGTAACGTCTGTAGTACTTGACCCTTCCGTAGTTGGTAGCGTGATTGTCGTGCCCTCAGTGGTAACGTCTGTAGTACTTGACCCTTCCGTAGTTGGTAGCGTGATTGTCGTGCCCTCAGTGGTAACGTCTGTAGTACTTGACCCTTCCGTAGTTGGTAGCGTGATTGTCGTGCCCTCAGTGGTAACGTCTGTAGTACTTGACCCTTCCGTAGTTGGTAGCGTGATTGTCGTGCCCTCAGTGGTAACGTCTGTAGTACTTGACCCTTCCGTAGTTGGTAGCGTGATTGTCGTGCCCTCAGTGGTAACGTCTGTAGTACTTGACCCTTCCGTAGTTGGTAGCGTGATTGTCGTGCCCTCAGTGGTAACGTCTGTAGTACTTGACCCTTCCGTAGTTGGTAGCGTGATTGTCGTGCCCTCAGTGGTAACGTCTGTAGTACTTGACCCTTCCGTAGTTGGTAGCGTGATTGTCGTGCCCTCAGTGGTAACGTCTGTAGTACTTGACCCTTCCGTAGTTGGTAGCGTGATTGTCGTGCCCTCAGTGGTAACGTCTGTAGTACTTGACCCTTCCGTAGTTGGTAGCGTGATTGTCGTGCCCTCAGTGGTAACGTCTGTAGTACTTGACCCTTCCGTAGTTGGTAGCGTGATTGTCGTGCCCTCAGTGGTAACGTCTGTAGTACTTGACCCTTCCGTAGTTGGTAGCGTGATTGTCGTGCCCTCAGTGGTAACGTCTGTAGTACTTGACCCTTCCGTAGTTGGTAGCGTGATTGTCGTGCCCTCAGTGGTAACGTCTGTAGTACTTGACCCTTCCGTAGTTGGTAGCGTGATTGTCGTGCCCTCAGTGGTAACGTCTGTAGTACTTGACCCTTCCGTAGTTGGTAGCGTGATTGTCGTGCCCTCAGTGGTAACGTCTGTAGTACTTGACCCTTCCGTAGTTGGTAGCGTGATTGTCGTGCCCTCAGTGGTAACGTCTGTAGTACTTGACCCTTCCGTAGTTGGTAGCGTGATTGTCGTGCCCTCAGTGGTAACGTCTGTAGTACTTGACCCTTCCGTAGTTGGTAGCGTGATTGTCGTGCCCTCAGTGGTAACGTCTGTAGTACTTGACCCTTCCGTAGTTGGTAGCGTGATTGTCGTGCCCTCAGTGGTAACGTCTGTAGTACTTGACCCTTCCGTAGTTGGTAGCGTGATTGTCGTGCCCTCAGTGGTAACGTCTGTAGTACTTGACCCTTCCGTAGTTGGTAGCGTGATTGTCGTGCCCTCAGTGGTAACGTCTGTAGTACTTGACCCTTCCGTAGTTGGTAGCGTGATTGTCGTGCCCTCAGTGGTAACGTCTGTAGTACTTGACCCTTCCGTAGTTGGTAGCGTGATTGTCGTGCCCTCAGTGGTAACGTCTGTAGTACTTGACCCTTCCGTAGTTGGTAGCGTGATTGTCGTGCCCTCAGTGGTAACGTCTGTAGTACTTGACCCTTCCGTAGTTGGTAGCGTGATTGTCGTGCCCTCAGTGGTAACGTCTGTAGTACTTGACCCTTCCGTAGTTGGTAGCGTGATTGTCGTGCCCTCAGTGGTAACGTCTGTAGTACTTGACCCTTCCGTAGTTGGTAGCGTGATTGTCGTGCCCTCAGTGGTAACGTCTGTAGTACTTGACCCTTCCGTAGTTGGTAGCGTGATTGTCGTGCCCTCAGTGGTAACGTCTGTAGTACTTGACCCTTCCGTAGTTGGTAGCGTGATTGTCGTGCCCTCAGTGGTAACGTCTGTAGTACTTGACCCTTCCGTAGTTGGTAGCGTGATTGTCGTGCCCTCAGTGGTAACGTCTGTAGTACTTGACCCTTCCGTAGTTGGTAGCGTGATTGTCGTGCCCTCAGTGGTAACGTCTGTAGTACTTGACCCTTCCGTAGTTGGTAGCGTGATTGTCGTGCCCTCAGTGGTAACGTCTGTAGTACTTGACCCTTCCGTAGTTGGTAGCGTGATTGTCGTGCCCTCAGTGGTAACGTCTGTAGTACTTGACCCTTCCGTAGTTGGTAGCGTGATTGTCGTGCCCTCAGTGGTAACGTCTGTAGTACTTGACCCTTCCGTAGTTGGTAGCGTGATTGTCGTGCCCTCAGTGGTAACGTCTGTAGTACTTGACCCTTCCGTAGTTGGTAGCGTGATTGTCGTGCCCTCAGTGGTAACGTCTGTAGTACTTGACCCTTCCGTAGTTGGTAGCGTGATTGTCGTGCCCTCAGTGGTAACGTCTGTAGTACTTGACCCTTCCGTAGTTGGTAGCGTGATTGTCGTGCCCTCAGTGGTAACGTCTGTAGTACTTGACCCTTCCGTAGTTGGTAGCGTGATTGTCGTGCCCTCAGTGGTAACGTCTGTAGTACTTGACCCTTCCGTAGTTGGTAGCGTGATTGTCGTGCCCTCAGTGGTAACGTCTGTAGTACTTGACCCTTCCGTAGTTGGTAGCGTGATTGTCGTGCCCTCAGTGGTAACGTCTGTAGTACTTGACCCTTCCGTAGTTGGTAGCGTGATTGTCGTGCCCTCAGTGGTAACGTCTGTAGTACTTGACCCTTCCGTAGTTGGTAGCGTGATTGTCGTGCCCTCAGTGGTAACGTCTGTAGTACTTGACCCTTCCGTAGTTGGTAGCGTGATTGTCGTGCCCTCAGTGGTAACGTCTGTAGTACTTGACCCTTCCGTAGTTGGTAGCGTGATTGTCGTGCCCTCAGTGGTAACGTCTGTAGTACTTGACCCTTCCGTAGTTGGTAGCGTGATTGTCGTGCCCTCAGTGGTAACGTCTGTAGTACTTGACCCTTCCGTAGTTGGTAGCGTGATTGTCGTGCCCTCAGTGGTAACGTCTGTAGTACTTGACCCTTCCGTAGTTGGTAGCGTGATTGTCGTGCCCTCAGTGGTAACGTCTGTAGTACTTGACCCTTCCGTAGTTGGTAGCGTGATTGTCGTGCCCTCAGTGGTAACGTCTGTAGTACTTGACCCTTCCGTAGTTGGTAGCGTGATTGTCGTGCCCTCAGTGGTAACGTCTGTAGTACTTGACCCTTCCGTAGTTGGTAGCGTGATTGTCGTGCCCTCAGTGGTAACGTCTGTAGTACTTGACCCTTCCGTAGTTGGTAGCGTGATTGTCGTGCCCTCAGTGGTAACGTCTGTAGTACTTGACCCTTCCGTAGTTGGTAGCGTGATTGTCGTGCCCTCAGTGGTAACGTCTGTAGTACTTGACCCTTCCGTAGTTGGTAGCGTGATTGTCGTGCCCTCAGTGGTAACGTCTGTAGTACTTGACCCTTCCGTAGTTGGTAGCGTGATTGTCGTGCCCTCAGTGGTAACGTCTGTAGTACTTGACCCTTCCGTAGTTGGTAGCGTGATTGTCGTGCCCTCAGTGGTAACGTCTGTAGTACTTGACCCTTCCGTAGTTGGTAGCGTGATTGTCGTGCCCTCAGTGGTAACGTCTGTAGTACTTGACCCTTCCGTAGTTGGTAGCGTGATTGTCGTGCCCTCAGTGGTAACGTCTGTAGTACTTGACCCTTCCGTAGTTGGTAGCGTGATTGTCGTGCCCTCAGTGGTAACGTCTGTAGTACTTGACCCTTCCGTAGTTGGTAGCGTGATTGTCGTGCCCTCAGTGGTAACGTCTGTAGTACTTGACCCTTCCGTAGTTGGTAGCGTGATTGTCGTGCCCTCAGTGGTAACGTCTGTAGTACTTGACCCTTCCGTAGTTGGTAGCGTGATTGTCGTGCCCTCAGTGGTAACGTCTGTAGTACTTGACCCTTCCGTAGTTGGTAGCGTGATTGTCGTGCCCTCAGTGGTAACGTCTGTAGTACTTGACCCTTCCGTAGTTGGTAGCGTGATTGTCGTGCCCTCAGTGGTAACGTCTGTAGTACTTGACCCTTCCGTAGTTGGTAGCGTGATTGTCGTGCCCTCAGTGGTAACGTCTGTAGTACTTGACCCTTCCGTAGTTGGTAGCGTGATTGTCGTGCCCTCAGTGGTAACGTCTGTAGTACTTGACCCTTCCGTAGTTGGTAGCGTGATTGTCGTGCCCTCAGTGGTAACGTCTGTAGTACTTGACCCTTCCGTAGTTGGTAGCGTGATTGTCGTGCCCTCAGTGGTAACGTCTGTAGTACTTGACCCTTCCGTAGTTGGTAGCGTGATTGTCGTGCCCTCAGTGGTAACGTCTGTAGTACTTGACCCTTCCGTAGTTGGTAGCGTGATTGTCGTGCCCTCAGTGGTAACGTCTGTAGTACTTGACCCTTCCGTAGTTGGTAGCGTGATTGTCGTGCCCTCAGTGGTAACGTCTGTAGTACTTGACCCTTCCGTAGTTGGTAGCGTGATTGTCGTGCCCTCAGTGGTAACGTCTGTAGTACTTGACCCTTCCGTAGTTGGTAGCGTGATTGTCGTGCCCTCAGTGGTAACGTCTGTAGTACTTGACCCTTCCGTAGTTGGTAGCGTGATTGTCGTGCCCTCAGTGGTAACGTCTGTAGTACTTGACCCTTCCGTAGTTGGTAGCGTGATTGTCGTGCCCTCAGTGGTAACGTCTGTAGTACTTGACCCTTCCGTAGTTGGTAGCGTGATTGTCGTGCCCTCAGTGGTAACGTCTGTAGTACTTGACCCTTCCGTAGTTGGTAGCGTGATTGTCGTGCCCTCAGTGGTAACGTCTGTAGTACTTGACCCTTCCGTAGTTGGTAGCGTGATTGTCGTGCCCTCAGTGGTAACGTCTGTAGTACTTGACCCTTCCGTAGTTGGTAGCGTGATTGTCGTGCCCTCAGTGGTAACGTCTGTAGTACTTGACCCTTCCGTAGTTGGTAGCGTGATTGTCGTGCCCTCAGTGGTAACGTCTTGTTTTTTTTTCGTATTGTCGTTCATGGTACGTTGTAGTACTTGACCCTTCCGTAGTTGGTAGCGTGATTGTCGTGCCCTCAGTGGTAACGTCTGTAGTACTTGACCCTTCCGTAGTTGGTAGCGTGATTGTCGTGCCCTCAGTGGTAACGTCTGTAGTACTTGACCCTTCCGTAGTTGGTAGCGTGATTGTCGTGCCCTCAGTGGTAACGTCTGTAGTACTTGACCCTTCCGTAGTTGGTAGCGTGATTGTCGTGCCCTCAGTGGTAACGTCTGTAGTACTTGACCCTTCCGTAGTTGGTAGCGTGATTGTCGTGCCCTCAGTGGTAACGTCTGTAGTACTTGACCCTTCCGTAGTTGGTAGCGTGATTGTCGTGCCCTCAGTGGTAACGTCTGTAGTACTTGACCCTTCCGTAGTTGGTAGCGTGATTGTCGTGCCCTCAGTGGTAACGTCTGTAGTACTTGACCCTTCCGTAGTTGGTAGCGTGATTGTCGTGCCCTCAGTGGTAACGTCTGTAGTACCCTTGTTTTTTTTTTTTTTTATTGACCCTTCCGTAGTTGGTAGCGTGATTGTCGTGCCCTCAGTGGTAACGTCTGTAGTACTTGACCCTTCCGTAGTTGGTAGCGTGATTGTCGTGCCCTCAGTGGTAACGTCTGTAGTACTTGACCCTTCCGTATTGGTAATTGGAAATTCTGTGCTAATTATATCTAGCCTAAGTTCCTGGTTATTTGATGGATTTAGTTGACTAGAAAGTGCACTTGGATCGGGGTGGTCATTATTGTTATACGCGTATGGGAGATTAAGGTGTATAGGTTTCGTGTATGCGAAGTACGTCCCCATAGATATGATACTAACAGGAGAACCACTTTCATTGTCCATCGCCGATTTTATTTGGTCTCATTCAACGGATAAATAGATTTAACTGAAACTTTCAGTCTGAAAGTGCGCAATATATGTATCGTTCGGTGCGGTTTTTAGTTGAAGCAAAAGTTTCCGCAATGAGTAAAAAAAAAACTAGGAATTTAGAACTGAAACATGTCAAATTTTTTTTAATGTTTGTTTGAAGTTTTTTTTTAATTGTTTAGTTAAAAAATTGTTTATTTTATAATTCATGTATTTGTCGCACTGGTTTGAGGGAATTTATACTAAAATTTAGCAAGATCTTCAAACGGTATTTTAAGTTGCAACTTAAAACTAGCTAGTTTTCGGGGAACTATCTCGAAATATCTCCCTTTAAACTAAATTTCTACATGTTCTGGCTTCAATGCAAAACTTTAGTTTGCATCAGTCGAATGCGACTAGTTTGGGCGAAATATAGACAATGAAAGTAGTTCCCTTGCTATTGATAGAATGAACCGCATCTTGAGATTTTTAGTTGCAACAGTCGTATTGCAATGCTTGAAGCTGAATAAAATGCAATCATTCTGCGAGGCGGAACTTATGTGCCGTCCAAAAGGCTTTATCGAGTCGCGATGAATCAGTTTTTATTTATCCATTGTTTGGATAAACGTTTAGGACCGCTGATATGTTTTTATTTTTAGTTTTAGGAAATTGAATATAGGCCAGGAACAAGGATTAAATACGAATATCTTTAATAAGAATATGATACTTCCGTTCTCAAGGGTCTCGTTGACCTATCCTTTCGACGGAATTTTCAACAGTGGTTGATCTCGTAATGTGAACCCTCATAAACCATTTTTTCCAAGTAAAGTTCGGCAGGTTCATATTGACATTTTTTTTATTATTATCTTTGTTGCTCTACTTTTTGATTATTGATATTACTTGGCTTACATAAGTATTCTACAAGAAATGTATGCCCATGTCAAATACAATTTTGGGTATTAAAATTCTTGTATGTATACATAAGTAATCGTAATCCTAAATCTGCTTAAATTATTGACCCAGTTTATGATTGGATTTCGGTGATTGTACAGTATTTATAAATCAAATCTCGACCATTAAACTGTATCAACTATACTGAAGGATTGCTTATAGACTAAATGAGTTTTTACTATCTAAATTATTGTGACCGGATTTAGGTGAATAAGTTATGCAGCAAACCGACATGTAGATAAATTGACCTTATTAAATAATGATTTATTTAATAAGCAGTCCCAAGTCTCCCGTTCGATCCTCTTCAATTCCAACTATGACATGGGTTGATTTGCAAGAGCATAATGGCATAGGCCAAATAGGCACTGAATAACTGACACAAAAATACTCCAGTCATTTACATAGTTCACACAAAGACAAAAATATTTGTTGCTTACCGATCCCACGAAAGAGTATGAAATATTTACAAATCTGTCCGCTTCAATGTCAAGTTCAGATCGAAATATTTTATCCGACCAGCATTTCAATTCCTCGTCTTTACACAATTCCAACATTTTCGTCTTTAATAGGGTACCCTAATATTCAACTGCAATAGTGTTTATCTAAATTACGCAAATTTGCATACTCCTCTGATTCAATCATACACACCTTATCACCGACTTCTGCAGAAATAAATAAAATTCCGACCAATTGCACTAATTGTACGAAGAAACTCGCCTTTAGAAACACTTGACTCGTATCCCAAGCATGGATGACTCGTAACACCATTAAAGGAACACTGGCAGATATGAGGCACAAGAGAATTGATCGATTTACTTTGTTCATGCACTTAACAAATTCGGATAAGCCGAGGTATTTTTCAATAATCTGAAATGCATTCAAACATTTAGATCAAAATTTTGAATTTGTATTAAATTTATTCCAAATTTATGTATGTGCGTTACCATTTTATTCGTGAAGTTTGTCGTAACTGAATAATTGTACGTTTGTTTAACCTCAAATAAGCATGTTATCGCTGTTGTCAAAGATAACATATTCGCCATGCCGAGAAGTACTCGACCCCACGTGCGTAGTATCATGTAGACAACGGAAATTGTAAAATATGTCGGGGTAAAGTCCTCCTCTGAAATATGAGTGTGATTACGAACTAATAAAAGATCAAATAAAACTTGTGCCGATGAAAGTCTAAAGTTAGCCGTGTAGTTATCTGCTCGATCTGGACCATCCACATTAAATATTTCGGCAAGTTCAATCGCAACCGGAATAATTACACCGAAAATGAGGAGAAGTATTGTTACCACCGAACTTCGTATCTGTAAATGTTGTGTAAATATATGTTATATTTTTCTTAAAACTTGTTTCATATCGTAAAATTTGTGTCAATTTACCAAATTCTCTTCTTGAGAAGTTTTCCGCTTTGGTTGATATTCTAAAATTTTGCATAAAACTGGTTGAATCTTCCTGTTCCAAAATGTCGCTCTCCAGAATAATGCCAACATGAAACATTCATACACTTTTTCCCACATTAGGAACAAAATGGAAGGGTGCAAAATAATCTTTCCCCAATAAGCACCCTGAATTTGGAATATGCTTTGTAAAAGATACACGGCAAAAAGACTGCTGTTTATGGTGGCGTGGAGTCGTGATACAGGGACAACCTTGCACTGATAAACTGAATCTCCAAATTTATCTTTGCCTACGAGCTTAAGTTTTATACGAAATGGGATTAAGCGCAGGTAGTAGCACAGATTTAAGAATTTCTCATATAATTCCTTCATCTTGGTAATCGTGTAGATATGTAATGTGAGAACAAAGAGTACAAAATGGTGAAAACTGTATTATTGTGCGAACTTATTGCGCACACATTTGGTAATAAAACTCCACTCCAACAAGTACGAAAAACTTATACGTTTTTGTGAAACACGAAATACTTATCATTAAAGAGTGTTTCCACGAGCTTAATCTAAATTCATAATGAAATTATTAATGTTTTATTAAGGAGAAAATTTGATTGATAAAATATTAAAATGGACATGTTTATCAAAAAAGTTGACACTAGAACTTAATTTTTTTACCAAGTTAGTTGCGAAAAACATGCTGCGTGGGCTGAGTTGCAAATTCACGTCTAATCCTAAGTATCAACAATATTTGCCAAAATGAAAACCAATTTTAATTTTTTCCTAGCCATTAAGCTAAATATGTATTTAAGTAATTCACAAGAACATGACACGCTTTGACATTGAAAATATTGGAGGATTGAGAAATCTTAACCTCTTGAATATTTTCTGTTATAATCACATCATTGGATATTTAATCTGTTAAACCTTCCAGTGAGTTTGACTTTCACCACTGACTGTGTGACTTGTGAAAGTTTGTCATACAAATAGAATTTCTTATCGCAATTATTTTGGCAGGAGCTAAACAGCTCGTGGAAAACAACATTACACTATTTTTAATTCATAGATACGGTCAATACTGAATAAAAAACTCCAAAATAGTACATGATATAAACCTCGTTTTGGTTAGAATTCAATCCATCCTAGTCACGCAAACGTTCAATTCGACAATTCTCGTTAAATAATTTGTTAATATGTCTGAAGTTTGAGTAATTATCGTTGGCATTTATTTACTCTAAGTAGCTTGGACTCTATCGTTTCTAACAAATTTATCAAGCGACATGGACAGAAACAGGTATGCACGTCTTATTTAAGTAAAGATGTGACAACGGTTCCACAACTCAATAAAATCTTAATTGTGTACTTTTCCGAGAATGAGAATGTAATGTAACTTGTCGCCGTTATTCTGCCCAAAACGAAGGGCATACTTATGCATGTCAATTAAAACAATAAGCTTGGCCTTGACAACTGGTAACCTTAAAACGAGACCACTGACTATTTAGACGCCCATTGCACTTCACTGTCATGGAGAGTGCATTTAACTTAAAATCGCAATCAGGGCGCCTGACAAACCCTGACGAAGAATTAGGCATCTCCATAAAATCCTTTAATACTAATAACGAATCGTCTCGCTCTCTCAGCGAAATTCAGAAAAAATCCTTGCTAATTTTTGCCGTAGCTGCGAGCACCCTAAATGAAAATATTTCACGAGAATATGGCCATAATTCCCAAGAAGTTTCTGAAAATTATGATCGGAACCAATATCGAGGGAACAGATTTGAATTTCTTTTATCACTTTTTATCAACTTTGGGTATAAAATTTGCTTCATTCCATTTCGCCTGGTTCTTGTCCGTGTTGAAGATAGTTCAAGATATGAAATCAGGAAAAATAGGATACAACAGGTTCATATGGTTACATAATTTTTGATTTAGCATAAATATTTAAGTATTAAATATCTGTTTGGATGCATGTCTACACAGATTATGTGTGCCGTTCAACAAGTTAACGGGTTCATCGTCTGTTGTCTTGTTACCTGCTCAAAAACTGGAAATATTGAGAAAAATCCATTAGTAATTTTTGACTTTTGGTCATACTCAGTCTTCACGGGATGGTGTCTCATATTTGCAAACATTTTCTGGAGAAAGCAGCACATAATTCTGAACCTCGTTAATCAACAAGTTATTGAATGTGTCAAGAATACTGCTGGACAAGATGATTATCCGTGGGTAAGATAAATTCATGGTTTACAAAAGTTAGCCTATTTTTAACATCTACATTATAAGCTGGAAATGTCTGTTGGCAACGGAAGTGAAAGTAAATGTTCCGCAACGGAAGTGAAAGTAGAGAAAGTTGAGTTTCGAATGGCGCGAAAATTCAAAATAAATTCAAAATTTAAAAATTAAAAGTCAGATTTTGGGGGTTGTCTGATGGTGGTTATCTGGAAGTGGTTGTCTGACGGTTATCTGGGAGTGGTTGTCTGATGGTTATCTGGGAGTGGTTGTCTGACGGTTATCTGGGAGTGGTTGTCTGATGGTTATCTGGGAGTGGTTGTCTGACGGTTATCTGGGAGTGGTTGTCTGATGGTTATCTGGGAATGGTTGTCTGATGGTTATCTGGGAGTGGCTGTCTGATGGTTATCTGGGAGTGGTTGTCTGATGGTGGTTATCTGGGGGGTTATCCGATGGTGGCTATCTGGGGGGTTATCCAATGGTGGTTATCCAAAGGCAGGCAGTGGTGGCCGAGTTAAGGCAGGCAGTGGTGGCCGAGTGGTCATCACACTGTGCTTCAAGCCGAATGGAGGTTCTGGGTTCAATTCCCAGTACTGGCAGAGAGTTTTTTCCCTTGTGGTTTTCCTCTCTGACTTGTTGCACAGGTCTGTGCGGTGTCCATTACACTACGGGCACCATAGTTAGGAACCTGTGACCATCTATTTCTCACTTATGTGAGGTTTGGTTCACTTGTAATTCAAATGTAATGGCTAAAATTGGGAATCAATAAAGACGACCTTTTTTTTATCTGGGGGGTTATCTGATGGTGGTTATCTACGATGGTAATCATGGGTGTTTATCTAATAGTTGATATATTGGTTGTCGTGACCACTTTACTTTAAAGTAAAGTAAAGTAAAAGTGAAGTGGAAGTCAGATCAGGGCATGCAGGATTTGCCACTTTACTTTAAAGTAAAGTAAAGTGAAGTGAAGTGGAAGTCAGCCACGGGTATGGAGGATTGGCCACTTTAGTTTAAAGTTAAGTAAAGTTAAAGTGAAGTGGAAGTCGATAACGGGTATGCAGGATTGACCACTATAGCTTAAATTAAAGTAAAGTTAAAGTGAAGTGGAAGTTGGTAACGGGTTGGTCACTTTAAAGTAAAGTTAAAGTGAAGTGGTACCAGTTATGTATACCCGTGGCTGACTTCTAATTCACTTCCAGGGCACTTCGGAGTGAAGTAGCCAAAACAACCTGTAACACAGAGCTTAAGATAACTACCATGAGACATTTAATTTTGTTTAATTCACTAATTTCTAAAGACATTTCATTTAGCTTATTTTGAATTTACGCGTCATTCGAAAGTATTTTTACTATCACTTTCGCTGAGGAACATTTACTTTTACTTCGTTGCCGGCAGACATTTGCAGCTAATAATTCTCGCTGGCCCGGCGGGAGACGGGCTTATTCGCTAGTGAGCAATATTTCCAAAATGCACTGTAATTTCATAAAATAAATAAATTTCTATGCCTCATATTTTACACTAATTTTCTCCCCAAATTCTAGGACAAATTCATTGCCACCACTTATTTTTACGGCGTAATCTTGGAGGAGATATTTCATAAGTCGGTTTTTTACCTTTTTCCAAAAGTGTACGGATGGCAATCTGCCGCCGAGGTGTACACGGGACGAACCATGTACACCTTATTGGTCACAAATACGAGCAAACCAATTCCTTGGGAAAATATCAGCCCTACAATGCTCGCCGTATCAATTTGGCACTTCATCGGATGGCAAATGTTTGGCACCATCAAATCCCTGATTTACATTTTTGTCACGTTTTGCTCTCTGTATCTTTATGGAAGGATTAGACGAGGCTTGAAAATCATAAAATATACAGCAACACCAGAAAAATGGGTTCATCCAAGAATACAAAGTTACCCAAATTCAGAGCAGGTGAAATAATTTTGTTTTTCCATGAAGACTGATTTTTTCAACTTAAAATTATAATTTTTCAATGATTTGTGTATGCAGATTTGGTCTAATTTTACTCAAACTCGATTATCCCTTCAGCAAATTAACAATCTCACTAACCTCTGCGTGTTAGGAATTTACATGATTCTCGTCCCATTCCTTTCGTCTCGTTTCATAATGCGTTGGGACGTGAACTTTATTGAGTACAAGGTTCTCATGGTGTTGCAATTCGCGTGGGCAATGGTAGCCCTGGTAACAGCAGCAGAAGCCAGCAAAATGGTACCGAATTATATATATACAAGTAAATATTTAGTTAAAAAGCAAAAATAAAAATGAATGATTTAATACCAGGGCGCCAAGTTTCTCTCTGCAGTTAAAAATGCATCAGACATTTCGTCTCAAAAATTGTCAGCGACTTGTAATGGACGAGTAATTCAGCAATGTTCTGCATATTACGTGTATGAAAATGCAACCATGGCCATGACTGGGGGAAAGTTTTTTGAGATATCGTACGGTTTTATGGGAATGGTAAATACATGTACAAAATTATGAAAATTTATTTAGAAATTTTGTCTGGTTTTTATAATGTACATAATTATTTATAATAGACATTCAGCGTAATCTTGACTTATGGCTTGATCGTGCTAGGCTTCCTACACGACTCCCACTTCAAAAAGTCAACGTGTTAAATTATTCGGTTTCCGGAGAATAATAAAAATCGTTAGTATTTGTATATTTAGATGAATACAATGTACTTGCGTTCTAGGTTCTAACAATTTTAATGTGTCATATCTTTGTGCACATAATGATTGTGTGTGCATAAATAATATGCAATAATATTGGGGGACCGCCAGCAGGTTTCGCGAAACATGCCAAAATGTGCGATTTTTTGTAGCATTTCGCAAGATTTGCAGATGAGTTGTTAGCAATATGTACATAATTAATGTAACTAAAAATGATTTTTTAGGAAAACTTGGATGAATATTTTGCACTGCTTAGAATTTGGAGACCTCAGTCATAAAAATATTTTACGACAACGTTTGATCGAATTCAAAATTCTAATTTAGAATATTATGAATCGAGTTTCTGTACATAAGTTAAGTAATTTTTGTAATAATAAAAAAATAACATTTACAAAAACAAATACATGATCGGCATTTTGATCACTCAAACCTGCTTTTGAGAACTCTTCGCAATATTTTTCCTGACGCCGCTTTCGGAATCGCATCAATAAATTCAACCCCACCAACTAGTCTTTTATGCTCGGCGACTTTATCATCCAAAAATAAATTCACTGCGGACTCCGTCAACGTTTTAGACTTTGGGACAACATAAGCACGCGGAACTTCGCCCCATCGCTCATGTGGGATGCCAATCACGGCAACATCTGCAATATCCGGGTGTTGTCGTAGCACATTCTCCAGCTCTGCGGGTGCGACCTACACAGATGTCAACGATATCACGAAATTGTTCACTAGTGTATCAGTAAAATACTTTTTTGCTAAATTACATACCTGAAGACCCTTCACCTTGATGAGCTCCTTTAATCTGCAAATTAATGTATTTAATTCATTATCACATGCATAATTTTGCATAAAGAACTATTATTTACCCACCTGTCGACAATGTAAAGAAATCCCTCCTCGTCGTAGTACCCAATGTCCCCAGTTTTCATGTAACCTTCCGAGTCTATCGTGTCCAAGGTGGCCTTTTCATTTTGGTAGTAGCCTTTCATGACCTGTGGACCTCGGACGCATATTTCTCCCGTATGATGCGGACCCACAACTTTCCCCAACTCGTTGTCAACAATCTTGGAGGTCGTTCCCGGGACCAGAATTCCGCAGGAGCGGCTCGAGAGTTTTTCATTTCTGGGGGAATCAAGTGGCTGACGCTGGACAGCTCCGTCATCCCAAAACCTTGATCATACGAAAATGTGAAACTGAGAAAGTGGCAAAAAACACAAGTCACAAAACTGGAAATTAAAATAAGCAGAAGTCACCTTCCTGGAAAAACATGTACTGGTCAAATTTAGCGATGAAACGCTCGATGAGAGTTTTCCCAATGGGAGCAGCGCCTGCAATCGTGCCCCTCGTGTGTTTCAAGTCCTCCTCAGTGATCTCAGGGCACTGGCAGAGGAAGGATATGAGCGGGGTGACCAAGTGGAGGACGGTTGGACGATGATGCTTGATCCCTTTGATGAAAGATGCAGGCTCAAACTTTGGGAAACAGAGAGTGTGTCCTCCCTGGTACAAAGAGTTGGCCATGATGATTTGCAATCCGTACATGTGGAAGAATGGGAGTAGGGCAAACATTCGATCTTGAGGGGCACCTCCGTCAAAAAACTCGGAGAGGCGATATCCAGGATAAGTGATCTGCATCAGATTTGTGGTGAAAGTGCTGTGTGTCAACTCCACCCCCTTCGGCGTTCCCTACGAATTTTCACAGGTTTAGTTTCAAAATGTTGGAATATTCTAGTGCATAATAAAATTGTATATTAAAATTACAGTCGTTCCGCTGGAATAAGGTAGCACCGCGGTTTCTCTCAGAGTGTTGATGTCGGATCCGCGGAGGAATCTCGCGCTGGAAACGTCCGTGTTGAGCATGTCGAAGAAGGAGTGGTGACCTCCAGCCTCGCCCACCACGACCACGCTTTTGAGCGTGGGACTTTCCTCCATCACTTTCTCCACGGCTGGGAGAAACTGGGGAATGGTTACCAGCACTTTTCCCCCACAGTCGGCCACTTGCTTCGCTATTTCCGCTGCAATTAATATTACGAAGCTTGTCATGATTTTGTACTACTTATATATGTATATTTATAGGAAGATAAGCACTTACCCACTGTGTAAGTTGGATTTATTGGCGAAGCAACCAATCCTGCGTCCCAAATGCCTAAAAAAAGTATTGTTTCCTTTAATATATAAATATATACTGAGGGTATTCATTATTTCTTCGTATCCGTAGTATCGTAAAATAGTTTACGAAGATAAAACAAGGGGTCAGCTTTCGTAAAAATCGTAAGCGTAGTAACGCGATTTTCGATAACAAAATCTTACGACGCTTACAAAATCTCGTAAGCGTCGTAAGTTATTTTACGATACGAAGAATACTAAGGATACGAAGAAATAATGAATACCCTCACTATGTTTACACAATTATGTAATCTTTTCTCGCGTTATTTATGGCGTTTAGTGCTAATAAAAACTGCTTTTAGACATTCGCATTGCTGGTTATAAACGGTAAAATTTCATGAGGATAATATTTCAGCTAACGCTTTCTGTAACTACATATGTACAAACTCATAAATGTGTAAATATCTAAGTAAGTAAGTATATATGCAGACAGATATAAGCAAAATAGGACTGTCTGAACTACTATGAACAGTCCTATTTTGCATCCTAAACTTATCATGTAAAATCTGAGGACGAGGGTCCCGGTCACTGATAATGAGGGGACCAATATGTACCTAGGGCGACAATCGGATACTCGGGAATGTTGGGAAGCAAGATACATACTGCTTCTTTCCGCTGAAGTCCGTGTTGCTTTAAGGCTGCAGCGAAACTCTGACTTTTCCTGTGAACTTGACCGTGCGTATACATTCTTCCAGTCACGGCACATTCCTGGACAAATTATTTCTAAAATTCATACACAAGAAAAACAGACCTCAAATACTTAACATTAGGTCGACATACGAAAGCAGGCGCATTTTCCCACTTGTGGAGATTACTTCTCAAAAACTCTGGAATGGTGACATTGAAAGTTGGCTCAATGTCTAAAACGGAGGATATAACGTACGGATTGGTGTCACTTGGTTTTATCCACTTGTTCTTCTTGAAGGCGACGGACGATGTGGCCGAAGTAACGTTGGAGGTTCCATAGCTCCTTCTCGATAAACTTTGCAGATCCGTTTTACACTTTAATGCTGAACGGACAATGTTTCTCGGATTCTTCGTCCTCAAGATTATCAGAACCATTTTAATACCGAAGAATGAATACGAGAACAAAACTATCAGGGAATAATACTGACTGACAACTGAGCCGATGAAAACAAACCTGCATGTACTGGTTATCAGTCAATGATATTATTCGTGTGATTGATAACGCATACTTATTTCTGTTTGCTTACAGGTTGTAGTGAATTATTCAAGCAGCTCAGCATGTGTAGGTTATGATGAGACTTGTATCCATCCATCTCAACACGTACATATACGCATGTATGCAGATAAACAAAAAATATATTTATTACGCTATAAAGCCCTGTTGGACTTTGACACTATGTTTGTTGCGTTCTTAATTGAGCTATGAAGATTGGGACGAGCATACTCATGGTCACTCATTGTCAGTATCCTACAAGTGTGTACTCCTGTATTACTTAACCACGCGAAATAATAATTATTATATACACGCGACATACTTCATTGAAGGAATTTTAGTAACCATTTCTAGTATTAAATAATACGATTTATCTTCTCATTTGGCCTAACAATATTTATAATTGCGTTTCGTAACAGTCTGTAGTATGGAAGAGACGCAGAAATGATTTTTGCCTAATGTTTCCCACTCAAGTGTGTAAATAGTTGGTGAGGAGAACCTTACGCAAAATTATCCCTGATGGAGCTCCATAGACGAGAGACATATGTACATGTATCTACATGTATACATATGTACATACACATACACATGTATGTATATTTATATCTCTAGTCTATGATGCTCGAGGAACGGCATCGATGAACTCCACCCCGCCAGCCAATGGCGATTTTCGTGTCGAGAAAATCGTCTTCAGCGAGATTGCCGTTTTTCTTAGGTGAGGCGAAAGCCGGAAAGCAGGGCCCCACGCAAAAAGCAAAAATGAATATGCTCGGTTGGGGCCCGGCGTAGCCAAGTATGTTTTTCCACTGACCACCGAAAAACTCTCGCAAATCTCACGCATAAACGATGCTTCTGAGAGAAAAATGACAAGATACAAAATAGTTAGAGAATTCCGTAACTTGATTTCATAAAAATTCAAAATTTCGAATTTTTTTGTTTTTCCATTCAAAATATACCTCTGAAGATTTCAGATGGCTGAAGTCAACGTAAAATTTAAACTTTCTTATTGGACATAGCTGTTTTTTATATTGCTCACATTGAGATCTAACTTTTTTATATGACACTTTTTTTATGTAAAACGCTAATTGAGTGAGAACAACAGTAATTTGCATTTTATATAATTATTGAATTATTAATAAACTAGTCTCCAAAGCCCGCAAGGCGGGCTCCAGCATAGAAAGGATTTTAATTCATAAGTCAGAAACGTTTGCTGAATGGCATCCATACAAAACATAGCGCAACAGAACGTGGACCTTTAGCATGTACGATTTGCAGAAATTCCTAGGCCTGAACTAAATTTGTCCAATTAGAGAACTTATGAGTAATAGCGTGGCGGTGGAAGCAGGGGGACAGAGGGACGTTGTCCCCTCAGAAATTTAGCAAAATCGTATCTTGCCCTCCTTCTCCTATCCCAGAATGTTAATGTCCCCACATGTCCACCCAACTTCCGCCGGCATTGAGTAACATAACAATAACCCGGAACAAATCGTTACGTATGCAGTAAGAGATAAATTGACGACTCTAAGGGGTGTGTCGAGGTTACCTGATGACTTTAGCGTGTGTCCCAAGTTATGTGAGGACTATAAGTCATTTGCCTACGTCACAGGTTTAGCAACATTTAAATGCACGTAGGTCACACGTCATGTGATAAATCTATGTAAATGTATTGAGGCCAGAAGTCACCTATGGGTATGGTTAGGTCATAGGTCAGGTGATTCCTCTAAATAATGTGTCCAGGTTATAGGTTCATAAGCCAACCATAGCGAGTTTGCCCAGGTTCGGGGTCAACTGTGACCATAGGGGGTGTGCACATGTTACGGCTACTGCCGCCTATAGGGAGTGTGCACACCCTATGGGTCAACTGCCGCCTATAGGGAGTGTGCACACGTTACGGTTCTACTGCCGACTATAGGGAGTGTGCACATACGGGTCCACTACTGACTATAGGGAGTGTGCACACGTTATGGGCCAACTGCCGACTATAGGGAGTATGCACACGTTACGGGTCTACTTCCAACTATAGGGAGTGTGCACACGTTATGGGCCAACTACTGACTATAGACAGTGTGCACACGTTCCGGGTCCACTACTGACTATAGGCAGTGTGCACACGTTACGGGTCCACTGGTTACTATAGGGAGTGTGCACACGTAACGGGTCAAGTGCCGAGTATAGGAGCAGTTCCCAGGTCACGGACTAAATCTTGGGGGTATACAAATTTTACTATTAGTGACGTATCCGGTTGTTCTGGGGCCATTCAACGTTTTTGAAACGTTTGGACACGGTCGGCGAAAAGCGCCCTCTAGCGGAGAAAATACAACCTAGTACCTAAAAATGTTGATAGGTGGCGCTCGGTGATAATTTTTAGAACTATGGGGGTAAGGTGATACAGCCATCGAGTGAAGCGCTTGGTTCAAAAGGTAACACACACACACACACACAACTTTGCACAATTCTTGTTATGATATGAGCCCTAAAGACGTTGTAGTAACTGCATCTACATGATGGTCTAGGGGTTATGTCTTAGGGCTTGAAATGAAGAGGTCGTGGGTTCGATTCTTCCAAGCAAATAATTTTTGCAGAATTTTATTTGATTCCTCATTCATTCTTTTGAACGTACGGCAAGAAACCTGATGAGAATTTGACATGTTACACCCCCTCGCTACGACGGTGGGTGTGGCAATGAAAATATTCTGATTAATTTTTTCTCTCGTAATATGTTGTTCCTATGGGTGATCATGACAGATAATTCATTCAGAAGTGATTTATCTCAAGGGGCGTAGCCAGGGGGTGTGGCTAAATATAAAATGCTTACACTAACCTAATTTTATAATCAGAACCAAGAATTGTGCAGTGGTGTGTGTTACCAGTTGAACTTGGCGCTTGGTTACACACGTGTCTCACATTGTCCAAGCTAATGTCACCTAGCGGCAGGTGGGGCACTATGTTACATTTTTCGTTTCTAGAGGGCGTTTTTCGCTAAAGTGTCAAAACGTTGACGAACACGAGAACAACGAAACACACCCTTTAGATCTGCCGAGACTTGATCAAATGAACGGGCACACCCCCTAAACTTGACATTTGACCTGTGACCTGGGCACACCCACCAGACTTGACGTTTGACCTGTGACCTTGGCACACCCACTAGATTTGACATTTGACCTGTGACCTTGGCACACCCACTAGATTTGACATTTGACCTGTGACCTTGGCACACCCACTAGATTTGACATTTGACCTGTGACCTTGGCACACCCACTAGATTTGACATTTGACCTTGGCACACACCCCTGGACTTGACATTTGACCTGCGACCTGCGTACAACCCATAAAGTTGACACTTTACAGAGTTGACACTTGACCTGTGGCTGTGGCTTGGGCACACCCATCATACTTGACCTGGGACCTCGGCACACCCGCTGCACTTGACCTGTGACCTCGGCACACCCACTACACTTGACCTGTGACCTCGGCACACCCGCTACACTTGACCTGTGACCTCGGCACACCCGCTACACTTGACCTGTGACCTGGGCACACCCACTAGATTTGACATTTCACCTGTGACCTGGGCACACCCACTAGATTTGACATTTCACCTGTGACCTGGGCACACCCACTAGATTTGACATTTCACCTGTGACCTGGGCACATCCACTATACTTGACCTGTGACCTGGGCACATCCACTATACTTGACCTGTGACCTCTGTGCCCCACGGTAAAGTTGACACTTGACCTGTGCCTTACTAATTTTAATTACCTACCAGCGCCACCTATCGGATGTTGGCTGTTTTTCAGCGCTAGAGGGCGGGCTTTTGGTTTAAGTGCCTAAACGTACTTAAAACGTTAGAACAATGCCATACTTCAGAGTTGTGACCTAACGTTTTTCGTGGTAACCCCCTTTAGAGTCGTGACCTAACGTTTTTCGAGGTCACCCCCTTTAGAGTCGTGACCTAACATTTTTCGTGGACACCCCCTTTAGAATCGCAACTGAACGTTTTTCATGGTCACCCCCTTTAGAGTTACGACCTAACGTTTTTCGTGGTCACCCCTTTTAGAGTCGTGACCTAACGTTTTTCGTGGTCACCCCCTTTAGAGTCGTGACCTAACGTTTTTCGAGGTCATCCCCCTTTAGAGTCGTGACTGAACGTTTTTCGTGGCCACCCCCTTTAGAGTCGTGACCTAATGTTTTTTGTGGTCAACCCATAGAGTCGTGACCGGACGTTTTTCGTGGTTACCCCCTTTAGAGTCGTAACTAAACGAATTTCGTGGTCACACCGATAGAGTCGTGACTTAACGTTTTTCGTGGCCACCCCCTTTAGAGTCGTGACTGAACGTTTTTCGTGGCCACCCCCTTTAGAGTCGTGGGTGAACGTTTTTCGTGGCCACCCCCTTTAGAGTCGTGACTGAACGTTTTTCGTGGCCACCCCCTTTAGAGTCGTGACTGAACGTTTTTCGTGGCCACCCCCTTTAGAGTCGTGACCTAACGTTTTTCGAGGTCATCCCCCTTTAGAGTCGTGACTGAACGTTTTTCGTGGCCACCCCCTTTAGAGTCGTGACCTAATGTTTTTTGTGGTCAACCCATAGAGTCGTGACCGGACGTTTTTCGTGGTTACCCCCTTTAGAGTCGTAACTAAACGAATTTCGTGGTCACACCGATAGAGTCGTGACTTAACGTTTTTCGTGGCCACCCCCTTTAGAGTCGTGACTGAACGTTTTTCGTGGCCACCCCCTTTAGAGTCGTGGGTGAACGTTTTTCGTGGCCACCCCCTTTAGAGTCGTGACTGAACGTTTTTCGTGGCCACCCCCTTTAGAGTCGTGACTGAACGTTTTTCGTGGCCACCCCCTTTAGAGTCGTGACTGAACGTTTTTCGTGGCCACCCCCTTTAGAGTCGTGACTGAACGTTTTTCGTGGCCACCCCCTTTAGAGTCGTGACTGAACGTTTTTCGTGGCCACCCCCATTTAGAGTCGTGACTGAACGTTTTTCGTGGGCACCCCCTTTAGAGTCGTGACTAAACGTTTTTCGTGGTCACACTCAATTACAGTCGTGGCAACGTTTTTCGTGGACACACCCAATTAGAATCGTGACAACGTTTTTCGTGGTCACGCCCATAGGGTCGTGAGTGAACGTTTCTCGTAATAAAATAATAAAATCGTTTTGCTTAGAGCCCGCACTGCGGGCTTAAGAGACTAGTGTCTCAATATTTTTGAAATCCGCTTCGGGTAATATGAGCTATAAGCCAATATAAATTAGGCGCCACACCCACTTTCCTCCAAGGGTGTGCGGATTTGGGGCAAAATGAGAAAACATGTCTGACAGATCGATTTTAAAAGAATTTTAACTCTGAACACGAATATGATACCCGTGTTGACCTGCGACCCTTCAGTGACGTTTTGCACCAGGTTAAAAGTCACATTTCTTTCACCGTTGGTTGAATGCATTGGATCGGTTTATTAGATCCTTATGTCCGTCATCTGCCTGTAGGTCTGACAAATCATGAACGCAAAGGCATACAGACTTGAAACTTTCAACCTACGTTTCTTAAGTCAAGGGGCAGACATGATTAGAAATTCGGGTAACAAGGTCACAGTGCCAGGCCACAGATGATAATTTTCTTAAATTAGAACATCCTGTTCTCAGATCGATAGTGTTTCCAAAGAGCTATCCAAAGGAACAAGTTATTTTGACCTGCGACATCCAAGTGACCGTGTGAACCAGATAAAATGTCTTTTCTTCCGTAAATATGTTCGATGTGCCAATTTTAACAATTTTTTAACGTAGAACATGAATATGATACCTGTTTCGACTTGCGACACCTCAATGACCATATGTGAGGCCACAAATAAACACGTCAGACGTGTCAATTTTAACAGATTCTAGACGGGCAAAAACATGGAGGTTGAATATTGTGTACAAAAAATACAAAATATGTAGCAATGAAAAGCAGCAATTTGAAGTAGTCCCCGACACCTTCTAATGAAAATGAAGAAGTAAAATTGCGAGAACTTTCAACCATGGATGGGGCGTTGCCCATACCGATCATCCAATTTCTTTGAATTAAGTACTCATCCTTAGTATAGGTATTGATTATGTTGTTAATAGCACACAATATTATACATATTTATAATGGTATGGGTCAAGCGCTTGCTGCAGAATTTTAATGGGGAGCTGAAATTTGGCGTGCTGGCATAGATCCAGCAGACTTTACAATTTGACAACTACCGGGATCGCGTTAAATCATGAAATTGAGCTTAAATTTGATATTGGGATTGCAAGAACCTCTTAATTGAATTAATAATCGTAATTGAAATTTGAAAATATTTCACCGAAACGACCCACACAATTTAAAAAAATAAATTCAATTCGGTACACATATTCGCTTAAAATATTAACATTTGAAAACTACAAAATAAATTATTTTTACAAAAAAAACACTCTTAGGTGAGGCAATACATACATCGCGAATAAAAAAATAAAACAAGAAATGTATCATTTCTTTAGCCTGTCAAGGATTGGATAGCATATTGGTAATTTATATGTACAATAGTAATTGTGGTGTTTGTATTATGCACGTTTCCTCACCGTGGGCCCATCTTCCAAATTTAGACAAATTTCAGGTTACTTTTAGTTTTCCGTGAAATCACGGGAATACGGTTATTACATATTAGTGACATTACATACTTAAGTTAAGAAATGGCAAGCTTGATATATTAGGATGGATCATTAAGACCAACTTAGTCGTGGTAGCACAGAGAGTGAATGCATAAAATGAGTTCCTATACAAGATAAATCATTTTAATGTTTTTAGAAATCTTCTCTAATTTCATTGAAATTACACGCAATTAAATTCGTAAAATAATTTACACTTCTGGATGCATTTGTATCGAGTTAGTGCTTTCATTTAATAAATAATTTTATCATGATGGGCCCACGGTGAGGAAACGTGCATAATACAAACACCACAATTACTATTGTACATATAAATTACCAATATGCTATCCAATGCTTGACAGGCTAAAGAAATGATACATTTCTTGTTTTATTTTTTTATTCGCGATGTATGTATTGCCTCACCTAAGAGTGTTTTTTTTGTAAAAATAATTTATTGTCATTGTCATCTTTGTTTTAATTTTACTTGTATATTACAATTAGTCTCAATACAAGTGATTCATACTCGTGTATATCTAGCTAATCTCATCATGGTTGTAAATACATATTTAGATATTATTGCGTAATTAAGTTTACACATGTGCTGCATAATTATGAGCATTACATTAACTAATGTTAAATTTTAAAAAAACTTTATAACCGGATTATATAGACTTACTTATCTGCAAGCATATTCTGTAGTGAAAATATGGATGAATCAACTTAACCTACGTATTTACATATGCATGTATATATGCATTTGAGTCATTAGCAGCACAATTATTTTTTCAGTAAGTACAAAAACAATGACACCCTTATCGTATTACAATTTATGTAATTATACAAGGTTTCAACTCGTCGGGTACCTTTTCAAAAATCAAATTACGAATCCAACAAGACATGAATTCTTTCCCGATGGTCAACGAATTATCTGCGTCGCACCCGTAATAAGTGATCGTTCCTTTCACGTATGGATAAATGGTGACTTTCTCTCTCCTTGTTCTTGGAGGATTAACCTCCCTCCGATAGTAAACTCGAACACCTATTCAAATACATAAATATATGCAAATTATTTATGTACATATTTACATACTTATTTAGGAAGGGCGACTGGCGAAGCTTTACTCACTTTCACCTGGGAAAAGCAATCTTCCAATGCCTCCCTTATTTTTTGTGCATGTCACATAAAAGTCATAGCAGGTGGCAGGCTGAAGTAGTAACGGTACTTTAAATTGGATTTCCTCCTCTGCGTTTGTACATCCCAACATCCGTGCCACAGCTTTTTTAACTATTCTTCCATCAGTATCCTTTATGAGGACTTTAAAAATGATCGATCCGTCATAATTCCCATGGATGGGCAAGATTTCGTTCAGACCGTTACAGAAAATGTCGATGCCTCGTAAGTAAACTGGTGTTTTGACGACTAATCTGAAATTAGAGGGTTAATTTATTATTTCTTAATAGTAGAAAATTCAAATTTATCTCAAGTTTGATTGTCCACCTAATATCTGGGGGTATGGTTTTGACTACGTCTTTTGACGTGGAGTGTCCTTTAATGGGACAGTCCATGGCACGGTTTGCAGTTTGTAAAGCGAAGCGATTGATTCGTTCACCTTTGTGGCGAGGTATTGAATCACTGTCTGAGAAATGTGTGCTACAAAAAGATATGGAAAAATTGTCATTTAAATAATTTATGAATGTTTGCATAATAAGAAGCAACTGATTAAACCACTTTTGACTCGAGAAATGCTTAAATATTTTGACAATTTCGTCCTTTGATAGAACTCCAGTGGGCACAACTTCATCTGCAAATTGTGACATTTCCATGGCCCCGAATCGGATAAGTTTCAGCAATTCGGGCATAGCTTCAGATTTCGGGAATGACTTCAAGTTTGTGGGATCTTGGGGTTGATTTCCCCATCTGTAAATTTAATCCGGTGTATTTCCTACTTTTTCGTACGCATAAATTTTTAATATACATATTTCTATATACTTTAGCAGGGCTTTGAATAGGTCCACCTCCCTTATGTTTAGCACTTGTTGGGTCAATACAGTCCTCACAGTTTCCGCGTCCCATTCTAAATATTGATCGTTCTCAGCTGCTGACCTTATATTCCTTTGAAACAATATGATGAATTGTGTAGATATGTAATTTGACTTAAGTTATGCATAATTTTGAAATTGGATTATACGTACCTCAGGAAAAACTGAAGCGCTTTATCACTCAAACATTCATCAATGAATCTTGAAGTCGTGTAAATTTGAAGGCAGAAATCGGAATCTTTTGCGTCGCATTTCTCAACAAATTTAGAAAGTCGAGATGAAACTTTCTCCAAAAGTGGTGGGATATCATAAATGTGAGCAAGCTTCAAAATCTCCAAATTTTCAGAGAGAAACGTTTCACCCAACTCGTCCGTGTACAGAAACTGAAATCGTAAAAGTTTAGTTTAGCTATATAGCATGCACACCTGCAATTAAGGCATTTTGCCTACTTTTAAAAATAACTGAAACTCCTCTGCCCTATGATCTGGAAAGGTGAGCGTCGTTTTGCCCCCGGATGCAGTTTCTTGATCATCATTCCATCGTTTTTCCACCATTGCCTGCAAAACGGGTGAGCAACTGCCCAGCACGACTTTATGAACGTTAAAGCAGGTTTTGTCCTTCCCGACTATAATTGCCACGTCTGAATATAAGCCCGACTTCAACATTCGATCCATCCTACTTGACAATGAGTGATACTTCATGTCTCGTTTAACTGCCATTTCTTCGACTTCATTCTTCCAATACTCTAAATTTTAGGTGTCACATGATTACAATTTTTGAATCGGAGGTAATGAAACTAAAAAATTAAGTAATTTCTCACCCATATTTAATAAAATATCGATTAATTATGAACTTAAGTGTGTCAAGTTTAAAATGTGGCTGGAAGCTGACTAAATACAATGGATGGAAGAAGTTGATAAATTCATGTGTCTCGATTCTCGAATCTTGTGACTCTTGCTACTTATTAGTTTTTGATCCTGCTAACAGTAGATATTTAGCCTTAAGTAAACATATCGTCAGAATTTAGTTCTACATACTTATGTACTTACATGCACTGGACTTTGTTTTGTTTAAAGTATGAACATCTATCTATACGATGACATCCGATACACATCCAAGATCTAGGTTACATTATGTAACTTACATATATATTTGTAACAAGGTTACGATTAGTAAGAAAATTCCAAGAATTCTTCCATAAAAAAATTTGTAGAAAGTAAATATACATTTAACAGTTATATGTATATTTAACAAAGAGTTGAGTCATCCTTTTTTGGCATATTTACATTATAAATATGTTTGTATGCATGTATACATATGTATGTGAACGAATATATGTGATCCACTACATACGTTATATACCGATGCGAAATCCGTTTCTTAACAATAAAATCGAAATTGTAATTCAAATCGTTACTTGGGTTACTTTCTCGTCATAACAACAGATATGATGCACTTCAGCCAAACCTTACATGTATAAGTATATATATTTATATACATAACTACATAGATACGGTCTTAACAAACAACAATATGCATACATGCGCATGCACAGATATCAATTTGTATATAAGTGATTTGTAGATAACCAGGGTCACAAAATATAGACCCAGTCTATTCAACAGTTAAATTTCAACATCCGGGAAAAGGAAAATTACATTAATAGCTTGGAATTAGACAAAATTATATCGTCTTTAGTATTCATACCCACGCCACGTGCAATCCGAGTAAATAATGACAACAATTTAGCTCTTTAATGCCCACCAAAAAATTGGCATAAACGTAGAAAATAAATGTATTAAACAAATAAAAAATATCTTTAATACCCTATAACTTTCTACATATCTGGAAAATATTTCGACAAACAAAGGTCAACCGTACTGGGTGCCAAAGCTGTTAGATCTGGATTTTATTGTCGTCAGAAGTTATTACCACATTTAACAAACCCATTCAAACCTTTGCATGAATTCACCTAACTTTCACTTTACATAGTACAAAAAAATATATCCATATTATTCTATTCACCAGCTTCTTAAAATGTTCACTAAGCTGTACTACCGACTTTTTGTCCACCAAATCCGAATGTCACAAATTTTCGGAGGAGCTCCTTACCTATGGAACAAAAAGTGTAGCAAAATATATGTCACAAACTACAGTAAAATCACATACTACATGTATGGTTTTGCCATTTATACTTTCACCCTCTACATTGGTATACGCGTCCTGTACATCAAATTGTATGGGACCATGGCGCATATCGGGTTAGAATTAATTTACATTTTTTTTCTTAAACTTTTCTTGAAATTAAGTCAAATTACAAATAAGGCATAGAATTATAATGGTTTAATAGGTGATGTTTATTTCATGATTGTTTTTACAGATTTGCAATGGCCCTCTTCATGTGCGGCTTGTTCGACTGTTCAGCCTGGGCTGTATTCATGCCACACCCGAAAACCTTTGCCAATTCGGCGAATGCCTTTCTCAAATTTGGGGACAACTTTACGAGTAAGTAAACTTTGTCATTTCTAATTTTTAGAATTATTGCATTTAGCACCTATTTATGCATTTCTGTCACGCTTTTAACCGAGCCTAAAGCATGTCAACAATTCAAAACGAAGACAAACTGATTTCCTAAAAAATATATTGCAATTCACCTCATTTCTAGGCGAATGGAAACCTACCTTCAAGCCTGAGAAGGATCGACTCACTTACTATTTTGACCGTTTCATTCTTTCACTCGCCATTGCCTGCGTGACATGCCCAGTTTGGATAGGCTTGCACTTTTTCATCTTTCCTACTAATCCCGCCTACCCATTTTCATTTCTGCCCCCATCGTACCTCAATACGTGGACGTACCTTGGTTTCGGGGCTTACTACACGTTAGCCCTTTACGGCGTTTGGACAAGTCTCATGACCGTGGGTTTGATGGGAGCCACGTACGCGTTCATGATATTCAGCGTTCTGAGAAAGGATCTCATGGGGCGAACAAAATTGGGATATTCCACGCTAAACACACTCCGAACCAGAGAAAATCTTCCGCGGGTGTACAGGGAGCTGGAAATCCTGCACAAATACCTAATTTTCTCTTTTGACCACATAATAATCCCGACTCAGAGCATCGCCACGCAGATCTGCCTCTCCTGTAACTTCATTCTCATCACGGGTTGGGCAGACCTCGACCTGGCAACGGCTTCAATCCTTATTTTGTGGAGTTGTGGTGGTCTCTCAGTGTGGACGGCGTTTCTGTTAACGGGATCCTACATTTTTAATCAGGGAAAGAAAATCACTGCTTCGTGGAAGTATCTCGACTGGACGAGGGGGGATAAAAAGTACATGGGAAAGTTTAAGAAGGGGTGTCGCCCTTTGGCAATCAGGGTCGGGGGCTACTTTTGTGTGAGGAAGTTAAGCGTGCTCAAATTTTGGCAGGGCATTGTGAGAGGAACTTTTAGAGCGTTGTTAGCATTGAAAAAGAACTGATGAGTTTTTTAAAGTTTGGAATTTTTCAGTAGGGGGTAAAATGAGATGAATATGTTTCCATACGAATTATCATGCTCAACACAACCTGGTAACAAAATTGTATCCCGAGATTTGTAAAGCTCTATAGCCCTAAAATTACACTAGGTGGCAATTTTGTTAAAAATTTTGAGTTAAACAAAAATCCAATAAATTCTCTTCTTGTCCCCAAAATAACGTTCCTTTTTGTAAATTAATCATAAACTACACGCTCCTTATCATGCTAATTTCTAAAAATTTTATTTGACTTCATTTTCGACCACATTAAACAAGAATAAATGTATGTGTCCGATTACGACGAAGTTGCATTCTGCTTTGGTAAACTGGCCGGCGCTTCCGGTAAGCCTCTGGATAATCCTAAGCCCACAACTTCACCCACAACTCCTTCCTCTTCACTCTTGACGTTAACATTCAATGGTTTTCTATTACGGTCGCAAACCTGCAGAAAATAAAATCCATAAAAATTGCTCCAATTACAACCAATTATGTAAATATCTGGGAAGTATGTATCCTCCTCACTTTTATATACTTGTTGTACACACAGTACAGCGTCGTTCTCATCGCTGTACAACGACCATTGAGATTAAATGTCTCTAAAATGAACGATTTTATAAAGCATTCAATTATTTATTAATTAAGTTAATTACTTATAATGAAAGTCTTATTTTCGCTACTCACGTTCTCCAAAGCAATCCACATAAATCTGGATAATTTTTTGCTTGAGCTCCTCACCAACTTTAAAATACTGATTGTAAATTGATGTAATTTTTTGCTGCTGAAACTTCCCATTTTTTTCGTCAATGACTCCCATTTGTTGAAATCCGCATGCTGTGCGACACTAAATTGGACATAAATAATAATAGAATTATGAAAATTGCATTCAATAAAGTTTGTGCCACCGAGAACGAAGCACAAATTTAGGATTTAATCAATTATGTATGCAAATATTATTGAATTGTAAATAAATGTATGTATTTAAATCTTACTGCTTGTGCCGATTCTGTGAGGCAAGGAGCTAATGTGGTACAACATAAAGATATTAATGTAATTAATGTTTAATTTACTAATATAAAGATATATTTGTAACCAACCTAACGCGGTGACTAGCTGCTCATAATAAGGGCTCATTCCGGCGTCTTTGCCATTGCATTTTGTCATAACTTTTAAATTTTCTACTTTAAATCCTGTCACGAATGTGACAAAAATCTGGAATTAAATAAAATTAATTATTGTATATTTTTAGAAATAATTCATTTCCAGAATTTCCCTTAAATAATTTTAACTAGAACTTACCAGGAAGAATATAATCATAAGTGAACAACTAGATTTCTGCATCATGCAATACGTAATTTCCGCTAGTATCCCTAATTACCTTACGCACAGGGGAAGAAAATCTGAATGAGGATCTTTTGCTCTTAAAATTAAGAATTACTCCGTTAGATGAAGTCGTCATAAAATGAGGCACGTGCGAACAAAGGACAGGAGACCAATTGTTAGAGATTGGACACGTGTCATCCTATTATAATTACGTTAATAGTCATTAGATGAGGCACGTGTCTTGGGAAATATGACGCGACAAATTTTTACGAGCAATGTGGCAATAAACTGTCTCAACGAAATGTAGCAATAGAGTGAAACCAAAAATTCCCCCAAAAAATAGGTGATTATACCCCCTGATCTAGAGGGGGTGGTCCAATGGGCCCAAAAAGTTGATAGAATCCTCCCCCTGGGTTCATACGTATGCTGTCGTAAACTTATCGCGATTGTCTCGAACTTTTCTCCCGTAATCCTACTGGCAGACAGACAGACAAAGTCTTCGCCTAACAGGGTTTTACTCTATAATAATTATCAGACCCAAAAATATTTCAATAGAAACCTTGAAAGTGTTTATTTATTTACATTCTTCTTAATTAGTCCACCGCAAGTTGCATATTTCATAAACTCGGATTGCATCGTTCAAATTTTGATGAGATTTATGTACATAAGAAACCTTAAAGCATGCGAACTTTGAAATATGCATTTCAAAATACGAAAACGCCTTATCTGTTTTTGTGTGTACCAATCAGTACATCGTCATATTTATATAGGGTTTTATGGCGTTTTTGCGTCCTTATTTGAACCGATTCATAATTTTATTGAAATAATTTTATGACTTAACAGTTCAGTCTGAACTGTATGAATTAAGAATTATCACGTCCAGTCGAGTGAGAGGCCTCTCTCCTTGAAATTTAGTGAATTCCTCCTTTAAATAAATATCTGTAGGTGCTACAAATAACTTTTCATTAGTTTGCTATATGCAAATGCATCTGATGGTAGATTTTGTCGTTTACGTCACATCTTTACACATAATTATTCAATTTTAACATATTTCGTCACCCGTAGTATTATAATGATAATTCCATCGTTATCAAACTATAAGCCGATGTACATAATAGTTTTCTGGGTATTTATTTATGATGTAGACACGTAGTTCAGCCGACATTATATTGTGTATTCGGATGACAACAATATCATTCACCGATTTGATAATAAAGTGATGCAATATTGCAGTACATATTTTGCCACAAATACTAATTAAGACATTAGTTACGTCCTTCACTTCTTGCATTTCATAGAAATTAGAATCTGCGTTTATTATTTTTCGCATGAATTTTCAACCAGCGTCGTAAGGAACTCTCTCCATAATTTAATGGCGACATTTTTTTGCTAATTTATCTTTAGAACATAAGTACTAATCTGATAAATCCTCCTTTTGCCACATATGTACCCACCCGTTTGTAAACTGACGTATTTACCAATACATGTCTTCCAGTACACATTCCTTCTCGTATTTATGTTACAATTTGAACAAGCTGAATATTTTGCTTAAATTAATTTTCTGAAATTTAAAACAAAATAAATCTATCTACTACGACGAAGTTGCATTTGGCTTTGGTTACCTGGCCGGCGCTTCCGGTAAGCTTCAAGATAATCCCATGCCCACAATTTCTCCTACTATTCCTTCCTCTTCGCTCTTGACGTTAACGTCCAATGGTTTTCTACCCCGGTCACAAACCTACAGAAAATAAAGTCCATAAAAATTAGCCATACTAAAATCTATTATATGACAAATATGCATCCTCCTTACTTTTATATAATTATTGTACACACAATACAACGTCGTCCTCATCGTTGTACAACGACCATTGATAGGGTACCACTCTAAAATAATTTAATAAAACACTTAATTATCATCAATTAATATGAAAGTCTTATTTTTCGACTCACTGTTTCCAAAGCAATCTATATAAATCTGAATAAGCTTATGCTTCAGCTCCTCGCCAAGTTTGAAGTACCGATTGTGAATTGATGTAATTACTTGCGGCTGGAATTTTGCATGCTCCTCGTCGAGGAATCCCATTTGTGTAAATCCACATGTTATACGACACTAAATAGGACAGAAACATAATATAATTATGAAAATTGTAGTCAATACAGTTTGTGCCACCGAGGACAAATTTAGGCACCAGAAATCATTAAATCAATCATGTATGTATTCATTTGCAAAAATATATGTATTTAAATCTTACTGCTTGTGCCGATTCTGTGATGCAAGGAGCTAATGCGGTAAAACATAAATATTTTAATGTAATTATGTTTAATTTAATAATATAAATATATATTTGTAATAAACCTAGAGAGGTTATTAGCTGCTCATAATAAGGGCTCATTCCGGCGTCTTTGCCATTGCATCTTGTCAAAACTTTTAAATTTTCCACTTTAAATCCCGTCACGAAAGTGACAAATATCTGAAATTAAATAAAATTAATTGCACAAGTATTTAATCGCTTTTAAAAAAATAATTCACTTCCAGAATTTCCGTTATAATTTACATTAGATCTTACCACGAATAATATGATGACAAATGAGCATATTGACCTCTGCATCATGAAAGAGGAAATGTCCGCTCGTTTCGCTTACTCAGGGGTCTAAAATGTGAGGATCTTTCTTCCTAAAATTTAAGAATTATATCCGCGTGTAGATTAAGTAGCCGTAAAATGAGCCATTTGTGGCAAATAAAGGACAAGGACGCATTGTTACAAACTGTACGTAATTGCACGTGTCAACCTATTTAAATTAGTCTGGGTCTTTGGGTACATACGTAAACCTCATTTTTATGAACAATACGACAATGAGTACCAGACATCATTAAGCACTTTAAATTTTATTTATTTTTTTGTTGAATAATTTGTTTTCACTGCAAATTTTTTCATGATCGTAGTGCATTCTGCATTATATAATGGACATGTTCGGAAAAATACGAAATATTTTGGTGACGCAATAATGGAAAGTACATATAAAATAATTTGGGCAAATATTAATGGCGACCCTAAATGACTGAATGGGATACCCTAAATACTATACCCTACGTTGGACTGAATGGCCTTCCCTAACTTGCCAATAACCATCCTTATTTATCTTAGACTTTACCCTAAGGTCCCAATATATTTTAATAACTAAATTATACATACCAAATAAAAATAAATGAAATTTACTCAAAATTGAGTAAAAAGAGGATGACACTACCAAAAGGTGAAAATTAGACAACGTTGTACACAATTTACCCACCCGTTGGACAAATTTTACGTACATAACTTTGGACAAAATTTTGGAATTCCAATTTTTAGAACGGTTGGATAAATTTTACCTTTTGGTTGTGTCATCTACTTTTTAACCTTGAGTAAATTTTACTTATTTTTATTTAGAGTGTATGTAATCCGTACACACAAGGACAAGAATCAAATTAGTTGATTTCTCTATATAATTGTCAAATAATCAAAAATCAGCATATTTGTGAGCATTTAATCAGACTAGGATACATCTGCAGAGATTTCAATATCTCTGATACTTGCAAAAACGTACCTCTTCGGTTAAAACTTGAACCAGGGAGCCCAAAGAAATGCAAGTGAGCCCTTGTTGTTGACGAATTTTTGGTTAATTTAAGAATCAATTCTGAGAAATGGTCTTAATAAATTATAAGCGAGATGTAATTACCTAAAAAATGATGTAAATCAACTATCAGAACCTTAGGGTCGAGATTCAGTTATTAGCTATTATTTTCGACCTGTTAGGGAAGGCCATTCAGTCCACCGTAGGGCTTAGTTCTTAGGGTATCCCATTCAGTCATTTAGGGTCGCCATTAAATGCGACCCAAATAATTTTATCATCGTATTATAGAATTAAATTTGCGCCATATTTAAGGAACTAAAATCCACATCATCTCGTAATTTTGCTCCACATGGTGAATTACTTAGGCCTGTCATGTGATTTAGGGTTTGCGGATGTGAGTTTTATTAAGGTGTCATTATGTATGTATGCACGTCACATCACAAGAACAATGATTAATTCATATACAATTAATAATCTCATTTTACGAGTAAACCTTCGTCCATGCTTGACGTCATCATCATGTCATAGTCCCAATCCTATTTTTGATTGGTTTCTCGAAATTATCACTATATGACAATTAAAAGTTTCAACCAATCAAATATCGGACGGGGAGCAGGACATGATGATGACGTCAAGTATGGACGAAGCTTAAGAAGACTTTAAAAGAGATGGAAAAAATGTTTCATGTACATATTATCAATTCTGGTGTTCCCAAGACATGATACATTTTGGGTAAGCTATATATTCTAAAACTAAATGATCTCATTTCAAATACACATAGGGAAATTTCAATCCAATAACAATTAAATTTATAGGTATTATATGAAACTAAGCTGCCAGTGTTCTCGTCTTATTTCCACCGTCTGGTAAACCCCTGGCCAATCCTAGGACATCGCCTACAACACCGTCCTCTTCACTTTTGATGTTCACATTTTTGTACGCTTTGCTCGGGTCGCAGAACTTGAAACAATGGAAAAAATATACTTTTATCAATTTTCCAATTCATCTTTAAATTTTGGATTCCCGTATTACTTTAATATAAGCGTTGTACATGCAGTATGTTGCGACCCGCATTGGTTCGCACCGGCCTCTGCTGACCAAAGCCTCTGAAAGTTTTTGAGATAAGTAAAACCACAATTCAGAGGTTTAAATTTCTGAAAGTTTTGACATTTTTAAAAATTTCTAAATTTAATGCTTGACTAACTTCCTTCAGCACAGGATATATACATTTGGATATTTTTCTCCTTCATTTCATTATCCAGTTTGAAATATTTGTCATACACGCGTCGAACCTCGGCCGAATTAATTTTCCCACTTTCTTCATCAATGAAACCCATCTCTTGAAATCCACAGAGGAAGCGGCACTAATTTAAAAAAATTATATATATATTTAAAAAATACAAATATTTATTTTTACGTTGAATATGTATTTACTGCTTGAGCAGATTCCGTCACGCAGGGCGCTATCGCAGTAATGAGCTTGTTGTAGTAAGGTTCCATCCCTTTGTCTTTCCCGTGGCATTTTGTGAAAATTTTCAAATCTTGAACCTTCAGTCCAACGACGAGTCTCAAAAACTGTTTTTAGATGAAATGATGCAATTTTGGGAATCAAGAGACGCATTTATAAATTTATTTAGTATTTACGCAGCTTCCAGCTTACCACTGACAACAGAAGGTAACAGTAAGTGACAGTATGCATCCTCTTGCGGTTTGTTACAATTTAATTTGTATAAATTTGAAGGAGATTCGTGACGAGTAAAATGGCACTAGCTACAAAAATTTGGTAAGGAGCTATGTTATAGATTTGAGTCGTCGTCAAGAAGAAAAGACAGGATGTCTATTGTCAAAATCATTAATTAATTATTCATTATGGCGTGTTTAATGCCGTTTTTATAGATTCAAGAAGTGAGTATGATTTTACTATTTAGTTAGTTTCACTTTAAAGTGAAACACCGGAAAAGCACTAAAATTAATTATGCACTGCGTTTTGTAATTATTATTATGTAATTATCAAATATAATTACAGATACATAATAATTATATTTTTGGTGCAAATAGATATGCATTTAAATTATGTATTATTTTCTCAAAAACAATGGAAAATAATGACTAGCCGAATTAAATGATCATTTATTACGAATAAAAATAATGTATTTTAATATGTACTTACTTATGTATAAATATGTCAAGAATTCAGATATTTTAAGCACAAATTAAATCTCCATAGTTGAACAATATGGATCTGAAAATGAATCTTCTACTTCCGGAATGAATGATCTTGGCAGAAAAGCTTCTGTAATAGTCGGTATCTGGTAATTCGTCCCTTGTTTAAAATGCCGTTAAAAATAATTTTTTGAAAACTTCTCCACAGGATCGGCCAACACGTCAGTCTCGCCTATGTCAGAATCCGGAAGGGAAAGTGCATCCACAGTTGTCTAACAGTTTAATGCGTCATCCTAAAATTCAGGTGAGGGTTAAGATTGGATTTGTAGCGTGACTTTTGAAGCATAATTTTGAAGGAGAGAAAGTACACATCGTTAAGGGACTAAGCGATCCATCGAAAGGCGTTGAAAGTCAACCCCTCTTATTGGCCCATGACTAACGTTATTTTGGTGTCCGGTCAATTTGGTCGGGTCAGTTTGGTCTTGGGAAATTTGGTCTGGAGTCATTTTGGTCTTGAACAAATTCGGTCTGGCCAATTTGGTCTAGCTGATTTGGTCAAGCCAATTTGGTCTGGTTAATTTGGTCTGAAGTAGTGTTCTCTAGGTTGGACCGAAATATTTGTCGGTGTGCCTCGCCGACAAAGATTTCAGTCCAAAATTGAGAACACTAGTCTGAAGTCCAATATTATTCACATATTACCTGGATTCCTATATGTTTTACTTACAGCATGCTTAGCATATGTTAATAAATCTTGATTCGGGTTGACCTTTACTTAACTAGACTCCGAGAACCACACCCCCTTTAAGTGCGTTTTTAAAATTGCCAATACTCTGTCTGAACTCTGCCTCATCGGGGTGTGAAACTTGATATGTCAAGTGGCCAGGTTTTAGTTTAATTTAGGTGCTGAGAACCACATTCCTTGAGGGTGTTTTTTTACATTTGTAATGTTCTATTAAGACTAGAGTAACTAACATAGTTAGGTTACAGTAAAATTTTGCATAAATAATAAGTATTTCGAATGTTATAATTTTAGAATTGCAATTAGGTCTTTTTAAAATTAAAAAGAAACTGAACTTATATCTGTTTAGAGTTTGTACAACGATATGTAAAAAAGCTTCTAAGTGTTTGAAAGATGTCTTAATTAGTTCTACTTTCAACCCATCTAACGCAAATGCATCTGGTAAGTTACATATTAAATTTCTCTGAATACAATTTTATTTTAAAACCTACATATTAATGCTTAAATATTTAAATGACGTCATTAATTCAGTAAATTGTATAATTTTAATAAATGAGACCAAATTGTCCAGACCAAATTTGCCATACCAATTTGACAAGACCGAATTATACCAGACCAAAAAAACCCAGACCAAATTGATCTTTCTTGGGACCAAACTGACCAGACCAAATTGACCTAGCATCTGTTATTTTCATGTCCTCTGTCTGTCATAGTGTGAAGGTGGTAATTTTTCAGGGAGAAAATGGAATTCCGTTTGATGCGGTAAGCGCTTGTGGAACTCTGTTGATAAAAATAATAGTATTTTTCCCAAGTTGTTGATTCCAACTTTCTCCTCCAACTATGCCATATATACTAAATAGACGACAACTTTTTATAAGAGTTACTAAAAGAATGAAAAATGCTGGATGAGGCCTGTAACAACCATAAATATATACATCCAAACGCATAACATTTAGTTATCATTTTTTAACCGTAATTTATTAAGATAGATATATACAATGAAATAGTGTTTTTTTCGCGCTCTAACGATTTTCAAGTTGGATACCTTAAAATTTGCGTAAAAATGAGTAGATTAATAATCTGTAATAAAATAGGGGGGTGATTCCAGCAGTTTTTGCGTTACGAGCCAAAATGTGCGAATTTACTGCTAATTTTGAGTTTTGTCTCAAACTCGTCAAAATTTGGTATAATATGACTGGAAATAATTTATAAATTTATTTTGGACTAGAATTTGGCCGCTGCCTTCATTTATGACCCCAGTTTTCAATTTGGTGGAATGTTGCAAAATAATTGCAATTTCTGTATTATTAAGATAGTTAAGATAGATATATACAATGAAATAGTGTTTTTTTTGAAGATACCTATAAGTTTTGGACGAAACGATTTACAATGTTTTCCTCGGAAGTAGGTATCTCAATTTCAATGAAGTATTAATTATCCGACAATCTTATTCCTACTTAATTTTGTAAATTTAGTGAATTAGAGTGCAGGAAATTTAGGAATTAAATATTTCAAAAACACTCAAGCGCAAATTATCTTACAGAGTGGGAATGATCACAATTACAGAAACATCTATATTAACTGCCTCATCAGTAATAAATTAAATATTAAAACTTAGTTTATCTACAACCAAACCTACTTACTTGTTAGTAGACAAATAGCGTAATCAGATGACATTGCATTGGCTGGAATGTGGCTTGCACGAGATGAGGTAATAAATATGTATGCACATTACTGCTATTAAATATAAGTGCTTATTAACCCGGGAGGTTGGAGACAAATATGCAGATTCATAAGTATGTTGTATGTACATAAACATTTCCCAGAACACAAAATAAACATAAGCATGCAAACTTAACCGTATTTAGCATGTATGTAATAAACCTACTTATAGTGGTACATAAAGGCCACGTACATAAGTAAATAGATAGATACCTATGTAGATTTCATGCAATATTTGGAATACTGTACTGACTCTGATAGATGCCTTGTAGCAATATATATTTATTTTATGTATGTGTGTACAGTTCGAAAACCCAGTAGTATCACGAAGTAATTAATAGTCTAGTACCTGCTTAACAGACAACTTGATAATTGAGAGAAAATACCTTTGAATATTTCAATTCTACAATGTTGCAATTATTAGAACAACAATAAGTAAAAAAAATAATAGTAAGTACATACTTTCCAAATTTTCCCCCGTACCATATTAAGCTCTTTCTCTCTCTTCAGTAACAATTAATAATAACAAATTTAAGAACAATTCAGAAATTTATGAAGTGAATGGTAGTTGCTAAAGTATGAAATCAATGCAAATTCCGTAAGCCCTATGAATAGCAGATTTCCAAATAGGGAAAATGTAATTGTTGGCGAAAAAATATAATGTATCTATATATACTAATGCTATATTTTTCATAAATTTGTGTAGTATGTATTAGTAAATGCGTAAAGTTGTTGCATAAAATTGCTGATTTTACTTGTCCGCAACTTCACTACAATTTTAACTCACAATCAGAGACGTATTTATGAGTTTATAGCAGACGAATGTGAGTTGTAAGAAAATGTTTAGCAATTTTTTGTAGCAATTGAAATCTTTTAATTTATCGACCGGAGAAATTATAAAAAAAATTAAAACTGCAAACAAATATGCGTGCAACAAATACTTATGTATGTACCTGTATTTTTTTTTAAACTTTGCAAACTTTTTCATTTATGTAACACAAAAACAAGCTTAAAATAAAACATTTAACAGTTGAACCACATTGAACTCACCATTTTTTCTTATTATTCATTTCCTTTCAAGTTGGACTATTTTTATTTTATGCGAAAAATAATATTTATCTTAGCTTCTGTGGAATAATCTCGGTTCAGACAATGAAACATGATATTACGCGTACATATGTATGATATGCAATCACAGATTTTGAATGCATATCTCTCATTGATTCATTCATACTCGGTTATTGTCCAACTGTATTGACCCATCTGATTGACACACGACCATCGCGGCGAAATATGTCAATTCGTTCATCAAGTTGTCCAACGAGCACATAAATGCATAAACTCCAAACAGTGACAATTTGATAAGGCAAAATGACAGTGGGAGCAAAGTTGCATAAATAGTGCAATCAGGCAAAGAAATGAGCACGCATTATCAATTCTTCCCAATCAATATCCAAACTCGAGTTTATTCACATTATTATCATCTAAACCTGGACTATTTATTTTTGGGTCATGCAAATATAGAACTGAACTACAGCATTAAAATTGACTTCTGTTGAATTATTCATTCCTACCCAATTTGATTAATATTTAAAGACGACAAAATCTAAAACTGAGAAAAGTGACATTATAGCATTTCTCCAGATTCGTTGAAAACTGACATCGTTTTAATAATTCATCTCCTTATTTATGTATAGATTACAGGAAGATCAATACAGAGCACAATTGTCAAATGCGAGCTTAATGCATATTTATTATGCCCTTATTTTCAAGACCTTGAAAATTAACACGACTTTATAAACAAACACACATATGTCAAACAACTTTACTCGTTCACTCATTTACATAACGTCATCCGTCTAAAAATATATCATTTTTAGCGTCAGACACACAAACAATAAAATAAATCATTCCTACAGCGTATCATCCATTCAATCAATCTCTATTAATAAAACTGCTGACCAATCATTCCATTAATGAAACATAACATCCTTCCATCCACGAGGCTGGATTTTTGCGTAGAAATTGCATCCAGCCAGTCAGCCACAGACTCAAATTTATGCATGTAGGCAAGACCAAGTGCACACTACTCCGCTGGCATGGTCACATTTATTCCAATCTCGGCAAGAACACTCCTATAAAAAAGAACGTGATTGTATGTATCGTGTCGCACTGTAATAATGACACAAAAAGTGCAAGTAAAGTAGAACTCAGCCCTTGCAAAAAAGCAGACCATGCATAAAAACACACACCCCCAGCATCATCTTTCTCCCAAGAATTTCATTGTCAATGTCACCACCTTAAATGCATGCACACCTGTGTACGTGCGATCAAGAAACCGGCGCCGGTTATTGCACCCATGGTCTAAAGACTTTTAAACTTGCCATTCATTTAATTTATCACCTTGAAATAATCGTTGACATTACAAAAGAATTTCAAGAATCCAATCAGCTTGCCAACAAACAATAGTAAAATAACAATAAAAAATCATGTCGTCATGGAAAGTTACATACTCCGTCGACCTTCCCCCAAGTCGTGATGGTGACGTTAGATAACTACCTACCTATTGACTAGCTTCAATAATAAAAATCCAATCCAATCAAATAATGATGAGTACAGTTGTATATACATCCCTCGCGAAAATGCACACAATTATGTACATCCATCCAGCCTAGAAAATTCTTATGCATTTTTACACCGAAAAACAAGTCATGAAACTAATTATAATCAAAATAATACCAAAGTATGTTAAAAACTGCGTATTTATATTATTATTACCCAGCAGCCCAGTCAGTCTGTGCATAATTTCAGGCTGGCACAACAAAGTTAAACTCCAAACTCATATGTACATACCATACGACACAGATACACACACAGACACAAAAGCATGCTAATAATAATACATGAATCAAAATTATGCCAACCTAAACCTCTCCCCTGTCATGCCTACAATTAGCTCGGCTTCTCAAATTAGCACATTAAGCGAGTCGCCAACCATGCAAAATTACAAATTTAATGCTCCAACTATTCAATTTGCCACACCGACAAAGATACACAAATACGAGCATATTTACACTGCATGTACCGACCCAGAGAAGGAAAGAACAATTGCTAGAGCTTTCCAGACTTAACCAGAAATTAGGGGATAAATTCGATTGTGTTATGGAAAGTGAAAAAAGTTTGGCACTCTCATTGTCTGGAGCAATAATTGAACAACTTCCACTATGTACTTACTACACTGCTCGGTGGGTAAAATAATAATACAAGTGTAAGTACATAAGTAAGTAGATGAGACTCCTGAGTGTTGTCCCAACGTGATAAATCGCTTGGCATTGGGATTTGCCATCATCCATCTACGGGAACCACGTACTCTTCCATTCCTTGAATCGACGAGTATGCAAAAACCAGGGTGTGCAATAAAATAATAGATACTAAATAAATCGACATCCTGATCCAGGCCAAAAACTCGTGGTGTGGTTCATGATGGTCTATTTCTTTTTTCTTTTGTGGTCAATATTACATACATTTAGCTAATTTCACTTCACGCGTGACCCCATGTTTATGCATCGCAGAGCTAAAATGCGAGTCATGTGGAAAGGTTTTAAATGACGTGTCGTGCCTAAAACTTTTTCATCGTCATCTCATTTAAAAGTTTTGCATGTTATACATATGTAAACGTACGCATGATGCGTTTTGCGACTTGATGTAAAAACTGTATCGAAATTTGCATGCTATGAATGGCTACATATCTCTCGTCTCATCCTTTCCCTGTGTATGAACATTCCTCTCTTAAATGGAACCCTGCATCGCATCCCATTTGATTCAACATTTACATTCACAATTCATTCTGCTTCTTTCTCCCCTCCCATTGCATTGTACATATTTTCCACATATGTAACATCTACCATACCCATCCCGGCATTAAAAGCCCTCTCTTCCAGCCATCCAGTCCATTCCAGGAACAGGTGAATATATGTACATATATGTGTTTCTTCTTATATTATAATCCCCTCCGATCCATTCGATCCAACAATATCAAAACCACTGCCCGAAGAGAAAAAGGAAGCAAAAAAGAGAGAAAACTTGCATTCTCCGTGTAACCTTCGTAGTGTAAAGTTCTTAATAAACACAGACTCAAATCCTTTAGCTCAACATTCCGCCTGACTTTTTTTTTATTTAATTCACCAACTCATCATCCATTCCGGACTCTCTCATTATAATACCAACCCCGTCCACCGAGCAAGCAAAGCAAGCACTCGTTAATTTTAACTTTAACCAAACCAACAAAATACTGCATGCATAAAACATACACACTCGAGAATAATAATGGCGAGATTGTACATACTACTTACTGCCATCACCAAATATTAACTACTACAACACCACCATGGACCAGGATAGCAGCGAGTCCTCCTCCTCCACGATAGAATAATAATTTGTTATAGACGAGAAGAGACCATTTGGTTACATAGTTGCATTTCGATTCAATCCACGTTCAAAACCACCACCCCACAGACAGTCCTGTCCGTCAAGTCAGACAGACAGCTACACTACACACATGTTTCTCGTCGATTTGATTTCTTCTGCCCTATTAATTAGTTGAGCATTGATTTGATATAGACACTCACCACTTAATTCGATAAGTGGTTGACTGACTGAGTGAGTGATTGTGATTTGGTGTGATGATTGCCAAGAAGTTTGTCGTGGCTGCCAGGCCGATGGGTGGATTGGCAAAGCAGGACGACTTTAGCCTCGTGGAGGAGGAATTACTCAATTTGTGCGAAGGAGGTATGTATGTACATAATTTGGGAGTAAGGTGGTGAGTAAAGTGGTGTCATTAAGATAGTAAAGGTCATGGGAAATTGAGTACAGATTGCATTCATAAAAGTGTAGTGAGTAAATATGTAAATAAGTAGTGGATTAATTTAATTGGATTATTTATTTGTGCAGAGATTCTGGTCAGAGCGGAATGGTTTGCAGTGGAACGCTTCATGTTAAAGAGGATGGAACAGATACCGATCGGGGCTCAAATGGTGGGGGCACAAGTGGCGAGGTGAGATTAAGTGGGATTAGTTAGTGGTACTTCTGCTGGTGACAGGTTGTTGGGTTTATGATGGTGGGCAGGGTTAAAATTAGAAAGTGTGTCGGTATTTAGTACTTATTTATGTATCCGTGCTATTTATGTAATAAAGTGAGTACATGTGGTGTCTTTCTATTTTTAGAGTCATTGACAGCAGGTGTCCCGACTTCCCGGTGGGGACTCAGGTCGTCGGGTTCTTTGGGTGGAGAGGTAACAATTTTTATATTGTGGGAGAAAGACGTTGGTATCTAACTTGCATATTAATTACTAGACCTCACCGTGTACCGTGTTCCAAGTCGAGGTATGGAGAGTTATTTCTCAATGTATGAAATTCCTGACTTGAAAGGACTTCATTGCACTCATGCGATCGGTGCATGTGGGTTAACGGGGTAGGTAAGCCCAGCCCTTTGTAGTTTAACCCACCACAATCAAATATGTAGATAGATACCTTATCGTTATGTATATTTACATATTATTCTAAGGATGTATGTATCCTTTAAAGATGACTACTTAAATATTTTCATTTGCTTGATCGATATCTTTAGAATTTCCGGATATTTCGCAATCCAAAAAGTATTTGATCCTGCTCCCGGAGAGACGGTGGTGATTTCGACCGCGGCAGGAGCTACGGGAAGTGTTGCTGGACAAGTAGCAAAAATTCGGGGTATGTTTTACAAGCACAATTTCTCATTAATTTTTGCATGGACTCGTTTCTAAGTTTTTTTGTTTCATTTTTGTATCAGGCTGTAAAGTGATAGGACTGGCGGGGACGGATGACAAAGTTGCGTGGCTCAAGAGTGCCGGTTTTGACCACGCCATCAATTACAAGAATACAGATCTGGACGAAACGCTGCGACTGGTAGCGCCGAACGGTGTGGACTGTTACTTTGCTAATGTGAGAGACTGCTTTTACCACTAATGACCAATTAGGTAACGAGGCACGTGAAACTTTCTCCGCCCATTGACACACCTACATGCAATCATGAACTCACATAAACGAACCTCCTTCTCTCCATTATATCCACTAATGACATAACCACTTAACACTATGTAAATGGATTATGATGGTTTATATTATCTTAAGCCGGCTTATCCTCCCTTTTATGCAGAACTGCCAGGGTGGGATTGTCCTCATGACTGTGTTAAAACATATGAATTCTGGGGGAAGGATTGCGTATTGTACCTCCAATTTTAACCATGGAAGAAATAAACAAGGTACAATAATGAGATACTCTCCCCACGTGCCGAGTTCATGACATATTTTGATTTTATTACAGCCGTCTTTGATTTCGAAACATTCGTAGTAAAACAAATTAAGATGGAAGCATTCGTCGCGTCAAGATGGATCGATGAGTGGTTTGATACCGCAGAGAAAATTAGGGACTGGATTCTCGAAGTGAGTTGGAGAAAGCACAAATACACTTTTATTTACATTTCCATATGTAAATCTTATGCCAAATCTATCCAGGGTCGCATAAAGGTCGCCGAAACAGTGAAGGATGGATTCGAATCGCTGCCTCAAGCCATGATGGATTTATTCAGTAGTGGAAAATGTTTGGGAAAGATGATCGTGAAAGCGTGAAATTTAGCCTTTAGAGTTGTTGATCTTGATCTTTGTTATTATTTACACTTCTCGGGATGGATGAGTAAAGAGATAAGATTTCGTAAAAAAAGATAGAAAGTGCAGATCGAGCAGTTTTGCATAAATCTATGAGACGCACGTGACTTTGTATCAAAGAACTTGTCTCTTAGTAATCAGTTAAATTCTGACCATTTTATATTATGCAGACTCTCAATTTTTTAACATGACAGACCAATTTTATAGCAGGCATGGATATCTGAGTTATGTATAATTCAAGCATTGATAATCTACTTGGTAGGTGGTTTATGTCTCATCTTTTACGTACCCGTAAATATTTGCATACTATGAAACAATCCTTCCTTTCAAGACAAATACGCTCTCATCGTCTCAGTCACCACCCATCCTCCCAATCCACATTTTACACAATACAAATCATTAAGTTGTTATTTTTTCTCTTTCACTCTACTGGACACATTTTTAACGTCATGTCATTCCATATTTCATCTCACATTTCGCAAACATGTGCCAAAAGTGGTGCATAGGAATGTCTGCACATATTCTGAGTCAGGCCGGATGGATAATAAGACCATGCAGAGTGGTGGAGGATTAATAAGCCTTAACAAGCTGCCAATGAGTGAGTGATGGTTTAAGCACCATCCACCATCAATCTTAATCACATTCTTTTGCTGCACCATCAATATTTATTTATTCTCTCGTCTTCTCCTTCCCACAAAGTAAGCATCATAAAGTCGGCTCCTTTCAGCCGAGTCGGCAGACAGACACAATTCACAATGTGGTAATATTTCTTTGAACACTTCTTAAATGCGGATGGGACGAGTCTTCCATTATTATGCGGGTTTTTAGGAAGGTTGAGTGACAGGATTTGGGCCAAGTGGCAAAAACAGAAACCATAAGAACAAGAAAGAACACCCGATCCACATGAAGAACAGAAACATGGCTGCGATATGGATATGACAAATGGCATCCCTTTTAAGTAATGCACAAGCCCCATATACACACTTATGTACAAACCCCCAGCTCAGTTAGGGAGACGAAAAATTCATATGAAAATGTGCACAACTACATAGATTTTCAGAAATGCTGATTTTCTAATGCACGCATTGCAAGCATATATGTACATAAGCTCTAAACACATTTCGTTTTTACCTTCAAATTTCTACAAAATAGGCTATAAAATGTATTAAAATCATATCTCCTACCTTCCAGAAACTGAGTCTCAAAATTTCCATTTCATGTGACGTAAATGGACACTAAAATTAGCGGTGAAAGTACGCGTATTTCTTCCAATTGCAGATTTTTCCACGAATTTAACTACTTAAAATGAGAATGAGATCACATATTTTTCATATCTTTTGTCTCTCGCTTAGTTTGTTTTCCCTTGAACAGCCTTAACAACAAACTCGGTCAACATTAATTACACAAAATTAATGTAACCCGAATACTTACTCATGCATCGTGCATACATACATATGCATGGGAAAATAATAATCTTTAATTTCTCGAGCAAGTGCAAATGTTGCCACACAGCAAGCATTTATGTAACCATATACAAATACACTGGACGACCATGACTGTAAATTAATAGTATATCATCACTGCCATCACCACCTCGGCGTATGGTATAATAAGCTTCGGCTAATTTTAAACTCGTTTCCAATCAAGCGAGCCTGCATTCCGACGATTCTTTTCCTTTCATGAAACTTTGTTTCTCCGAGCTCATTCTTTGTTCGTCCTTTGAGCTGTTTGCTCGGTGAAACTTTTCAGTTCAAGCTTGGAGAAAGTTCAAAACTAAAAATCACATCAAAATGGACGCGATTAAGAAGAAAATGCAGGCCATCAAGCAGGAAAAGGACCTGGCGATGGATCGTGCCGACGCTATGGAGCAGACCTCGAGAGACGCTAACGCTCGTGCGGACAGGGCGCAGGACGAGGTCGACTCCTTAAAAAAGCGGACGATTCAGATCGAACAGGAATTTGAGGTCACAAAGGTCGCATTGGAAACGGCTACACAGAATTTGGATACGAAAGAGAAGAATTTGCTGCATGTATGAACATTTCCGTATTTCATGTAAATTTAGATAAATTTGCATGTTATTTAAACGCAATTTTTGCAATTTTCATTTCAATTGCAAATTTACATATGTGTTGCATTTTTACTTTCCCTATCTCCAGGCTGAATCAGAAATGGCCTCCCTCGGTCGCAAAGTGCAAGGAATTGAGGAAACTTTCGAAACGACTGAGGAATCTTTAAAACAGGCCGAACTCAAGCTGGAAACCACCGCCCAACTCCACGACGATTCCGAACGTATGTGTAAAGTGCTCGAAAATCGTGGCGTAATGGACGAAGAAAGAACCAAGGACTTGGACGCCAAGTTGAAAGAAGCTACCGGTCTGGCAGAAGAGGCGGATCGAAAATACGACGAAGTTGCACAGAAATTAGCCGCGGTGGAGACGGACGTCGAAATGGCAGAAGATCGCGTTCAATCCGGTGATGCGTGAGTCCTCAAGATTTTTATGCACATAATTTGCATAAAATAAAGTCTAATTTTCGCAATAAATAATTTGCAGAAAAATCCTCGAGCTTGAGGAAGAATTAAAAGTTGTGGGAAACAATCTCAAATCCTTAGAAGTCAGTGAGGAGAAAGCAAACCAAAGAGAATTGGATTACAAGAGACAAATTAAAGCTCTCAGTGCGAGATTAAAAGATGTAAGTTTTAATATTTTTTGAGATTTTGCATCTCAATAAATATCTGCATATATGTAAAATGATTTATTATTCGCATTAGTCCGAAGCTCGAGCCCAGTTTGCAGAAAACACGGTGCAAAAATTGCAAAAGGAGGTGGACCGAGTAGAAGGGGAACTTACTAACGAACAAGAAAAATACAAAAGCATCATTGGAGAGTTGGATGCCACTTATTCAGAAATGACAGGATATTAGATTCTCATGTTTAGCTTTAGTCAACCCGGACCTTGCCATGAATAAAGTGTATCCTCAAGTCAATTAAATTGTGAACATAATAAAAATTCCAGTCGGAGTAATTAATTTATCAGTATAACATTGCCTAGTGAATCAACAGTTAAAGGAACGCATGCATCCTGCTGAACAAACATCATTGTGGTAATAGATACATAACCAGCAAAGAATTATAGGGAAACGATGGCAAAAGATTTTACACACCTTTCAAAAGAAAATTTGTCAAATGTAACACTCTTTGATCCTAACAATTACTTACCTTGATTCATGATTGCATTACTTCACTTACCAATCTGCAATTTATATAAGCATTCAGACACATACAGTAAAATAATGTGCCTCGTCTCCTGTCCCACGCTAAAATTTTTGACGATAGTTTGCATGTTCTTGTGCATAAATATGCATGTATTCAGAAATGCTCCCTGTATCAGTAATAAGTAAATAGGTAACAAGCCAACTTTCACTTTCGTGAGATTTTATTTTGTTATTCAGAGTGCACAAAATCTCACATTTGTGACTCACAAATTGTGAGCATGTATATCATTACGGTTTACGATAACGAGTTTTGACCAGCACAACACGATTTCCAAAAGAGTATTTATGTAACTTAAATATTTAATATTAAATACTTTAACAAAAAGTCGTTTACTTAATATCTACTTAAATACTGTACGGTATTTAGTGTGATTAACAAGTATCACTCACAAGCCATATCCGCAACAGTCTATAGTTGCATGATACACAGCATGATGCGTAAGAAAATATTCTCCATCATCTTTACTCTAGACCATCAGTTCTCATCGATTTCAAACAATTCTCGCAAAATATTAGCTGTGATTGGTGCAGACGTGGTCCACTTTATCCACCGCCGCTCATTCTTCTTCCGGAACTGTTGTAGTTCGTGTTTCAATTTCAAAAACTAAAATATTCGCCGTAAAATTAGGCCTACATATATTCTAAATCTGTTTACTTAAATGCCCACTGACTTGACTCACCTGAATATTTGTGTAATTCTTCTTCGCCCTCGAGACTACCATTGATTTGAGATCTTCATACGGGATCCCGAGTGCTTGCAAGTCTTCCAACTGCGAGTCCTGGCTGTCGTTGGTGACATCGCTTCTGGCATCACTGTCATCGTCACTATCGGTGTACTTGTAAGAGATAAATAAGCAAATTTTAATTAATAATTAGTCGCAGAACGCACATTTTTCAGAGATTTATAAACTTACACAAACTGGTTGCGTGGCTTTAGGCTTTGAAATCTTTGACAGTACTGTAGACGTTGGGGCTTGGTACGATGCCGGGACCGGCTGCGTTCTCGGTGGTGGGGGCCGCATCCTTATTGTCAGCGGTGGCACGTGACTTGATGATGTGTATCTGGTTTGACTCACAAATGAGGACGACGAATGTTCCCCAGAAACATTGCGGTGGACCAAGGCTGACTGCCTGGCTTGATTATTATACGTAGGCGTTGGTGAGGAACCATTTCTGAAATTCACTTCGTTTGAAGCCATCATGTTGATTGAACTTGTCCTGCCATTATTCTTTGCCACTTCGGAGTTGTAAAACTGATTCTGAAGAAGGGGAATTTAATTAAGGTAAAAATTTAGCATGAAACCGTCTCAAAAAATTCGTAGAAATATTTACTCGCATCTGTATCCCGACCACTGAAGGTGGCGACATCATATCATCATCATCTAAGGTCAACAGCTCTGTTGGTCCAGTTCTCATCGGATATTTTCCCGAATCCTCAATCCTGCTGACTTGGACAGACTTGTTATTCAGTACGATGTAGATTTTAAAGGAACGCTGAATCTTGGCCCAGTCTTGCATCATAAGTTTTATCTATGATTTAAAAACAGAAATATGTAAATGCTGCAAAAAATTGTCAATTCATAATAAAATATCATTTGTTTATAGCCCTCACCGGTTCTCGAAGGTCATGTTTCAGCCGGCCTGTGTCCTTCCAAAGTCGTTGCACTGAGTATTTTATTGGATTCAGAGATATACCAAAATGCGCCTTGAAAGCGTCCAACCAAGTCATTCTCACATCAAACACTGCGCTTTGACCTGACAAACGTTCCAGTCCTGGGAACATAGCTGTACCATTCCAACCAAGTTTTATATCAAAACCGATTTTTCGGGAAGATACAGGATTGTATTTTGGCTTGTCATTGGGCTGGATAAATAGTTCATTAATTATTAGATATGTGAGTATATTTTAAGAGTCAGGCAATCAAGTACTTATGTAAATCTGGATGGATTACTTACCATTTTCATGACGCGGAAAATAAATAAATTAGCTAGCCTGAACAGTATAACGTCTCAAACCTGCAGGAAACTATTGGAAAGTTAGTAAATATGCACACGTACAATTAAAGTAAAACTTCATTGCTCAATGGTATTTACAAAGGAACGAGTATTTTTTTTTGAATTAACCCAATTAATCTGAATAATATTGTGACATTCGGAGTGCTTACTTCTATTGCCTTGAATTTAATGTTGAGTATGAGTTGCACACGGGGTCGAGGTTGAACTAACGATTGATTGAAATCTCAGTATCAGTCAAGAATTATGATGAAATGGAATGGAACTAGCTGTGAGACGTGACCACTTGCTACATATTTCTGCACGGTTCTACATATTACATGCGAAAGTTGGCATTTGCTGAACGTATGTATAATGTATGTATTATTTATGCACAGCTCTCGATGTTCAATATTATACTAATGCTGATGTCAATGTACTGTCAAATTGCAATTCCAAATTCCTTTATCTCCAACACTGACCTGCAGTTCGGTGGAGAATCTGAACTTCTCAAGATATCATATGTCCCAAAATGTGTTCCTGTAAATATTTATGTAACCGCGGCAATGTCAATGTTTGTAAGTCACATATAATTTAATACAATGTGTAGCGTATATATATGATTTCATCCGACATGGATGAAATGGATAGATGACGGTCAAGATATATCCATCCTGGCACATATGTATAAATACATAAGTATATTTAGTTCCAACGATTATTAAGGGGTGAAAGCCCTTTATAAGATCGTTATGTCCGTCTGTCTGTCCGTCCGTCCGTCCGTCCGTCCGTCCGTCTGTCTGTCCGTAGCTCCGATAACTTTTGAACGAAAAGACATAGACACTTGAAATTTTGAACGTAAACTCCTAACGTCAATAGAGGGGACGAGTTCGAAGATGGGCACTGTAGGTCACACCCATCAAGGTCATGAAATGTCATTTAAAGGTCAAATTGCATACATGCATCAATTTGAATTGAAATACGGATAACACACTTCTTTCACCCCTTGGTTACATTCGTTGTGACGGTTTATTAATTTAAATAACTGTTGATCATTCGTCGAGACTGTAAATACATAATGTTGTTTTGTTAAATCCAAAAAATTTTTTATTAGTATTTCCTGTTTCTTGTCTTGCGATGAATGATGTGTACGATTCATATTTATTGATAATTGAGACGAGGATTGATGATTGCTTATACATATGTACATGCATGCATATATGCATATATGCATGTAAAACCAACTGGACGAAAGAATGCACAGTCAGTTGAGGTTTAAGCTCCTCTTTCTTCGGTCAAATGGTACACACGTACATGGACACATGAATATATTTATGGCGAAACTATTCTGTGTACTTGCTAGGTCACCATGAAGACCAAGTATCAGATTTCTGTGTCCAAGAATTAGAAATGATGTAGTTGTGTCATGTGCATTTGATATGCAACGCCTAACTTCTCTTTTAGCCAACCATTTTTATGGCTGTAACTATTCTGCACTATTTTTTTATATGATTATTCTAAGAACGATGTACCCTACCATATATATCCATCGTGTCACATTTATGTAGATATGCATGTATATTATGTATACATATGTAATTATAAATGCCGGTTATCCACGCGTCTAAATAAAATAAATTTCCAAAATTTAGCGTAGGATAGTATATAGCAAAACTCGTCATGAGTTTCAAAATACCAATCAACAAAGAAAATGCATTGTAAAAATGCTCCAATTGTGGGTATATGTATTTATGTACTTATCACTTTGTTAGTTTATTCAGTGCTTACACATAATAATATTCTTTTCCAAGATTTTTCAGGTATGTATTAGTATGAAACTTTTTCATCGCGAGTTACCAGTTCGAAGACGTTACAATTACAAATTTTACCCATACAACATACAAGTACATATGTACATACATATTTATATCCATGCAAAATTTATGTAGATTAGCTTTACACATCCGCCAAAGACGAGAGTTCCTCTTCCAGCTCTTGATACTTAATTTTTTCCTCCTGCATTGCTTCCCGTAACCTGTCAATATTTGCGGACAGGAGATAATTCCCCTTTTTCAGGGCGCCTAAGACATTTTCCCGCCTTTTGACCCGTTGTCCGTACACGCGCAACCTTTCTTCATGACTGTTGTCGGCATCGTCTTCCTCGGACGTTGAGCCGTCTTCGTCGTCATCGTCTTCCGTGTCCGACTCCTCGGTTTCGGTGTCCTCCTCCTCCTCGTCTTCTTCCTCTTCGTCGTCCTCCTCGTTTCCCGCTGGGGCGCCGCCTTTCCATATGACGGATGCGCACGCCATGGAGTTCAAGTCGTTTTGCAACTTTTTATGCTTTTCCTTCGCATCTTTTAAATCCTTTTCTAATTTCTTTTGAGTGATTTTTAAAGTTTTTCGCTCTTGTTTGCTCGCATTTTGCTTTTCTTTTACGCTTCGTAATTTGTTTTCCCATAGTTTAATTTCCCTTTCTTCCTTCTTTTCTTGAATTGTTTCTTCATTAACGACCTCGTCTTCTTCGTCCTCCTCTTCAGAGTCTTCTTCCTCCTCTTCTTCCTCCTCCTCATTAACTTGTTGAGGAGCAGGTTTATTGTTTTGATCTGACGGCGAAACAGTCATCTTCTGCTTGCATGTGGCACAAACTTGACCTGCGGCAGCTTTTTTGTCTGCTTCGATTAATTTCTTCTCCAGGACGCGTTGTTTGTTTTCCAGGTCATGAATTGTTGCTGAATGAAAAGAGAATAACATTTCAATATCAATATTTTGTGGGGTTATAATTTTAAAAAAAACATATTTTATACGTTGGTTCGAATTTTTTGGGAACACATTTAGTTTATTGTAGCCCCAAAATAACGTAGTTTTGGAAGAGTTATATTCTTGTTAAAATTTTTCTAAGCAAATATTAATCCGTAATTTTAATGAAAAAATTGAGATTAAAAACCTACTCCAAGCAACTTTGCGGGGCCTTTTAAGATGGCATTAATGCCATCTTGGTAGTTAAGGGCAACACATTTGATAGAAATGACCCCCACCGGCCAACCACTTGACCGATCATACCCATCTTCGAACTCATCCTTACTTTTGACCCGAAGATCAAGTGTACAAAATTTCAAGTCGATAGAATGTCTTTAAAGAGAGTTATAGTGCGTACAGACAGACGGACGGACAGACGGACATCCTGACAAATCTATAAGGCCATCTTAAAAGGCCTAAAAACTTGGGAAAATCGCAACTTCTGAGCAAATATTAAAATATCGAACCCACGCTGTAACGTATTTTGATTACCTTCTGCAGACATTAGCTTGTTGACAACATCTTTAAATTTATTCTCCCACTTTTCGCTTTCCTTCCCTGATTTTTCGACTTGTTTTGTCAACTGTTGTACTTGTTCTTGTAATTCTTCCGCTTCTTGACACTCTTGCACTTTTTTCGCATTCTCGCTGTTGAAACCAGACTTTGATTTCTTTATTCCAACAATGGAGGGTGATTTCCAGAGGCCGGATCCTGATTTTCTTAACCCTTTGCTTTGCTCTTTTGATATCATGGAAACGTCGTCTTGCGATACTAAACCGAGCTGGGCTTTTAATGTGTTAATTTCAGCTTCCATTGCAATTATTTGACATCTCTGGTCACGATTTTTCTTTTCTGTGTCGGATTTATTTTGCAGTTCTAGTTCCAGCATTTGTTTCGTTGATTGAAGGTGATCACGGAGAATGTCGATGTCATCAACGAATGTTAGTTCTTCTTGGGCAGGTGATGCAGATTGACTCGAGCTGCTGTCTACCTCTCGTTGAACGGTTTTTAGCCCTGGAAAATTAAAAAAAATGGGACATGGGATAAAATTAGTAAAGATTTACAAAAGTTCCTTTATAACAAGCAGCGGTCCCAAAAAGATGGGAATCTTAGTGAGACTTGGTGCAACTGTAGATATTAAAGCAATTTACCGGAACAGCATTTGCCTCACTAAGATTTTCATCTTTTTGAAACCGTGTTCATTTAATACTTGTAATTAATAGTTTTTTGAATGTTTTGTTGTCAATGGTGTTTCTATTTTATTCATCCCGTTTTTTGTACATCTCATAGGAAAAACTTTTTTGATCGTACTACACTTAAAATTTGCACAAAAAGTTACTCCTAAATTTGTGCAATTGGTTTCTTGCTGCGATATTCCAGTAATTAACTATAAATGTGTTTCTAAGGGTACATTTTGGTTAATAACTCGGGTAAAAATCAAAAATTCGCTAAGTCGAATCGATAAACTTTTTTAAATTGGCTCAAAATGATCTGTGCAAAATTTTATCCAAATCGGTTGAGAAATGACTGAGATATCGTAAAATTGCACTTTTTTTAACGATAGTAACTGTATACTTCGTAATTTTTGTTGTTAGGTATTTGCCTCACTAAGAAAAAAATGAGCATTACTTTGAAACTTTCAATTTTAAACTGCATGAAAACTGAGCATTCTTGGATACCACGTTTTATGCATACAGAATTTTCAAAAAGTACGGTGAACATGCATACAGATGTATGTACATATGTATGTACACAGTTCACTATACATATATAATCATATTCTCCACTTTTCTCCCAAAATTAATTGTTAATCAGAATGACATTGCATAGCATGGAAATTTAAATGAGCACTATTTTTACCCGAGAGTATCGGCTTGCTTCTATCGTTGCACTGCACCTTCTTTAATTTAACACCGCCTTGAATTTCGTTCAGCAATTTATGATGCACTGCATCCGCTCGGTTAGCTGGTTTCGCCTCCGAGTCGAAAACAAACTGAAAAACAATTTTATATATTTGCATACATTCAATATTAATAGGGAGGTGATGCATATGTAAATGTGCATGGTAAAATACCTGCCCTGATGCTTTCTTCATCTTTGGAATAATAGGTTGTGACCGGTCATTGCACTCGACATGTTTCAATTTCTTCCCAGACTCAATCTCCTTCATGAGCTGGCCTAAATCCGGCCTTTTCCTGCAAGGTCGCTTTAATTTTTCAATCCTTGCAATAACATGTGGGGGTTTTGGGGCTGCTGGTTTTGCACCTGCGAGTGGACCCATCGGAGGTGGAGGGGGTGGCGGAGGTGGCGGTGGGGGTGGTTTCGCCACTTTGCTCTGCACCCTTTGTATTGGAATTGTGGTAACGCTGACATTCCTCGATATTTTATTTTTCGGGGTCTTATTTGTCTCTGCAGTCTTCATTTTGGGAGTAGTTGTTCCCGGAGGAGGTTGTGGTGGTTGTTTCGACAAATTATCCTGCTTTATTTGGTACGGATCAGACGGGGATTTTATATTTTGTCCCGTCGGTTTCAAATTTGTCTTGCGCCATGGCACATCTTGTGCGGGAGGTGGAGCTGGTTGAGCCTAAATTTCAATCATTAGTGTAAAATGTTAACCTTGACCTTGTTGGAAATCTAGGTAAAGTATTTAAGTACAATACCGGCTGCTGTTGTTGCTGTTGTCCAAGTGGGGGCAAAGGGGGACGGACCCAAGGAGGATTGGGCGTTTTATTGGTCGGAGGTATAATTGGCATTGTTTCACTACAGAAGTAAATTACTAGCCACTCCTCCGGAGTACAATATGTGTCAAGTTTGTAACAATGAGTATTGGTGTCTCAAATTATAATTAAGCTAAACTTTTTCTTGACTAAAGAGAAGTGAATTGTTTTTTTAGTGATTCGCAATAAAAAATTATACGAATTCAGGTTTGCGAAATAGACAGTGCCATACATACGTATGTACGTATATGCCACCGTGTGTGTGCAGAATTCTTATATCTTAACTTATAATTTATCGAGGGCAGAACAAAATACAGATGAGTAGTTAAAAAACATGGGAATGTATTTAGGTCCAAAATCATGTCGAGTTTCCGAGTTGAGGAGATTTGGGATAAAAATAGACCTGGTGTAATCTTGTCCTACTTCCGCCCTCATCTGATCTTCTGGAAATTCAATGCCAATCCGGTGCCAAAATCGGGCTGCTCATTTTACGACTGGATGAATTTACATAGTTAAAGTTGCACTGGATGCGTGACATTAGCAAAGCATTATTGAGTACATGAACAAAAAGAAATACATATATTTGTCTGTACTTCTCCATGAAAGTATGTATGTACATACTCATCTCGACTCGAGATTCTCGAGTACATGAATTTATGTATAAATAACGTGATATCGTAAAATTATTAAGTAACGACTTTCACAGCGGTTTAGTTTCCCATAAAATTTAAAAATTGTATAGTTTTTAATTAAATACTTCATGAATTTCATTCAATTCAATCATTTTTTTTAATGAGTTAAATAAAATACATACCTATCTACACAACTAGCAACTAGCAGTGCAATGCAATTTGGTTTATATAAATTAACATATTCCAAGATAAATTTAATTTCAAGATCAGATTCTTTAAAAGTGAAAATATGTGTTCAGTTTGTAATTTCATAACGTTAACGGCTAATATTATTTACAAATCAATTACTTATTTCAGGCATTACTCAAAATTTTGATCGTTGATATCATTAACTCCGAAGTACTCAAACTTTCTTCTTGCACTTTTCTTCCATGATTCCACATGGCACAACCAATTTCCAATAAAAAACTCACAATCGCCACACTTGCACATATCACATACAACTGAAACGCAATCCCAAGATTGTTAAGTGTATAATCATGGTCATGCCGGTCAGAATGTTTTGCATCCCAACGAATATGTTGCTCATCAATAAACCTCCAAAGATTTTCGTACAGCAAGAATATCCCGTTCGAACTTAACCATTGAAGAATGCGCAACATTTCGTTCCCACCAAAATATATGAATTCCCAAATAATATTTTTCTTATAAAATATTTCCTTCACAACGTTACAAGTGACGTTGGGGTAAGAAATATGCAGAAAATGTAAGATGTGCTGAAGGTACAAAGCGTTTAGTTGGAAGGCCACTTGATCGGCTAGAATGGCAGATCCAGGAAACTCAACGTATACAATGTACTCGACCGGAAGTTCTAAAATTAATTAAAAATTTTGCTTTATTTAACCAAAATTCGGTAATTATGTAGCTACAGAATCATTTACTTACTTTCTTTAAAAATATGTTCTTCCCAGTCAATTTTTCTCAGAGATAGTCTGATAATTGCGGAAACATTTTCCTCTTGATGAGTAGAGTACAATTTAAAATGGAAGCTCTTAAACAGCTCGTTTATTTGACGGATGACATATTTCTCCAGGGGCTTCGTAATTTCACATGTAATAATAGCATCGTAATATGAACTAAGGATTGCAGCGCCTAAAATTGCTAGTACGGAGGCAAACGATAATTTCCTGAAAATTTTAATTCTGTATTTTACCGAAAAAATAATGCGGGTCACGATTAGCTATCATTGTTACCGTTGTGGTGTCGGTTGTCGCACGAAGGCGATCGCGATGTCTTTAAATGTTCCCAATTTTGAGACCCCCAGGATTATGGATAGAGTTACGGATGTAAACCAGGTCCATGGATCCATAATTGTAAAAAAGTTGGTAATCATGAGCGACGACAGGGTCGGATTTTTCTGACAGTAAAGAATATAATAGTCGAGCGTCTTTTCGAGATGGTGCTGTTGACCCAGAGAGAATTCCAAGTCTTCTCCTTGCATTCCCACGTTGAACCAGGCGAACTGGTTGGTGGAATTTCTGTATAAAGTTAGCCAAATTTTTCATAACTCCAGCTCACTTATATATGGATAATACCACACTAAATACATATTTAAATATGTACATACCTTGGGGACGTAAACGTAAAATTAAGCTTCCTCGAAATAATAAGTAGAGGTCCATACGGTGGGAAACATGGAGATTTTTTGGAAATGAAGAAGCGATGATTTTCACAGTCAAAGTCCATCAAAGTTTTCCACCATCCCTGATTAAGCATCAATTTATACAAATTCTGGTTCAACTCTATCCTACTTCGAGATTGCTTTAATTCAAGTGCTGTCGGGGTCACCGGATAATTTCGATTCTCTTCTTTCACGCTGATTTGCTCCAGTTCGAGGTATTCACTTGAAATAAGGCCAGCTTTCACAACATCTCTAAAATTTAGATTTGTGTCCAAGAAATCGAAGAAAATCATATACACTGGAGCTCGATAGATTGAAAATCGTTTCAGGAAACCAACCGGAAGTAACGGCTGGACAATGGGGGATGCAATTACGTAGTATAGGACCACGTTTGTTTGCAAAGCTAGAGCTCGGAGCTCCGCGAATATTGCGAGGTTAGTGAAATAGTCGAATATCACAACTTCTGCACACGTTATTTTTGTTTTCCAAAGTTTATGCTCTCCCGACGACCTTTTTAAATATGTTGGTGATAAGTTCTTAACCACAAGTTGAGATAAATGGGCATGTGTCAAATGGTTGGTGTAAAGCAGTGCCAAATTTTCAGCTGATTTAGGATTCTCAGAATAGTTCTTATAAATGAGACCGACCTGGAGGAGACAGGAACGGTCATGGTTAAAACCAGGGAGCCGAGTTACGGATTTACATTCGAGTATGATAACAAGGAGATATAATATCGTTAAATTGGTGACCATTATTAGATTCAGTGTACATTACTTATTATGAATGTTGTTTATAAGATAGCACAACACACGATGCTAATGGATATTTCGGTTGGGGTTGTGATCACGTTTTTACGGCGTCTATGATTATGTATGAACGTAAATATGTACATATGTATCAAGTAGGTAGTCTAATAATATTTATTCCACATATTTTAAGTACGGATGCACTGTTGAGTCAATGTCAAAGTGTATGTTTCTCAAGTTCTCATCGATAAGAATGTATGTACAAATATAACCTACATACTTAAATATGTACTTGGTACCTTGTAATTTCATTTTATCCATACCATAATTACATGCATTTTTAGATACACAAGTAGTAAAGTCAGTTGAGAATCTCAACTTGAGATGCATTAACAACCTGTCGACATACTTCCATAAGTTTTCATAACGTCAAAAAATACAATGGGTTTAATTCACATAAATAAATGCTATGTAACACTCAGCTGCAGGTCGTCAACTGGAATTATTTTGTAGTGGGTACTACAATTACTATTTGCATAGTACACACTTGACGACATACATAACTAGACTGGTTCTCGTATATAAGTGTCAATGATGCACATAGTGTTTAATCATTCCGGTACGATTTGCGGTATTCCTTAAGTGATGAGAATGTATGCAGTAGATACTGATCAGTAGGATAGCATGAAGTCTTTGAGGTCATTGAAAAAAGTTGGCCGGCACAATCTTCAGGAAGATATGTATGCAACTACGGTTAGGAAATTAAAATTAGAGCCATTTCTTTATTATATTCTCATAAAGAAATTGCTTTAAGTATAATGCCTCGGCCATAGTGTTTGTGTATGAACCATCTTCAATCTATTAATAAAATAAATAATATTGTCATCAAACTTAAATATATGAGTAAGAATTAAATAATTCGACAAGCAGATCCGCCGACTATTTCAAAAGTGGAAATACTCTATTGGATTATGTTCCCCATATGAAAAGAATTAAAACTTAGCAATTTTTTCGGGCGCCAAAATTTCCCTTGGGGGGTTATGAGAATAATGGGAGATTCATATGGTGCACCTAGGGCACAGCATATCTATGGAACGGGTTGATGAAATTTCAAAAACAAAATTTTGTTAGACTCTCTGGATCAGTACCCCGATAGGTTTTTCGAACCGAGTTGGAATTCCGGCTTTCAGGGGTTTTTCCCAGCGACGCAAGATTTACTCAAAAATTAGTTTTTCGCTATGACGAAAAAGTATGACGAAATGTTCCTACGTTAGCGTTTCACCAATTTTTACTATGTTGCAAATTATTAGTAGTAGAATAAAGGTTAAATTACTCAAAAAGTCGAAATCGACCTGCGTGACCTTTTCCGGGGATCGAAAGGTCACAATGTCAAAGGTCCAATTGCCCCATAAATGGGGTATCGTTGGAAAGGTATTATCCCTCCCTCTAAGGTAAGGTCTGAAATCCCTCCCTGCAAGTCTAGAGGCAAACGAGCGAAAATCGGCAGTTGTCCAGAATTTAACACAGCAGTGGATTGGGAGCTAACACGGAAGCATGCATGGGAAAAACTCAAAAATATTCTTCTGGCTCTATGTTTGCGGGGAGTGGTCTCAGACCCCACAAAGTATACATATTCTGAATCCTCTCGCCAATACCTTTCCAACGATACCCCATTTATGGGGCAATGTGACCTTTGACATTGTGACCTTTCGATCCCCAGAAAAGGTCACGCAGGTCGATTTCGACTTTTTGGGTAATTTAACCTTTATTCTACTACTAATAATTTGCAACATAGTAAAAATTGGTGAAACGCTAACGTAGGAACATTTCGTCATACTTTTTCGTCATAGCGAAAAACTAATTTTTGAGTAAATCTTGCGTCGCTGGGAAAAACCCCTGAAAGCCGGAATTCCAACTCGGTTCGAAAAACCTATCGGGGTACTGATCCAGAGAGTCTAACAAAATTTTGTTTTTGAAATTTCATCAACCCGTTCCATAGATATGCTGTGCCCTAGGTGCACCATATGAATCTCCCATTATTCTCATAACCCCCCAAGGGAAATTTTGGCGCCCGAAAAAATTGCTAAGTTTTAATTCTTTTCATATGGGGAACATAATCCAATAGAGTATTTCCACTTTTGAAATAGTCGGCGGATCTGCTTGTCGAATTATTTAATTCTTACTCATATGCATGTACTTCTTCTTGAGCTTCACATGAATTGTGATTGAAATATGTTAAGGCCCAAAGTCAATGCCCACTATGAATTAATGTAAACTGCTTAAATAATTAACTGCATAATGAATAAACTTGCTATTTATAATGATAAAACCCAAAATCCTGAGTGCCTAGACTTCCAGTCAAGATATCTCTCATACGCAAATAATAAAATATTGAACGTACTCAAAGCAATCTTCGCATATCTCGCAAATTAAACATAGCAACATACATAGCTTGCGAAATTTGCGAGATTTTGTGAAAGTTCTGCAGGAAAATCATGAGAAGTCTCACAATTTCTAATTATCAAAAACGGTACCGAGTTTCTAGACGGCACTTTTACACATAAATGCCATAGAAATGTTTGACCCTTTAATTTAAAATTATAATTTTATACATTTACTTAAGTAAGGTATAATTTGGCAATTCCATTCAAGCCTGCAATGCTGACGAGAGAGTTATGCGGTTGGGGAAAATAGAGTCCATTATGGATTCAATTCGGATCTAATTTCCTCGATCTGAGGACCCCACTAGTAAATTACTAGTAGTAATTTAGTACTCTATTAAAACAAAACCATGGCCTTGACGCGTATTCAAAGTCGACATTTCAGGAAGTAGATATTCACTTTGGATTATTCATAATGTTGTCAACCATCTTGCACAGAATTCGATTACTTGTTTAAGTCGATGTCATTAGCATGAATTAATTATGCCTGCGGAAGTGTCGATTTGGTAAAATTTGACAAGGTAAGAATTTACAGGACTTGATTCTTATTTTAAGATAGTATATCCCAATCATGTTGAGGTTGGTGGTATAATATAATTTCTAACTGTATAATTGTGTTAACAGTAAAAACGGTACATAATCGACGAAATATTTATATTAAGTCGATTTCAGAAGCAGATATATATGCCGATATATTTACATATACATACAATTACTAAACCTGGATGTTATTGTGGATAAATAACATTCGTCGGGTATACTTAGCACATATTTATATAGCATATCCCAAGAACTTCAAAATTGGAGATTGGCAAGTGAAGCGTTATAAACCTTACGCACACTGATATTTTTATAATGAATTTAGCTACTTTTCATAATAGCTGTGATGTTACTCGAAGGATTTCAAAATTTGGTTTGACATTTGAATAATTTATGTAGATGTGCGCTATATAAATATTGAAATATTTAGTTAAATACTGTCGAATAATTCCAGTTTTAAACGAAAACATGCATATCTAGCTATTTGCTGTTTAAATTCTTCTCCTAAGCCATTCATTATTTCGTTTCAAATTTTAAACCAATGATCTCTTTTGTATTAAAATGCATAATTAATTAGCCAAGCTAACGATTAATTCAATATTCCTCCCGATTCCTGTAAATAATGACAGGCAAACATGGAGTCTAAAGGATACATAATCATGCATAGTCTTAATTTCATTCTCCTTCCGAAATGCTTCCATTCAAGATTTCTACGGTAAAACACAATTTCATATCTAAGCTATCATCATGATAGAACACGGGTTTAGCTTAATTCTCCTCCAATTAAAATATTTCTCCATCATTGGTCTCGATTTTATGTCCCGGAATGCAAAAAAGAACCAATTTTACATGACCCTCCCAAAGAACAGATTTCGACTAAAACTCTTACCATGCGTACTAATCAACGCATTAATAATTCTCACCGGATGTTACACCGTCTTTGTTCTTCGAATTGAAACATCTGAAGCCATGTTTGTAATGATATTTGTCTCGTCATTCTCAACTGCACTGATTTTTATATTCGACGTGATGCGAGATCCTGAGCTCTTCATTTCCATTCTCAATATGACGCTCAATCGGAAAGAACGGACAGATTCGAGCGTCATGAGTGGGTTTAAAAATTTAATATTCAATCAATTTATTTAAATTACAAAGTAATTCTTAATCAACTATGGCCTTTTTTTAGATTGTGACCCGTCAATGATCGCTCACGAGATAATCGGTCTGAAACTTTGTCTCGCACTCTCAATCCTCGCATCGTTCGTCGGAACTGGGTCAGTTTTACTGATAATGTTGCACAATCCGAACGCACCCCCTTTTTTAGGCTCACTTCTTGGCCCCATAGGATCGTCATGGATGGCCAGCATTGCTCACATTCTGTTAATTCCACTCCAAACGCGAGCAGTACTGACAATGTGCTTCACATTTTGCTTCACCGTGGGTCACATTTTTTTCGGAGTCGTCCTCTGTGTAATGACCTATCTGTCACAGCTGAAAATGTAATTGAAGAAAATCGCAAGTATTTTAATGTAAATTGGACAATTGATTAATGAAATTATTTTTTATCTCGAAAAAGGTCACATCTTTTTAAAGAGGGAAATCAGGCTGCTCTCAAACCCATTATGCAATGTTACGGGCAGTTCGGAATATTTGTTTCCCAAATAAATCTCGCCTTTCGATCTATCAGCTTACCAGCAATTCTCACCTACTTTTTAGTTTGCAACATTTTTGGGACGTATTTGACCGTGTCGCTGAAATCACAACTATTTCGTCACATGGGCTTCGTTCTCTTTCCATTTACCATGATGGGATCAACCGTCGGGATCATTGCGCTTGGAACGTTTGCAGGCTTGGTACATAAAAGGTCGATAGAATGCGGGTCGAAGTTGAAGAGGGCGGCGCAATTGTTTCAGGGAAATTCAAATAAAAACACTTTACGCATACTTCAACGAAGGGCTAAATCACTGGGTCCATTAAAAGTTAGATTTGCCACAAATTTCATGGAAATTATGACCCCTCTAGTTATGATAGGTTTCTGTGCAAAAACAACGGTAAGGATGTTGCTGGTGTTCTAAATATCGGCAAAATTCAATGGTGGAATTTATGTTATTGAAATTGTAAATACAACGCAATCCTAAACTTTGAAGCTATTAAAGTTTTATGCAGTTGTTTACTTAATGTCTCGTTAAATAAACTTTATAGAATAATATTGTTATCGATCACAAGTAATTTTAGAATGCAATTCATATTCCGATAAATTGTGTAAATTTATCCGATTTTATTAAACTATATACAAGTACGGGTGAAGTTCGAAAGTGGAAATATAAATAATTTTCTTAAAGTTCATTTACATTTCTATGTATGTACATACATACATATGTATTTATTTGAATTTTAGTTATAGCCACGTCTTATCAGAAAAAATAACTTCATCTTTATCTTAACCTTCATTTTCCATCGTGTAGAGAGCGTCACGCCAGAAAATCGGCATCCTCAGTCCAGCAGCAAATTTTCAGTCAGAGTTCTTTGCCCTCGAGTGAGTGCACTTGCCGTTTTCTGCCTGCTGGCTGACTTGAGAAATCTCACTCTCCATTCGACCCCTCAGCAACCAGAAGTTGTCCTTTGTAGTGAAAAATACTTCATAAATTCCCCAAAATTTCTACACTGAATACGATAACCTACTTTTTATTTCAAAATTAAATACATTAGTCAGGTCGTCATGAATCGCTTATGGACGTTGCAGATGGAGGAGCATAACACCAAGTTGGTGACTAGTAATATACCTAAGGACGTAATTCAGCCAAAGGTAAGTAAATCTGTTTTCAATTAATCTTAAGGAATGGGTAAATATTCACTAAATTAATATTATTTTAAAGAGCTGGGATGAAATGCCTTGGAAAAAGGCACCATTACCTAGTTTCAAGCAAAACAAGGAAATCGTGACTGGAAAGCAGTGCAACAAATTTGTGGTGGAGTTATCAGCCCGGACGAGGGATGAGGTCCTGCGGCCCGGCATGAGGAACCAGACGAAGAAACCGACCCTGCCGACCTTCGAATTTATCTTTAGCTGATCTGTGTAACATTTTCAAGCTTCCTGTTGTCCAGCTCGAGTCAAATGGAGTCAACGTTGTGAAGAGTTAAGTTTTGGGCAAATTTACAGACTGTACATATAGGTATTATAATTTTCTCACTACATTTCATACTTCGTTTTGGAAGTAGATCAATTAATATTCGTAGTACAAAAACTTCAATTAATTATATTCATTCTTTTTGGAACTACTCATCGGTTTATGTCAGAGATAAAAAGTTTTTTGTCGCGTATTGTTATTTTTTTTCGCCATCGTTGTGCCTACAATTTCGAAATTACCTGAGTTTAATTAGTTTGGAAAAAATCGGCGATCTCATGTGGGTATGTATAATAAATATATATGTTGATTCAAATCATTTGCCCCACGCTTTGTAAATTATGAATTTAGCAATATAAATAAAACGTTACCTTTTGATAAATATCTAAATACATACATACATACGTCATTCAACTGTTAACATTTCCTTGCTGGTTATCATTAGACAATCATCAGGCATAAAAATGGCTGTCTGGGAGAAGACATGGAAACTGGCAAACCGGTCAATTTATGTGGTCATGATTTCAAAAGTGAGTAAATAACGCTCCTTTCGTGTTTGTTGAAAATGTAATACATAAACATACTTAATTTAGTACTGACTTTGGTTTAGTTTCGACTGATCGGACTAATTTAAGATATTTATTGAACATGGAGTATTTCAAATTGATTTTGTAATATTCCAATGACACGAATATACCTGCGGTGTACAATTTCTATTTGTGTTCTGAACTATAATAAAATCAAAATGGTAACTGTTGAGATCCGACCAATCTACCCGATTTAGCTTTCACTCTCAAAAGAAACAGGATTTCGAAGCACAGTGAAAAGAACGTAGGAGATGTAAAGTTATAAAAATCTATTTCTCTGATTCCAAATAGCTTGAAATCCGCAAATAAACTGATGATAACTCTTTGGCTTTACTCTCAAATCAATTTATTTCAACGAGAAATCAACTATATGGACTAAACAATTATTAATCAAATATTTTTAATTAAGTTTTTGCGGAAGAGGAATCTTAGCTCTCCTTAACTTCTACACACCGACCACTAAAAAATACTTCCCACTTCTCTCAACAGAACCCACGCGTCCCTTTTTCCTCACTATCCCACTTACACTCTTATTTCCGCATCCCTCACCCGCTCGATATTGAACATACCATTTTTCATGGGCATCTTATGTTCCATGAAAATGCTATTCTATAATGGCATATTATTAATTTTATAATTAAAATTACAGCATACTAATAACTCTACATATCATTTGACAACTCCTAACTACTATTAAATTCAAAATGTATCGAGAAAATTACTCAACGAGTAATTTGATAACTCCCACACATGCCAATTCCGTTTTCATACTGATCATAAATTAATGAGTAAAAATTTAACAATATTATTATGCTATGCTTTTAACAGTAACTGAATATCTTTTTCGCCGTCAAAACAATCGAATTTCAGAAAATGTGATTATAAAATCCTTGCAAAAGTTATGATTTTAAAATTCATTTTTCAACAAAGCTTGTTACGATAATAATCCAAAACGGCATAAATAAATAGTTGACTAGATATAAATAATTTAGGACGTGTAAACAGGTTGCATATAAGAAATGCAATATTTTCTTAAATTAATCTCAACTTGGACATATATGTACATAGATATTTATACGTAAGTTTAACACGGTTATTCCGGTGTAGATTGCGGTCGGTGATTGAGTTACTTATTGTACTTCCCATCAACCACGTCTTGATAGAGGACTCCCTGAAAAGACCATTTACTGACTTTAAACTTTATCACTTTAAACCAACCTTGTAAAACTTGTAAAAGTGTATGCACTACTCACATCAATTGCCCAAGTCAAATAGTCCAGGAGACCCTTGTACATATCGTTCCTTCCTGCCTGGTCAATTTTGGCGGTCAAATATGTGCCATAACTGTCCAAAATTGTTTGAACTCGATCGGTGATGGGAATGTCAATTCCTGGCGTGAGCCCCCACACCTCGGACGACCTGTTTTCGTAATGGCGAACATAGCCGTGCACATTTTGGAGCCACATTGTCCCATCGTCGTTGATGTTGAGCCAGGGGGACATGTCCATCAAATGGCTGCTCCCTCCCCATGGGTATGCCGTCCCGTTCGGAAATCCCTTGGTTGCTTGGACGAGATACGATCCATTTCCACCAATAGGAAGATCAGTGCCCAACAAATAAGGCATGAAACCGGAAGTTGAATAGTTGCCTGACCAGTCAAAATTTCAACAATCAGATTTCAAAATTTCATGCAAAAAAGATTAGTATGCATTTTATAAAAAATGGTAAGAGTTTCTCAACAAATAATTTGTAATATAACAAGTCTCACCATAATGCATATAATCCGGAAAATCTAACAAGAAATGCAGCGTCACACCCCACTGATCAATAGCTGTAGTAACGTTTTTGATCTCAAACTTGGATAAGCCCCAAATTTCTCCATCCCTAAAAAAATATATAATGCAAAATATGTCTTCTTTTACCCCGAGTGATCTAGATATGTAAAGTTATAGATTCTTACCAAGAAGACGCCACCCCCATAGATTCTAAGAATCCAAAAAAGTTCCTATACTCCCAATCATGGTTTCTTGGCGTATCGGGAAGTGGGTCTAATATCGGCATTCCAATTTCTGGGTGACCGGTTTCCATACGGTCACGGAATTCTTCCAAGAGGCGTTGAAAGTAGGCGGAGATGTTTTCTTCTGGACCTGCTTGCTGACCTGAAAAATATTTAATAGTCAAAATTTCATTTCGAAAATCGCGTTTTAAGATAAATGCAATATTACAATAAAAAAAATACTTACCATATGCAAACGCGAATATGACAACCAAGCAGAAAATAAGACCCCTCATTTTTCTCTTAAATTTTACAAGACGTTCCTGCAGAAAATGTGTTCAGTTGCCTGAATAGAAGTGAAATCTAAAAACGTCCAGCCTCATTTATAAATAAGTAATGCAAAAAGTTAATCTTATCTCACTTGTACTTTGAAACGTGTCGCACCAGATGAATGGATTGATTCATTGATTAATTAATTATTTATATAAATATTCGTTAACAGTTGTCAAATATTGAACTTATTTATCTCGATATGTTTGGGAGTGGGGAAGCATGCTTTTACTTGATAATAATTTAAACACGTTTTATCGATAAAAGTGGGTGTGTTTAATTATGTATGTGAATAATCATAATCAAAGCATAACAGGTGAGATTCATCCAGAGTTTGAATTCCAATATCGTACGATGATGTTATATACATATGATGCAATTGTGTTGATAAGATTTAATACTAATGACGTCAAATGGAATACTTAGGGATGGTAATCCGTATCCTAAATTAACCGATCCGTAGGATAGGATCGGATAAATACAGGATCGGATCGGATCGGATTTGCTCGCTTTAGGATCGGATCGGCTCCCGGTTCTACTCGAAATCCGATACGATCCGATCCTAGGATATCCGCGGATGATATGTGTGAGACACCTTGTGTCTAACTATGGAAAAACTTTACCAGCTGCTTTTCTTTATTTATTGGAACGGTTTTTGGTGAGTTCATCACATGGCGTACATTACCCGAATGAGCCGAATTATCCTATTATTTTACACCAGTTATTTTTATTTTGGCGTTCAAATTATTCAATTTAGTATGATTTCAACGCCAAAATAAAAATAACTGGTGTAGAATAATAACATAATTCGGCTCATTCGGGTAATGTACGCCATGTGATGAACTCACCAAATGTGAAACGAGTTTACATCGGATGATCCGAGGATCCTGTGCGATCCTAGGATTTCATCGGTTCGGATTGGATCGGACTGTCTGATCCTCGGATCCTCTATCCGATCCGTGTGAAAATCCGATCCTATCCGAGTTTTTACGATCCTAGGATAGGATCGGTTACGGATTACCATCACTAGGAATACTCGAATAGATGAGTGAATAATAATAAGCATTTTCATTATTGGTAAAACACCATAAGAGCTCTGTAATTGCATTTAAGTTTTAATTATATGGAATTAGGTATGTAGTATACACAAATAAGTTTATGACACCATAGAAGAACTTCAGTTGGAAATTAATCAACAGAAACGATCTAAAACATCAATCTTGTAACTTTGTGGACTGTAGCCTGAAAAAGTATGTATTTGCATATACGAATATACATGTGAATATGAATGTGAACATATACTAATTTGATACACACAAATTGCATAACTGAATAGAAAATAAATACGAGTATAAAAAATGCACACGAGGAAATTAAAATAGTTTTAAATGCATGCACAATTAAATTGGTTCTTATTTACATAGATACATACATTTGTATACATTTGTATGTTTGTACTACTGTGTATGCACATACGAACTAGAACTACATATGTATACATGTATATATAAATATTATATAATGAGTATTTAAACTTTCTTAAATTATTTCCATCCTTCCAAGTTCTATTGTACTCTCGCTGTACTAATGCTCAGAAGACTTATGTATTTCACAACATAATTCCAGAAATTACACCGCAACCGGTTCAATTTTATTTTCAAAATCCACATTGCAATTCTCATCAAATCCAGACAACCCTGTAGCTTGTCGTCCATTCATCTGTGCAGATTTCAAGTAAAGTCCAATAATTGCTGCACATGCTGTAAAAATCCCCGTATCAATCGCCATATAGCCAAATACGAGAGGGTCGAACAGTTTCACAGATCCATCCACAGCCACAAATCCAAGAACGGACAGCAAAACCACGACGAGACAGAACTTGAAGGTGACAAAACTCTTGAATGAGGAAGAAGTAATTTCTGGAGATTCCTGTACGATTATAAATCATTCTTAAACGCAATTCTCAAATAAATATATAAAATTGAATCTTACATCTTGTGTGATGCCAGAGAAAATGGAATAAGCCAGCTTGACCATGAACAATTTTGACAGAGTAACCGGCAGCGCAACGACAATTATGAGAAAAACTAGACCAGGGCTGTGACACTATTTTCACAATAAAATATTAATAATTTAATAGATTTCAGATTGTGCAATATTTTAGAATTGGTTAGTTTTCATGCTTACTTCACCATTCCAACTCATTATACCACCTGTAAGAAGGATCATGCCAAGAGCGACGTGACAACCATCGTAAGCCTGTGGGGAGAACGTATCAAATACACAAAATAATTATTAAATATGCAAATTAATTGATACACAAGTTTCAATTTGTTCACATACGATTTGAATAATTGCAAATGCAATTGCCCAGCCACGTAAAGTGCAATAATTTCGGAAAACCCGATCGGATTCTCCAATTCGGGTGAACGCCATGACTTCAAAATTTGAGACCAATACGTTGATCAAAAATTATAAATAGTAATTTAAGCTCTCATTCTGCTGTGAGTCAACTGCGAACAAGAGAAAGTCGTATGTTGTGTAACAGAGATGATTTATATGCGTGTGAGTGGATGAGTAACTTGTGTGGGACGACTCCTCCTCCACAGTTCCGGGGGATCGATATTTACCCGGGTAATGACCCGGGTAGGGATTACCACGCAATGGAACAAAGAAATAAACAGGTAGTGCTCATTATGAATACGGATGCATATTTGTATGTAAACATATATACATCTCTAAATATCATGATTATGTTGCTCAAGTAGAAAATTACACCAGACTTCCTTCATTAGTAGCTAAATGCTTAATATGTACTTAATATGTAACAATTGTCTTTATTGCGTTTAATATGTATGTACTTAATATGTAACAATTGTCTTTATTGCGCCACGATTGAGACAAATGAGACGAACTATTCCTGAGATAGGAATCGTATGCCAAAAATTTTAATGAATTTAAAAATCCTGTAGTACACGGAATTTTTCATGAAAAGAAGCATATTAATCAACCCACATCAATGGGACGTTTGAACTGAGGGATCAATTAATTTATTCAAAAGAATAAATTCATTTCCAGTTTTGTCTTCAGAAGTTCAGACACTAGGTAAAATATGGTTCAGATAAATTTTCAGAACCAAGGACCTGCCCATACTGACCACAAGTATCCATTAGCAATATAATAAAAGAAAGATGACGCCTTCATTTTCGGGAAAAAAGTGCCGACAAAGTTTATTTTTACAGGTCTTGTGTGAAGCCAAAAATATTTCGGCAACGTACAAGTTAGCTCATGTCAGGTCACTTTAGGATACTAAACAATGCGTACCTTTATGCTAGAAAATGCACATGAGGACTTTTTTTGCTATGGACCCCCTGAAACATTTGTATTTAAATTTTGATAAATTATAATATTAGCTAGTGAAGTATGTTCAAACAAAGCAAAAAATGCGTGTTAAAACAATCCACATGTCAAGGGTACCTCTGAGGGACTTATTACATCTTTTACACATATCCCTTCATTGTGGGCCAACCAGAAGTCGTAAAAATATGGGGTTTGGATATTTTTTATCTAAATACGATTGTCTAAAACGAACTTCAGTAAGGAGCTGCTACGTGACCTTTTTGACCTAAAGTTTGACCTCTATAGAAATTAAGTTTTACAGTTTATTAGCATACCAATTTTATCGCAATACATGTAAATTTAGAAGGTCAAACTTTAGGTCAAAAAGGTCACGTAGCAGCTCCTTACTGAAGTTCGTTTTAGGCAATCGTATTTAGGTAAAAAAATATCCAAACCTCATATTTTTACGACTTCTGGTTGGCCCACAACGAAGGGATATGTGTAAAAGATGTAATGAGTCCCTCAGAGGTACCCTTGACATGTGGATTTTTTTAACACGCATTTTTTGCATTGTTTGAACATACTTCACTAGCTAATATTATAATTTATCAAAATTTAAATACAAATGTTTCAGGGGGTCCATAGCAAAAAAAAGGCCTCACATATTATTAATAAACTGTTCGCAATGGAATATGACCATTAAACTCATAACTGGGCTGGGGTTTATTTTTTATGGACTAAATAAATATGTAAGAAACTATGTACTGAAACTGAAACAAGTAAAGGTTTTGCTAGCCATTAGCAATCGTAAGTTCTTCTTTCATTTCAAAAGGAATTGGAAATTCTAAATTTTATTAATGGACTGTTCGTATTCCAATTCTAACGAGGGAACCTTTTGTACTGCCCGGAGCTCCCAGCATATCCACTGTATACATTAGACGCGTTTTTTAATACTAGTCCTATGATGTGACAAAATCTCCGTGTCAAAATGATATTTGGTCAAGCGGTGACGATTTTAGTGACGCGCCGAACGGTCACTTTCTCCCATGATTTCAATAGCGCAGCTACTTTTCGCCACACGCTACTCATCTTGCTACTGAATTCTCAACTAATTTACTCACTGAGCACACTGGTACTTAATTTAACTATATTTACATTATCACTACAATTTATTATTTATAGCTTATCAATGTTATTTTTGCGTTCGAATTTGAAAGTTGCAAAATGTTCACGCGCACTTTTTTGAAGAAAAATCCCTCTACTTGTTTAAATTCATAAGAAGTTGCTATATTTTTTCCGAATAGTTTTTAAACTCCAATATTTTAAAGGAAAAAAACAATATTGAAACTTGTAAATGGTAAATAAATTGTAATGATATTGTAAATATACATAGTTAAATTAGATGCCAGTCTCATCGGTGAACAAATGAGTTGAGATTTCAGTGAGATGAGCGTGTAGTGAAGAGGTGAAAGGGTACCTGCACTACTAAAAGCATGGCTACCGTGACCGTTCCGCGCGTCACTGAAGTCGTCACCGCGTGACCAAATGTCATTTTGACACGGAGATTTTGTCACATCATAGGACTAGTATTAAAAACTGCGTCTAATGTATATAGTGGATATGCTGGGAGCTCCGGGCACTATAAAAGGTTCCCTCGTAAGCTACATACATATTTATCCAAAGAGTGTATTTATTACAGTGAAATGGGAATACTACAGGTTGGAGAGCACTTCCATTCGTTTGAAATAGTTCATATTCATTTTTTATCACATTTTAATTTCATTAGTCACAGGCACCAGTCAGTTTATGGAAATATATTGCTCTCACATAATTACCCACATTCCCATCATTTTTATATATGTAACAAGGCCAATAAAGCCGACATTAAGAAATTTAATACTTCAATCCAAAACCGATATGACACGAATTATTTGGGCGATTGCACTACTTTCAGCAGTAATAAATATATATAGCTATATTAAATATATATATTTATAATATATATATATATTGTATATAGTTAAGCTTTTGGTTTAGTTTTTATTACTTATATAATTCATCCAGCCTTCATTGTTTCTACGCACGATTTATAATTACTTATCTTTTCACAATAACCAGGTCAAAAAGTACCTGGCAATTTTGGGTACATAAAAAATCATTAAGCAAAATAAATATTTATGTTTTGTGACTGCATTAGTTAACAATGTTACATAGATAATTATGTCATATCTCTCCATTATGCATGTTGTGGCGTCTGCTCTGAGAACACCACTGGGTCAGTCCCGGTCAGATACCCTCTGACCAGCGTTACACCGAATTTGACGTGGGGGATGATTACTACGAGTAGGAGGTCAGCTCATAAATCCACTCAGAGTAGCAAAATAAATATAACATAAAACTTGTTATAAATCTCTTAAATAATTGCTACTTTATTTACTGTGGATTAATTAATTGTGAACATTCTCTCAAAAACACGTCCACATTACTTGAGTACTTTTAACGAACTAAAAATGAGGGCCAAGAAAACAATGAGATGACGAAAGACTGCGCTCGTGCGGGACACTCAAATGTCAGGGGCAACCTAAAACTAACATTCATACATATCATCTCAATCATAACTTTTACATGAAATATTACATACATTACTATTACTCATCAGATTCGACACATGTGCATACAAATCAGTAACAAAATCTGACCTAGCCAATGCATATCACATACAGAATTCACTCGATTTGATTTTCTATTGGGAGCAAGTTATCATACTGAATAATAAATTAGTTATTAATGTTACGTTTACATATTGTATGATTTATTTCATCACTCTTTTAGGCTTCCGGCCCATAGAGCACATCAAGAAAAGTTTACATCATTTAGTATGTTTAGGTTACGAAGCAAATTATAGCCGGGTTGAAGTATTTGCATGGAAAGAAGATCAATCATCGAGATTTGAAGCCTTGCAATTTGCAAGACTTCAAATCTCGATTGTTGCAATATTTTTTGCAAGATGGTGGCTACTGATGGGTCAATTTGGAAACTGGAAAATTTTGGCCTCGCAACGCGACAGAGTGACCAACCTGGGGGGAATATGGCTGTTGTGGGGACCGGCGCCCAAAACTTGGTGAATTTTCCGCATATGGGCAAGTGCCGCACTAAATGTTGTATCTAAAGAGTTGCTACTTCAAACTAGCATGGACAAAAGATAATCTGGGTTGAACATTGTGTTCCCATTGCGAGTAGTTTTTCTGTAACTCTCATTTTATGGATTTACTTTGACATTAACACAGAAATCAAGGGTTATAATCCCCTAAAATTTATTTGAATCGACCAAAATTGTATAAATAATATAATGAGATAAAATTCCATTTATGATTCTCTTTGTAAGATCTGGGTTATAAAGTCCTTGTAATTTGATACTTTTGTGTAAACTCCAGGATATTCTAATCATCGAAATTAAGAAAATAGAAATTAAAACAATCAGACGCTTACAAAGTTTTGTACTTTATGGAACTTACTTGGATCGGCACACCCATATCCCCAGCTAACAATACCATCTTGTACTCCATCCACCACAAGTGGACCACCAGAATCGCCTTGACATGAATCCTTTCCGCCTTCTGATAACCCAGCACACAACATATTGTCCGTGATGGCCTTATCTCCGTAAGCCGCTCGACAATCTGCCACTGAGACAATGGGGACTTTCACCACGTGCAGTTGAGTAGGCAAGGACCCACCAGACGATGTGGTGCCTAGATAAATATTCGCAAATCACAAGTGAAACAGTGCTAGCTATATTTTATCATCTAGTGATGACGACTATTTTTCGAATTATTAATGACCCTCTCAACAATCAAATAGAGCAAACTTGTTCTTAAACTAGTGTAATTATTCAAAATGATCGCATCGCAATTGATAAATTTGATAGTTTATAATGTATTACAGTAAATCTTTGATCTCAATATACCCCCAGAAATGGATTATCATGGAGATTAATTTCAGCTATTCGAATGCTTATTCATAAACTTACCCCAGCCCGTAATAGTGGTCAGCGTTCCGGCCGAAAGCTCAGATCCGGATGGGGCTGTCGCAATTATCTGAACTTGAGGTCCAATGGTGACAGAACTGCTCAACTTTGATTAAAAAATGACTAAATTCAGCTAAAGAGTTGATGCAGGAACATTGCACAAACTGGGATTTTGGTTTACCTCTAAAATTGAAACGTCGTTATTGAGATTGCTACGGTTGAAGGAGGGGTGTTGATGGATTTCAGAAACCTGAATGACCTGACCCCCACAGCCTCGAGTTGAAGTTCCCACACGGACGGATAGTGACGAGGCTGATTGTCCATTGGTACAGTGTCTGGAAAAATAGTGTTGAAGAAATGGAAATTTTTGCATAATCACCGCTTAATATTTTTTTCTTACGCGGCTGTAAGTACATGTTTGGGCGATATTATGGAACCCCCACAAAAGAAGGAACCTCGATTTTGAAGTTGAACCTGGTACGGGTAATCCTCGATGGTGGTTGGTTCTCCACCAACTATTTTATCCTCTTCATTTTCTAACGGTGCTAAGGGGCTCGTTATGTCGGACAAGGGACGGCCAATGGGGGCGATCTCCTCAAACCAAGAGGCATCCAACTCGGAATCATCGGGCTGTAAAGGGAAATAGTTTTAATTTAGTTTGTACATACATTTGTAGGCATATGTAAATTACTATTAACGACCTTACTTTTAGGGAACGTCCCGATACTCCAACGACTAAAAGTAGTGCAATCGCCCAAATAATTTGTGCCATTTTGGTGTTGGGTAGAAATATTAAACTTCTCAATGCCGGCCTGAATATCAGCCTTGTCAAAAATGATAAATGTAAATAATTATGTACGAGCAATATTTAGACCGACTTGTTCCTTTGGCAAATGAAATGAAAATGAGGTGAAAAACGAGTATGAACCATTTAAAATGAAACAAAATATTTAAGTACCCTTAAATCTGTGGTGTTTCCATGCATACAAAAGACTGAACTGTAATAAACTCACTCCTTTCACTCATCCTCAGTCCTTTGTCTTTGAAAGAATGGCTTAGGATTTGAATATTTACGAGCAACGAGCAGCCTCTTGGAATTTCCACGCCTTTTTGGAATGAAAAAATAATTTATGACTGATAACGGGTAACAAACCGTTTTATTTTTGTAATACAAATATGTGGCTTTGCAAATATGTAGTCTAGTCTGGTGTCTGGGGAGAAAGAGAAAACCTTTTCTTGTTTAATTTTAAGGGTGATATTCGATTGGATCACTTTGGCGTACACACATGTTCCAGCACTAAGGATAAATAAATTCCTAAATAATAATCCATATTTACTTAATAATACGTGCATACATTTGTTTATGCATTCATATGTACGATTAGGTTTTTTAAATTTCAGAGAGCTTTGCTTTGAATTTTGTGTGGCGTTGGCCATTTAGCCTTTAAAAAAATTGAATCTAATCTAACAATGAATACTCTGTAAATACATACTTACATACAATTTATACTCCAATAAGTAAAAGCTATCATTCATACATATGTACGGTATGTTTCAAAGCAATCAGCCTCCTAAAAATAAGTGTCTCATTGACGCCCGGTTTATACCTTCGTAGTTCGTCGCCCCATAATGTAATAAGAGTTTACAGAGAGAATCATAAATGGAATTGTATTTCTTTATTTAAACGATATTTAAATTATTCGATATATATTTACTTTAAATGTCTATGTACATATATGCATGTAACTATCTTCATAAAAACACTTCTTCACATTGGTTCCATTCGCACGTGCATTATTTGAGTAATCCGTAAATCTAACGCTTCACAAGTCAATCTCAAACTAGGTCTTGTCTTTAGCAATGAATTTATCGCTTCCACAAACGATTTACAATTATCCTTCGTATGTCTGTCAATTTCCTTGTGTCTCTCCTTATCACCAAGATTTCTCAGCTTATTAAAAAGATTGAATCTGCCCCCCTTACTCCAGGTTCCATGATTATGGCTCATTTCCGCAAGGATAAGGCCCAAACTGTACATATCCGTCTGTGTCGTGTAGCCTAAATCTGCCAGCATTTCTGGACTGGAGTAAATCTTTGTCCCCACAACAGCCATATTCCCCCCGGGTTGGTCACTCTGTCGCGTCGCGAGGCCAAAATCTCCCAATTTCCAAACTGCCCCGCCAGTAGCTTCCATCTTGCAGAAAATATTGCTAGGCTTCAAATCTCGATGAATGATCTTCTTTCCATGCAAATACTTCAACCCGGCTACAATTTGCTTCATGATATGTTCAAATTCAAATCCCGTTCTTCCAATGTGTCCCAATTCTAGCAAATTTTGCAACGTGGAATCGCAAAGCTCCATTCGAATGAAGATGTAACTCATGGGAAATTCGTACGTGGACGAAGCCGACTGCAACCAGTGGTCCTGGCTCAGATAACTGATCAGGCGGGATCTGTCTAATGGCGCCGTTTTGCAGTCCGCAGCCTCTGCCCAACATCCATAGTATCGGATGATGTTATCGCAGCTCAGTTTGTCCAGAATATCGATTTCGGTAGCCAGATTGGACAACTGGTGAGCACCGAAGCCTTGCACCGACGCGGCGCTGAAGGATCGAAATGTGGCCACAGCTTTGGGAATGTCGACACATTTTATGGCGAATCCGGCACATTCGTGAAAGTCTTTTGTGTCGATGGCTTTGTACACTTTGGCGAACGAGCCCTTTCCAATGGTTCCTTTGCAGATTAGGGAGCTAATTGATTTCCAAGGTGATGGAATAGTTTGTTCTGAGAGAGGAGAGGTGAATTCGGCAGAAAATTCTATGGGTTGTAAGTCACTGTCTGATTCAACATCTGTCAAGGCTACGCAAAACATACCTTGGACAAATTTGTGGTGTAAGGAAGGCATGAAAAGTATATTATGTACCAGAAGTTTTAGAGGGTTCATCCAATATCGTCATTTGTCTGGAAATATATCTGGCTATAATATAGACTACGGCTGCAATAGTTCCCACGACGAGGACGATTGACACCAAAATGAAATCGAATTTTGGCTTCCTTGTAACTAATAATAGTTAAAATCCAATAATTATCTATGAAGTGATGAATTTTTGGAAATTATTTTGATTTCTAACCTTCGGAAGTCTCATCAAATGTGTCTTTTATCGTCACGTCCTGTCCGCCGTCACAAGCATTTCTTCCAACGTTTAATCGATCACTAGAAATGCATCGTGGTTCGGAATTACGACCACAGAAAACTTCTCCCACGCCACATTTAAAGTTGCGCTCACATAATTGTACGTTTTCATCAATACCGTTTAAACATTCGACCTGCCGGTTACACAGTTTATCTTTTGACAGACATGTTCCATCCCCGCATGAAAATTCCGTTAAGTTGCAGCTTTTACAAAATAACATAAATTATAGAAATTCATGAACATGGACAATACACACGATAAGCACTTATGAATACCTCTCGCTGGTCCGCAACCAGCTTAAAGTTTCACGCCTCCAAACCTCGAAAAAATATTTCTTCCTGGGTCCACAACTTTCCATTGGTTTGTTATTATTAATTTGACCCATGGAATAGTAAGACGATCCGTTTATTAGTTGGGCAGGACCGACGCCCCAATAAATACAATTTTCCATTCCTGCCAGTAAATTACCGAAAATTATGTAAAAGTAAACTTACTTCAAAACTTAACCTATTTCTCTAACCTTCGTCTACTGTGGCGCAAAATGTGTCATCGTATGGAAGAACAATCCCTGGAAGGATCCAGGAAAACATGCATGTCCAATAGTTAAGCAGGCGCAGTTTCATGTTTAACTGAACCGTGCCATTCTTTGCCCATCCGACGAGGTTAAACGTGTTTGGAGCGGTCTTGTCGGTCAGTTGGGTGGCTTCGAACATTTCCGTGTCAGGTAAACATATCGGCTTTATACGAGTCGTCAGTGTCAGCGGGGCATCCAGGTAGACGAGAACCACGACATTTTTCAAACTTGCGGCCGGTCTGGATTTTACACTTGGGTCCATCGACATGTGCGATACCTGAAACAATTACACATTAAGAACAGTTAAAAATTTTGCTTAAACAGTATGCTCATTTTTTCATGCCTTCATGGTAACACTGTTTTCGTCCTCAGCTCCCCATTTCTGTGACCCCACGACAGCACTGTAAGTCTCAAAGGGTGGAACTGACTTGATTTCGGTGCCCTTTGCGAAATTATTCACGGCTAATCGCAAGAAACAGATTTAATAAGTTTGAAATTAATCTCTTAAATTATGTAGTCTTGAAATATCACATATTAACAAAAGTGATGGCGATACGAGCAGGGCCGGAATCACTTTACTCGCGTTTGTTCCAATGAGGAAGGCTGACCATGGGGCGTGAGAATGAGCAGGGTCAGATGAATTAAAATTCCAAGAACCACACTCTAGCGAAACCTGCAGGTCATTAAAATTGAAATGTTACGTGATTATGACATGTACTTACTTTCAAAAGTATAAATTCTGATAAGTTAAAAAGTTCTTGCTTCAGAAATCATGTGACCAATCCTTAAATTTAAAAACAATACAAGTCCACTAATATTAATAAGTCGCGTAAATTTGTACGTTTTGAGGATCATTCTAAAAGTTAAATAACTTGTATGTTACATTTTGATGTGTATAATCTCTTTTGAATTTAAAAAAATTGAATAAAATTACACGTCAGCAATACATGTTGATTCATTTTTATGTGGTGATCTTAACAACGCTGCATATTTAGATGTAAATTCTGGTGATTGCATTTTACTGATCAAGAATAGGATTTATTCCGTCATGATGGAATAAAAATTGGTTAAAGGTGTGAATTAACATAAACCTTTGTCATTAAATAGTTCAGGATGTCTGGCGATAGTGTGTAGTATCAGAAACATGAAAATCGCTTAAGCTTAAACCTCGTACTATGTATGTAAATAATTAACCCCCCGGAATAAATAAATTGCAGTTGACATTGAAAAAATTATATAGTTAAAATTCAAATTTAGAAAATGTACTGAAGAAATTTAAAATTAAATTGTTGTGTTAAAAATTATGGCTTGCTGAACAATGTTTCTAATTTTTAACATTTGTGTGGTAGAAAACAAAACTGTACGAGCATAAAAGTAACATTAGTTAGTGATTATTTATTATTCACTACGATAATTTACTCCCAATTGAATATCAAATAAAGAGAATTCTGCACATGTGCATACATACGTACATTTTTATGTACCTGTTGACTAGGTCAGGATTTATTACTTGACAAATGTATGTATGCAAATGCATGGAAAGATGCGACATGTAATTAATCGTACTTAATAATGTTGACCTTATGGAGGTCATACAACATAAATAGTTATTTTATTTCATAATTCTTTGATGTACCCAAAATTGTCACGTAGTTGTATATTGGCCTGGTATTGTGGAAATATAATTGAAAATCGTGCGTAGAAATAATGAATGCGCTGCTAAAGAAAAGATTTATTTATTCAGGTTGAAGTGTCATATTAGTCAAATATTTCAAGTAGGAATGGAACCAGTGTGATGGCATATAAAAGTATATATTTACATAATTTAGAAATGTTTTAAAATTTTTAAGGAAATCAAATTACAAACTTCGGTTCTCTTTATTTGCTTTGGCTTAAAAAAGACCGATAATTTGATACTTTAGTGTAAACTCCAGGGTATCCTAATCAGTGAAATGAGGAAAATATATGTCAAAATGTTTATTCGGCTACGAAAATGTCTATTTTATGAATCTTACGTGGATTAGCACACCCATTTCCCCAGCTAACAATACCATGTTGCACTCCATTGACCACTAGCGGACCCCCAGAATCGCCTTGACATGAATCCTTTCCGCCTTGTGGGAACCCAGCACAGAACATATTTTTTGTGATGGCCGAGGATCCGTAAGCCGCTCGACAATCTGCCATTGAGACGACGGGGACTTCGACCACTTGGAGTTGAGTAGACAGGGAGCCACCAGAGGATGTGGTGCCTAGAAAATATAAATACATCAATACATCAGAATCTTACTTTCAAAATTGCTTTAATCTCAATGTCGCCCCGGAAATACATTATCAGAGACATTGATTTCGAACTGGCTGGTATTCAACTAACAACAGGTCGAAAAAGATATTTGAAGGCTTAATTATATAAATATTTACCCCAGCCGGTAATAGTGGTCAGCGTTCCGATCGAAAGATCAGTTCCAGCTGGAGCGGTCTGAATGATTTGAACTTGAGGTCCAATTGTGACAGAACTGCTTAACTTTGTTTAAAAATGGATAAATTCAGTCAAATACTCGATGCAGTAACATTTTAAGATATGTAGAGTAAATTTATATATTTACCACTAAAACTGAAATGTCGTTATCAACAGTTGAATCGTTGTAAGAGGGATTTTGATTGATGCGAGAAACCTGAATGACCTGACCCCCACTGCCTCGAATTGAGCTTCCCACACGGACGGATAGTGAAGATGCTGATTGTCCATCGGTACAATGTCTGGAAACCACATACATCGAAACAATGGACATTTTTGCATTTTTTATCAATAGTTAATCTTCCCTTACGCGGCTGTAAGAACGCGGTTTCGCGATATTATGGAGCCCCCACAAAAGAAGGAACCGTAAGATAGAAGTTGAACCTGGTACGGGTAATCCTCGATTGTGGTGGGCTTGCCACCAACTATTCTATCCTCCTCGTTTTCTAGCGGTAACAAAGGGATTGTCATGTCGGACAAGGGAAGGCCGATGGGGACGATCTCCTCAATCAAAGAAGAATTCAAACCGGCGTCAACATCATCGGGCTGTAAAGGGAAATAGTTTTAATTTAGTTTGTACATTTGCATGGACCGATTACTTTTAAAGGCTTTACTTTTAAGGATCCTCCCGACACTCGGACGAATAAAAATAGTGCAATGGTCCAGATAATTTGCGTCATTACGGTTTTGGAATTTTAAATTTCTGAACACCGACCTTAATCAGTCTTGCTAAAAATGATACATACAAACGTAGCTATTTACGTAGGAGCAATATTTAAACCGACTTGTTCCTTTGGCGAATGAAATTAAAGTGTGGTGGAAAACGAGTATGAACTACATATTTAAAACGAAAGAAATGTCCTTAAATCTGTAGTACTCTCTTGCCCACAAAAGGTTGCACTATAATAAACTTTGATGAATAGAATTTGGATACAACCAGTCCGTAAAATTTTGAATTTCCATTCCCTTTTGATTTGAAAAAGAACCTTTCAGTTATTTCTTGCATACAATGTGTGTGTAGGTACATTTATGTACCTAGGTATATGTAAATATGCATTTCGTGAATAAAAAAGAAAACCCAGCCTAATTTTGACTTGAAAAAGGTCATATATTCCATTCTGATCAGTTTATTAATAATACAATACATACACACATATGCTTAGATAAAAGTCCTCATTGTTCAGATATGAGAATCCTAAAGTGACCTAAATCAAACATTTCAAGTTTACGACGGGAACAGTGTGAAAGACGGAGAAAAGCTCAATTGGATGCGTGACTTACAATACATTGCATATTAATTAGACCCATACATATTAACATACTTATGTATATTGCATAGTCAATTACATATTTTCATAATTTTGCAATGTTTTTCAATTCAAAAATTATGCTTCTCTTTATACGCTATGGTGTAGAAAGACTTGTAATTTGATACTTTCGTGTAGACTCCAGGGTATTCTAGTCAATGAAACGAGAAAATATGTCAAAATGTTTAGTCCGCTAGGAGAATGTTTTTTATGAATCTCACTTGGATCGGCACACCCATTTCCCCAGCTAACAACACCACGTTGCACTCCATTGACCACTAAAATTATGACATTTTCGACCTTAATAACTTTGCACTCTGCAATAAATATATCTTTTGTTTTAATGGGTGGCGCCCAACCGGCGGATTGAAGCTTTACTTTGACAGGTTTACATATCTATATAAAACTGACAATTAACATATTTCTTCAACAATCCATCAATGTCACGCGTCCAATTTTAGCACAGACTACAAAATTTGAGTCGCCTTGCTTCCAATCCAGATATTTATTTTCCTTCAAGCCCGTGAAGAGAAAAGCTTTTCATTCTCACCACGAACTGTCTTGGTTACTAAGGAGGAGAGTACGCCAACCTGATAATGACAGATCTTGATGTCCTTTGGATATATGGTAGTACCCCCTCTGAAAGTAAAAAGTGTGAAGCGGTTTGATGCCATGGCCCAATTTACGCCCGTCACACCCCTTTGAAGGCGCGCCCGATGCCAAACTAGCTGCACTAAAAAATTCGCCAAAAATCCAATTTTGTTCGAATTTTCATAATAATTATATATTTGTGATCCCAGATAGTCCCTTTATCATATTCAGTTGCAAAATTAACTTTTCAGAAATTTTCAACATTTTCAAATATTTCCTGAAAAGGGCATGGCTTGAAAAAATTCAAAATTCCAAAAAAGTTCAGATTTATATCAGATATGATAAAACAACTATTTGGGATCATAAATATGTAACTATTATGAAAATCCGAACAAAATTGGATTTTTGGCGAATTTTTTAGTGCAGCTAGTTTGGCATCGGGCGTGCCTTCAAAGGGGTGTGACGGGCGTAAATTGGGCCATGGCATCAAACCGCTTCACACTTTTTACTTTCAGAGGGGGTACTACCATATATCCAAAGGACATCAAGATCTGTCATTATCAGGTTGGCGTACTCTCCTCCTAAGTTTCACAAAATCATTATTAATTCGAGTTATTTTAACAATTTAGTAATTTAAAACATACCCATTACATAAAATTGACAAAAACCACAAAAACCCACGACTAATTTAATATAAAAGACAAATAAACAAAAGGTGGAAGTGTCAAGCATTCTAATATATATGTAACGCCCACCTTGAGGATAAATCTGCAAATCTGTCAAAGTACCTGAATTGTTACTAGGCGCATACTGCAGTTTTGGCTGATCCTAAGTTTTGCTAAATACTCATGAACTGAATAAGTACCTGATAATTTTGGGTTGTACATTAAAGAATTATTAAACAAAATAATTATTTAAGTTATATAACTCAAGGTCAAAATTAGTACATCCATTAACCCGCACATCTCTTCGGTGCATATGTACATGCATATTATGCAGATGTAGATACAAGTCAGTAATAAATTCTGACCTAGTCAATACATCATTCCCCATTAAGAGTAAATTACCATATAGTGCATAATAATTACTAATTTAATGTTACTTGTACATCTCGGTAAAGAGCTTGCACAGTTTCGCAGAGATAGTACGCATGTAAATGCATGCATACATAAATACATATACAAATATTTATCGCTGTAGCAAAAATAGTAACAATTTTTAACATAATAATTAAATTTTAATTTGCAGTTTATTTTCTAAGTTCACATTTTAACCATTTAATTTTTGAAATGTCAATTACAATTTATTTATTCTGCTTATTGAGCATCTACATATTACGAGTTGGAAGTCGAAGCGATTTTAATGCTTCTGATACTACAAAAGGTGAAATGTAGTTATTATTTTATGTCAATTTATATATCATTTAAATATTAAACATTTAATGATTTTATTTGTACTGACTTTTTGTTTCTCGAGAAAATATTTACACGTTACTAAAATTGTAATTTTTTTATAAGCGGGAAATCTTCAGTTTAGCCCAAAATGTTGGACACGCGGGTTCATTTACCATCCCGATCATTGGACAAAATGTGTCTGCAAGCGTTTATTTTACGCCAAATGCGAAAAGGATGATAGCACCAGAGAAAATGGTTGATAAAATTTGACAATTGCATTCTTTGAACTTTGAACTTGATAAAATTTCATATTTCTTAAAATAAATATGTAGATTATTCGCATCCATTAGACCCATTGTCGCCTGAAGAAATTAAGCAAACAAAAAATATTATACTTGGATCTGTGAATGGCAGTCAAGGGACTTTAATATTCAACACGATTACACTTCAAGAACCTGCCAAGTCAGAAATGCTGCATTATTTTTTGTCTAGTACGGATCCACCAAGATTCCTGTTTCCAAGAAGATCAATATCAATTGCATGGAATGGCGAGACGGGAAGAGTTTATGAGATCACGGTTAACCTAAACTCTGGTAAAATTAAGATTTAATTATAAATTATTTAAAGACGTATCCCCCAATATGCAATTTTATCAATTATTTTACTAAAAAACACATTTCAGCCTTGATCGAAGTATTTACTACAATGCCTGAAAACATAAAAGTTCCAATTATTTCCCCCGATGACAATGAAGTGGTTACGCAAGCCATCAAAAAAGACAATCGCGTCATTCAGCGATGTCTAGCACTTGGAATTTCGAACATGGATCTCGTCTATTCCTCTGCCACTTGGCCGATTGGGTACATCGAAGATAGACCCGAATATGCTAATCTCAAACGACCTTACCAAGTGTACATGTACACTCAAAATTTTAACGGGGACAATGCATATGGTAAATGCATAAATACGTTAAAAATGCATAAATATGAAACATAATTTAGTCAAAAAATATATAAATGTCCTCCAATTATAGCACATCCTCTCCCCTTCGTCGTAATTGTGGATGTAATTGGGCCAGTTGTCGTTGCCATTGAAAACTTACCAACTCATGCAGAGTACGATTCCGGAGAGAACCAAAATGGGAACGTGGTACCAAAAACGCCATCAAATTACGATTCCGACTTTCGACCCCCCAATTTCTTGCGGCGTGATGACAAACCAATCAAAGTGTCCTCTCCGAAAGGTCCGAGTTATAAAGTGAAAGGGAATTTGATAGAGTGGCAGAAATTTAAAATTAGAATTGGGTAAATATGCACATCAAATTTTAATGTTATTTAATTTAGATTAAAATTAATTCTGCATTATTTTTCCAGACATTTTGCATTATTTCAAATTATTTCTGTATGTCTGTCAGGTTTACTGCTAGAGAAGGTTTGATTTTGCACCACGTCACTTACAACGACAACGGAACCGTTCGTCCCATCCTGTATCGCGCCTCAATTTCAGAATTAGGTTCAATTTATGGTGACCCTAGGCCCCCGTTTCACCGAAAGTATTCAATGGATGCCAGCCAAGTGGGGTTGGGATGGCTTTCGGACGAGTTAATTAGTCAGGAAGACTGCGTCGGCGAAACGACATTTTTTAATGTGACGGTCAATAATAACTTTGGAGATCCTGTCGTAATAAGAAAAGGAATTTGCGTCACTGAAGAGGATGCCGGTATGCACCCAAGATTTTTTATGCTCATGATTCTTATTTTTCTGGAGAAATTTTATCCGTTCCGTAGGTATTTTATGGAAACATGTCGATTTTCGAAACAAAAAATCCGTCACTGTTCGATCGCATCGTTTGGTCATCAGTTTTATTTCTACGACAGGAAATTATGACTTTTTACTTAGCTGGATTTTCTATCAAGACGCAAGTATCCAGTTCGAAGGATCATTTACAGGAATTGTAAGTACGAACATGCTTGCAGTGGGTGGAACAAATGGAGGTTTTGGGAGCGTAGTATTCCCGCAAGTAAGTTCAAGCTCATTTCTTAATTGTGCTTGAAATTGACTTACGTTTATTGAACCAATTTTCTTCTCCAAGGTTAACGCACAGTATCATCAACACGTAGTTGCACTCCGTCTAGACACAGAAATTGACGGGAATGCAAATTCAGTAGAAATGAGAGACGTCGTCCCTGTAACTGGCCCCACGGGATCTAATGAAAACCCGTATGGACAGGGTATCACGGTTCTAAACACTCCGCTAAAAACACAAGCTGACGGACGCACAAAAATTAGTCCGTTAACTGGAAGAGTTTGGGTGATTACGAATCCACAAGCAATTCACCCCGCTACAAATTCCCCAGTCGGATGGAAACTTATGCCTAGTGAAACTGCCCAGGTGGGAAATTAGCCATGAATTTTTGCGCGATAAATAGTAATTTGGAATTTTTCTGGAATAGATAATGGCGAAACCGGATAGTCCGATGGTCAATCCCAAATTGGGCTTTTTGTTTGACGACGTGTGGATTACTCGGTATGAAGAGGGACATTTATACGCTGGAGGGACTTATTTAAATAACAGTGGATTGCCCGAGTGGGTGGGGACCGATCCTGGCGGCAGTATTGAAAATACGGATATTGTGCTTTGGCATGTTTTCAGCCCAGTTCACATTCCTAGGGTCGAGGATTTTCCAGTGATGTCGTCAGAGTGCGTTACTTAGTAAATTATTTATCTAATAGTTTAAAATAATGACTTCTACAGACATGCATGGTTTTAATTTTAGGAGTCATCAAGTCTGGCTTAAGCCGCACAATTTCTTCATAGAAAATCCTGCCATTGACGTCCCACCACCGCGTTTGAGAAAACATGAGTTTTAGTTTTACATACACCAAATTGATTCAAACTGCTTTGGATGCTGAAATATTTTTTGTTCAGGTTGATGTATTAATTATCACGCTATTTATCCTGTCCTTGTGTCCGAATTACGGCATTCCTTTTTCGTTCATTATACATACGTTAAATAAATTATTTAAATTATTTCTTCACTTCTCATCAAACTAACACTCACATATTTAGAATTCATGTATTATGTACATAAATATGCGTAAGGGCATGTATTTACGTACACAAAAAATATCAATCCTGAATATTGCTGTGACAATTTGAGAATTCATTCCAATCAATATTAGAGAGTGCATATATTTATGCCTGTCGAGACGTATAAACGTAAACACATTCAATTTTATGACCATATTAACTGATTGCTTTAGTCCATCAGACATTAATACAATTTTCTCAGTGCTAAAAATGTGTTTGTCATGCTCTGTCAAATCTCATTGTGTCAAACGTCACATCACATCACGTTTAATTCCACACCCATATAAACCAACATCGAGTCTCCTTTATGAAAACGCCAGAAGGTAGATTAGAATTTCAAAATCTGTCTGAAATGCGTTCTATCAACTTTGACAAGAAAACCAAGGCTAAACTTGACCTCGCCATCGTCGACATGGACCTGGGACCTGTCGTCATGCCATCATGCTTGACGACCACGGATGAAGCCTTACCTGTCGCGTCCAACCACAGCTCGTACCTCTTTCCAGCATTTTTTGCCTACTTTTTCAACATTTCCTTTGTCCTACTCGTTTCTCCATTTTGGATCGAAACTTTGACCGATAAGAAAAACAAGACGAGTTATACAATGAAATCATACTTTTGTCACAAGGTTCACAACATACGAAAATAATTATTGATTCAAATTGTCCTTAAAATAATACTTTAACTTTTCCCAGGTCACGAGCGGTGCTGTGGTCACACTTGGCTTCATAAGCTTCCTCATTTACGTCCTCTACTTATTTGACACCGTCGATATTGTCAAAGAACCCGAAAGGAGTTACGAATTGTTTCGAAATTTGTGCGTCGCGATGTACACGTTTCTCTTGATTCATTTGATGTGGCGAAGGAAGGCCAATATTTTGCATGTTGTACGTCTCTGTCCAACAATGGTGGTTGGATCAGCTAACCAGGTAGGCAAAAAATGAACGGAATTATTAAGCTTATTTCATCTTCCATTTTGAAATAATATGCCTATGATACATAAATATTTAGGTAAACTACGTGTCGCTTTGAGTAATTTTAAATTGAATTTCAGCAGGGCTCCAATGTTAAGTAAATTTTGGCACCAGAAATTCCGAGATCATAGAAACAGAGTTTAATATCGATGCGATTTACGAAATTTACTTGACATGTAATGCTCATAATTTGTCGACAAACTTAGAAGAACACAAAGCTAAAAACTTCATTCAGAAAGCCCAATTTTTTCTACTTTACTTAATAGAATTGCATACATACAAAAGGTCACGCAGTAGAAACATTTGGCATATGTTTTTCGCGTACTCAATAATTTTCTTGGTGCTGTTTCTCACTAGGAGATCCGCTTTCGGAAACTTCTACTCATGAAGATTTTTCTCTTCGTCGGAATCTTGGTGGATTTGGCTGCCATATATTTCGAGATATTCCCAAACCTCGACAATTCTACTCAAGATCTAGGCGAAGCAATCAAGATGACGCAGACAATCTTGCACTCAGAACGACCGGAAGGTGCCAAAACGCCAGAATTCCACGACCTGTCTTCGAAAGAGCAGACTACTCTAATTATTTCACTAGTGTTCCTCGTCTACATCAATTTAGTTACGCAAATGATTCACTTGCTAATCTTCATCGCTTCTGTGGCCATTTACGAGATTGTGAACGAAACCAAAAGGAACGTTGAAATGTTAACTCAGTCCAAAGTAATTAATTTCCGACTTTGAATTTACATATTGATTTTGTAGTTAATCATGATTAAATGTTTTATAGGATAAAATTATGCAACTTGTCAAAATGAAGGAGCAGATCGGAGTCATCAATGACATAAATGGGCCCATACTGCTCACAGTTTTCGTAATGATTTCAAGTTTTTTATTAGATATTTTTACAAATTAAAATTTTAATATTGAGACAATTCACTCAGTCCTTGGTACTTTGTAAAATCCGTAAATTTTGAAAAATAATTTTATAAACTTAAAAAAGACCCCCTTGATCTGAGTAAGTTTTCAAAAATTTGTGAGCTAATTTTCCTTAGAAATATTTGTAAGATTTTGCAAAACGTTTGTAAGAGTATACGGATTTTACAAAGTCTCAAAGGACTGAAGTGCCTCATTGTATTTGTGTAAAAGGTCGATATACTCGGCCACCTAGCAACGGTTGTGGGCCAACCAAGCAATGATGATTGGTACGACGGGGCCCTTTCTTTTGTCCAATATTTCATTGCAATTGCGATCTTGCTGATTGCCGCAGAAGCTAATAGTAAAGTGAGTTTTGCATATAATTGAAACACAAATGAGAATTTTGCAACCATTTTTACCACCTTGCATAGGCCGTCATGTTGGAAAAGTCGGTCGTATTTTCGTGCCTCTCACAGGAATCAGATAGGCCAGGGGTCAATCGGATTAAAAATTGTAATGAGAACTACTGGGTGAACCAAGTCATCGAAGGTCAAGCTATGCACGCCCTGTTAAAGACATCCCCTGGAGAGAATGGATTAATTGGATGGAAGTTCTTCTTGATTTCGTACCCATTTTTGGGATTGGTACGTATTTTTGCATTCATGTATATACAATTATACATGCAAAATTGTGAGATTAAACCATACATATTGTTTAAAGGCACTCAGCGTCTGCTTAACATATGCCATGGTAATGTTGCAATTTGTCGCAACACCGAAGAGGGACCAGAAGGAGAAAGCAGGATAAATGTACGAGACGCAACGATTCAACATACCGATTGTACATATGTACGTAAATGCAAATTATTTAAGCATAACAGTTTCAATGTTAATAAAATACTGGGATTTTCAGAAAAAAATAGAATTCCATAAGTACATAATACTAACAAGTATGCATGACCCAAGTTCATCTTAAGATTAATTGACCAGAATATTGTACATATTATAATTTTTCACCGTTCCTCACAAAAGTATATCCCCAGGAAAATTAATCTTGCACTAAAGGAGAAAGCGCATTCCTGTCCACTGTGTCGAAAAGTTTGTTCCATTCGTGGTTGCAACTATCCAGAAATTTACCAGCATCTTGGTCAGGGCGGTGGAAATAATCACCAAATCCGCTAACTCTTAGGGTTCCAGCCCCACCGTGTGTGAAGAAACATGCATCATGTGCAAATCCTGAGGAATTAGTAAATGGTTTAATCTTACTTTCATGCTTTTGTTACTACTTTTTGGATCTACTTAGTCAGTACCAGTGTTAACGTTTCCTGCCATATTGACCCCCACGTACGGAACGGTTACGTCATTTCCGTACAGATGTAACTTTTCTTGAGGCCCGATCACATTATTGAAGACGACGGATGCCCTTGGCCTAGAGTTCTTCCCGACCAAGTTCAATATTGTGATGGGAAGGGAACCTACTGCTCGCAAGAGATATACTCGAAGTTGAGGTAGCCGTGTCGAACGAAGGGCACGGATCCGATCTCCTATGAATCGCAATCTATCTGCCGAGCTTTCCACGCCAATGGGGAGAAGAATTGTTCCAGTCGACCTGCAATTTATGCGTATCGTTGTTTTAATCAAGTTTAAGGATATTTGCTAAGAGAAGAAATTTTGGTTTGGATCGGAAATTCGACCCATATTTTAACAAGGATCATTTGTAACAGTTTGTTCATAATGTACACAAAATACTCACAAGTGGTTGCATAGTTTTTCCGGGTGATTTGGCACAGCCAGTACAAATCCGACCTTGATCTGAGCATCCGTTACGTGGCCGCTATTGGATCGATAAGCTTCCCTAATGGCGGATGTCACCCCTGCGAGGAGGAGAGATAGAAAATCAACTTGATACGTATCCTTTATCCTTTTCAAATCTGCGATTGCCAACGTGGGCACAGTTTTCGAGAAAATTTCATCCTGCTGACTACAACTCGTTGAATCTGCGGGAAAAAAATTTGTTCGGATACATAAGGAAGTAGGCTTGACAAATTAGACATACATACATATGTATGTTGATTCATTTGTACCAGTTTGTCGCGGTGGTGGAATTAAGGCTCGAACGGATTCCACATGTAGCTGATGCTTTACGAAATCGTAAGGAAGTGTGCATAGGGAAATGATTCCTGGCCAATATGACGGCCGTTGTGTAGGAATTTGCTGCGCTGGCGGGATGACTGCAGTGTCGAAAAGTCTTGCGGCCATTTTTAGCATTGACCACCCATCACACAAGACGTGGCTACATCTCCAGATTATCAGTGACTTGTCGACGCCACGCTCCGTGGTAACTTTTTCCATGACAAGCATCTCCCAAACTGGGTCGCCCTCCTGCCACAATCTTTCCGTGGAAACGTAGTTCACTAATTTGTTCCAATTTTCCGTGTTGGCCAAGTTCACCTTGGGAAAATCTTGATCTGGAATTTAATTATTAAATTTCCTTGTCAAGTCGTGCTCCAATAAAAATCGCAAAAATCTATATTCATACCTTCCAAGTATTTAATCTGACTTGCTAAATTAAATGTTTCACAGGTCTCCCAAAAATAGTAGCCCCACCATTTCACCAATTTGCATTTTAGCTCAGGATAAAGTACTCGTGACGCAGAGGCATCTTGCACAGCGTGTAATACTTTTTCCTCAAAATCAGCAATCAGTTTGTGCAAGGGAATGGTAGGCCGATCAATTTCAAGTATGTTGACCGTGGTAAATGATTTCCGAGAATATACTGGCCTCGTGGCTGCGCTTTAATTTTAGACAATTAGCTAATTGCTAAATAATAAATATATTTTCAAAAATTTGAATGATTTTACCAAACATAGCGCTGAAGGGGTCCACAATTTCCAGAAATTCACTCTTTTTGAATATTCTTGCTCCAAACTCTACCACTTTTCTAATTATTAGAAAAAATGTCAGAATAGGTATGACCACAGGCGGTACGACGAGAGTGAGAAAGATAGCTGCTAAAAATACCAGCATGGCTGGCATAGTTCTAAATGAAATTGACGAATTTTTTATTTTGTCGATAAAGATTAACCACCCAATTGATGAAAACATTTGTTAAACTACGAAAATTGATAATTTTTATAATTTCGCCCCTTCGAATTTCGAAACGAAACTCACATCTCTACACTCCAAGAAGTACAAGAAGGAATTTGAATGATCATTTGACAACAAAAATAGTCAAAACTTGATTAGAGTGTTATTGTTGGTGGGGGTTTGAGATCGATAAAATGAAATTCAATGCATACAATTCAAATGGCATCATAAGGATTTCAGTACATTGAAAGGGACACTGAAATGGTCACTATGCCTGAGGTGCAATGCATCTATATGCACAAAAACCTGTTCTAATCAGGCGTGAATGTTGAAAATTGCATGCACATGTTTAACGTATATCATCACTCGTAATTATAAATGCATGCACATGCAATTATTTAAATACATATGCGACAGTGCGACACAACCTGATAAATATATGTTATTGCAATTAATTGGCAAACTTAACTAAATCCAATGATTGGCATGCTACTGGTTGGAAACTAAACTTACTATTCTTTTTATTTTCCTTAAAAATTACAATCAATTGGCTTACAATTTCCGTAAAATATTTCACATACAAATACACAATTAGTGGATAAGGAAAGTATATACAAATAAATATAGCTTATTGATATCGATTTTCACTTTTGCAGTAACATAATGCTGTTATGCGGTCCTTCATACCTACCTAATTCCACAATTCATTTAATCAATATAAATATGACATGATTGAAGACAACCGGTTTCGATCGTATCTTTCGTGTTATTCAAGTTTTGTATTTATTTTTTGACCTGGTTCTTCCCACAACAACGTGTTTTCAAATTCACGATATGTCGCCAATTGTGAATCATTCATTTCTCGAGCAGCGTGCAAACCAAGCCAACGCTATAAATAAAATACATCGCAATGAGTTCCATTTTCGGTTTCGTCCTTTACCTTCTTGCTTCCCTTGCATGTAACGTGGATGGAGAAAATATTCTGTTCCTTCATGCCTTGTAAGTCCAACATAAATTTACTTAAAAATTGGTCATAAAATCTTGAAAAATATGTATGTTTATTCAAATTAAGTGGGTCGCGGAGTCACCGAATTAGCATGATGCCACTGGCGAACGCCTTAGTTTCGCGGGGTCACAACATAACCTACATTGCCGCCGTACCTGCGGAAAACCCAAATCCAAAAATGGTTGACATTATACCCAAAGATTTCACAGCGTTTATTAAAAATACCGTGCACACATTGTTCGACGCGCGAATACGAGCCAGTAAACAAGGACCCATACCGATGACCAAGTTTGCCAAGTTGTTCGCCCACAGTTGTTCAGTTTTGTTGACCAGCTCAGAGTTCCAAGCGTGGTTGCAGACTTCGCCGAAAATCGATTTGGTTGTGATGGACCTTATACCCGATTGTGGGTTGGGAATTGCACATAAACTAAACGCTAAAGCCATCGTGTACAGCACTCTGCCAATGTACTCGAGAACAGTGGAAACTGTAAAAATACCCCCAGAAGCGTTGACTCCGTACGGTGACCATGTGTATAATGCGGGGAGGATGACATTTTTCGATAAAATTAAGCAAGTTCTAATGCCACTACTTACTTTTTACTATGAATACGTACATGCTCCCGCCTTTGAGTTGATACTGCAGCAGGGTTTGAACATCACAAATATGCCAACGCTTCATGACCTGTACAACAACGTGAGTGTCGTCTTCATGGCTGGGAATTATATAACTGAACTGCCGCGATCGCTCCCTCCCATGTTCGTTGCCGTTCCTGGTTTGCATTTGCAGGCGAAATCGAACGCCCTGCCGAAGGTTAGGAGACGGGAAGTCTTTGTTTATTTTGCAGCTTTATGTAAACATTTGAGTCAATCGTTGGCTTAAATAAATAAGTAAAACTTAGGAATTTTAACACACATTAAAAATTTTTCAACTCTTTTAGGAAATCGAGGAATTTATTGAGAATGAGGATGGCTTCGTATATATAAGCTTTGGCACCGTCGTGGTTGCCCACCATTTACCCATTCATATCCAAAATGTTTTCATGGACACGATCAGAGCATTTCCGAGAATACAATTTTTATGGAGGTGGGATGGCGAACTTCCTAAAAACATGCCGGACAATCTGTACATGTCAAAATGGTTCCCCCAGCAGGACGTGTTAGGTAAAAAATTCATTTAAATATGTACTATTCATCTAATTGTAAATATTCTGAACTCTTCTCCCCTCAAATGTCCAGGTCATCCGAAGATTCGAGCTTTTATAACACAAGCAGGTCGACCTAGCTTGCAGGAAGCGCTGGTAAATGCGGTACCCATGATTACCCTTCCGTTTCATGGTGGTAAGCAACCATAAAAAATGCGAAAAAAATCGGACCCCATGAGCTGTACAAGCACACAGTAGCGCCACACACAGAAGTCAAGTAATTCGCTTGACTTCGGTATGCGGCGCTAACATTGTGCTCAGTAAATGGAATTAATTTTTTATATTTTATAAATTGCCACTTAAGTTTTCGTCCACTTTTTGTAGATCAAGACTTCAACGCAATGCGACTTGACGAGATCGGTGTTTCAATTCCACTGGAAATTTCAGAAATAACCGAACAACAGCTGCAGAGTGCATTGACTCGAGCCTTGTATGACACCGAGTTTAGGAAAAATGTTAAAAAGATGTCCAATATTTTCACAGACTTGCCAATGAAACCCATCGACACTGCAGTTTGGTGGACTGAATACGTCTTACGACACGAGGATGTTTCATACTTGAAACCAATGGGGAGAAATTTAACTTGGTATGAAAGACGTCACTTGGACGTTTGGCTGGCTATATTATTGACAATATTAATTACATTGTTGTGCATTGCTGCGCTTTTAGTCTCGGTTTTCAGATTTTTTAAATCGGTCCTAAGCATTGAGAAGCTTAAAACGTCATAAATATGTAAGAACATATATGTGGGACGTGATACTCGATATGACAAAAAAATATTCTTGAAGTACTTGTTTAAGCTTCTTACTTAAAGTTGAATGTTGAATATACATGCCGTGTATACGTTAAGATAACCAGACTGATGACTTTAAACTTTCTACATGAATAATCTGTGAACAAGTCCCGAACATTTTTTCAAACATCTACAATTACCATTTGTAAGACAAGTTTCGCTTTCATAAAGCATTTTTTTGACCAGCACTACGAAACGAGTTTTCCTCATACATAAGTATTTACGTAAATCATGAAGTACAATTTTTTGATGAATTTCGTTTCAGAAATACACTACTGTTTTATATATACATATTTCCATGTAAGCTGAACTGACATTAGTTTATTAGTATAAGAACACAAAGATAAATTAGTAAGTATCAATAACGAAAAATAAATATGTATCTATTTATGTATGTACATATGTATGTATGCATGCGAGTATTTGTATTCGTGCTTAATGTGCATATCTTCAATCATGAACCCATCCAATACGTCTTTATTCACCGCACAATTAGTAAAGTCCGTATTAACTTTAACAGCGACAACTAATGAGCCGAGTATTATGAAGTAATCTTTGTTACTTCCTATTAACAGATTAACAGAAAACTAACAGTTATTTAAATGGTTTCTTATGTTACTTGTGTGCATGCACCCGTCAATTGTCAAATTATCGTCTGTTATACTAATTGTAGATATCTCCATTATGTAATGCAAGGTTTAGTAATGGTGCTTAATGATAATACACAACTTAAAGCTAGGTATATTTATTTTCAAACAACTTCATTCAACCATTTCACTCATTGCTTGTTAAAATATGTAATAAATTGGACAATATTTTATTTTCGAGTTTGATCAATCATTGGATCTAAACTTTACCAACTTTTACGGACCTGGAAATATTGGGATACTTTTACAAATATCTGTATGCGACGTGAATTAATCATGTAAGTACATACAATTTTTGGCAGAGAAAGGTCTCTACCCACCTCACAGCACAATGAATAATGACTATAAATAAAATTCTTAGGGTATTACAAACAAACAATATTATTATATTTTCGGTGGATTACAATGAGCAAAGATTAAACGCGATTTATTTCCTTTTTTCAGGTCGTACTTTCCTCCCGTTATCGGAATCGGAATCAAGTACCTGCAGATTTTGGCAGTGCTGGTGATTGTTGCCCTAACTGCATGGATGATCTATATTACGTGAAAAACCTTGATAAAGCGAGATTAGATAGACTAAGGAGGCTCAAGTTATCGAAATGCTTTGTCAGTTCAATGATTGTAATTAGTTTAAAAAAATAAATATTACTTATTTGCATTTATTTATTTTCATTTTTATGTAAATACATTTAGAATCTTTATTCCTCAAAAACATAAATATTTAAATTTCATTAGTTGAAATTGCATATATTATGATATCTGTATGCATGTATGTATTTGACAAAAAATGTCTCTAAAATTAGAGTCGCACACAAACCTTGATTGAGGTTTCAATACTGAACTACTGATATATATGTACATACATTATGTAAATATGTAATATTCATTGGTCGAGAAGAGTCACGAAATTAATAAATGGTTGAGTAAACAGATCCGTAACATTCGTGTAAGACTGACAAGTTCTGAATGCGGTCTCAAGCAAAGAATTTATCGATTTGTATGAAGTACTCCCGGTAACGGAAGATGGCAACTGGACACGAAGCGCGTTCCTCACACGGTCATACCAATTCGTTACTGCTGACAAATTTATTCCGGGCAGAATTCCTTCCGTGGGTAACCTTAAAAACGGAATAACTTGAATTTTACTAAAATGTCTTTTAGCGATCCATGTCATACAAATTCAGAATTTTCCGAATATTTGTCGTAGCAGCACAATTCTAAAATAATCAACAATGTATGCAAGTAATTATTTATGTACCTCCTCGTAAACGTGGAACTGCTTAACACCGCATCAGCAATTTTGAGAATAATCTTTTCCGCCTCGCTTTTGACAAAGGGTTTAACTTCCTTGTACAATAATTCACTCTGTTGTTGCGTAAAGACATCCAGTGCATGATTGATCTCTTCGTATCCGTCGCCTAAAAATACGGGGGACGCTTTCATCCTTATCTTGTCAAACTTTAAATCCGCCAAGGCTCGCTCTGCTTTGATGGCGACGTTGTTTTTCGTGGTATCGAGGATCTTCAGTTTTATTTTTGCCTTTAAAGTTACCCGATCCAGGAATATGGTCAGGTTACCGAAGTGTCCTGCCGGGCGCAGGGTGTAGTTCGCAGTGATGTGAAGACTTGGGATTTCCATCGCCATATCGAGAATTCTGGTGGCAGTGTCGATAAACCAGTTGTTTTTGGTGAATGTAGTCAATCCCCGGATTTTTATGTTGGTCAAAACCGCGATCATTTCAAGGGGAGGTTTAGACAGCTCGAATTCGTACGTGTCCTCGAGCACGAAGGGTTCCAAGGGAGGGATTCCATACTCTGGGATGCCGTCGGGTAGGCGAGATTTTAGGGTGGCAATTGCCAGACGGATCCCTTGGTTAAAAAATGTGTTGGACAATTGAGATCGGCACGCGCTAACTTCACTCGTTTCAGGTTGGAGTTCATCATAGGAGTCGGACCGTGAGGGTGTAGTTTGTCCAAGGACGGAGAGGAATTGTGCAGAGAAGATGAGGAAATAAAAGACGTGCTGCATTTTACTGGAGAAAATCAAATACTAATGTGCAAAAATGTAATGAGAATACTTCCATGAGGAAAAATTGTATCAGAATTTTTATAAATCACATACTTTTAAGTGTATGTACTTGTGTTTTTTATAATTTAACTTGTCTGCATTATACAAATCTTGTGCAATTCATGCTCACAAAACAACCAAATACGTATGAACGCACTTATATTTCCATGTGTACGTATTGATACTAAAGTACGAGATTGATTCACGAATTTTTGTAACAGAATGATGTTAATTGCTAAGACAATGATTTACGTCCTAGTCTGACCAAACAAACGCGATCGATGACTAAAGCTTGTAAGATGGCAAGTACTTCATTCCAATCGTACAGAATCTGGACTGGACTGTGTTTAAATTATAAAAAATCACTTAAATTTTATATCATACCACCAAACGAGTAAGTAATGCAAACCTGAATTCATTTATTAGCAAGGAAAAATCGCAAATCTGGAGTATATGTACACATACGTACATATGTACACATTTTTATGTGTAAGTAGTATGCCCTGGGAATGCAATATTCCCACGGTGCTGGTATTCCGATAAAACAACTTTATAGCTTGAAGTCATCCAGCAGTACGTATGTAATCATGTAAATACATACATATATGTAATACCGTCGGAACATATACCTATAATTCATTCGAGCCTCATGAGTCATGACGCAAAAATATTTCTTCCTCTAGAATATTGTGTCTTATCTAGATGGTTCGGTGAATCTACGCACACGAATTTATACAATCAAAGTATATACATATGTACATACATACGTACTTATTTCAGTTTTGGAAAGTTATCTACGGTGAGATTGCAAATGTCGGAGTATTACGAGCCAGACCTGATATTACAAATGCATTAGTGTGTCCAGCATGGTTCCATGCATTAATAATTCTTGCTGCAGTAACTTTTGATTTTAATGGATTTGTCTAACATTGCCATTCTTTCGCACGAATAACTCTAATCTATCTACATATGTATACCTGAAAGATTGCTATTGTAAAAATGGGTACAAAAAACCAACTTTTGGCTGATCTGATTGCAAGTTTTAGCATGTAAAAAATTGTTAAATGCTCAGAAGTAAAGCACTTTGTGTTTTCGGCGTTTATTATTTAATTAAGTAGTAGATGTGTACGTGATTTAATGGAACAGCACTTATAAATTATAAGCTTTAATATTACATATACATAGATCATGGACAAAGTTATTTTACAAAAATTTAAACAAATATAGGTAAATAAAATAATATATGCATATTATCAACTTGTCACATGTTTCATTAAAAATCATCATACATGTGTAACCAAGTAGTTATCTAATTTAATTAAAATAAATCAGACTTTATTCCGCTGACAGAAGTTGCACATATTTACAATTTGTATCATGATTCTCAGGTTAACACGGCTAAACTATAGCCGATGAGCTGATCAAAGTGCAATCTTAACTTGTCAACAACTCCGTCTCAGCCTTTTGCTCCCGACCTTTCGCAGTGGAAAATTCATCACGTTTCGACTTTTTCTGACCAGATCTCTTCCTTTCATCAATTCCATGAACCCCTTTAATATGTAAAGTTAAGGTCGTCTTCACGGCATATCCCTTGCCGCACAGGTGACAAACGAATGGACGTTCTCCTGTGTGCACTTGACGAACATGGCAATCCATGTCACGTTTGGTCTGATATCGTTTCTTACAATAGCTACATTCATATGGTTTTTTAGCCACGTAATCTGGACTGTGGATTCGTTTAATATGTTGAGCTAAATGGTGTGGAAGTTTGAAGGTCATACTGCAATGTTCGCAAATGTATCCTTGCCCGTGGACGCTCATGTGATAACGTAATAGGTGTTGAGCTTTGAATTTTAAACCACATTTCTGCATAAAGGGTAATAAGTGGCATAAGTTGACATTCAGGGTTATTGTAAACTGTGTAAACCTTGATTACATAGTTTTAGACTGACAAAATTAAACGAGTCCCTTGAAATGATTGGATTTTTGTAAACTGAATTTGTCTCAAACATCTCCGATAAATGACTAATTTTACAAGGTTCTCACAGTTACCAAATTTGGCGTCAATTATGACAATTTCTTTTATGTTTCTTACATCACATTCGAACTGAAATGCCATAGCATGGTCCAATTTATGGCGTTCAAATGCCTTACGTGTCCCATATGTTGCACCGCTAGAATTATATTCAAAGGTTTTAAAATATTATTTTAGTTAAATTAAATAAAAAGCAAAACATTTACAATACCAGGTATCACAAATTAGGCCATCCGCGTTATGTGCCTTGACGCGATGATATCTTAACGTTTCTAAATATTTGAATTTTTCTCCACATTCGTCACAACTGTGATTCTTCTTGCCTTCGTGAACCAATTCAATGTGAGATTCAATGGATCTTTTCAAAAATTCCTTTAAACAAATAGGACATTCACTAGTTTCAGGAGGATTGTGCATTTTAACAATATGTTTCGCTTTGCTTGCCCAGTCGATAAAGGCTTCTGGACATTGTTCGCACTTGTAAGGCCTTTCTCCCGTATGGGTGCGAACGTGGCTGAAAATATAAATACGAGTTTGTAAGTATCAAAAGATGTGTTTTCTTCCATTTACAAAGTTGTTGTAAGTCCGCGTAGACAGAAACCATCTTAACAAATTAGCTGCCTAGCTTTTTAAGCAACTTGACGACAAAATCTACCTAGTTTGCGTAGATAAGTATGTATGTAATTACCTGTCAAAATTGGTTTTTATATGAAACACTTGTGGACAAAAATCGCACTGATATTTTCTCTCGTGTGTGAGTGCATGCCTATCGAGATGTTGTTGAGTCGCAAATCTGGCATCGCAAACAGGACAAATAATGGGCTTGCTGTCGTCAAGTTCGTGAAGGGAAACATGTCTTTGAAGATTCGGCTCGGCGGTGAAGCCTTTTCCGCACTTGCTGCAAAAGTAGTTCTTCTCATTTGTTTCATGTTTGCCCAGCATATGCTTGACAAGTCTGACATGTACTGGAAATTTACGGGGACAAATAGGACAAGGAAATACGAACTTTCTTCTCTTTGCTGGTTTTTTCAGTGATTTCTTCTTCTTCTTTTCGTATTCAGTGTCTGACTCGTTAGCTTCGGTGCTATATTTAATTTCGGGCTTGTCTTCATTATTTCTACATGAAGATGAACGCGTCTTTCGGTCTGATATTGATATATTAGGTTTTTTAATAGTTTTGCTTCTTTTGGAGACTTTTAACAAAGCCTTTTGTTCCGTGGTCTTCATTTTGCTCCTAATTGTGAAAACGGAATGTTAAATAAATTGTGATTGCACCTGGGCTTGAGAATATCACATTACTTAATTGTAAACGTCTGCAATTACCTTGACTTTTTCTTCATATATTTTAATTTCTTCTTCTTCGCCACAAGATTATCTGGGGTTATTAGGAAAGATGATTCATCCTCAGAAGAAGAATGGGAAAAACCAGTAAGAAGTGGATCGTCATTATCGTCTCCATTGTAATCATCAGCTGCTGGTGGGGAAAGGTCGACTTTATCATCTGGAAGGAATTTATCTTCATAATCTTCCATTCCTTCATAATCTCCTTCAGTTTCTACTTTTACTTGGAAATCATCTTGGATGACACCACCATCTATACACATAAAGTCGAAAAATTAATTACAATTTGTAACAAAAGTTAAATTGCATGGATAAAAAATTTACCAACCTGACGATAAGCAATTAAGAAAACACATTCGAATTTGATCAAGTTCTTTACTAAATTCCTTCAGGTGAGAAGAATGTATGATAGTCCTTCGTATTTGTTCAATTTTTAGATTTATCTCTTCTTCCAATTGGGATATTTTCCCCTTAATTTGTTCAACCTGTGTCGTCGCAAAAGAACAATCATGACATAAAGTGAAACCATCATTTTCTTGGGCACAATTAGCTATGAGATCTTGATGAGAAGGAGAATTCCGATCTTTCGGGACCACGAGCTCGAATAATTGAATAATTTGTGTCTGGTCTAAATAATTATCTGCGGAATTTTCATCTCCAACCTTGTCCACGCCTTTCAAGCACAAGAGGCAGTTCAATTGAGCCATTTTAACTCTTCACTCTGTAATATAACAATTGCCAATATATGTTCAGAATTTTGACTATTTTTGAGTTTAACTATTTGCCTTATAAGCTAAATAAATATTAATAAGTTAATTATTCGCTTACCAATTTATTCCTCCACCATCAAGTAGAGAATCGTATTTAGGATTAATTACACAAACGACACTTGTAATGTCGAATTAAATTGATGTGCAATGATAAACAGGCGAAATATTTTGGTAAATATTCACAAATAATATTTGCGTGAATCTGAGGATGAGCGAGCAGCTGAGTTGGGAAATTTGAGATTTTTTAACTTTCTCTTCTCGCTATTTCTCATCTCATCTTCCATCCATGCATCCGCTTTACTTTTCATCTTTCTCAGAATCTTTTCATATCTCTCCAATTACAATGTAATTATTACATGACCGAGCTTGAACTAATGTTTATGTGTGAAGTTGGTAGTCTTGTTGTTTTAGGATACGATATATCCGATACATACCCATATCCACGACAGTTAAGCACGACCATGTAAAATGTAAAATATATCCTCACAAATAGAGTTATCCAAGTTCTAAATTTCATTAGAAACAGTAAAATCTGCATATGTAAGCGCACAGATATCTTATAACATACGTACGTAGTGTGCAGTGCAATTTAAACCCGCAATAAAGCAAGATGTTATACTTGAATATGTACATAAAACCTAAAACAAAATTCTACATTTCATGATATGCTGATAAGGCATTATTTTGTGCAATGTTTACATGATTCTTAGGGTTCGGCAAAACCAAAAATTAACGACCCATGGGTTTTATTGGTTTTTTTAGTAACATTCATCAAAAATTTGTCATAGACTATTACAAATTAAATCATGTGCAAATTCTTCTTGTCCATATAACTTGTTCCGGTTCCAAATTATTACTTTTTACATCACTGAAACCTGTGATGGAAAGGAATGATGTCATTATCGATTTTCGAAACTTATAATATTCACGAAATAAACTTGCATGCCGCATTGTCACTCATGAGTGAGTGACAAGTATGAGTGACGTTTTTAACTTTTAGAGTACAGAGTTTTAACGAAAACTCAATTAAGACCCAAACCAAATAAAACCTTACGATTCTCACATTATTGTCGCAGTATCCAGCTAACACCCATCGCAGCTGGCAGAATAATCAAAGAAACAAAAGAGAGACCCGGAGTTAATTTTTTTCTGAAGTTAACAAGTGACAAGCTTCAAGAAAACATCAAGCAATCAATCTATTTCCGAGATTTAATAAATGTAAATTCAAAATTCTGACTTATATAATACTTAGGATTGGTTCACTATATAGAAAAGATGTAAGTAATTAATATGACAGACATTTTTTCTTGCAAAATAGTGAACTCCAGAAAGAAGAATAATGTCCACACCACCGTCTCGCCACTGTGCCTACTGCCTCGTCCTCATGCTCCCTGAAAACGTCAAAGTTTGTGGTAAATGTCGCCGCCGAGCTTATTGCAGTGTCGAATGTCAAACATCCGACTGGTCCGTGAAAGGAGACGGACAACGACACCGAAAATGGTGTGACCTCAACTGCGGCGAAGAAGATTTGGACTGGAAGGTCGTCCCCGTGCCAGGAAAGGGGCTTGGCGTCATTGCTCTACGCCAGATTCCAGCCCATTCAAGAATCATGGTGGACGGCTGGCGACCCAATAATCCTCTCGGAGCCAAACTTATCAACGACATGGAACCTGCCGGCGGAACTTTTCTGGACAAGGTTAACGTGAATGGTTTCCGTGCCGAGAACCCTAGCCACGTTATTTGCGCTCGTCTGGCCAGGGTTAATCATAACTGCGCAGCTAATGCCTTTCATCTCATGGGAGCTGAGTCCAGGGTCAAAATATTGTTTTCACTAAAGGATATTGAAAAAGGTGAACTTTTTAAGCTTATGTAATTATCAACTTCAAAAGTCAATAATATTTATTATCATATACATATGACTGATTATCTGGTTAACAGGAGAGGAAATTTGTATTGCTTACTCCTGGTTGGATGACGAACGTTTTTCCAAGGACCCCGTTCCCACGGATGGAATTCGACGTGCATTGGAGAAGGATTATGGAATAGTTTGCCCACTGGACTGCATCTGCAGAGATAAGGAAATCCAAACTCTGGCAAAAGAACGGAATCAACTGTTCGAGAGGGTGAACGACTGGGCAGCTTCTGACATTGAGGGATCTCCTTCCGTTCTCAGCTCGGTGATATCTGCAGTCAAGCGGCTGCTGGAAATTTCTGAAACTGTTCCTATTTTGAGCATGAGAATTGTGGATTGTTTACTAAATGGATATTATGCAGCAAAAATGAAGGGTGACAACCGGACCGCTCGACAATTCTTGAAGCGCTGTAAAACACTCACGGAACTCATGTATCATCCGGAATCAGAGAAGAATACGAGACTCGTGGACTTAGATTGAGGGGTGGAGATTGGAGATTCCATAAATTTGTGTCATAGTTTAACTATTGTTTTTTTCTCGTAAATTTACTTCATTTACACTATGCAAAATATTTTTTACTAACCTTAAATGCTACCCTCGTTCACAATTTTTACATGCACAATCAAATTTATTCAGAAAGCAAGGAATAAAATATTTATTATTAAGACTTTACAGTTTCTTTAGTATAACTGCAACATAATAATACATACTCTGTAATGTTACATTAATTTGCATTACATGCAAACACTCAATTGTCGATTCTCTTAAAGGATAGGATTACTTTCTCCGGGTGCATTGTTGGGAACATGGATTTGAAAAAGGTCATCGGCACTCTTGTGTCACTGCAGGGCTCAATTCTGTAATTTCTGATCAAGCTTGCACGCAGACCTAACAATTATCTAGTTTAATAAATAATTTCGTTTAAGTTCTGTTTGACTGATGTATGTATGTAAATATCCAATTTTTCATCGTTCTCACAACTTAAATATTTTTTCATTCTCCGATTACATGACCATGGGCATGAACTAATGTTTATGTATGAAGTTAGTGGTATTGTTGCGTTAAGATATTGTACATATCCATGAATAAGTTACAACAAGCACGACCATGGAATATGGAAAATATGCATATTCAAATGATGCATACATAAAAGTTTCCCACATGTAAAATTGCAAATTCCTCACTAATATACTTATCGAAGTTATGAGTCTTATTAGAAACAGCCAAATCTGTATAAACGTATACATACATAAGTAGTGTAACTAATCCTAAATGCAGTGCAATTTGAACCTTTAAAGCACAAGATAAACAAATTTCTACACTTCATAATATTCTGATAAATTCTTATGCGCAATGTTTACATGATTCTCAGGGTTCGGAAAAACCCCTGGTTTTAATCAAAAATTAACGGCCCATAGGGTTTATAGGGATTTCCTGGGTTTTTAGTAATAAATCCAACAAAAATTTGTCATATTTTTTAACTATTGCAAATTAAATAATACACAAACAAATTCTTTTTGTCCATACTAGAATTTGTTTCGGTTCCAAAATGTTTTTTTAACCTGTGGGGATCCCTGATATCACTGTCGATTTCCTAAAATTATAATATTCAAGAAATAAACTTCCCTGTCGCATGAAATAACTTGGTCTAACGTATGTGTGACGTTTTTGACTTTTAGAAGGCATTTTTATTTAAATAAAACCTTGCGATTCTCACATTATTATCGCAGTATCCAGCTAACACCCATCGCAGCTAGCAGAATAATCAAAGAAACAGAAGAGATACCCGGGGGATGGATTACTAATCTTTTTGTGAAGTTAACAAGTGACAAGACGCCAGAAGACAGCAGGCAATATATATTTCCAAGCCTTAAATCAATGTAACTTGCTAATTCTTACTTAACTATAATATTTAATTAGTTCACTACTACCTGTTAAAAAAGTAATGTAATTAATATTATAAACATTTTTTTCTTGCAAAATTAGAGAGCCCCCCCCCCACCCCTCCCCTCCCAAGAATATGTCGACACAGCCGTCTCGCCACTGTGCCTACTGCCTCGTCCTCATGCTCCCTGAAAACGTCAAAGTTTGTGGCAAATGTCGCCGCCGAGCTTATTGCAGTGTCGAATGTCAAACATCCGACTGGTCCGTGAAAGGAGACGGACAACGACACCGAAAATGGTGTGACCTCAACTGCGGCGAAGAAGATTTGGACTGGAAGGTCGTCCCCGTGCCAGGAAAGGGGCTTGGCGTCATTGCTCTACGCCAGATTCCAGCCCATTCAAGAATCATGGTGGACGGCTGGCGACCCCTCGGAACTAGACTTATCAACGACTTGGAACCTGCTGAAGGATCTCTAGAGGACAAGATTAACGTAAATAGTTTCCATATCGAGGAATTCACTGCATCCATTATTTGCGCTCGGATGGCGAGGGTTAATCATAACTGCGCAGCTAATGCCTTTCATCTCACGGGAACTGAATCCCGGGTCAAAATATTGTTTTCACTAAAGGATATTGAAAAAGGTGATCCTTAAACTTATCTATGTATCAACTCCAAAAGTCAATAATATTTATCACAACATAACTGAATATTTGGTTAACAGGAGAGGAAATTTGCATCTCTTACTCCTGGTTGGATGACCCACGTTTCGCCAACGACCCCGTTCCCACGGATGGCATTCGACGCGCATTGGAGCAGGATTACGGAATAGTTTGCCCACTGGATTGCATCTGCAGAGATGAGGAAATCCAAACTCTGGCAAAAGAACGGAATCAACTTTTCGAGAGGGTGAACGACTGGGCAGAATCTGACAGTAAGGCTCCTCCCTCCGTTCTCAGCTCGGTGATATCCGCAGTCAAGAGGCTGGTGGAAATTTCTGAAATTGTTCCAGTTTTGAGCATGCGAATTGCGGATTGTTTACTAAATGGATATTATGCAGCAAAAATGAAGCGTGATAACCGGACCGCTAAACAATTTTTGAAGCGCTGTAAAACGCTCATGGAACTCATGTATCATCCGGAATCAGAGAAGATTAAGAGACTCGTGGACTTGGTTTGAGAGGTTGAAATTGGAGATCAGTGATTCCATAAGTTTGTATCATAATTTAACTATTGATTTTTTTTCGTGAATGGCCTTCATTTAATGAAGTTTTACTTGTATTCAAAATATTTATTTTTACTAATCTTACGTCGTATCCGCATTAACAAATATTTCATGCAAAATCAAATTTATTCAGAAAGCAAGGAATAAAATATTTGTTATTAAGACTTTACAGATTACAAAATATTTCTTTAATTACCATACAACAGCAAAATAATAATAAGTATGTACATACTTTAAGCAATGTTAAATAACATGCATATACTCAATTTTCGAATCTCTTAAAGGACTTAGTTTCTCCGGGTTCATGGTTAGGAACATACATACATAGACTTGAAAAAGGTCATCGGAACCCTTGTGTCACTGCAGGGCTCAATTTTGTAATTTATAATCAAGTGACACATTGCAACTTTGTATGTACACATCGTTTACAAACCCAACGATGTATATGTAGGGTTATACCCATAGAAACTTAATATTACGTTATACCACTCAAACACTGTCTGACTCACTCATGGGTTTTCATGAGCTCCTCATGAAGCTCATGAATATTTCTGAAGATCATGAGGCTGCTTTTGCAATGCAGTCTTTCCTAAGAAGAGTCAGACCAGATTCGTATTTTTATCATCTTCTACTTTGCTCTTGATTGTAGTTTAGTGCTCTTCTGTTTTACTTAAGTAGTTACATATATCCCAAACTTCCACATTACATGCATATGTACAATATGTGCACATTTTCGATAATTTGAAGTAAACAGAATCAATCGGGCGATTAAATGGTATGTTCTTTTTAAACTTTAGCAATTAGTATCCATATATCAGCCATCGTTTTTTAGCATTAACTACGTTTTAATTTAATCTTCAGTACAACGTTAGTACATACGTCCTTAATTGCGTTTCAATTATTATTCCAGGAAGAATACATCATTGGAGCCATCATCATCATTATCACCCTGATATTTGGATGGATATCAATAAAAACTAAAATACTTGACAACCAGTGCAAAATTACGGTTTCATCCCAATGTACTGAAAGGGATATCACACTTGCAAGAATAAATTTACAAGAAGCCATTCACAAAAACAATACCCAAGAAACTGTTGCCATACTTCAAGATAAAACAAAACGTGAAAGAATCATTTCCAAGCACGACTTGAAGGGAAGAGAAATCGTGCTTGAGTCGCAAGGTCAAAATGCTATCCTGGAAAGGGAACGATTACAACAAGCCGGAATCACTAATCGAACCCAGATTAAAACTCAAGCTTTTACAAATGTTGCAAATATGGATCTAACATTTAGATACAGAGAATTAGACTATGACAAACAAAAATTTAACGCAATGCTTGATTTCAATGGAGCAGTTCTCCAACATCAAGACCAATGGAACGAGAGGGATTTATCCATCAAGCGAGAATTAGGATTAGAACAGGGACGAACTCATCGCTATTTGGCTGACCGAAGACAAGATGCGATTGAATTTAGTCAGAGGGCCGAATCTGCTAGACATTTAACGAGTATGAACACTTATAAAGATGTCACCCTTACTCAATTGAAATCTGCAGAAAAGATGACCAAACGTACCCTGGAGACAGAGATGGCTATGCAGGACAGGTCACTTAATTGGGAAAAAGAGCGATTTGAAGCACAACACGAACTAAATGGAAGGATGCTTGAATTAAATGACAATTGGACTAATAGAAGCTTGGACATTTCAAAGATGGCCATAGAGAATCAGGCCGAGATGCATAGTTTAGAAATGGACACGTGCAGAGGACTGGGGTTGGCGTCACTCTCGGTGAACAGGGACCTGGGCATGGCTTCCATTCAGTCCAATGAGAGGATTGAATTTGGAGGATTTGATTGTCGAAGGGATGAAGCAAGAGAGGCTACCAAACAAGCAGAATCAAACAGTAACTTTTTGCAAGATGTTCTCGGAACTACGCTCACTGTGCTGACTGGGGGCCTTTTTTCAAAAGGTAACGGGGGGAATGGTGGTGGAATGCGTGCTCTTCCGTCACCGGGGTCTTCATCGAGAAGAGCAATTGTTCAACCAAATTTCTAATATTTATTCTTTCAGTGTATGCATATTAGATCTACGTATTTCTCTGTATTTTGAATTTATTGTAAAAAAACGAATACCTAAATTAAATTAAATGCATATTTATTTCACTGTATAAATTGAGCAATAAATGATGAAAGTTATGAAACTGCTAGCATGTACATATGTACATGCATATGCACTTTAATTGTCTTTATTGAAATAAAACCTTATCTATTTGTATTGTCTTTTTGTGGCGTCATTTATTTCTAATCCTAATTTCGAGGGATCAAAAATATACTCTTATTTGGAACGTGACAACTTACGTAATATAATTACAGAATTGCGGTATTGGTGCTCATGATATTTAAATATCATAAGTTAACAGTTTATTTAAAAATTATAGTGTTCAGTTATTCGTCTGGTATTCATCCGGATATTGTCCGTCTCAATTATATCTGGCATTGACCCTGGAAGTGCCCCGACTTTCTGTACGAATTTCTTGTCCGATATTTGGGAGTGATCGGGATTTTGGTAACAAAAATTTTAAAGGGTTCGGAAATTTGGGAAAACTCAAACCCATGATGCCTTTCCCACTATTGCGTACTTTCGCCTGTTGTTTAGGTTTAGGTTCAACTTTCATCGGTGTCAAGGCAGCAAGTGCCCGAGCAGTTTCTTCTTTAATTTGTCTAATCTGTTCTTCTGTATCTAAATCATTCTGATGTGACTCGTTTTCTGCAAGTGTGCGAAACAGTTGCACTTCTTCACTCGCTTTTATTTTAGCATCCTCAATTTTCTTGCATATTTTGGAGTTTTGTTGGGTGATTTGTTCCTTGATAAGTGCAATTTGTTGGGTGGTATCCTGTTCAAGGTCAACTTTTTCCAGATCTGCTTTACAACGCTGCAGTTGCATTTTCTCGTCAGCCTCAGAATTGTAAAGAGTTAAATCATGCTCAGCAGCCTCGATGGCGAAATCTGCATCTTCTTCAGCTTCAAGAATGGCTATTTCGGTGTCGATAAAATTTACGGATCGCTCCTTTTTCGCTGAATAATCGATTTCCTAAGTTTACAAGAATCAAATAACTGATTAATAATGACTGATAATTTATGCATTCTTATGTTAATTTTAGCCCGAGTCAGGAGTTATGGAATCGTCATGTCCGTCAGTCTTTCCGCATAATAAAACCAAAACGGCTGAACCGATTAACTTGCAGCAATTTTGAAATTTGAATGAAAAATTGTGAAATAAAATTGGAAAATTTTCATCTGGTGGGACTCTGTGGGGTGACTCAGCAATATCTTAATTTAAGATATTTCAAGTTGCACAAAATATACAACAAACTATGACGAATGTGAAATTTTTAGAAAAGTTAGTATAGTAGTTGCCGTTGCTATATCGGTTGAAATCTCATATGTAGATACAGGGTAGGGTCACATTTGGTACGTATATGCGATATAGTCGGATTGACCAATAACCATATGTCGGATATGAATGAAAAATGACTTTTTCCATTTATCGACCTACAGTCGCCAAACTTTCTGAGAATGTTTACGGTCACTAGTAGGTCACGTAGGTCAAAGCATATTTTCTCATATTGGTCATATTTTCGGGTTTTGGGACATATTCATATTCCCGATCATATTTCGGGCTTTTTTCGTTCATTTTATCATTTTTGGCCAAATTCTAAGATTTGGCAACCAAATCAACAGAAAATGACAAAAAGTTCAGTTTTCTCACAATTATTCATTGTGAGAAACTTTCAGAAATTTACGCTCACTTTCGCCTAAGGTGATTTAATTCATTGGGAATGAATTAAATTGCCCCAGAACTTGTTTAATTTATAAAAATTGAGCATTACAAGAAAATATATCAAAGAATTAAGCCAAAAATTTGTAAAATAAAGTCATTTTTATGGTCATATTATGAGGATTTTTACGGTCATTTTTCATTCATATTTTGAGGTTTTATCATTCATTCATATCCGACGTCTGCCAATAACCACAACTATGCCTGACTCGGGCTAAATGAAGTCTGCATACTGTAATCTTTTATGGCTTACCATCCATTTTCTATTTGCTAAATTCCTCCCTTTAAAAACACGTTGGGCAGCCTGGTTATATTCATCCTGCGTTGACTCATGAATGCGTGCAATTTCCTTGGCTGTTTTCAAGGCAAGTTTAGTGTCATGCTAGATGAGATTAAAGGTTGGAACAATTAGAAAACAACGTTAAATATCAGAATTAATTCGTTTTTTGTACCTCGGACAATTCCTCTGGGGTAGGTAGATGAAGGTGAGATTGAGAATAGAGTAAATTATTTTGTGGAAAATTTACACCTCGAGGCCCTGTTGCCTGCGTTTGCACATGGCTTTCGTCGAAACAATTTGTATGTTCCATTGTTTTAAAAATAAATTTCCACTTTGTTTTATTTAGAGATTTTTATGTATATCTGAAATTAATTAACGCAAGTATCTAAGATTAACATGAAGAATTAATTGTGTACGGATTGCTGCACTTTGCTTACCAGTTTGGAATAGTTGATTGGACAGACACTTTAATTTTGAGTCAAGTAGATCACTGTGTAAAGTGTGATGCGCACAGTATCTTAAATCTAAAGTAACAGCAAAATGGGTTTTCGTGAAACTGTATGAATACCACTGGATTTCAAGTCCTAAAGTCTGCACTTACTTATTATGCAATGAACATAATACAAATATGTATCAAGAGTTAAGTTGCGCAACACGACTCATGAGATTTTATGTATCAAGAGTTAAATTGGACAGTACGATTCATGAGACTTTATTCTCATGAGGAACATCTACTTATATTTGATTCTTAAAACTCAATAGCCACCATACTCCAACTGATTCTCAAACTAAAGCAAAGCAGATTTTGCGAGAATCCTGGGCAAGGTTAGTCACCACTTTAAACTTTCATTTCATACCATATCCCACTAAAACCCATGAACTTTTTCATGAGTGAATTCATGAGGGTTTGTCGTTCCCATTCTTAATTTCTTATACAACGAGTTCCTACTTTACAGTTTGCCATTAGTGCTTGCATATTGAACACAGTCACCCGTATTTAGTTTTTTTTTATATATTTTAATTCAATAATTTGTCTTTGTTCGATTGACTTGTTAATCAAGTATTCAAAACCATGTCGAATAATACCGACGAATCGCTTCCTATTAATAATGAAATGGGGATGGAAGTTGTGGACACTACTTCACAACTTGTTCCATCCAAGCGAGGAACAATAATTTCTACAATTTGTTACGAAAATGGGATGAATTATCCAAGTTTGGAATTTGCCCAACCAAATCAAACTGAGCTTATCCAGTCTTACAAGGATCTCATTGCTTCTGCAAGGTATATATTTTTTATCAGTTAAACACATTTACTATTTTAATAATTGTTCTTCATGAATAGAGATCCTGCCCTTGAAAATGCTTTGCAGCCAATGCCCTTCATTGTCCGACCATCGCTCAAAGACGAAATCATTGACATTATTAAAAATACTCCGGTGCACGTGTGGTACGCCGTGGTTCCCTTGGTTCTTGTCCTGGTAATTTGCATCCATTGCAATTAATTGCAAAACAGTTGTTATTTTAGAAATAATGTTTACATATTTTCAATTTAGGCATTTTCCCCTGAATTTCGCCTGGTAGTAATCGTTGTTGGAATTTGTTATGGAATTACGTATGTCCTGCAAACATTTAGCACAACTGTGGAGACTAGAGCTGTGCAATCCATTAATGAAAACGTGCTCGCAGTTACTCAAAATGTGAATACAACGTCACACAACGCTACAGCATCATTGGTACACACATACTTTAGTTCAAATTTAATTTTGAAATTTTCGTACTTAAAATACTGAATTTAAAATTATTAATTATGTAGATCACCCAAAATCAAAATATGCAAAAATACACTCTGGACACTGTGAAGGACGTGACTGAAATTCGTGCTGGGGTGGAGAAAGTGCGAATTGCATCAATGGAACACTGTCACGGCATCGACAGAGAGGTTGATTTGAAGATGAAAGCTTTGTCTGAAGGTGGAACAACCGATCGGGCCAAGGATGAAAATGCAATGAAAAAACATAAGGCAGAAATTGAGGCTCAAACAAAAAAAGAAATGGCAAATGCTGAAATTGAGAAGCAGAAAGAGTTTAAAAAAGTCGATATACAAATGAACGCGGATCAAATTCGTAAAGATTTGGAAATTGGGAAACTGGAATCCATCTACAAAACTGAGACGGCAAAGATAAATGCGGATATAGCCATCAAAACGACAGAATTGAGCACAAAAGTTAACCTGGACAAGAACGCTGTTGGCAAAGAAATTGAGCTAGAGAAACTCCGGCAAGATTGATTTTACAACTAATTAAATTGTCAAAATTTGGTCGAATTAGCATTACAATTTGTATTACAGACAAACTACAGCGCAAAAGAAGGACGATAACGAGAAAACGGTGGAAGTGGCCAGGGTTGAAGGAGACGTTGAAATCGGTAAGGCTAAATGGATCGCTGAAATGATGAAGTCCAAGGGAAAGGTGGACATTAAATGGGACACATGGAAGGCTGATCGTAATAACTAGCAATTGACAGTAGAAAGTTTTATGCATAAAACTTTGGCATCATGATGTGGCTAATTTTGGTTTTGAATTCTTGAAATATTCATATATATTTAAATCTATGGGGAAAAATGTTGCATTGATAGATACTTATTGTACTGAAATAATTTAAATGGATAGCTTTCTGTTTAACGAAATGTTTTTACACTATTTAGTATGAAGTGCGTTCCAGCGTATATGTCGTACTTGTGTATTAAGCTGTTCATATGCATACGATAAAATGAAAATATTGTTACCAGATGATATAAATACATGTTAGTCAAACTATTTAATTTTGAAGGAATAAAACATTTTAAAAAAAGCTCATGAATAGATTTATTCTGAACATTAAGTTAAATCCTTTTCAACATGAAGATAATGAATCAAATTTGTCTGCTCAATTATTTCATGTCAATAAGTACTATCATCATTTACCATTTAATCAAGTAATCATCTATTTGTGTTCTAATGAAACATACAGCGTCAAATGATCTACAAATTTATACAAACACAATTTGGGTACTCACATAAGACAAGTTATTGCTGATTTTTGAAAATTAAAACAAAACAAGTCTAGAAAATAGTCGCTTTAAATTAGTAATAAATCTAATTTTCTACAGAAAAACACATCAGGGAAGTACTCATTCCAGAACATAGCTTAAGCATGGCTTTGTCGAGGAACAATATCCTAATTTACACGACTCTCGGTAGTTTAGCATTCAAGGTAAATAATTTCCTGACTTAACAATATCGAAAAAAAGTTTTCCAATATTTGTGACTAGTGAAAAAATGCCTACATATTTACGATAATTTTAATTTAGGTGTTCACATCTGCATCTCTACTCATATCTATTCTCTGGATATTCTTAATATATATAATATCAACAGCTATATATAAAGCTATAGCAATGTACAAAAGGAGTGTAAAAGTTGCTGATGAAAATAAGAAGAGACTCAGTACGGTGTTAAATAATCAAATCACAGCAATGGATGAAGTTTTGTCCAATGTAAGCATGGAAATATATTATTGTACGTGTTATTGCGTACACAATTATCTTATTATTTTATAATTACAGCAGGATAATGCAAATCAGATGAATATGAGAAAGTTGGACAGCGTTAAAGAAGAATATCGACGTCAGGCAATCGCTGAAATGATGAAAATACGCATCAATTATCATCGTATCAAAATTGACCACATATAAATCTTAACAAAATTTCTCAGATAATCCCCTCTAAGATGTAACTCTAGTATAATTTTATCGTCTTGTACATAGATTTAATGGATCATTATGAAAGCAGTGTTAAGCTATATGCATAGTCCGTGATTTAACGGTGATTATCCAACCTCGTAATGCTATAGAAGTAATTGCTAGATAGCATGTTCACCGTGAAATCAAGTACTATGGATGCAGATTTACGGAGTCTGCAAAGCAAATTTGATAACTTTGATTTCCAATTGGTTTGCAACAAGCATTGCAAAAATACTTAGTGACAATATGTATATAATGTAACTTGTAAAGGCTCAGTTTGCAATTGACTACGTTATTTTCGAGAAAACCATTGGATCGTTTAAATTACAATTAGCATTAGCTACCTCACCGCTCAGTGATCCTGAATGAAATAAAAGATGTGTATGTGTTGACAAATTTGACAAATACTTGGCACAATGATAGACAGCGGCTTCCAATCTTTGTAATGAATGAGTGACATGTATAAAATCTTATAAAATACTAATACTTATTAATGTGATAATTCAAATTAAGGAAACTAATATGAGAGGAAAATTAAATTAAATTAATCTGATTGGATTTGAGACATTACTGTTTACATATGTACATACATTTGATAGCTAGCTTAAAAATGGAATTTCCTAAAGAAAAAGTTTGTACGCTTTTACTTGGAATTTTACAACCAATTAAATATGTTAAAAAATACTTGAGCTAGAAAACTCAATTCAGTCTCAACTATGTACTAGGTATGTACAGATACATTTGTCCGTATCTGTATACTAAATTCAAGAATTTATGTACCTTGATTTGATTCTTCTATCAGCAATTAAATCGGCACTCCCATGCCTGGATTAACATATTGTAATTGAATGACACAAATACATACATACATGAAAATGATCTCGTAATAAATGTCATAGGCCAAGATTGAGAAGTGATATCATTTCTTCTTATGCACTTGGACGCATAATTTTGTGTTTATTACAAATTTTAGCGCTTTAAAAGTATATGTACACACTTGCAACTCGTACCCACTATTTATACACATTAATTTATCCTGACAGAATATGACACAGTTACAGATTTTACGATTTGAGAATACCCATTTTCTCGGCGTCTTGGTAATCGTCTCATTACTTTTCTCACAACTCGTTTCCCAGCTCTCCGAATCGGTTTTGATTCGCTTTCTTCCTTCTTCAACTTCTTGATATTGGTCATCGTCATCCCGGTCAAGTAGACGACTTCAAACTTGTCATGAAATGCATTTCTGCTCTCATCCTCGGCCAAGTCTTGATTTTTCTCTCTGTAGTCGTGCTGATCCCGTTGAGGGAGAAGATATATCACGGTCTTCTCCGGTTTTGCGACTGGTTTCTTGACCATCGGCTCATCCGGCGATGTTTTGATGAAGATGACATTGCCAGGATTGTTGTCTTCGGAGAGATCTGGAGACGGAACTGGGGGCAACATGTCTTCAGGGACTTTGAAGAATGCACCAAACAAGAATCCTGGAAATTTGCAGATCCCCCAAGGACAAAAAGGTGACGTTGACGGAGTCTCGGGTTCTGGATTGCTCCGTTTTGATTTTATAAATGTTTCCGTTTTAGCACGAGATGAAATTTGGAATTGATTTAGGTCTCCGATTTTTACAGATTCCACAATTGTTAGCTGAGAAGGTGCACTAGTTGGCCACACGCGTTCAATAAATTGATACTTATTTTCTGGAAATGATCCCGACGAAGTTGTGTAATCACTGAACACCAAACTTGCTATAATTATAGCTAACCTTAAGGTTTCCATTTTGAAAATTTTGCTTGCCTGAAACAAATATTAGCCTAGATTTAAATCAGAATCGTCCGTTTAAATTTATTAATAATACTGCCCCATTTCATCGCCAAGTCTGATATCCCTTGGTCAAAAGTGGTATGAATGAGCTGCAACAAAATTTGTAAGCTATGCACGAACTGAGACAATTATCGAAACAAGTAAAAGTAAGAGATTATACAATATTGGTAATCGTATTGTAGCTGATATTGAGCTTTACCCATCCTCATTTCCATTACAACATTGGTGTTTAATGAGTCTTATTAAGCTGACAAGAAGACCAGACCTCTCACACTGCAAACATTGACAAAGAAGACGATGCAGTCCAGTCAACTAAATAATCTTGCATTGCATTCACGTATGTAAATTAACTCATTATCATAACACATCATTTCATAAAGAACGATGCACCAAGCCTGAACAACCTTAACATGTGGAATAATATGCGTAATGTTGAAGTTTCAAGTTGATTATGAAGATTTAAGTTGGTGGTTGGTGTACTAAATCAAAATGAATGTTGCTGTATCAATGACTTTCATCTTCATCCTGTTAATCTTTTATGATCTTGTGCATAATGTTTGTTTACGCACTCATGACAGTAATTCTGCACAATATTGTGCTAGATTAATTTGGAATTTTTGAAAAAAAACTGGGAATTTAGTGACAAAAAAAAATTTCGACTTATTTACGCTGGAAAGAATGAGATACTTAAAACGATGAGGGTACATTGTTTGCATTCTTTACGACGCAAAAATATTTCTTTATTTAGGTTGACACAAAAACAAAAATGCAAAGACCTACAAAATTCTCTCTGGGTCAACCACAATCGAACCAAGGTTTTGAGATTTATGTAAATAGGTATATAAAGGAAGCATCGTGAAACTGCTGCAGGCAGCCAGTTTCACTTCCAGTTGGCAAATTGATTAGATAAGTTGTAAAAAAATATTACGCCATAATTAGGAAAATATATTAATCTAGGTAAAATGTACAAATCTTTGGTAAGTACACTGTAAAAAATTAAACGGAACAAATTCTAATTAAGATTTATTAAATACTTTTCAACAACTTTTTTTGCATATTTTGAAAAAATTGCTACATTTTCTTTACATGCAAAATTACTTTTCAATTTCACCAATCAAATTTTCTTCTCGCAGAAAATTTTCATACTTTCCTGTCTCATCTCACTTTCTTTTTGCGGAACACGTCCAGCCCACCCAGGCGAGGAAGCACGTGCCCTCGCGTTATGGGATCGACACTGCTCCGGGGGCAAGGACGGTGGTAACGAGGGCAGTACCTTCATCCATTGCAAACATCCACTTGAAGTCCAAACAAAAACTTTGATAAGCTCGATCCAAGCCCAAAATCCGGAACAGCTTCAACGAGAACAATACATTTTCGTTGACCCACCAAAAATACACTTCAACCATGAGCTTGAAATCCGTGGCGGTGCAGCTCTAGAACCCAAGACGGTCGTTTATGTCAGACCAGCCAAGACCAGCCACACGTACGAGGCGGACCTCCAAATTCCTAAGAATGAGCACAAGAAGCCAGAGCTGGTATTTTTGTCGTCATCCGGCGGGAGTGGCGGGGCGAGAGGTCAAGGGGTCGAGGTCGCCCAGAGTTCGGCTCCACTTCCGATAGTCGCCAAAGCACCTCCAGTGGTTGAGGAGAATGATAGTGACAAATTTAGCAAGAGGGAAGCGCAGCCCGTGCGACCAGTCTATGTCAGACCAGACTCTTCCGTCGTCTATGTTACTTCCACGGAATCGAAAAGAGTCGCGTTAAATGGAATGTTGTCAACACAAGGCATCAAGTCGTAGGATCATAGTGTATAAAGTAAATTTTTGTGTAATTAATGGCTATTTATTTTTGTGTCAAGGTTGCCTGCGTGCGTGTATGTTATGTGTATTTAGATAATTAATAAAATTTGCTTAAGGTGAAAAGAACATTACGTATTCAGCTAGTTTTAAGCATGCACAAGTTTAATCATGAGGAAATATGCAGATTTTTTTACTAAACTTGACTAGTTTTAGTGCATGGTTGACCAAATGCATTAAAAACTTTATTATGAAATAACGTCGATTTCCATCGATAACCATGTGTTTATCCAACCCCTCCATTACAAGCCTCGAGATTGAAATTGTACACTTATTATTAAATACGTCAGCAAAGTGTTACAAACCTGTGAAGAAAATTAGCATAAAAGAAGTAACTTAAAAATATTTTATAAGCGTTTTAAATACTTACCACTGACACGAAGGAGTAATTGATAAGGAAAAATCCATTCCCACTTAATCCATAAGTATGAGTGCTAAGCTGAACCCGGAGACTTACAAGATCCAAATGCGATCCAGGGTTCTTCGTGAAATTTGCGTTTACCAAAATAAATTTGGCTTTCTCCATCTAAATACGTCATGTATTTAAATTTTTAGCAATCTAGTCGTTAATTCATTACATTTGTGCTACATATTACCATCCCAGCAATTTCTGCACACATGTAAAAAACGATGCAAATCAGGACGAAAAACATGGTCAATTTGACCTTCGTGTACATACATTCTCCATCCGAGACAACAATTTCTTTCAGATACACTGAATAAAATGAGAACGACTCCAAAGCGTAAGTTAACATCAATCTGGAAAATGACCTGTTCATGAGATCTATAAGTTGACACACTTTGTGATACTTGTTTAATTCGGACATAAAAGATGCCTCGTTTGTAATTCGACTTTCCTCTAATCCTCGAAAAAAAGTACGAACTATTAAATTCAGTAATAAGACTAGGCTGAAAATGACCGTATCTGTTGAATAGCTTAGCATCATACGAGAATACAAGAGAATTCCGGAGATAAAGTAATTCGTGACATAATTAGATCCTGCAATTAAAAAAAAATATTCGGAAATAATTACCAATTATCAAATGTAGGTAGTCTTTAGCATAATACGCCATGATTACCTCTTGAAATAACTTCTGTTGCATTAATTTGTGAAATTCTGCATGCCCTCGGATTAAAAAATGGACTGCTTAAACCCACAATGACGTCAATCAAGGAATCACTTTCAAGTGGTGGCTCATGTATTAAAACAATGTCAATTAGCCCTATTCCAATGAAGACTAAAGGTATCAATATTGCCACCCAGGACGGAGGTGGGGAACTATGCGGGTCAAATTTTTGAAGATTTTTCTCTTCAAAATCCTTGGCCACTTGCTGCACAACTTGGTCGAATTTGTCTTTGCCGGTCCAAACTAAATGGACAAAATTGAAGTGGTGTAGGCAAATTACGCAGCGGAGAAAGATTCGAAGATACTCGAGGGGGTTGTTGGACGATCGGGATACCGGTGAATTACTGAGTTCGTTGCAGTAAACTAATAATCCAAGTAACTGGGTTGTCCCGCAGATAAGCTTGAATATGCATTGGTTAATTTTAGTGCAGATATCTTAATGGATGTATGCACGACAACGTCCGTCTTGTTTTGGGTAATTTATCGAACAGTTTGCATAATAATATTGAAAACATGCTCATTTGCTGAGTAATTTGGAAATACAAAAATTCCATGCTTTTTCAGCAAAAGTTTTATGGAATTGTTACTTACATATTTATGTAATATGCTCAATTTACGAGATTTGAGCTTTGTGAAGGTTGTCGTGAGTACACCCAATGACTATGATCAATATCTTAAGTTTCCGGGAATATATATTATTTATTTACACACCTTACGCAGAATTTTTGTAATGAAGTGCCAACTGGTGTTTCCATTTTGAGGAGGGGTTGGTAGGAATGCGGTTAACTTGTGTTTTATCGAAATTGTTTCCTCCTCAGCATTAACTCTTATTTGGAATGGACACAGAAATACGCAGTATAAAAGGTTGATTGGGATTATAAGAAGGTTTTCAAATTTTCTTGTGAACAATTTATGCCACATTTTGAAAAATATTAATTGAATTGAATTTCATGAATGACTACATAATGCTGTACTAAACGTATACATATAAACCCAATCGGACGAATATAAATAAGTATTTATAATTGAATGCAATATTTGATAAGTTTGATTGCCCAATCCATTAACTACACACATAACAAGATGAATATGGGTGTTGTCATATTGTACGTCTAATTTTATTGCTTGCCGTTAAAAAAAATATTGGCATTTTCCTGATACATGCATCCCTGTACACCAATAAATTGAATTGGCATATCAATTTAGAACGCATAAAGCAAGTAACGTTGATCGTAAAGAAATTAGTCTTTAATCGCTTACATATTTACAAGTGGAACAGTTTCATATGTCAAGTTTTCTTTGTTAGAATGACACGTGTACATATGTAGTTATATATGTATCTTAATTTAATTATTACCTACAAGAATTTTGCCCTTATGTAAATACGAAAAATACTTAATTTCGCATATATCCAGCTTTTCCTTAGTTAGGCTTAATGATGAGAGAATTACATATGTATGTATGTACATATGTCCATATATCCAGCAGATTAAAGTAGCTCATTTCATGTTTAGCTCATTAGATTGAAATCGATCCGCCTTATTGACTCTTGTAACTAGTGGAACAATCTCTTATCAAGATGTCCAACGGAAGGTCGTGCTCTGCACTTGTGTTTTGCAAGTGAAATATTTCGCAGAATTTGAATGTAATTCTGTATCACCACTATAATCCAAAACTCGATATATATACGTATTTATACTTTCGAACCCTAGTTACTTATCTGCTTAACCTTCTCCTCATGATGAACGAAACATACTTAATGAATATGTTGATATATAATACTTTGTGTCCTCCGTCGTTCAGACATTATCACCAAGCTAGATCGCTAAAACGGTTCATTCGAAAGTCACCCTCAAATACCTCTACAAATTAAACGAAAGTGTAATCAAATTTTTACCATTATGCTTAAATACGGTCAGTTTCACGTGATCATATTCCTTTGTCACGGTTCAAACCATCACACAATCACCAAGTTATCTCGTCTCAAATTAATTTTAGTTAAGTATTTAATTTGTCCATTATACATTTATTTCGCTTCATCACTTTATGTGGCTTAACACTAAAATACATAAATACCTACATTAGATTAATAAATAAATATTAAATACGCATTGTACACTACGCATCGCACTTTTACATAATACAAAATTTGTTTAGAATTTATTTAATGACTCCACCCCATTTCACCCTAAATTACCACGAATCTCTCCGTTTCCTTGCAGACGCTACACTGACCACGGATGAATACGGTCTTGTGTAAACTGGTCTCACGCTCACCGTCTCAGTCTCTCTTTTGTTAACTTGCTTGTTATTCTCCTCAACCACTGGAGGTGCTTTGGCGACTATCGGAAGTGGAGCCGAACTCTGGGCGACCTCGACCCCTTGACCTCTCGCCCCGCCACTCCCGCCGGATGACGACAAAAATACCAGCTCTGGCTTCTTGTGCTCATTCTTAGGAATTTGGAGGTCCGCTTCGTACGTGTGGCTGGTCTTGGCTGGTCTGACGTAAACGATCGTCTTGGGTTCGAGAGCTGCTCCGCCACGGATTTCAAGCTCATGATTGAAATGGATTTTCGGTGGGTCAACGAAAATGTATTGTTCTCGTTGGTCGCCTCCGTCCCTGGTTTGAGCTTGGATTGAAGTTTGCAGAGTTTTGGTTTGCGTTTGGAGGGGGTGTTTGCAATGGATGAAGATGTTTCCTTCTGTCCCACCCTCTTTTCCTCCAGCGCAAAGTCGGTCCCACAAGGCGAGGGCGCGCGCTTCCTCGCCTGGGTTGGCTTGTCGCGTTCCACACGAGGAAATAGCGACGAGACAGGAAAAGATGAAAAATTTCTGGGGAAAATGAGACAACGTTAATTTTATACTGTCAAATTTTTTAAAGGGTTTTTTTTTAAATTCAGTAAAATTTCGAACTTAATTAGACCCGAATTTCACAACTTACCATGACCATCTTTGCCTACACTGAACTTATTACAAGATATTATACAATTGATTTGACGCCTGGAAGTGGAACAGACTGACTGCAACAATTTCATTGTGTTTCCTTTATATACCTAAATCTCCTCGAGATGTAAAACCTTGATGAGTTTGTGGTTGACCCAGAGAAAAAAATAGAGTAGGTTGATCTTTGTCTTGGCAGTGATATTTGCATCATTCCTGCAAAAAAGTTTAGCATAAAACCAATCATAAGACGAGGAAGGCTTAAAGTTTTTCACAAATTTGGACATCGCAGTTTTACAGTAATTTTCATCCAGCATAATCTGATTACGATTTTATTGACTTTTCGCCCTTAAACTAGCACAAGCATGCAGATAATAATTTATTTAATGCGTAATTATTGTTATGGATGCAAAGTAAATAATACAATATCATAATCTCATGATGCTCATCATGAGAATGCTTTACGTGACAATAACACTTTGATTAATTTCATATGGAGATGATACCAGCAATTAACTTGAAAACACGACACGACATGTTGAGTATAGCTTTTGGGTTCAGTGAAGCTAACTCAATAATGAAAACATTACATGATACTAAACAATGCACACACACGTAATAATTATATAATATTTGAGGATGAATTATATTTGCATAAATGAATACGAAATGAGAGATTAGTGGAATGCATCTTCCTGCAGCCTTTTTTACATCGCAAAAGTGCACAAGGTTTGACATTGGTCTGACATAACTGACTGACCACACGAGTGCGAATAAGGGGATGAGAAGATGCACTTCATTAAAGACATCAAGTCAGCCTCTTCTGCATTACAATAACCACTTCTGATTACTTTGTTGTGCGTGCAAAGAAATTAATTCGTCGTGTACCTCGTTATTCACTACCATTTTCCACAAAGAGCACAGTGTTAAAGAAGTGGTGCCAAATTTTGAGCTAATTGCATTATCCAATTTTAATATAATTTTGGCAAAATGCAAAATCCCTCCAGCATTGTGATATTTTCAGTGGTGGTTGCAAGTACGATTATTACTACGAAGGGTACCCATCCGCCCGAAAATATTGGAACAGTGCTAAATTTTTCATCTTCTCCAGTTCCACTTACAATTGTGGAATCTGTAAAAATCGGAGAGCTAAATCAATTTCAAATTCCATCCCGTGCTAAAATGGAAGCATTTATAAAATCAAAACGGAGCAATCCAGAACCCGAGACGCCATCAACGTCGCCTTTTTGTCCTTGGGGGATCTGCAAATTTCCAGGCTTCTTGTTTGGTGCATTCTTCAAAGTCCCTGAAGACATGTTGCCTCCAGTCCCATCTCCAGATCTCCCCGAAGACAACAATCCTGGCAACGTTATCTTCATCAAAACCTCGCCGGACGAGCCGATGGTCAAGAAACCGGTCGCAAAACCGGAGAAGACCGTGATCTATCTTCTCCCTCAACGGGATCAACACGACTACCGAGAGAAAAACCAAGACTTGGCCGAGGATGAGAGCAGGAATGCATTTCATGATAAATTTGAAGTCGTCTACTTGACCGGGATGACGATGGCTGATGTCAGGAAGATGAAGAAGGAGGAACGCGAATCAAAACCGATTCGGAGACCGGGAAGACAAGTAGTTAAGAGACGAATTATCGGAAAACGACATAATAATCATCCTCACGTGATCACATCGGTTTCAGTTTCTTATTCAATAGGGCGAAATCAGTGATGTTAAATATTTAGTCAGATTATTTTTACAGTATTTTTCATGTATTTTTTAACTAACAAAGTTCAATTTTTTCATAATGTTGTACAATTTATGGCGAGGGTTGGACAAACTTAGCTTATTTACGTGGGTGGTTAAATATTAAGATTTATTTATGTATCATAACCTTATCATCGCTAATTAACTCATCCCTTCAACTGCCCTTGCTAATAGAATGAAAATGTCACCAATTATGACATAAATAAAGCGGTGACCCTTTCGACCCTACAGGAATTTGACTTTTATGGCGAGATTGTTTACAGGAATAAAAATCATTTAATTGCGAGATGAACATAATTCATGGGAGTGCTGGTAAATTGCTTTCCCAATTTATGCCAACCCAAAATATGTCGGCAAGATTCTTGACGTGGTAATGTTATACATGGCTTCGCTAATTTAAAGAGTTAATTTGAGGTTATTTTTTCAATTTTGTTTGACATCGTTAAATTCCCACAAACTTGTGTTTCCATTTTATAGGATTAATTTATGCAAATTTGCGTTCCTGAATTTAACAACACTAGATATGAATATACTCGCGAATTAGTGTACAAGTTTTAATGACTCTTTCATGTACCTACGTTTTGATTACCAAACTTGACCAATATTTTAATTAATCCATCCATCCACAATATTCAAGTTCATAAAAATTCCACAAAGTTTTAAGGATAACCCAATTCTGCGTTAAATCTCATTATTTTTTGCTACTGCCAAATTTTTGTCACGTTTATACGCAACATTTCTACATGCAAAATCGATTCCGTTTCATACATTTTGCATTACATAAATTTAACTAATAATGTTAATTACATCTTAAATCATAGCTGAATGTTTTTTTTCTGAAGAGAGACGATGTTCCTTGTCAATTGTGATGGAAACGATATTACAGTCTCACGAACGAAACTAAGTCACCCTGCATCTTACATACTAATTACGTGGCTGGCATTACATATATGGAGGTAAAAGCAACGAATCTGCATATCCAATTATCATCAATTAAAAAAATCATGCATGATAATCCTAGGTCAGTTTCACTACTGACAACAAGTGCAATTAATTTGGCAACTCCAAATTCCAAACTCCATCATAATTCTACCAACACAAGTAATTAATCGATGTTAGTGCTCATTTTTGATTATCATAATTCAATTGAGAACAAGAGAACAGATCTTAATCGCAGCACAGGATGGTCAATATGTATAAAAATGAGATTTTCATGCGAGTTTGACAAGTCACGACGGACACGCAAGTTCAAACAGCTTAAAGGAATCATCAACTTGTCAAATCTGGTGATTAATCTGCACTTTATAAAACTCGTTTGGTCATCCGTGCATGCATTTTGGGGATCGCTCTTTGTTGAAAGAGCAAGTGATACTGGTGAGCATTATTTACTTAATTGTGAATGAAAATAGTATAAATAAAATATTCTGTATTGCATGTTCACTATAATCACTTGTTTTTTTTGCGATGTGAACCTAAGTAAATTTTGTTATTTAGATTTGCTTGAGAAACAACAAGGGCAAAGGATGATCTATTTCAAGTCGTATATATGTGTTTATCATCACAATGCAACAGAATCCGTCCCGTATTGATGTATGCACGTGTCAAGTTCAACTGCGGAGTGGACACATGTACATACATGCATATACATACATACATATGTATGCATTTACTGATAAAGTTAACTCGAGGTTTTTTCGTTAAATGTGGAATTATGTCAAAGTTGTTCAAATACAGATTTTTAGAGTGAATAAAAAATGACATTCCTCTAAATACAGGGTTTTCACGTCACCTTCGTAACTGTCTCAAATGTCATACATGCATAAATAACATATAACGTAAATTTATGACATTTCCGAAATTTCATGCTTACGAAGCTTCATAAAACGACGCAAGGTTGATGTGTCGTTTCTTTCGTAAAAATATTTCGTGGGAATTAGATAAAAGTCAGGATATTTCATGACAAATGGAGAATTTAAAAAAAACCTTTACGAAAGTATTATTTGCGAATTTCTTTCACGTTAACCGTTTGTAAATTGACGAATCTTTTTTTTCGAATACACAGTTACGAAAATCGTGAAAACTCCCATTATGAATGTAAGTGTATCACAGTATATTACATCACATTTATTAAAAAGCATTAGCTTAGAATACTGGTAACAATAATAACATGAGTACATAGATCAGCAGTCAGTTTTAAATTTCGCATTTGATTCCCCATTACTCCCATTCAAACGAGAATCCTGCCCCAGTAATGCTAGAGTCCGTCGTAAACGAGATGAGCCCAAGGCCCCCTTGGAGAGTCAGACTGGGCGGAATAGTACTTCCGCAAATTCTTTAAAAAAATTTACAAAAATTTACATAAAACATTCCCTTTACAAAAGCATAATACGTATCCACAAATTTGACCCACCTTGCCACCTGAGAATATTGATCATTGAACCAAGTAAACGTTCTGACAGAGTCGTACTGGCAGAGTGAATCACTTTCGAGTGCCATCGCCGTGAACCTCAAGGTTGGTTGGGCCGGGATGGACGGACTGATGGTAAATAGGGCGATTTCATAATTTTGATAAGGAATCCCATTATTCGGGTAAGAGAAATTCCCCCTCGTTCCCACCAGCTCGGCATGACCGCTCAACATATGATTCGTGCTGGAACCGCTGGAGAAAAACTGTAAACTAAATCCAAACGTGGGGGCGTGGCCAACGCTTAAAGTCACGAGGACTGTTTTCGTCCCTACGGTGTAATTCTGACCAACAGTTGTCCTATAAAAGTACGAGAAAATTATCAATAAATTGGGCTAAAATTTGTATTACGTATGTATTTTTATCCCATAAGCCAGAAACACGTGAATGTTCTCACTCTGCCTCGTTGTTATCTTGGTTTCGGGAATCGTCAGGACTGAGGGTCAATAATTAAAGTGATTAAAATGTATTTTTTCTTACAATTTCTGTTGTGCCCCCGGAATAACAATATACTCGGTCACATAAAGGCCGTCGTTCTCGCTCAGGCCGGATGAGACGAGGTTAAATCGTTGCGAATCGTATGTAGCCCTTACAGTCCAAATGCATCGCATATCTGCTCTGATGGATCCACCAGGTTGGAAATCTATCGTGGCAGAAGACGCCTCAACAAAGCCGCCACATGTTGTAACTGCATTAAGCAAGAAGTTGAGTAATTATCTGTATTCGCCCAAGGAACATAATATCTAACTTGTTCAGATGCCCACCTCTTAAAATGGGTTCGGGATCCTCGGGAGCATTTTGACGAGGTTTGGGAATGGCTAGAATCCAAGTTAATTTACAAAATTAGATGGCATTAACTACATGCATTTCTTAATTAAATTAGCGACGAACCCGAAGTCACGACAACCAAGGCGAGGATGAGAGCTACTAATGCTGAGGATGAATGCATTTTGGAGACCGGTTAATTTTGATCATAGTTGAGGGGGTTTGACAACACTTTATAGGCTGGACTGGACACACCGCGTGGACTGGTTTCACGTGTTATCCGACGTGTTTTGACATAAATAATTAAATTGATTGTGCAAATTATGTCCATCAATTGCATCATTAATTTTTGCATCACGTAGATACAACATACTTGAGAGGTAACTTGGTATACATACACACGTACGTACAGATGTACCAAATTTCAGTTCACTGTTTGCTACTTGAACGTTGATCGCAAATGTTTGATCAACCATGACGTGGACAAATTGAAAATCCAGGAAAGTTTTGTGCAGACGGTTTTCTACAAATGCATAACAAGGGTTGTAACAACTGGCTGTCCTACGCATGCAGACACACAATAATTAATGATGCAATTAATCTGGACAAGATCTGATTGCGCTTTCTCTTGAAAACAAACCACATGTAATAAATCGAAGCGCATCTAAGGATAAATAAGTATTATTTATTTTTTCATATATTTACAATTGATCTGACGTAAATTAAGAAATATGTACATGCATCTTTATATACCACGTACAATACATTGTCACACTTGCGAACTAAAGGACACCCTGCTGCTTACTTTCTTATGAATGTATGACCAAAAGTGAAAGTGATTGTACATATGTGAGTAATTATCCTTATTCTTTCAAGAAATGAGCTTTATGTATTATACATAGATTATAAATTTTGATAGTATATTTTATTTTCATAGCCAAAATGAATCTACAGTTGACAGTATTGACCACATTAAATATGAAACGAATAATTTATGTACCGTTTGATTGTATACCCAACATTAACACAGATTTATTAGTTGTTCTATTAAATGGATTGTACAAAAATAATCGTTGTAGGAGAGCATAATAAAGTGCAATGGTTTTTATTGGTCAGAAATTTTCTAAATTATAAATTTCTATTAGGAATTTTGCGGTGTATATAAAGAAGTATTTCTCCATCAGGGCGTAATGGAAATTAATTAATTAGCAGAGAAGGTCAAATCCAAACGTCACTGGTATCAAAAATGGCACGTAGACATATTTAGGTACTATCTGTAGTCAAATTATTATTTATACCATAAAAATGCTGCATCAAGTTTAATCAATTAAATATTGTCAATATGTATGTAGCTTCGTTTATAGTTCATGTCATGCGCCAATCCGATGGTCGTACTTTTAATTGTCGTTGTGATATTTATAATTAGCCAATCAAAAATCGGATTGCCCGCATGACATGATGAAGACATGAACTATAAACCGAGCTAATCAATATTAGCGTCATTTCCGTACAGGAGTTTTACATAGTCTACATCAAAGCGATCAATCCAGAGCTCTGCGTGCAAAAATATGACGCAATGAATACTGGCAATTATTAAGTGAATACGACAAGCAAAATCAATTATGATATCTCTCTCTGTAACGTCAACGTTTTCCTCGCCGGGTATAAATTCGAGATCAAGTCTGATCCTGTCATCACACTTAAATTTGATCTCCCTTCCTTCACCATGAATCCAGTAGCCTGCATCGTTTTCCTCGCCTTCGTCGCCGTAGCCACGGGTACTACACATTCAAAATTTTTGATTCCATTATTTATTAAAGAACGAATAAATTTAGGAAACATTGGTTAATTATTTAACTAAATTCATTCCAGCGGCTCCACAACCTCTCCAAGGACAGCCAGAAGATCCCAATCCAATTGACACAGGTACTGACATTTCTGTCACCGCGTAAATTTAGTAGGCATATGTAGCACGGCAACTTCCCAAATCTGACAAATTGAACATATCATCGCTGCTCGGGCAGGAGTTTTGGCTTGCAAAACCAGATAGATTCATAAGTTGTCAGATGAAAATGACGGAGAAACATGACGCCATGTGATACTTGTGGAGTCTCATATCCCTGAAAATGGACCCGGCAACTTCTGTCTCCGACTGGTTCCTCAACTTTTCCGCAAACAGCGACGATCCGACTAAATTTTCTCCCTTCAAAAGACGCTTGCGAAATAGAAATCGAGTTAGCATCATATTTTGACCATTTCTTAAATTTAGTGACGACATGTGGCGGTTTTGTCGAGACATCCTCCGCCTCAATCGAATTCCAAGTTGGCGGATCCATCCGTGCTGATATGCGGTGCGTCTGGATTATTAGGGGGCCATACGTCTCCCAGCGGTTCAACCTGGTTCAATCCGGCCTTAAGGAAACTGATGGACTCTTCCTCTCCGGTCACTCCAGAAGTGGGATAACGGCCCAGCAAAAATTGTAAGATTTAATAAACTCGATATATCTTCTATAGGCATCTTATCATTGGTTTCTGACATTTTAGGGCTACGGTTGGTCAAAACATCACGATAAACTCGAGAACGGCGATTCTGACCCTCAGCGTTGGACACGCCCCAACTCTAGGATTCAAACTGGAATTTTTCTCGAGTGGCTCTTCTGAAAATTCTGTCTTGAGCGGTCACGCACTCTTGACCACGGCCAAGGGAAATTACACTTATCCCGTTAACGGCGGTCAGTATGGAAATAATGAAAATGCCCTGTTCGCCATCGCACCCACCGTTCCGGGACAGCCGACCCTTCGCTTCACAAGGGTCAATCTCGAAAATGACTCTGGCTGCACGTACGACTCGATTCGAGTCTACAATTGGTTTGACAACGACTATCTCCAGGTTGTAAGGTGAGTCAATTTTCAATTAAGTCTCAATTCAAGTTACTCGTCTCGTATAAGTATGAGTATTTATTGTCTTTTGATTTCTTAGATTTTGTGGCACCACAATTCCAACCAGTGTAACCTTCCAGGATGGAGCTGGTCTAGTCGCATTTGTAACGGATTCAAGCGTCACATCAACTGGATTCGAGTTCCAATATGAATAAGAAACAGGATGCGGAAATAAACGCATTAATATTTAAATACGCGATATTTATACATGACAAAAACTGTATTTTAATTTAATAAAAATGAAACATGTCTCTAAACCATCAGTATTTGTAAAATTCTATAGATTTTTTACAAAGGTAATTTTAGGCACTCATGATATATTTTTTGCATGGGTTTTCTGGTGTTTTACATAACGTACATGACGTAAAATTGCATATATGAAAGAAGACGAACATTCGAGCATTGAAATTAAGAATTTGCAAAAACATATTTTGTATTACGCTGAAAATCCATATTTTCACCATGTCTAGTGACGTCGCAACCATTAAACAAATCTGGGATTTCCAAACACTTTAAATATATATTTTTTTAATTAATTAGAACAATTGTCACCTAGCATCATAACTGTAATAACTGCATATTAACTAATTCCTACTTAAAATGTTTTCTACATAATGCATCATTCGGAAATTACATGTACATATTTATGTATGTTTATGTGCATCTCGTAATCAATACGACCTTGGCTGTTATCATTAGAGTTACATACATAATTTGTTGTTACTACATACATACATATGTACATACCTAACAAAACAGATCTATGTACACACAAAGGAAGCTTTTTTTAAATCGTGTATTTCAAGTATTTGTTACGTGAATCCAAAAACCCCTGTAATCTAAGCAGGCGATAAGTCAGCACCACGTTTGTATGTATGCAATGACCATTGATATTATATTTAATAATCATGGATTACACGACAATCAAATCAATTATATCTTTCTCTATAAACGATCTTCATTCGGGCTGTAATTTCAGAATCCTTTCATTCAAACTTTAATTTGGCTTCTCTTCCTTCACCATGAATCTAGTAGCCGTTATCGCTTTCCTCGGCTTCGTCGGCGTGGCCTCGGGTACTCTCTAATTCGATTACTTATGAAAGTACACCACAAACTCTACTAAACATTACGTATATGATACAAATATTATGTAACTTCTAGCCGCTCCACAATCTGACCAACGGAGACCAGAAGATCCCATTCCAATTGACACAGGTAAAATTCCTAGCTGAAGTATCTGTATGTCACGCCCCGTAGTTACATAGATGCATACTCACGACAACCTTCACAAATTGAGCATATTAACCTACCTATGTAATTTGTCAAAATACCACCTATTTTAAATCTTGCTAATATTTCTTTTTATATGTTCAGAACATACGACTGACTTATCATCAACATATTGTATCATTTCTTAACTTTAGTGACGACCTGTGGCGGTTACATCGATACAACCTCCGTCTCAATCGAATTCCAACTCGGTGGGTCCATCAGTGCGGATACCAGATGCGTTTGGGTTATCTGGGGACGCGATCAGTTCCACAGGTTCAACCTGGTTTCGTCCGGTCTTCAAGAAACCGACGGGATTTTCCTTGCCGGCTACTCTGGAAATGGGTTTGGCGAACAACACAGATTGTAAGATTTAGCGACTGATATGTCTTTTTGGCATCCGATTATTTATCAGTTTTGCAATTTATGGTTAATGATTAGGACAACGATTGGTCAGAACGTCTCGTTGAGTTTCAGAATGGCTCTCCTCACCCTGCATGTTGGACATGAACCAACTCAAGGATTCAAAGTGGAGTTTTACTCCAGCAGTGGTCCAAATTATGAACCACTTACCGGTCACGCACTCTTGACCGAGGCGAAGGGAAATTACTCCTATCCCGTTAACGGCAGTGAATATGGAAACAGTGAAAACGCTCTGTTTGTTATCGCCCCCACAGTTCCGGGACAGCCGACCCTCCGCTTTTCAAGGGTCGATGTTGAAAATGAGGATACTGGCTGCATGTACGACTCCGTTCGAATCTTCAGTTGGTTTGACAGCGATTATCTCGAAGTGGCGAGGTGAGTCAATTTTCAATTGAGTTTACGCACACGCCAGTAACGTGATTCTACTCGCTTGAATGAGTCTGTATTATTTGGATTTTGCAGATTTTGTGGAAATACAATTCCACCAAGTGTAACCTTCCAAGACGGACTTGGTCTGATCACATTTGTCACGGACACAACTATCACGGGAACGGGATTCGATTTCGAATATGAATAGGAAAAATAAATGCAAAACGAGAAAATTTGTGTTAAAATATAAAATTCACAAATTCAAATAAGTATGTATGCACTTTTGCTTAAGAAATTTAATGTGCTTCCAAATTATCACTTCTACATGTGTAAATGCCTAAGAACAAGTAAAGTTATTGGTGACACGAGCTGTGACTGTAATTGGATCTTCCTTACGACAAATTTTTCGAATATCTATGTACACAAATTTCAGATGTGTTGAGCAATGGGATTCCTATTTATTTACGACGTTTAGATTTCCACAGAATATTCAATCGGTTATGCATCATAACTATAAATACTGATCAAAGTCTATTTTTTCAGTAGCGGAATTCATTAATCACCTCATTATCATCAAACATCCAGCTGCATATCGATCGAAGAATGGTAAATTTTTCATGAGATAATCCAATCCCTCAGTTATATAATTATCAAAAAGATAAAGCTTATTTCATATGATACAGAAATCCTTACCTGATCGTATCTCAATATCATTGTCCTTACATAAGATGAATGGACAATGGACAATACATAAATTGCAATTCTGGAATTTATTCGTCACTCATCGTCAGCCGATTAATAGTTACCAATTGTCGCCATGAATTCAGCAGCGTTTCTCGTTCTCTTATTTAGCATATTCGTCTCTGCTTTGGGTAAAATTGAATTGCATCTTATTGTATGTACATATAATTTTTAATTTTATACTCATGATTCTTACTTTTACCTTGTAAGCGGCCCCACAACCTGAACCACATCAGGGTATTCCAGAAGACCCTGAACCCGTAACAACAGGTGGTTAAGTTATGTTATAGAGATTTGAATTTGTGCAAAAATTATTCATAATTTTACCCAATTTATGATTATATCTACGTAGTCACGTCATGTGGCGGATTACTCGAGACGACCTCCGCTATCATCAATTTTCAGGTGGGTGGATCAATTCGGGCGGACATGCGATGCTTGTGGATCGTTAATGCGCCCTACGACACGCAACGATTTAGTTTAGTCTCGTCCGGTCTTAATGAGAATGACGGGCTTTTTGTGACCGCATATGGCAAAGAGGGCCCAGGATTGCAATACAAAGTGTAAGATTTCAGTGACTACTTATTTTCCAAGCTGGCAAGACTGTCGTCGATTTTGTACAAAAATCATGTTTTTTAAGCAAGATTTTTCTAAGTTATCAAAATTTCAGATAATATGAATAATTGTCTTACATCCTTGCAGGGCTTCTCTAGGTCAAAATCACACTTTCGTTTCGAGGACCGTACTCGTAACGTTGAACGTTGGACACGCTCCCACCTTCGGATTTAGTTTAAAATTTTTCTCCAGTGGTTCCGCCGGTGCTGTTGCGATAACTGGTTATATCGGGTTGACCACTGCGAGGGGAAATTTGTCTTATCCTCTGGGTGGTGGAAATTACCAGAATAGCGAAAGTGCCTTGATCACGATAACCCCCACGGTTCCGGGAAAACCCACGTTGCGATTCACTTTTGTCGATATGGAGGGAGCGAGCTGTTTGTACGATTATGTTCGGACTTTCACCTGGTTTGAAAATACTTATAGTCAGGTGGCAAGGTTAGATGGGATTTGATAATTTTTAAAAAGTTGTTACTATGGCGACTAATTAATAAAATGGTGTAAAGGTTTTGCGGAACAACAATTCCTACCAGTCTCACACTCGCGGAAGGTGTTGGACTTGTCTCATTTACATCGGATGCAAGCGTTACAGGACCAGGATTCGCGTTCGAGTGGGAGTGAAAACTTCTTGATATGACGCAGTTTACGTTGATGGTTCAAATATTTATGCACATGAATTTGTGTAATTTTATCTTAGCCTTGCATTACTTTCCAAAAAATTTACTTGTTAATACAGCAAATATAATTATTCGAAATCGCGGTTTTTATCGGTTAATGTGTCCTATAAAATTTGCATACCAAAAATATTTCATGGCTGCTCGATCATCTACATATCTAGATGAGGGACAAACAAAACTGGTGACGATGACCAGACTACAGATTATGAACATATAAATCTTCAATTTTTTAACCAAAAACTTATCAGCATGAAAATTTCATTTCAGACGCACCTTGAGTTTATATATTAATTTCAATTTGTAGTAAATACAAATTAGTATAAATGAACATTAATTTAATAGATAACCTTACCTTCTCGCACTTAAATATAGCAGTTTATTTTTTATGTTATTTGACAATACAAATCTTAAGAAATGCAAAATCGTTTGCGGTTGCATAATTGGAATACATAAATTGAGCTTATACAATTGTAGTGATAAGCACGCATCTTATCTCAAACAGATTGGCTAGTATAATAACGATAGACTCTACATTAATTTGTACAATTCTTCCTCGTTGTATCCAATTTAGTTTATTAAAAATTCATTTTCTAACCTTATTCTCCCTGTGCAGTTTAAAACTGTTTGAAAATTTTATATTAAAACTACACACTTACTTTCCATCCATCTCAAATAAAATTAATACCTGACACTCAGCCTAATAAGTACGCATGTTAAGATTTACGAAAATTTTGCCATACAAATGAATACAGATATTGTATTCATGTCTAATTAATAAATTAAATTATCGCTTTCTTTCTCTAATTTTAATCACATTCTTGTGGAAAATTATTAATATTCGACTGTTCGAGCGGGAAAGTGTTAATTAAAACCAGCATTAACTGAATTAAAAAAATGGCACAATTTGTGACCCTACACTTTTTTGGCCGGTGATTCCACTACATTGGCAGACACGTTCTCCTTCGAGTGACCAATGATGACTTCAATCTATTGCAAGAAATTAAAAAAATTACATCCAAATTATGTCAAAAAAAAATTAAAATAATATGTTATCTTCACCTTATCTAACGCGTAAGCCAATCGTTCCACCAACTCTGCCGACAAACCACCCTCAAGCATTCGACTCAAGCTATAGGTTCGCATCCCTTTATTCGACCCCAAGGTCGTCACAGCACCCAAGAGTGGACACAGGATCAATTTCGTATGGTCCCGGAAGTTGTTGATTTGCATCGTCCCACTGGAAAGTACCATCACGACGGAACGGGATGACCTAAACCAAGTCCACATGTTGGGAACACGAGCAATGCAGTCAGACGGTGGGGGAGGGATACGACCATCAGTCGCCTAGAAGAGAGACACATTAGAAAATTGTCCCCCAAAAAAACTGGCAATAACAGCTCACCTTGATCAAATTATCGTGCATATACTGTTCAAAGAACTTGAGCAATTTTATCTTTTTGAGCAACTCATCTGGAAAGTGTTTCATAGTGTGGTACGATTCGTTCCCTTCCTTGTCGATGTAGTGAACACTCTTGGCATCCGGGAGAAGAATCATCTTTGTTTGATCGTTATAACTCACACCCACCGTGTCATCCGATAAATGATAGCCAAAACCGTACTTGTCTGTGTAGTCGACCCATTTGCAAATCCAAAGGAGTGGACAAAGCGATGGATCTTCAGCGTTGTCTAGCAAAAGTGCATAATATACATGATAAAAACACAAAACATACTAACACATTTACCCACTATTGCATATAGTATGGTATGTAGATACCATCATCTTTTGTGCGAGGCAGCTTTCCGCTCACAATTTTCCTAATTTGATCTCGGAGAGATATCATGTTTTGCATAAGATCCTTTGTGTCCATATCGCAGTACAATGCAGGTGGTTCTTGTTGATGGGGGGCAGTCGAGGGGGCCAAACTTCGCACAGATGCGGCCGTTGGAGGAATGAAGCCGCCACTAGCCGTACCATCACTACTGCCAGTTGCTGGCTGATTAGCGAGTCCAAGAGGTTTCTTAAATAGTGGATTCCCAGGAGCAATAACCACCGTGGGAGGAGCAACTGGGGCGGCTGTCGTTCGAATGATAGACTGTCCAAAGTTTGGAGGTCGGTCAAACCGTGGGGCCATGACGAGCACAGATGCTGGCAGGGTAGACGGAATGAAACCTAAAACAACACGCAGAGATATGTCGTGTGACAACATTGTGACTTGCAAGTTTAATGAACTATATTATTCATCATTCACCCTGCATCATGAACTCGGACCGCAAAATTTCTCCTGCTGTGGGTCGAATCATGGGATTCACTTGAAGTAACTTGATTAGCAAATTCTTCGCATTTGTCGATATATGGACGTCTCTCGGAATCGTGTACTCGCCTCGTTTAATCCGCCGGTAAGTATCTCGCAGGGTGCTAGTTTCGAACGGAGGACGGCCCATGAGTAGAGTGTACCTGGAGCAGATAATTAATTAACTCTAATTGTTACATTCAAGTTAAGTTGTAATGCCAAATTGCCACTAACAAAATACATCCAATCGACCAAATATCCACTTGATACGAGTGACCTTTCTTTCCCAGGATTTCTGGCGCAATGTAATTCGGGGTGCCACAAAGAGTCCTGATTTAAATAAGATAATGTCAGATTTTAAGTAGAATTGTATTAAGGTTAATAATTTCGACCCACTTTTTCCTCTCCCCATCAAATAGAATGGTTGTAGCGAGTCCAAAGTCGCCGATTTTCAAACAAATGTCCTCCGAGATGAAGATATTTCCCAGTTTCAGGTCACGATGAATAATGTGTTTCTCATCATGAAGATACTCTACGGCTTGAACAATCTGGCGGAGAAAGTATTTAGACTCAGGCTCCGTAATGCAGCGACGACGTTTCTGCAGCTCCATTAGACTCTGAAGTTGAAATAAAACAACAAATTATCGTCAACTAATGCAATTAATCTACATTTAAGTTTAATTTATCAAATCAATTCACCTTTTTAGTACAAAGCTCTAAAGTGATGAACACATTTGCATCGTCTTCAAAATGTGAAAGAAAATTCACAATATATTTATGGCGCAGGTCGCGATGGATCTTTATTTCCTGTATATAGGGAAATTTGACGATTAGAGGATGTACTTACCTTTCTTTTATTACTTGGAAAACATGTTGAGCACAGATAAAGTAACTTCTTACCTGAACCATCTTCTCTTTCTGATGCTGCTTGAGTAGGAGACCCTTATTTACAATTTTACAAGCGAAAACCGACTTGGTCTTGGTCTCGGTGACTTCAAAACAGCGAGCAAACCCCCCCTGAAAAGTAAAAAAAGATTAGCACTTATCAAACCCATATAATAAATAAACAGTAGCACATAACAATAATAAGACCCTGGTCATCCCCATTAAAAATCTGACGAAATATAAAATTTTCCATTCAAAATTTCAAACCTCACCTTTCCCAATAACTTTCCTCTCAGGTAAGTCAGTCCAGTTTTCGAGTCCGGAATGATGGAAGGGATGTCGACAGTCGGTTGTTCTGCCGGTGCTGCAGGGGGTGGTTGTTGACTTCGGGCGGATGATGGTGGCAGTGGGTGTGCCCCTGAGGAGGGAGGAAGCTGTCGTTGTTGTTGGTAATTTCGTGCCTCGACAGTCTTCTTCATCTGGGCGAACTGGTCCTGCTGGGTCGCCATGTTGGGGGCGAAATGGGTGCGGTGACGACAATATTTCTTCTGCTTATCTTCACCACATAAGTTGCGGATAAGGAAACAAAGAAGGGGAGGAATTTGTTGAGAGAGAGAGCTCAACTGCAATTCCAACGGACGATCGTGGTGGTGGTGGTAAGCAAATAATTCAACAGTTGACTGTTACCTCCCGGCTAAACTGCTGGCCAAAATCCATCCTCATGCATTTTACCCCTCGTTCGTTTCCATGTGTTCCTTATCTCAAGCTTGTCTCGCTTTCCTCACTTTTTCATATGACGTTTAGCTTGATTGATTTGTGAGACGACTTGTTCCCATTTGTTTTTCTAAGGTGAGGTAAAAAACTATAGTTACAGTTACACCTTAGTATGCATTCACCCCCCCTTTGAAAACCTTGACCGCCGCCTACAGCCAAGGGGGTGCGTTTTAGAGAAAAAAATAAAGAGACCGAAAAATCAATTACGGACCTAATCTAGTGCTATTGAAAGGGATTTTTCGATATGACCTCCCAGAAAAAAGTTTTGATGGTGGTGAATGGTTGCGTTTCACAGTTTAAGTATGAAGGAGACTACCTACATAGCTGGGTATCTAAATTTATGAAAGATCGCCCCCACTTTACTATAAGCGGAAACAAGAATCGGGTCGATTGGTTGAGAAATCAGCGACTTTTCCTTATAACGAAAATTTCCGTGTGGTTGCTATATAGTAACTATATAGTTACACCCACTAAATTGTCATAGAAAGCTGAAATTTTGCATGCAGATTGTTTGTGGCTCGTATCACTTCGTATGGAAGAATATGAATTCAGATTGTAAAAACTTTCGTCTGGAGGGGTGACCCATACCGATTTTTCAAAATCATCAAATCGAAGTGTAATTTAATACAACGGTTTTTAGTTGCACATAATGGAAGAATATGAACTGGAATTGGGAAAATATTTATGTGGAGAGACCCTTTGAAGTCGCTAATTGTCCCCAATGGTTATACATAGCTTTAAGTTTACACATTAGTCGAAGCGCAAATTTAAGTGGGTTAGGCATATCGAAACTTAACACCATTCAACTGACACTTTTAAAACGTATGCTGTAAATTTGAACGAATTAAATTGGCCCGCAACCCTAACGGGCTTTGCAATAGCGTGCAATAATGGTTATGTTCTATGTTTGCTTTTAAAATTTCTAGGCATAAAAAAGAATTAAATAAAATATAGCTTGAAAAAGTAAAAATTTCTAAGGTGAGGAAATGCACTTAAAAGTATTAAACAAGCTTCCTCCGCCACCCAGATAATTTTACTTCGCCTGGGCTGTCTATTCCATGCAAGAAATATCGACAGTATTTTGGTGTCACGTAAGAAAAAAAGGATTAGAATTAATTCCTTGGTCCAAAGCTAAGTTTTGAATTGGTTAATATCCACATCAACATTGCTGGGTGCTAAGGGCATTAGCAATTATGATCATTTGGTGGAAATTGCATATAACCTATGGTTCACTCGTCCCCAAATTTAATTATTTGTATAATGACGTCGAGATCGTTGGGCATTCAAGTCGGAATGTATGAACTGATAACCAATATATTTTAAACCTATAGTATACAATGACAAGACAACCATTGTTTTTTAGATTTGTTGGGTGACTCTTTGAGCGACTTATTTACAACATATTTTTATTAAAACAGATATTTTTGAATGGTATAGACAGCCCAGGCGAAGTAAAATTATCTGGGTGGCGGAGGAAGCTTGTTTAATACTTTTAAGTGCATTTCCTCACCTTAGAAATTTTTACTTTTTCAAGCTATATTTTATTTGCTAAGTTTTTTGCACATCAAAATTGAATAATATATTATTAAATGATATACAATATAAATATCACTTTGTAATACAAATTGCAAATTGCATAATTAATTAACTTGACTTGTTTCTTACTTTGAATTTGCCCTTGCCTCAAGTATTTAGCATGGATGAATAATAAGTATTTAATACGGACTACACCACCCACCAGTCTCAACTTTGTCTCAAATTTCTAATCTTCTTTCTTATGAATCATATTTACCATATAGTAATGTCTTAGAAAGTTTAAAATGACTTTTTAACCATAATGAAAATCATGTCAAAGGATAATTGTTTCGCTATGTTACAATCTTCCTCATTATGCAACAGTACTAATGTATGCATGCCTACATATATTTTAAATAAATATGTAATAATAATACTATTCAAGTTAAGAACATGCACTATTTTTAAATTTCAAACTAAGAAGTAACTAATGCAGCAGAAACTTTCTCTACGTCATTACGTTCTAAATTAAAATTAGCAATTATGTTGATGAGATAAGACACGTTAGTGAAACCGATTATGTAGCTTTGACTCCTCTTTTTGATTTCTTACGCTCATTGAGCTTATATATTTCATCGCATTCTAAACATCTTGATTTTTTAAGGGCTCACATACATACATATTTATCCAATTTCTTAAATAAGTATTCCGGATTAGTTAGAAAAATGTCATCATCATTACACAAAAATACCAAAAGTTTCCTACTTTTTGCAACTTGTTTCCTCATCCTGGCTTCAATCTCACGTAATTTACTATCAAAATTTATTATTACAATTTTACCTAATAAACCTAACTTTGATAATTTTCTTCCTGTCATCCAGTCGTCTCCACTTCCGGGCAGGACTGCTCTTGCACTTATCAACCAGACAGGAATGGCTGCGTGATTCGAAGGGGTCCCACGCAGGCCGGGTTTGTTTGTCGTTGTCGGATCACCAGATTAATTTTTATCACTGCCTGTATAGGCTCACAGATCGGATGCAATACGGGCGAAGATTGTCCAGCAAACTGTGCTTCAAAAGATTGCTGCATGTTAGCCAAGGGGAATTGTGACGGGTACTAACTAAATATGCATGGAACACAATTTATATTTGTACAATTATGCATAGATTTTAATTTTAGCAGCAAAAAATACTTGGTTTTGTGAACATGCAATTCTAAAATATATTTGCATGTATTTCTGTACATATGTGCATAAAATGTACAATGAAATTGAATTACATAGCTAAGTAAATATGTATGTATATAATAAAGGTGTATACACATAGGGTCTATACATAAAAGGGAATGGAGTAATTTAATCTAGGTATAAGCAAAAGTATGCATAGAATTTAGTCTAAAGAATCAATTTCCTTATATTTAAATTTCAATTGAATATTCCCCTTGAATATAATTCCTTTGTTGTAAAAGAACTTGTACATTAAATTTACTGTTTCCTCGTCAAATAATATGTTGGACTAAACTTTCTTGACGGTGTGTTGTAAAATTGAATTTCAATTGAGTTTCCAAACATACATCTGTATTAATTTGCTTTCAGATAAATATATTTATCGATTATAATCGATGTTGTCGGAACGATGTTCACATTTGTCATTTATTTTTTCCAGGACAAGTTCTATACCACTTACAATATTTTACATTTATCTAACAATGTGTGGCTTTTGGCTTCTCTTAATTTTAACATACATCTTAATTGCTGAAATTGCATGCACAGACATCGCCTCTGAATCAGTGCACGGTCACCTTCCATTTGAAGAGAATTGTCTCCTGCATTTTATAGACTTTCATCAACCAGTGGATGAAAAAGTAGTTTCTTCCTTGTTGAATTTATCAGACTGGAACTTGTCCACTTTTACATTTTCATTTCTCATATCTTCTGCAAATAGAGAAAATCCAGTATCCACAGACAATGCTAATATATTAAGTGTTATCAAAACACCGCAGGTTTTGAAGTGGTTACCCAGATGGAGAGGAAGTACATGCTATCGTCTCCTAATTTGGAATGCAAGAGAAATTTCTGATGTAATGAAAGAACCTCTGATTGCATTTTTTGCAAACTCCAAATTCGCAGAAACTTTTATTTTTGTGAAACGCACGGAAGAGTGGGACTGGGACGATGTTATAGAGAAGAAGGACTCTGGCTTGTTTAATGGTGCAACGTTTCCAGTAGTTTTCATTATTTTGGACAGGAAATTGGAAAATAATCCGATTTTCAAGATGGGAATGCTGTGCTACATGTGTCCACCTGACACCGCTTTGGAGTGGAGATCCCCACCGCTTAGATTTACGCGTCATAAAGAAAAGAGTGGTCATAAGAGAAAAATGTACTTAAAATATGTAAATGATGTTAACAATCTCGTCGAGGTGAGAACATGTAAATATTTAATATATTCATGTTTGTATTTATTTATTTATTTATATGTCATGTGTGTATTATTATTATCATGAGTAAATTTGTGTGTAGAATCTCTATATGCATGTATCAAGTACAAAATACCCATACATAGTACAAAAAACTGATCAGGGATTGTACATTTCAAAGCCAAAATTTGACAGCCTTACCTAAGAAAGCATTATTACTCCAATTACTCCTAAATTGATTTAAGATTCACAGTCAAATTCTAACTCAAATAAATATGCACATAATATATATTTTCAACTTTGTCCTAACTTCTTGTATGTATCGACAAAGCTACTACTTAGAAAAATACTATATCCTAATTTAATTAGGCTTTATTTATAAATAGACCGGAAACTGTGAGTTCGACATGTACTTTACTCAAACCCATGAATGCCTGGCAACAACGGTACTTCTCCAAATCATTAAAACCAGGTTGAACCTCACCGTAGAAAAAGTCGATGACATTGACGACTTCGAGGAGCATATGTCATCCCGTGTGAGCATTTTGATGAACCTATTTTCCGCCGAGTTGACGACTTTCGAGGGAGGAAAATTGTCAATTTTTCTGAGAGAACAAACCATTGGAAAACTATTTTACTGCACCGGGTCAGAAATATTTGAACCCAATTCCTACTCTGTTTTTATCCGGGTGATCACTCCGACTGTGTGGGGCTGCATTTTTATAGTAGCGGTAAAACATAATTTTGTTCATTTCAAACCTTCTCGACATTAATTAATTAACTGAAATTAATTAACTGTTTAATTTGATGCTACGGGTACTATTTAATTTCCCCTAAAATTTCCAGGTGTGCGCTGCTTTCTTAGCAAGGAGCATCTACTTTGGTGTCGAAACTCTCCTTTTTTTCACAGGACGAAGTATCCTCTCGAACAATAAGTTAGCGATCGCTCCGCTCCTCCCCCTTACGATCGTGTCCCACTGGTACGTCTCCCTTCTTACAATGGACGTCGTCGTTCCTCCAGCTCCCTGGGTCGTGGCAGAAAACAAGGACCTGCTCGGCCTCGGGTTTCGTTTCGTCATTCCGTCCTTAAATCTCCTCCCGGTCATGAGGTCCGTGGGAAATAGGAGCTTAACAAGATTCAAGATTCCTTGGGACCCGAATTATTTCGTGGTCAGGCCGGATATCGTTAAAGTTGGGAAGGTTGGTGAGAAATTTGAGATCAATCTGAATTTGAGAAGGCATTCTTATACGTAGCTCTGCAAATATTTGCGTATTTAATTCATTTATATGCTAATTTTTCAAAAACTTGCAATGTTAAACATTTTATACAGTTTATACTGGCCAATATTGACACGAATTCTTCGAAATTTCATCCCAGGTATATTTATATTTTGAAAGGATCGGCAGCCTGACTTTTTCATAAAATTGGGCGAAATAAATGGCGTACACCACACGCAATCGGACGTCGTTTATATAATGAAGAAACTAAAATTGTTGAACGGCCGAAGTAATCGATATGGAAATGTGAGCTGTAACGTGGTGAAACAAGATTGGGACGATGAGCAGAAATATTTCTGGTTGGTGACAGGATATCTGGTGGAGGGTGTCCTTGATACTGCAACACATCTCTTGGAGAATGGTCTTAATTTTTTCTGGACTGTGAAAATGAGACTGAATGCGTTGAGCAATATGCAAATTTCAAGGTAGTTCTACACTGTATTTGCGTACATAAATTTGGGAGCCATCAGTCATGATTTTATATGATGTGTGTATACCCGACCAGATATTGCCAAGTTACAGATGGACAAGTTTGTGGAAAGGATGATGCTAAAAAAATCGGATTAAACAGCTCCATTCAAATCATCTTTTGGGGTTTAGTTGGGATGAATTTATTTGCAATATTTTTCTTCATGTTAGAAATTAAAAGGCCAAGAGGACATTTGCTGCTTACGAAATACAATTACATAACTTACTCGCATAAATTTAAAGGTCTGTGGAAGTAGAAGTAAAAGTATCAAGTATTTCAATCAATTTCATGTTTGTAATAAACTCTTCGATGCGAAATATTGATTTCTTTGATACGAATCTATCATTCACATATACGCACAAAATTGATTAAAAAAACATGCCCTTCTGACCCAATCTAATAATATGTCACCTGTGTCATTTGTCTCTAAATGGGTGTACAAATATGCCTGCATTTGCACTATGCATTAAGACGGATTGCATAATTAATGTGAATTTTGCTTTAATTGGGAGAAAGTCAAGGTCAAATCCAAAAATTACAAAAATTACATATTGCTCAAATTACACTTTTGTCCAGACTTAAATGCTTAGCACATATGTGAAGTAAGTACATACATACATATAGGCAATGATTAAACTTGGTTGTACATGCAAATTTGTATATACATACCTACCTAGGTATTTATGATTTTCAGGTACATGTTCGTAGACTCGTAGTAGGATAACAATTCATTCATCAATTATAAAATCCTCCTGTATTGTATTTGTTACTCCGACATGACAACCATAGACAACCAATCTCACTTCAGTACTCTGTTTCACATTTTACAAAATGAGTTAACAATATTTCCCAAATGTTCATCTATATTATAAGCTGGAAATGTCTTTCTGCAACGGAAGTGAAAGTGATTTTCCGAAACGGAAGTGAAAGTGGAGAAAGTGATTTGCATATCAGCTGCGTTGGTGCGAGAGGTTGGAAAGTCGATAAGTCAGTTATCCTTGGTTTTATCGTTTTGAAGGGAAGATAACGCAAACTCATAATTGTGGTTATATGGTCGCTGGGTGGAGTGGGAGGGCGTGCCCCCCTTGGATATCGTTATCGCTCTACTGGGGGAAGTGGGAGGGCGTGCCCCCCTTGGATATGGTTATCGCTCTGCTGGGGGAAGTGGGAGGGGTGCCCCCTAGGATATGGTTATCGCTCTGCTGGGGGAAGTGGGAGGGGTGCCCCCCTGGGATATGGTTATCGCTCTGCTGGGGGAAGTGGAGGGTGTGCCCCCTGGGATATGGTTATCGCTCTGCTGGGGGAAATGGAGGGTGTGCCCCCTGGGATATGATTATCGCTCTGCTGGGGGAGTAGGATGGGGTGCCCCCCTTGGATATGGTTACCGCTCTGCTGGGGGGGGGGGGGTGGGGGGGGAGAGTGCCACACACCAGTGACCGTGTGGGCCAAGTCAAAGGTCACATATGAACACACGTCAAACATATCTATGTCAGATTTTGAACCGGGTATAACAATATGATACTCATTTTGCTTTAATTCATAGGATACATTCGTTGTGACCGTATATTTACGACCACATAGTATGGCGTGAAAATTGTTTAGATTTCTTAAATATTTTAGTTTTCCTACTATTGAGGTTCAGCGAGGTCAACTGAATGGATTTGATTTCAATTTCAGCCCGCCTCCAATGTTAATAAAGTGGGCACGTGATTTTGTCGCGTAGAAATTCTCTGCGGTTGACTTCGATGCACTGTAACATTAATCTCAATCAACTAATATCATCACTTTCACGTTCATTACAAATTCCTTTCACTTACGTCGGCGACAGAGAATTTCAGCTTATAATATAGATTAAAATATTTAATTGGTTAGAGTTTTGCAAAATTCCACTCAATTTTCATGAAAATCAAATAAACTCTCCCCCGGCGGGAGACGGGCTTATACGCTAGTATTTAGATAAATTAATTATATATCTACCTATGTACTTCTCATGAACTTGTCTGACCATTGAATTGAAGAGTACATCGATTCAGCAATTTGCAACACATTAACCGATCCTTACAAATTACAGGTATTACTATAAAGTGGCCTACCTACATGTGTAGATATGTACTCAATGTATGCACATACACATCTGCACAAATATCTATGTACGAATATGTATGTACGACTTGCATTATTGATTGAATTATCTCAATTTTTCTTAGAATTGTGGCATTTTTACACTTCGTGAGAATTTACTTTTTACCCGAGGACTTAATCAATCAAGTATAAATGCACATGTAACTCATTTACATAACCTAGAACCTGTTCCATGACTCATGCATTTTTGCCTGTTTTCAATTTGTACATATATTCCACAATAAATATCATGCCAACAAACTTTTTACATGAATTAATAATTTCACGGTCTAAAAACAATTGAGCAAGACAACTCCATGATGGCTTCCCGCAACACGTGGGGTCCCATTAATGGTTTGTAAAGGTCAAAGTCATATTTAATTATGTCATAAATACGAGTATGTACGTGCATGTCTTTGTGTATATCAGGTTCTCTTGCCTGAATGATTGACGCTGTTATTGTGATGCGAACCTTGTCCAGCCAGACAATTTTCCCATGTTGAGCAGTCATTTAAGGTAGTTCTTACATAATTGACCCTGTCCAAGCACGTCTAACCCACGTACATGGTCGTCACCAATAATTTTTATTCTTTAGGATCATTCAGTATATTGTTTCCCGAGCTGCACTGTGCTCTCCTTGCCAATTCCTTCTCGCATTGCGATTCCCTTATTGTAAAACAATTTTAGTTTAACCATAACAAAAATATGAATTTCGTAGTAAGATATTTTAGTTTTGTGATAATACTTCAAGTGACACAGGTCATTAACTTGGTAGCATCGGTCGACTCCGATGTGACAATTACTTTAGAACAGAAGCAAATTATGGATAAATTTAGAGATGTCGTCAGCCCACGGCTTCCTCACGATTATATGAATCAAGACATTTATTTAATTAGGTGGCTAAGAGGTAACAAAAATTAAGATTAGTATTGCTATTTAATCAGATTTTATTTATAAAGGTTCCGTGTAGTGATTTATGTATGATTAAGAATTTGAACGTGTTACTTTCAGCAAAAAAATTTGACATCAAGGCAGCTGAAGCTATGCTTATGGAGGTATTTATATGCGTACATACTTAATATTTAGTAATTATCGTTGTAAATTTGTAGATATTCACAGTCCAGTCAATTTACTTTACAGAACTTACAATGGAGAAAAGATAATGATATAGATAACATTTTAACCGAAGATTGGTCCGACTTCGAGGCCGCATTTCCGTACGAAATTCACGGATGCGACAAAGAAGGAAGACCAGGTTAGTTTTGGACAACTTTTCGAAAATCCCAGCATAAATTTGCATATATAAAAGTGGCATTTCACTCGTGTATGCAATTGCTAATGTAATTTCTTTCTCAGTGATATCAATGTCCACTGGGGAATGGAACGTCCGTGGAATCCTTCTGTCAGGAAAATTGGAACGTGCAGTGCGATACTATGACAAAATGTTTGAAGAGACCTCCACCCTCATTCGCCAAGCACAAAAGGATGGCGACAACATGACACAGTTCAATCTAATCATGGACTTTTCTAATTGGAATTTAGTTGTCCATGCGTGTCCTCTATGTAAGAAAGTAAAAATCAATTAGTCGTAATCAATTGGCTTTATTTTTAAATGTAAACAAATTATTTTTCTTCGAACTTGCATACGTTTATTTAGGCGTGTCTCTTTACATTCGCTTCTACCAATCCCTGGAAACCCATTACCCTGGCAGTATGCATACTGTATGGTGCATTAATGGTACGTGAACTGTCACTATTGACTATTACGCGAGGAAAATAATTGAGTCACTAATTAGTTAAATGTCCAATTAGTTCCACAACTGTTTAATGCACTATGGCAAATTTCGAAGGAGTTCCTCTCGTCCGATACGCAGGCCCTGATAAAAATTTATGGGCGAGGGAGGGATGAGTGGAAACAGGCCTTGTTGAAACGGATTGACCCCGACAACTTGACCGTGCAGTATGGTGGACTGAATGAGGAAGGATTGACGATGGATGAAGTTAAGTTTCTGAGCGGAAGTGATCATTCCATTAAGTGCTCAAGGTGATAATTTACTTCTGTGACATGCTGTGATGCCTAATATCTTCCAAGATGGATAAAATATGTGCATTGTCAAAATTCTAATCTAACGTATTGACTTTAAACAATATCGTGGATCTAATTTCGTTCATATTAATGACAACGAAAATTATGCTGAAATTGTGAGTTTTAGGATTAGACGCATTTTCATGCATACTTCCAGTACCTTGGAAGACCTGAGGACAAAGTCCTTATAGTTTTGACAATGCCAAATATTTATTCATCTACGATATCATATCTATCTTCGAGTTTTTAAAATGTAAATTGTAATTCTTTATTTGTGTAACGCAGAATGCCTTCACTTCGAGAGAAGAAAAGAAAGCTGAAAGAGGTTTCCAATTCCGAATGATTTAAACTCATTTTATTAATTCCGCAGAAAAATATCGCAGTCTGATGACAAATGTACTTATATTCAGTTAATCAAAGTGTTCATTAAAGTGTTAAATACATATTTAGATGATTAGCAAATTAAGAATAGAAAATTATTCAAAATATCGTGGAGTTATGTATGAGTATATACGTAAATTTAAATACATGTTAACTTCTATTAATTTCACTATTCATAATCAATACACATTGCATTATTTCAGAAATAAATAAGTTTCTGGTGTAGATTTAGCATGCTCCAGTTTGATAATATGTAGCTATGTGTACGTCAACACTACGTGACCATATTTTGTGCAATTTCCTTAGGAAGTTGTCAATAAGGAAATTTTCCTTAATGACAATTTTTTGCATTTACGATATTTATGGATTTTTTTAAAAACAAAGAAACCCCTCAAGCATTGTCAAAGTACATATGTAATTCAGACTATTTTAATTATTTTCCAAATGAATATTCGAGACTTGTCTTCTGGAGTCTAGAACTGAAAACCAGTACTTGTGCTGACTAACGCTCATACGACTCCGTTAGTAAAAAAAAATTAATCAATCAATGAATCAACCAATCAATTGAAGTAAATAAGTATGTACAAAGTGTAAAAGGCAGGTGAGTCAACTGTATATCACTTTACGTACATAATGTAATACATGCATATTCAGTTACCATGCATGTCCGCACAAATGAATAATGAGTCATTATTAATGACAAGTAACCTTGATAAATACATGCATAAATAGGTAAGTTAATACACTATCAGTAACTTTACACTACTTGTCCGGCACCATCAGCTGCTAAAATTATTGCATTAAATTATCATAAAATAAAATAAACCAAAATGTGGGACATAGTATTTTACTTAATTATTGCCGGCATTGCATACTTTGCATACGGATACATGCAAGGCGTCTGGCTTCAGAAGAAACTGTAAGATAAAGTAAATACGTTACAAATTGACATTTTAAGTATTTTATTTCCATTTTTTCAGTGATCAATTCACCGCAGAAAAATGTCCCAAAGACGTCGTCATAATGCATGGTACCGAGAGAATGCCAGGAGTCCCTTCACCATCCCCGTTTGTCCTCAAGTTGGAAACATTTTTACGAATGGCTAAAATTCCTTATGAGGTGAAAAAACACACAAAATAAGCTAAATTTGCACAAATTTTACACGTATTATACCTTTATTTATATTTTTAGTACGACGGAAAATTACGAAATACATTTGGCCCCAAAGGGAAGACCCCTTGGTGCAGTCTAAACGGGGAACACGTTGCAGACTCGCAACTTTGCATCGAATATCTAACAAAGTACGTAAGAAAATTGGGTTATGCTCCAATTTCTCGAAGTACATTATCTAAATACATCTCTTATCAAAGGAAATTTAAAGTAAACCTTGACTCAAACTACACCGAAAAGGAGAAAGCGTTTGCAAAGTTGCTCCGGTATATGTTTGAAGAGCACATGTTTTGGGAGTTCGTCCTCTGGCTGTGGGTCTGGGGCGGCCCTGGTATCGAAGCCGTTTTGAAATTGGGTGCCCCCAGATTCCTGGTAAAGTATTTGTCCTGGAATTACACAAGACTTGCTTGGAGTCAAGGATTGGGAAGGCATGCGCGTGCCGATGTGGAAAGATGGGCGTATGAAGATATTCACACCATTTCCGTCGTTTTGGACAAGAACAAGTTTATTTTGGGGGATGAGCCCTGTGTCGAAGATGCCGCAGTTTTTGGATTCCTAGCACAAATGATGTGGGGATGCATGACGACATCCGAATATGCGAAAGTTATTAAGTGTAAGTTTTACATGCATATCTATTTGTGTGAAATGCGCATACAATTATGACGATTTTAAATTTTCTGTTCATATTTTCAGTCAAATATCCCAATATTCAGGCCTACTGTGAGCGAATGAGAGATCGTTACTTTCCAGACTGGGATCAAATTTGTGGCAAGCCAAAAACTTCTTGAAAAACTTCCTAAAACTTGATATTCTTCTCCTTTAAAGTGTCCCTTAATTATGTAAATAATGTTGTCGCAAATGGTACTTGGATCACAATCAGGGATATTCTTTACGTTACAAATTCTAAACCTTAACTTCCGGTTGCCGGTTGTAAATATATTTAATGATACATTAAATTAATAAAATCGTATAAGTATGCAATGTATTTATTTAACTAAAATGTATTGCAATATAACAAAATTAAGAAAATAATTGTCTATTTACATTGAAAAATTTTATCGCTAAACTATTCATTTACAATTTATTCTGCCTTCTTTCCCTTATATTTTTTACTGACAATTTCGGCATACAGCATTTTACCAACCAGCAGCAAAATGGACCAAATTCCGATATTAAACAGAACAATACTCGTTGGGTTACGAACACAATCTCCTCCATTTCCTGCAAAAAGCAATTGAGTGCATATTTATTGAGCTGCTCGAACTAAAGTATCTTCGTAAATAAGGTCATAAACGTGTAAAAAATCTTACCTATAACTGTTTGAGTGTACACACTGCCTCCAACTCCAGCTGCAACCACGCCCATTTCCATCAAAAGAATGAATGCATTACTACCCTTCCACACTTTGAATTCCAACATCTACAAAGTCAAAATTTTAATTCGTAAGCGGCTTATCCTATCAATCCTACTTATCTTGTCGACTCACCTTCGCAACCAGGATCGGATATGTCATTGCATGTTGGAGCACGTTCAAGAAGAAGATGCAGTACATGAGGGGTTCCCCATAAGGTGCAATTGCTGCCGACATGAATGCCATAATTGAATGATGAACGCTATTTTATTACATAAATTGAGTTGAAATTAAGTTTCAAATTTCGTTAACTAATTGTAAGTAATTTAAAATTTAAATTAAAAACTTACACGTGCAACAAGGTCAAATTCTTTTTAAGCAGAATGATCAAAAATGTTTCCGCCAACTGCCAAAGTTTCGACCAATGATACATAATTACCCAAAAGAAGTCAAAATTTAAGGGTCCATTCCTACATGGATTATCAGCAGTAAATCAGTCTCAGCTTCTCGAAAATGCAACAAATTTGTAGACTTTTTTTGTAAAAATTACCTGACACATAGTAAATTGTAAAGCCCATCCTGCTTAAAAATCGAATCACGAACTCTCGGCAATGTCCGAATTGTTGCCCCAATTCCAAAAATTGCATTTATGACGAAAAGGGAGATGAGTAAACTTTTAAGTGAGTTGTATGGTTTTCTATCTTGCATAAATCGAAGCGTTGTCACAATTCCGATAAGGTAAATAAATACTAGGGCATAGCTTAAAATTGGAAATTGGAAATTACTAAATTGGAAATATAACGTGTCTGCATTGACATGTTCGAAGGGGTAATATTCCTTTTTATTTTCTTGTAAAGTTTCCACTTCCCAACGATTCCAGTCGTCATTTTGGGTATAGTTTTGAAATTGATGAGCCATTTTTGTGAGAATTATTGCTAATTATTATTAGCGAAAACTGCACTATTAAATATTAGTCGATTGAGGATTGTTTGGCAGTGAGTGACACCTTAGAGTGTTGAACTCGTAGCTTATGTAGTTGCCAAGGCAACTTGGCATACCTTACAAAGTGTCAAGAGTTGTGATAACTGCTTGATAAATAGTTGCATACTGTGTCCGACAACGTTGGAAAATCCAATAAATCAAAATTGAGCTTATAACGAATTGTCCAATTAATTGTGGGATTTTCTGGTATTGATTTCTCACTGATCGATACCGAATTTTGCATGGGGCTGTGACTCGTGTGTGCTTATCTAGAGTGGAGAGTTGGGAAGTTTTTGCATTGGTTGTGGTATTTCCATATGGTATTAATACATACATTCATAAATATTTATAACCAAGTGGTCAATACCTACATATTTAAACATGACTCGTTCTTTTGTTACGTGTGACAATCAATTGAAACATACCGACAAACATAACTCCGATTGATGATTTCTCGTACTTGACTCAATGAAGGGCCTGAGACGTTCAATATCTGATTGGATTACGTACGGATATGTAATTCCAATATATTGGTATAGGTATCTACATTTTGTTTCCAGAGATAGACTAACTACTGGCATCATTACTTCTCACTATCAGTTTCAATGTAGCTTATTCACACATTCGAGATGCATAAATCTATATACTGACGGATATGTAAGATTTGAAAATATGTATAAATTCAACCTTTATGTGTGGTATAAGGTACGCATTTCATAAGATTAAATTATGTATATACTTAATGTTTTGTCGCCTGTACATACATATCTCTGCAAAATTATAATAACTAGATTTATTTCTGTCACTCATTTATTTTTCAATTTCGATTGACACATACACACATGTAAATAATTATTTTGTGCGTTGCCAGACAATAATTCCTACACATCCTGTTTCCCAATCGATAACAAAATTAAAATCCCACAAAATTTATCTAAGCTCTTAAATGAATTTCAGTATTTTCTCCAGTCTTCACGATATGGATGACCTCGAATTCTTCCAACGACCACATTAGAAACTCATCCTCATCAAAAAGGCTGTGGTGATTGCATCCAATAATATTAGGGGCAGAATTAATGCCCATAGCTTTCCCCGTGACTAATCCAGCCTTCATAATGTCATGAATTACAAACAACGTTCCTCCGCTCGAAAAACCTGTCGCGACTTCCTTGTTTGTGGAGGTGGAGGTGAACTGTCTGAAGGTGAATGTCGACCCTACCTTCACGGTAGGGAAGCTGGCTGAGCATCCCCGGTACACGACGAGATCTTTCGACACCTGTGGAGGATTCCCTCTCACGTGCACGATGCAGTACAGGAGAAGTTTATAGTAATGCCGATACCTGACAGAAATGAGGAAAAGTTTTAGATTTTAAAATGAAATTCAATGCATTCAAATTGCTAGGGCGTGGAATTTATTTAAATATGCATACTTACACAGTATCGACAAAAAGTGGTTGAGATATTCAGAAGCACCAGGTTTTTCCAGACCACAGATTAGCACAAATCGACAAGTCGTTAAAACAGGTACAAACTTATTTACATATACATACGAGCACAATAAATATAATAGCAACAGTGGCTACAATACCTCGCACCATTCAATACAACGGTATTCACATTGTACATAAAAAAATTACAAAAAAATAATTCATAATTAATAATTATTTAAAGGCAATTAAGTAAATACCTAAAAACAGCCGCCTCTTTCTCATTCTTAATTGATCGGCAGGCTTGGTTAAATGTATCGTAAAATCCGTCCATGGTGAAGGTTATCAAAGCGATGTGATACTCATCAGGGTGACTTGTTTGCAAGGTTTTGTACGTTGGCTTATGGTTAGCAAACCAGGTCTTGGCTGCGGTCCAAGTCGCCTTCATTCCTGCATCGGCTTTTAGCTCCTTTTCCAAGCCTTCCCTCAAGGTGGCAATATCGTTCTTGGTGCTGTTTAAAATTGCCGTATAAATTTTTCTATTATTGGCAATGTCGACGGATGTTGTGCTGACATCGTTTTCTGAGCCGGTAAACCGTTGTCTACGTCTAGCTGTCGCCATTGCGCTGTTTAAAGGTGTTTTCAACAACAGGACACAATTCCTCCTAAATTGTTCCCTTCAACGGGTTCATTTTTATATTGCATTATTTGACCAATATTTGCATACGGATATTTTGAAATTGTGTACATAGTCAAGATAAGTTAGTGTGCAAAATAGTGCGATCTTCATAAGTTGTATGGGTAGTCAGTTTAATTGACAAATACATAGCATTAAAAATAATGCAAGCATCTATCAACATGAGATTCGCTATCTCAGCCTCATTGTCCAATTCGGTGTAAATATGTAGGTAGTTAAAACTGTCATCGTGGGATTTGCTGGATGTGGATTAGTGAGTTAATAACTGATCATGGGTATTGGGTGATTTGCATTATTTTTATGATGTACAAGTTGTAAAATTAATTGAGGTGTCAAGATAACTTTTGGAGACCATTTCTAACGATAGGTACAAATATTGAAGGTCCGTGTGCACAGTAATATTTGCATCTAAATACTTATACCGTTCAGGTAATAAAGATCTCGACAAGCCGATCCAATCCGAGTCAAACGTGCAGCTTGTCATATTGATAAAGGAAGCTGAGTACTTTACAGATATCCTTCCATACCGATTGTAATACTACATATAATAGGTTTAACGAATATCACCCATATCTACATATCTACACCCATATCTAATACATATGTATGTGTGTACATATTATGCAAGTTCACAAGTCACAACACAAGTGCATATAAAATTAAGTAAAAGACTGCGTTAAGAATCATTATCATGAATATCATATTTTGTTCCCAAAGTGAATCCAAGCTCAGAAGTCAGTCATTCATACAGCTCTGGCCTATTTAGTTCTGAGGTCGCAATTCAATGATTACATACGTATAAAACTTCTCTGAAGTTGAACTTACATAAAACCCCATGAACAGTTATCACCGGAAATTGGCCGTTCTTATTGGATTATCGTCGAGTTGTTTGCTTGTGCACAAATTTATTCCACAGTATTTGTAAGAATATACTTATGTACATACATACATAATCTGAAATTATGGTTAGATCTGTCTTCAGATGGAAGGAGATAATTTTAGCAATTATTTTGTATTCCAATATTAGAAAAATGTCAACTTTAACAACTCAACAAGACGATTTGGACCAATTTTGTAAAATCTATCTACGTAGAGACCAAACTGGGCGAGATATCGGGTCACACCGTGACCCAAAGGTGGCAATTTATGCTCCATCCTGGGTCAAAGATGGCCTTCAAACTCTTGCTGGTCAGTTAAGTGGAAAGCGATTCAAAGTGCTTGAAGCGTACTCGTCATCGCCACTGGAAGAATTTACCTTAACATCTACTCTGACATTGACCGAACTACAAAAAATTTCCCGTAATGAAGCATCCAACGTTGATGGCGTCATCAATATTGGACATTACTCGGACGGGGGTATTGACGACTTGGAGCTGTTACTCGCCATGAAAGGTAAATATGCACGAAGTAAAAAAACTTGTCACATGTCACAAACTTAAATTTTAAAATAATTGTTTACGCCACAGACCTTGTCAGACAGTCCATTATCGTATCTCGGACGGAAGCCACCCATTTTGGAGGCTATCCAAACCGGTCATCCCGAAAAGAGTTGAACCCCACTAGCCCGGTCTACATTGTTGACCTGGCTGCCCTCCAGTTCCAGCAGTACTATAATACGGGAAGACTCGTCCTCATTAACGAGGTAGACCCCATCCCACCAAGCAGGGGTTTATTGGACGACCTGATTTTCGAACGGGTCGTCGGTGAGAAAAAGAAAACTTTCCAGGAGGCCAAGAACTCGCCAGATGCCAAAATTAGATTCGTGTCAGTTCGAGGTGGCTAAAATTTTTGTATGTAAATTACTCAAATTTTTAACCAATCAAAAATCTGAAATTTTGCAGGCTTTGGAAGATCCAAATGTTTATTTGACGTCCACGCGTATCATAAGTTTGTTGCCTGGGACGTCGTCCTCGTCGGGCTGGCAGTCACACATTCCACCGTAAAATCTGGACATGGCGACAAGGTTAACTTCAAATTTTTAAAATATGGGACAGGTTTTTTTGCTGGACATTTTGGCAACATTGTTAACTCCCACATTTTGACGGGTGTGGTGCTCGGGTTGGAGATGTTGTTCGAGAAACATGGTGACACCGTTTCCCAAGTTATTAATCATATTGAGCTTCCATTTTACCAAAGTGAAGTCGGAGGTGTGGAAAGGTTGGAAAAAATCAGGGAAAAATATCACGTGACGTATTCATTCGGGATGGATGACGCTTTAAAACCCACACAACCGGGTCTTGTCACAGCATCGACGAATTGTGGCGATTCGATGGCAGTTTTTGGTAAATTTTTGTATTCTTATGAAAAATCAAGCTGAAAAATCAAGCTGACCTTGATCACTTAACGTATATACTTTATTTTTATTTATTTATGTCGGCAGGAAATGAAATGGGTTTCTCCAGCGTTGATGCAGCAATCGCTGAAAATCTGGAGGGCAAGGGGGCCACGTTGTGTCCAATATTGAATCCTGAAATGCAAAATGTGTTCCTAGATTTGGATGAAGAACCGATTGCAGACAATGCGGATTTGATCAATCTTGCCGACACTAATCCTAACGAGAAGGAACAAAGTGAAGCTATGGATGTCAGTTCTAGCGATAACAAAATGTCCCCTCATTTATAATTTAATTTGTGGATACGATAACGTTATTTAAGGATCCAGTTCAAAGATTTATATGCAGATATTTAATTTATAATTATTCAGCATAAGCGCATTATTAACTTTTAATAATTATGTGAATGATTATTAATTCCCGGAAAAGATACATAATATCAATGAGTATTGAATATTTTCCAGTTTACCATATTTCCATATTTTCCATACTATGTTTCCATATTTACCAGTTTTGTAAACTGATAACTATTAACACGTGAATAAAGGTTTAAATCAATGATTAAATCAACCAGTGATTTATTTAGCATATATTTCTTTCTAACATGACCAATTATTGTGTATTCGTTGTTTTATTGCTGTATTAAACAAAACAAAATTTATGTCATTTTGTTGCGTCTTCCATCCAGTCGACTAAACACCACACGTCAGTAATTCATATGACCCACAATAATGTTCCTTTCCATGGTACGGAGCCCACAATCTCCCATCAGTCTCCACCCTTCCCACCAAATAGACCGTCCTCCCCTCTATATTCAAAGCACATTTTCCCACATAATACGGCCACCTTATCCTCGACCTTCCCCCCGGAATAGCCTTCAACGCCACGAGGGCCGCATTATTCGACGTGACCCCAGCACTCGTCGCCTTCCACACGAGCGGCACTCGGTTCCACGGATTCACCATGTACTCCGACTCCGCCGCCGGTTTGACATACTCCACCCCAAATTCAGCCACCGTGCACCCATCCAGCCTGGGGGTTGTCCTTCCAACAAGAATATTCCCTTCATGATAAGCCCTGCAAACATAATACGTGTCCCCTGAGACGGGGTCATATCCCGCATAAATCAAAAATTCCCTCCCCCACGCCGGCGTGATGGTCATGGTGCGAAAATAATATTCGTGACAGCCGTCCGTGCATCCGTAAAATATGTTAATTTTCTCCGCATCAAGCACGCTGAGTGCGCCATCATCCGCGTTCCAGCAGTTATCACCGACCCACGGCATTTTAGCCACCATGCAGTTATCGCATGGGTAGTGCATGGCGGACACGTAGTCGTAAAGGAGGGCAAGAGTACTGTACGGTTCGTTGTACGGATCGTTAAATTTTTCAATATTGCACCCTTGTGCCGTCGTGTCGAGATATTTGTCCCGGTCCGCGCGGGACTGTTCGTGATGGAAGCAAAGGGTGTGGAGAAGCTCGTGCGTGATCAGTTTCGCCACCCGCCACTTGATCTTGGCCCATTGACGACCCCCAACCATGCAGAGTTGCGCCATTCCTCCACCCGGGGAATTGTCGTCTCGCTCAATGTTGACGTAGTTAATGTCCGACGTGGATTTGGGGACGAATCGGATGCAGGTTTTGGATTCGATGTTGAAAATGGCTTTGGCAACTTCTGCTCGGTCAGAGGCGTCGAGGTTGGGGTCGAGGGTGTAAGGAACGCGGCCGTTAGGCCATTTGGCGCCTTTGAGATAGGCATTACGCGTGGTGTAGTTGGCCTATTAAAAATATTGGATTAATTCAGATAAGTGTGTAATCAAGTAAATTAAGTTAAGCAGAAAGAACTTGCATATTTTGGTGCAATATCAGTTTGCTGGAAGACGTATGGCGGTGTGTAATTCGCAGGGAGGACGCTGCGACTAGCAATGATGTCAGTTGGGGTCAAGTAGTTGGGCAATATTTGGGATGATACGCAGGTGAGAAAAGTGGCGAAGACGCTTATTTTTAACCCGAAGACTGGTGACATGATCATATCGATACCTTTCTAGCTACGGACGAGACCAAATAATACAGACCAAATAACACAATGTTAGTTTTGGGTTGGTTTATATACAAATTGTATCTTATATAACCACGCAGATGTCAATTGTGTAGGTGACATTATATTGACATTTGACTTTACCATGTCACCTTGATTGATGAGTGCCTATTTTCATGCAAATAAATTGTAATGGGTTATACATTATCTGACGTCCGATAGTAATTTGAATTTGCGACATTTCCAGGTAATGTTGAATCGGTTTGTGTGTATGCATGCATTGTTACGTGTGTGTACATATGTTGAAGCAATACTCATTCTCAAATGAATGTAAAGGAAAAAATTAAATATTTTTTTTAATGAATAATATTATGCATTTACAGAAAACCACTCAAACATATTTAACTGATAGTTAGAGTTTAATGGAAGACGAAATTTATCATGTTTTATTCACAAATTAGAAAAATTTAATTAGTTAATGATTATGACCATACCCCAGCCAAATATTTTTTTATCCTACCCTACTCATGTTGAGCTCAACACGAGTAGGGTAGGATAAAAAAATATTTGGCCCCCCTGGTTAATTTTTGTTCATATTTAACTTCATGTTATTTCGTGAAAAAGCAGTATGGATCTCTGGTCCAAATTTCAGCTTTCTATGTTAATTTCTGAAAATCGGTGGGGGTCACCCCATAGGGTCCCTCTAGACGAAAATTTTACCCATTTCACTTCATATTCTTCAATTATGGGCCATTAGCAGCCTCTATACCAAATTTCAGCTCGATTGGATGATTTTGAAAAATCGGTATAGGTCACCCCCTCGGGTACCTTCGGTTGAAAAATTTTCCAATTTCACTTCATATTCTTTCATTAGGAGCCATTAGCAACCTGTGTACCAAATTTGAGCTTTCTATGACGATTTTGAAATTTTGGTGCATAATACCCCACCCACTCCGATGACCCCCACCGGTCAACCACTGGACCAATGTCACCCATCTTCGAACTCGTTTACTAACTTTGTCCAATATGCATATGGTAAAAATTTCAAGTCAATCGGTCAACTCGTTCGAGAGTTATCGAAAGACAGACGGACAGACAGACAGACAGACAGACGGACATGACAATTACATAAGCCCTGGTTCGGGCTAAAAATAAAAATGGTTTAGAGAACAAAATTTTGGATATTTTAAGTGCGGTAAATATTTATTTACGTAAGTAACAAGATCTTTTTATTGAAATGACATAATCATTATCTCAAAGCCGTGATGGTGATCCTTATCGATTAATTATTCCATTGGGTAATATTACCCAATATTACGGATTATTTACATATAGATATATATCTATATGTAAATAATCCGTACAATTTTGTATAAGTTTCACTTGTAATAAAATTCGTCCAAAATTTTAATACTGAGATTTTGGATTTCAAACTTTAGTTATGCTAGACAGTTTCTGAACATTTTCTTACATTTGGTTTAATAATTGCATGCAACTTCGTCGTTCCGCATTACGAGTTTCGCTAAGGACATTTATGAACTTAGGTCGTTGGACATTTTTATTATTAGTGAGTGATAACAAGCAAATGAGTGCTGAACTTGATCTTGGTTCGGGTATGGAGAAGAAAGTTGTATGATTCTTAGGAGGGGAGCTTGCGAGGTTGATAATAACAGATCTTGATGCCCTTTGGATATGTAGTAGGGACCAATGAGTGTACTAAAACCCTGAAGTGGTTTGACTCCATGGCCACATTTGCGCCCGCCACACCCACTCAAAAATGCTCAAAAAACGCTTTTACTCCAGTTTTCACTCACTCAAATCCACGCCAAAAATCCAATTTTACTCGGATTTTGAAATTTCTTTCACCATTATACTCCCAGATAGTTGCTTTCTTCAATCCAATATCAAACTCAATTCTTTCGAAATTTTGAGTATTTTTAAAATTTAAAATTCTGAATGAGCATTGTTGTAGTAATCAACAAAACAAATTATTTTTGCGAAATAATCATCAGTAAAATTGAGTCTGATATTGTATTGAAGAAAGCAACTATCTGGGAGTATAAGGGTGAAAGAAATTTCAAAATCCAAGTAAAATTGGATTTTTGGCGTGGATTTGAGTGAGTGAAAACTGGAGTACAAGTTATGCGGTAAAACCGCGGAAAAGGATCTACTTTTTCCAATACCTAACGTATTAATTCACAATCTATGAGCGCGAATTTTAAAAATCGCAAGATGTTCGTAGTCCAAGGTTGATGTCGAAAAATGTGTTAATCTAACTTGAAGCTTGTCATATCTGATTCTATTCAAATGTAGTTGGGAAAATTCAACAATATTAACTTTAAGCTTGTGGAGAAAATGAATACAACTTTTTGAAAATTTCAATGTAGCGCCTCAAAGAAGCCTTATTTCGAAAAACAGGTCCTAATGAGGGCACACCCCCTACATCTCAGGAATACGATTCAGATGAGATCCTGTCAAAAAAATCAAATTCGTGGTATGTTGTCTCAGTGAGAATGAAATGACACAAAATTTTGAATTTTCATGCTCTTGAGAAGCATTGTTTCAAGAAAATAATGTATACAATATTTGGCTATAGCCAAATGATCTGCGAATATGATAAGTTAATATTTGCAATGGTTCCCACCAACTGGGGGTATACTGAGATATTCAGAATGTGTTTTATTTAAAGGAATCTAAATTTTCAGAAAACCAGCGATAACTTTTCAAAGAAGGCGAATTTCGAAAACATGGTTATCTTGAGGGCACTGCACATTATCCTCAGGAATATGATTCCAGTGAGAATGACTCAAGAAATCGATTCTGTGAAAAATTTTCTCCAGCGAGAATGGAGCGCCCTCAAATATGACATTTTGAATTTTCCCGCCTTGGGGATGCTTTATTTCAAAAAAAGTTTCAAACGTTTGTTGTAGCCCAACTATCTCTGCATTTGACTCCGTCAATGGTTTTTGTCTATCTGTCACTCAGATCATTTGAAAAAATATTTTGCGTTGAGATCACGGCACAGAAATTATTGCATGTAAACGTGGATATTTCAAAAAGTTTTAGAAATTTTGAAAAACGGCATGCGTACCCTATCCCTCGATTTTAGAGATGGTCATAATGCCTTTAACCGAATTGCTCTATCTCTTAAGACGGACCCACACGAGCCCTCTCAAATTAACATTGGCTGCCGTGATAACATACTACCTCTTCCACATATACTTCCATGGTGCATGAAAGTAAATGGGGAAAAAAGTAGAAAAATTGAGTGTGCTCACATCACTCATCAATAGTGGTTATCATGATAAGTGATCTTGATAAACACTATTAATTAATTATTTTAGTTTGAGACACTCCACCTGCAACGACTGGAATATCAATTCGAATGTATTTTTGACGCTAAATCCAACGCCGTTAATGGTTTTGATCTCCGAGGCCCGTGTGACCTTCCCGTGACCGTGGGGGGTAAATATGGCTTATTCGTGATGTCGCATATTAATTCGAATGTATTTTTGACGCTAAATCCAACGCCGTTAATGGTTTTGACCTCCGAGGCCCGCGTGACCTTCCCGTGACCGTGGGGGGTAAATATGGCTTATTCGTGATGTCGCATATCAATTTGAATGTATTTTTGACGCTAAATCCAACGCCGTTAATGGTTTTGACCTCCGAGGCCCGCGTGACCTTCCCGTGACCGTGGGGGGTAAATATGGCTTATTCGTGATGTCGCATATCAATTTGAATGTATTTTTGACGCTGAATCCGAATCCGTCAATAGCTTGGCGTTAATTGTAGAAGTTAATGGGGTTTATGGAACTTAACGGGAGCGTGAAGCGTGGGAATTTAAATAGTTAGCTATGCAGTTACTCCCACGCGACGGGAATTTAAGTAATTAGCTATTCAACTACTCCCACAGGGGGAAATCAAATTGTACTGTGACCAGATTAATTAAAATGCAGCATGACTTGGGCAAACCCTCACTCTGATGTATGCATGTGGTATGACAAAGTCTCCATTGGAAATTATTTAAAGTATAGTATGACGAATTTTTTGCTTTGGGCACACCCCCCACTGGAACCCTAGAACCCGGCCTTGGCCGGGCTATACGCTAGTGTTTGCAATAAATTGTGTGCAGAGTTATGGTTCCAAGTTGGAACTTCCAAAGGCGAGAAATCTAGAATTTCCCAATCATTTTACTCAAAGCGGAAGATTGCATAAAATTTGAGTGGTTTTATTTTTTGTCATCTCACATTGTTTCGTCAGCCGCATTGTCTGATTTGTGTGAAGTGTTCTGAAGGAATTAAAAAATTGATTTTCAATCATCATCATTAAAAAATTGATATCAATTTGATATTACCAAATGTTATCACCAGCAGATCTTGCAAGTGGAGCCGTCAACTATCTAACTGGAGAAAATAATAGACAATTTATATTGTACTAACAAGTGTGAAAGTAAGTAAATGTAATTACGTAAAGTAAAACGTAAGAATTTAACACACAATCAACATAATGAACGGCCATAATTATAGGACCCTAAAAATTTGTCATATTTGCAGGAGGAGGTTGACCACGATTCGTTCATACTTTTACTTTCAATAATTTTTGTCAAAATTGAAATACCACGATGAATGATAAAGGCGAATCCCCAGAGGAAAATTACTTCAGGCTCCACCGCCTCATCTACAACACGGCTCCCAACATCTTTCGACAAGAATTCTGTCGACTCTGGTCCCAGCTTTGTGGCACTACTTGGCAAAATTTACCACAATTTGGTCTCCAATTTATTAATGGACCTGGGAGAATGCAGTACATGAACAGTCAGAAAATTCAACAGCATCAACTCACTTCCGGAAACAACATGACTTGGGATCTTCCCCTTCTCTTCGAAAGTATCGGATCCATGAGCAGAGCACTTTCTCTGGTGCAACCTTATGGCGACTTTGATGAACTCAAAAGATTGCGAAATACTCTCGCCCATAGGGGAAATACGGAACTTGAAGAAAAACAGTTCATTGAACATTGGAATAAAGCAATAAGTATTTTAAAGAAGTTTGGCTTGAATGAAGACGACGTAGCAGTTGGCGTTAAGGAGAATGTTAAATCGGGGCCTAATAACGAGGAGGAAGAGTTAATAAATTCTCACATTGAGAAGCTGAAGGAAGAAGGGAATGTATTCTTTAATAAAAGAGACTTCTGGAAAGCTATCAAAGTTTATACCGAAGCCATAAGCGCCGAGAAGGTGGCCTCTGACCTACTTGGGGCACTGTATTCAAATCGGTAAGTTGGATAATTATGTATGTACAACTGAAAAATAATAAAGAAGCGATTTGTTAAATCTTTTACATTTGTCCACTCAGAGCTGCCGCGTTTATCGAAGTGGAATTCCTTGAGAAGGCAAAAGACGACGCCAAAACCTGCATAAATCTCAGACCACAATGGGGCAAGGCATACTACCGCCTTGGGACGGTGTACGAGAAGAAAGGGAAATTCGATAAAGCCTTGCAAAATTACAAAACTGGTCACAAGTTTGATCCGAAAAATTCTACAATTCTCAATAAAATGCACCATGCCTCCTACATGCTGGAAAAGTTGAAACGACAAGAGCACATGGACCCGCAGATGATCCCACCAACCGAGAAGGAGATGCAAGACCGAGCCATTGACATTGCTGGACCTTTTGGTATCCTAATGGGGGACATGTTACAGAGGAAACTAAATCTTGAGGATGGTTCGGAAAACATTTGCATTGAAGCGGAAAAATATCTATTTGGTTACGGTGGGTACAAGAGGGACGTGGAACATGCCGCTGTTTTGTTTGCAAAGGCTGCAGAAAAAGGCGACGCTCTCGGCTTATACCGACTCGGGCAGTTAATGATGGAGGGAAATGGAGTCCAAGTGGATATGATCCAGTCGTTGCAACTTCGTCGCAGAGCAGCAGAAATGGATCCTCTTATAGAAAAGTATCCCGGAAGTGGGAAGAAGACGATCCGAATTGGAGTTAGAGAAGCTCAACATTCCCTCGGACTCAATTATGCTGATGGATGCGTGGTTATGCAGGATTACCAGCAGGTAATCCTTCTTATCATCGTTATTAAATAATTTATATCAAGATAAAATAACATTGCGCAGGAATTAAAACTAAAATTTTGTTGACAGGCAGAATATTGGTACATGAAAGCACTTCGGAACGGGTACAGTTTCTCCGCTTTGAATATCGGCATTTTATACTCGCGTGGGCAAGGACGTCCAGTTAATTGGAGAAAAGCGGTCGAGTTTTGGAAGGTGTCTGCCCTGTTGGGGGCGGTTCGCGCCATGGAGACACTCGCTCGGCATTATTTCTTTAAGGACCTCCATCCTACCGCTGTGCAATGGTACGCTTACGCCCAACACCACAAATCTTTGGATCACAACCTTCGAGGATTGTTTTCTGAACTGGAGATGCCGACAAATTTTGATCCCGACCTCTTCGAAGACGAATTGGACTCTGAGCTCCTGGCTAATGTTAACACTAAAGATTTTGTCAATCTTAAAGACTACGAAGTCGATTTTACCGGACTAGAACGAAGTAGAGAGAGGAGGAAGAAGCGGTTAGAAAAAGAGCAAGAGCTGGATTTCCCTTCGCACCGAAAAAAACTAATAACAGACCACAGAGAGATGTATAAATCAATAAGAGACAATTTGAATAATATGGAAAACACAACCAAGAAGATTCTCTCAAAACAGGGTAAACTATTACCCTCCACATCACCAAATCTCATCGGATTAAATTCCATTACATTTAAAGAGTTGGATAAGTCGGTAGAGGACAAGATTTACGAAGGCTTCGCCCTCAAGGTCACTGTAATTGAGGAGGTCGTCATCCTGAGAGCTGTCACTGTACTTGCTGAAGACGGTGAAGGTAAAAATTATGTGATATGTTTACTTCATTCCTCCGGTCCTAAATCGTAACATGTTGCTCTTTTCCTAGGCGGTCTGGGAATAGTTTCCATCTACAATTACCCCCACAGGCCGGAAACGCTTGACGAGATTGGATTTGGGTGTTGCTTTACAATTGTCAACCCATATTTTAGGAAAGCGAATGATGGGCGGTGGGCTGTTCGGGTGGATGATCCAAACTTAATTATGAAACATCCCATGCTCAAGGCGACCCACCGCTGCAGATATTGTGGCAAGTCGGACTACCCTGAAAAGGAAAGGATTACTTGTCGCCATTGTAAAAGGGTGTCCTATTGCTCCAAAGATTGTCGACATAAGGATGCAACAGAGCTTCAACATAATTTCGTTTGTTTTAAAAACATTCTCAAAGGATACCTTTAATTTGCCGAGATTTTTCGCTAACACATTTGTAAGACTAAATGCATATTGTTCTACCTTTAACTTAGGATAAATTCGATCAATAATTGATGCATGCATCGATATAATATCTATTTATCTAAATTTCTTTCTACTCGTCATTTATATATTATTTGACCTTCGATTGTAATGGTCTTTAAATTTGCAAAATCTTAATAAACAACTTGTATTATAGAAATGTTGTATCGTGTTAAATTTTACAGTGCATCAACATGCATGTATGTAAGTACCTATATATGAATACACAAATCAGTAACTTCACATAAGGATTAGTCAACGGCAGGAAATTTTGTTGAATTGCATAATTTTGCACAGTTGGCAGAATCTGAAATTCTAATGCGAAGTTTTATCTTGAATAGAAATGTGTATTTACATATAACCATAGTATACTTGGAATTAACTGAAAATCATCTTCATACTGTGAAATTTATTAAGACGGATGTATGTTACGATGCAAATAAATATGTATGTACATATGTACATATGTACACATCGATGCATTCAATTACGAAATCATGTCAGTAATAAATTTTAAATAGAGTTGTATGGAACCCTGAAATTAAAAATGTACATCATTGGTTTTATGTAGCTTTGGACTTGCAGATCAGTCTGTCGAAAGCATATGTATTTACATATATCGACTCCTCATAATAAGTAGCTACCATCGGACCAATTATCACACATTTACGACATGAGTAAGGACACCGTCATCAAAGCTTTCAAGTCTATCAAGGAAACTACCAAGGCCGAAGTTTCCCAAATAATTGGAAATGTCCCAGATTGGGCGACAGGCCGGATATTACAAAGTTGTCCTGCCAAGTAAGATGACGAATCATCCCGTTAATGAAATATTTCAGGCAATACCTTAAACCAGTTTGTGTACATAAATTTAACAATTGAGCAGATGGGACTATCCGAAATATCGACTTAACCACGTTTATGACGGGTACATGATGACCTGCAAATTTGAAATCCGTGGAGGAAGCAATGGCAGCGTTTCCTTCACTTCAAAATTCCTACTATCTGAAGCCTTCAAAAAAGCTGAAATTGCAAAGAAACCAATTATAGCGGAATTTTCGACAAGATCTGCCGGCACGGATGCCTCTTTGTCGGTCTTGGAAAAAGTTTTAGCGTCCGTGGTATAAATTTTGGCTTACTTATGTATTTTCATAATTATCCTATCGCAAGGTCAATTCGTATTTTTAATTTTATATACCACCAGCTTCCTACTCCGAGTGACAACTGTTTATTCATCTCCACATCGAACGTGTGTCGAAATCCCATCATTCAGGCGGATTATGGTTTCATGTAATCATATAAAAATAATCAACCGTGTTCTTTATGTATTTTCTGTGATTAATCTCACTTATTTCATAGGTTCGAACTGGACCCGAAATCTTTGAACTGCATATCAAGTAATTTCGCCTACAATTTATTATTCTGACTTCCACGCACACATATCGTACTTACTATTCATTAATAATTAGGACACGATCCTGTCAAAGATTTTGGCCTTCACGCCCTCACGCCACACCCCCTCACGGACTTGGAAACCGGTGAAACCTACAATGTCGGCGTCAGCGTAAATACTGGGTCGAAATGGAAGATTATGAAATTCCCTCGTGGCTCTAATTTACGATCTTTGACCGATTCTCTGAAAATGGGCAAGGTCCTGGCAACAATTCCAGCTCGCAGTAAGACGCACTGCTCGTGGCTGCATTCGTTCGCCATGACTAAAACATATTTGATTTGGATCGATCAACCTTGTCACTTCAGTTTGAAAAAGGCAGCCATGTTACTCTTGAAGGGGGTGTGTCCCAAGGAAACAATGGAGTGGTATCCCGAAAAGAAAAATCGCTTCTGTAAAACCAGACGACTATGTAGTCCAACTACTAATAAAGCTATGCTAATTAATTTTATTTAATCCCTAATTTTCAGATATTTTCAACAAAAAGACCTGTAAAGTAGTGAAGATAGAAATTCTGTCGAATGACGCATTCTATTTCACCCACATTTTAAATTCTTACGAGGAAAAGGGACATATAATCGTCGATATTTTTTCAATGCGAAATATCCAATTTATCAACAGCCAAGGTATACCAAATCTCCGTGCCGGACAAGTCCTAAAGGACCCCGATTGTCCTCAACTAGTTCGCTACGTGATCCCGCTGGTGGGCGAGGACTTGGGAAAATATCCTGAAAACCGGAATTTAGTCAAACTTCGCACAACAGCAACCGCAATTAGGGCTGAAGACAAGCTAATTCTCAAACCGGAAGTTATGTCCGAAGTGAAAATGGACTACCCCACTTTCAACAAAAGGATGTCTGGAGGGGGTCTCCGTTTCATTTGGACTTCGGGAGCATTCTGCCCTTCAGTTCATCACAATAAAATTATCAAATTTGACTTTGCCACAAGGGAAAGTATTTGTTGGCATGCCGAACCGCATCAGTACGTTGGCGAACCGAATTTTATTCCCAGGCCGGCAGGAACGGAGAAGGATGACGGAATAATCGTCCTGGTTGTCGTCAACTACTCGGTTACGAGAGACAAAGTGGAGAAAGATTTCATGATTTGGTTGGATGCTAAAGACTTGAAGGAACTTGGGAGGGCTCATTTTGACACAGAGATCCCTATTGCATTACACTCAATTTGGCAATCCATGTAATTAAAGCAAGATGGGAAATAATTTTAATAAATTGCACACCCTTCGTTAAGATTCTTCATTAATGAGTCATTAACACAATTTCGCATATGAGCAAAAAATTAAAATGCTTGCATAGCTAAAGCGTAAAGTCCAATTCGAACTGATGGTGGCCAAGTTGGTCACGCGCAACGATTTAGTTGCATAAATTGACATTCATCTTTCTCCATAATAAAAAAGACAAGAGACCAGCATTCCAAATACGTACATACATATTGCAATCACAGCGAGTTAAAATTAGATGTCATACGAAACGACATATTTTTATTATAGTTTATTTAATTTAAACTACTCATGAAAGTAATTAACATCCATGAAATATGATTATTTCACTCGAAGGAGAAAATTGTTCTCACATTTATGCAGTCCGATTACATTGTCGCAGTTTCGGAATATGATAAGAGTGCAAGAATATAATATAGGTGTAATATTACGTCTTTCTTTCTATGCGTTTTCATGAAAACGATACGATGTACTCACTCTGTAATCGAAAAAGAACGGACAGCAATTATGGATGTGCATGCATTCCCATGAACTCAGCTAAATACGAGAGAGTCTGTAATTGTATGGCTAAAATTGAATATAAAAAAGCTCTATCCGTCGCAGATCTTTAGTAGCAGCAATCAGTGCAAAGGAGATCCAAACTCTGGAAGCCATAAATACTTGCATATTTCTTAAATACGCCCATTTTTCTGAAGTAAGTGCATAAACATAATAGCTTCAAATTTTTACTTTTTCTATTGCGACATGCGAATACATACGTAGATATTTAGCCACACAACCATCATAAGTTCCTAAAAAAATAATCCCACTTTTTCTTATATTTTCAGATTTATTTCCAACGACAAAATGTCCGTCTCAACCCTGCGACACATTTCTACCGAGGAGGATTTGTCCAAGTGGGAGGAACAAGCCAAAATTGGGACCGCTCGACCCTTCGCCTACGTCACCGACGCTCTTTTTTCCAAAATTGCCGAGGAGGTGCCTGTGGGGACGCTCTGCTCTGACGCCGAGTTGGACAACATGAACAACATTCTTGGGATGAAGGCTTACACCAAGGAGAAAACTGCATTTCTTCCAAAAGTGGAGTGTGTCGGGTATGTAAATATATCCCTTTCCAGTGAAATTTTCTAATATTTTTAAAATTTGACCGTAATCTTTCCGACCTACTTCACATTCTTTTTCAAACTTTGTTTCAAATTTTCAAATTTTTCAGTAGTTTCAACTTTACTCCAAAAGTTGTGTTATAAAAAATCTTATTTAATACTAGTCTCCCTCAATTGTTGTCTCATTTCCAGGTGCTCTCGCCCCCTCAACTTTTACGACGTTTTTCTCCAAGGCGTGGATAAGCACGGGGTGGATTTCATGCGTCTCATCGCCTCCGGGCCAAAGATGATGTTGGTCATCCCAGATGGCGACGAGGTGCAACAAGTTCGTTGTTCTGGGTGTGGCGTCCATACCCCTGCACAACGAGAATTCGTCACCGACAACGCCATGTATTGTCGAAAGTGCTGACATATGTGAAGGCTTCTTTGATTCATCTGTTGCAATTTGCAGTTTAATTTTCTCGCATTGATAAATACAATCAAATAACTGCAAAAAATCAAAGAAGCCGCATATACAAACACATTTCTAAAATGATTCTGCTTACATATCTATCTCGTTCCTTCTTGAATATTTCAATTTTAATTTGTTCCTACATCATTAAATTATCGAAGGCCAATTTACTTATTTCATTCTGGTAATCAATAAATTGCTTCATTAATATTTCCTTATAAATAAAATTTACTGGAATAATGTTAATATTTTCATTTTTTCCAAACTTTTGAAAATTTAGCTAGCATAAAAAAGAAATACTCATAAATTAAGTACTTGGCATGGAAAAATCATAACTTCAAATTTCATCAAACTCATTGTACCCTGCTCACATATTAATCAGCCACAGTACATAATACATGAATTGCAATGCATCTTTCTAGAATGCATAACTTCATTTTAGTAATTTTAGTAATTTCTCAACCTATTTGGCAAATATTTCATTAGATAAATTTAGGTGTGCCACGAAAAAGAAATCGACCCGGAGCGGAGAAGTTCACCGCATCAAACCTACATACATACATAATTATTTATTTGCATACTAACGCACTTCAAAACCGACTCATTTCTTTTTGACAAAAAAACAGACACATATAGACTGGTCGCTGTTCTTGACATAATTATTTAGCTCTACCACACATAATTCTCTGTTAACAGAAGTAAAATATTTTTGGGAATATATTAATTTTTTAATGGACGATAGAATAATTCACCACGTATTTGGTAGTATAAAGCCTGTTGGCAAACTTGCACCAAATATTAATCCATTTTTCCACCAATCCTCCCAAGAAAAGGACGACGAAAAAAGTTCAATTCCACGTAACGTCGTGGCAATCACATTGCTGAAAACATGCTTCGACATTGGATTCTTTATTTGCTGCGTTCCATACAGATTTGTTTTCTCATCCCATGAAAAGACAGAATTTCACTCGGTGCACCACTGGTTCCAGAAGGTCAAAAATTCTTAATATCTCTCACTAACCATCGTATCATATTAACATCCAAAAAAGAAAATCTCATATTGCCTCCCAAATTTCTAAATTAATTTCATTTATCCACAAACTAAATACCTACAATAAGTACTTATTCAATCCTGGAGTTCGCATTAAAAAAATGCGTTCATACAATTTATGTACACAACTGTGCTCGCTTATTGGAATAAATAAATTGATTACAGGCGTGCTGCATCCTCGTCCACCTTTGCATCTGGTCTTCTGCCTTTCTTCACGTTACTTCAAGTCTTATCAGCAGGGATTTTTCTGAAGGCCCGTCCATTTTTCATGTTACGCTTGATGTCATGACAAACGCCTACATGGTTTACACATCTTATCTCTTGTGGTCAAAAATGAACGATTTTGAATGGATGTTCTCCCTAACGAGAGATTTCGAACCTATTCTTATCGTAACAACTGATCAGTCTAACCCAGGACATACTTTTTTGTACAAATTTCAACGCATAATTTCAACCAGGGTTGATTGGATAACCATAATTATCTTTTTTGCAATCGTATCGCTCCAAGGATGGGCCATGATTGTGGAGAAGTTTAAAATGTTTCAATCAATGGAATCATTTAATTTCGAGAATTTTCTGGGAACTCTGCGACTTTTAATTGTAATTGCCTTCATTCATTTTTGCAATCTAATTTTCATCGCGATTTGCACTTTTACGAATTATCGGATTCAACTTTTTGTTCAAGATGTTACTGAAAATCCTCACGTGGTTTGTGCACAAACTTCAATTTTAAGATTTATTTTTTATTTTTGGTACAGTACTGATTTTTTTAGAAACTGGGTGCAACCTTTTCTCAGCTGAAGTCGGATCTTGCCAGACTGAACGATATCTTCAGCGTGTTCATTTTGGCAATAATTTTGACCAGCATGCCTTTCCATTCTTTGGAAATCCGGAGACTTGTTCAAACTGAGGGGAATGTCTTGGAAAAATTTTTGACAGGAATTTATCTCCTTGTAACAGGTGTATCAGTACTAATTGCAGCAAAAGGAAATTACTCGGTGAGTTGAAATATGTAATCGGGTACAAATGCCTCTTAATGTATTTATCTATATGAAGTTAGAGAAAGTGAAGACCTGGATAGCCGTGGATGACAATGTGGAAAGCATTTCACCCAATAAACTAATCCTCTTACTGCACGAGTTGTCTGTTTCGGACAATATTGGTCTTCAAGGAGGGAAATTCTTTACAATTACTTACCGGTGGATTGCTTCGGTATTTCACGATTATATAAAAATTGAGATCTACGTTTACTACATAAACACTTTATAAATGATCTATACAGGTGGTCGGAATTCTTGTCACTTATACAGTGATAATACTTCAGTGGAGCGATAAAAAGTTGTAAATTACCTTGTGCCCTATATGCATACCATAGAAAGTAGATATTACATACATATACATGTGCATTTTCATGTAATGTTCAGTGAACATTGTTCACTTTGTGTCAGGATTTGTGTCAGGTTCTCTTGAAAGCATTCGACTTGCATATATATGTATGTATGCAACCTCTGTATTCTAAATGTAAGGTTAAAAGCCAGCAAAATATAATTAATTTGTATTTCTTGGTTTTCATCAAATTTTTACCTGAGTGTACAGTAAGAGTATGTTCATAGACTATATAAATATGCAGATAATGCTTGCAAAAGCAATGTAAGTATCTATATAAATAGTTTCATACAAATATGTATACACAAATTTATGTATGTAAATATATCAATATTGTTATAGCACTGGTTGCAAACACAACTAATAAGAATCTCACCATTACCGTTTAATCAAGATTACAACGCCTTTATGTAATTAAATTTCAAATCAAACTCATCTATATTATAAGCTGGAAATGTCTATTGGCAACGGAAGTGAAAGTAATTTGTCGGCAACAGAAGTGAAAGTGGAGAAAGTTGAGTTTTGAATGGTGCGAAAATTCAAACTAATTCTTGATTTAAAAAAATAGATACCCCCAGGTAACCACCGTCTGACAAGCACCCCCAGATAACCATCTAAGATAATCACCCTCAAATAACCATCTAAGATAATCACCCTCAGATAACCATCTAAGATAATCACCCCCAGATACCCATCTAAGATAACCACCCTCAGATAACCATCTAAGACAACCACCCCAGATGTACGCACAGCACAATAGTAACTGTTGTGACCTGAAACAACTCATTGATCTGTGATGAAGTTGTCGGTGCTGTTCTGTGTGCACTGCACAGGGTCCACAAGTTGTATCACGTTTGGACTGGGGATATTGTGCTCTGGTGTGCTGTGCTGTGCTGTGCGCACAGCACAGGGTCGACGTCTTGTGTCACGTTTGGACTTGGACTATTGTGCTGTGCGCACAGCACAGGGTCGAAGAGTTGTGTCACGTTGGCACTGAGGCTATAGTGCTGTGCTGCGCTGGGCTGTGCGCACAGCACCGGGTCGACGAATTTTGATACATCGGGACTGGGACGATTGTGCAGAACACAATCAGTCCTGACGTGACACAACTCATCTGTGATTGGTTGTCTGATAGTGGTTATCTGAAAATGGTTGTCTGGCGATGGTTCTTTAGGAATGATTATCGTGAGCGGTTATCTAATAATAGTTATATTAAGGTTATCATGGACCATGTACTTTAAAATGAAGGTAAAATAAACTGGAAGCCACTTCTGCTTCCATCGCGGAACAGTTACTTTCACTTCTCTTTCCAACAGACTCCAGCTAATATAGACACAATAAAAAAATTAATTAGGTGGAATTATGCACAATCCACTCAATTTTCATGAAAATAAGTTGAGCTCTCGCCCGGCGGGAGACGGGCTTATACGCTAGTAGTTCATAATCACATATTTAACTTATTTGCAGAGATCGTTTCCCTCTGCATTTAAAAAAGTTATGATGAAGAGGGCAAACTCATAATGGCGAATTGGAGAGATCATTGCAAATTTAACTCAATAGTAAATAGGTGCTTATGTACATAAGGAAGATGTAATAAATATTATACCACCCAATCCACATTCATGTACATACATTAACGTGACACTTTTTACTATTATGTTACCTTTCGTTTATATGTAAATCCTCGTCTGTAACACTAACTGTGCACCCTCACTCATGAAAATCATACCTGACAAACTAAATCTAAGAATAGCATCACTCTCTCTTCTCGTCTTCCTACGGATAAAGCATATACGTAATAATAACTTTACTTGTCATGGCTTTTTATAGCTGCTAAACTCTCCCCGACTTTTAAATCACTTATAAAAATGTACCTATGTAGTACCGTCAATATGTATGCAAGAAAAACCTTTCTAATCCACCTCGTCCGTCGCATCTTGCATGAATTGAATCACTTAAACATCGGTCAATCAACTAGGGGCAGAATCCTGCAAGGAAATGATAACTGCAATGCCCATAACATTTTAAATAGGTACTTGACGGCACAACCATAATCTTCATGTGCATGTCTAATCTCTCCTTAGTACCAGGAAGGAAGGGACGCCTTCAAGATAAACTCTTGTCCTGAATAAAACAAAAAATGGACATCTTGTACAATTTAGTCCTTCTGTTTATAGATTGCTACAAATTTTTGGAGTATGGAATTTTACGGTGTTTTCACCCCATAACTAAGAAATTAGGAAACAAACTCATGGCAAAGTATGGAGTCAATATTAACGGAAAAAATTCTTGGGACATGCAGGTATTCATGCGTCAATTAAAGTGAAAGTGACTTTAAACAATTTATTATGGCTTAATATTAATGCGTAATAATATATTTTAAAAACTATAATTTAAATTTCCAAACTTTTTTCCAGGTTTTGGACGAATCTGTCTACACCCGAGCTCTTAATCGTGGAAACCTGGGACTGGGTGAATCCTACATGGATGGTGAATGGGAGTGTGATAATCTAGCGGAATTTTTTAGGCGAATTTTTGCTGGGGAGGATAACCTCGTAAAAATTTATATGCACCCATGGAACCGTTTCTTGAATTATATGGAGTGCTCACATTTTAACCTGCAGACGAGAAAGAGGTCGTTCAACGTTGCCAAAATTCACTATGATTTGGGTAATTAATTAAATTAAATTAATGAAATCAAGAAAATATTTAAATAACTTATATCACAAACCAATATACCCATTCATTTACTTTAATATGTAAATTGTGCAGTGAGGATATGATAGGAAAAGTGAAAGGATAAGGGCTCACTTGTAGTACTGGGGGGGTCCGGATTAGGCCTTTATGTCAACGTTTGACATAAAGGCCTAATCCGGACCCCTCCAGTACTACAAGTGAGCCCTTATCCTTTCACTTTTCCATTCATTTACTTACTTGTTAATGTTTTGTACACAAATCATGCATGCGCCATCAATTTGGCAATACATTACAAATAGTTAAGATACACATTCACAATAAAAATTGTACTCCATGATTACTGGAGATTTATAATGATAACCTTTCAAAGTTCTAATTAACTCGATTTTGTTTTTAGGAAACGACCTTTTCTCCGCGATGCTCGACCCCACAATGAACTATTCATGTGGCTACTGGAAAAATGCGTCCACTTTGGAAGAAGCTCAGATCGCTAAAATGGAGCTCATTGCATCAAAATTGAACCTCAAGCCTGGCATGACCGTGCTCGACATTGGGTGTGGGTGGGGCGGAATGGCCAAGCATTTGGCCAAAAATTATGGAGTTTCCGTCACAGGGCTCACAATTTCCAAGGAGCAGGCTGCCTTTGCGACGAAATCTTGCGCCGGGCTCTCCGTCAAGATCGACCTCGTTGACTACAGAGACGTCAAAGGCACCTACGACCGGGTCATATCTGTCGGAAGTTTCGAACATTTTGGGCGTGTCAATTATCGCGGATTTTTTGAAATTGTGCACCGAGTTTTGAAAGATGACGGTATATTTTTACTTCACACGATCGGTTATAATCACTGGGAAATGCCTGGGTCAGAACCCTGGTTGACGAAGTACATCTTTCCGGGAGGTTATATCCCGAACACGAAGCAGATTGTGGGGACGACGGAGAAGCTGTTTATAGTTGAGGACTGGCAAAATTTCGGGCATGATTACTCCAAGACGTTGAATGCTTGGAGGGAGAACTTTCTCAAGGCGTGGCCACGGCTGAGGGTTGAGAAAAAATATGATGACAGGTTTTATCGGATGTGGAATTTTTACCTGGAGCTGTGCAAGGGCGGATTTCAAGCGAGGAAGGTGCAGCTTTGGCAGATTGTGATGAGCAAGAATGGAATTGCAGGTGGGTATTATGGGGGACGGTGAAGATGAAATTTTGGCTAATTTGCCAATACATAAGCCATGACTATTTTGCAAGTGACATAATTTTTGCCATTTATTATCTATACTTAATATATATGTGAACATATTGATTACCTTCAATAAACTGGAGACTTGAATTTGTATGTGTAAGTATAAAATATGCATGGATTTTAAACTTTGACCTCAGCACACATATTTAATCCTTCATGTGACAAGCGAACAAATGCACTGTACAAGAAGTTATAGTAGTGTAGCTAATTTATTGAAAATATGCAAGTTACCTAATTTTTTTGAATTACAGCGTTAGGATTAGAACAATTAAACATGTACATACGCTGTTGTAATTCGATATCACAATTTCTTCGATGAAGAATTATAAGATTGTAGAGTGTGTATTCCATACTTACATAGAAGCAATTTAGAAAGCCAAAGACTAATGAAAAACAACTTTTACCACCCTCATTTTGAAACGCTATTGTGAGAATCTAGACAAAGCAATTTACGTGCATTTGTATTTTAAATATTTCTGACAATTTCATAACAATGAATTTATCTCTATATTTATTAACTACTCTAGTACGTACCTCTCTATAAACGTAAATTAGAGTAAATATTTACCTTTTAAATTATCATGTCCATTAGATAATCAATAATTCCTAAATTAACAATAGAGCAACATCAGCATCGTATTTCTTGATTTAATCTATTTATGAACTCATATTTAAAGGGTGTATGTAACAAGTAGACAGCTCAAGGCCAGAAATCAATTTTTGCACGAAAATTAAAAGAAAACATGTACATATCTAATTAATTGCCCATTAACATCAGTGACAGGGTTTGGTTCAAAACAAAGTCCTGAATGGTCAAAGGCGTCCCACCGTCAATAAAGTTATTTCCGAATCTCATTTTCAACGGAAAACAGGCTTTTAACTCTCTCGTGACGTACTTTCTACAAATTTTGAACCTCTCCTGATACAACATTTCCGTCATCTCTTGCAAAAGCGATTCTGAGTTTTCATTCACCGAGGAGCAAAGTGTCGTTACGAGCATATTGAACGCAAAAATGTTTAACCAAATGAGTGGGAACTGGAGAAACTGTGGCATCGGGATGTAATCGTATCTTGAAATCGACACGAATCCAGACAGGATTTGAAGTGCGGTAAAAGTAACCATGATAATTGGTAAGATGAATTTAGAGAAAGTCCCATTTAGCATACGTTCCACAATTGCCACCTTTCGATAAAGCAATATGCATGGGATCCGCTCCATTCTAAAGTCTATGCTGCCTTTCAAGTGTCTGAAAAATCAAAATTAATGCAAATATTTCTCAAAATTTAAAAAGCTTTTTCAAATTCTGTCCGAGTATTGCAACCAAGCACTGACCCCTTAACATGATCCAGATATTCGAGAAATGCGGCGGCACAAGAGGCATAAATCATCATGAAGAATAAGGCCCCGCTTGTATTACAGAGATACGAGATCCACAAATCCGCCACTGCTATCGGGTAGCGAATTAACGTTGCAAATATTCTTGGCCAACGTCCATCAGTACAAATTCCCAAAACAGCGCCAAGGAATGGTGGTTGGCACGGGTTGTGCAGGACCAACGCGAAGTTTAGAACAGGACATGCAAAAACTGAGAAGGCCAAGATGAAAACCAAACCGATGATTGCTTTTGTTGACCCTTTGAGTTGGCCAGGTCCCAATTTCGAAGAAGAATCCAATTCTGAAATACGCTAACTTAGAGTTTACCTATCTTAACAAAGTTTAATGTCGTATTTTTGTAAAATTTGGCCAACTTTCTCCCAAGAAATCTCAAATTTCCTTTACACATTTACTATTCAAACTGTTTGATTTGATGTGTATTATTGTCCATTATGAAAATATTTAAATAATGTTTAATCACCTCGTAGTAAGTCTGATTCCATGTTGAACGTCGAATTTAATAGTTGAACGGGACCAATATCCGTACGCCAAATCCACCCAAGGAGGGCGAATATTACAAAAATTAATACAATCGTCATCGCTTGAAGTTTCAAGTCGGCGGAACCATCTCCACAAATCATCCAATAAGTCATTCCTACAGAATATGCGGTATAGATGACCATTTGTGTGCAAGAAATGTAGAAACGGGTGCCGACAGGGATACGTTGGATCAATGAGTGTTTTGAATCCCAATAATATGGCGATAACCACAGGAAGCTTGCCAACTTGATTTGATTAAGCAGGTGCTTTTTAAAATGTTTGGTTATCATTTCACCGAGCTGGGGATTACTCCTGATTTGCGTATCAACAAGAATAGGAGTTGACCAATGGGATAAATTTTAATTCGTAGCTTGTTCCCTTATCTCAATTAATATCTAATAAAAAATCTTGGATGAATTTTGTCAGATAAAATAATTGTCGTGTATTTACGTAGAATGTCTTGTTTAAGAATGTGTTTCAGTCTGTGTATCACAAATTTATTAATTTCTCTCTACTTGTCAGAAGAAGAGAGTTCAAGCCAGACATCGAAATGTACCGTTTGACATAAAATTGCGATATTTATATGGTTAAACCCTTTGCACATACTGCACACTAAACCCGATAATGGCCATAATTAATCTTTTTTATGCACAGTGAGTTAACGTCAATTCTCTCCAAATGAATATTTAATCTGTGTCGCACCCAGTAACACAATTAAGTAAACATACTTAAACTACTAACTAAATTTCAATTGAACAACAGAAAGGGCGAGTTATGGAAAGGTTGAAGGTATTTATGAACTTTGAAATTGCCTGCTAATACACCCAATTCAATTAAATTGTCCATGTTTATTGGTTTGTTAAGTGAATATTTGGTTGTCATTTGAGTACAATAGTTTAGAGTTTTGAAATTGTACATAGAACTATACATGTACCAAACCATTATGGAACATTATGAAAAAGGTATCATGACATTATGCTGATACATGTGTTTACATAAGTATCGAGAATATGTATAATGACTCATTAATCCCTGGACGACTATTTATATCTTTTAGATAATCGATAATGTCACAACTTTAAATACATACGTATACGTATGTAGTGATCATTACATAAGTAAGTATTTCGTAGTGTTATCAATTCTGCAAGATCTGAAGATTTCACCTGTCTCATCATCCCTTCTAGTTTAGACAGAACCTGTACGTTTCACTCATTCACTGTCAACTGTAGAGAATTTGTGATCCACAGAAATTCATCCAAAAAGCTGGTGTATATAATGGGATACAAATATTTTTGTGATGATTACTCATGGTTGATTATTCATCCCTACAAAATCTCCATTGCCCGTACCTAAGAAATTCCTACTTTCATTATTCATAGATATTTGCATATTCCTTCCCAGCAACTTGTTAAAATGCGTAATCTCTCATGAACAATAGTCACGAGCTGGTCAAAAGTCACATTTTTCACGGTCTGCATGGCCCAAACGAACATTTATTGCTTGGCTGGCAACTTATCGATCTGCCACGTCTGGGTGCAAAATTCCTTAGATTGCATGCATCAATAATTTATCACTTCTTGCTGAGCAAATGTCAAGCAAGCATCCAAAGCAATTATGCTAATTTAGCGGAATTTGTAACCTGGAGAATGCACTTTTACTTGAGCATGACCAATTAAATAAACATATGCAGCTGCATGTGTATGACAATTGAAAAACGTTGCACCCAGGCGTGTACATACACATTATTGGATACCATATTTTTCTGATATTATATTTTTCCAAGTAATTTTGTGAACATCAACGCTATGACTGAATCATGCTATCTACATTATGTGAATGCTCAAATTATTGTTTTAAAATTCAGTTATAAGAAAGCATGAAATAGGCTAATTTATTATTTATTTCGGATTAATCGCCACACACAGAATTAGGATATTCTTTATTATTACACGATTGGAGGTGGAATTAGTTTGGGAAAATATATAATCTGGCTTTCTACAATCCAAGTGCAGCAGCGACATCGATTCGTCCATAACCTTAATAATAATAAAAATTATTAGAAATGCTCACCTACGCAAGAAATGCATTATTTAAACCATTGACTAGTGAATTTTTCTCACCGAAAGCATTGTTTGGGAAGTCGTTAGGTGTCGGAAGTCCGCAGTTTCTATCGGCACTGGTGAGCTGGGGCGTGGCTCCGGTTGTCGTAAGGGCGGCATAAACCTCGTCATAACCCCAGGTCGGATTGGCCGAGAGGAGCAGGGCGATAGCTCCAGCCGTGTGGGGGGTGGCCTGCATATTAAAATGTCGACGTTAAGCACAACCTTCTCAATATTTAGTGGTCATAATATGCAAATCTTACCATTGAAGTTCCTGACTTGGTCGTATAATCCCCAGCACCCGTCCCACATGACACGACTCGAGTTCCTGGCGCCGAAACTTCTGGTTTCATGAGCCCTCCGACACTCGGACCTCTCGAGGATGGAACCGCTGGGGGAATTGCGACCGCGTCCTGTTCGTCCGTATTTCCCACAGAAATCAGATTCGGCTGATCTCCAGGTGAGTTTGCAGTTCGACAATTTGGACCAGAATTTCCAAGCGCAAAAACTGGAATAATTCCAGCCGCACGCCAAGCAGAAATTTGCGTATTGTACCAAGTTCTTCCTTGCCCACCGCCCCAAGAATTCGAGACGATATTCGGTCTCGGATTGGCTGTTAGCATGAATTGGGCGCAAGTAGTGAGCGACGCCTCATCTCCATTTCCTTGATTATTAAGTCCCCGGCAGGCAATCCATTTCGCGGCGGGGGCAACGCCAACGCCATTCGCGGTCCCGAGAACAGTCCCAGCGCAGTGGGATCCATGTCCCTGGATGTCTGTTGGCCCTGCGGTGTTGTAGTACGGGTCTGCCCAGGCGCCTGCGTATCCCTCCGTGAGTGCGACGTGCCCAAGATTTACACCCGTATCGATGATGGCGACGACGATGCCCTCTCCTTGGGTCACGTTCCACGCTTCGGGTGCCCTCACTTTATTAACTCCCCATTGGTTAAGCCCTTGCCTGAGCGGGACGGCCGGTCCGTAGTCAATTGTTGGAAATAGGGAGGCAACGTTTTGTTTCCGAATGGTAAAGTCACCTGGGGTTGCGGCGAGAAGGGAGAGTTTTTCAGGGGTGAGACCTTTGACGAGAATTATGTTGGACGACCAAAATTGTTGCGTTTCAAGTCCGAGGGAGCTTGCGACGGAGACGTAGGGCGCCTGCGCAGCGGAGGTGAGTCCTTGAAGCGAGGAGACAAGCGCGGTCACCTTGGCGTCGCCGGATAGTGAACGGAGCGATGGGTTGCTTTCGACTTGCGCCATGATTTGCGGCAGTTCGAGAATGGCAGATGTCTCACCATTGTTGACGGCGGTTTCAAGGTTAATGTCGACCCTGCCGGCGAAAGCGAGGGCGATGGTTGAGGCGAGGATGATGAGGAGCTTCATGGTTGTGGGATAAGGCTGGCTTGGGATGTTGATATTCGAGAAAGTGATGATCCAGTGGTCAAGCTGTGATCCTTTTATATGCGACCAGTCTGCATATTCTGTAAGTGAGGGGAATTTTCCCTTTTCATAAAGTAAGCTTAATTCAGGAAATTCCTTCATCGTCATAATTTTCCGGAGTTTCCATTAGTCAGTAGGTTAAGGTATCAAGTAGCTTGCATTGTTTATTTGGGGGATAGGGGGGGGACTCATGGTTGTTATTTCGAATGTTTATATTACATGCAATGGCAGAAGAGGTTGATGCTAATCCATTTGACAGATTCAGAATTTCCCAAGATTTGAAAGGACAGAACATGATAAGTTACAGGACAAGGCTAATCCAAGGGGGAAATATGTTTTGTTATCTCAGAATGGGTAAATTTGTTATTAAACAAAAAAACAGTGTATGCATAGTTTGGATAAAACCATAGTGGTTAGCTTATTGCAAATTGAGATAAGCTCTATACTCTGTAGCTGCTCAATCACTCATGTTTATCTTGATAATCGAAATCCAGATGTTTCCATTTGTCGTTTGTAATAACTACATTGAATCAGATTTTATCTATGTACCATAAAACTTGGATATTCGTAATATGTCCACAATAAAGATTTTATAGCTCTGCGACAAATTTATTACCTCAGCCACAATTTAACATGATTATTCGCCTGGACGAAAATCGATGAAAGATGATATTACAAATTAAGTAGTTAAGTTAAGTTAATTTAAAGTTAAAGTAATTAAGTTAATTAAGTAATTAATTAATTATGATGCATACACACAACACACTCCGTTGATCTACAATGTTCTTAGTCAAAGATGCTACAAAAATTAAATTACTGGATACATATGGCCAGTTACAACTAATTAAGTAATGATATACATAAATAGGTATGTTTATGTAGCTTTTGGGTAAAATATACTGAAATTATCTATTTACAAGTACATACATTTGTTAATTTTTAGTTATTAATTGTGCATACAATACAAAAGATATTCACCAGTGGTGAATCACCACCTTTCGTTCACCTTTATGAAATGCTACAAATAATCAAAAACAAAGGAAATTTAAGGATTAGGGTTGTATTCATACTTTGAAGTTTGGAAATGTGCATTCGTTCGCATTGCTCGTGTTGTATTACAAATTTATTGTTTGAGACATTTTATTTTAATTATTTTCCAACTCATGAATTTACAGAGTAAATATGGAGTTTTCGTTGCACAACGCACAACAAGCATCCAAGTGGGCAAGCGTAGCGTAATCAAGGATGAGGATGAGCAAGGTTCGTGGTCCGTGGTTCTTCCAACTCCTTTTTCTATTTTTTCCACCATAAGCTCAAATGTCGGGGCAACCTGAGACATTTGGCGCTATATGTGGAACATATAGTATGTTGTCAGGCACTCTTATGGGAAATGTCGGGGGCTCGTACAAAAAAACGGTTGGGCGTAAAGAGATGCCGTAAAGTGCATTAGATGCCTCTCGAAAAGTTTTAAAATGACTTTTTTCTAATTCATGGTATCTTGAACCATTTTCAAGAAATTCAATAAAAACCGATTTTTCGGTTTCGAAATCATAAATGTTTCGCTGAATGAATTGGGTGCATAACACAAAGTTGTATGTAATAGCAAATATGTTCATAACCGCATTATCTATAATATTTACTCGAAAATTTTTTCGAAATAATGCTAGGTACAGGCGGTAAGTTCAAATTTCCGAAAAATTTTGCAATTTCGGCTATCAATTTCTCCACTGAGCTACAGCCTAGACGATACATTTTGGTAACCTAAACTAAACGGGATCGTATTGGGGAAGGTCCCGGCTAGTGCCCTCGACTGATTGACTTTTTCGAAATAAGCCTTGGTTTTTAAGATATGGCGCGATTTCTAAAATTAAAATCCATAACTCATATTTGGTATGAAAAAATAGAAATTTTCAGCGGTTTTGCCGCATAGCTTGTTGTGCAAAACGCAACACGACTGCTGAACTTTGCAAAACGGTTCCCCGTCTCATTTTACACATTTTTCCCTATATTATACACGTACTAGGACTTCGGCTCAAGATCTAATGACTTTTTTAATCGCTTTATACTCAACTCTCAAATTCTTGAATTTTAATTTGTGCATGAAATATTTTGGCATACTTTTCAGTTTTCATATTATGAGATTCTGGAAGTTAACTTCTGTTCATGAGAAATGTTGACATTTGTTGAATTCTCATGAATTAGCAGAGGAAGTTGCGGGGAAAAGCTCAACATGTGTTGAAAGCATTGCAAGTTGCAATTTGCAACGAAAAAAACACAACATTCGCTTGAAATGCATTTAACATTTAATAAAAAATACTTTAATGTAATCGATCTATTTGGGACAGGATATTTTAGATAGTATTAGGCACTGCAATTTAAGTGGGAGGTCTGCACTGGTGGTGCAGAGTGCTGGTTGTTGGTGGAGTGAAGTTTGAAACTATGATAGTTTAACCCATTTCAATTGTGTGGTAAATGGTTTATTTATCTTTGGTTAATATTCAATGATGATTTTTATACGACGAATCTTGACTTGCAAATTATTTTACTGCAGAATCCTCATAAAATATGGACCTACCTGACAATACAACAGAGATAACGCGTGATTCTTCCCCGATATGTACAATAGTAAAGGACGAAATTGACATCGAGGAATGCGCCAGTAATGAAGAGCAGATTAACGGTTGCTGTATATGTGGCGACGTCCACTGTACAAATTCTTCCAATGGGGACAATTCTTCCCAATGGGTTCAGAGCATCCTTCTGTTTGCGACTTTGCTCCAAAAACACTTTCCAGCTCAGGGAGGGATTAAATTTGATAATTTGGCGACCTGTTCCCGGTGCGAGGGCATGATCAACGGTGTCTGGAGTCTGTGTCAACAAATAGATTTGATAAAAATAGAGATTCAAGATGTCTTGGAAAAGGCTGCGCAACTTATGACGGATGTGACAATGAGAGGTAATTCATGATTTTGACTTATTTACAGTGTCTCCGTGCCATTTGTGTCTTTTAACCGATATATATGGTTTTTAAGCTTGTCTCGAGCTAAGAACTCAATTAACTAACGATTCTTAATATATTTATTGATTTATAGAAGAAGGAACTCGATGAATGTGACGATGGTCGAAACAGCAGAAATTACGACGATAGCCAAAACGATCCATTATCTCGCAGCCAGTATCTCAACCTGGGTCTCTACCGTCTCGAAATCAGTCACCAGGTTTAATAATAATTTATAAAACATTCTCATCAATAAATCACTTCCAATAATCCCCCATTTTACAATAATTAGATCCAGACGGCCAAGCGGAGATAAACACAAGCCATTCTAACGACGAGGATAATATTGTTCCTTCCCAATTTGAGGAAGTTGAGGTCCCAAACTTTTTTGAAGGTTATGGAGGTAGGGAAGAATACATCATTCCTGATAATGGACCTCATCTTGAGAGGGTAGATGGCTTAGAAGTAGAGACTGAAAAAGAAGAAGAAGAAATTGAGGTTCAGGAAATAATTAGCGTTTCTAGTGGTTCAGAAGATGATAGTTCTTCGAAAGTTTCTGAAGACGCTTCCTCATCGGATCAATCCACACGAAGATCCCTGAACTCTCTTAATAATGGTAAAAGGAAGAAAAAAACATCTTATAAAAAATCGCCTCCCCAAAAGTGAGTCGACGCTATTTGTAAATTATTATAATTTAAAATAAAGCAATTTAAATTATTTATATCCACATTACAAATTTGCTACAACCTATTTCACAGGTCTAGTCGTTACGAATCCAAGAAGCGATCCAAGTCCACCACTTTATTTGCATCCACTCCTTCCTACTCTACAACAAGGCATACAAATGCCAGGACATACTCGGAATTTGTTTGTGAACGATGTCGCAAAGATTTCCACTCGGAGCGACAATTAGACCAACACAGTGCTAAAATTCATTCCCTTCACTATTGAGAAATTTGTCGAAAAATCTTTCAAATTCGACGAGATCTCACAGCTCATATGAGTGAAGCGCATGGATACTGATATTTCTAAAACATTTTATCTGCGACAAACTTCTTTGCAGTAAGGTCAAAGTATTCACCCTAAAAAATAAGTAGATATTTATATCGCACTGTTTAAACTTTGTGCGTTACACAAACGGCATTAGATAATTTCGTTGTCTAATGTAATGTTAGAATTATTTTTGTACACATTTTTAACTACTCAAGAGAGCTACGGAATTTTGTAATTTACATATCAAAATGTGATGTGATGATATGTACATAAGTACATATGAATGCTGTACATATCTATGTACATATTTAATCGCAATCCGTATGTAAAGTTTGTCCAATGTTTCTACCAAAATGTGCTAACATCTTGTGTTTATTCTTAGCAATATTTTTATATTTATTTAATTCTAGTACTTCTTTATGTTATAATTTCTTTTAAAGTTAGTTATCTGTTATGCCAGACACATAATAAATGTTCTAATGCTATCAAAGTAGGCAATGACTTGCATTCAAAAATGGTAGAGTATGGTTCAATATATATTTATCATAACTAAATTGTCTGAAAGTCGAAATTTCGACTGGCTTGTATTCCTCAATCTTCTGAAAAATCTATGTATTCAACTGTGTGCATGCATGGGTCACGATACAACTCGTGAAAAAGGCAATCAGTCAAAATTACGTAGTTATCTACATACCTTTACCGCCATATTGTTTGTGTTTTGAAGTCTTTGCTTTTGATAAGAATATATAACACAGAGACACGCAGCTATCGAGTGTAGATATGGTTAATGCGTGCATAATGGTTACTTGTATGGAAATACAATTTCACGAAGCCATTAGTATGTCATACTTTATTGCATAAAAAATGTATATACTTAAAAAATTCGGTCTCAATTGGACCCTTTTTCACAGCAATAATTTTAAATTTTGTTCCGAATCCTTACAAAAAACATTTCATTTTCATCACATTACCTTCATTTTTTTCGCACTTCTCAAATATCGTTGATAAAAGAAATTCAGAAACAATGCACAATATGAGAAATACATTGCCAATGCGACCCCAATATTTGACCATGGTCGATCACATTCCCCTCCAGTGACTACATAGAATTGCGAAAATCTTTTTATAGAAAAACAACTTTACACAAATTTAAAATAATTTTAAATCTTTGTAAAAACTTACGAATTACGTACGAAGTGAAAAGACTAATCACAATCCCGACAAACATCTGCATAATTTGAATACTGGTGATCACAATGGAGAGATATTTTGGGGGTTTCATATTTGCCGCCTATGATCAAAAACATTTCAAAATGTATCCCAAAAATAAATAATATTTGAAAAATGAAATCCATATCTTCCAAAAAATTATACTGCGAACAATTAAAAACCTAACCCGAAGGCCGTAGTAGAAATACATGATGGCATGGACGAAGGCATTCATGCAGTAAAAATAGCGTCCCGCAGGATCATAAGTGCTCCATACGAACGAACCGTATATGCAAACGGTCAAATGGTGATACCTAGAAAATCAGGTCACGAATTTTCAAATTTCTGATATTATTTCGAAGTAGTCTTTAAGCAATCATATTTACCAATGGAGAAATATAAGCTTCTGTTTCCTTAACACAATAAAAGCCGTGTCACCTGGAACATATCAAATATCAAGTAAACTTCCCCTCTTTAGAAGATCCACATTTCAAAATTAAAACTTGGAAATGTAATACCAAACTCAATGATTTTAAAAATACAGAAAATCAAGCCCCAAAAATATGTTGCGGAGCTGGGATTCTCTCTGAAACGTAATAAAACAAATATTACACGATCCTCATCTAATGTACATGGAGCATATTTACATATTTGCACATATTCGTACAATTTGCAAAATGATCTCAATACCCCGGCGGACGAGATGGCGTTGATAATTTCGGGAAGAGATCTCGAGAAAAAAATAACTGAGAATGCAGAAAGACCAAGATTCCATCCGATTAGGGCACTTTGCAGTCTAAATGGCGGTCTATTTTTCATGAGACGAATTCCAACCAAGAGGATGACCAGGTACAGAATCGACGCGTAAATTCCCACCGTCCAATTACACCATCCCCAAATTCTCCATGTCTTTGGAAATTTTTCAAAGCTGTACAATTTCATGTAAGTAGGGTCAGAATCCAGGTTGACGTGCGACATTGCAGACGTGTCACAAATATGTTCCATGTTATTTCCGAGTAAAAATTTGTTAAAAGCAAAAATTTTGTATGTAAAGAAAATTATAATTCTGTTCAAGAAAGAATGCAACGTTCTGATTGATATACATGTAGAGTGGTTTTACTTTGTTGTATCAAATTGCAAAATTCCTATGACAATGTATGTAAATTCAAGTACATATTTACATACTGTAGCAATTGGATTACACCAAGCTTTAGTGGAAAAAAAACGAGGAAAAAGTTTACTTTATTTGTAAATATTTCAAATACTATCTGCCATACATTTACATAGGTATGCAAATACTTATGTACACACAAGCACCGTAAAGAAGTGCGTACAATTATTTTGCACGTGGAAAATTAGCGTGTGTCGTTAATCGTGGGAAGAGTAAAAATATCGAGTTAGCTGATCTGCATTAAACTTATATGCATAAGCATAAGTTATTAATTAGAAATGGAATATTTATGTTTCGCAATAACTTATTTTTTGTAAATGTACTTGTTCCACAAACTTTTTATGCGATTGTCCTTATCTGCATATTCATCTTATTTACCATTGGTAAATTACCAAGGATATTGCCAAGTTCACCTTCGGGTTGACCCGGGGGGAGCTCATGGGCTTCAATCATTATGTACTGTATTTTCCTTCTTCCCACCACCTGCTACAGGAAGATATTGATAAGTATATGCAAATTTTGAACACGTGTTTATTTCAACCAGTTTAGTTCCAATTAGTTTTTATAATTTTTAAAATTTATTCTTCTTTGAATTGTAACAGTCTTAACATTACAGTTCATGGTCTGATTTACCAAAAACTCATTAAAATTTATAGACGTTAGATATATAAATCAATTTCTCCGAATTGATGTCGTATGTACTTATCTACATTCAAGTTACATATTCCGATTGCATTTATTTATGAGTATATCCACGTCAATAGAAAAATAATCCCAAGAATGAGGCTGAATCCTAAGCCTGGTAAAAATAATGGAATGCATTTACAGTATAAATTTCTATTTATATACAATAAATAGTTTATCCACTTACATATCGCCCTTTTTTCCCAACACTCCAGAAGATACATCCCACTCAAGATTTTAAAGTTTAAAACGATTTTATACGCAAAATCCTTCATGTTTAAGGTTTGGAAATATGTACAATTGGATCAATGCACAAAAAAATTGTATGAACTATATGTATCAACGGTATAATTTGCAGCAAAATCCTAAATAGTCCGAACTGATTAAAATTTAATTCTGTATTATCTGTGGAATTTATTTTTAAAATAAAACTTACCACGCGTATCCACGAGTCGAAGAAATAGATGTGTTATTTCAAACCAAAAAATATGTATTTAGAATGTTTTACGTAATTTTGTTACCGCAAGGATCTATGCAAAGGAATAAAAAATCAGCAAAAGTGCAAACGATTCCAGATTCCAGGAAGGTTAAGAGGTTGTTATGCATGTATGTAAATATTCCAAGTTTCTCGTTTTCCCATGAGAATTGTAATGTAAATACATAATGATGAATTGCGTGAGAAACATACAGATTACAAGTAAATACGTTGTATACATATTTTAATTAGTCTTAAACCGGCTTTATTACTTAGGACTGGCGTTCTATGTAACATGTACATACATAAAGTAATAATGATAGTATTTTGTATATGCATGACACCCACCAAATTTCAGAAATTCCATTTTATCCATCTACACATTTATACTTTTCAAAATTTTATTAAATGATTTATGTATGTATTTCCAAATCAAAAACAATGATTCAACAATGACGATATTTATATGTTCACTCCAACTTTCCTCCTTTCTTCAAATATTCCAACTCTTGCGCAAAGCTGTCAAGGAATTCATCCGCAACTTCCTCGCTGTGAAGGGTCTGCATATCAGCGGATACCGTAATTTGAAGCTTCCCTTGAATCGATGACATGCACACTCCCAGCACTTTTGAATTAAGTAATAACTTTATAAATTAAACAAATTCTCAATTCATTCCATTTTATAAATATGCAAATACCTGTCGCATTTGCCGGTCCACCCTGAGACATCTTGTACGAGATGAGCTCATGCCCTGCCACGTCACTTTTTCCCTTGGGGCCGGCCAAATTCGAGACCATGATGGTTGAACTGTTTGCTGACCGTTCGAATATAAAATGCACCAAAGATCTGGGCAAACAGCCGGAAAGTTTCATACACACCGCGACAACAGTCGGAAGCGTGGACGCCTTCACTTTTTCCAACTCTTCATGCACACCTAGCAGCCTCGAGACCGGGTCAGGATTTGCAAGCTCAACGTTAAGATAACCCAAAGTACTGCAATAAAAATCTAAATATGACATAATGCATAATTTCCTGAATTCCAACCGGCTTACAAGGAGTTTTCCAATTTTTCCCCAGCACTTGGTACCGGAAACGGTGTTACAATGAAGGTAGAGTGTGGAATTTGCGAACTCTGTCGAAAAATTGAGTTTCTCACCGCACCCGTGATGGCCGAATAGAGAACAGCCGTACCAGACACGCCGTGGGTATTTTTAATTTTAGTGATATCACTGACATCCTGAAGCTTCTGGGCTCTCTTGGTGATCACCCGCTCGGCACGATGGGAACCGTCGAGATCCATTTTTAACCCAATGCCACGCTCGTGTATATTGTCCCATGTCTCATTGAGGGCGAGATCGACTAAAGCCTCGCCCAACTCGGAGGGAACTCTTGACACGAATTTTACCCATTTTACCAACGTCTCCAGCCTGGAGGGACCCTTGACGGTTAAACCGTTAAAGTAATCTCTCGGTTTTATAAAGTTAAATTCTTCTCCCTTGTCACTCATCTTTTGGAAAGTTCTGAACATGTTGAACCCATCTGACAAAACGTGATGAGATCGGATCAGTATTCCAAATTTGGACGTTTTTTCTCCATCTTCAGAGACAAGATGGGGCAAGATAATGGCTTCCCAGAGTGGTTTATTGGTAGGAAATGGAGTAAACATGAGCTTTTTGGTCAGTTCTTCGACAAAGGCTTCCGTACATGTGAAGTTTTCTGGAAACATGGAAATAATTTAGTACTCATCTTTAAGTATGTAAATGAAAAACATACCATCATTTTGATACATGTGAACCACATCGCGTATGTCAAATCCTGGCAAATGCCTCCAAAACGGGTAGCCCATCCAATACTTTACATTCTGTTGTAGCTCAGGATTCACCAATTTTCCAGTTTTGGCATCACGTCTGTTTACAGCATATTTTGTAAAAGCTTGTCGAATTTTTGCAATATTCACTGGTCCTCGCAACGTTAGGAAGCACGCGGTCGAGTGAATCCTTCCCTGACCTTGGTAGATGTCTTCGGACACCTGCAGAGCACCCAGGGGAGCCACGGGTGAGTCAAATTCGTCCCATTTCCAAAATTTTACCACGGCAAAAATTATCTCCCTGTAGATAAATATCGGGATCAAGATTGCAAGTAAAAGTGGCAAAAATACGAGGACCATCAGGATCGAGAGACTGATGGACAGCACGCGGCGAATGAAGGAGGCGTTTCTCATTTTTGAGGCAATTTTTATATCACAGTGGTTTAATTTAATTGCCACGCCAGCTTTTAATTTTAGTTTATGTCACTTAAAATGAAATTGTATTAGAGATTTCAATTTTTTTGCTTGATTTCAATTTTAATTGCGTATTATTTCCAGTCGCTCTTTAACACATTAAGCACATGTTTCCATACTAAGCAAAATTACAGATATTACCGAACAAGGTGAAACGAGCGTGAGAATATTTTGCATAAATTCAGCAACCTGGAATGTTATGTTATGTAATTACATATATGTATATGTATGTACACACAACTTGTAAAGCCCTACAGACTAATCCGTGCTGATTTTCATCACCCCGTGGGATCTTTTTTAAATGCAATTATAGAATAATTGTCCCTATTTGTAAATACATATTTATTTTAATCGATTCATTTCCAGTAAAGTGAGCACGAAATAGAAATTTCCCTGCACCAGTTAAATAAATAAATACATAATTAAATAAATATACTAAAATTAGTCCTAACCAATTTTTTCAACATTCATATTTGTGGCCTCTTACTCAATTAATAGTAATTATGTTACTTTTAATTATTTTTATCACGGTAGCGATACCGACGCTGTATTCCATTTACATCCAAAATTTTACCACAAGGGCAAAAAAAATTAATAAATTTCCGGGCGGAAGACGCTATCCCGTTGTTGGAAATGCTTTCCAAATTTTTCAAACTCCGGATGGTAACAGATTTAAGAAATTTACGTCATTTAAATACATATGATTTTAACAAGTGATTTTTAATTCAGGCGTTATCGACCGGATAACCGAGTACTTTCGCAAGTTTGGATCATGTTGTCGAGTTTGGCGTTTCAATTCGCCATACATATTTGTTGCCGAGCATCGAACTACGCACCAAATTCTGTCGTGTCCCACCCACATCGACAAAGGACTGGATTATGTCCTCCTACGAAAAAAATTTGGCGATGGACTTCCTTTTTCTAATGGTTTGTAATTATAAATTGATGAAAATTTCTAAAAAAAATTTCCATGCACGTTTTCATTTTTTTAGTCGCCAAATGGAAGCAGGACCGAAAAATCCTCAATACTGGCTTAAAATCGGGAATGTTTACAGGATTTTTGCACGTTTTCAACAAGCATGGGCAAAGGTTAAAAACCGAGCTGGCCCAATTTGATGGAACAGTGGCGTCGAATTTTCACCCTGTCTTGTCCGAGTGTGCCCTCGGCATCGTCTACGGTACAAATTTACTGAATAAAGTAAAAAATGAATGGCTTTAGATTTTTACTTCCTCGTTAAGAATCTCTCCTCGGCCGGAAGAATGTCTCAGACACTGGGAAAATATCGTCAGACTCTGAAATTGCTCAAAGTATAAGAAAAAGTGCGGATGGGGTTAAAACCTCTTTGCTCAAACCGTGGATTGTCAGATTTTCCAAGAGAAAACGTGACGAGAAGAACAGTTTCAATGGAAAAGTGACCCGAGAAGTTTTACAGGTATGTAAATAAATATGCTAAATTTAATTTTGCATCCAATTTAATATAGAGTCCAAGCATTCTGTTGCAATTTAGTATATCAGCGACAAAAATGAGACACTGATCTCCAATCAATACTCTGACCCAGAAGAAGCCAAATGTTTGATGGATATTCTTCTAGACCCTCAAATTCCACGTAGTATTCAAGATATTGCTGACCACGTCAAAAACTTCTTGGCCGCGGTATATTTATGATTTATGTACAACCCGAATACTGAACTAGTTGTGCACCATCTTCATATGTACACAATTTTCAAAATTAGGGCTCGGACACGACCAGTAATTCGTTAAATTTCACTCTTTTCCTCCTCGCTGCCAATCCTCACCATCAAGACCTCGTTGCAGAAGAGCTTCGCAAAATTTTTGGCAAACAAGGGATCACTGGTCTAATAACTTTTGAGCAAGTTCGGGAAATGCATTATTTGGAGATGTGCATAAAAGAATCGCTACGAATATTTCCACCCGTCCCAAACTTTTCGAGGAGGATGAAGGAAGATGTCAAACTCAGTAATTAAAAAATAATTGAATATGTATTTAGCTGAGGTCACATTTTAATGAGTTGGCCATCTTTAGATTGGTGCGATTTAACGATTCCGGAAGATGTTGACGTGGTATTCAGCGTTATTCATATGCACAGGGACAAGGAAATATTTCCTAAACCGGAAATATTCGATCCGCTGAGGTTCACCTCGGAAAATATTGCAACACGACCGCACTCTGCTTTCATCCCTTTCTCGGCAGGGATACGCAATTGCATTGGTAAGTAGATGAATTGAGTTCCCAGGAAATTTATGTTTCTAAAAGGTTAGTAAATTTTAAAAAAATGGTAAACAGGTCAAAAGTATGCCATGATTGAAATGAAGGTCCTCCTCGCATTGATCATATCCGATTACGCCTTTGCGACAAACGTTTCCCAAGACGAAGTTCGTCTCACATACGGCTTTATAACCGGACCTACGAAACCTCTCTATATGACGATAACTCCAAGGAACAAAATTTAGCATGAAATAAATAATTTATTAAATGCATAATAACAAATAAAACATTACCCGTAATTTTTAATTTCATAATGAACCATTTTTGTATGTACTTATTTATTTATCGCAATGTTATCATGGACGGAATCGTCTGCAAGTTTTTATTGAGACGCAATTTCTTGAAGTTAATTTGTAATTACATATACACACGAGTGGGAGTTGGCGTTTTTACCAGTTTGTGATTTTTATGTGCATATGTAGGTAGTTATGATAGTTGTATCATTCCCATTGTCGGGTTCAGGGTAAGGTGAAGGTGTCCATACATTTTTACGTTTTAAATACACAACTCGTTTTGCAGTCAAGATTTTGCGATATCTATTCATAACATGTAATCATGGAAATTCCATGTATGTAAATACACATTACTTTGGATAAGTTAGCTGCAAATTTTATTACCATTTCGTAATTTATTTACATTTTCCTTGTATCTATCGGGAAAAAAATGTTGTCTGGAAAAAATTATACGTAGCTAAAAGCCATTAGATACATAGATATCTATGTATGTATGCTTGAAGCAGCAACAATGTGGGTATTCTGGTCTAATAATCATCAATCTATGAAATTAATTACAGTAAACAGATTACATAAGTCCTTAGGTACACGTGTCTGTGCTTGCATAAGTCCTAATTCCGACTTAGAATTTCCATATTACACACAAGTACTTACTTCTGTATCTGTAAATGGAATTTCTGATTTTCGGAATTATAAATGCTGTAAAATAAATACTTGGTCATATGTATTTACACCTACTTTGGGGAACAGACGAGATTAATGAGTTTAATTGGAGGCCAGGAATATATATTTAATTATTATGCCGTATAAAAAACTGTGCAGTAAAGTTCACGAGGAAAACCTTTTTCACATTTGTAGGAAATAGTTTTAAAACACGTACGTTATTCCAAGGTTTTCCTTTAGATTAATACATAGGTTTTACACCTTAATTGTAAATTAAATTTCAGAATATGGATAATAAAAGGTCTCCACACTTACATATACGTCTGTCCGCAGTGATTGGGAAGAGATTCATGTACTTCGTAATATCTAAGCACATATTTTGTATTTCGTCTGCAATCTCAGCAATATTATTAGACGTCATCTAAACATTCATTTATCATGTTTATTGAAATATTTCAATAAGTTCGAAACCGGCGACACCCTTTAGGGAATTTGTTCATCAGAATATTTATCTACTGTCGTCTCTTTTACATATATAATTATTTCACTATACATATTGTATTTGGTACTGCACAAAAGTAGAATGAACTGTTTTTGTATTTGCCGCTTTTTTGATAGCGAAGCAGCAAAGCTTGTGCAGATATTTAGTAGTAGTCATGGAATAAGATATACTATTAATATACATGTATAAATACATACATAGTAGTAGACAGTCTGTTAGGTATCCCACCTTTCATCATTTTCAATAACCAATGCACCCATTGTACCGACATATGTATACAAAGTACAGTCTTTAATTTTTTGAAGACAAAGCAATACCTATGAGAGAAGTTCAGCTGTTTGTGATCATGATATAAATATGTATGCATAACTTTGACCTTTTGAGTATAGGAGGCGATGCACCCAAAATAATTCCCATTATAAATCTAAAATAGGTATCCATAGACGAGCCAATGTTCTCACGCCAATTAAATGCGGAGATCCCGAAATTGATTTGCAACAAGGAACGTTGAATGAGAAGTAGTTAATTTTTGCATACTTATATATGTATCTAACTTGTAAATGCATAGGCGACATAAAATTAATATTTACCCAGGAAATTGTCATGAAAAATTCAACTAGTTCCTTCAATCAAGAAGGCAATAAATGACAAGGCAAAATGTAAATTTTTCCTAGAAAATTCCAGCAAGTTTAGATAAATCGTTTTTATTACCAGGAATGCTTAATATATTATGGTGAAACATGTATGATGAAATAGCAATGAGTTCAATATAGCGGTGTATTTATGTCCATATACTATAGATATGTATATATTTATGTACAGATATCTAAATATACATATAAATAAAGATTTAAATCAGATAAATATACTTCGGAGACTTTCACAACTGTACCTTTGATGGATATACTAGAGTAGAGGCCCGTTCAAGAACGGGTTCTAGGCTCCCAAAGGGGGTGTACCCATAGCGCAAAATCCCTTACGCTACACTTTAAATAATTCCCAGTGGAGACTTTGTCCATTGTCATAGTACATATGTACGTGCATCAAATCATACATTTCAATTTCCCTGATCACGGAACAATTTGACTTCCCCCTCTTGTAGTGGCTGCATAGGTAACTACTTAAATTCCCGTCGCGTGGGGGTGGCTGCATAGCTAAACACTTAAATTCCCGTCGCGTGGGGGTGGCTGCATAGCTAACTACTTAAATTCCCGTCGCGTGGGGGTGGCTGCATAGCTAAATACTTAAATTCCCGTCGCGTGGGGGTGGCTGCATAGCTAACTACTTAAATTCCCGTCGCGTGGGGGTGGCTGCATAGCTAACTACTTAAATTCCCATCGCGTGGGGGTGGCTGCATAGCTAACTACTTAAATTCCCGTCGCGTGGGGGTGGCTACATAGCTAAACGTTTAAATTTCCACAGGATGTGGTGGCCGAATGACAAAAACCTTAAATTTCCAGAGAGGGGGTGACTAAAAAACAAAACACTTAAATTTCCAGAGAGAGGGGTGATTAACTAACAAAAAACTCAAATTTCCAGAGGGAGGGGTGACTGCATAGCAAAAAAGTTAAAATTCCAGAGAATAGGATATGAATTTTATGCTGCTGTATGTTTACAATTCTACTTCAAGAAGAGAGAGACAAAGTGTCGCGGCAGAGTCATCATGGGTACGCTCAATGGTGTAGCGGAGCACACGCTGGTTGCGTAAACTCCATTCAATAGTAGTGGGGCGAGTTGCATTGAGACCCACAGGGACCCAGCCAGCCAGGCAGCCAGAACTTAACAATAGCTCTTTATGTATATAGATTCACACAGATTGCGAAATTTCTAAAAAAAATACACGACGAATGGGACTTGTTGCGAAACTTTGAAACAGGGCCCTTACGAGGGGCTGCCAGGTGGGGGTTTTCCCCAGGGCCGGGCCCCGAAGGGGGCTGGGCCCTGGTGTCCACTACAAAATTTCACGGAAAATTATTTAAACGTTTCGAAGATTTTGAGCAATTTCGTAGCGTGCCAATATCGAACAGAAATAAACAATAATTACCCTAAAATTAAAACATAGTTAAAAAAAACTCTTTTCACTTTTGTGAGCCTAAAATAATTTATCCTTGATTCTTTCAAATTATTAAAATGGAGAAATTATGGCGTGAAAATTATAAGCCCAATCTATGCATTCTTACTTGGGCTGACCAAGTAAAAAATGCATCATAACCTTTTTTACCTCTCCGAAAACACTAAAAAAGCTAGGGCAGGTGTAATCCCCAGAAGGTATCGGGTAGTTGTGTCCACTAAAATTATTGTACGAACAAGTTCGCTACCTATCACAAGTCCTTAATTGCTTCGAAGATTTTGAGCAGCCACATTGGGTTTAAATGTCGAATCTACAAAGGCACCTATGCCATCACATTGTCGATCATAAAAGAACAATAGCTAACAATGGTTATGTACCTACCTTGGAATAAAAGGTAGAATTTAAGCTGAAAATCTGGGACTCCGGACGAGTGGGTGGCCGACAAACTGTCTCGTCAACATCATATTGGTCGACAACCAGCTGGTCCCCAATCTCAGCTCGTCGACAAAATATTTGTCTTCACGATTTCGGTACCAATGGGTTCGGCAGGCGTGTTTCTCCCAGATTTTTTTGCAACATGTACATTTTCACACATATTTATATGTATTAAATGAATAACCTTTAGTTCAATTAAAAACTCGATCATCGATTTTTAACTTCAAAATAAATAAAACTATTCCATATCCACATCGAAATCAATTGATTTGCAGTCTTCCTGCATAACGCATTATTCTGTTATGGGAAATGGAGTTGTTTTAAGTAATTATTTTAAAATTAAAAACGATGGTTTTTTTTCGTATCGGCCCGAGTTTTGAACTAAAACTTTGTGTATTTGATAGATGTGCGGAATTGTGCATGTTGCAAAAAATCTGGGAGAAACAAGCCCGGCGTATCAATTCTAAGTCCACATACCGTGATAGAAAAATGTTAATTTGGATCAAATATGGTAATATTTTTAACTTATGCGACTGCAATTTTCACTTATCGATGTAATGCTATCTTTTGGCAGAATTTCTGGATAAGTAGTAATAAAATTATACATCTTCCCATGCAAGGATTACTTAAAACTTGTAACGTTGGTCGACTAATATGTTGTCGACCACTTTAAGTTGGGGACCAGTATGACATGTTCGACATATACACTGTTTCGACCAATTTTCTGCCGACCACATATCTGTTTTGTCGACTAATCAGGTTTCGACGAAACGTTTGTCGACCATTCGTCGCTAACCTGAAAATTTTGTGTAAGACCCTATGTCACATTGTCACAGGGCGAAAACAGGACATGCTTGATTTTACTAAATTACTAAAGCAGGAAATTGTGCAGTCAAAATGATAAGCCCAACTTCGATTTCGATATTTTTGCTGACCAAATAAAGAAACGTACCGGGTAGATTTTGTATCACCGAAGACATTAAAAAATCTGGAGCTATTGCACCTATTTGTACACAATGCAGATGCATACCAGGTCCTTCGGTGAAAATGATAGTTCGAAGAACAAATCAAAATAATTTTTTAAAAACTCTTAAATAGTTCAATTTTCAAACTTTATAGCGCGTAAGGTATAATAACGCAAATTGTACCCATGCGGGTTTTGCGGCCCTACATTTTTAAACGAAGTTCAAAGTCTGGGCACTACTATGTCGGCGTTTAACAAAGTTGAAAAAGACCTAATTAAACTAGGACCCTTGGATATCCTGAAAATTCTACATATATACATATTAATGGTCTCGCGTGTGCGTATCTAAACTTCGAGATGGCACTGAGGATGTTTCTCAGTCTGCCCATTTCTGTTCCGTCAAATGAGGGGCCATTTTGCAGATGAAAATAATCAAGAATTATCTGAGGTCAACAATTGGCAAGAACGATTGAATGCCTTTGATTTCGAAGTGGTTATAAATAATTTCGCCTCCAAAAAAGATTGCACAATCATAATTCTGTAACGTTGAAGTAAGAAGTGGTTGAAGTCAACACAATCAATATATTGACATCTTGTTAATTCTTTTGCTGACTTGCTTACGATCAGAATTGTTTTAAAGATACCTTTTTAGACTCAAAATTTCACGCACAAATGCCAAATAATAAATGGGGCCGGGCCTAAAAAATCCCCAGGGCCGGGCCAGGCAAGTTTGGGCACTGCTTTGAAACGATAACAAAGTATTAAAACAGCACAATTTTATTATTGAATTAATTAGCGTGGATTTTTTATTCCTAATTAACTTCATTGAATGAAAAAGTGCTACACAATACACCGTAAAAAACTGATCATTGATAAAAATTAATTATATCAAATCTCTTCGATTTGTATATACTCACGTATAAATGTTTTAGTTTGTAAGGTTCTCATTTCAGTGATGCTGGCTCTATAAACTTTGTACGAGTCAAAATTATACAAAAAAATATGCCGCAATCCCAATTTTCGAAAATTTTTTTCCCCACTAATTTGGAAACCAATGGACCCGACTGGATCCTGGAGCCATTTCTAGCACGCATTTCAGGTGGAGTCACGTTCCTGGTGTCGATCGTTGCATCCATTTTTACACCAGACGCCGAGAAAGATAGGAAGGTGATTTAAATAAGTCAAAAAATTCATAACGCAAAAATATTTATTCCGTTAATTCGAATTATGTAATCCAGGGTTATCCACCACTACGATCAAATTTGTTTCTTCAATGTTGGATTAGACGAATGCGAGATCTGGTTTACACCTCAATGATCAGTGTGCCAGGTGAATTTGTCACATTTCAGGATCGCAAACTCGTGAATGACGGCAACGGAGGGTGGGCGTGCGAGTGAGTCATCGTTACTAAAACCTAAAAAAAAACAAAAAAAATCAAGTTAAAAAATAGTTACAAAAATCAAATTTAGTTACACCGGAAAACAGATCACCTGTGTCGACATGGGGTCATTTAACTATCTCGGATTTGCCTCAAATGATGGACAAATTTCAGACGAGGTGATTAATTCCATGCATACGTTTGGCTTGACAGCCTGCAGCACTCGCAGTGAATTTGGCGAATTTCCTGTTCACATAGAATTGGAGAAATTGGTAGCTAAATTTTTGGGGGTTGAAGACGCCATCGTGTGTGGGTCAGGATTCGCTACGAATGCCCTAAATATTCCGGCAATTATGGATGAGAACACCTTAGTTTTTAGCGATGCTAAAAACCACTCGTCCGTGATTATGGGGCTGAGACTGTCAAAAGCAGTAGTTCGTGTATTCCGGCATAATGGTAGAAATGTTAGACAATAAAGACAATAAAGTCCGAAAAAAATATCTGCATCTTCTCCTCAGATTTACACCACTTGGAGAAACTGCTCTTGAATCTTTTCCAATCTGGAGAGGTTCATAATTTTGAGAAAATAATCGTTATCGTTGAAGGCGTCTACTCAATGGACGGTTCTATCTTGCGACTTCCGGAACTCCTCAGGCTAAAAGCAATATTCAAGGTCTGTGGTTCTCCCTCCTCGACATAATCTCACATAAATTTTAACTTTACTACTACTTTCCCCCTCAGTTTTACATCTACCTCGAAGAAGCTCATAGTTTCGGCGCCATGGGACCAAACGGAGATGGGATCGTGGACTATTTTAACTGCGACCCAAGCGGAGTGGACATTTACATGGGCACATTTTCAAAAAGTTTGTGGGCGGCGGGTGGATATATGGCTGGTTCCCGCCAACTCGTCCAGCATTTGCGGGAAAATGGTTATGCTCACCTCCACGCTACTGCGATGCCACCACCGATCGCGCAGCAAATAATCAGCGCCATCGAATCCCTAATGAGTGAGGATGGTAAGTCCCGGTTGGCGAGGTTGAAGAGCAACTCCGCGTATTTCAAGGGGGAGCTGATAAAGCGTGGGTTCTTCGTCTACGGTGATCTGGACTCGCCGTCGGCTTGTGTGGCTTGTCCAAACATGGGAAAGATTGGGTTTATTCTGAGGGAGTTGAGAAATAGGGGTGTCCTGGCTACGGGGGTGTCACACCCCGCCGTCGGCACTACGGAGGGCAGACTGAGATTCTGTATGAGTGCGGCTCACTCCAAAGAATCATTGGATTATGTGAGTCCTTTTATTATCGAAATGTGTGGCTGTCATTTTTTTAGCGAGCCGTCCATTTCCTATTTACTCTCCATTCGCACACAGTAGAACTTTTACAGAAATTGAGATTTCTGAGAAATTACGGCACTGCCAGTCTCAAAGTACCCCGTCAGCATAATTTGAGGGAACTTGAGACTGACAGTGCCGTAGTTTCTCAGAAATCTAAATTTCTGTAAAAGTTCTACTGTGTGCGAATGGAGAGTATATATGTACATAAAGAGATCGAGCCATGTAGATGTTATCAGTATACTCATTAATTGATCTAATCTGATTGATTATCAGGTTGTGACCCAACTGACCCAAGTGGCCGATCTAGTTTACCTGAGAGATTCCAAGATTGCGGAGAATTCGGCGAAAATTATTTTTGGAAAGAAGATTCATGAAATGTCGAGCTATCTACAACTATGAATCAAAATCTCATAATTATAAGCGTATCACGCATGCACGGAATACGTATGTATGGGAACACGTTTTTGAGTATAGTACAATTAAAAATGTACGTATTTATATTTATGTAACTCAAAATTTATTAATTTGCATGATATATACATAAGAGAATTTTTCCGATTCGATTAAACACAAATACTACATAATTTAAAAGCATAATCCATCTAATGAAGAAAATGATGAAAAAACACGACATTGTTTTGTATCTACGTAAATATGTATGTACACGTGGACGCTAGTAGTTTTTGTGCTCATGTTTATGTGTATAACATAACATACGCTTATGTACATATATATTTACATATCTTACGAAACGCTTGATACGAAAAAGATTATTTTAGTATGTAGGGTAGAATTAACAGATCGTATGGATGACATTTTTGAAGTGGTTTATTCACAAGCTTTCAGGGTTCAACTGCCCCCTTCTTCAGGTGTAAAATTGTACAGGAGAAATTATCGGAATAATTTTATGAAAGATAATATTTTCAAAATCGGATGAGATGCAAATTTTCCATATTTTAGTATGGAAAATATTTACAAAAAATCATGTAATCTCTATCTTAAATCAGCACACGTGAAAGGAAAAAACTTTCCAACCTCTCCTATTTACATATTACAATTATGTACAGCATGCTTATGTTACAACGAACTACATATTTGAACTAGCATATCGTGGGAATTATTGCTACGTATCCATCTATTGCCTGGAATTTCCTAAATGAGACCATAAGTTTGCGAAATTGCTAACATCCCGTGCATTTTTGTATCTCAACTCTAAGCAGACTCGAATTTATTTTTGTATCGTCAACCTACGATTGCATATCTACATAGTTGCAACGCAACGCAAATTCATAAAGTTCTACATTTTTCGCAGAAACTCGAGGTGATATTTCTCAATATATATTTATAATTTTAGACAGAATGATGCCTTTATTTTCCCCTGCAGATCTGGTACGTAAGTCATATTTTTGGAATTATCGGTACGTCATAAGCCATTAAATAATATTTTAAATATATTCTCTTTACTTAAGTTGGTTTCAATCTTGAGTTGGGTGCTAAATGTTCCCACTCCATCTAAGCTGGACAAAAAGAGAGAGGTTTGTATACGGTTAAGTCAAAAAAGTGTCATAAGGATTTTACATTTGCACAATTTTACTTAGGAGTTGAAAAATAACTGGCATACGGCTACTCCTACCTGGAACTACAAACCTGGTTCGTTGACTTCCAAAAGTTCCCACGCAAAAGGCCCCATTACCACGACCCCCATTACGACCGGAGTCGTAGATAAATACATCATCCTAGCCTCTGAAAAATATCTTAACCTCGCGACGCCAAATTTTCTCGGAGTTTCGCAACATCCTCGACTTAACTCGGCTGCTGAGAAATGTGTGCAAAAATTTGGCCCTGGAACGTCTGGCCCTCCCATTTTTTACGGAAGTGCAGGTTAGTAATTAGTGAATAAATAAATTACGTAAGACGTTCTGCTATCCCGCGTTATGAACGTTCATTTAGCAAATATTTATAACGAGGTAAAATAAACCTGTAATTTACGCAGACGTCTACAAAGAAATGGACCGCAATATCGCAAAATTTTTGCAAGTAGATGACTGTGTCACGTATAATATTACATTCACTGCGATGCTATCTGCGATTCAAGTTTATGCTGGACCAGGAGACGTTATTTTTGTGTAAGAGTGATTTCCGTATTACATTTGCATAATGGCGAATTAATTAAATTACAGGGTCTCATTTTGTACCATAGCGATGAGCAAGTCAACATCTCCATCCGACTGGGTCTTGGCCTAAGTAAAAGTAGGATAATCTACTTTAAAGCTAACGATGTTCAACATCTCGCAAGACTGTTGGAACAGGAGGAGACCAACGTAATGCTTAAATACTAACTTATTAAACAATGTTATATATAAAATACAGTTATTTCCATGAAATTGTGTAAAAATATGTAATCACAAAAGGAGTTTCATGTTGAACAGCGTAGAAATTTCTTACCTTAAGAAATGTATCTCAGGATGTATCTCCTCAGCTAGATCACAAAATCTCAATTTTCCCAAAATTTACCCCATGCATACTTTCGTCCATGTATTTACACGATTACATACGTTTGATACATAATCCTTCAATTTTTAACTCAAAATTGCTAAGACGCCTAAATTTTCGTAAATTTTCGATCTATCAACAATGCTACATATTTTATTGCGAAAACAACCTTTGACATATATATTTAATCTGAAATAAGTAAATCGTTCTGTATAGAACCAGGAAAGGAGAAGATTTTGTGTGCTTGAAGGCATCTACGCTCAAACAGGGACGCTTTGTCCCCTCGGAGAAATTAACGATCTGTGCAAACGACATAAAGTCCGAATCCTCTTGGATGAAAGTGTCTCTTTCGGCGTGCTTGGTGCAACTGGGAGAGGAGCCACGGAACATTTCGGGATTAAAGTACAATCCAAAATATTTACTCATTTAAATGTGCAAAATTTTGATGGAAAAATTTACCTCAAATTTTCAGGCAACGGATATGGACGTTATTTGTGGCACGTTTGAAGCAGGGTTTGCATCTTATGGGGGATTTATTGCCGGCTCGACAGTTGTCGCTAGTTTCCAGAGATTTTACGGAAATGGTGGGTACTTATGTACATATTGCATATTATTTTTAATAATAATTTAAGTACTCACTAATCCTTGCACAAGGGTGACTTTATCGCCAAAATTCAAACTCAAGCTGTTAATTTCCAGGTCACATATTCTCAACGGCCTTACCCCCAATGTTTACCAGTGTGGTGAACGAGGGTTTGAAAATGCTACAAGAGGACAACTCCAATTTAGTGAGGCTCCGAAAAAACTGTGAATTAATGCACAGGTGTGGTGATGTGAAATCATGGACCGTGCATAAATTATGTCATCACGAATTGAGATTGTAACTTAGGTCTAGAAAATTTCAATTTGTTTGCATTATTAATTCATGCACGGTACCTTTTGATATTCATGCGATGAGTCTTTATAAATTCGAATGTGGCTGTATTTCAGGGAGTTGGAGAAAGTAAATCAACTACGCATTTGTAGTGATCCAATTTCTCCAGTGAAACATTTGTCGGTTAAAAACCCAAGCATTTCCATGGATGAGGCATCTCTCATTTTGGACAGGGCCATTGAATCGGTAATTATGTAGATACCTGCTTTATATCATCCTACATATCTACAATTTACTTACTGTATTGGTATTAATTTCAGTTGAAAATCAACCACAAAATAGCAGTGGGTAAAGTCTCTCCGGGAGGAACGAAGGCAAATTCCCACTTGTCACCAAGCATCCGGATTTGTGTAAATTCTCTCTTGCAGAAGAAAGATATTGATGATTTCGTGTCAGCTTTACAAAACATTTTTTATGATTAGATTATGCAAGTGATTTACAACATTATCAGTTTTTAAAAACATCACATTTAATACTGGTTATGAAGAGTTTAATAAATTCCTAAATAAAATACTTAAATTATCAAATGACAAACTAACTACTTTTCGATCATCTTACACAAAAATACTTAATATACATAAAACTACGCCTTGATAAGTATCCTATCTAAAAATCCATTACTAAAAATCCTCCAAGGATCATACCTATCTAAAATTTCCACTCCTAAATTCCACTCTTTTAGTTCATCCGAAGATGACAATACGCGTGGCAAGGTGTCAAAAATAGTCTCATTACTCCACGCCTTCTCCCACGTGTGACCCCATCCCTTTGCCCACTCCACCCTCAAAACGCCATACACGTGATGAATATCACGATACAAAAGTGACTGCCAATCCGCCACAAATTCCTGAGCTTTTCTCGTCTCGGGATACGTGCCAAATTCGAACCAAATCACGATGTCATACTCGGGATGACTTGGCACTGGTTTTGCCGGTGAAAAGATGGGCGGTTCTGCCCCCTGTGCCAAAATATTTTCGGGATCCTCCACCCCACAGACTCGAATATCGAACGAGCCCGCGTCCGGATATTCCCCCCGAGAATGCCACTCCGAGGCCAAATCGTCATAGCCTTTCCGTATAATTGAGACAACTGTTTGAAAATTTTGACGGGATGTGACCAACACGAACGAATTCGGCCTTATGATTGGCACATACTTTGAATTGTATAACAAATGGTTTTTTGACAGGCCCCAGTAATCCTGATAGCCAGCGAGACTCGACACAGCAATATTTATAGGAAATGAGAGACGAGCGAAAAACCTCCAAATGTGTGGAATTCTAGCGAGTAACCACTTCAAAATTTTGTTACCAGGGAGATAATTCCCGAAAATGTAATTGTACGGGGTCTTTGTTAACCTTGACCCGGCCGGCTTTTCTGGTTCGGAGTGCCACCCAAAAAGAAGCACACCTGAATCACTCCCTGTTTCTAAGCTGAGCACTTGTATTCGCCCAAACGAATCCAAATAGTCTGCCAAGTTTGGCTTATCACCATCTCTCACCAAATCCCCCCTGCCAAATAATTGGCGAACAGTTGTGAAAAAACTTTGCGATCTTAACATCTGATCTGCGCCAACTCGTATTTTCACCCTGGTTACAAACGTCCTCCCCAAATTGACGAGAAATGCTTTCGTGTCCGGATGTGATCGTGGCAGGGTTTTCACGACATATTTTTCAGTATCGTTGTCCCATCCGATGACATCCATCTCGAGGACGAGGTTACTAAATGTTCCATACGAATGACCCAGCGATTTGGAGTGGGTGGTTGTTTTTATTCCCGATCCGTGCGCCCCAACGGCCAGCATGCCACCGACGGAAAGGTCACCTTGCGCTGGAGAGGAGAAAATTCCGAGTTGATGGGATTCCAGGGTTTCCAAGAGTCGTCGCAATGTAACCCCTGGGCCGAGTGTGACGCTGTGCAGGGAAGTGTTAAAGTCAGTCGTGACTTTTATGCCGGTTAAGTATTTTGTGGTATCGACTAGGAGAAATTTCGGGCAAAGGGTGCCCTCTTCGTATTTTGAGAGGGTGACGGGACTCCAACTGTGCATCTGACCCACCCCACGGACCCGATAACCCGCATTCTTCGCCCAGTTGACTAGACTTAAAACTTCAGAAGCGTCCCGTGGGGATGAAAAGTAGGAAAATGGGATGACTACGTCGGACGAGTATGTTTTGAAGGGGCGTAAAGTGTAGGTGGAAGTGGGGGGAAAATCTGGTAAAGGGGGGCATGGACCCAAATTGGAGAACAAGGCCGCTTCAGTCGTACCTGTAAACCGGGTAATTATATTAGTATTACGTTAATTAGATATTACGTGTGTACAAATCATAATTTAATTACCCTGGGATTGAAGCCCACTTATCACAGCAAATGTTATTATATTTATCACGCTCGGTTTCATGTTTTATCAAATTTAAACTGAAATACGTATTTCTTTTTCACTTTTATTCACTTATGCGTAATTTTCAATTATTGGCGATTTAGATTTGACTCCCTCGAAAAATTCTGGTCTTTTTTCTCACTCACTGTATGACCTTTAGCATACGTGTCAATGAAGGGAGAACGAAACTTGACATTTTTGTAACCTGCACGTGTTCTTAAAGTAAGGAAGTTTCGTAATCGTATGTGAATAATAATAACAGCAGGAATTTGCAGAAGCAGCTAAAAAGTCACCAATTGCTCAACGTGCTGCACATAAAACTTGCTATCCTTGATAAATATTTTTTAAGATATATTGCTTAATTACACTCGTAACCACTCGCATAGGTCTTCCCCACAAATTCATGTAATAATGTGAATATACATACTTGTAGCTTTATTGTTTGGGTACAATTATGCAGTACCGATGTATGCATGAGCCGGCAAATTATAATTTCGGATTCCGATTTCATTTCGATTAAGCTGACCTTGACTCATACGCTACGCGACACAATACTGGAGATTCCTTCGTTTTTCTTAATATGTGCACTGTCAAAATACCGGGCTTATCGATTTGTAAATAACTGTCTAATTAGAAAATATGCAGATCCGTATGTATTAAACGAGCAAATAGCTTTATTGATAATTATGTATTATATGGGACATTGTTCTTCAGTTATTTCTTTCGTTACTTATTCAGGTAAATTGAATTAAGTACAAGTAAGCCAAATGAAGATGAAATTCAAATTAGTGTCATGAATTACGTTAATGCACATTAATTTAATGCTGGTAAGCAATATTTCTCCCATGAACTACATATATTGTCATCCATGTGTTACTGAATATGTTCACTGGATTCTGGATTCATTTACTTTTATTACTTTTATCATCAACAAGGAGACAAGTTCATCTAAATATGTAAATACACTTAAAAACATAGAAGTATCTACATAAAATATGTAAGTATGCACATAAAAAACTTTTTTAAGCTATCGTCACCTGTATTCGAAGGATATAGAAATAGAGATGCATTTACATATTTATTTTTGGCACGTGCATATTTTCAAAACAGAAACAAACAAAAATTCATAACGATCAAAATATTTGGTTTTATCAAAATCATGCATTGAAACCAAATTGGTAGAGTTTAAAAATTTATAAATCAAGTGACAATTAATTGTATACACAAGTATGCATGTAAATATGTGCATTACGAGTATCACTTGGTTTACAAAACTTGATAAATACAGAGTAATAAATGCATACGCATAAGTATGTACATATGTCAGGTTACTTTGGATTCGTTATAGGTACTTTTTTAGCACATTGAATTATCTATCTAGCTGGAATGTGATAATGTTACATAAATATTTCAATTTCTTCTCTGCTATCTACATATTCAGGAATACTACAAAGCTGTCAATTTTCTTTGTTCAAGTTATGCATATTTAGTATGCATATTAGAGAAGTATATCAAAATATGAGTCAAATTCTAGGTCAATTGATCCATTTGCATCTACTCAAGCTTTTCAGTTTCCCTTTTTCTCTCTGAAATTCAGCAACCATAAAATAATCAAATTACTCAAAGCAATTTGAACAAGATAACCTAATTTTCACTGTAAATCTTTACCTTTTCTCCAAAAACCGATCCATCTCCTTCATGAACTTGATCCATCGTGCGGTAACTTCCTCATCTCCAGGTGGCGGAGCAGTTGCCAACAGATTTCCGACCATCATATAGATTTCCAGGTCATTCTGAACTCTCTAAAATATTACGAAAATGTTTTACTTAATTCAAAATTCCGGTTTAATTGAAATAGGTAAATATTACTAACGTCTTCCCAAATTCGACACAGCTTATCATCAATGACTCGAAAGAATCTTGACAAGAACTTTCCAAAATCCGTCCTTAGTTTCTCACGAGACACGCCAACCCAGCAATTTTGCTCTTTTTCGCACCATCTTAGCACAAATATAGCGTCGCAACCAAGCATTTTTCTCCCACCTTGAGGAAGGAGGAAGCTGTCCTTGATTTTCCATTCTTTTCGGGCTGCAAAAAAACATAACCAAATTACATTTGCCGAATTTGCAATATATACAAGGAATCCAAATTTATAAGAAAATTCAAAGTAATACAAATACACTTAAATTACTAATTGAACAGAAAATTGTACGGACTTACGCTTCAAAATTTTTCTCACCTTTAATATTCGCCATGCACAAAATGTACAGCAACGTCACCACGGAACAAATAAGTGCAATTGCCAACAAAAATCCTGGAAATCGATCCCACACCAACTATTATGAACACAAGAAATGAGAGATTGGAGAACCTATTCAGATACATTTTGTTGAAAAAAGGAGTAAATTATTTCTTACCTGTCTCGCGGCGGGGTCCAACTCGTCGATCTTGTACAGATAAACCAGCACGGATGACGTGACCATGGGCAAGATAAGCACGATGAAGAATTTCCCCAGCGGTGGGATAAACGATGCATTGGTCGGAGAATCAGGATATGGATCGAGTTGATTAGTAACCGAACTGTTCAGGGGGAGATATGTATCGGGAAATTGAGACATTTTTGAAATAACTGAAAAATATGGCTGTATAAATTTTAAAATATTTTCAACTTTGTTCTGCTCCACCAGATCGGAACAGATGAAATGGTGGCTGGAAGAGAGATGTGCAAAAGAGCACATATGAGTTGGAGAAAGTTGTGGTGAAAGTGGAAAAGCCCGGATTCGGTGTTCTACAGGTGCCCAGTCTCTAGGTAACTCAATATATAGAACTATTCGTCGGATGAGTGAACAAAAAAATCAATATTGGCGAAATCCGGGTAAGCCAATATCTGTACGTGTGGGAATGTGTATGATGATGATGATATGTACGTAAGCTTAAAAGCCTTGATTGACTATTTCAATCTACAGCTAAATAAGATATGACTTGACAGAGTCCATACAGTTCACAAATTTTAGGTAATAACGAAGCAGCAGTCTTTGGTGGAATTGGAAATCATTCTCTGTGAAATGAAAATTAGTTTACAAACTTAAAAAAAATATAAAACCACGTCTGATTTTCGCAGGAAAACTTATCTCGATTGGTTGACTTTCTCGGAAATTTTTAAAAAACTTTTAAATATTTCCTAATTTTGTTATATTTTAATATGTTTTTTGAAAGGACTATATATGCGAATTGCCTTCGCATTTGTATGCCTGTTTACAGAGAGCAATTGAGAGATTAGTTTTTTTTATATATGTACACATAACAGCGTTAGCGTCGTACCTACATATCTATGTGCTTTATAATGAAAAGGGCGTTTATACATTTCAGTTCTTTAGTTTTACGAAATGCTGGAGATGATACGACTGCATGGTCGAAATGGACAGAATTGCGGATGGTGATTACGATCTGGTGTGATATGTATCATTATTACAAATTTTACAAATACGCAACCGAAATAATTATGTACATGTACTTGTACACGACATTGTCTTTATTGGGTTATTCATATTTTGCATGTAACGTACATACGTATGAACGTATATACACAACACAGGTATTTATAAGTACATATACATAAGTATTATTATTTTATTATTATTATTATTATAAGTACATGTATCAAGAAATACTGATATACATGGACATACATACATATGTACACATATATGTAGCACATAAATATATTCAGACATTACAATTTCACTCAATTAGCACTAACCCATTTAAGCTTTAAATCATCATTTTCACTAACCCTACGCGTTGGGAAAGGACAAAAGCAAATTCCACGTATTGTCAATTACGCTAGCAAAAAATTCCAGCTTGTAACCATCCTCAATTTGAAATATTTTATATCCTAGCAGCCCGCATTGGATGGCAGAAACCGGTATTGAATTTATCACCCTTCTCTCCAGCGATCGTCGAATTCGACATAATTTCAAATTCGCTAAACCCTCAACACATTTCTTGTTAACCCCTTCAAGCCCTCTGAGGAGAAAATAAGCTACACAAAATACTACCAGGCATGTGTACGGAGCTAGAAGGTAAATAATTGTTGGCATCGTCCCGTACAACCTAATCGTCACGTACGTAAATCCAGAACAAACGAAAGAATATGTCCACAACATTTGCAACATCACGCTCATTACAAAATCCCTGCCAATTTTTCCGAGCACATGAAGTTCCCGATAATTTATGACCGCATTGGAAAACTGTGTCTCAGTTGTCGTGGGAAGTTGGCTGGTCAGATTTTCAATTCTTTCCCAGGAAAGAATTATCGTTGGTATGAATGCGATAAACATTGCGCAAATTTGCAATTGCTCCAAACATCCAGTGACCATGGTGACATAGCTGAGAAGCCGCATTGTCCATCGCGCCCATCCATTATTTTCTAGATAAGGTCCGTACCATTCTTCAAAAAGGTAACCGTGTGGGCACATTTTTAGATAGACGCCAAATCCAGCAAAAACAAAGGTAAAGATGACTAACACCGGGTTTTGTAGTTTAAAGGCGAGAATTAGATTTTTGTAACGTGGTGCGCCTTCTCGAATGTGTGGTAGTGACTCTGAAATTAAAAATACAGATATTCTGACAATTTTAAGGTATAAAGATTACCACCATTAATAAATACAGTACCAATGATTACCGTTTAGTACCCGTTGTTCAAATGTGACCAAATTTTGCAGTAAATTCGTCACCTCTGGGGCGTAGTAGGTTGTAAGCAACATAAAATCAAACTGAACTCCTATCAAAAAGCCGAAAAGTGGGAAGAAAATTCCAATCCATGAAGTGTTTTGGCCGTAAATTAATTGCCTTGCTAAAATTACTAATGTGAAACTGCCGTTCATGAAGACGAGGATAATAAATACGTTAAACCAGTACAGTTTACATGACATAGGGCTACTTATGGTAAATCGCTCTAGCTTTACACTCCAAGCTATGGGGCGTCGTTCAAAAAACGGGGTGTCAAAAGCGGCCGAATAAGTTTCCAGGAGCTGAGTCGAGAGAAGTGGAACGTTTTTCGAAGTGTACGATTTCGACATGATAGACTAGTTGTTGACTAATTCTAGGAACCAGAATTATTTGGAGCTACTTCAATATGAAAAATATCTATTCAATGTTTAGCGTATTTTCATGTGTATTAAAGCTTCCACTTGACGACGTCCAAACATACAAATAATATGCATGCATACTGATAAATATCTACTAAATAATTTAAGTTGAGCTAGGAGGTATTGGGTAAGGATTAATTTAAACTAGTATAATTGATTGCTTTACAGACATAGTTATGTAGATTGATTGATTATTAGGAAAGAAAGAAGGAAAGCCAGTCATGAAAACTTGATAAACAAGTCCTTATGAAATGTAAAACCGATTAAGAACAATATGTATGTATGTCTGTAATTCTAGATGGGAAGCCCTCGATGCCACGTGGCACTAATCAATAAAATCAGCTTACGCAGGAAACTAATCAGGTTGCCTGTTCCCTTAAAGTTAGACGGATGAACTTAAATTACGCAAATTAATTTTCAAATCTCCATATAATACATGTTATAAAGTTATTGGTATTCGCATGAAGAAAAATCGTTGATTTGCATCATTTTTAAGACAATTGCATCTCGATTATTTATTAAAACAATTTCTTAGAATTACAGTAAGCAAAAGAATAGATCGTACCTTTACGTATTTTTAATTGCGATATGAAACCACGCACTTAGAGCTTCGGTGCTCTGCACGTTGTTGTATAAACTCATAGGCGAATAATTCCTCGTCGCAGATTTTTAAGGTCACCGCACGGTCAAAGGTCAGAACTTTTCCAGCAATTCAAAATGAGAGGCCAAAATGAAAACTTCATGGATAATTTTTTTTGGACTTTCCAACATTTTTTATTGAATGCGGCAAGGCTTCACGAAAAAAATGAGCTATCATACGACCGTGTACGATTTTTTTGACGCCCACAGGAATTTTTCGCCATGGACAGTTTTGAGGGCTAAAATCGTGACCGTGGCGAAATTCAAAGAATTTAAATATACAAAAACATATAACCATCGAATATATATTTTTGTATATTTAAATTCTTTGAATTTCGCCACGGTCACGATTTTAGCCCTCAAAACTGTCCATGGCGAAAAATTCCTGTGGGCGTCAAAAAAATCGTACACGGTCGTATGATAGCTCATTTTTTTCGTGAAGCCTTGCCGCATTCAATAAAAAATGTTGGAAAGTCCAAAAAAAATTATCCATGAAGTTTTCATTTTGGCCTCTCATTTTGAATTGCTGGAAAAGTTCTGACCTTTGACCGTGCGGTGACCTTAAAAATCTGCGACGAGGAATTATTCGCCTATGAGTTTATACAACAACGTGCAGAGCACCGAAGCTCTAAGTGCGTGGTTTCATATCGCAATTAAAAATACGTAAAGGTACGATTTATTCTTTTGCTTACTGTAGTTCTTAAATTAATGCTGTAAAATTATTGGTATTGAGTTGAACAAAAATCGTCAGGCGATAAATCTTTTTGAGGAATGGCCAATTTTCAGGAAATAAGAATATATTTGACTGGCTGAATTTAACTACTGTATTTTGTTCTACTGATACCATAGGCCTACATAGATTAATGAAAGGAATGCACATTACTAAGGAGGGGAGCTTGCGAGGTTGATAATAACAGATCCTGATGCCCTTTGGATATGTGGTAGGGTCCTATGAGTGTACTAAAACCCTGAAGTGGTTTAACTCCATGGCCACATTTGCGCCCGCCACACCCACTCAAAAATACCCAAAAAACGCTTTCACTCCAGTTTTCACTCACTCAAAACCTCGCCAAAAATCCAATTTTACTCGGATTTTGAAATTTCTTTCACCATTACACTCCCAGATAGTTGCTTTCTTCAATCCAATATCAAACTCAATTTTGCTGATGATTATTTCGCAGGGATAATTTGCGTTGTTGATTACTACAACAATGCTCATTCAGAATTTTAAATTTTAAAAATACTAAAAATTTCGAAAATATTGAGTTTGATATTGGATTGAAGAAAGCAACTATCTGGGAGTGTAATGGTGAAAGAAATTGCAAAATCTGAGTAAAATTGGATTTTTGGCGTGGATTTGAGTGAGTGAAAACTGGTGTGAAAGCGTTTTTTGGGCATTTTTGAGTGGGTGTGGCGGGCGCAAATGTGGCCATGGAGTCAAACCACTTCAGGGTTTTAGTACACTCATGGGACCCTACCACATATCCAAAGGGCATCAGGATCTGTTATTATCAACCTCGCAAGCTCCCCTCCTAAGAAGGAGGGAAGTTTGTGAAATTGACGCCCTTTGGATATGCTGTAGTACTATTTATATGCATTAATAAGTGTAAGAAAAGTGGAGGAGGGTTTGCACCCACCACAACCCTTCAAAGGTTTTAATAACAATTACTACGTAAAAGCTTTGCGTTCAAATCTTTTTCAAAAATTCAATTTTCATCCAATTTTGATACTTCTAGGATTTTCCTACATACAAATGCAAATGCATGTAGTTGTTTGATCATACCCTATATGAAATTTAATTTTAAAAAAATATTTTCGAAAACTTCCTGAAATAGATACATGTGTATACGTATATCTTTAATATCTTAAGGTCAAGTTTGACAAATACTTATCATGTTTCATTCTACAGATATTATTTTGAGCATATTAATCTAATCTTTATTCATGTAAGTGTCAAATTTACATGACTCACGCTATTTTGAAGTATAGCTGTTTACCTATGAGTCATACAAATGAGTAATACGAAATGTCTTATTCTTAGAAAAATGTCACCGAACCACGATGTATTAATTATTCGTATTCGCACCTCGCCAACGCACAAAGAGATATGTACAGAGATATAAATATTACAATGAGTTTGTGACCCATGAGATACACCCCAGGTTCACATTTCTTAATCCCTTCAGGTAGTAGTTCAGGTGGGTAGGTGCAGAAATCGTAAAAATTTACATTTTCTATTTCAATGTTCCACTCGACCTTCACCTTTCATGGTACGCACTTGAAATACACATCAGTCTGTAAAGCAAGATTTTAACATATTGATTTATAATATTACGTGCATACTTAATTTTTGAATTTTTACCCATTTTCACAATTAACTTTTAACTACATACATTAATATGTCTCCAACTTCCATAACGAATCAAGATAAAGAAACAATACTTTATAGTGAGCATATTTATTTTGTACATCCAATTCGCATCGCGTAATTTAAAAAGTGAGCAAATTTTAACTATTTTTCCACCTTTTGCAGCAATTCCCAACCTCCCCATGAAGAAGAGGAAGAGAATGCGAACGGAATCAGGAGACCCGTTGATGCAGAAATACAGCAATGCATGTCCACCTGGAGAATTGGTCACGAAGGTGAAACGCATGACTCGAGCTGAGTTGGAAGACTTCGTAATGGCGAAAATTGTGCAAATTTTACTCTATGAGACTGAAGAGGGCAAGTTCAAGAGGAAAATAATGGAACTTGAAAATCATAAGGAAATGCTCAAAAGTAGAGTTGATACGCTCAACAAGCAGGTAAGTTGCATATCTTATTATTTCGTCGCTAATACAGTTATAGAATACGTAGAATCTACAAAATTCCGAAAAATTTATGTGTTTTGTTTGTAGTTGAACATTCGTGACTTAAATAATTCCATCGGAAATATTCATGTCATGTAAACGTATCTTAATTAATTTACAAATTATTCTATTGTTCAGATTATCGAAAATGGGAGAAGCGATCAGTCTCCTCCTGCAAAAATCAGAGGCTGTCCAATCCATGCAAAACTTGTCCAGACCAATCAAACTCTGCAGAAATGTGGGCCTACAAATCGACATGTCTAATACCTGGAATAATTGTAAACCATCCCCTCCGGCTGAACATAAAACTCAATTAACACAGACCGATAAATTATCAGTATCCGACATGCATACCCAAACCGATGCAATGGATTCTAGCCGATCTGAGAGCGAGGACGCCTTGCGAATATCGCAAATGGGTATGCAAAAATCCTTCCGTGAATTAACAAAAACTGTCGATATATTTGTATAATAGAGTATTTCTAACTTGATTTTAGTGCCTGCCGATAAGGTTGGATCACATGACTTGATAGACAATTTAACTCATAACGCCTCAACTAAAACTAAACCTTCCATTCGGAAGGGTACCGTAAAACGAAGCTTGGAGCAGAAAAGTGTATCAGAGTTTAGGAATACACTCACTAATTGCTCTATTGAACCTCTCCATAAAATGAGACCATCGTTCCAAACCAAACCTGAAAATCTAAGTCCATGCAAGACAATCGTCCCCGATAAGATTGCTTACAAATTGGTAAGATATGTAGTTTAACTCCACATTCCACACATTATTTTATTCAAGTTGAAAACGTCACAATTTAACCATGCCAATCGTGAATGTCCTTACTTTTTTACACAGACATCATCCTCAAAAATCACTGGAATTTCATCATCTCAAAAGAAACCACCACTTCAGCCGACCTTATCACTGGGGTCAAACGATTCCGGGGAAATAATTTTATCTTGGGAAACTGCACAATCACGTGACCAAGCTAAGATAGCATTTTATGAAATTTACTTCTTGGCCATGTCCCCCATGGGGAAGCCGGAGTGGAGGATAATTTCAAAAATCAAGGCAAACACTAACTTCGGACTGACAACTTGCACGTTAACAACGGTAAGGTGCTTAACGAACTTGTCTAATTAGTATATCTATACAAATATTTCTAATGAGTAATCATGTAAATAATTACAGTTCGAGAGGGGAAAACGATACGTTTTTGTAGTTTGTCAGATCGATGTTGATGGACGGGCTGGACCATTTTCTGAACCTCGAAGCATCATGATTTCAAAATTCTAATTTTTTGTTCATCTAGTGTTTCGTATTTTATTTTATCTTAAGAAACTTCCTAAGAATTGCAGGAATCGAAGAAATCAACTTTTTGAATAAACTTTACAAATATTTTTATAATCAATCATTCTTTCGAGTATTACATGTAAAATTATCAGAAGTAACTTTACCCTGTTCATTTATTGTTATGATCATATTAATTAAGCAAATAAAATTCATACCAAAAATTTATACAACTGTTTGGTTGTACATCTAATAACAATTAAATACGTTGATTTGCAGACGAGCGCAAAAAAGTTTACCTTGATATTATCTAGTTCAACAGTCGAAATATTAATTGCACGGTGCAGTCGAATATCTTATTCGCTTTGAATCAAGCGACACATGATATGCAGATTGAGGTTAAGCCATCAGTCAAAAATCATTCTTGCAACTTGTTATTCATATTGGAAAATAATTCATAAATAAATTCATCTACATGCATATTAACCTCTTCGTACTACTATTTTTTTTAAATAAAATTTCCCTTCAGTACTATGTTAATTTCATAATTATACCTGATAACAACCAATTAAAATTTTCAGCCAGTTTCTAATTGTTGAGTTTTTGACGAAAAAACCAAAAATACACTTTTTAACATTGGCCGGTATAGCGAAAATTTCAGAAGAAAAAAATCAACTTTTTGCCATTCCACAAAATACCAAAGAAATTTTTTTCAAAGAAATTTTAGTGTCAATGTAATTTATCCAGTACACATATTTGGGTATTTCGTCCTCAACGGAAAATAAAATACTACACAAATGTGTGTACTTGGTAGTAAAGAGGTTAATGATCCGGTTCTAAATTTTTGCATGACTGGATAAATTTAGGTAAATCAGTACCATCCGTCAGTCAGTTTACTAAATACGTAGGTGAAGTTTAATAAGGCAGGAATGATATCTATGATTTCATCTTAAGCATACATATGACAGAGACGTATACTTGCATATGTGTATGTACATATGCAATAAATAGCATACATATAACAACTATTCATGGAAGCCCATCATCGCGTGTTTATACTCTTTATACCTATTCGAAGGTTATTACATCACCACCTCTGCATCTTTAAATAATTGCTCATGAAATACGTATGCACGGACTATCTCACTGTTGATAGACAATGAATTAAGAAAAATTTACAGTAAACCCTCTGTATCTCCTAGAGTAACAAAATGTGTATAAAATTTCAGCATCACCTTTCTTTGAAATCTAATTATTTATCACTCGTATGCATTTATTTTTCTATGCAGATATACGTACATATGATGTGTCAGTATGGACACATTGTAAAGGGTGTTGATTTAATTTGATCACATTTCTCACTAATGCTTGTTTTTCAAAACTACAAGTATAACCAAAGCCAATTTTTTTAGAACTTAATCACGGACTTTAGACTATAACATTTCGTTTTAAGCTCTGAAATTTTTCGAACGTGTTTCCAAAGCTGATCTCGCCATGCGATTGTAAATTCATACATAGTTAAATTTCGTCTTATTGATATTGTGATATTTATATATTTATCTAAATAGATTAGACTAATAAAATGCATCTAATAAGAAATTACTGATAAAAAATACATATCTTCACGAGTCATGTGAAGCCATGTGATATACGAAAACCATGAATAATACTCACCGCAACTGACCACTTAATTTCATCAGTCTGAAATATTTCAACACGAGGAGTAACCAATGTAAGATATGAAACTAAATAGCCATCAAAAAATATCCATACAAATCCACATTCATTCTCATCCTCAGTCGAACCCATTTCTTGGTAAAATACGACGTCTGTCTCCTTCGTACGTACATGCATACGTTTGCTATCACATTAGTATCACTACTTGTGTCCCAATGTCAAATGTGTACCAACAACTTTAAATTATCATTTACTTCTGGTCATGTACATTCTGCGTACACACCTTTTGCTACCAAACGTTTTCGATTCACGGATTTAATTTCTGCCAAGTACTTATTTATAACCGGAAAAGTTCAACGAGGGAACTCTTTTAAGATTAATGCCCGTGGTGAAGTGAATTTGTGCTTCGATTTCTTAAGTGGTAAACTATCTACGTATACATACATACTTCTTTCGTCATAACATAAAATTCCATTTCGCCATGCTTTCCACCCTGCTCGGAAAACTCTCTTCCTTCGCGTGGAAAACGGTCGTTGGAATCGAACCCAGTACGATAACCACACTTCAAGCGAAGGTGGACTCTTTGGAAAAAACCATTTCTACAATCAATCAGGATGCGCAAAAAGTGGACGAGGATACGAATATTTCTTCTCCGGATTCAAATCCCCCAGATTTGTCTGTCCCCCAACCAACTGTGGCTGAAAATGTAGAAAGTAAGCCCGCTGAAGGAACAAACCTTGACTTGATGACCAAAGACGTAGATGCAACAGAGACGCCAACAGATGCACAGGGTATAGACACTTTCGTGAACAAGCTAGCTGATTATTTAACAGAAAAAAATGATGACCATGAGACACCACAAACTTGTCAGATAACCTTCGACCCGGACAAATTTTCATTCGAAATGGAATCCCTGCTCGGATTAGAAGAACAAGTTTCATTCTTGCGAGAAAATGTTTTAATTCCGGCCGCAAATCCAGATCTCTTCGCCAAACTGGGAGTTGGACTTCCGCCAGCGAAAGGGATCATTTTCCATGGACCGGCTACCCCAGAAATGGCGAATCTTGCGAAAGCACTGGCCTCCGAATTGTCTCGTGTCATGAGGCAAGTTGAGAAAGATAAGGTGTCGGATGACAAAATCATGGGTAAAGAAGGGGAGAAGAAGAAAAGTTTCAAATTCTTTGAACAACCCAAAACGAAAATTTTCGCCAAATATTCCCAAGACGGAAGTAAATTTGTTGCAGAATTGTTCACCGAGGCGAAAAAGGAGGCCCCTTGTATCATCCTTTTCGAGGATATTCATAATTCTTCATATCCGTCTTATAACAACGACTTATGTACGTAATTCCATACAATTGTTGAATACGTTTAGTTACATTTCTATGTACTTGAAATTTAAGCGACGAAATATTAAATATCTCGGTGAGACGGAGAAATACAAACTTTGGACACTTCCAGCATGCTTTGAGTGGGATATTTTCCGTCCCAATGAGATTTTAACTTTACAATTTGTATTTAAAATATAAATATCCCTCCATAAAGGAAATATATTTAGCTTTCTAAATATAAATTATCTAAAAATGTTCCATGAAATACTTAGATTATACATTTTTATAAATTTAAAAATTTCTATTCAGATTGTCCCGACGAATCCTTCATCTCGGAAGTGAATAGACAAATGGAAAACTTGGGGTCGACCGAGAATGTCATTGTTATCGCCACAGTCCCCTCACTCTCGCTAGTTCCTGCCACACATAAGCTATGTTTCGAACTGAAATTGGCTTTTCCTACCAAATTTGATGACGAGACGAGAACTCAGATCATAAAGCAGACCACATCCTCCTGGACGGTCAGACCAAGTATTGAAATTCTTGACATGGTTACCGAGCTAAGTGACTCCTTCCACCTTGAGCAATTGCGTCGCGTTGGAAAAATGGCGTATCGTTCGGCGCTGGGGAGAGCTTTAAAGGAAGGACGTGCTGGGGGTTGCAAAAAGTGTGCAAATAGACCCGATAATTTGAAAGGTATTAGCAATTCAATTATTTTGCAACCATATTGTGCTGCATATATATTTTATAGGATGAAAGAAGTTTTTCAGGTTTATGTAGTTAGAAATTTGTGTACTTATAGCATATTTATAAAAAATTACTTATCTTATTGTTCTCCAATTGAATAGATTTTATTAGATGGATGCAATGTGTACAAAGTTTTTCAGATTCAATTGTCGAAATAGAATGGAAAACAATTATCATAATTTAGAACTTTTTAAAAATAACTATTAATATTGGGCGTACTCACGACAACGTCTTATTTCGCATCGCAACTCATTTATTTAGCAAACTTGCGAAGATCAAAATATTTCTGTCGTGAGGGGGTTCGAAAAATATAACTTGGCAAATCTCGTCAATCTTGCAAATCTACTAAAAATACCTATTTCAATGTTTTTTCCATGGATTTCTGTAATTTCTCTTGCTGGTGGATGCGGATGGGTTGTGAGAAATAAGCTTACGAAATAATAACATATCCTATTGCTGGGTAAATTTGCGGAAAAACAATCCCATGGTTTTCCAGCAAAAGTTTTGAAAAATCTCGCAAGTTTCGCAAAACTTGGCAAGTTATGTTGCTATGCTTAATTTGCGAGATACGCGAAGGTTGAGTACCCTCATTATTTTTTAACTTAACAAAATTTCAATACAATACATGCGTATCTACATATTCAAAAGTTGTTAACAATTCTTTTACAAATTTTTCAGTGGACAAATCCATCTTGGATGGCATCTCTCCCAGCGAGGAAGACTGGGTCGAGGCTTGTGACGCTATCAAATCCCAGATTGCTGCCGCCGGCTCGCGAAGGTCCGGTTCTCGAGGTGAACGGATCCACGCCGGGCAGGATGTCGACGTCGACATGGGGGAAAGTTTCCGTTTTATGACCCCAGTGGATTCCTCGCTAACTTTTTCAAGCGTGGGTGGACTCGAAGAACAAATTAAAGGGGTCAAGGAAAACATCCTGTTTCCGCTCCAGAATAAGGATAATTTAGCAGAGTGGGGGGTTCATCCTGTGAGGGGCATACTTTTCCATGGACCACCGGGAACAGGTATGATTTTAATACACTAACAATTGTAAGCAATTTTTACCAAAAGTAAAATCATCCCATTTTTTACATAATGCAACATTTTGTTTGCAAATTTTGTCTTAAAATTCATCTACTAAATCACTAATTTTTGCACAAATAATTTTATGTAAAATTAGGTCAAATTTTGTTTGTCAATTTCATAATTTTACGTACGATTCATAGGAAAGACACTTCTTGGAAGAGTTCTCGCCGCTGAGCTGACTCGTTTAACGAGCTCGTCAGTTAAGAAAGCCAAGTTTTCCTTCTTCTACCAAAAGGCTTCCGACTGCTTCAACCTCTACGTTGGCGAAACTGAGCGAAACTTGCGCGAATTATTCGCCGAGGCGGAAAGGTGCAAACCATCAATTATTTTTTTCGACGAGATGGATGGTCTTTGCCCAAGTCGAGATAATAGGGAATCAAGTCGGTGGAGCAATTCAACCGTGGCGACACTGCTCGGACTGATGGACACAGTCAAGCGGGGAGAAGTATTCGTCATTGCGGCGACTAATCGGCTCACGTCGATCGATCCAGCCATGAGGAGACCGGGAAGATTCGATAAGGAAGTCGCATTTCATGTTCCGAAAGAAGGTACGACAATTCAACTGTATGAACGTATTTAATTTATAAATTTCAACTTTCGTACTAATTCATACATATTTATTAGATGGGCGAAAAGTGATTTTGCAAATTCACACGAAAGCCTGGAAGAAGGGAAATGAGGAAGAAGTTCTCGGGGAAATAGCGAGACAAACTGAAGGATGGTCAGGCGCAGATTTAGAACAGCTTTGTCGGTATGCCATTTAATGATTCATTGTCATTTACCAATTTACACATTTGCAAATGTATTTATGTACATGTGTTTGCAGACAAACTTTTGTTTTTGCAATACGTCGCCATTTCTCATCATCAAAAGTCGAGGAACCCGAACCGGAAACCGCCCTTAATCCGAAATATGAACTCCGTACCACGAAAACTCCAACATTCGAAAACTTTGACATCCTTCCCTGCGACTGGCACGAATCCATGTCAACAATGAAACCAAGCCGAACCAATGTGTTTGGAGATTCAGCCCTTATTTCGAAACCATTGCCAAACGCTCTTCACAAACTGTTGGAAGGAACTGTGAGCGCAATTTTAGCTAAAATTCTGCCATTAATTCGTGGGAAGGGCATAAAATGTGGGAGCTTCTTGGAAAAGGCGTCCAGTTTGAAGTCATTCTACATTTGGGGAAATACCGAAAAAAAAGTAAATCAACAAAAATGGTGCCACATATTCAAAATGTTAATTGCTGTTTTGATATCTTTCCATCCTTTCATGTTGAAGTTTAACATGATTTTCGAACAGTTATATGAGCAATAGATTTGTGGAACTATGCAGTTGTATTTCTACCTGTAAAAAACATTAATTGCAAAGATTTCATCATGTTTTTTTTAGCTCAAATCCATTCACGCCCACCTAATCCCATCCCTCTTATCCAGCCATGAACTCAGAGACGTTATCGCTTTCACATTGGATCTGTCCGGTGTTCCAAACCAGTCCGACTTGGGATCCACCTTCGATCAAGTTTTCAACCCGGGTGAAGGAAAAACAAGTATTTTATTTATCCCGGGTATTGACAAACTTGAGAGACGATTAACGAAGTTGGGCGACGCTGCAGCCGAAGTCGTGGAATTTATCCTGGAGCAGATCGGCGGATTTCGTGGGGAGGGCAATGTTCTTCTTCTGGGGACGGGGAGTGTCCCATCGTCTGAATTAGTGCCAGAATTTGCATCCATTTTTAAAGGTAATGAATTAAGTTGGCAAACAAATAGTGCAACATTATTTGTAAATTTTCATGCTGAATTATGTAATAGGAACGGGGAATTCACGCACTTTCGAAATGGTCAATCCCACCCAGGAAGCGTACAAAGAGCTGTTTCTTCCTCTGCTACAATCATACCCAGCAGCGTTGCGTTACTTTGACGACACTTGCGCCCATGACAAGCTCGATATAATAGACGCGCTTTATCTTAAAGGGGAACTAGAGTTGGAAATTAGCAAGGCTGGTGTACTCGTGGGAAGTGAAAAGACGGCAGAGGAAATGCTGTTGAAAATGTTGGAATCATTTCAAAAGGATAACACCGTACATAGCTATAGAATGGCGATGTATAGTTAAGCTTCATAATTTATAAAGGTTCCTTAAATATTATTTATCATTTTTACCAACAATTTGTAATTTAAACCTAAACTTTAACAGAAGACAACAATATTTACTTAAAGCCTGATGAAGCAAAATAAAACAAAAGTTTGTTTAATATCCTGCTAGACCGTTGTAACCCGTACCACTGGTGCTGATCACACCAGTGATACGGGTCTCACACACATCCCACCTGGGGAGAGATCTATCTATTTTTTCATGATCACTCAATCTTACGAGCTTTACGTGTAAAATTATCAGAAGTAACTTTACCTGGTTGGTTCATTTATTGTTATGATCATGTTAATTAAGCAAATAAAATTTATACCAAAAATGTATATAGCTTTTAGGTTGTTGTATCTGTACATATATCGATATATCTAATAATTATATGTATTTATTTGCAGAGGAGCGCAAAAAGTTTACTATGCTCTAGTTTAACAATCGAAATATAAGTAAATTGCATGATGCAGTTGAATATTTTATTCACCTTGATTCGAGCAACACATGATACATATTATTATGCAGATTTGGGTAGGTTTACGCAATCAACCAAAAATTATACGGTGATAAATGACATACATCATTTTTGCAACTTGCTATCCATATTAGGGATCGTCTATAAATAAATAAATTCATCTGCTTATTTATTTACGATCTGGTTCTGAATTATTGCCTGGCCTGATAAAATGAGGTTCAGTATCATCATAAATTATGATTCATAATGATGATTATCTTCATGCTATATCAATATGTGTATTTAGCTTCTCTTTATTCAATACCATGTCACAATTCGATTCCATAGTCTTCCAAGCATAATAATTTATTATTATTAAATTATGATGATTTATAATGTAAAACTATTTTTGTAGGTACATATATAAACTCTTGAAAATATACGTGATTAACACAAAAATGCAGATGTAAATATTCCTCTCACTTTGTCATCTTCTGGTAAAGATGAAATCCATTTCTTGAAAACTGTCAATAAGACTGCTGTCGTAATAATGGCTGCGCCGATTCCACTATAAATTAAAAGTTTCGGAAATTTTAAATAGGTAGACTATTTATATTTAATTATCCTATGAACAAACTAAATATGTACATATTTAGTTGTTTCAAAAATCATTTACCTGTACATATCCGGAATAACGCTGAAAATGAGAAACTGTAATAAAAATGCGAACAATGTATCCGAACTGGTCCTCACGACTGCGAAGGGTCCTGCCTTTTCGCACTTCAAAGCCCAGGTCAAACTCATCTGTGAGGAGAATCCTATTAAACCGAGGAGAACTAGGAGGCCGAGATCGCTAAGTTTAGTTGGAATTTCAAACACCCCGAGAGCCAGGGATATAACAAAGCACTGCATAAGTTGAAGAAATCCGGTCGTCATGACAACCAGAGATGCATTCATGTCGCGAAGGTATCGGACGAACACGATTTTGAAGCTGGTCAAGACCATTCGAGATAGGGCAAATCCAGTCCCAATCTGAAAATTCATAGCACAAAATAGTCTCACCCCTACAAATTCAAGTTTTTTTCCTTTTTGAGGAACAATCTTGCATGCATTTGGGTACACAGCTACATAAATAAAGCATTATGAAATAATTTTCCGTACCATAGTGTCCCAGTCATACTCTTTGGACCCCGTCAGCATGGGTGGTCTCGACATAATCGCCACCCCCGTAACGGTCATGATTGCTGTGAGAAATGGGAAAACGCCACACTTTTCTCTAAGGAAGAGATGTGCCGCAAATCCAACAAAGACTGAAGAACAGGAACTTATTACGACCGCGTCTGCCACCGGGATGTACTGGATCGCGATAAATTGAGAGATAATCGCACCGAATCCGAACAATGCGCGTCCCTGTTAGAGTCAATAGCATATTTTAATTACCAATAGGTCAATTTTAATAAATAATTTGGAGATGGCGCATAAATCATGGGCCGTGATGTGTTCAACAGATTAATGTTTTTGAAATTTATTGGACTTGGCGGAGTGAAAAATTGGCAATACACATCGGATGATTTACACATCGTATTTTTTGGCAATGCCAATTTGGCATGTTATAGAAGAATTGAGACAATTTGTAACGTAGCCCCACAATTTCATACATATTTACTTATCACTCACAAATAGAACAATCATCGTCCTCAGCTTTGCTGGTTCACTCAGTGGCCACAGCGGTTCAAAAATTGTGTTCCCTTTCGCCTTATGTTTCCAAATTTCCATCAATGTGCACGGTAGGGCAGGGAGGAAAATTCCGAGGAATCGAAACAGACCGAGATTCAGGACGTGATATCCTTTCATGTGCTTTACCAAGATCCCCACACTCGCAAATAGGAAGCCGGACAGGACGGTAAAAAATAGTCCGAGCCATTTCGAATGCTTCTTGACACGGTTTTTACTCTGGGATAAGTCCAAGTCGGACGACGAATCTGAACTTTCAGAGGATTTTATGTGAACAATTGAAGCATTCTTTTCGCCCTCATCTAACACCAGGTTGATCGTTGATGCCACTTGTGGTAACGACATGGCGTGGTCTTGCGGTATTTTATGATGCAATCAAATATTATTTCAAAGCTTTTGAAAAATTACTAAATGAAAAAATGCTTAAAATTGTATCACAAGAATTTTCAAATCTCAATTTGTATGCTGGGTTCTTAGCTCATGAATCGTCTCTGAACTATAACTCCTTAATCTTATCAAAAAAACGTCTTCCTCAATAAAATTAGAGTCACGAGTTCCATCAATTCCACAGCTTTCCTCAACTGCTTAAGTCAAAGTGACGACTTTGCTTCTCCAAAACTTTTCCACCAGCAGAAAAACTTAATTTTTACTTAACTGACAGCAAGGCCAACTTGTTAGGTGAGGGCATTGTGCATGTGACACTCGCTCATTGTCATTCCATTTGACCCACCACCTTTCCTTTCAGGTATTGTGACCTCCTGAATGAACCCACCTGTCGACATTGGTCGTAATAATGTTAGATAATTTTATAATCGCCTAATTAATTAATTGTGAATATTTTTGATGTATGGAAATGCTTTGCTACATCCTGCATGAGATGAGATGAGACGAGTGCGTACAATGAATAATTCTTAATTTCCAGAAATATGGTGATGATGCATGACTGTTAAACTTTTAGGGTTAAAGAGTATTGTGGGTTCATGCCAGCCAACTCTGCAAAACTCATTCATATTAATTTGTGAAATTAATTCAATTGTGTTCAGGAAATGAATCAGATTGAATCATTGTTCCGATTTAGGTTGTGTTGAATTTTTATTGTGGGTTGTTTTTTCTTGTCATGCAACTACGAAGTTGAGCATGCAAATTTAAAAACATGTTTGGATTTTGGCATACTTTAGTGTGACGTTATGAAAGTGACGTGATGTGCATGAGGTGCGATGTGACATATATAAATTTTATTTCGCTCAAGTTTTTTTAGTAGCAAGAGCTTAATAAATAGATGTATTAATAAGAAATGCGCATCTTGAATTTACTATATTTAATTACATATCGTCGGACTAATTCTAAAACCACGTAAGTGCATTCGCTTCTTAATTCGAAATCCACCTAAGTGCAGTCAGTAGTTAATTCGAAATCCACCTAAGTGCAGTCAATAGTTAATTCTAAATCCACCTAACTGCAGTCAGAAGTTAATTCTAAATCCACCTAAGTGCACAAGAAAAACGGGGAAAAAGACCTAACTGCAATTCCAAAATTATACAGAGTTTATTAATTATGCAAATCATACTATGAGCTGTAATATGAAAGTTTTTGGCAGATGAGGCTAGTGATGCGAAAACGTTCGAAATTTAAAAACCACAGGTTCAGGGGGTGTGGTTCTTGCGCCTATTTTAAACTTAAAAAAGACCTGGCTGGTAATCTTTTTTCAGTCCCATAAGGGGGTGTGCCCAGAAGCATGCTATTTAATTTTATGGATGTTTCTAATCCGATTTATACTTTGTCAGTACAATTAAATATGCTATGCCATGAATTTATGAAACTTAATTTAGCGGCCAAGAACCACACCCATTGAGGGTGTGGTTTTAAATTTCGAATATTTCATTGGGGTTCTTTTGGTTGAAAAAAGACATTACATGCTAGATAGTCTATATTAAGCTTAATTTAGGCGCAAGCACCACACCCCCTAAACCTGTGATTTTTAAATTTCGAACGTTTTCGCATCGCTAGCCTCATCTGCCAAAAACTTTCATATTACAGCTCATAGTATGATTTGCATAATTAATAAACTCTGTATAATTTTGGAATTGCAGTTAGGTCTTTTTCCCCGTTTTTCTTGTGCACTTAGGTGGTTTTAGAATTAACTACAGACTGCAGTTAGGTGGATTTAGAATTAACTATTGACTGCACTTAGGTGGATTTCGAATTAAGAATGGAATGCACTTACGTGGTTTTAGAGTTAGTCCGACGATATGCATAAATTCAATATGAAACACATTTATGCATATGATAGTATAAATACTACTTGTTGAACAGACATACAAATCTCGTGAAAGATACGCTAGCCAACTTATGTACTTATGTATGTACCTTAAACGTTGAAAATAATACGAACCAGAAACACGACCAAGCCAATGCAAGCACCCAAAACACTGGCAATGCCCAAAACACTTAATATTCTTAAATTTGAAGAAGATCTCGCCCTAGCCCAAGGATTAGTAGTTTTCGTGTTCCCTTTTGCTGAATCTATATCGACCAGTACGCAATCGGGAGATAAGTTAGTTGACAAATTTGCACCATTCTCCATCGTACTATAATGAAGTATTTTTCTAAGATGTGGTCCAATGGACTTATATGTATTCACCCGTCACTAATTATCTCTACGCACAAAGTAAGACAACATATACGAAATTTAGTTCTGAGGTTGCTATATATTTAGTAGAAAGTAATCTGTGTACATATGTATACGTATTTACTTAAAATATAGAGCCAGCTGCTATTCCATACATTTTCACACTTTTCTTTCACCGTTTGCTTCAAGATTCTAGCATATTTGCAGAATTATTGATTTTTAGCCGTGCAGAGTACAATCTCTGACCATGTCTATGACTTTCTCCTACACATACATATCGTACATAAGTACGAAAGTGCTATACTTACATACACGAATACTTATTAATGAACTTATAACGGTATCTAAAAATTCCTACCTAATCTTATGATAACTTATGCATGTACTTACTTAAATATGTACATATGCATGTACATAGGTTTTGCTCTTTGTAAATGAGATTTCCTGTAAATACTTGTCTTGATTTATTTTGTAATTTCGATTTTCATCTCCTTTTCATCTAGAAATTTATCATTGTTTCCACTTCCTTAAAGATTGTTAGCGCATCTGCTTCCTTCGCCATAATAAATATTTCTGCAAGCATAACCAGGTAAACATGTACATGTGCACAAGGCCACAAGCAGGTGAGTGAACTCGGCAAGCAAGAAGCAAATGTGGGGTCAAAAATTATTCACCACATGTTTCGAGGGTCAAATTCTTACTCAAATCCATCGTCGGTAGGATTTAATATATACTCTTTGTTCTGATATTCCCAGAATTTCAGTTTTATGAACGCCATTTTCGAATGTGTAAACTATATGTCTCTGCTCTAAAATTTTGTGAGCGTGCTTAAGCTGATCTCACCGTGTCTTTGTACATATATATAGTTTAATTTCTTATTGATATTGTGATACTTTTTCTTATCCGATATTCAACTACTGGATAAATATTTGCTTAATAAAGTGACTAATAAGATGCATATTAAAAAATAAATACATACGTAAAATAATACATATCTTTACGGGTAATGTATATCAAATACCAATACCATTTTGGATAAATAATGAGTCATTTCAAACATATGTACAATATAAGTATGTATACGAAAAAGAATACCAAATCATCATAAGCCCAACTTCAATTTCGGTATAAAGATATACTTATGTAAATATGTATACATGTTTAAATATCAACAAACTATACATAAACTATAAGCTACAAACTAAATATATTAGCTATATATTACCCCCAAAAATATCTATGCAAATCCATTCCATATTATGCATTTTCAGTTTAACTCATTTCTTGGTGGACTCATAAATTGTATGTACTAATGTAGTTTCTAACCCCTTCATAAATACATTGGGCCTCCTCAGACACACGAAAAAATCGTCGTTTCTAATTTCGCTAAGTTTTTCGCTTGCTTCCTGATAAGCGAGCTCTGGGATAAGCGAACAGAAACTCAACTCAGAAGTGGGGTTAAGGTCGGTTAGCTGAAGTCGAAACAAAATTTTACAATTTTCATAATTCTTGCCATGTTATCGATAAGCGAAAAACAAAGCAAACTTCGAAGCGACGATTTTTTCGTGTGTCTGAGGAGGCCCATTGTATTTCGCTGTAAGATTATTGTCAAGACTTTTGTATCAATACGCATCCCAACTTGGGATTCCCCACAGAATATAGATTCTACCAGAAGAATCGATCTTATGTATTCGAGTGACGCTTATGGAAGAACGGGGAGAGCCAACCAAATAACTCGGTGCACATTTGGCCCACCTGGGGGATGGCACCTCCGCATCATCATCATCACCACATCTCCTGGCATCAAAAAATGATGATGAAAGCACATAGGTGGCGGTGGCACCCCGATTTGTGCACCAGAACAGTAGATGAATAAGTAAAATTTCATTCCACCATGCTTTCCACCCTCCTCGGAAAACTCTCTTCCTTCGCGTGGAAAACGCTCGTTGGAATCGAACCCAGTACGATAACCACACTTCAAGCGAAGGTGGACTCTTTGGAAAAAACGATGTCCACAATCAACCAAGGTGCCAAAAAAGTGGACGAGAATAAGAACCCCATTTCTACTCTGAAATCAAATCCCTCAAATTTATCCGTCCCCCAGCTAACCGTCACTGAAAATGTAGAAACTAAACCCACTCAAGATACAAATCTTGACTGGATAATCAAACCATGCCCCACGACCCCAGAGATAAAAGTGACCGAGACGCTTACAACAGATGCACAAGAAAAGATTGACGCTTATGCGAGTAAGCTAGCTGATTCCTTCGCCAAAAGAAGGGAAGCCGATAAGGCATCCCCAACTTATCAGATAACTTTCGACCCAGCAAAATTTTCATTTGAAATGGAATCCCTGCTCGGATTAGGAGAACAAATTTCATTCCTGCGGGAAAATGTTTTAATTCCGGCCGCAAATCCAGATCTCTTCGCCAAACTTGGAGTTGGACTTCAGGCAGCGAAAGGGATAATTTTCCATGGACCGGCTACCCCAGAAATGGCGAATCTTGCCAAGGCATTGGCCTCCGAATTGTCTCGTGTCATGGGACAAGTTGAGAAAGATAAGGTGTCGGATGGAAAAATCAAGGATAAGGAAGGAGAAAAGAAGAAAAGTTTCAAATTCTTTGAACGACCCAAAACGAAGACTTTCTCCAAATATTCGCACGAGGGAAGTAAATTTGTGGTGGAATTATTCACCGAGGCGAAAAAGGAGGCGCCATGTGTCATTCTTTTCGAAGATATGCATACAATTTCGTATCCGCATTATAACAACGACTTAGGTACGTACATATATACACACTTCCACATAATTTTTAAATAAATGCTACAATATTTTTGAGCAAAGTTCTAACATAAGTAATATGAATGACAAAATATTTTTCATATGATTTTCCACCCACAGGCCAAAGATAATTTCTTGTTTTACTTTATTTCTTGTAAGAAACAAAGCCTTATAGAGAAAAATTATATTTAATGTTTCACGAAATATTTAAGGGGCCAATCATTAATTATGCAACAAAAAAGAAACGATTTTCTAGATTTTCTAATAATTTATGAACGACCCCTAAATCATATATTTCAATAAATCTAAAAATTATTACTCAGATTTTCCCGACGATTCCTTCATCTCAGAAGTGCACAGACAAATGGAAAACTTGGGTTCGACCGAGGATGTCATTGTTATCGCCACAGTCCCCTCACTCTCGCTAGTTCCTGCCACACATAAGCTATGTTTCGAACTGAAATTGGCTTTTCCTACCAAATTTGATGACGAGACGAGAACTCAGATCATAAAGCAGACCACATCCTCCTGGACGGTCAGACCAAGTATTGAAATTCTTGACATGGTTACCGAGCTAAGTGACTCCTTCCACCTTGAGCAATTGCGTCGCGTTGGAAAAATGGCGTATCGTTCGGCGTTACGGAGAGCTTTAAAGGAAGGACGTGTTGGGGGTTGCAAACGGTGCGCAAATAGACCTGATAATTTGAAAGGTATGAGAAACTAAATTATGTTGTGTAGTCATATTGCGATACATTTGCGTGGATTTTATTGCATGGACGAAATGTGTACAAAGTATTTCATGTCTTTTTTTTCATTTCTTTTCATTTCTTTTTTTGCCATGTGGAAAACAATTTCCATAATTTAGAATTTTTTAAGTATGTAACTTTTATCAGTTTTTTCCAAACCATAAAAATTTCATCATTTTGTAATTAGTATATAAACAAGGCCCCAAAAAAGGGAAATCTTAGTGAGGCTTGGTGCGACTACAACTAATGAATAAAATTAGATTGCATAATTTTTGCATCAGCGCTCTCTGTACCATTCTTTACTGGAAGCATTAAGTAATTTGGAATAAATGGCTCCCCTCAAACATTCTTGTAATTTCATGAGAATAAGAATTAACAGGATATCCAGATTATAGGATTATCCAGAAAATATTAAAATTAAATATTTGCAACTTTTGTAGCATATTTGCAACTGTTTGCATCTTAAACTTAAAGATTCGTAGTTCACAATTGTTTACCCATTATATTTGTTCCCAGTTAATTTACCAAACTTCTCGTTCACTAGTAAAAACGTCTTCTTAAAAGCCCAATTAATTCAATAAATGTAAAAATGCATGTGTATGCAAAACAAAATTTATATTGGATCCAGTAAGAACGGTACAGAGAGCGGTGATGCAAAAATTCTGAAATATAATTTTATTCATTAGTTGTAGTCGCACCGAGCCTCACTAAGATTTCCCTTTTTTGGGGCCTTGTTTATTTAATACTTTTAATTGAGTTCTTTATATATTTAATAATAAGCACCACACATTCCTTAAAGCTAGAGTTGATCAGAAGAAGATTTATTGTCAACAACATTAATGCTTTGCGTCGCTGCAAAAATTTGAAGGTTTTCTAAATTTAATAATCTCTCGAGTTCTTAACCGATTTTGATCATCCGGATCATAAATTCACCAAATCAGTTTGAATGTCGTTTTTAAATTATCCAACAATAATCGGTGCAAAATGTCATCAAAATCGGTTTAGAAATGACTGAGATATTGAATTATTTCTGTCAGTTTTTGGGGTGGGGTCAATGCACACAATATGTAATTTTTGTTGCCAGGTATAAAAGTCACTAAAAAATATCAATTTTTTAGATTTTAAATTTGAATAACTTTCTGAGTTCCTGACAGATTTGAATAATTTTGGACTTAAAATAACCGGAATGACTTTGTCTACAATGTTTTCAATAAGGCAACATGTTTGGATGAACCATCAATGAACTATGAAAAGAAATGTTCAGTAAGGGGCAAATTTTCGAGTATTTTTGCCAATAACTCTCTCAAAAAACAAAAATTCCAAAAGGCCACTCGCACGTCGTTTTTAAATTATCCAACAATGATCGGTGCAAAATTTCATCCAAATCGGTTGAGAAATGACTGAGATATCGTCGGTGGTCACTTTTTTGGGGAGGGTCAAATGCATACTTAGTAATTTTTTTGTTGCTAGGTATTTGCCTCACTAAGAAAAAATAGTGTTTTAAATTTTTGCCAATTTTTCAGTGGACAAGTCCCTTTTGGATGGCATCTCTCCCAGTGAGGAAGACTGGGTCGAGGCTTGTGACGCTATCAAATCCCAGATTGCTGCCGCCGCCTATAAACGAGCTTCGTGTTCTCGAGAGGAACATCCACGCAGCGCAGGATGTCGACGTCGACATGGGGGAAAGTTTCCGTTTTATGACTCCTGTGGATTCGTCACTAACTTTCTCAAGCGTGGGTGGACTCGAAGAACAAATTAAAGGGCTCAAGGAAAATATCCTGTTTCCGCTCCAGAATAAGGATAATTTAGCAGAGTGGGGGGTTCATCCTGTGAGGGGCATAATTTTCCATGGACCTCCGGGAACAGGTATAATTTTAATACATAGAAAAATTTTTACATACCAACCTAAAATCATCTCAATTTTTTTTAAATCATGTAACATTTCATTCGCAAATTTTGTCTCCAACTAAATTATAAATATTTTACAAGTTTATCCACAAATTACTTTTGAAAAAAATAGTTAAAATTATTTCAATGTTTTTTTATTTCATAATTTTACGAATGATTCCTAGGAAAAACACTTCTTGGAAGAGTTCTCGCCGCTGAGCTGACCCGTTTAACAAGCTCGTCAGTTAAGAAAAACAAGTTTTCCTTCTTCTACCAAAAGGCTTCCGACTGCTTCAACCTCTACGTTGGTGAAACGGAACGAAATTTACGTGAATTATTCGCCGAGGCGGAAAAATACAAACCATCAATTATCTTTTTTGACGAGATGGATGGTCTTTGCCCAAGTCGAGATAATAGTGAGTCAAGTCGGTGGAGCAATTCAACCGTGGCGACTCTGCTCGGACTAATGGACACAGTCAAGCGTGGAGAAGTGTTCGTCATAAAGATTTATTTTACAAGTTTCCTGATGAACCAACCTTTCACTTCAGTGAATATCGTATACCACTTTACAGGTAAATATTTTTGTTCATGATTAAAATCCGCTTACATGTTCTGCATTTTGTAGCTATGTTGTAATGAAATACATATTATTCTCAATGTGCCTCCTCCACTTCATTGCACATAATTTGCATGCATCAACCGATTGATATTTCGAACCCGATGTCCATTTCAATTTTAGTTCTGAAAGTCAAACTGCTGGAGAATGAAACTTCTCCTTTGGACGTTGTGGATTGTCCTCATCTTCCTCTCATTACTGGGTTCGTGCGTGGGCATAAATGGGACCAAGAGGGCAGGAAAAGGGGCAAAAAAGCCAGCCACCAAACTAGGTAAACCACCCCCCGGTACCCCAACTAAAGTTAACGATCACACAAGCGCCACCTCCTTCAAAAGCTCCCTTGACAAAGAAAAAGTCAACAGTGGTGACGTTTCTGCCCTGGAATCTTACAATGCGGCCTTAGGACATGGTGGGACTTATGAAAATGTAAAATCCGTAGTTTCCAGCCTCAACCTAATCGAGTCCGACCATGCCCCACACTCCTCGATAATGGAATACCTCGAAAACGTCCCCAAGCTTCCGGACAGCCTGAAGAAAGTTGTCGACGAGCGAGTTAAACTAAGAAATGAATTCGAAGCCTCCGACTATTCAGCGAATGAGAAAAAAATTGCAGACCTACAAAAAGAAGTTGAGGCTTTAGAGGACACTGTTTATGGCCCAAAACCAAGACCACAAAAGACGCGTAAAAATTGGCCAAAACCACTCCAAAAGCAATATCTTGACACACTTACTGCATACAAAAAACTGTCAACTTCGGACAAAGATGGCACAGTGGGTCAAGATTTACTTAAAAAGCTCAAAGCAATTAGAGAGAAAGGGAGAGGACCGGACCCCATCCCAGATAAGGTGAAAATGGAGGAGTTGGACAAAAAGCAACAAGAGGTTGACGTGCTTGAATCTGTTAATAGAGATTTGTCCCGTGAACTGGAAAACTTTGTGGAAACGATGAAGGGGCGAATGGGAGTTTTGTCCATTCCATATCTCGAGCATAGACTGTTTCCTTCCACTGGGAAAATTGGAATTCCAGAATCAATCGTGAAATTGAAGGAGGGAGGAGTAGCTGAGGCCGCGATTGAAGTTGACGCCTTTAGAAAAGAATGGACGAAAGCGATGAAAGCTGGAGCAGATTTGAAGTAAGATTAATTATGTAATGATACATATATTTTTTTTGTGTGCATGGATAGCAAAGTTTGCTATCCATGTATAAAAAAATATAAAAGTTTTCGGACCTGGTTTGCTAAGCAAACTAGGTCCGAAAACTCGGTAATAAATTTCGTCGGATAAAAGTTGCATTATATTATTGCAAGACATTTTTGTACGACAGATTTTACATACATGCTAGACTAGAAAAATCGGAGCGCATGGTCTTTATTTAATTCATTCATTAAGGTACCAGACGTAGAACTTCCCCTAGAAATGGGTTGGGTTTGTCTCCCCGATTTCGACGGTTTACGCAATTTTGAAAATTTTACTCTCGAAGCAAAGTTGGGGTAAAATAATCAAATATTTTTTTAAAAGCAACAGCAACTTGGTCAGATCAATCGTAATCTGAACATTTTACTGTAACAGAACAACGATTTCGCTTCGTTCAAAAATTAGCCACTCTTGAACCAATTATCCTAAAATTATGATTTTGTGCTTAAATTGTGCCCAGATAAATTACGCAGACATCGGTGGCAATCTGGTTTTGAATAGTGATCGAGTCTGTCCATGAAAAATAAAAGGACGACATTTAAACAGGAAAAATAATGGTTAATGCTGAAAAATGACCTATGAACTAATTCCTACGACAAAAGATTGCCACCGATATCTGCGTAATTTATCTGGGCACATTTTACACACAAAGTCATAATTTTAGGATAATCAGTTCATGAGTGGCTAATTTTTGAACGAAACGAAATCCTTGTTCTGTTACAGTGAAATTACCGGATTACCATTGTCGGATTACCATTGATCTGTTTAAGTTGAAGTTGCCTTTAAAAAATATTTGATTATTTTACTCCAACTTTGCTTCGAGAGTGAAATTTCCAAAATTGCACAAACCGTCGAAATCGGGGGGACAAACCCAAGCCGTTTCTAGGGGAAGTTCTTCTTCTGGTACCTTAATTGTTAATTAATTATGATTATAGTGAGTTCGTATCTATGTATATAAATATATACATGCAACTCAACATAGTCTATTTTTCATTTTAGAAATGGTTTGACCACTTCGACCGGGAAGCTCACACCCACCTCTGTAGAAGCAGACTATCATCGCGTCTGGAAAGAAAACTTCCCTCAACTTTTGGACTTCTGGAAAAAGGATGATTTAAAAGTAAAAGGAATAACGCCCGATGAGAAAAATCGTCTCTTTACTCTCCGAAAATTGCGAGAAGTTTATCCAAAGTACTGGATGGCCAGGGTAATTCATTCCTTGAAACAGCAAAAGTTTAAGGAAATGATGTCTTTTTACATTTCCGAGTATCAATTATATTTAGGTAGCGAGTTTGACTTTTATAAAACCGGTTTAAAAGATCTCCTCGAGACGAATAAGGGTTTGGGTTGGTTGACAAGTTCTGAAGTTGATGAGTTGGTTAAATCACATAAATTAGATGAGAAAATTACCAAGAAACCTGGTTGGGAAGCGGTACAAAAATTCATTAATGGGAAGAGAGATGCAAAAACGGGAGGGAAACGACGAGCAACAACTTCGGGTGGCTCGACTTCACCAAAAACACCAAAACTCACGTGTCCAAAAACCAGTACAAAAGCCAGCACAGTGTTCCGCGCTGGCTCATCAGCAAATAACTGCGTTTTATTTGTCAGGGATAAAAATCCAGATGAATTGGAGAAAGTTACAACTGGTGAGGATGAAGAAAATATTTTCGAAAAACCAAAAGTTCTCGAGGAGCATGAATCAATTGACTCCATCGATAGTAAAAAACTGTCTGAATATTTAGAATCCTTTGAAACCGGGAAGGACTTAGATTTCGATTCTTTACAGGCGAAAGAAGCCGTGGTGGAGCTTGTTAGTAATAATAAAGGCAAACTGACCGGTGACGAAGAGTCCATCGCAAAAGTTAAGGCACTCATAAAGCGAGAAATTTTAGAAATGCATGAAAATCAAAACTCATTTGCAAAATCTCTCTCTCACGGAGAGGACATTAGCTCGCACAGCATGTCGAATTACGACCGTGTCAAAGTCAGTGCTACCCGATTTGCAAAAAGGGCAGCGAAATTTACCTCCTCCACTGAAAAATTTGGTAGTTCTTATGGGAAAATCATGCTGGCGAAGGGGGTCGTATCCGCCCTTCGACATGGGGACTACACCTCTCTGGAAATAATGGGGGGTCGCATCGGGTTAGATTATGGTTTTAAAGCCATCGAAAAAACAGGGGCCCTCCTCGTTAAGAAAGTGGGGACGAAACTTGCTGTAAAAATCGGGTCAAAAATGACCTCCGTAATTGGCAAGGTAGCCGGGCCTATCGGTGCTGTGGCCGATATCGGCATCAGTATTTACAGTTTGACCTCCTCCATAAAAGCGCTTAACAATCCGAACGCCACGAAATACGAGCAGAACGACGCCATCGCGGACATTGTCGCTGATTCGATCGACATAGCTGTCACAGCAACGGCTGCAATTTTGTCGATTGCTTTCCCCCCATTGGCTCCCGTATTTGCAGCTGTCGCGTTAATTGTTAACATCTTGACGACAATATTTGTCTCTGTTTACAAAGCTGTAAATCACGTGAATGAATTAAACGATGAAATTCCTCTCCTCGGTTATGAAAAGTTGGAGGAAGGGTTACGCTACATGAGCGGGGCTAACACCAGCATATACCTCGAGGACCTTATCAACACGAAGAAAGTGAACAATATCGTGGTTAACATGACCGTTTTATGGTTAAAGGAAAATCCCGATTTTATTGGGAAAGTTTTCCCCTCGCAAACTCTCTACAATCCGGAAGGGGATTGTTATCTCCAAGAGTTAAAATATACTTATTTTTTTGGCGGCGTGGTAAACTCATGGCGAGATGGACGATGGTATTGTGGGGTCGGAGCAAACAAGGAGTGTCAAGGAATCGGTCTCTACTGCAATAACGATCACTACGAAGACTACAGAAGTCTGGGTTTTGGTACTTATATAGAGTACAAGTGTGAGTGCGGCGCCGATCCTGGCCACTATTTTGATGGATATGACGTGCTCGACAATTCAGTGGATTTCACCTCAAAGAGGAACGTCTACTTGGAACGATGGGCTCCAGATATGTTACTCCCGACCGATTTTTCCTACTCGTGCAAACCGGGCAGTGAGATTTTTTGGGGGGATCGGATTTCAAGGCGGGATTCTTCTTACGAATACTTGTGTAAGGGAGCCATTGGAGTCGAGCGATCCAACGGAGAGGGAAAGTTTATGTTGTACGATTTAAAAAATGGGGCGGACAAGATCCTCCTGGACAGTGGGGACGTTAGAGACTCTTTATTCCTTGTGGGAGATGGTGAAAAATATTTTCAAGGGGGTGCCGGGGACGACACTTTCATGCTAGACGGACCCTGCTCTACTATTCGAGGCAATTTGAACGGGGGACGGTCCAAGGATGTCGGAAATTCGTTAATTTTAGGAAACAATTGTTCTCTCAGTGACCCCATCACGGTCCACATGCCAAGAAAAATGGTAACTTTCTCTAGAGGAAATCTGGTGGTTTCCAGTATAGAGAGGATAATTGGGAGAAAGGGTGAAGTCGAGATTATATATGCGGATTGTAATACAAAATTGGTCACTGGTCTGGGTGGGAGAGGTCCTGATGGGGGTGAGGATCGAGTAATAATTCCGCACTGTGAGAAGGACCAATTAGACTTGGTCGTATTAGTGGAGGGATATACGGACGTAGATTTCGGGACTTTCTCCGGGGGAAAGGCAGTCGTGCTGATTAACGGGAAAAAATCATACCTAAAAAGTCACATTCCCACGCATTTGGAAAATGGAGAGATTATTTTGAAAGTTGGTGGTGTTGGAGGGCTCAAAAATCTTGAAATAAATAGAGGCCAGAGAAATTTCAAGTTGCAATTTGGCAATGGGGGCTGGGCAGATTTAAGTTTTGAGTGTGACCCCACCTCGTGTCGAAGTGGAGGATTTGTCGCGTTTTTTATGGACAATGACACCCATCCATTTCAACTCCTAGTGGATGTGGAGGCAGCCAAAGGGCAAGCTGTGTTCTGGTTGGGGTCGTCTTCAGACGTGCGGAAAGTACAAGGATTAACCTTCACGGAAAATTTGTTTTACTTAAATGAAGGTCAAAATTGGCAAATTGAGGGATCGAGCAAGGCAAATGACATCTTTTACTTGCGAAACACATCCTTCTCTGGCCGTTTGGATGGTGGAGGTGGGAGCAATGTTATCATCGTGACGAAAGACATAGATCTTGATAAAATCGTGGATATCGGACCGGGACGAATTCTTTCCGTCGAGTACGAAAATTTTGACGCTGTAGTCGGTAGGCCCAATGGTGTTGAAGTAGTCACCACTTTCTGCCTTCTTCGTCAATTAGATCTCAACGGTGGGACGGACTCTGTCCCAGATAATATTAACATCGATCCAAGTCCAGACTGTGAATATGATCTGACCGTTTTCGCCAAAGGAAATACTTTAATCGACAATCGGATGGAAAATGGCCAACTTTTCATTCAAATTGGGCCGAATGGAGAGAAAGGTACAAATTTGAGGCTGGAATTGCACCAGAGAAAAAATTCTTCTGCAGCAGTTATCCTATTAAATTATCCCATTTCGAATATCACCCTCATATTTACGACTCCCGGGTTAGGAAATAGTCACCAAATTCTTATTGCCGATTCTAAAATTGATGTAACGGGTAAATTACTGGAAAATGATAGCATAAACTTTCTCCCGGGGGAAAATAAAGTGCAAACCGTCCTGGTTCAGATTGACGCCATGCTCGTTGCCTTTCACACCCTGCCAGCGAATACTGCTTCTTCCGAGAGGAAAAGTGCCAAAGGGATTGCATTTGTTCAGAATCGGTTCAGAATTCAGGGAGGGTTTTGGTACGTAACTGTGCCACAGATTTCAAAATTCGAGTTAGATAAGGATGACATCTTTATTGTGGAAGATGACAAAGTTGTAGCTCATTTGGACGGTGGGAGAGGAACTAATACCATCATTGTCTCGGAGAAAGTTCCTGGCTTGATAAAAATAAATGAGAATGGAACGGCAATTTTCGCAACCTCATCAGAGTCGAAAGTTTCCACAAGAAATGTACAAGTTTGGCAGGGTAGAGCGGGTAAAAGTGAGCATATCGAAGTAAACTTGCATTTCGAAACTTACAAGGTTATTTCCCTAAATGGGGGTGGTGAAAATGATCCGGATACCATAAATGTGACCAATATCCCAACGGGCAAGTCGAGATATCCTCGCTGATCGAAATCCCCACGATTATCTCGAAATATAAGCGAGGTCTACATCGCTCAGAAATCCACAAGATTTCCTTATCGAATTCCATGGGATATTTGAGCTACTAACAGACATAACAAAACGTCGTGACACTCTGTGCGAAATCGATACGATTTCGAGAAAAATTCGAGAATTGCAAATCAGCATGTAACATATTATGGACGATTAGTGTCAGAATTACTCTCGATATCCCTGCGAATCTACAAGTATTGTTAAGATGGTAACTCGAAGTCGTAGCGAATTTTTAGCGAATACAAAAAGGACTAATTAAATATATCCAGATCCAGCTGATATATTATTACTACCATTGTGACAATGGGACGAGTAAGTAAAACTCCAACGTTCCGTCTTTGTAAAAGGTCACAGTTTAGGAAAATCAGCGCTAATGTAGCCAAATTTATGTATAACAATGTAACAGATAATATTTCACATTTTCAAACTGATATAGTTAATTTTAGCAGTTCACAAATAAATCCCCAGTCCGAAAATCAGAACACAATTGAAATCAATTTTAACGAAGACAATTTAGAAAATAGTGTAATTGAGTCGGTGAATGAGTTTACAAATTTAAGTACAGACCAATTTGCTTCAGTGCCATATAATTTAGAGCAAGATTTAAGAGAATGGGGTGTGAATAATAAAATAACAAGATCGGCATTTAATGGATTACTGACAATTTTAAATAAACAACCAAGCCTACCAAAATTACCTGTCGATGGCAGAACTTTACTAGCAACCCCGACAACATCACTGGTTGAAGAGTGCGGTGGGGGACAATATATTCACTTTGGTTATAAAAGTATAATTGAGCAGTCAATTAAATTACTTCGACCAAACCCTAAAGTAATCAAAATTCAAATAAATATTGATGGACTCCCACTATTTAAAAGTTCATCTAAACAGTTTTGGCCAATTTTAGGACGTGTAATTGAAACGAAAAAAGTGTTTATTATTGGACTTTACTTTGGGAATGAAAAGCCAAGTGACGTAGATAACTACCTGCAAAAATTTGTTCAAGAAACAAAAGCTTTAATCGAAAACGGTGTAGTTATTAATAATGTAAAATATGAGTTTAAACTGTCAAGCATAGTATGTGACGCCCCTGCTCGTGCATTTGTCACTGGAATCAAGGGTCACACTGGATACTACGGTTGTGGAAAATGCATCGTTAAAGGAAAATATAAAGAGAATCGTGTAGTATATTTAAAAACGAACAGTGAATTGAGGACAAATCATTCATTTCGTGCTAATCAACAACCCCCTCATCATAATTATAGAACAGTGATTGAAAATTTACCCCTCGATCTAGTTGGAGACATCCCATACGAGTTCATGCATCTTGTATGCTTAGGAGTGACAAAAAAAATTCTAAAAATTTTTGTACATGGAAAACGAAAAAGCTACAGACTAAATAAAAAATCAATTGACAAAATATCACTTCGTCTTGAAAAGTGTCGACCTTGTGTGACAAGTGATTTTGTGAGAAAAAGTCGCCCTCTCTCTGAAGTTGACAGATGGAAAGCTACGGAATTCCGCCTGTTTCTTCTCTACACGGGACCGATCGTCTTAAAAGGAATAATTAGTGAAGAATATTATAGACATTTTTTGGTGCTATCAATTGCTGTTAGGTTGTTATCAATCACTAATCAAACCGAACCGAATTTAAAATACGCTGAAGATTTATTACTTTATTTCGTGGAACAATTTAAAAAATTATATGGAAAAGAAAATCTATCATACAATGTACACGGCCTAATACATTTGACCAATGATGTACGAAAACATGGGGACTTAAATTCCTTCAGTGCATTTCCATTTGAAAACTTTTTGGGAAAAATTAAAAATTTAATTAAAGGGTCTCATCTTCCCCTCCAACAAGTATACCGCCGCATCATTGAGCAACAGAAAAACGAGGTGAGCATGCTTCCGCATACTGCAACTAAAAATTCAGTGACTTTTAGTAATGCTAAAAAAAATAATTCTTGCGCATTTAAAAAAATAGTATTTAGGGACTCTATAATTAGTAATAAATCCCCTGATAATATCATTTTGCTTAAAACCGGTGAAGTAGTAGAAGTTAGTCACTTCGTTAAAAATGCAACTGATGGGAACGTAATTGGACGTGTTTTTACTTCAAAAAACAATTTCTTTGAGTATCCGTGTAATTCATCGATTGTTAACATTTTTGAAGTTGATAGTGCTACTAGTCCCATAAATACTTTTAACATAAGTGATGTTCAATTTAAGTGTGTGGCTTTAAAACGAAAAAATAAAATTATCGTTATTCCTCAACTCCATAATTTCAACGAATAAAAAATGGAGCAAAAATACGCCGTCGTCGTATTTAAAGAGTGTAAAGATAATCAAGACATAGAGACTGTGGAGGCCATTCCAGTTTCATGGATATCTAATGGTTCCATTTTATGGCCGAACAATTATGGACATAAAGTTTTAAAAAAAGCAATCAAACGTTGTGAATCGCCCAAGGAAGACTGGACACAATATCAAGGAAGAGTTCTTGGACAATATGGTGAGTGAAAAAATTAAGTAATTTCCATGAAGTCAATAACTAGTATATTGTACTCACAATTTAGCAGTTGCACGATAACTTTAATTTGGTGAGATCTTGAACAATAATTTGTTGTTCCTTAAACAATAAGATCGAGTTTAAAAACCTACAAATGATTTATTATGTATTCTTTACATTTATTTACATATATATATATATATTTTTTTAATATTAAGGGACTTTGCAAGAAGCTAGACAGGAGTCCAAAGTTGCAGAGGGAACATCTGATTTATCCAGCGCCAAACGCCGTGTCGTGAAGAAGAATGTTGGACCCGTTACTCAGCTACCAAACCCTCCGCGACATCAAATTGAAGAAATGGCTTCAACTTCTCAAACTATTTACACAATTCAAGAGTTGCTGGCTGCTGGTGTCGATACGGGAAGGAATCAAGAGGGGGACCACTTTGCAGGAAATGAGGGCGACGACTTTGGAGGAATGGAGCGTGGCGAAATAATCCTGAATAATGCAATGAGCCAGGCTCCCCCGCAAAGGGTAGAAGAAATGAATAGAACCGTTGGCGATCAAGGTACACAAGATAATAAAGGGATTATTTTTATATTTATTTGTGAATGCAGATCATTTATTCACAAATGCAATATTTTAACATTAATTAATTTAAAAACAAAACAATAATTTTTAGGATTACTCCCTGAAATTCTAAAGAAAATAGAAAGAATAACTATTGTACTCGATCGCCAACAAGATCAACTGGATGAAATTGTGCAGATTTTAAAGAATAATCAGTATAATCAACCGCTCGCTTCCAGTCAGCAAACTTTCTCCTTTCCTTTCGGATTATTTCCACTTCGGGATTCTGCAGCTCTTTCGTCACTGGATGAGCAATTAAAAAATGATGAGGCTGCCAAAAATGCATTGGTATGTAATTAGACCATGAATATGTTTTTGTTTAAAGATGTTTTAATTGCTGTATATTTTATAGATTCGTAAGCTGAAAGATTGCGGGGGTGCAACTTTGTTAGAAGCCGTTAAAGGGATGATGTCCTTTTTAATGACGGATGAACTTTGTTCACTCTATAGTCACAAAGGGAAGCGGGGAAAATTGTCGCTGGCCGATCATGCTCTTCTTGTGAATTCGATTTTTGGTAAGTGAAAATAAAAATATCGTATTATGGTTTGAGTTCATTAATCAGACCCTTTCGTATGAATTTTTTATCGAGCGGGGTCATTTAAAGCTAATTATGAGCGCGTCTAATTATGTGAATTGCTTAATTAATTATTAGATGCACTGATGAGAAATCCACGGACATCTGGAGAAGCAACCTTGATTAAGTATTATGAAGTGCTTCCGACTGTTTTGAAGCAAGCCCATGATCGAGTTAGACAAAGGAGGTAAGTACAGAAACATTAAATTAATATATATATTTCTATGAATATATATCAAATTGAATCGTTGTATAATGTATGGACTATTTTATTATTATTTAGAAATGTAGCTGCTCAACCTGGCAATCCTGAGTGAAGATAAAATTATAAATTATATCATTAACTTATTAATTTTTTGATACAAATTGTATTGGTAGTTATTTGTTGTAAAATAAATTAAGACACAAACAATGCAATGTATTTTGTATGCTACTTTTTTAATCCCAATGAAATCGCATAAAATTCGAGAGGAATTCGATATTCAGGCAAATACGAAATCTCGTCGATTAATGCTGGAAATCGTGTCGCCAATATCTCCGAATAATCGAGAGGATTTCCTTAGGTCTCGCTGGACATTTAACTGTAAATTCGAGATCTTTTCGAGCTACCCTCGCTTAGAATCGAGAGGCTTTTTTATCTCGAAATCGTAGGGAATTCCTATGCCTTTGCCCGTTGGGTAGTTTCCCAAATCTCTACCCTCATGCCCACAATCTATCAATTATTGCGGCTGGAAACACACTTTTACATGTTCATGACACTGGCCCAGTAAATTTTGAGATTTACGTCCAACCTTCACAAACAACTGGATCTGTACAATTTTTTGGCAAGTTTAGCATAACGAACGATACGAGATACACAATTCCAATAAAAATTCAACCCCACAAAATCTACGATAGCTACGTTAACATTGTCGAAAACGGGGTTGAAATAGGACTAATTCTTTCCAATTCTTCAAAGAGTGACAATTTTATAAAATTTTCTCTTCAATTTTTTAACGTTTCTAATATTCAAGATTTCCAAGTTTTACAACGATTATTTTCACCAACCTTTATCTCCGAGTTGTACACACCGGAAGGAAGTCTTTTAATAAATTTGAAGACAAGAGAGCTACAACTCTTGCAAATTTACCCGGACGAAGCTGCCACGGAGAATAATACGGAGAAAAAGGGTGCGATCGGGGTCAAGAATATTTTTAGGATTGCAGATTCCTTCCGAATCGTGCATGGGGGAAAGCTTGACGATGCTTTTATCCTGGAAAATGAGAAATTTGTTGGTCAAGTTCATGGCCATTCGGGAGTAAATTCACTCATTTTGGGCGATCAGATAAACTCATCTTTGGTCACGATTAACTTGCCCAAAGAGACTTTAACGTTTGGCCAGAGTGAAAATTTCGCCACGGTGAAGGGAATTCACATCGTGAATGGGAGAAAAGACAAGCCTGACGTTGTCTGGACGGATTGTTACACAAAATTGCTTAGACTTGAGGGAGGTTCGTCATCTGGGAATCCTGACATTATCAAAATTTCGAAAGATTTCTGTACCCCGATCATCGCAATTATTGCAGGACATTACACAAAAGTTGAAAACCTGGCAGAAAAAGGAAATTTTACTTATGTAGTTGAAAATTTGGACAATTTTGACATATCTTACTCTCTCGGGGTGGCGCATCACTTTAAAATTGACGTGGATCAGGATAAGAACATTTTTTCTTCTCTGAATGAAAATAACTTGCTGATCAAGTTGAACTCGGTTGAAAAATCGTTTCCACTTTTACAAAATGGAGTATTATTCAAAAATCTGCCAACATTTCAATTTGTTGGTGACGATGGCCGACTCATCATCGACTTGAAGCTTGACCTTCACACCGAAAACGGGACGATTAATGTTGTAGATTCCACCATCCACTCTGTAATCGTAGCAAAGCCTTCCTTTTCGGGGAGAATTTCCGGTCTTAATGGAGCAGAAAACGACATTCTTGTCGAAACTGGGGAGAAAATTGATCAAATTTTAGGTGGAGATTTGGACGATAGTATATTTCTCTTTGACTCAGCAGTTGTTGGAGAAATTGATGGAAAAGATGGAGTTAATCGGCTCCAGCTAATGCCCGGGTTTTTGTCAGGGTTTGATTTAGAAATTGATTTACAAAATAGTTCTTCATCAATTACAATTCTCAACTATGGTGACGAAGAACTCGAGACTGATTTCTCCAAAGATGTGGTCAAAATCGTAAAAAATATCCAAATCTTTACCGGACGAAGGGACAATTTTGAACAAGTATTGGTTTCTTGTGAGACAGTGTCTGTCGCAAATGCGGACATGACTTACGTAACTGATCCGAATTGCAATTACAATTTGTGGATTAGCATCGGAAACGGGACGAGGGTCAGTTTTCTTATTGATGACAAGATTGAGGGTGAAAATGTGACTGAAATTGTTGACAATAATAGTGACACTGAAGATGATACGACTACGCCAAGTAGTGACGATGGCGTTGAAGACATTGGTGAAATCGGTGAAATTTATGAAGTCGAAGACGATGAAGACAAAGAGTATGACGTGAAACTACTCAAAAAATCAATTTTCTACTATAATTTCGTCGAGCCATGCACTTTCGACGTAGAAATTGACTCATTTTCCCGACTTTTCCACACTCGACACATTTTCAACCTTAAATTTAATCTTTCAGATATTAAAGAAATTTCCATTTCTGAAGGAGACATAACACGACTCGTTTACAAATTGCATTCCACAAATTTAGAATATTCCCACATTTTGGGTGAGGTCGACGAAAGTGAAATGTTTTACTCCAAACCAGAATTTATGACGGAGGATGGGTTTCAAATTTTGATTACGAGATATTCTGAAATAATCTTCAGTTTTGGGAATCTAGAGGAAATCGTGGAGCCTGAAATAATACCGACGTCTTTCATCCCAACAATTTCTCAATTGGGGAAAGATTTAAGCGTCAGTTTTATTATTGAGACGGGTCACGATTTTTTCTATTCTGGAAATCCTGCCGAGTTTGGGACAATTACGAACAGGGAAAATATAACGTCTCACCTTATCGGATTTAATGGCACGACGTACGTTATCTACAACAGCGGTGATGGAGATGTGCAAATTTATCCTCAGGTTAACCATGGCAAACAGGTGATTGACTTGACCAACATAATTTCTCAGATTATGAACAAAACTGGGACATCAAATTATGTCCCACAGATCTCTCAGGTTGAGGAAAGTTCCGATTTAAAAATTGATTTTTCTGACCACCTCGAAATTTTTTCTGGTGAGTTGATCATCGTCAATGGCACGGAGTTTAGAGAGGGTGTCATTGTCGTAATTTTGCGTGCAATGGGAATGAATATTGTTCACGAGGATGGGGGGAATTGGACCTTGGTTCCAGGTCGGGTAGAGATTCCGCACGGTCATGTGGTACAGTTCGACCCGCAAGATTTCGAACATGGGACAGAAGTCCATGATAAGGATGTGCATAAACATGATGTCAAGTATACATGCCCGAAAAACGGGGATGACCTCGTTGTGACAAATATTCCCGTTTTGAATCAAGTTTTTGACCAGGAGCACCATTTCAGCCCGACATCTTTCATAATTACGAACTATTTTGGAAACCGTGAGGAAGCATTAATGCCAAAGGTGCACATTAAATTGGGAACTAGCAAGGACAGCCTTTGCTTGGTGGAGGAGGAGGAGGAATTACCTTTTTTGAGCATAAAAGGTCCTAGTAGTGCAACAATACCTGGTAGTGGTACCAGAGTTCCAAGTTCTATCCCGAGATATCAAGATATCTTATATCAGGAAGAAAATGATATTTTGCAGGGCTTTCCGGAGATTAAGAGAGTGTTCAATTCTTCCTATCCATTTTAACAAAAATCGGGTAATCCGTGGTATCAAATCTGGTGTTACTAGTGAGGTAAATAGGTGGGAAATTTTTTATACTGTTTACAAAAAAAATTGAACTTCTATATTTATGCATATGTTTATCATTCAAAATAACGGTAACAAGTTGAAGTGACCAAAGGTTGAGATGTGTACGGATTTATAGGATTATAACCTAACCATATTATTATGTATATGTGATAAAATAGCAATAATAAAATAATAAACTAGTAATAGAAATAAATATTTTGGAAACTGATGAAGTTTTTAACTTTTATTTTATTTATTTATTTATTTATTTAATTTATCTATTCACATTAAGCTTGATTTAAAACAAAATCTTGTTACGCTTGACGGTAACATAACTAGTAATAAAATTAGAGCAATGTTTGTCATATTCGTATGTCATATGTACATACTTATAAAAAATGTAGTAATTGTAATTATGCCAAAGCTAGCGAGTAGATTTTGATAGCAAACGTTATATAATCTGCAATTATAATAGAGTAGAGAGGAATGCAATGTCATAGTTTAGAAACGAATTCTTCAATTTTGTTTTGAATACATTAAAATTATGCGATTCTTATTTAAAATATGATAACTTATTTAAATAATGAAGAAAAGTAATTAAGCTGCATAATTATGTAACTAAATATTACTGTATATGTACATACACGTGTTTCGTCACGAAAATGTATACCAACAATCTGTGTACGTATGTATGTATTACTATAAAAGTACCTAAATAAACCTTTGCAAGCAAATGAATCGAAGTCATTATCATCAGCCTCATCATCGTCGTTATAATTTTTTCTAATAAGCCATCCGTCGTCTAGTTTAAACTTTACTAACATGCACGTATATGTGACCACTCAACAATGCAAATATAAAATCTCAATGTACATACACTCATACGTAGCACGTACATATTGTATTACCTTTGTAAGATCGAGAAATTTTTAAATAATCTGGATTGCAAATGGTCTTATGACTTACAACGCCGCCCTTCGAACTTACATAGCTCGTCCCAAATAATAGACGCATGCACACTGATGAAGACCGCATGTCGAAATTTAAATCCGTTCGAAAGTTATTTATCGTGGACTAAGATAAGATAGAGACGAGACGTTGCCACAAAAAGGGTTGCACTCTTTAATAAATATGTACGAGGCAGTTTGAGACAAAATAATCTTTCAGAAATAAACCTTTTGTCTCCATCAGTGCTCATAATTAGTACCATAGCTAATGAATATGTTAGTCTAATACAAAGGTCGACAAGTTTAAGACCAAACGATTTGAATTTTTACTCGTACAGTAAATCCGTCAAGAACGTTGGAGCCGTGCAACGAGCACCCTGTCTGACATGCATAATTTTTCAGTACTTGGAATGTGACGCCAATAGCCCAAAAAACTAATCCAGTCTTGCTGCCCGTAATTGATGTGGACATTAGTCTTTTCTTGAACTAAGGTATAGTTATGATTCAAAATTTGTATGAATGCTGTGTACATACATAAATACGCATAGTGAGCAACGGCAACCCTTTTCCTAATCCTTTCAGGTTGGGGATTTATTTATGCACTTACTTGTATATTTCAAGTTTCATTCTCAGACACAAGTCACATTCGTCAGTAATTCACATTCTTCCCAACATCAGTGCATAATTAAGTAGAAGAGACAGATTTTTCTGGAAATTGCTTATAATTTACACAAGTAAAAGGTTACTCGTTTGCTGGATTAATCAATTAATTGGACAGCCATGAGGGTCCTGCTTATTCCAGTATTAATTACAATCACGAATCAGGTGAGGAAATTAGAAATTCATAAATCTGTCAATAAATTGTACCAAATTAAATTGGTATTCTTACCTCAATCCGTGAATCTAGATGAGACTGACGTCCCCATCTCCTCTAGCAAGTAATTCATCAAATATTGACTACTACACCGTCGGCATCCCCGAGGATACCCACACTTTAGAAGAATTATACCAAGCCGCCCTCCTCGAAGGAGGTAATCTCATCATTTACGCCGGTGGAGACTCTCCCAGTCAACAAACCGCTACAAAAACTGCGTTCGAAGCCAAATTTCCCGGCCTATCTGCTCAAATCATTGTAGACCTCAGTAAAATCCACGATGCCCGGGTGGATAATCAAATCGCTACGGGAACCCTTATTCTTGACATCGTCCAACTCCAAACCACCCATGACTTCGACCGCTGGAAGGCAGATGGCGTCCTCCTCCAATACAAACCTGTCGGATGGTCGCAAGTTTTTCCAGAATTCAGGGACACTGACGCCTACTTTGTTGGCCTCTACGTCCGCGTCTTTTCCAACAACATAAACCGCGATTTGCTCGGAGATGACGAATCCGGATGGCCAACCGAAGCAAACGATTATCTAAATCCGGAACTAAAGGGAAAAATCGTGTCCACTTATCCTAACGATGACGACGCTATTTTGTTCATGTACAAACTAATAATTGACAAGTATGGGTGGGACTGGTTAGCCAAATTTGTCGCAAATGAGCCCGTGTTCGTCCGAAGTACGCAAAATCCATTTAATTTCGTGTTAAATGGAACATATCCCGCAACCTTTACGACTGGAGGGCCCCTCAAACCGCAGGTGACGCGTCCCATGCAGTTTATCCTGCCCAAAGAGGATCCCTTCGTGTGCTGGGCGCAAAGGGCGGCAATTCTTAAAGAAGCAGCGCATCCGGCCGCGGCCAAGCTGTATTTGAGCTGGTGGTTGAGTATCGAGCGACAGAATCAGTATGTTCAGTGGAATGTGCGAAAAGATGTCCCAATTCCGGAAGGATATCGAAGCATTTTCGACTATCCGGGACAAACGGATCCCACCGCGTTCCAGAAATTTATGGCGGACAGGAATGCACTGGAAGTGTTCAAAGGACAGTTCCAGTTATATGTGGGTGAAGTGAAGGGAGACATTCCCACAGGAGATTTAGGGCTGCATCCAACGGAAATGTTACCCTCTGCATTTCCATAAGTTTAAAAGTATGTAGTTTCATATTTGTAATAATTTTTACTTCTCATGAGCTTTTGTTTTTATAAGTTTGTATATAATACAACTGAATTGATGCTGACATTTTCTGTTGAGAAATAAAATTTGAATAAATAAATCCAATTGAGAATTGGAGAAATCTAAAAATGAAAGCATGCTTCAGACCCATCTTTTACAGATACATAAATACCTAAGTACGCATGCAGTATACATATGTACATGCATAATATTTAGACGACGAAATATGTAGGTTAAGTTTTTCCTTAAATTTCATGTACATGTACAGCAGCATAAATATTTTAAAACGGAAAATTATAGTGAAAGCATGCAAGTTTGACCACTTAAATTCATGAGAAATACTCCTTATAAAATTGTACATATGTGCATCTAAATATTAAATTCGTTATAATAAATTTAGATGACAATACTAACGCTCATACATAAAACAGTGTTGATTTTGGCGTTATTGGAAATATTGATAATAAATAAATATGCACAACTGGCATTAAAATTTACTACCCTTCTATCAAAACAGTCATTCATCGAATGACAGAATTTCAAGTGTTTCAGGTTAAATGGGAGAAATGATTTTCTGAAATATTTAGTCAGCATTGCCAAAGTCAATCGCTAAAATTAGGGCAGAAACAAACATATTTCTGCAGTTTTCCTTAGTAAAATATTCACACCGCTTGCCCAACACTAACACTTTAATTATTTGTTATTAACTGTGCCATCCACAGATATTTGTGACACTCTTTGACACATGCACACAGTTTTGATTACACAACGAGTAGTGATTCCATTTGTCATCATTATTTTCAAAACGCCATGTCTTCAAAATTCTGAAGCCTATAGTCGACACTTACAATTATTCAGTACTAAATATTTCAGATAAGTATGGCACATTAAATATTGCACTAATCCTAAGGAGTACATGCATGCACCCTATCAACTTGTCGATAATAGTATCAAAATAGTCTTCGTACCTTACACTTATGTCACCACTGATGACTGAAGGTTAATGCTTAAAATGCGTACCTAAATATATTTAAAGCAGACATTTCTCACCGTTCAGTTCATTTCAAGTTTCATCGTCCTCCAGAAATCGTGACATGCTCATATCAGACTCAAACCCATTCGGCGATATTTCAGCTTTTGTTCGATTCGCAATTTCAAAATCACTCAACAGTATGGCACTAAATCACTCTTTTGCAGGAAAGCGGATCCTGGTCACTGCCGGAGCTAAAGGTAGTTCATACATACATGTGAAAATAATAAATATAGGTATATTACTTCTTAATTTCACTACCACATAATTCGTAAGGCATCGGTCGAGCCATTGTGAACCGTTTGCATGCCGACGATGCCCATCTCTTTGTCTTGCAACGGAATCCCGTCCTGGCCCAGAAATTAAGGGATGAATTGCCCAATGTGACCGTGGCCTGTGTCGATGTCAACAACTGGACCGAGACGAGGGAGGCTATCGAGTCATTCGGGGTGCTGGATCATGTCATCAATAATGCAGGGTTTTTAGAGTCCCAGCCATTCATGGAAATAACGGAGGAGTCCGCAGAACTGTGAGTCTATCCAAAAACATTGACCATGTGCAATTTAAATTATTATGAATCTCATTCTTAGACATCTTTCGACAAATTGCAAATCCTTGATAAACATTGTACAGTCTGCGGCCAAGGGGATGATTGAGTCGGGAAATGGAGGCAGTATTGTGAACATTTTATCACTGGTAATACATAATAGTACAGTTTGCGATTTTATTAACTATTTAACCCCATTGTACATACATAATCTGGGATATCGATTTACGAAATTCTGCTATACCTAAATTTCTCTCTAGGGCGGTCATGCTACCGTGGCGGGTATTTGCTGCTACTCCACGAGCAAGGCAGCCACCCTTATGTTGACCAAGTGCATGTCCGTTGAGCTGGGCCAATATAAAATCCGTGTCAATTCCGTGAGTCCAGCAGCTGTGGCGGACACTGACATGGTGGCCTTGCTGCCCCCCACGGCGGGCGCTCTTCTCGCACGCGCCATGCAGCCGCGCCTCCTCGTCGCGGATGAGGTTGTGGATTCCGTCTTGTTTCTCCTCAGTCCAAGGGCGTCAATGATTTATGGAGAGGATATTCTAATCGATGGGGGCGTGCATACCTGTTAGAGGAGAAATTGTTGGGGAAATAGTTCGGAAATGTGTACCAAACGTAGTCACACCATGAGCTTCGTATGTAATTTCTAGTGTTACTTATCAACTTTTTTATTATATTAGATGCATGTAAAATTGTGTACATATTTACATACGTACACAATGTAGGTCAATTATGTGCACATGTATATGGTCCGAATATGTAGAGACCATAACATTTACATGAATTTTGTTTAGCATAATTTCGTCAAATTTAATTCAAATAGTTCACCATTATTTTTGTATTCTCACATTTTTAAAGTATTTTTTTAATTTCACGTTTAAAAATAAAAACATTTACGTGGAATTTGGAACCGTAAAATTTAGCTGATAGTAAAATGTTGTGATTTAGTTGAAAATATTACTCTTACAATGGTCTCTTATTCCTCACAAGGATTAAAACGTTCGCAATCTGCACAATACAGAAACTCATCATTACCAGCGGTGTCTTAATATCGATGAAATTTTGAGCAAATCGTATCCTAATTTGTCTCAGTGCGCGACGTCTTTTCGTGAAATGGCCAGCATTTGTCGATAATCTTGCTAACTGATTAATGCATTTTCCCGAGATATGATTAACCTTCCCAGCCGTCGTCGTAATGCCAATGTAGCACGTGTACCCATTAACAATATTAATTGGAATGACGATTAAACCAGGATTGCTCAGCACAACCGATTTTAAAAGGATAAGCAACACCGTAAAAATTATGTTGACCAATGTAATCATGGAAAGAATCAGGGGGAGAAAAATCGAGGCGAAGATATCGTTAAATCGAATCTCCAGCATAGTCAAGATCAGGTATCGTTTGATAAGGACGTATCCACGAGTCGGTATCGATGATGCTCCAGTATTTTCACGCCTAAATAAAATAGTCACAATTTTTGTAATTATTAGTTTTTGAAATTTTCAAATTCTAATACTTAATTATTAGTTTTGATTATGTAACGTAGCGATAAGCGTATTTTTAAAACCTCTTCATATTAAGCAATCGACACTGGAAAAGATAAAGGCAAATGACGCAAATCAAAAATGTGGAGACGATTGTGAATCCAGCCGATGTAACCAAAATGTACCACATGCTCGCCTGAAATGTTGCGGTAATAGCGATAAAGCTAACTTTTCTCGCGGTAAGGTTCTCTGATAACAGACACCTCCCACTTATCCGGTCGAGATGGATTGATCCGAGAAACGGGGGGTGGCAAGGCATTATCGCGAATAATACCCAATTTGCAATTGTTGTAATCGGCAGGATAACGAGGAGCCAGGATAAAATGATGCGTATAATGTTGACAATAAATTTCTCATTTGTATTGATTTCTGCAAAACGCAAATTAAATTTTACGAGCAGTGAAATTAATATTGTATAATTAACAAAATTACTTTCTTCTCCACCTTTGAACGTTTTCTCCACTTGTACAAAGCATTTCATGAGCTGAATCATTTCTCGAGAACGGAAATCAAGAAATAAATTAAACAGGGACAGCATGACGTATGTAAATGTGAATGTCCCACTAATTATTTCCTCAGTTAAGGTGAGAATGCTGGGCTTTCGCCAGTAAAACGTGTAATTAATGAGGATAAAGGCTCCGAAAGCGTAGCATCCCAAGCGACTTGTGAAATAAACATATTTTCTTTGGCGTGGTATCCAACCCCTTCGGATTTCCAACCAATTATTTTCCTTATCCCAGTAAATGGGTGTAAAATTTAAAAAGGAACAGATTTTTACCAAATAACCTATTAATGGGAGCACCGGCTGAAGAATCATGTTGCTGGCTTCTCTTAACGATAACGAATGCATGAGTATTTAGCAAATTGGAATTGATACACAGAATGTACAAAATTGTTGGAGTTCATTCCAATTAAATTCCATTCATCTGCGTACTCGTTTTTAATTAGTGAGATTAAATATGTACCACGCAAATAAGGGTTTGAAAATTGACTTGATTTGGACGCGAGATTATTTAATTGTTTAATTGGTGAACAATAACTTAGAATTAATAACTGGCTGAAGAAATTCTGCGTTATTTCTACGAAATATGATTAGCTCTACATTCACCGATTTTAAGCTATGTATATATTTACTTTCTGACAAAATTGAAACAAAGGCGACGTTTTAATTATGGCTGATAATTCTAAGTTATTGTTCAAATATTAAACTTGTAATGGCTGAATGCGATTAAACCGTTGTAACGCCCTCTAATATGAGGAAAATAGACAAGTACATACCTATGTAGATACATGATTTAAGGAAAATTTTTTTGCAAATTACTTGCCTAATAATATGAATGAATGCAAATTATTATTGGACCTATTCGACCCCTGTGTTCCAGATAGGGTAGTATGCAGAGCAGATGAGCAACTATCGGGATTTACAATTGTCACTAATTCTTATTTCACATTAATTCGGACAATGCATATATGTGCATATGTTTATTTGCATATATGTATTTACAATAATGCTGTTAGACAAATCTAGAACTCCGTGTAGGGCCATCAAAATTATTATTCTTCAATCGTCCCTGACCTTCGCTTAAGGGCCAGCCACATGCCATCCTTAGGTTTAAGAGATCCTGCATTTTGAAATTCCATTGGGATCATTGTTCTCTTGGAGGGTTGGATGTCAAAATTATGGACGAGTTGGGCAATCGCAAGTTTAACTTCTGTCAAGGCGAATCTCATTCCTGTTCAAAAAATAAATTATGTGGTAGATAATTATTTAGTTGAGTTGTACATATGTAATTGTGACTCGTTACCAATGCAATTTCTCGGTCCTTGGCCAAACGGCAGGAAAGTATACGTATTAATTTTTCCCTTGTTCTCTGCCGAAAATCGTTCCGGATCAAACTTTTCAGGTTCGGGATAGTATCTCTCGTCGTGATGAATTTCCATGATCGGAACAAGTATTGCGCTTCCTTTCTTGATTAAGGTATCCGTCCCAGGAAGTAAGTAGTCTTGAGTGCAAGCTCGATCCGTAATGGGCGCTGGAGGGTAAAACCTGAGCGTTTCTGTGGACATATTTTTTCATAATTATTCTTTTGTAATATGCCCTATTTCCTAAACCAACGTCAATAAAAAATACGTCCTCACCATTAATCACCATGTCCAGATATGTCATTCTATGTATCGAATCGTACGTGAAATCGCCATCATTTTCTTCCAAAACGGTCTCCACCTCTTTTCTCAACTTATCCTGAATTTCTGGATAAATTGCGAGAGAATATGCACAAAAAAGTAAGAGCGACTGAGTCGTATCGAATCCGGCCAGAATGAAGAGAACACAATTCGACACGATGCCATCGTCGTCCAACATTTCGGAAATTTTACCACTGACCTCGCCCTTGATGATGGCGTCCTTCTCAAAATTGGACATTTCTTCCTCCTCCGTCTTCAAGTTATCCTCCCTCGCCTCCAACATCAACTGGATGAAATCGTTTCCCTTCTGCCCCGTCGTGTTCCTCTCTTTAATCGAGGATTTTATTGCCCCTGCGAAAAATTGGTGCATGTCCTCCCCAAACATTGTAACGCTCATCAATTTAGCCAACCTTGGAAATGCGAAGAGAACCGTAAATCGCAAAAAATTCTTGGCGCTGAACGTAAACTGCAATTTCTTTCCCATCTGTTCGAAAATTGAAGGTTCCGCTTGATCAAAGGCTTGAGAGTTCATGCCTATTATTTATTTTAAATATTTAAAACATTCAAAAAGCAGTCACAATTAAAAGTAAATTATTAAAATTTACCACAAACAGCGGACGCAATTGTGTCCATTGTAAATTTTGAGTATCCGTCTCCCAGGTCGATTTCGCCATGGGGCGAATCCTTCATCAGTTTGTCGACGTATTTGACGAGCTTCTTGGCACTGTCGCTGAACAGGGGGAAGAGGCGCTTAATCTTTCCCGTGGTGAAGGTAGGGCTCAACTTTGACCGCAATCCCTTCCATTTTTCGTCATTCACAAATATGAGCATTTTTGTGACCAGAACGTCGTTCTCTGGCAATTTGAAGCGTCGGTTGACAAAGTGGTCGAAATCTTTGACAAAGATGTACTTCAACATTTCCGGGTCGATCACCATGTAATTCACGACGCCATTCACCTCCACATTTCCAGCGACAGTTGTTTGTGCTTCTCTCATCTGTTGATAGTTTACTTGCAGAAGATCAAACATGGATTTTTTCTTGTAGTAGAGGAAGTAAAGAGCGTTTCCAAGAACATCGCCCAGATAAAGGATTTTCTTAGAACGGAAAAACAGGACATTGCGGACACTGGAGTAGACCAGGTACGAGATGAGGAAGATTACGAGATAGAAAAAGATCCAGAGAATACTTGTGATGGCAATCATTTTTGCTGAAGTGCATGAAAAATGATTAATTAGATACATGAAAAATTGTAATTTGACAATGTTTGCTTACATAAATGTCAGGTAAACAGCGATAACAAGAGTAATTTGCACAGAACTTTGCAAGAATTATGACCACAACAATGCAATAAGTGTATTTTATTATATTTGCAAAATAAGCAATAGAATTTTTGGGAAGATTGCAAAATTAATAAAATTATTTTTGCTGGAAGCCAATTTCACTGGTATTATACTACGTATGATTTTAAGTAGCACCGACAGAGTGTGAATATCTGTATTTACATCTCATGATCAACTAAATATGTGCATATACTATAGTATATATATATACTTACTACTTACTTGCATACATTGAAGTAAACTGATGTAATAACATAGTCAATAGTAAATGTCCAGCTTTGTTGTTATGCAGTTAGCAAGTCCAGTTTGTCCTACCCTCCAGCCTCAATTGCTATTCTGTATGAAATATGTATAGCACAGCATTTACATCAGCATCAGCAAAAAATCAGTCATGGTCATGAGTTGCGAAGCAGCAAAAACTAATAAATAAGTATATGCAAGCATCATGAGAGAATTGGCGACTAAAGCAACTAGTTGAAAACGTCATTTCAACAAATTACTCTGTTTTTGGTATGACTTGGTTTTGTGAGAAAACAAGTAAATTAAGAAGTGAAGCGTAGAAACTATATGTAGAATTGCATCAAGTTATTTCATGAATGATTTTTTGCTAACCATGAGAAAAATGAGACACGTAAAATAATATTGTATGAATATTCTTCAGCTTATTAAATTTGTCTTTGTCGAATTGAAACTTGATATCAAATTGTATCCTAGCAAAAAGGAAATATTTAATAAGTACTTTAACTTCGGCGTACTGGCGTGCACGAAAAAACCGTATCAGAACTTATGAATGATACTTTAAATTACTAACGTTTTATTTTCAGTTTATGCTATTTACATATCAATAAGTCCAGTTTTTTTTTATGCGAATTTTTTCAACGAGTAATTGTAAATTGATAGGCACAATTGCGTACTTCATTGTTATGCACACGGATAAGGAATTTATCCTACGTATTTTACAGCTAAGCAATTTTGTTTTGAGAAGTAAAGTCAAATTTTACATAGTAAAAAGTTTTGTAGTTTAATAAATATCGCCAGCTTCTTGCATCATGATTTCAAATTCTTCTCCAGGTGGTAAGCAGTGATCATGCAACCAGCCTAACTTCACGGCAAGTGCGGCTAGAGATGTCGATGAAAAATGGGAGAGACAAATTTCCTCTGGATTTACACCATTAATTTGCTCTCGGACGGTAGCTTTTCGAGGAATTCCAGTCTCAGTGGGAAAATACCGTAGGAAATCAGGGTTCAAAAAGCAACCAAAGTCACTCTTGCTTTGCCAAGTCAGAATTTCGTTGATCCAATCGTTCCGGAGAAAGTTTGGATAGCCGGCCAGACTGCAGATGAAGACTGAGACAAAACAAAAAATATATTTATTTTAGTAAATGATAAGTTCTATAAAATAAAAAAAGAGTTTGTGTAACCGTATTCTGAAAAGAGGTCGCGTCCCCACGTTGGGTATTTATGATCAGCAAGAAATTCTGCTTCTTTCAACATCTTGCTGCAATACGTTTCCAAATTGTGCTCCGAATTGCGAAAATAGTCGGGATGTTTGAGTTGACAGGATTTCTAGGCGAGGTTTAAGTAATAATTATAAAAATTGAGGTAATAATGAGGAATCATGTATCTCACTATCAGTATGGTTGTAGCTCAGCAAATTATGTATAGGTATGTATGTAGGTTGTAAACTTGTAAAAAGAGTAAATATATGTTCGGTTTTTTTGGTTACAAACATCTGAATTAAGTAATTGCTTTAAGACATTGACGCACCTGATTAGCAAACACGAGGAAAAGCGCTTGATGTGCCAACATATATTGTGATTGTGGTTCAGGGTTCAAAATTGTCCGACGGCAAGGGTATGGGACATCACATTGAGTGACAAGGGCTGCGAAGCAGTAGCCGTTAAGGGAAGGCCAAATCCCGTCCAAATCCTCGCCAATTTTGGGCGTGGCTAAACTTTTTTGATGAAGGACATCAAGTGACGCCCAATTTGAAAACGATCGTGTAAAAAGTCCGCATGCATTTCCAATTTCTTTAACAGCTGCGATATTGAATGGTGCGAAAAGTTATAATTTTTGTAACATACTTGGTAAATTGGTTGGTAAAATAATTACCTTGATTGACTAACGCATCGTCACCAAGCGTGGTAATAGCCTTATCATTAATCTGCTCGATTAAATTAATTGTCCTATTCATGAGCGAAACGTGCAAATTTTGTCCTCTTCTTTTGAACACGTGCTGTAAAACACCTGAAAAAAATGGCACATTAAATTTTTTTTAATAATTTGTTACGCAAATTACACACCTTCCAAAACTTGCAACCCGATGGAATCACCCAATGTGGATATTTGAGAGATGTGGTTTTCATAATAGTTGACAGCACTTAAAACAGCGTCTGTCAAAAGTTTAGCTTGAGTGTGGGCATTTTTACACATTTCGTTGACAGATTGTGGAGTCCTCTCCTGCTCGCAAGTAGACAAGGTAATTTTATTTCAGATTTTAAATTCACTTAAACACAGTTATAAAATTTTCAATTGTATTTATTTACCACATTCGAGTTATTGGCTGTCACCAGTTCAGATGTCCAACTCTGCAACTTATCTTTAAGTGTTGGACCGTCGTGTAAAAGTGAGGAAGAACTTGTTTGAATGAAGAACGTACGAATAAATGCTGAACCGTGGCAGTTCTGAAAATCAAAAATAATATATAATATTTTTTTAATTAGCAAGTAATTCAAATCAGATACTTACTGAAATCAGGGTTAGAATAAACCCGAATGTGGTGAAATGTCTCATTTTGGTGTGAGTGTGACCGACGATGTCGTATCTTTCAAGTTGAGAATGGTAATGACGCTGGCAAGGGCATAATAAATAAAAGGGCTGAACATGTACATATTTATATCGACATGTAGCGTTATGCAGTGAATTAAGGGTATTGTTCTGTAACATAAAACGGGTAATCCTTTAAACTAGGATATTTATGTATACTTAAATAAATAGACGCATGGCAAGGCACGTACACTCTGGATGCTTTGATATTTTATAAGAACAAGTGAATCTTTTCACTCTGACTGTTCGCTTATGCATAAATATGTGTAGAAATATTTTAAAAATACATTTCCTGTCCTTTGCCTTTCACTTTTGTGCATCGTGCTAACGGTGATAAGCACAATTTGAAATATGACTTCTACCGCAGTCAGGATGGAATATAAGTACTTAGGTACATGCATATTTATATTCACTAGTATATTACTAGTGTCCTTAATGCAAGGCTCTATTTGGTGTCCCCTAGTCACTAGTCCATTTTACTTAATAACTGTAAATCTACATGAATAATATGTACTATAAACTATAGTCACTATAGTATAGTGGCGTCAGTGGCGAAGCAGAATTAATAAATTCGGACAGATTTTCATGTCTTTTATAATTCCACCTCCATTATTTCAGTTAATCTCATTTTCAATGTAAGCAAGAGCCTCTTGCCAAGAGGTGTAAATAGTTGACGGATAATTTTCGTTCTTCAAAACCCCAATGGTTCGCCTGACCAGCGATTTTCCTTTAGATCCATGCCAGCGATTGAGGTGGCGTATATGACACCATGCTAGACGCATATTCATAAGGTTGGGGCTAGAAAATGTACCTAACTAAACAAAAGGTTAAATGCTATTGATGTATCAATAAGGTTTTCGAAACCGTAGAAATTTTACTTAAAGGGTCCATGAAATGTTTGTTCTTGCCTTGTGTGTATAATGCATGGCTGTAGAATGTTATGCGTACATATTTATATGCATATGCATATTTCGACTATGTTGTCTTGAAAAAATATGTGAGGTCGTCTTAAAAAATAGGAGAAATTTCATGAAACAAATGGCGTTCAGAAATATAATATGGTATATGTATATATATTTCCTCAGTTATATAATTCCAGGTTTGCATGAAAAAATTTTATAGTAAAATCATAGAAGTAAAAGTTTTACTTCTGATTTTACAGAACGAGACAACTTTTTTTGGCACGAAACATCTGCTCTTCTTGAACGTCAAAGAGTAAATAAAAACAAAGCTGGATTCTCAGCGAGAATTTCTCACCTGATTCATGCTTATTAATTTAAATTAAATTTTTTAACTGAACAGCAACTCTCGAACTTACCATATTTCGTATAAGCCTATAATTTACTAGGTATTACATACTATTTAAACGTATATTACTATTACTATTAATAATATGCACTAGTTAAACTAAATCAGTTAAACTAATTTAGTTTGTAGTTTACTACCTGTCTAAAATTTAAAATCTTTTCAGCAGAAATATAAATATCAATTAATCACATTGTTTTTTTGTAGACTTACACAATCGACATGTCCAACGAACTCTGCCTTCTTTGTTTGCAAGGAGTGGACAAGGACGAGAGCGCAGCAAAATCCGTCCAAAAATTCAAAGTCGAAACCCTCTGCAAACTGTTGGCACCTTGCCATCCAAATTACAAACCTTTTCATAATCAATTCGAATTGGAAGGGGATGAGATGTATCAGTTTTGCGATGTTTGTTACCCTCTGGTCAGCACAATAGACGAAATTAAGAACCAAATTCAACTGCTGGAGGAAGAAATTGGATCGAAAGTTAAGCAAATTCAGGCCACAATTTTGGACGCTTCCTCCCCGCTGCAAAATAATGAGGATAATGGAAGAGAGAAAATTATACAAATTCGTAACATGATTCTGCGTGTGACAGGTTAGATATTTTAAATTCCATTAATTAGGGACAAAGCGTTACATATTCTTGTCCTCATTAGGAGAGAATGCGGAACATCAAGATGACAGTTTTGTACCAGACGAAGTACAAGTCAAAGTGGAGGATGTCAATGTGGATGATCAATTCTTAGATGACGACTTTAATTCCTACTCCCTGCCAAGTGTCGAAAAACCAAAGGAGGAAGAGACTGACGATTTATTTGACGATGGGGACGATGTCGACACTACTTTTTGTATTATTCCCTGTTCACAAAAGAAGCTAAGGGGGAGACCTAAATCATCTATTAAGAAGCCACTACTACGGTATTATATTAAAGTTAATGTATGTATGTATGTATTGGGCATGTTCACGTCAAGCAGTGAGTTTAGCTACACTGTGCTGCAGCAAATTAAGAGAATCACTTAATTTTATTAATATCTCTTTAAAGCGATATTCATTTCTGTGAAATTTGTAAACGTATCTATAAAATCCATTCAAATCGTCACCTAATTACCACAAGTTCTTTTTACGATTATTTTTTGTATTTACATCTCATGGATATTCTTTACAGGAAACGAAAAAACGAGGATTCCTCCGCAGCAAAAATATTGTCTAGAACTAAAAAAAACTCGAAACGGATCAAAGAGTCTCCTCGACCACCAAGTCTGCAAACGACACGGTCCTCGCCTCGCGTCAAGCAGCAAACCGCTCCACTCAAAGACGTCAAAACTCTTGTAGTTTCGCTGAAAAGAATTGGCTCCACAATTACAAAATCCACAGCAAGATCGAATTCTGCTTCATCGTCAGATGAGGATACAAAATCTAAACCTGGCGACGACAAAGATTGGGCTCCGAGAAATGAGGGTGATGACTACATCGAGACTTCTGACGAAGAAACTGAAGACGCAAAGGACGCTATCCTCTCCCACAAGTGTGGATCGTGTACCAAATCTTTCACCACTGAATCTATCCTTAATCGGCATGTGGCAAGACTCCACAGTGTCGCTTGCACCGAGCCATCATGCAACGCCAGATTTCGTACCAAGAAAGCGAGGGACTCCCACATGAAGCGTGTCCATGAAGGCATCGCCCCTTATCAGTGCCGACTTTGCGGGAATAAATTCCTTCGCCAAGGCACGCTCGCTGCGCATATGGTGATTCGCCACGAAGAAGGGGAGAAGAAATTCTCTTGCGTCAAATGCAATAAGAGCTTCTGCCTCGAGGAAAACTTTCAGAGACATTTGAAACTACACGACTTCGAGGCAATCAAACCGTTAGTTTGTGACCTGTGCGATGACCGATTTGAAAACGAAGTCCGTTTACAAAGACATTTAGCAACACTAACACACAATACACGCTCCTTCAAATGTAATATTTGTGCCAAGGGGTGCGGAAGTAGGGTGGCACTGGAAAGGTACTAAGTTGTACGTGTATTATTTTAAACTACTACAAAAACCATCTCTTACTTGGTTTAATTATAAGTCTCATTCTCTGTTCCAGGCATATGCGTAGTCATACTAAGGAAAAGCCGGAAAAATGCCCCCATTGTGACGCTACCTGGGCCGATAAGACAACCCTGCAACGGCACATCTTACGTTCCCACTCATCAGCGTCCGCAGCAAATATTTGTCACATTTGTGGGAAAGGATTTTATCTTCCCTATGATCTTAAGATCCACCTCGATCGTCACGATGGCAAATATGTGGTCAAATGCGACACTTGTGGGGACACTTTTGTAGACCCCGTTACACTACAATCCCATCGTATTAGGTTGCACGGCGAGGACCCCTTCGTTTGTGATGAATGGTAATTCGATTTTTTTAAATAAATAAATTTGTTAATATTAATAGTAGATATTTTAAAAACAATTAGTGGTGCCAGATTTACGTCTATGGGAGCATTAAAATCACACAAGAAGATCCATGAGGGAGACAAGAAGCATAAATGTCTAGTAAGGCTACCAATTCCTAACAATATTTTTGCAAAATTTCGTAAAAGCCAGACTTAACGCCTATAACGAATCATTTCCAGGGTCCTGAAATTTACTTAATTCTCTAAATTTGATTTGTCCATAGACTTGCGGCGCCAGTTTTCTTCGCATGACGGAACTTACAAGTCACATGCGAACCCACAGCGGGGAGCGACCATTCCCTTGCCCCCACTGCGAGAAAGCGTTCAAGACCAAAAAATATTTGACCAATCACGTGAATGGTATCCACACTCCAGGCTACGTCGTCCCCACTCCCCACAAGTGCCCGCATTGTAGTAAAGGATTTCAATATCCTTTCGTTCTGGAGGGTCACATCCGCGCAGTTCACACGGGAGAACAGCCCTTCACTTGTGACCAGTGCGGAAAGGGATTCGCCGTCAAGTCAACGTTAACTCTGCATCTGAAAGGAACCCATGGCGTCGTTTTGGAGACGAAAGACAGGCTGCCAAGATCAAAAAAGGATGCGTTTCATGAAGAAGAGGAATTAAATGCTTAAATTTTAAATCATTGGATATTACAAGTATTGCATACCTCGTGCATACGTAAGTATGCACTTCGTTATTTATGCGTACATGTTTGTATGTAAATATTTATGTATTGATGCATTGCTTAAGAATATGTGCAAATACGATAAATGAACATGACACATGGAAGCTGATAAATTAATTTCAAATGAAAATTTTGGTTGAACATATTCAAACGAAACCCGTGAGTTTTTGTAACTTGTATTATTTTTATTTTTATAACTTTTTAAATAATTAGACCGCTATAATTCATAGGCTCTCAAGACAAGAAACGTAATTTTACACGATATGCATATGTACTCATCCTCAGGTAATGTGCATAAATATGTATTTCATTAAATAAATTATTTGAAACTAAATATCTGTATACGACATATCTGCTAAAAGTGTATATATATTTGCCATGCAATTTTCGCCATTCCTTTTAATTTCTATCTCTCGTTAGCAACAACGTAGCCGTGGAGTCAGTAACCCTGGCGAAATAATTCAGAAAATATTGCATTCCAATCCCATTCTTTAACGTTTCCACAGTCTCAAGAAATTCCAAATTGATTGTATTCGGCAAGAGGCAATTCAACATTTTCCGCCTATACTTGTTCCCCCCATGTTCCACCCGCATCCGCTGAATGAACTCTTTTGACCTCACCCCTGAAAGAGCGACCCAGTACACCGCATACCATTCCACAGCCACAGGAACTATTAGAATTGGCAAGCATCCAAGAATGACAAACGGCGAAGGAGGATTTCCGTCAATAATCTCTTCCATTAGATAAAAAAGTCCTGCCGTTGAAACCCCCACGCTGTTGATGTGGTGTAGACACGGTAATATCAAGCCACGGATGGCTTCACCTTGAACCTTGGTCATCACCTTGAGGTTGAAATAGATTCGGACTGCTGTGTCGAAATTCATCCCAGAGCGAAGTTTGAACTTTCCCTTCGACAATTCTGGGACGAGCAAGGATGTCCACGTCAAGAGAAAAACGATGCTGTAACTGACGAAAAGGGTGCACACTCCCACCGTAGAAAATACCATATTTGCCACGACGGTCGACACTGATCCGATGGTGATACGTGCGAAATATTTTACCAGTTTTCCATACTGCTCAAAATCGTGGATCGCTCGAAGCAAGGTGTAGTTCGGGTTGGATGAGGATAACCCGACGATACAGGACATGACTGGGCCCAACTTGAAGCACAAGGTGTGGAAGGTATTGGTTGTTTTTGTAATGATGAAAATTAGTTTAGTTACTTCAGTCCCTCTGGGGCTGCGAGGGTCGGGAAGTAGACCTGAATTTATTTGAAATTATAAATTTATTCGACAATAACTTGAAAAAATGTGCACAACAACGTGTCCAATAATGTAGTGATATTACATTATTTAATACAAATATTTCTGAAGGTTTATACACATACATATTACTTAAGAAATATAAATATTTAACCACCTACTCTCAAGCCTCCTATCAAGCATAATCATGGATTCATAGCTTTGCAGAAATTTGTCCAAGGCAGCCGGTCTAAAGAAACTGTATCCAAACAGCACGAAGGACATTATTTGGAATGTCGCATAGTATGAGAGGGGTATGGTTAATTTGTCCTCTACACTCGTAGTGTGGATATGATAACACCTTGCGAGAAAGACGGGAAAGGCGATAAGGGCCGTGGATATGTAGAATTGTTGAAAGAGGCGATATTGCCATTCGGTCCCTTCAAATCGTTTGATTTCTTTCGCCTTGGCGTCCCAGTACATGTAGTACGTCGTGTAGAGAGAACTTCGCTGCGTTGCTTTCACAGCGTCACGAAAACTTTGAGACATTAGTTTCCCCAGCATTTTTTCATTATGAGTGCAGTCCCATCATGAAAGTCGTAGTGAGAAATTTCGACAGGACAGTCGATGATTGACTGTCGATCACATATATAACGCTATTTACTTACTTGCAATTGCATAATGTGAAGGATGAACAATTTTCTTTGTATACTAATTATGTTTAATCCGATGAATTTGGATTGCATATTTATGTGCATAGACACATCTAATATCTAATTCACGTTCTATGTACATACATAATTGCAATGTAACCTGTAATATTTGTCTGCCTATCTGTTAGCTATGTATGTATGTACATATGTACAAAACGATTCACAATTAGAGGTATTCTGCATAACAGTCTGACATATTATGTGAGTAATTTTTAAAATACTAAAGTGCAAATTATCAAAATTCGAAGTGATTTGACATGAATTTTAAAGACATTTCTAAAGTAAAATTGTCCTAACCATATTTTTATATACAGTAATATAAATACATACACGTATGCACTATGCAGGTGATGGTGGATGGTTAAATTTTGAAAGTCAGGGCTGCTTGTCGTACCGTCTGTCGATTAACGACAACGACAGTATTTCAACTGCAACATTTCGTAAAGTATTCAACAATTATAATTAATTCCAGCGTTTTCAAATATTTCTTCAGCTCATCGTCAACAATTATGCGTATAAAATATTTAATTTTTCAGCAACAGACATCTAAATTAAAAAAATTAAATGTATATGTAAGCAAATCGTAACAGGAATTTAATAAATCCTTCCACAATTCCGTCCATCCTTCACATTACACACAAGTCATACAAAGTGTTAAGCACGATGGATGTAAGTATGAGGTCAACTGAAGCAATACTTTGACCGTTTCAGCTGCATCATTTCCTGTCGTGTCTAGAGAAGCTGTTGCATATACGTAGGTGTTTTATTATTGATTTTCAAAAGGTATGTTCCGCACTGTTTGTGACCAAACTTTTGATGAAATAACAAACTTCGAATACATCTAGGAGGTTGTGATTTTTTTCAGTTCTGTAGGTTAACATGAACACTAGAAATAAATCAGCAAACTTTACCTCGACGGAAAAAATGTCAGATTTGCAAATTAAATATCGTAGCGTGATTTAATTTTTAATGCTGGAGGGGCAATACGTGTCGCAGATTTATGATCGAATGCTTAAAATTTACGATGAAAACTGCCCAACACAAAACACAAATTCAATTGCGTCAATAATTTCAAATGATGGCGAAAAAAAGTCTCGGACAAAAAGCCGCTAGAACGCCCAAAATCTGTTTCTCCCACAGAAAGGCTCCGGAAACTAGAGGAACCAATAATGAGAGATCCGCGATTGAAACTGCCCTATTTAGCAGATGAGATGGGTGTTCCAAAACCAACAATTTGTTCCATGTTAACTGAAGTCTTCGGTATGAAAATGGCTTCCTCCCGTTGGGTACCAAAATTGCTTTCGGCATCTCAAAAACAGGATCGAGTCGACTTTTGGAATGAAACTTTTGCCCTTTCAAATGAAACCTGGAACTTGATTTATATTTTAATAGTTGGATATGATACTTGGGTTTACTATTATGACCCGGAGACCAAATAATAATTCACACAATGGAAGCACGGGGGGTCGCCACCGCCCATGAAAGCAAAAGTGCAAAAACCTGCCAAAAAATTGATGATTCCCATTTTCAAGGATACCAAAGGTCCCCTCCTTATTACATTTATTGGTAAAAATACTATGATAAATGGGGCAGCCTATGCAGGAATTTCGAAGGAGCTGTGTGCTGTGGTTGAAGAAAAACGTGGGGTCAAAAAAAAGAGTTGGTGCATTTTTAGCACGCCTAAGCGCCACCTCATACCTGGCTTTTGGGAGGGCTGCTGCAGACGGAAATCGCTTCACCTAGATAAACCACCTCCTGTACAGTCCAGACATGACCCTTGGTGATTATTATTCGTTTCGAAACTTAAAGAAAGACATCAGGGGGAAACGGTTTTCTGATGATAACGAAATCAAGTCGTAAATTTTGGCATATTTTCGAGGTAAATTTTGATGAGCTATTGCTAGTGTTAATGTTAACCTACAGAACTGAAAAAAATCACAGCATCCTAAATGTATTTGAAGTTTATTATTTCATCAAAAGTTTGGTCAGAAACAGTGCGGAACATACCTTTTGAAAATCAATAATAAAACACCCACGTATACATGCACAAGAAATTCATCGATTAAGACTAACCAACTAATTTCTTACACCGTAACAGTCTCATCTCCTCATTATTAAATTTTTTCATCGCATTTGCAATGAAAATCGGTCACGTCCAGTTTTGGAATCCTAAATTTTTGAAACCTCAAATTTTATGCTTCCCTGCGATATGGCTCGTCAAAACCCTGTTTTACGTAAATAGCTTAATTTAGTAGTTTAAGCAGAATTTCCATGAAACACGTATGTTAAATACATCTCTAATATTACATACATTAAACGTCTTACAAAATGCATACTATAAGAAGTAAAATCTTTAAGCATGTTCATTCAATACTTACGTATGTAGGTAAATAAGACTTGTGATGCATGTATGTATGTATGTATGTATGTATATACAGTCAACATAGTACATATACACCCAGTTTCCATTAAATATCGTTAAACGTAATTGAAATTGGACTGAAAGCCTGTATGTACTTCATGCTATGAGAATACTGTAAATTAGTTATATCCTAGTGTGAGTTATTTGGTGAATAAAGGAGATAAAGTGAATCTCTTCGGAGAGAGACAAATCCTCTCATCACCATCTTCAACTAAAGATTAGACCACAATAGCTCATCTTGCACCTACACAATTTCGATAGATTAAGCAAAAAACAGCATAAAAATCTAATCATCACACTCAAAAGAACTGGGTTGAAATGAAATGGAAGGAATCATGATCTTGTATAAAATTTGTACAATAACCGAGGCGAATTTCGGGTGTTGTCGCATTGAACAAGAAATCGGGGTCGGTTTCTCAAATTGCATTTCATTTCAAAATTCAAGCCCTTCGAATCTGAAATTAAAAGGAAATTTTCACTCCACGTACACAACATGACACAAATCAAATGTCAAGAGTAAATTTTTGCCCCACTGTGATGCCCAGGTATATAATTATTTATTCTTAACACAAAATTCTTAAAATATTGTCCTTAAAGGCACATAAATACATACATAGTATGATGTCTTCCGCTTCTTGAGACGGCTGACATGACCAAAAAGTGAGATAGGAACCTTCAACCGACTTTAGGCAAGCTTAAGGCAAAAATAAACTTATCCATAATACAACTATGAAATAAATACATACATATTAAGTACATTCAGCTCCAAATCTACTTGTCAAATTCCTATCAAACACTACATATGCAAATGATCCCACATCACATCTAACATATTGAAAGCAATGCAAATTAGATTATTTAGATAAGTAAATAGTGGGAACATTTGCATGTGCCCCAATGTACGTAGCCCTTGTTAATTGAGGAACACAGCACCCAAATTTTTCAATATGAATTTTCTACAATTAGGAATAATAAATAATTACTACAAATCACTATGCATACGTAATACATACGCATTCATAAGGCTCTCCACTAATTTCTTTAAATATTGCACATGATTATGTTTTATGACTATGTATTCTTTAATTTCTATGAAACCCAAGATACACCAGGAAATCCGAGTTTGTCCTTCCACCACTTCTTCTTATTCTGTAGGTGTACCTTTTTCCGTGTTTTTGGCAACAAGGCCGACATGGTGACATTCTGAGAAACCCACCACCATTTCCGCTTCCGGTTGAAAAGGTCTTGTTCAGGATCTTTAATGACAAATATTATTTGTTGCATTTGCATATAAAAAATTAGCTGATTAGCTATGCAGCACTCACCTTCCCTGTTTTCAATCTCATCTCTCCTCACAACATCATCCCTCCTGCTACTGATTAGGCCAAGTCTTTGCAATCCAAGCCTTAAATATTGGCACTTTGCAAAACAAATCGCACCTAATCCATTGATCGCAAAAAATGCGGATTCGGGACCTAAATCAAACCCAACAAGGGCTGCAAGAGCTCCAAAGCCTGAGAGGATGGTTGCACAACCGAAGACACAGAGACCTCCTCCCACCACACTGGCGTCGTCCCCAACAGACACACCCCCACCACCAGCGGACATTTTCAGAAAACTAGATGGCTTATTGGTTAAATGTTTGGCAAATTGTTCGCATGTTTTTTACCCAAGAAAAACAACTATGCTATTTATGCATTCCTTTCCGTGTGAAGGGTGGATTTCAACTGATGAGACAAAATCGAAAATAAAAGCAGAAGCCACAAGTACATATTTTCCAATCCTAGATTAATTACCGTATCCGATCGCCCCTCACTGCACCCAACGCGACGAAAAAGTTAATGATACCAAAGTGATCTCAATCTGTCGCCTTCCGATCCGTTTGTGATGCATCATCATCATCTCACACCGTAACTAATCGACCTGCACGCATAGAAAAGTGGATACAAAGATGCAGACCATTGTACTCTACATACATACAAAAATATATGTAAAAAGAGTAAACTTGAGAGTCCTACAGACACATTAAGGTAATTGTTAACTAAATTTTTCCAATAATTAATATTTTAAACGAAACGCTGGACGAATTTTTGGACCAAATTGACAAATTAATTAAACTCTAGCTTCACTTCTTTCAGCCGTTTAACACCTTCAGTGAGAAACTATGCATATTAAATTTCGACCAGTAAGTTGTACGTACTAAATATGTTGCATACATAATGGATTATATGAACACACTTGCCAAAAACTTTTAATTAAGGCAATATAAATCACAGTGGAAAATACTTCTTTTACATTCGCATACTTGAGGAATACTGAAAAATACATGTAGAAAAATAAATTACTTGCTAAGGAGAATCATTATAAAATCAATAAACGAATCGTATTCGAATTTTTATACAAAAAATGGAGTAAAATTAGAATGACCAAATCCCTAGATTTAATCGGATTCAAAACCTTCCATAGATATAATTGGCGGAACACATTGGGACTTTAGGACTGTGTACTAAGTGTACTTTCTTCCTCTTGCTCTTCTCCTTGTGCTCCTTCTTTCGTACACACTAGCTTATGATACTTCCAGTCCCGACGTTGACAATAAGCACTACAATAACCGACCTTCCTGCAACCACCGCAACGAGAAACATCGCAAGATTCCTCTTCGACACCAACGTCATATCCTTCACCAGGAGGGCGTACTTTGATTTGGATTGGATGGATACCATCAATTAGTCCGCAATGGGCGCAGATTCGGTTGCTTATATACTTCACAAGAAGACGTTTTAGCTCGAGGATAAATGCTTCGGCACCCTCTTTATACTTCTTCGAGTATTTCTTGACCCCCATGTGCACCAACGGTCCCTACAGGAAATGAGCACCATTAAATAAATTAAATTTAACTACGTTTAATTGAAATTAAAAAAATGTCATTGGCCTATCAAACTTACGGGATCCACCGTCCCAGGAAATTGTGCTTTGTATTCTTCCTCGCTGTTATACACGACGAGACTCCCTTTACATCCTTTGTACCCAAACACCCGCCCCGTCGGATCCACAATGTACACCGAGCCATCCGGCAGTACGGCGGAGATGACGTGGTGGCGAATCACCAAACGGTCCCCTGTCACAAAAGTTGCCATGTGCCTCTTCTTTACATACCGGTCAAAATTTACCACGGGGTCATCAGGTTCTGGATTATATTTTTCCGACTCAAAATTAACTCCCATAGATACACTGAAGATGTGGGTTGGAACCGTTTCCAAGATTGTGGCTCGCAAAGATGCAACTGGAACCTGAGCCACAAAATTGTCGATAAGTACTATGAATAACTGCATCATTAAATAATTTGCGTACCTTGTCACCCGTGGGAAGAACCCAATATTTGACCCCCGCTTTCTCCAGACGAGGCGCACTACCTAAAATCCCGGCAATAAGCGCTCTCGTCTTATCAATGAAAGTTATCGCCCAGTATACACTCTCTTTCAGATCGTTAGAAGCAATTGGCTGAACATTAGGTCCAGATACGGGGTCGTCTTTCATTAATTTTTCAACCGCTTCCTTAACCTTCCACGCTTCCATGAATGCGCGAATGTTCCTGAAATCATACACTTTCAGAGCTTCCACTTCATCTGGAGGGAGCAAAGGGATCAGTGGGTCGCCGTAACCGAGGCGAAATACGTCTTCAGTACAAATCTTGGTAGCTGTAAACGGCCTAATTTAGTTATCAAATTAATAAACTTACAAATTAATATATTTAAATAGTTTCAATCAGATAAACTTAGGTACAAATAAATCTCACTTGTATGCTGACTCTTTGTGCACATCTGAACTTTTTAGCGGCTTACTTCCTCCTGGTTCAACGTCGAGAAGAATATCGCCATTCTTGAACGCTGCACGGTTGCGCTCCAAGGAACGAATAGTTCCCATGTGTTGAATAGCTTGGGTGACACCGATTGCGCGGAGAATGTATTGAACGAGGTCCAAATCTTCCTCCATTTCCGGCAAGGTAAACTCCTTTGGGGGCGGTTCTTTCTTTTTCGATTTCTTCTTGCTCGATGATGATGGAGTCACCTCCTGTTTGGGTGGTAATGCTGTAGCCATATTAACTTGATCACCAGCTCAGTTATTCTAACAGATAAAAATTTACATAAAATTTAAAATAGACCTTTATGAATATATTAAGTTTGAATTGATCTTTAAAGAATTAGAACTGCTCAATATAAAATTGGCAGGCACTTTTATTAAATTTACTCTGCATTAGTACTGCTAATTCTAGTAGTCATTGCATATTATTTATTACGTACTTACATAACTCCTGTATTTTTATTTTTTATGAAGGTACAAATTCTAAATTTATTTATTACCTCAAGAAGAATTACAAGTTCTGACCAATTTCTTTAAACGTTTTATACAATTTGTACGTATTTTTAATTAAAGTAGATTTAAAATTTATAATTCACAAAGCACAAAAATAAAAAGCTCCACCAACCAGCACATCAGCACTAATCAGCAGACAAATAAACAAACAGACAAGACGAAGAAAGAAAAGAAAGACCGATTTCCCACCTGATGAGGTGCATCACCGCTGTTGAGATGATTCATCCATTACGTTGCAACAAAATTAGAATTTGCAAAGTGACATATTTGTTGTTTTCATTGTAGCCTAAACCTTTGCTGTAAAATTTACGGAATAAGTTCAGAAAAGACAATGAGTTGGTAACGTGATTGCTAAACAGCCCAAGCGGCATGAGACAAAGATCTCATCTCAGTCATCTCTCACCAATTTCAGAAGAAGAGGGAAGAATAATCCCGGCACCCGGGTGTCAGCTTTGACACCTCATACCTAGGCAAAAAATAACCTACTACTCTAATTACTGCCGATTAACGTAATCATCATCATGGAGGTCATGGAGGATGATGAGTATGAGGACTACGAGGACGACGAGGAACACCTTTCTGTGTTTTTACAAGGGACCGGAGGTCAGGCTGACTACTTGGAGGCGATTCCAACCAGTAATATTGGACTTCAGAAGCTTACAAGTAATTACTAATTATTAAACAGGAAAAATGAAGTTTATCTAGTTTGTTGAGTAATTAACACCCTATTTATTGTTTACATTTTAATATGTAGCTATCCACAACCGTGTCAAGAACCAGGGCACTTTTCTTGTAACTTCACACTATTCAACTTTGGCTAATGCCGTTGCTGGAGACCCCACACCTCCGCCAGAAGTTATCTTTGAAGCCGCACGGATTATTCATAAGGGATTAATCAAACTAAAAGAAGAAATTGGTGTGCACGGGGCTGAAGTCGACAAATTTAATCGAAAGGAAATCAATCGACTGCGGAGATCTTTAGCCGTTATGATATATCTTGTACATCGTGGATTAGGTGGGATGGACGCCCAAATTATCCTTCAATCAGGAAATATAGGAGGGAAGGGGAAGAGTGGAGTAAGTACATACTAGGATTTTAGTTGTCATTAAATTAGAAATTCTAATTTAGAATGCATTTGATGTTGCATTGCAATTTACAGAAAGCTACGGCTGCATTTAATGGAATCGAATACGCTTGCGGAATCAATTGGCGGAACCTACGATCGATGATTATGGAAGAATTGTTGGCAGTCTTGCAACTGCATGTGGAGAAAATATGGGACGACACTGGATATGGGTATAGTGTCCCAAGGTATTTAGCAATTTACAAGCGTTTTGATAAATTATTACTTTATTATAATTAAAAATTATTTTTTGTTGTTTAGAATGTTGATCCGTACCATGTGCAGGAACTTTAATGAAGTGCGCCTTGCAAATGAAAACTTACGAGCTGGAAATGAACCTTACAAAATTTTTGCAATTGTCGCTAAACGGTTCAATAAAGCGGCGGATGTGTACCAGCGATTATTTCCTGTAAAGTTTTACAATGCTGTTTGTTTCCGGTTTCCGTTTCACTTGATTATTTGGAGTTACTCTTTATCATTACAGCTTATGAAGTACGGAGAGGATGTTGGCAAACTGATTTCCAGATCTGTTGAGGTGATGGCAAATGACTATGAGATTGAAGATGCTGTAGTAAACGCATTTCAAACAATAATGATCATCGTGGAGACTTACATGGGAGAGTCGGACAAAAATTCGGTTTTGGCCGAGAAAGGTGCTGCACAAGTATTGGAAGATCTATGTGAACGAACACCAAAAGACGTGATTCAAAAGGCTAGATTATACTTGGTTCATTTGTTAAAAGTTGATGTAAGATACTTATGATTTACGTAATATTTTAATTTGAATTACGAATTCCAATTAGTTTTGCTTCCCTAAATTATTTATATTCATTTTATGTAGAGCGTTCCAATTAGGAATGCAGTAGTTCAAGGAAGTGCGACGCTTATGCGTTGGCTAAACCGTACCGATGGCGAAGGATTGGAAAATATTGGAAAGCTAAGAACACAAATCCTTAACGAGATTTTAGTTAAACATTGCCGTGACGTAAATTTCTTAATTAGATCTAAGGTACATTCAACTTTATTGACTGTTTGGTTTGATCTTGATTTTGTTACAATATATCAATCTAATTTTGTTAACTTGAATATCTTTTTAGTGCCTCCAAATTTTGGCCAAATTAATTGATGAAGGCATTTTAGAACCGATAGAAGTTGCAATTTGCATGAATGCTGCTATTGATCGAATGAATGACTCTACGACCTTAACTAGGAAATACTCAATGTTAATTGTCAACAATATCTTGGCCAAATTTCCTGGAATTTGCAGTGTGAGTTTGCCCTACTACTGCAAGCAATACACTATATACTCAATACTTTAACTTATGTACATATGTCGCTTATGCTAATCATTGCATAATTCATTTCAGACTGAAATAAATTATAAGAAAGAAGTGGATGATCACAGGAAACGGTTATTGGAGATAATGGCCAAAACATCTCCGCGTAAAAGTTATTATACGTGTGCAATTGTTCGAGAATTTACAGAACAAGTTCAAGTTGAAGAGATCCCTTTGCCCGAGATATATGACGCTGATGTTGAAGCAGTATGCAAAACTTGTTTATTTGACTAACACTTTATTTGCTCTTTTAAATATAAATACTGTTTATTTTTACCTACACTTTCCGTTCAGGGAATGACTAAAGTACGCCCGTTAATTGCTGGCCTTGTTAAAGAAGATAAATATTGGGATGCTTGTCTTATCCTCTATCATTGCTTTCAAAGATATGGGAACAATGTCGGAATTGCGTGAGTGCTGATAAATTAAATTCAAAGTTCAATCAAGCTATTCTGATTATGACACTGTTTTCTTAGCGAGGCTGGAGTAACTTCCGCCAAGCCTGAGCTTTACTTGGGATTTTTTAATAAGGTTACTACAGGAAGTGAGAGCTCCACAGATTTTGCAACACAAAGCCATAGGTCAATTTTGGAATGTTCACTTGATCTATCAAAGTCAATGACAGCTCATGAAGGTGAATTAATGGAAAATGAAGAAGTTATTATTGAACGGAAAATACTTCAGTTTTCGCAGGTACATATAAATAGTTTGGGTACAAATCAGACGACTGCTTGATAGTTGATCCATGCAATTATTTTTATAAAAAGAATACATACAACATATATGAATGCATTATATATATAATTTTAAATTATTTATTTTTCAGGGCTGCTTGAGGATGAAAGAAAAATTGAATAGTTTGGTCGAAAAATTGACCCTTCTATTACAAATTGGCCAACCAAATGACCGGACAAAAGTTATCGGCACTATCCGAGAATTGGTTCGATCTGGATATCCAGTAAACGAGAAGATTACTGGCCCTGTTGTTCAAGCTATTGCGATGCTAGCTAAAAATTCTGCTGGCGCTTTGGCCCCTGCATTCTGGAGCATTTTTATTGGAGACCAAGGAATTGGGTACTTTAGTAAAACAAAAAAAAACATCATCACAAATAAGAAACGTTATTTATTTTCTTCAATTTTAAATTCTTTTTTTATAGAAACGTCCAAATGGTCCGCAACATTTTCAAAATTCTTGACTCTGTTGATGCTGCCACTAAGAATCTTCTCAAGCCAATAATCGGTGAAATGTACGCAGTTGGGTCCCTTTCAGAACAGGCTGTACGAATTCTGTGGGACGCGTTCAATCGTGCTTATGACTCATGGTCTGCACATGATGCTAAAAATGCTATCTTTGTTCTTGGTGCAATTGGAAAGTACGTCTTAATAAGTATATGATATTACATAATAGAGTAATAATAATGAAAGTGTCCATGTAAAAACCTATTTTAAATCTAATTAATAGGTGTAACAAGGATGTGATTACGGCAAATTTAGGCTTTATTTTAAAAGCTGGACTTGGAGATGACGCTTTAAATGACTTTGGCCTGATTCGATACACTCTTGAAGCAATTTTGTTTAGTTTGAAGGCAACAAAGAAAGGAGAAAGCGATGTGCAAACCACTCATCGTCTGAGCAGGAACCATGCACTTTTTGACAGACTTGTGGAAATCCTTGTTTATGGAGTAAGCACAAAAGGAAATTGGGAAACTCATCAACACTTTCCTCGGGTTGCAGAACTTGCTGTGCAGATCATATATAAACTCTCGTGGGATCACATTCCATTTACTGACCAAATTTTGCGCAGAATTCCCCCCATTGTATTTGGAGAGACCAACGAAAATGAAGGTTTTTCTAACTTTGAAATTAAAGATACTGAAGAAATATATATTCGATACATGGCCATTATGACAGCTTTGTTGGGAACTCACATTAACTACTGTGAAACGGTTGCCATCCCAGAAATCAAACGACGGAAGGCGGTTGACACAAGTGTGGTGTTAGAGGATGCCATGTCGAAATCTGACCTTGACAATGTTTCTACGACATGCAATTCAACTCTAGGTGGTCACTCTTCCTTAAAGCTAAATGCGACTAATATCGCCCGTATTTCCGCAATAAACAATTCGTCAACAATAAGCCGTGCCCGAAGGCGAAGACCCAAATCTACTTCGTCATTCTCGACTACCGGGAGTACTACTGGAGTGCTATCGGAAATTGAGGCCGTCATAGGAAAATCTGCATTTGATGGTGATGTCGACATTGTCAAGTCGTACATTGAAAAACTGTTGGACCGTGGAACGTTTCACCAGTTGCGCCACATCACTCTATACTTTTGCCAAAATATTACAACTATTAAACACCGAAAATTGAAGATATCAATTGTTAACTCTATCGCGAAGCTTATGTTGGTCAGTGCAGAATCCGTGGCAAAGCTTATCGAGCCATTTATCAACTTGTGGACCATCGTGGACGATGACCTAGTCAAGGTTGAAATGCTTAAACATATTACGGCTTTAAATGTCAGATTTCCTAACCAGGTACAAATTTTATTAACTAACAAAATGTGATGTAAATATGCATATAGCTGACAATTTGTTTTGTTGTACAACAGATGGAACCATGCAATATGATAATCAAGAGCGGATTAATGAGCGGCAGCACTCACATCAAAATGGCATGTTTGGATTTCATGGGATATCTGGCATTGGGAGACATGGTGAAAATTCGAGATAGTATTGCAGAAGTCGCTTTATGTCTAACCTCAGAAAAATTGGTTATACGAGAATTGGCTCGAGATTTCTTTGACGTCTGCGCCGAAAAGAATAATGTTATCAGCAACGCCATACCGGAAGTTATCTCACAGTTATCAAATCGTGACGGCCTTTCACAGCAAGACTTTCAAGGCATTATGAAATTTCTTCTAGTTCGTGTCAAGAAGGAAAAACAAGTTGTTGGTCTCGTTGAAACACTGGTGAACCGTTTTAAAGGATCAGCTCAAAATGGACGCTTATGGGAAGACAATGCTTGTTGTTTGTCGCAGCTTCCTCAGGGGGAGAAGACCTTCAAAATTATTCGCGATAATTTACGCTTGTACACTGACAAATTAGAGAATGAAGTTGTGTACACTTCGTTTGTTCATATAATTGGAATTTTACGACGTGTCAATTTGAAGCCTGGTGTTAAGGTGAATGCAATATAAATAATTTTCTTTTTACTATGACTTTTTTTAATTAGATTTGTATTAATAACTAGTTTTTACTTAATTTCAGACAAAAGTCGAGGATTATGAGCGAGAGTTGAAGGAGCTGCGTGAAAAATGCTTGAAAAAGAATTATGTTGCTAAAGCTAAGAACCGTCAAGAAGGGAAAAACAACAAACAATCTGAAAATCAAGACGCTTCAAGCTTAATTAGTTTGTTCAAGGAGCCGGATGGAAATGGTATCGATAAGGGCGGCCAAGATGAAAATACTGACGATTCGGATGACGAAGATTCTTGAATAGACAATTTGAATAGACGATTTATTAATACTTTTAATTTGACCTCAACGTTTATTAATGTACGTACCTGTACTATTAAGTTGATTTTGTTACATTTCAATGTAAACTTTTTTGAGTAGTTTCCCATGCATAGTATATACGAAAATAACGTTACATGTAGATTTAGAACCAATTTAAAAAAATAACTCGATACTTTTTTCTAATTCAACGCTTGCCAGTGACTTATTTATTGAGTTTGACTTTCACTCTTATTACCGACTCTGAATCTCCGGCATTCTAAATTATGTTATAATCTGCAATGTGAAATATAGTGTTTTTTCACTTTTTTTAAACATATTTGATTTTTATATCCGAGATGTTGCATTCATTCCGAATGCATGTTATCACGTGTGCCACATACATATACCCGTGAGTTGAATAAAGATTTTAACAACTATTTAAATACTGAGCACTTTGAAATTGGTCAGTGTCGATTTGTTTGCACATTGCAATTGTTGAGAATTAAATTTTATATACGCCATCCCAAATCTATTCATACATATGTACAATATATTTCTACATACATACATACAGAGTTTTAAAAGAATAAAAAAACAAGTTCGTTCCAATTGTTTTGCATACCTAGATATGTACCGTTCTAAGCTCTGGATCGGAGGTCATTATATAAATCAGCTTATTAAAATATGGCTTTCGTGCTATTCATCCTCGCATATCGCCCTTATCAGTTCTACCAACAAATACAATTAATGCTCCAAATTTTACATTACACACGTATACATATGTGTAATAGTATGCAAAATTTACAATAAACGTAAATATCCATGTTTAAATGAATAAATTTTCTCTCACTATCATGAGGTGGCTTTCAATGTAATACCCTTTTCTCACAACGGTTGATAACGTTTCCAATTAAACCCCTCCGAATCCCACCAGGTTTTCCCATGATGAACGTACGTTCAACTATGAAGACAAGTACATATCTATTGATGACAGAAAACATAGAATGAAAAAAAATTTGCAAAAAGTGCAAAAATTGTTACTGCGATAACGGAGAATCGAACTCCGATCGGCTGTGTGGAAAACAGCCATGCTAACCATTACACCATTATCGCATACGGTTGAAATATTGCCCTATTTTTCTCCCTCTTATTCTGCACATGCAAACCTATGGTTAAGCCCCTCGTGCAATAAAGTCGGTCACACGATTCAACTCGATTCGCTTCACCACAATTGTTTGTCTTTTTCTCGTAAACCTATGCATCAAGATATTTTAGTTATAATCTGCATGTTTGCAGTTTTCAGATAAATAGTGTCATTAATGGGCCCACATCAATTTTTAAGAAAAAGTTTTTCATGGAAATGACACGATAATTTAATGCAATGATTTTACATATGTATGTAATTCATACGTTCGTTTATGTATGTACAGTTTATTCAGAGGCACAAAAATATTTTAAAGCTAAAAATTAAGCAAATTAGTATGAGGAGACGTCAGCCACTCCCTCAGGAGTGCCCAGGGCAGGGGAACGTGGACCCCTCTCCTCGTGCTGCCCCATGACTAGATTTTTTGACTAGATTTTGACTAGGTACTTACATATTTAACGTTAATATGTAAATTAATTTATGACTAGATATTTTTGACTAGACCCAGCCTAGGGAGGCCGGCTGGGTATGTGGAGCCCTTTGTTGGATGAGGGGTAGCAACCTCCCTTCCACCCCTGGGATTGGTGACCAAACGCGTAAATGGTCTCATCCCGCTCCACATTGCTACCCCCCATTCAACTTGTGGTGTATCCCATTGTTTTTTAAACTACACCTGGGAAGTATAGTCAGCCTTTTTTGGCAAAAAAATCTCCAATCTCGAACCTACTCTGAATCTGAACTGTACATACCCCACACATTATCCGGATCATTGTGATGATCATAATTGGGGTCAGTCGCCAATCTCTCTCGCCTTTCTCTTGTACTTTCTCTCACTTCCGGTTCCTCTTCATCGTCACTTTCCTCTTCAGCGTCACTTTCTTCTTCATCGTCACTTTCCTCCTCCGCGTCGCTTTGCACATCGTCTGGCAGTGGCGGGTATAATAGTGTAGTGTGGTAATTTATCTCCGAAATAAATTTATGCAACTGAATAATTTCTTCTCGAGTTAAGGGATTTTTCTTCTGTTTGTGTAATAAATATTTTACCCTTCTCCTTTTCTGTTCATCTGTTTCATAAGTCGTCAGTTTTGAGTGATTTTCGATAGCAATCTCTTGACCGAGACGTTGTGCATTTTTAATGGCTCGGAGTTCTTTTCTTTCGTCATTCGATAGGTATTTCTCACCTACTCTATACTTTAGATGGTTAAATCTTGCATACATTTTTTTACATTCTTACTCTTTCGATCCCAAGTTCGTTTTTTAGCTATCCGACTGGAATTCACATTATTATTTTTTCGAGCTACGTATTTCTGATAGTCGTTAGCTTTGAGATTGTCCTCATATCGTTTTTGGGTGAGTCTCTTGTATGAATTGAATTCGTCTTTCGACATGTCCTTGAGCGGTACTCCTTGGTTGCACATTTCTGATTTTCTTTCCTCTTCGGCTTCTTTTTCTTTTTCGACTGCATCTTTGTATCTCTGAGTAATATTTTTATCATTTGAATTGGGACATTTAGGTAAGTGGACATTTCTCATTGGAAACCCCCTACCACAAGATTTACATATTTCGGGTTTGACAAAAACAAGCGAGGGTGATCTGTTGTTATTTGGTCAGGACCTAATAGTTCTACGTCACATGCAATTCCTTTTGGAGTTTTAATTAATGCATGGTCAAGCATATTACCTGGATTCCCATTATGCAAATGTGTCCAAGGACGAGATCTTGCATTGACCCACAGCCGATTGAATGATTCAATGGAAAGGCCAGGAATTCTGTTTACCTGGAAAATGAGTTCTCCCATGAATGGTTTCGTTGGATGAATATTGAAGTCACCTCCTGCGACTAAAATTGCATCGCTTGGGGCTTTCAGAAGGTGGTCGATGGTTGCTCGTAATTGCAAACGTTTCAATCCCCCGTCTAAATCTCCAGTACCATCTCCTGTTCTTAGATGACACGAAATGAGGTGACATTCATGTTTATTATCTTTCGTTTTTAGCACAACTGCGGCTTGCCTGTGATCAATTTGCATATTCAGGGTGGGCATCACGACGTCTCTTTGCTCACATATGAGGTCAGGGTGACAAAATATAACCATCCCATGTCTCCCAAAAATGGCATCATAATTGATTTTACCAATACATGTACATGGTATGTCATGAATAAACCAATTTCTCCCCTCCGTGTTGGCATTCAGAGCATTGTGCAATTTGGCAAGATGTTGACGTTCTTCTTGTTGACCCCCTGGCCAATTATGAGGTCTATGCCATGTTTCCGAGAGACAAATTACGTTGCATCCTGCAACTCGCTGGGTTTCTTGCAATTCTTCAATATTACACTCCTTCAACTGTTGTAAATTGACAAAAATAATTTTATAGAATCCATTTCGCTTCATCTTTAATTTATTTATGAGCTCAGAAAGCTTACTGCTGGGTTTACCACTTATTTTCGTTTCGGAAATGTCCATTTTAACTTCGATGCGAGTAATTTAAAATTTAACGAGTTTCCCCTGGTCTCCACCAACCTGTCAATTACTCAAAATAAAGGATTTTTTTAATACAGCAAAACTTGTTGAACAAAACTCGTTGTGCGGGAGACCTGCTAGTCGCTGTAGCAGGGACTGTCCCCATTCGGTGGCGACTAATGACTCCGAAAAGACAATAGTTTTTTCGTTCCGTTGCAGTCTCTTGACCAGAGATCCGTGATTAATTAATCGTGATTAACGGATTAAGGATTGGGATTAAGGATTAATAATCCTTAATGCTTAATCCCGACAAAAAATTGTATGCAATTAATCCTTAATCATTAATCCCGACGAAATATTTCCACGCCATTAATCCTTAATCCTTAATCCCGACAAAGCGTATCCAAATTATTAATTCTTAATCACGATTAGGATTAAGTCTCGCAAGAGAATAATCACTGAGAATGGAGTGAAGTAACACTAACATTACATATTCTCAAACATACGATATTTTTCCACTCTTTCTACTGTCCTCTCCCGAAATTAAGATGTGTTGAATTCTTTAACTTTAAATTGTTGCTTCCGTAAAAATACTGATTCAGTCGTTAATCATGGTTAACAGTGATCTGACTGAGCTGAAAAATTTGCCATTCATCTTCACCGGCAGATTGTTTGATGTCGAACAAATTGACAAATTCAGCGGCTCTTTATAGGCCAGGCGCATAGCTTTTGCACCAATGTGTGCCATAATTGGTGTTAATATTAGGCCAACATCAAATTTTACTTCACATTTGACATGCAAAAGTCCTATACATTGTCTGTTTTGTATGTATTTGATGTTTCAATATTCCTATGTGCTACAATAAACAATTAAACTGCATTAAATGGAGTAATATAATAATAATATTAATCCTTAATCAAGAATTAATCAGGATTAATTAATCCTTAATCCTTAATCCCACCAAATTGAATTATTTAATTAATCCCGGATTAATCTAATCCCGGAATAACATTAATCCTTAATCCTTAATCCCAGAAAAAAATTCATTAATCACGGATCTCTGCTCTTGACACAACCTACTATCTCAAAAAATAGTAGTTGGTACACCCTCACTGACTGGAATCAGCTTGATGTTTTGGACATGGATCTAATCAAGACCCACCCACCGAAGGCCCCATGACGAGTCAACATGTGAAGGTTCTTCCAGCCTTTTACATGGATACGACATTTTAGAGCCGTTTTGCACTCCCACCTAACATGGCGAGAGCCCCAGGGTGCACCACGTGGAGGCGGCTCTAACCACACCCCTCAAATTCATATTTGTTATTAACTTTGTCTTCTAAATGTGCAGCATAAGTGATGAGAATTAAAGAAGAAGAAATTAGCGAAGCGAGTCATGACATGAAAGCATGACGGTGGATTTGCGAATGGAATAAAGTCGTGAAAAAGCACGCAACTTTGCAACCGTATGCGATAATGGTGTAATGGTTAGCATGGCTGTTTTCCACACAGCCGATCGGAGTTCGATTCTCCGTTATCGCAGTAACAATTTTTGCACTTTTTGCAAATTTTTTTTCATTCTATGTTTTCTGCTATCAACAGATACTTATCTTGATGGTTGAACGTACGTTCATCATGGTAAACCCTGATGGGGTTCAGAGGAGTTTAATTAGAAAAATTGTCAACCGTTTCGAGAAAAATGGTCTTAAATTGAAAGCCATAAGTTCACGATAGTGAGAGAATATTTATTTATTTAAAAATAGATATTTCCCTTTATAATAAATTTTTCACAACATTATATACGTTATGTAGTGTAAAATTTGGAACACTATTGTATTTTTTGGTCGGCTACTCCTGAACTGATAAGAGAGTCATGTACAAGGATGAAAAGTACAAAGGCGTATTTTGATAAGCAAGCTGATTTATATCAATGACCTCCGGTCCAATGCTGCCAAAATGGTACATATGCAAAACAATTGGAACGAACTTGATTTTTTTATTCTTTTAAAACTGTGTATGTATGTATGTAGAAATATATTGTACATACTAGCGTATAGCCCGGCCAAGGCCGGGTTCTAGAGTTCCAGTGGGGGGTGTGCCCAAAGCGAAAAATCCGTCATGCTATACTTTAAATAATTCCCAGTGGAGACTTCGTCGTACTACATACATACATCAGAGTGAGGGTTTGCCCCAGTCATGCTGCATTTTAATTAACCTGGTCACAGTACAATTTGATTTCCCCCTGTGGGAGTAGTTGAATAGCTAATTACTTAAATTCCCGTCGCGTGGGAGTAACTGCATAGCTAACTATTTATATTCCCGCGCTTCACGCTCCCGTTCAGTTCCATAAACCCCAACTTCTATAATTAACGTCAAACTATTGACGGATTCGGATTCAGCGTCAAAAATACATTCGAATTGATATGCGACATCACGGATAAGCCATATTTGGCTGCCACGGTCACGGGAAGGTGACGGGGGCCTCGGAGGTCAAAACTATTAATGGCGTTGGATTCAGCGTCAAAAATACATTCGAATTGATATGCCACTCGCTGTGGGTGGAGTTTCTCAAACTAAAATAATTAATTAATAGTGTTTATCACGATCACTTATCATGATAACCACTATTGATGAGTAATGATGGTTGGTTGATCAGTTGATGTATGTATGGGGTAGCAGTTCATGCATTCATGCATGCAGTGTTTGCTCCGCTTCCTTCTTTGTCTCCTCTACGGGGCGACTTGCATTGACTTACGGACCGACCCAGAACTTAACACTGTCATTTTATGGTAGTGATGTATGAATAGATTTGGGAAGGCGTATATAAAATTTAATTCTCAACAATTGCAATGTGCAAACAAATCGAGACTGACCAATTTCAAAGTGCTCTGTAATTAAAAAGTTGTTAAAATCTTTATTCAACTCACGGGTACATGTATGTGGCACACGTGATAACATGCATTCGGAATGAATGCAACATCTCGGATATAAAAATCAAATATGTTTAAAAAAAGTGAAAAAACACTATATTTCACATTGCAGATTATAACATAATTTAGAATGCCGGAGATTCATAGTCGGTAATAAGAGTGAAGTCCAAATAAGCAAGTTACTAGAAAGCGTCGAATTAGAAAAAAAGTATTGAGTTATTTTTAAATAATTGGTTCCAAATCTACATATATGTAACGTTATTTTCGTATATAATATTCATTTATGATTATCAATATTATGTAACCATTCATGATGTGCAAAGGCTGTTGGCTATGATGCAATAAATCAATTATTATTATATAATATTCATGGGAAACTACTCAAGAAGTTTACGTTGAAATGTAACAAAATCAAATTGCGTGTACGTATATTAGTAAACGTTGGGGTCAAATTAAAGTTATTATATAAATCGTCCTCGCTATTTATAACTCAACTCTCGAATCGTCAGAATTTTCATCTTCGCTGTCGTTTTTACTTTGTTCATCTGAAGTTTGATATGGAGGCTAAAAACCACTTCTGGATACAGTTTTGGTGCATTCTAACTATTGCATGAAAAAATGGTTAGAAATAGTAATTTACATTGATGACGATAAAAATATAATTGCAATGATTAATCGAGGAACAAACTTAATTAAATAACTTTCTGGACTACTTATGTACTAAAAAACAGTTTATTAAGGATGCTTCTCTATGTACATTAAACTAGGTAAAATCGACTACATTAAGAAGCCGCTAGCAGACATTTCTTACGTTAACATTTCTTATGTCGTATAATTAAGAAAGCACGCAACTTTAACAGAATTGTGGTACATGGGTTAAACAAAATGCCTCGGAACGAAGGGTCGGCCCTCAAACAGGTTGCAGTCCAGGTGGAATTCTTTTTTTTCTTTGAGGAACTTGACTGGGTCGAAAAATAAGTACATGCCTTTCACCGAATGCGATCCCCTCTCTAATCTACTAACCCCTTGGGCATTGATCCATAATTCCTCGCCCATGTGGTAACGCCAGTGTCGGTTAAAGAGCTCTTCCGCAGCATGAATTTGTAAAACATCGCGAGTGAAGTTGTAGAAAATGTAGAATACGAGTTCATCCTTGTATAGATTCATCTTCAGAGGTGTTAACCTCCCTCTGTGCAATAATTCGTCAATGAAGCAAAAGAGAAAACAAGTTAGTGATTCAAATTGAGCTTTCAAGTTACCGAAGATCAGGAGCATTAACGAGGTACTCTGGAGGAACTGGACACGCGATATCCACCGCTCCGACAGGACCTGCACCCTGCAATGGTCCCGCAAAGCTCCACGTCCCGGTACCAGGCTCTTTCAGTTTCAGTTCTTGTCGTGGTACATCGCTGCCAATGGAGAGTAATATCAAATGAGGGTCTACTTTAGCTATTCTCAAGCCTGCCAAAAACCCAGCAATTCCAAACTGGTCGTTCAGCATACTTCCTGGAATATTTGTGACCCTCCCTATAACAAACAACATAACATTATAATCATGTTTATAAACGTGATATTAAAGTATTGCAAATAACTCTACCATCAGGATATGTGCGGATTCCAAGGGGGGAGTCTTCAGTCTGATTGGTTTTTTTAGGCTCGGAGGAAACAGGACCTATTGGCAGACTTGCGTCGGGAGATTGAAATTGAACTCTATTGGGTGGTCCCTCTCCTTCCATAGGCATAGGCATGTCGTGAAGTGGCGGAAAATCATCCATGAGCATTGCATAGGTATGTTTTGATTTCTTTGTCATACCTGAATAAAGGGGACATTTTAAAATATTTAAGCTGTCCAGTAAGAACAAAAAACCTCTCACTTGTCGGCTTCTTAGGTGGTCGATTTTGATCCTTCTTACAATCCACCACTTGTCCGATATTTCCAGTAGTTGTCAATGATAGAAATTCTGTAGGGTCACCCACTCTGAATTCATCCCTACGGCCACCAGGTCCCATCGGTCTATAACATAAGCCCACTTAATTATTTGTGCCTCTTTGTCCTATTATCTAGGCAATGACAGCTTACGGAGTATCGGGATCCGTCGGTGGAGTCATTCCCGTGGGTGGAATGCCACCACCCCCACTTTTCCTCCCCCTGGAGGACGGACCAGGTCCTCTCGTATTCCTTGACCGATTCCCACTATTTTTATTTCCACTTTTAGCCGGATTTTTTCGATTCTCACTCGACCCTTCCATGTTCGTGAAGAGCTGGTTCTTGTGTCGAGGGGGGGCACAACTTTTAAGTTTCTCTCTCAAGTCTTTTAAAATTAATTGATCGATCGGGCAAATAATAACAAACAAGTTTGAAGTGAATAACTGATGATGAACAAACGAACCACCAAACTGCGAAACTCGAGGTTCCAGAATGAGGAAAAGTGAGAAAGTGACGAGGGAATTACTTGTTTTCGATCAAGTTGTGTCGTGTCATTGTTTACTTTTAATTGTCCCTTTAATTGTAAATTACAACTTGTAATTGTCGTTTGCTAGATCGAACCAGACTTGACTCTGTCCAATTACTATTAAAGGTTCTTCTATTAGTTGTTTATATTTCGTTTACTTAATTTATTATTAATTATTGCTGCAATGTATAATATAATTTGCAGATTATCTGTATTTTGTATTTCTAATTGTGTCGGTTGCTTTGATAAGGTAGGCAGTTCATCAGGATGGATTCGGTCAAGAAAGTCGACGAGGGTAATGAAAATACGCAACCCCATGATGAAGCTTCCGGCGATCGGTCTTCCATACAAGATGACGAAAAGAGCGACGAATCCAACGATGGTGTCAATACAGATCCTGCTCTCCATGAAAGAAATATCACAATTGAAGAGCCTCCGTCGTCCACTGATGTTTCTTCGGAGGTGATAGACATCAGTGACACAGATGGAGAAGATGACGTCGATAATTTCATCCCAGTTGCTGCTGGGATTCAATATCTGGTGAAGCGAGCTGACAATAATTGGTGTAGGGACTTACCTGATTAGATTTTATGTAAGGCGTTATAAAATGTCATTTTAATTTTAATTTATGTGTGCAGATCCTGCTACAGTAATTCACAGAAGGCCAGGTGACACCGAATTATTCGAATATTTAGTTCACTACGAAAATTTTAATCGACGACTGGATGAGTGGGTTACACGTGATCGTATTCGACGGGAAACCAGCTTGGAAGAACAAACGATACCATGTTTTGGGGAATATACAGCTAGATTCTCTTCGGGACTACCAAGAGTTACACGAAGCCGACAAAGGAAACATGACGAGATAAATCATGTACAAAAGGCAATCGAGGAAATGGACCCCACGACGGCGGCAATTGAACGCGAGCACGAAGCCGTCACTAAAGTAATATACATTTAATACAATTGGCTCGTTCTATGATATTTGTGCACCAATTCTAACACTGATTCCGCCTTGTAATTTTTGTTTCATTCATGAGCAGATAAAGTATATTGACAAAATTCAGATCGGCAACTACGAAGTAGACACTTGGTACTTTTCTCCATATCCGGAAATGTATGCAAGAGTGAAAAAATTGTGGATCTGCCAATACTGCTTGCTTTACATGAAGTACGAAAATACATATCGTCACCATTTAGGCGATTGTAAACATGTACACCCTCCAGGCAAAGAAATTTATAGGAAAGTGGGTCAAAATATGAAATATCGGATATTTTTTGTTTGTGTATCCATTCACAGTATGACTTATTTAGGGAGCGATCTCGATGTGGGAAATCGACGGTGTCCATCACAAGTTGTTCTGTCAAAACCTATGTTTGTTGTCAAAACTGTTCTTGGACCACAAAGCAGTATACTTTGATGTTGAGCCCTTCCTATTTTATGTGATGTCTGAAACTAGCCGAGACGGTTCTCGCCTGGTGGGTTATTTTTCTAAGGAGAAGAAAAGTCTGGATGGCAATAATGTTGTAAGTATAGTTATATTATTTAATATATTTAACATAACGCGGGAATTTAATAATTTTAGTAAGTATTAACAATAATCCCAATTTATGTAGGCGTGCATCTTAATCCTGCCTCAATTTCAGAGAAAAGGCTTTGGAAAATTTCTCATTAGCTTTAGTTATGAGCTATCAAAACTTGAAAATGCGATTGGATCACCAGAAAAACCATTGTCTGATTTAGGTATGCATTTCGATTTATTTCGAAATACATGTTTTCCGAAATTTCAACGGTTATCATTTTGGTGCAGGAAAACTGTCCTATAGATCGTATTGGAGTTGGGTGTTGCTAGACGTCCTTCGGGACTTCCGTGGCACTATTTCGATTAAAGAGTTGTCCGACAAGACCTTCATCGCTCAAACAGATATTGTTTCAACACTTCAAGCTTTAAACATGGTGAAATATTGGAGGGGTCAGCAGACCATTTGCGTTACGCCGAAACTGGTTCAGCAGTATCTAAAGGATTCTGAATTGAAGGTACCAAAAATCATAGTGGATCCCTTACACCTTAAATGGGCGCCACGCAAGAAACTTCCCAACCCAATAAAAAATAAGTAGCGACACAGAAATCCGTTTAGTTCAGAATTAAAAATTGAAGTAGTTTGTGTATTGACATTTTCTGTTTCTAGTTAATTTTTAAATTAACAAATCCTATTGTTACTAGAGCTGTGCGTAGGGCCGGGTTTACCCTAAAAAGACCCTACCCTACCCTACCCTACCCTATAGGGTTTTGGGCGGGCCGGGTTTTTTGCCCAGGAAATTCCAGTCGGGCCGGGCGGGTCGGGCTTTTTCCAGTAGGGTTTTGGGCGGGCCGGGCTTTTTTTGTAGGGCTTCGGGCTTTTTAATTTACCCTAGTGATAAAGTACAATATGGCAATTTGAAACAAAACTTCATAGTTTTATGTAGCCCCAGCTAAAGCAGAATTGTTTATCTGTAATGCTATGGAGTTGTTTTCACTGGTTGGCTGTTTCATTACACGAATCAATTTCATGAATAAATAAATCTCAACTGTAAATCACATCAGTGAGATTAAGACCAAATTATAAATACAGTTCTATTAAATACAAGGGCTTAACTCAATTTTTGTTTAAACTAAAATAACTCAAATTTAGCAAATATTGATAATAATATGCATTGGATTTGTCCACCATTGCATTTTTTATTAATACCTAGTGTGCATGTCTAATCGAGTCTCCGAAAGCCTTAGCAAGTGCTGGTTTTTTAGGATAAATACGTGCAGAACTGCACATGGGTGGGTTTACAGTAAAAAAGCCCTACCCTATAGGGTTTTGGGCGGGCCGGGCTTTTTCTCAGAAAAGCCCTATAGGGCCGGGCGGGCTGGGCTTTTTCCAGTAGGGTTTTGGGCGGGCTGGGTTTTTAAAAATCGGGCCCGTGCACAGCTCTAATTGTTACTACTTAAGTCGTCATAAAATATGTGTTAATTGACTTCACTAATAGAGTTCAAGATTTCCCGTCTTAATTAATTCTTCCAGCATTTACCACAAATGGATCTACTGTCAGGGTATTTATCGCTTTTTCATTCCGTCCCAATTTGCACAATTTGCATGACAGTTCCCATAATTTGTCTTGAATTTCTATATCCTCGGCTTTCCAATTTGGTCGAATAATTTTACAATTGCTGATGAATGTACCTCCACAGTCGATTAACTCATCCGACAATGCCGTGTAAACTACTGTGTCCACCGCCTGGCTAGGAGTCTAACAAACAATTGACCAATTGATGTATTATGCATGCAAAAAAATGAATTTACTTATCATACCTTCGCAAATAACCATAGAACCAGTTTCATCATAAAATATACAGGTGAATAAATTGCGAGCTCGGTCTTTACTACGCCAGGGTGCACGCTGTATGCACGTACTGGTAAATTCTTGGCAACAAATTGCCTATTTAGGTGACAGCTGGACACGATTTGCATCAACTTGGTATTCGAATATGCTGCATTGCGGTCATAAAATTTACTGGAAATACAAATATGCATATGTCTCATTCGTTACTAAATACAACAATTTATGTCACAAACACCACATTTTTCAAAGAGCTAAATAGTAGTGCATATTCACCTCATTAGTAAATCTTCGAAATTAACGTCACCTATTTCCGACATGATGGAGGATATATTTACGATACGGCTCAACCCATCGCCTTGATGTCCACCTCTTACCAACGCCGGCGTCAGTAACACCGTTAGAAGAAAGTGAGAAAAGTAGTTTATCTGGAATTGTGATTCCAAGCCATCCAACGTCAATTTATACGGTGGGGCCAGTATCCCAGCTGTAACAAAAAAAATCATTAACGATATTTTACTAATATTAACCTAACTAGCAAGATAATTACCGTTATTAATTAAAATATTCAACGGAATTCCTAGTGAGAGGAAAGCATCCACAAATTTCCTCACTGAATCAAGTGACGCCAACTCTAACGGGATGCATTCCGCAACTCCAGACTTTACACCTTCGACACGAATTTGTTTAATTGCCTTTTCCCCAGAAGAAACACTTCTGCATGCTAAAGGAAATAATTAGAAATTGGCCAGAATTATAATTAATTACTCTTCTTACGACTAATGATAAAACTCATTAATTTTTTTGTCACCGATAATAACTCGCATGTCCGCTTGTAACAATTGTTTTACAATTTCAATCCCAATGCCTCTTGCCCCACCAGTGACGATGGCCGTTTTACCCGAATTTATGGGAATTTCTATTAAAAAAACTATTTATGCATCTATGTACGTTGGAATTATCAATCTCAAAGTTTTGTTATCCCAATTTACCAGTCATTCTTGCATGCGAGGTGACAATCTGGCGACCGAAATGTACAAATCCGACTGCATAGGTTCGTACAAAACTGATCGTAGATGTGATCTTTCCACAGAAAAATCCTAAATTATTCGGTGACCTGACCCCCATTTCAAGCTATGCAACTAACGAAGGCTTCCCTGGACACATTAATCCGAGTTTTGTATGTACGTATGTATATATATAAATCACTAGCGTATAGCCCGGCCAAGGCCGGGTTCTAGAGTTCCAGTGGGGGGTGTGCCCAAAGCGAAAAATCCGTCATACTATATTTTAAATAATTCCCAGTGGAGACTTTGTCATACTACATACATACATCAGACTGAGGGTTTGCCCAAGTTATACTGCATTTTAATTAACCTGGTCACAGTAAAATTTGATTCCCCCCTGTGGGAGTAGTTGAATAGCTAATTACTTAAATTCCCGTCGCGTGGGAGTAACTGCATAGCTAACTATTTAAATTCCCACGCTTCACGCTCCCGTTAAGTTCCATAAACCCCGTTAACTTCTACAATTAACGCCAAGCTATTGACGGATTCGGATTCAGCGTCAAAAATACATTCGAATTGATATGCGACATCACGAATAAGCCAGATTTGGACACCACGGTCACGGCGAGGTCACGGGGGCCTCGCAGGTCAAAACCATTGACGGCGTTGGATTCAGCGTCAAAAATACATTCGAATTGACATGCCACTCGCTGTGGGTAGAGTTTCTCAAACTAAAATAATTAATTAATAGTGTTTATCACGATCACTTATCATGATAACCACTATTGATGAGTGATGTATGTATGTGGGGTGTACATGTTCATGTATTCATTTATTCATGCAGTGCAGTGCAGTGCATGCATGCAGTGGTTGCTCCGCTTCCTTCTTTGTCTACTGTATGGGGCAATTTGCATTGCGAAGACGGACCCAGGGACCCAGGGATCATACAAACACTTTATTAGAGTAGATTGTAATTTTTTCTTTCCACGTATGTAAAATGTGCACAATGTTCTTACAAATGATAAATGGAAATCAAGCCTACATATTTACATACATATGTAGAACCTGTAACATGTGCGTAGAAAGAAATCCTTCAGCGTACATATGTAATTAATAGATAATTACACATGAACATCAGTACGATTAAGTACTTACCAGTATTATTCAGTACTAATGTAAGTATTAATTATTGATGAGGAAATAATCACACAAACATTCCGTACCTCATATTTCTGTCCAAATAGAAATTATAAAAACATCCATTCATGGGAACGACAATTTATTAAAAGGTCGGTTAAACATACATTGCACTCATGAGCACAATTGTCATGTATACAATTTGGACAAAAAATGGGTCTGACATCAATTTGAGATCGTGTACATAATACTTACCATATTTCGAATTTTTTTTGTTCTACCCAATACATATTTACTCATTGGCATTTGCATGCATTCACAAGAGCTCGGACAAATTATATGGTTCGATGAATGAAATTACCGGTAATTAAACCAAGTTTACTTGTCATGTAAACATGTCACATGTAGCAAGTACTTGGTGTAGTTACATACGTCTAAGAATAGTACGTATACATAGGTAGGTAAAATTATAAATTATTCCAATCTGTCATTGTTGCAATATGTACAGACTGAAATATCTATCAATTCTTTTTTTGCTCGACATACTCGCATCAACGACTTATTTCGCACCGATTTAGCAAAATTTATTTGCGAAATAATCCTGCAAAATAAAAGCAGTCCATTTGGTGGGTAAGTTCGGTAACAAAAATCTCTTCGTTCTTCAGTAATAGGCTTTCACAAGTCTCATGAGTTACGCAGCACTCTGGTCGAAGTTGTGTTGATACATATGACATATGTACATCTCAATTGACGAGATTTTTACTTATACATAGTACATGAAAAAGGTTGTCATCAACTATGCCCAACAATATTCCATCCATGTGAATTATTGTGAATATTTTACTTATTTCAATGAAAATAATAATTATGTAGATATGTACAAGCACCCTGCAATTTATTCAGAAATATCTACACATCTACATATTTACATACACTGCCTTTGCATGACTATTAATAAACAGTACGACTTCTTACGCATTGTGCATAAGACATTTATTCGTGTCTATTAACAACTGTAACAGCGTTACAACAATACAAACCGAACAGATACATTTAGTCATATGCAAATGAACTACATACATATTTCTCTATCTAAAAAGAATCTTTCCCTAACACATAAAATTTTCTAGAACTGTTAGACCTATAATCCCTGACGATTCGACTGGATCAGACTCAAAGATGCTGTCTGATTCGTACAAAAGTTCTGAATCATCAAAGTTGTTCCTCGATCGATAAAATTAGAGCCGAATTTAACTTTGAAATTGCAACATGCCCGAAACTCTCTTTTCGCCACTTTCCGTTTTATGTCCAACTTCATCACCCTGTCCGTAACTGAGCGCAGCACTTTTCTTGACAAACCATGGATCGATGATGCCAACGAGACGACGACAACATTAAATATTCCTGCGTCAATCCCCATCAGAGGAAAAACTAAGTAACCCGGCATCGCGATGCTGCTGTGATGACTGATCGTTACGTATTGTCCGATAAGTTGAATGCCTGGAATGCAGAAGAGGATTGCAGGGCCAATTCGATCAGCGATGTAAGCATTAAATAGTTTCTCAAGTAATTGGGCAGATCGATAGATTCGTAACCAGTGATCCTTATCCCGTTCAGTTTCAATTTGGGCACCTTCCCTGATTAAATTGCATAAAGTTATTTATTGAGGGTACGCATTACGAGTTCGCATCGCAACATATTTATGAACTTTTTGAAGGTTTTGCAATTCAAAGATTAACCTTGGAGATGCGCAAGTTTGCAAATCATTTTTAAAGTTAATTAAACTCTCTTACAAAATTTTGCAAATTTGTTTCTTTGCTAAAGATGCGCGCATTGTTTAATTCGGTAGAAAAGATAAGCGTAATTTGTTGAGTATATTTTGTACATAAAAATACTTATTCAGTAGAATAATTGTAATGCATTATGTATAAAATTTAAAAAAAGACAAATAAACATTGATAAGTATATACATAATTTTAGAAATGAATTAACTCCCAAAATTTTCGTCCAGCTATGAATGTCCCACAAATTGTAAATCTTCGCAAATAAATGACTCAAACTTTCCTCGATCGTTTATATGCACATATTGTTCTGTAATTTAGTAAATCTTACTTTTCCAGAAGCCTGACATATCTCAGTATGCACACCGTGCCCACAATGAAGACGTAGAACACGGCCATGCCGGATGAGTAAAACATATGCAGAGTCATCCAAACCTCGAATAAATGGAGTCCAATTTGATACCCATGCCCAAATCCGCAAGACAAATTTTCTTGTATTTCCTTACAGCTTGTCAACGCCGACAGGATGAAGGGCGGCGAACAGGGTGCGAACATGAAGAGGACAAACTGTAAGGTTGGAATTAAGATGATGGATACTGATGCGAGACGAATCATGCCCATCATAGATTTCTCACCAAGAGAAAGTGGGACTGGAGAAAGTCCTGTATTTTGTAAGTTAAAAAATAATACAGGTTTATTAAATGGTTATTTTTATTTTTTTAAATAGTTTTTATCAGCAATATCATAAATCAGATTCTATGAATTCTGCGATTTGGTAAAAGTTTGTGCGGTTGCAAATAGACAAATACTCTGACTTTGACCCAAGTTAACAATGCTTATTTCCACTGTAATTCGAATTTGTTAGCGATCGGTACATATCTTAAGCCATGTCGGTAATAACGAAGGAATTAAGCATTTATACTTTGTAACGAACAATTTAAAAAATCTAGCCAATTAAATAAGTATTGAAAAACCGTACTACACATTGATTTTACCTTGCATTACACTTTCTTCGATATCAATGAACGCATTCAGCACTTGAGCCTGTGAATTTTCCACACCGAAATTCCATCTCGCAATAGAGCCGAGTAGATGCAGAATGACGAAAACGCTTCCTTGACACTTTTCTACCACTGTCAATGGGCCAAAGAAAAGGTTGGTGGCTAATGCCGTTGTATAAAGTGCGCACAGGACGCATTGAAATTTGAAGGCACGGATTTGTCCCAAACTTTCGGATTTTACAAGTCGCCTTAGTTTGTCATTATACATGAAAGGACTACAGTTCAAGTATTTGCAACATTTAATATGAAATTTTAAAAAGGGGACAAATTCTTCTCGGAACATTGTTCAGCGGAAATATTACTGGAGAGGTATCTTACTTTCATGCGACTTACTTATTTTAAAGCTCAAGTCCGTAATCATTACGGCGTAATGACTTTATGTACATACGTTAGTAACCTGACTTCCTAAATATAATCTGTCTCTGCTAACTTTTAATTAATCTAATTATGAATATGATGAAAGCATGTAAGTACTATCAAAGATTTTCTGATTGGTTGGGTAATGAGAATCTCGTAACTTCTTTAGTGTTATCTAATGGATAAATCATAAATGCTTATGATAAATACATGCGTACAGATAAATGGGAGCCGGAATTAATGCGGACAATATGAACATGGACAAGGAATGAACGTGGACTCCAAAACGGGGTCAAGAAAAATATGGACTGGACTAGATATGGACATCATAGATATGGACACGCATAGACAAATTATGGACATGAAATAAGCATGAGAATGCTGCATATACACAGTATATGATTAGACTTGCCTTATTTTATTATCGAAATTATCACAATTACACTTCTTAGGAGTTAGCGTGCACCATGGCTGAAAATCTGTTATTTAATATTAGAAGTACACAAAAGGATAAGCCTTGCTTGCAATATAAAAATTATTCATAAATACTTCTTGTACAAAAGTGGAATTTTAGTTGAGCTTGCCAGAAATTTTTCTAGACGATGATGTCCCTATCATTTTTTTTTAATTTTTGACAAATTTTAGAAACTTTAAAAATAAATGTCTATCAGTATACTAGAATATTTATGAAAAATTTGGCGTAACCGATATATTACTTATAATTATGTATCTGCCAAAAATGTCACAATCAATCCTGTATTATAATATCGGATTGAATAAGTGAAATTGGTTGAATGAAAGATGGTATCAATATGTAAAATTTATAATTTGAATACAGGTATTGAAAAGTTAAACACCGGTATTCGATAATGCCGATAAAAATACCGGTATTGCATTCTCCACTGGGGATCACAACCTCATTCACAGAATTCCTCAGCTTCAGATCTAACTTTAGTATTCGCATTTTAATTATTTGGAAAATATATTTTCGAGATTTTTTGTATCCACATTTATCACCGTCCATATTTATATTGTCAATATTTCTTCTAGTCCAGATTATTTTATCCACAATTTTTTTGTCCTCAATTTGGCATCCATATTGCGTCCTGTCCGCATTAATTCCCTAACCCAGATAAATACTTCTGTAATTGGAAACTTGTTGACGAGGTAGGCCGTATATTTATCTATGTATAAATACTATTCAATATATTGGAAAATGTTATGGAAAATATCTTGCCATATACCCACAATCTTTTGTCATTGGCAAAACTACATATTTATAGTATTTACCAGGAACGGCAAATTTACAAGGAATTTTTTTCAATAAAATCAGATTTAGAAGCTTGAGATCAAATATATTTTACTTTTGCATGTAAATTAATGTATGTATGTAGTTATGTACATAAATATCTATTATACACGCAGTCTTACAAAACAAGAAATAAATATCCTCAATCGGGTTTAGAATAAGTTATAGGATTACACTATGTTCAATTGAAGGAATAAATAGTAGTGAATTTGAATAACTAATGGAATTTTCAATTATTGTCTTATCATTGTTTTATTATGTAATTTGTTTATTTCGACTTAACCGAAAGTACAAGCACCAAATCATGCATTTTCCTTCCATGAGACAATGCTAACATAATTTTTAAAACTAATTTAAAAACCCGATAATGACCCGTCGTATACTTTTTCGAGAGGAGTGGCCAAGCCAAATTAACATTTTTCTCTACCGCTGAGAAAAACGGTACCAAATTCTGACCGAGATTGTCCAGACTTTCAAGGTAGAAATTGTCCCGTACTGCTTCCACCACTTCGTTCAGTTCTGGCACCACGCTGCACCGCGCCATGTACTTCCTCGTAAAGGGGTCAATCCTTAACGGCGGTTTACGATCCATGACGTAACTCTGCACCACGAAAAGTCCTCCGCTCTTGAGAAATTTGGCCGCAGAGCGGAAGAACCCAGCATAATTGGCCGGCCCACCAAGATGTTCCATCATATGAACGCAAATTACCCGATCAAATATTCCCATATAAGAATCAGGAAGTTCTCGGAAATCACTCTCGATGATCTCTACCTTAGAATTATTTCTTTTCTCTTTAGCCTTACAGGCTTCTTCTCTCGAATTAGTCACACCTGTGACATTGACTTTGTAGTTGTCAGCGAGGAAATGGGCCAAGCCGCCGTATCCACACCCGAGTTCAAGCACCTTCATTCCGGGCGTTAGTTGCAATTTGTCTGCCAGATATTTGAACCCTTCTAATTGAGCGGTTTCCATGTTAGTGTTTCCGTTGGAATATATTCCAGCGACAAAGTTCGAACAAGGGCCCAATCCTGCCGTGAAGAAGTCCTTCCCTGAAATATGTAATTCATTAAAAGGGTTCCATTCCACTTTGCATACATATATTTCTAACAATTGCACAAAATGCATGGATTCAAATTTGCTGCACAAAAATTGCAAAAATACATAGGGATTTCACGTCAGCCTTTGTAAATAAGTCTGTAACCACGTATATAAACTTACGAAAATTGTGAACTTTTGAAGAAATTTCTACGGTAATTTCTGCTTACGAACCTACAAAAACTTATGTAGATAAAAGGCATATCTTTTGTTCGTAAGCTGATTTTCGTAAACTTACGAAGGTTGGCGTGAAATGCCTCAAAAGTATTGATTCAATACCACTCACAAAATTTACGTTCACAACCCTTTTCATTTAATTACATATACATAACTAACTAAATATGTATCATACTCACCAAACGATGTAATCCACCCGGTTTCTAACCCTGTTTCCCACGGTGTATCCTTCGCCCTCACAGTGATCCAATCAGTTAAACGAAGCATGGGATGAGGTTTAAGTCCTTCAGTCAAATTGAAAACTTTGAGAAATATTTCCTCTTCATTTCCTTCGCCGCAATCCCACCATTTCTTCATATACGTCTCGCCCAGTCCGATGCTTCCTTGATTTATAATAGTGATGAACGTGTTTGGATTTCGAACAGTCAAATAAATTATTTCTTCCGATTTTATGTTTTGCATGCAGTGATCTTGTCCATTGATTACAATTCCATGTTTGGATGCTTGCGCTGAGATTATTTTATTTATAGGATTTCGCAACACTTTCAGCACTTGAAACTCGACCCAACGATAAAGTCTGATCCACAAGATGAGAAGCCAAAAGAAGTATGTGGATAAATGATACATGTTAAAATTGGAGACACAATTAAACACGTGCAGCCTTTTAATAGTATGTAAACACATAAGTTGTCTCCGGCTGTATGAACAAAGATTTTTTTAAATTAGAGCGGATATTTGCAATCTCATACACTACTGCCTGCATAAATTTCTTAAAAACGTAAATTTAGATGGTAAAATCGCCCAAAAATCTGTTGTGAATTAATAAAGATTAAGAACTACTTTTTAGCCCGAGTCAGGGCTTATGTACCCGTCATGTCCGTCTGTCTGTCCGTCTGTCTGGTTTGCGATAACTGCCGTAAAACTAATCCGATCGACTTGAGATTTTGCACAAATGTAGTATGGGTCAAATGAGGAGTTAAGTTCGAAGATGGGCGAAATCGGTCAAGTGGTTGACCGGTGGGGGTCATATAGGTGGGTGGGGTATTATGCACCAAAATTTCAAAATTGCCGTAGAAAGCTGAAATTTGGTGCAGAGGTTGATAATGGTTTCTAATGAAGGAATACAAAGTAAAATTGAAAAAATTTTCATCTCGAGGGACCCTAGGGGGTGACCCATGCTGATTTTTAAAACTTATCCAATCGAGCTGAAATTTGGTACATAGGTTGTTAATGACTACCAATGGAAGAATATGAATTGAAATTCGACAAATTTTCACCTGGACAGACCCTATGGGGTGACCCATACCAATTTTTCAAATTCGTCAAATCGAGCTTAAATTTGATAGACAAGTTGGTAGTAGCTCCTAAAGGAGCAATATGAAGTACAATAAGAAAAATTTTCATCTGGAGGACCTAATTTGGCGACCCAATAAGATGACCAGGGAGAAAAATATGTGTGCACCAACAAATGTATACGAACCTAGTCACCTTCGTGGCTGGAATTTACATATGTTGCGTCTAATATTAATAGGATAATATCCTGAGAGTTTTAAGAAAAAATATACACTCGTTTCAAAGTTATGGTTTGATTTTGATTTATTCACATCAAGCTTGATTTACAAAAATCTTGTTACGCTTGACGGCTAACACAAAAAAGTTTTACACAAATGTTTGTCACATGTCGATACTGGTCACAGTCGATACTGGTGACCAAGGGAAAAAAATGTGTGCACTAACAAAAATTTAGTGATAGTGGATACATTTTGGTATATGGGTTACTAAAGGCTCGTAATTGAAGAATTCGAAGTTTTAAAAATTTAAATTTGAAAACAGATTTACGCCTGACTCGGGCTATATCAAGTCTGCACTGTAGGTTTTATGTTCTACAATTATACGACAAATCTTAGTAACACAATTTAAAGAGAAATTGTCGGATGACATGATTGAAGGAAGAAAATTAATTTATTTCCTAAGCTGTCGATACTGTACTCGTGTCATCATTAGGGATAAAATAACAATTAATTAACAGTTAATGACACAATTTCCTCAGTACGTTACAAATATCCAGGTGAATTTCCTTAATATTCAGCAACAATAATCGTGCAAGGTGATTCACTTTTCAGTTGAGTCTGAAAATAAAGAATGTACACATTCCTTGCATTGTTGAACTTTTGCACAATATTGGTTACCAACTAACTACTGCTATATGTCCATATGTAGGTATGTATGTATCTGCACATGTACATAACATTAATTTTCTTGCCGCATATATGTAATAAGCGTTGACTATTATACATATGTACCTATATAAGTATGTATGATTTGCATGAATATGCATTGCGTGTTTCAATTTGTCTCACTTCTCTTCAAATGTCAACTACTCCTAAATGTTGATTGGATGCATCAATTACGGTTTTGGGTAGAGCTTCGAAACATTGGCGGATTCATTCATTCTTTGATGTCGCTTTGCAAATTAAATTCGTTAGCTGTTAGCTTGCGAAACTGTCGTCATGAATGACCCACCTATTGGTTGTACTCAGCATTCATCTCTCTTTCAAATTTTAAAATCTGAATTTTTGTATCCAAATAGAACTAGAAGTTATTACTGTTGATAACTGGAAAAAACAGATGCGAAATTTGCGGAGCTGCGTACGCTTCGAGTAAAAATTGAACGCGTTTTTTGTGCAAAAATTCTCATCATTCCAAAAATTTAATAAACGCATATTGCGATGCGACGTTTGCGAAGTATGTAAAGTTCTCATGATATTTTTTTTCAGATATTATTTCCTGCATAGAAGCTAATTATAATATAACCAGATTTAAAAATTTTAGTTTTTTAAAGTTTAGTAATAGTGTGTCCACGCGTAAATATGACAAACTTATTTACATACATGTCTATATTTACAAAATAGATGTCTATATAATTATATAGATGTCTATATAATTATATGTACATGGCGCATTTGTTAAAAGAAAATCAGTTTTAGGAGAAAATTTACGTTTGTCAAATATTTTCAAAGTGCTTTACATATATTTCGTTAAAACTTCAAAACCCCATTTTATAACTTTGCTTTCATCTTGAAATTTCAAGTCCAAGGCACGCAATTAAAAACCAAAACTTCCTAAATCGTGACAATATGTACATAATTTCATGCTATGCATTGGTTGTGGGAAAATGGGGTTTTACACACTTAATGAGTCTTATTCTATTTACTTTGCCTCGTGTATATTTTCGGACTCGCCTCAGCCACTTTAGTTCATTTTAAAAAAACGCAATAAATAACAATAAGCTTATGACAAAAGTAACGATTTGATAGGCTGACCCATATTTATTTCTCACGCGTGCATACACATGTGCATATGTATGTGTGCATTTCCCTTCCTACATAATCATGCGTAGTTATTTATTGCTTAATAGGTTTTTCTAATCCACCTTTTTAACCGATTTTGAGGAAAAACTTGTTGATACGTATCAGGGTTTCTCATTAAATCATCCATCACGCAGTTTCATGTACTAATTATTTAGGAAACATTAATTACTTAATTCTTTGCAAAAATCAAAAACAAAAACTCAACTGTACTAATATCGAGATAATCAAATTAAATACAACAAAAAAAAACTGGTCAAATCAAAAAATTGTGGAAATTTTATTGTTGCGTTTACACTATGATTAACTTGTTAAGATAATTGCCACCAGACCAGACAGTAAAAACCATGGGAATCGGGGCTAAAATTACTCATGAATTCAAGTACGTCTATATTTTCCGTCTTCCTCCGTGCACGTAGACATTTCCACTCTCGTTTTCCATGCAAGTCGTGGACGTTTCGTTAATCCGAACCAATTCTTCAATGAAACTTGACTCGGAGGTTGACACTGCTTGAGCTGGAATAATAATCATGACTGTCACAAAGGTCGAGGTTTGCCTTACCCATCAAACAACTACTCATGACATCGAAAAAGAAAGAAAATTTTCAAAGGTCAGATTTATTGACAATTAATACTTTGCTATTTACAGGTCACTCTAATGTTTGTAACTTCATTAGAAAAATGCTTTAATTAAATATTTTCCCCTTGCATCTAGAATGCCGAACCAAAATCTACCGACCTGTCCAGTCAGGTTGCCTCTCTGGCGAGAAAACTGGATCAATCTCAACCCGTGAAGAACATTCTTTCCGGATTGATTTTGCTGGAGAATTTGGGGATTCATTTCGTCCTCAAAGCATTTTTTGTGGACATGGCATGGACTCCTAAATTAGGCTCAACTGTCACCGTTTCCTCCCTCATGCGAACCTTTCTTCTCGACAAATCTCACAAAGCTCTTCTTCACACTTTACTCATCGGAGTAGAAGAATTTGGCGTATTAAAATTCAACAACCATTCCGCCGAAACACTGTCCTGGACCGTTACCAGGCTTCCCCCACCCTCCAGTAACATTCAGAAAACGATAAAACTCATCCAAACCCAACTCCTCGCTTTTCCTGAATGCTCGACCGAGGCGGAATTTTTAAACTATACTGGATCCAACTTGTACTCCGTTTTACGCGGGGAAGTGTCCGGCCTGGAAATCCTATTTCCACCAGAATCGTCGCCCCATTACAAATTCGGGGCGAACAACCTGTACACAAATTCCATGCTGATGGAACACTCCAAAACTATTTATATTATTGAAGGGATCTTGCAAACATTACGAGCAGTTGACCCTTCTCAGGAAATTGTAAAAATTTTGGAAATTGGGGCGGGTACGGGTGGGACGACGGTTCCTCTGCTTTCCGCCATTTCTGCCGATCCTGCTCTATCCTCTCGGTTCGAAATTCATTACAATTTCAGCGACATTTCAAACTTTTTCGTCACTAAGGCCAAGGCCAGGTTGGAAACGTTGTTTCCCAAGGTTCATTTCCAGTACTCGATTTTAGACATTGAGGTTCCTCAGCCCATCGTGGCGGGGACGGGGTTCGACATAATTGTTGCGGCTGACGTGTTCCACGCCACGCAGTACATGGACGATACCCTGCGCCACACGAGAGCTTTGGTCAAACCCGGAGGGATTTTGATTCTTGGCGAAATCTTCAAGAGCAGCCTTTTTCTCGAATTATCGTTCGGAATGACGGAGGGTTGGTGGCGATACGGGGACGATTTCCGCCAAATGGACGGACCCCTTCTAAGCGAAGCGGGGTGGGACGGGGTTCTAAGAAAATTTGGATTCGGGCATGTTTTCACTGTAGGACATGGGAATTATGGTGTAGTATTTGCCAAAGGGGTTTGACATATTGTAGCAATGTAATAATCTGAAATTAAATATTGCTAAATTTAAATTGTTGTAAATTGGGACAAGGTTTCTGAATAAATACTCTCCAAAATTTAAAACGCATACTTTTTTCATTCAATAATGGCATATTGTCGTTATTTAACTAGAATTTTAATTAAAACACTACTACCCAAACTATCGGATAGAAAAAAAACCAGGGGACAAAACAAATTTGTCGCATTTCATGTAAAACTAGACGTGCCCTGTCTTTCTACATGACGAGCTATTTTTTGGGGGAAATATGAAGATGAAGGTTGTAATTAAAATTTTAATTATTGTACCTTTCAAATGCTATACGCATTGCATATACGTCGTTACAAACATATTTATTTCACACCAATTTTGCCAGGCTGACGGAGGCCTTGATGTGCAGCAGGTGCCATATCTGATGTAGACACGCTTTCTCACGCTCATTTCCTTGGCTTGACGCGAAAATTTATTTGTTATTCTACTCCTTTCCGTCATCTCCGGTTTCGAGGGGAGGGTAACTTTCCATAGGTTGGGGGCATTCCAGCGCAGTTATGTGCAATTTTAATATTCGCTAAGAAAGCCAATTAAAACAAATAAAAATGAAGCCAGATTAAGACAATGGAAAGAAAAAGATAAACAAACAGAGCTGGCCAAATTATTATTTGACTGCTTTAATAAAATTAATATGTTCCAGTGCTTCAGTTAACAATTAATACTGTCTACTTAATGTGAGGCTGATTATAAATAAATGAATTTTCCGGATAATGTATGCAAATATTTCCATACAACCAAGTGTGTACTTATTTACATTTGTAATTATAATTTGCAATTCAAAATCAAACCAATTACAATAAAATTTTGGTATAACGCAATACATTTGCATTTAAAAGTTTCCAGTTATTGCATGTACAAAAGCTTATCTCAAAGTTTTGAATTTATAGCATAAAAAAATGTCATCCATACGATCTGTTAATTCTACCCTAAATTCTGAATTAAATGGATGGAAGGAGCTCAAATCTCTCATCACCAGTCGTCACGGACCGACTATAATGGCTCAAATAAAAGACCTCGAGAAAATGGAGATCAAGACCACCAAACTCCAAAATGATAATGTTTTCCTAAAACGATGTAAGAAGAATAACATCATCCCACACGGATTGAGAATAAAAAATCAATGGCTGGACATCCCGTCAACCCGAAAACGATTCCAAAAACTGGAGCAAGACCTGTTGAAAGACATCATCAACTACAACTACGGAACTCTTGCGAAATTGAAGAGAGAAATAGATGATACCAAGACCCAAATTTTGACAATATGCACAGAGCACCATCATGCAATTTTTGATTTTATCAACACGTCCAAACTGAAATACAACACAGAAGTGAAGCAGAAACAAATAAACAAATTTGACCGACTCCAGCAAACCCAAAAACTTACGCCAAGAATCAATTCCCACCCACATCCTTCTATCCATGTGAAACGAAGCAGCATCGTCAACCTTTCAAATAAAACTCTTACCGAAGACGAGACCGAAATCTTGGAGCTCGGTTTGAACTATGCAGTTCCTTTACGCAACCAATCTGAACTCATTGTGGAATCAGGCATCTCTCTAGAATGCTGTTTACAAGATCTTGAAATATCCGAAGAAAAGAAAGACTGTACGAAGCGGACTCTCAAGAATATTGTCTTCATACAAAAATCGACCCGACAACAATATTAAATCATACCAATGGATCCCTCCAAAAATTAGATCAATTAAACAAGACAAGAATATCATTATTTGTCCTGCAGACAAGGGGAATGCAACAGTTATAATGAACAAAGATGATTACAACAACAAAATCATGGATATGCTGACTGATCCATCGTATGAAATGATTCGAGAAAATCCAACCACAAGACTAGAAAAAGAAATTCAAATCAAATTGAAGTCCCTGTACAAAACCAAAAGAATATCCAAAAGCGTTTACAATTCCATTTTCCCAAGAAATTCAAAAGCCCCAATATTCTATGGACTACCCAAAATTCACAAAACTGGCACTCCACTACGACCTATATGCGACTTCCGGAACTCCCCTTCTTACAAGATTGCTTCCCATCTTAGCAAAATCTTAAAATCTTTGGTCCATCAAAAAATGGTCTCATTTGATGTAGCTTCCCTCTTTACCAAAGTACCCATTCCGGAAACTATAACATACATTGAAAAACTACTACGAGAAACATCAAATTGGAAATCTTATACAAGTTTGACAGCAAAGGACATCTTAGACTTACTACAACTTTGTATCAAATCCAATTATTTTCAATATAAAGACATGTTTTTCCAACAAACCAGCGGTACACCAATGGGCTCTCCAATCAGTCCCGTTTTCGCCGAACTATACATGCAGTACTTTGAATCTCAAGTTGTACAAGACCACCCAAAAATTGACCTTTACCGACGTTTCGTGGATGATTCTTTCTGCATTATGAACGATGACGCAACACTAGATTTACAAAAAGAATTCAATCAATTCAACAAACATATCCAATTTACTTATGAAGAAGAAGAAAATGGACAAATATCTTTTTTAGACGTGACGCTAATTAGAGACGAAGAAAATCAACTCAGGAGAAAGGTGTTTAGGAAAGCTACTCACACCGGACGTTACTTAAATTATTCATCATACCATCATCCATCGCACAAGATCTCCGTGATTGATGCATTACTATATCGTGCTTTTATAATTTCTGATCCCGAATATCTTGAGGAAGAAATTCAGCATGTCAGAACCCACCTATTAAGCAACAACTTCCCAAACACCCTCATACAATCTCGGATACAACGGATGCGTTCCAGAAGAGGAGATGCAAATGAAGACGATAAACCACGCATCATTCTACCATACATGGGTCCCGTTACTCATCACCTGACAAATTTTCTCAGAAGAAAATTAAATTGCGACTTTGGCTACATTCCTGGAAGAAAAATAGGGAACAAAATCTGCTCCCACAAGCAAAAAGAGGTACCCCCTAAAATTGGAATATATAAAATTTCATGTGACTGCGGTTCCTCATACATTGGAGAGACATCACGTCCCATGGAGGAAAGGATAAAAGAACACGAACGAGATTTAACAAAGAAGAATACTAAATCTGCGATTGCAACACACATAATTGAGAATAATAATCACAGGATCCAAACAGAGTCAGCAACTCTTATTCATAGGGAGGAGCGATATTTCCACAGGAAATTCAAGGAGGGATTGCTGATCAGGAACACCATTAATAAAATAAATCGAGATTTAGGTATGGAAATAAACCCAATCTGGACATCGCTACTCCTGTCCCTAGCGCCAACGCTTATACGCCCAACTACTATCCCGGTTACCCAGCGACCTCACTGATGTCAACAACTTCATCTAATTTTGAAAATATTATCTTCCATGAAATTTAAAAATTTTTTCCTGTACACTTTTACACCTGAAGAAGGGGGCAGTTGAACCCTGAAAGCTCGTGAATAAACCACTTCAAAAAATGTCATCCATACGATCTGTTAATTCTACCCTAAATTATAGCATAAATTGTAATTCAGTAATTTCACAAGCTCTGAGAATTAATAGAATAATAAGCTCAGGGAAATTGTACGCTACGGCTATGTATCATTAGTTTTGATTGAAATAATTGTTGTCAGCCAGTAAAACCCCATCCTTCAACCTTACCCACACACGTGCCTCTTATTTATAACGCAAAGTTTGCATGACTGATAGAGCTGGTATAAACTACCAATTAAATAATTACTTCTTAACACTAGAGCGTGGTGGTAGATTTTTTGTTAAAAAATCGTAAAAATCATAACAAAATCAACTCGTTACTTATGTTATTCGTTACTCGCAAAATATCAGTTGCTCCTTTAAACTCATTTTCAATCTATTTTAACACCTGAAAAAAAAAGAACATGCACCTCGACGAGGAAATTGTCATCTCAGGGATTTCTGGAAAATTCCCAGAATCCGGGAATATCGCCGAATTTCGAGATAACCTTCTCAACAACGCGAATCTCGTAACCATAAATGAGCGGCGTTTCAAGGCGGGCGTGTACGGAATCCCGTCCGGGTTCGGAGCTCTCAAAGAGATTGACAAATTCGACGCGGATTTCTTCCACGTGCTTCCAAAACAAGCTGCGAAGATGGATCCTCAATTGAGGATGATGATGGAAACGGTCCACGAGGCCATGATGGACTCAGGTAGATACAAAATTTGCATTGTAATTTCAATGTAATTATAAATTAGTCGGCTAACAATACGGCACTGAATAATGGGGGTACTCAGGTTTATGAAATTTCGCAAGTTATGTTTTATTCGCAATTTGCAATGTGCAAAAAAAGTTGTCGTGAGTACGCCTAATGAATATGTGTATACCTATAAGAATATTGCATTCCTGGTCAGGCCCCCTGTATGAAAATAAAATTGCGCTCAAAATTGAATTTTTTTTTACTAAAGGTGTAAACCCAAAGGACCAAGGCGGCTCGATCACCGGAGTTTTCGCGAATGTCTGTCACAGCGAAGCGCACCGATTGTGGTCCACTCAAGCCTCAAAAACCGAAGGGCCAACGATGACAGGATGCACAAAATCCATGTTCGCAAATCGCATCTCCTACGCCTTTGACTTCCTTGGGCCCAGCGCTTGTTATGATACGGCGTGTTCCAGCTCCATCGTTGCTCTTGAAGCTGCCGTGGCGTCGATGCGTGCAGGAAAATGCGACGCTGCCATTGTGACCGCGGCAAATCTTATCCTTACGCCTCACACGACACTCGAGTTCCAAAAACTAGGAATGTTGTCACCAGATTCGACCTGCAAAGCGTTTGACATTCGCGGTAAATAAGTGGTTTCTTTAAAACCATCATTTATTTATTTAATTGGCAATTTGCAACACTTTGCCCTCAACTTATTTATATTTAGGAGACGGATACGTTCGTGCTGAAGCCGTTGCCACGATTTACTTGCAAAAGGCGAGCGTCGCAAAACGGATTTACGCATCTATCCTGAACATAAAGACGTTCACGGATGGGTTCAAACAAGAAGGGATAACTTACCCTTCCACCATTATTCAGGAAAAACTTTTGCAGGAGGCCTACGACGAGGCGGGAGTTAATAAAGGTCACGTGACCTATGTTGAATGTCACGGGACTGGAACGAATGCTGGGGACCCCGCAGAATTTCAAGCTCTGCAGCGGTCATTTTCCAGAACGCTGAAAAACAGAGGGGCACCGCTGTATTTGGGGAGTCTAAAGAGTAACATGGGTCATGCCGAGGGTGCATCGGGGCTATGTTCGATTGCCAAGATTGTCATCATGATGCAAGAAGGAATCATTCCGGCGAATTTACATTATTATAATCCGCACTATAGCATGAAAGGTGTCAGGGATGGGACAATGAAGGTATTTAAATACATATTTATTTAGCCTCAAAATTTCAAAAAATCAATTAATTATCGCTGATTAATTAATTAATTGTCTTGCATGGAAATGTAGATTGTTGATAAGAACACTGCCTGGGTTGAAGGACTGGTGGCGCTGAATAGCTTTGGTTTCGGTGGGGTCAATGCTCACCTGATTTTGAAACCTTACCACGATAAGCGCGTTCCTAAAGACAGAGTTGGTAAAGGATCCAACATTCCGGAACTGATAACTGTCTCAGGTCGTACCGAGATTGGGGTTCAAGCCGCATTGCAAACGGTAAAAAAAATTTAATTCAAGATTCAAATTTTTCAAATTTCTTTCACAAATTACCTACAACTTTTCAATTTTCTTCATGTCTCAGATTAGCGCAGAGAAGAATATCCACTTAAACCACTTGATCAACGAATGTCACAAGACGCTCATTCGCGACCACCATTTTCGTGGCTTTTCTCTCCCCGACTGTGATATCACTAATGTTCAAGAAACCTTCAATGATGGTTCCGACGTTTGGTTCGTGTTTAACGGGATGGGCAGTCAATGGGCCGGAATTGGGAAGGACTTGCTCGAGATTCCGACTTTTTCCACATCACTAAAACTCTCCCACGACACGCTCCTGACCCGATTTGGTTTCAACCTCAACTGTGTCTTATCAAGTCCTGACTCTGATTCCGCGCTGCACTGCTTCGTGACCATTGCCGCCATTCAAATCGGAATTGTCGACGTTCTCACGAGTCTTGGCGTTCGACCGGCTGGTTACATTGGTCATTCTGCAGGAGAAATGCTGTGTGCATATGTGGATGGCTGCTTATCGGCAGAGGAGACAATAATCTGCGCGTATCTGAGAGGAATTTCCTGTACCCAGGAAGATGGCAGGAATACCGACCCCACAAAATATGGAATGGCCGTGATTGGCGTGGATTGGGCGTATGCAAGTAAAACTTGCCCTTACGGAGTTTACCCCGCTTGTCACAATGGCGTCGATTCTGTCACCGTCTCCGGCCCGTCGAACCTTCTTGAGGAATACGTGGCGAAAATGAGGCAAGAAAAACGCCGCGCGACACACGTCGATTCCTGCGGAATAGCATTCCATTCCCCATATTTAGAAAAATCCTCCCAAGGCTTTTTAACCGGTTTACGCGGCTTGATTCAAACTTGTCACGTGAGATCTAAGAAATGGATTAGTACGTCAATTCCAAAGGGGAATTGGCCCAACACTAAATTAGCCTTGACAGCTTCTCCAGAATATTTTGTCAACAATTTCACCTCACCTGTCCTATTTCACGACGCACTAAAGGAAATACCAGAGGGCGCCACAATAATTGAGATCGGACCGAGCGGTTTGCTCAAAGGACTAATCAAGAGAGGCGTACCAAACTCAAACGTCATTTCGGTACAAAGTCGAGACTCTACGAATGGTTTGACCGATTTTGTGGCATCATTGGGTCAAATGTTTATCGCTGGGGTAAAGATGAACGTAAATAAATTGTACGGGGCGAATGTGAAATTCCCAGTCCCGTTGGGAACCCCGTTCATAAGTCCGCTCATAGACTGGGACCATGATTACAGTTGGGATGTCCCGATTTACGGAAAGGTATATGTGAATGAGTCTTCGTGGATAAGAAACTACAGGCGTAAATTAAACCACATATTTAATTACAATTTTTTTTACACAGAATGGCGAGTTTCTCGAGGGAGGCTTCCACGTGGACTTGGCAACTGATGAGGACAGATCTTACGGGGGTCATCAAATTCAGGGGAGGGTCCTATTTCCAGCCACCGGCTACCTGCTACTCGTTTGGAAGTTTTTTGCTCAAACTTTTCAAACCCATTTCGAAAAGTTTCCAGTCGTATTTGAGAATGTAAAATTTAAACGTGTCACGGTTCTGAGAGAATCAGGTACGTATATTTGCACAGCTCTTCCTGATCCAAAATACTAAATTGCAAATAACATACTTTTTTTGTAGGAGGTGGAGTAGAATTTCGCATCAATGTATCCGACCTTTCTGGCCATTTCGAAATTAAGGAAGGTGGAGCTGTCATCTCTTCCGGGACTGTGAGGCGCCCCCACACCGACAACGACGAAGTGACTATGAGCGAAGAAGCATTTACTGAACTCCAGCAAAAGGAAGCCGTAAAAATTTCGGGAAATACAGAATACATTTCTTTAACGAAGCCAGAAATTTATAAACAATTACGATTTCTGGGATACGAATATGGCGGCTTGTTCAAGGGGATCAGGAGGAGAGACCTGTCCGGAAAACATTATTTAATGGAGTGGAATTCCAACTGGGTCGCATTTCTCGATACCATGATGCAAACTACGCTGGGCCTCTTTGGATCCCAGTCTCAAACCGAACTTCCAACCGAGATTCAAAAAGCTGTCATTTTTCCAGAGATGCTTCTCGATTTCATTGCCAACAATCCATACTCGGTCAGAGATGATGGTAAATAAGTACCTATCTATTGATGAATTTTAAAAAAATGTGAAAAATTTGGTTTACCAAAATGTTAGATACATATTATGGACACTAAATAATTTGGTAGCAACCTGTTACTGGGGGGTTATGTAACAATTTAGCAATAGTGTACAAATTGTGTATTGTAACCTCAGTGTGTAGTAACATACGACATCTGTCTTTTCTCAGAAATTCAAATTAGTCCATCAGTGGGTTACAAATTAACAACAATATTTGGTAGTCATTCGCTGCCTTTGAATCATTTACGACTACAGTAAATAAAATAACAAGTTGATTTCTGTGTTTCAGGATTATTTGTACTTCATGAAAAGTCCACGAACATTGTCCGAACGTGTGGGATTGAAATTACTGGGCTGAGAACGACCGGGGTGCCTGGAAGGGGGAAAGAACCCGCCCCATCCTTATCAACCTACACCTTCCGACCATTTATGGAACTTGTGCATGATCCAAAATGCCTCTGCCCAATTTTGCAATCCGTTATCATCTTCATGGAAAACATTAAGAGTCGAGCAACCACTAGCATGCTGGAGATAATGGAAATTGCCAAAAACTCTGACTCTGAAGATTCTATGAGAATCAGTAATCTCATTCGAGTGGATTATGCAACCCCAGATGTAAGTGTTTTAATATACAAACCTGTATTTTTGACACGGTCTTCATCATAGTCTGATTTGGCCGGGTCAAAAATTTTGATTTTTTGGAGGTTATAATAAGTAAATCAGGTTTTACGATATTCTCAAATTATACGTGCATACAAATTGATAAAGTTCATTATACTTTCTTAGATCAATTACACCGTCTTCAGCGAAGAAATCAAGGACGGAATGGTGGCCAAATTTGCTAAAAGTAATGTCAATCTCGTATGCATAGAATCTGCGTCGTTAACGACATACATGACTGAAGAAATGCGTGCCAAAACCTTCGACCTAATAATCATGGACAATACACGATTTTTGGATCTTGTGCAAATGTATCTTCCAACGGGAGGCTTTCTCTTGCTGAAACTTCCTTTGGGTCAAAACACTGCTCAAGAAATTGAACAAAGGCTAGGGTCCAGTTTCGCCCTAATTGCACATAAAGTTGGCCCCACTGAGGACATATTTTTAACACGAAGGGTAAGAAAGTTCATAAATGTGTAACATTTAAGGATTTTTACAAACTGTGTCTTGATTTGCCCCCAGATCGCAGATAAAAATGACCACATGTACAATCTCAAAGTCGTCAATATCTCAACCACCCAATTGGATTGGGTCGATGATCTACGTGAATTAGTTATCGACCAAGAAAACCACATGTTGACCAGTAATTCCATCCCTCCTCTGATTTATCTAGTCTCAAATGGGCAAGAAGACCAAGATTCTGGCATCCTCGGCCTAACCCTTTGTCTCCGAAAGGAACCATTTTGTTCCCAAATTCGATGCATCTTCTCCAGAAAATATATCCCATTGGATTTCTCCACACCGGATGATTTTTTGAGCCAAATCCTCCGCAAAGATTTAGCCATTAATGTTATCGACGAGGAGGGAAGATTGGGGAGTTACTTTCACTCCCCAAGTCAAGCTGTCCTACTTCCTTCTCAGCATGCGTTTGTCAGCATGGGCACCATTGGAGACCTAACGACGCTTCACTGGATGCAGGGATTTCCCCACGATGACCCATCACTGCCTGTCCAAGAGGAAGGTTACTCGCCAGTTAAGGTCCACGTGGCTGCTTTGAATTTCAGGGATATCATGTTGGCTACTGGCAACTTGCAACTAACGGCCCGGACAAACTTACCCTTCACTCTGGAGAGTCATTTGGGCCTAGAATTTTCCGGGGTGACGGGAGATGGGGACAGGGTTTGTGGATTTTCAGAAGGGCAATCACTGGCGACGAGTGTATACGCGAATGACGACTGGTTGTGGAAAATTCCAAATGGGTGGAGTTTCGAGGAGGCGGCGACCGTCCCGGTTGTTTACTCTACAGTAAGTTATCTTGATTTCGAATTTGAGTTTGACACATGCTTGCTTGCGATTTAAGACGAAGTATGTGACACGTGCTTTCAATTACAGGTATATCTGGCGTTAGTTATGAGGGGCCAAATTCGCAATGGAGAAAGCATATTGATCCATTCCGGGGCAGGTGGGGTGGGTCAGGCTGCGATTCGGGTAGCCCTCAGCATGAATTGCACGGTCTATACGACAGTTGGATCTAAGCAAAAGGAGACCTTCATTAAAACTACGTTCCCACAAGTAGTAATTTTCAGTTTGAAAATTGTAAACAATTTTTTATAGAAAGATAACTGAGTGATTTTGAATTTTTTCCAGATTCCCCCAGAAAATATTGGTTGTTCAAGGGACACCACTTTTGAGAGGATGGTGCTCCTCTCGACCGGTGGACGAGGGGTGGACTTAATCCTAAATTCTTTAACTGGCGACAAATTGGAAGCCTCAGTACGATGTTTAGCCAGGCACGGACGGTTCCTCGAAATTGGGAAGGTAAATAATTTCTTGTATGTCTCATATTTATCTATTTCCTAGTCTACCAATTTTTTATCAATAGGTGGACCTCGTCTCCAATAAGAATTTAGGTATGCACTTTTTCCTCCAAGACGCCAGTTACCACGGCGTCATGCTCGATTCCTTATGGGACGCTGCACCATCTGTTCGAGCCGAGTTGAGAAGTCTCCTCCAGTCCGGCCTGGACTCTGGCGTCGTCACTCCCCTGCCCTACCGACTCTTTAATCACCAACAGGTCGAACCCGCCTTCAGATTTATGGGTCAAGGTCAGCACATCGGAAAAGTCCTGATATCCTTGGAAGAAACTCCAATCCTGGCTCATCCCCACGTCTACTTTAATCCCTCCAAGAGCTACATTATAATCGGCGGGCTGGGCGGGATTGGGCTAGAATTCTGTAACTGGATGACGACCAGAAGTGCAAAAAATATCGTGCTCACGACCCGATCCGGAATTAAAAATGCTTACCAATCAAACTACATCCAACTTTGGGAAAGGAATGGCGTCCAAGTGAAAATATTGCAGTTGGACGCTGCTGATCCCGTTTCAGCTAGGACGTTGGTCCACGAAGCTGGCAAGCTTGGACCGGTCGGAGGGTTTTTCAACCTCGCCATGCAACTCCACATTGACCTCATGAAATTACAAACGCCATCCGGATTTTCATTCGCAATGGACCCAAAAGTTAAGTTGAGTCGGAACTTGGGCGAAATAACACGAATTTCTTGTCCAGAGCTGGATCACTTCGTGGTCTTCTCCAGTGTCGCGGCTGGATTTGGCTTTGATGGTCAGGCGAACTACGGATTTGCCAACTCGGCCGCGGAGAGACTCGTCGAACGACGGGTGAAAGATGGCCTTCCAGGAAAAGCAGTGCAATGGGGACCCATCGGAGAAGTTGGTGCTTGGCATGACAGCTATAATGCAGACTTTACCCGAAAGAGTTTTCACGGTTCTGGAGTTCAGAGTATCGCGTCTGCCCTGAACTCTCTAGACGCCCTGCTGGGAGACCCTTCTCCCGTCATGCTATCGAGGAGGACGGTCGACGCGGACGCGGGCCATGCTTCCACGGCTGATGACCTGTCCCTCGTCGAACGTATTGCTCACGTTCTGGGACATATGACGAACCACCACAAACTAAACATGAGCTCGAAGCTCGCGGACCTTGGGATGGATTCGGTGATGTCGATGGAGGTTAAGCAAATCCTCGAACAGGACTTCAATTTGTTCCTCTCCGCGGCAGAAATACGAAACTGCACGCTTAAACAATTCCAAGAGATGGCAAGCAATTGTCCGAAGAACAAGCTTGTAGGGGCGTCGAAACTTAAAGTACAAGCCGCAACGGCTGGTCTGGTCCAATTAAATTTCATCAAAACGATGAGCAGGAGTCGATTTATACATGACCAATGCGTCCACCCACTAAATTCCTTGGCACATACGCGGATCAAAGAGAGAGAGCTCGGTGTCAAGATGGACCCCGGGCACCAGGGAACGATTTTCATCATTAATTCTTTGGAAGGGCCAGACGTATTGAACCTTTTGGCAGGTTATTTACTCCTCCCGGCCTATTCGATGCAGATACCGAAGGAAATATTCGACTCCAACAATTTCAACGAGCTGTCCGACTTTTATCTGGATGTAAGTTTACAAAATTCCCAATGTGTTGTCACGTGTGACACTAAAATTAGAACTAATTAAATTTCAGAAAATAAGAGAAACGGAGCCTAAAGGACCGTATACCATCGTTGGCTATTCGGCTGGAACTTTCGTGGCTATTGAGTTGGGGTTGAAATTTCAGGAGACTCATGAGGTATGTACATATGCAACCAGTTCGTAAGGAGAATGATACAGCAAAAGCCATTGTAGAAGCTTGACAATTTCTTTATTTATTTGTGAAGGATTGTCAATCATTCTCTTTTGATTTCTTTGATTATTATACTTAACTTAAATTTCCTAATGCTGATTATCGCAACTTGATCGAGTGCTTGAGGCATGTGCGAATTTAGAATTAATGATTTCATTAAATATAATATACAGCCTATAAATTACACACATTACTAATTGTTCACTGTCTCATGCATAACAAAAAAGTGCATAACATTTCGTAATCTAATAATTTTTCTCCTCAGATCACAAAGTTAATTTTACTCGACATTACGCCAGGTAATTCACTTAGCGTGGTTAATTAATTTAGATCACGTCAAATTGGTATTTTTTCTTATTTTTGATCGATTCGCCAGGACGGATGCGTGCCATTTTAGACGAGAACTTTGGGAAAGACAGAACACACCTGGATGAAAGTGAATTAATTGTTATGATGGTCACCCAAGTTTTTGGATTTGATCGGAACCTCGTAATGGATAATTACATTTTAAGCAACTCCAGTTAGTTGTCCCATATAATACTTTGAACTAATTCGTATTTAGGTTGAATCTATCCTACGAAAAGAGAAAAATACTGAGCAACAGTATAAAGCGATGACGCAACTGTTGACCACTGTTTTTGAGGCGGATATGACAGTTGACGATATGGAGGAAGTTATGTCCAAGAGGGCTCTTACCTTCTTAAAGTTGATGGACCAGTACCATCCCGCATTGAAATTCCACGAACCCGTCGTACTCATCAGAACAACGCAAAACTTGATTAGTTACGACTCCAATGAATTGTGGGGGCTGGATGAGGTAAAATTCCATCCTTTTCGTCATTGTGGTCATTTACATACATATTTATGTAAATAAGTCAAATTATCTTAATCAATGTTTTCTGCTCTCTAAATAGTTCTGCACACAAACGCCAACCATTGTTACCCTTGACACGACCCATTCGTACATGTTGACGGATCCTTTCGTAAAATCAGTTGCGAATTATATAAATCCGTAAATATTTATGGAATGCATCGGAGCACAAATATAGTGTTGAACTTGAACACTTAAAATATTATTTTCATTTTACTGTCGTCGCTTTTTGATGTGAATAACATTGACAAGTATTACATGTAAATCTCCGTCGAACAATCAGGTCATTGAAACGTATATATGTAAGTAGTCTAGTTAAATCGGAAATAAAAAATACTCTTAGATTTGCGTGTAATCTACATATATAATATATACATATGTATACTTGTTTGAATGAAGCTGCAAAATTGTAAAAACTCTGTACGTAAATATATTTACATACATGAATATGAAACGAAATTTGCAAACAATTGTATACCATTTTATCTGTAGATTCTTTGTAAGGATACAATCAGAATGGTAGCCAAAGTCCAAATATGGTTTAATTTTTTAAATTCCTGTATGAATTTTCAAACTTTAGTATTTCTGAGAAGAATTTTCTAGGAATATCAAAGCCCGCTTAGCAAAGAAAAATACTCAATAGAATTATATTTATTTCTTCGCCAAATTTACTCTACAGATTCAAAATTAACAATGCTTATGTGGAGCTTATAATTAACATAATTTTTACCAGTTTTCCAACTTTTCAGCTAAATTCTATATCGAGGAAGAGTTAAACATGCAACTCTACTTTTTCGGTCGCAAGCAATTATAGAATCCGGGCCAGTAGCACGAACTTCCGCAAACTTTCTGCCCCTTGTGACAAAGGACCTCTTGAGAACTATTATTGTTGCTCTCCTCGTCCTTGAGACAATCCTGAAGTTCCGGATTGAAACAGGCAGCGGAGTGCGTTCCACACAATTTACTGCCTTTGGGACACACCTTAGCGTCACTCCTGACAACATGACACTCTTCAAAAGTGGGGTCGTAACAGTGGGCCCAATGTCCGCTATGACCTTCTCTTGCGCATAGGGATTCTTCATGTCGACAGAGTTTGATGGTAACGGGAGTGTAGCCACGACCCGTTGTATTTCCTATTATTTTGATGCATTTCAGTCTCTCTGGTTTGAAACAGGTCCCATCACAGAGTTCTTCCCCAATTTTGCACAAGGTTTGTCCGGAAACTGGAAGAAGTGCGTACATAAAACTCAATGCTTAAATAATTTAGGAAACAAGCAATGAGAATTTATGTATATACATTCCACCGATTACGCAGAAAATGTACCTTATGTAAACTTCATAGTTAAAGACAATTTAAATCTTACTTGTTATTACCAAAACTGTTACGAGAACTGAAATCACAAAGTTTTTAATCATTTTCCACCGAGTTTTGTATATTTTACTTTGTTTACAAAGTAGAACTGTATTTATTTAATTAGTTTGTGCGCACTAGAAAATTTCTTGCACTGCGTATGCATTAACTTCATGGAGCTTGGGATGAGACTAATAAATTAATCCTGATAAAGCAGAATTTTATGCAAGCTTTTCGTCTTCGTATGCAACTCTAGTTAGAGTTATTTTATGAATAGAGTTAAATAAATTAATGAATACAAAACGTGATGAATTAAACAAGCATAGGTACAAGATACACACACATCAAAGCAGTGTATTTTTCGGTATTTTTCCACTGTCTACTTACATAAATACTAAGATATATTATTGCCAATAATTTATTGGATTGCAACATTATAAATTTCTTCAGGGGCTTTTATCATGGCAGATATCCTTATCTATTCAGAACTCAACTATGGTAATCCATCGGGTCAAAAAGTCAACGAACAGTATGACATGTAATATATGCAAACATATGTATCAAAAGTACATAGGTATGTACCTACGTACAAATTAGTGATTCGTCCCCCCTGCCACTACGTCGATTATTAAGGATACAAATCATATAAATAATTCCAGTAAATTAATTATTCCAGAATTGAATTCGTGAATTCCAGTAAATTCGTTACACGGCCGTGTAACGAATTTAGATACTAAAGCCATGCACGGCTTCCTTTTATCCTTAGATGATTACTTTATACTTTCATGCTTTACACACAATTACTGCAAGCTTTACCAAAGATCAATCCTTCTTGCTGTTTGTACATTAATGGCGTTAATTATGCGTTGAGCTATTTTTATCCTGATATTTATGTAAATATATGCATACATATGTATCTAGGCGCAGACAAGCTCGATCTTACAAATTTTTAACAGTTGACAGTTCTAATCCAACAAGCACACGCAACCAAGATGTGAGTCATCGTTGCTTTATGTAGTTTTATTTACATACGTATATTAACACAATCATGCTCTTATCCTGATTATCGTATTTCATGGGATCAACACCCAACAGGTATTTGATACCATCGACGTCAATATATGCAAATATGTATGCATAAGATATGTATGTATGTAAGCGCCAAGCGGTAGGATGCGAATTGCAATAGGATTCTAAATAGGCATGGAATATAAACGTTTATGCTATCAACTGATGCAATAATTTTACAAGTTGGAATTACAAAGACAATTATTTAGCTAGAATTTTTTTTATTCTGCATAATTAATTACAATACAAATCCATCAACATTTGGCTGCATCGTATTTTCCAAGGAACGCGTTACAATTTGGACATTTGTGTTCCACATCCTGACAACAGCACAAGGCACAAATTCCCCAACTAAAAGAAAAGCATCTCGTTGAAATAATTGTATTCCAGTAATTTATTTTCATATGGGGACGTTCGTAAACTTCATAACGCAAAAAGGGGTGGGTGGTCAGGGCTCAATGAAAAAAGGGGGAGGGTGGGTGTCCAAAAAAATTATGAAATTTACCAAAGTCCCCAATACTGCAGATTGGATTTCTTATTATTAGCTTACATAATACAGCAAATTGGATTGCAAGACTCTTCCGTCATAGTCCGAATCTGGGCGTGACAAACGTTGCAAGTTATATTCATTGGGGCCGCAGTGAAATGGTCAGGAAGTCGGACAACACGGACTGGAGCAACAAGTAGTGGTTGAACTTGAGTGGTCACTGCATCTTAATACAAAAGTTTAAAAATATAGTCAAAATCAATAGCAATAATTGTAATAAATATAAATATATGTATGTAGTTACTTTTCTCTTGAAATGTAGTGTTCCCAGAATCTTCAGGATTTGCAAAACTGTACTGTGGAGGTGGACCGGTAGCCATGATGTTGCAATAATGTGCACGTTGACCTAACAGTTTACAGGAGGAAACACGACGACTAACTGGAGTGGAGTGGGCTGATAATCCAAATATTTAGGAGATAGCGTGTCGTTTATTTAGGGTAGCCGGCGAGACGAGATGAAGTGAGATAGGCCTCGTCTCATCTCATTTTCACATGAGATGAGATGGCTCATTTAACCTTTTTAGTATTTAATATTTTATTAAATTCATACCGATCTTGTTAATACGGGTTACAAATTAAATATTGCTATGAATGTCAATTTCTCCAATTGTTCCTCGTCAATTTACATTACGGTTTGTCCGATAACAATGGTCCTAGAGTTATTCCTTCTTAATTCTTAATTCATTTCAATTATATAATGCAAAAATTTCGGTAAGAGTTAGACCCGAAAGCAGATACACCCTTTTGGGGTATTATAAAGGAAAATTTAATCCACCTCACTAGTGATAAATACAAAATATAATCTAAATCTCATCTCATTATAACACGTATCGTCCCATCGCACAACATTTAATCTCTCATCTCATCTCATCTCAAACTCGTATTATGGTGAGATGAGATATTCGCATCTCATAGGAAACTCTAGTGTCGTTTGTTTGCATAAATCGTTGCAAAAAATTCGGCGTATTAAGTATCCATGCATCTGCTACAGGATGTTGGTTAACCTCGCACAATATCATGTTACATATGTATAAAAGATAAGGAGTTTCTCGGAAATCATGTAAATGCAGGCAGGGAGAAATAATCGAGGTTGGTTTTCGTTTGTAGAAATGTATATGATGCTGTATGCTTTACTTTAGGCTTGTTGTTTTTATGATGCATGATATACATATATCAAAGGCTGCTATTCCATATAACTGCACCATTGCATAAAAAACGTTCAGGGTATAAATGATCATCAATCGATCATTTCCTCTTCACAGGTATTACATATACAATTGCATTTTAAGTACATCCGAAGCAGTGTGTGCAGAGCAAAAAGGCAGGCAGTGCCTTTTTGCCTGCCTCTTTGCCTTTTTGCCCCACAAAAATCTGTGCCTTTTTGCCGTTTTGCCCTTTTGCTAATTTGGGGCGACATGAGACGAGAGTCCCGTGATAAAATTAAAGTGAAAGTTATTCATTGCGTTTTTAATACTTTTCGGAAATATGATCTCTACTGTCAAAATTTGATTAATTAAGCTGATGGCGATGTAGAAATAACGCTGAAGATATTTGTGGAAAAGTATTCAACTAATTTGAAGTATTGATGAAAGTCAGAACCCTCCAATACAATTTTAAAAACATATTGCAGATTCTGCAATTTCTTTAATACGTTATAAACGACAATAAATCGGGTTCAATCTCAAAAGTCGAGCAAAAAGGCATCAAACAGGCAAAAAGGCATCAAAAAGGCAAAAAGGCACACAAAAAGGCAAAAAGGCATTGAAAAAGGCAAAAAGGCAAAAAGGCATGCAGAAAAAGCAAAAAGGCTGCCTTTTTGCACACACTGATCCGAAGTACCAAGCGTTCCTTATGAGCCATTCCATCATAATCAACTTTGATTTCGATTGCATTCATATTAGCTTGTTCCAACCCAAATATGGACGTCCATGTTTAGCAGCTTCCATGAATTGGAACCATGGTTTAACCCTTTATCTCGCAATGACTAACTTGTCGGGTATAGAAACTGGACAGTTGTGGTCTCCTGAAAATTACGACCTTAATTTTTTCTACTCTGTGTATTATTTTGTGTTACTTCGAGGTGTTTCTTCTTTGCCAACAATATGTATGTGTAAATTTTCATAATATTGATTAATTATAAAAATTATAATTAAGATGTAAGTTTTGACCTTTTTGGCGTGCTTAGGAGTTTTTAATGGTAACGTGATCACATGGGGTCAGTCAGTCCCTTTGAGGAATGATGGTGATTGAGCATGTATGTAATGTATTATGTATACAGTCCTTTATTGCGAGAAACATGATAATGTGATATTTGAACGCTCATTTAAATATCAAATAAAATTGCTTAGAAAATTCTGGAATACATACATACCTACATACATGTTTACTTATGTAATACATGCCCCTCTCAGATCTTGATACCCTTTGCATATTAGGGTCCCCTGTGATTCGTAACCTTAAAGTGGTTTTACTGTGGCCACATTTGCGCCCGCCACACCCACTCAAAGGTGTGAAAAACACGAAAAAAGCTCTATTTTCATGTGCTTCAACTGTCAATCGTCTGATCGTGTCCAGTATAGCAATCTCAACTTTTTTGAAATTTTGAAATTTTCAAGACCTTGAATTATTTTTAAAAAATTCGAAATTTCAAAAAAGTTAGTAACAAAGAATAAAATAAAATGGGTTTTATTATGCAATAAATTTATTCATTTGTCCAATTTGGAACCTGCTCTTCATCATATTGACGTGTCGGATAATATTTAGTGTTGAAGAGCCTTGGCTGGATAAGGTCCCAAATTTCCTGGCGGGCTGGGCCCCACCATCTCTCCCACGATCAAGGTAACCTGCGTTCGAAACCTTTCCACCGCCGCACGATCTTCCATCCATTCCGCAAACTCCCTCGGATCAGTTTGCCCCTTATAGTTGAAAATACCCTTGTACCCCTCGGGCACTGGTACGTCCTTTCGTACACTCCACATGTACCACACATCATTCTGCATTTCGTAACTAAGCCTCCAGCTCAAATACAACTTTGCTGCGGCGGGATGTTTTGCATTTTTAAATATGGCGCCAAGTTGTGCAAACGATACGAAAGGATCCGCCTTTGGAAGGACAAACTGAACGGGGTACGTTTCCTTGGGCTTCATCATGCCGTCCGTCGTAAATGTCGCTGAGCTCACTCCATCCCACACCATTTCGGAAGGAATCTGCGCCCCGCGCACAAAAGTGGGGTTATTGGCGACGAATTTCTGCAACCAAGACCATCCATACTTGTCGACGACCTTTTTGAACCAAAAGAGGGCGACATCATCTTCCTGTGGGTACTCTGAGACGATTTTACCTTTAAGGGAAGGCCGGAGATAATCATTCGCTTCGGTTGGCCATGTCGCACTATTGTTTCCTAACAGGTCTCGATTAATATTGTTGCTAAATGCGACCACCACCAGACCGGTAAAGAATCCATCGGCATCTTTAAACTCAGGGTGTACTTGATCCCATCCAGCCGGCTTGTATTGGAGAAGGACGCCTTCTTTTTTCCACCGCGGGAAGTCATGGACGGATGAAAGGTGTGTCACGTCCGGGATTAATTTTCCCTCGCTTAATTGTCGGTCGATTCGCACGTCGTGATTTTTACTGAAGTCGACAATCATTTCGGCCTTAATGTTAGGAAAGCGGGATTCGAAGGCGGCCTTAATTTCGTCCATCTGGCCGGCTGAGTCCCCTCCCGCGTACACGATGAGATTTCCCCCTTCGGCAAGAGCTAAGCGGTAGAGTTGGTCGAGGGAGCGGGTATCGCCCGTGTCCGGGGGAGAAGGGGACGTCCAACCAGTACTACCACTACTCCACCCACTGCCATGAGAATGGCTGTAGCGATTCCCGTGCCATCCGTTGTAATGACGATGCTGAACAAATTATGATTGAATTAAAAATAGTTTAATTGAAAATTTAATAAAATTGACTTACCCCATGTCCAGCCGTGGAAACTATGCAGATCGCTGCTGTGATATAAATTGTTAGGAAAGTCTTCATGATTTTACTATATGTTCGAAATGACTTTAGCTGTGGCGTGTAGCACTTTCTCTGTTTTATGAAAAGGCCAAAATTCATTTTATATGTTCCACACCCGGATATAAGTAAATAAAGCAGGTCCTGTTGCGGTTAAATCATGGGGGTACGAAGGTATCAATAAAACGCTATGTGCAATAATTTGTATGAAGTTTTCATCAATAATGATTCGTCACTTGCTGTATAAATATTTGTATTACTTATTGATAGAACTAAATCAGTGCGCTTTTTATAATTTATGACGATCCAAAGTTGGGATTCAGTCCAAAGTTCAAAGTACAATAAAAACTTACGATTTTAAATTGGCAATGATGCTCTTTCTGACGTTAATCACCAGGTACGTGCATAAGTTGAATTTATTTTACTCAAGAACAAATTAGTCTAATTTGACATGCTCAGAATTTTGTGTCAGTTAATTTTAAGTGTAAATGCAAAACAAATTTGTGGAGACATTATTCATATGTACACTCCTCGTAGATACATAGTTTTTAACACTTTGGCTTTCTCGCAATAAAGCATAACCCATCATGACGATATACATCCAATTTGTCGTTTTGCATCTTTTTAAGAATATCGAGTCCGTCATTTCTCAAGTCATTCCGGAGATGTGCTGGAATCTCATTGAGAAAGGGATTCAAAGATAGCAACAAATCTAAATATGTAAATGCAAGGCACACGAGTTATTTACATATACAGGGTGGTTAAAATGTGACGCTACAATGGAAAATTTTTCAATGGGAAAAACCTCCTAAATCTCCATTAGTTACAAGATTTTGGATTGAGATTTTTATAATTATTTTCAAAACTGATGGAAAACTGATGACGAAATTCGTAAATTATTGAATTTTAGAGAGAAAATTTCGGTAACTGATGGAAATTTAAGAATTTTTCCCATCGAAAAATTTTGTATTGTGGCGTGACATTTTAACCACCCTGTACAATATAATTTTCAGAAGCAAGTAACTTTGTGTTCTTATTTTATATGTATATTCCACGTACCCATTAAAGGTTCAATGTCACTCCCATGCTTGAGAACGATTTTTTCAAGGCTTACAATTTCAAAACCACAATTTAGCAAGGATTTTTCAATATTGTCTTCAGCATCACTTCCGGCATCAATCCATTTTGGAATGTAATTTTCATATCCCTAAAATGTGGAATCAAAGTACGGAATTTAAGTTACATTATCTACTTATTTATTTCGCTAGCAACCGACTAATTTAAATCGTAAATCTAAATCGTAATCTAAATCTAAATCGTAAATTTAAATCGTAAATCGTATGCATGCTTCATCATATTTACTTACTTTACAGTATCCACGCCACTTTTCACTCTGTCCCAAATTTTGCAACATCCAGAATTGTGGTCCCATTGTGACAAGAGTTGCACCAACAAATCCTCCAGGTTTGAGAATGTCGTAAAATCGTTTCATCGCAAGTCTGAAAGGAAAAAATTAAAAAATTGTTATCAAATATCCACTTGAACTTAATAATCAGTTTAGTTATTTGTCTCACTCATAATCCTTGATCCAATGAAGGACATGGTATGAAAATATTTTATCGTACTCCTCCCCAGTAAATTCTTTCTCATGGATCATATCTCTTGCAAAATATTGAACTCCTTCGCTTGAAAAATGCTTCCTGGCATGATCAATCATCACGGAAGAAATATCCACTCCATGAATTTTGGAAGTGTTCTTTTTGGCCAGGGGGAGCAGATAAGTATACAAATTACTGCCCGCACCACACCCGAAATCCAGGTACAATTCGTTCGGTGACCATTCCATTTTTGACGCAAATTTAGAAAATGCTTCTACCGCGACGGGGTCGTTACCAGTTTTGGTGCTTTCGTAACTTTCGGGATCTTGCATTTTAAGTTAGTAAGGAAGCTAACTCTTTTAATACTTAATTTAAATTAATTATAATTGTGCAATGTTTTGTACGTATTTTTGGTACTGGTTTATATGATGGGATAAATTAAACGTCACCACGTGCAGTAAAAATTGAACTGGACAGTCGTCCTTGAGGTAAAGATCATGTAGCCAATGTCAATATACCTCTGCTGACTGTAACAGTATTGCGATGATAATGGATCATTTGGTACAGACATTTGTATATTACTCGACAATTTCATACAGGTTTAAACATACATACGTTTTGTACGCGTGCTGTATACATCATAATCAGTGCAAGTACATACATACATACATAATACACAACCATAAAGCGTCCGAAAATGACGATAACAGATAAAAAACATAAGTTCATTCTCTACAACAACGTTTTTCGTGGTGTACAAAATGTGCAAAACAAAAAAAAATAAATCTCACCTCTGCATGTATTTACCACTTATAAATTAACAAAATAGTCAGTTACATGCATAACTATTTGTACCGTATTTTTCGTATATTGAATATGATTGGTGAATTGGTATGGGCATAAAAAACCCATGTCTTTAACTATTGCATGTGCCAAATTTTGAATCCAATGATGTGACATCGTTTCAATTTAGGTACATATGTACACTTATTCATAATTTACTCATTGAAGTTGATCACGAAAAGTTCCACAAAACTGATTTAGCCACTATGCAGAGTTTCAGTTTGATGCGTGAATTATTTTCTAGAGTTTGTTAGTTATGAGCAAAAAAAACATTTCTTCGCACATTACGGATAAAGCGATCTACAACAGATGACAGAACCCTTTAAGGTTTAAAATAACACCTAAATATTTATAGTAGTTACATTTAATGGGGCTTGCCTCACAATATAAACTAAGAACACTACTTTGAGTCAAATTTTAATTTGGAAATTTAACATTTTTTCTGTCGAGATTTACACAATTTTATGAATTACGTATGGAGTAAATTATTCATGGAGGAGTCAACTATGTACATAGTTTCAAACTGATCAGTCTTAACAAAAACTTCTAAAAACTTCGTGGACAACCTTAGTAAAACTGTAATGCATATATGCATTACTTCACTTTTAAACACCATTCAGTTTATTTTCCGTGAACTGAAATTGTACACATAAAACGAAGATGGTAAGAATTGTGTTGAGTATCTGTAAAAATTTAATTTGATATGTGTAAAACTCTTCGTTGAACATATGTATGTATGTATTCAGAAGAGTGTGACACATACCGAATAAATGAAACTGTAATTAAGTGTAAACGTGTTGCCTCCTCGCAACCCGACCGGATGAGACGATGCAAGTTCCTGTGTCAAACTTGTAAATCGAAGTGGTTCAGATTCAAATTCTTTTTGAGCCCGTGGTTTCGCAAGCCACCTTGTTTCAAAGGAATTTCAACAATTTCAATAAAACTGAAGCTCGCTCTGTAGAATCTTATGTCATATGTTTTACCTGCTCAGCAATTTGACCTTTTCATGTCCATCCGCTGCTAAGAGCAAGCTCAATCCTATAACAACGACGGACACAACAAGATAGACTTTTGAGATAATGGGTTGATCCAGCAAAATATCCATGAGGTGAGTCGAGTAGTAAAATAAGCAATCTGCTAAAAACGGAAGTAACACTGCAGAGAATGCAGAGTTCAAATACTGGGACAAGATTTTCAGATCTTCATACATGTCCAAAATCTCTAGAGTTTTCAGCGAGTTTGAAGCAGAATCCTGCAATTGTGTTAATCTAATTAAAATTGAAGTGTACCCACGAAAACCTTCGCAAATTTAGCATAGAAACATATGTAAATAACTTGCAAAGTTTTGCGAAATTTGTTACATAACTTTAGCAAAACTTTTCATGGAAATTTTTTTCTAGATTTGCGAAATCATATTTTATTACGTCAATTTTTTTGTGCTAATCAAGTTGCAATGCTAAATAAGACATTGTCGTAAGTACGCTCATATTTAACAAAAGTAATCAAGCATTTGAAAATTCAAGATCAGTTCATATCAAACAAACCCCGTTTTTACATACCATGCTATCTTCAATGACCTTATTAAAATGGTGACACGGAACCCACAGTGTTACCGCAGCTATAAGGATGAGTATGTCTCCAAAATACGCCATCACAGTGCGTGAATACGTTCCGAAGATATCGACTATCCCGAGGGAAATGTCCACTACTTTACTGCCCCATAATAGCTTTACTCCATTCGAATTGTTAAGAATTTCTGATTTTGAAATCGTTATCCCTTCAAGTGCAAAGTATAGCCGCACAGTTTGATAGAACTGAGTATCAAAAAATTGCACCTTTGTGTCCGGCAGGCCAAGAAGCAAGACATCAAAGGAGAATCCCACCATGTACATCAGTAGTAAGAAAGCAACGCATCGTGTCGAACAAAGCTGCGGTTTAGGTAACTCTTTACTCCAGACACTTTTATAAATATTTACAATTATTCAAGTATACAATGAGCGTACTCATGTCAACCTTCGCATATCTCGCATATCTCGCAAATTGAGCATAGCAACATAACTTGCGAAGTTTTGCGAGATATGCGAGATTTCGCAAAAAGTTTGCTGGAAAACCATGGGATTTTTTTTCGCAAATTTACCCAGAAATTGGGCATGTTCTTATTTCGCAAAATTACTTCGCAAACTCATTCTCGCACCATCGCCAGCAAGAGAAAGTAAAGAAATCCATGGAAACAGTACCCAAATAGGTATTTTTTCAATAGATTTGCGAGATTAGAGAGATTTGCGAAGTCATATTTTGCGAATCCCCTCACGACAGAAAAATTTTGATCTTCGCAAGTTTGCTAAATGAGTTGCGATGCGAAATAATAAGTTGTCGTGAGTACGCCCAATAGGGAAGTGCGCCTAGCGGATGAGACTGGTGGAAAAATGCCGTGTGGCTACGCACGCGAATTTAAAAATACAATTTTTTGTTGAAGTTTTAGACAAACTTATGTTGACTTAAAAAATCATGATGTATTACTGTAAATAATTCTCGCAACTTTTTTAGGTCGAATTTAAAGCGGACACTTTACATAAAATTTTTCAAAAAATATGCACGAAACTAAACTCATGTGGATGACCAGCATAGAATTTTTCAAATGGCCGGTTTTCTATTCAGTCAAGGGTCAGGAAGTCTGATATGGCTTCAAATTAAAAGTGACAAGCAAGTTTCCCAAAAAATTCGGGGATTTGTCAGAAAAGAAATGACCCTGAATTCTTTACTATAAATGACCCCAGTGACCAAAATACGTACGCGAAAAACTGGATCAAATGAATTTTGGAATCCATGGTCATTGGTCATCATCTTCTGCAGAAAATTATTTTTTGGCTGAACGTAACTCGCTGTCAATAAGTCAAAATTCCTAAAACTTGCCAAAAAGTTAAAAAATTATGATTTTTTTGCCGAGAGGAAATTGCCCCAAACTTTCCCCGATGTGGTCCCATTGAATGTGGTAGCAAACTAGCTCCAAGCGGGTGAGAAAAATTTTTTGGGAGTTTTCAGGAAGAAAGTGGTTGTGGTTGCACACGAAACCTAGCCAACTATGGTTGATGGTGGTTGTAGGGTAGGGTCACTACTTTGTCATCGTAAATTTTTAGTAAACCCAGTCTGCTATATTTAGAGATATTCACATTTTTATGCCAGTCTCATCCGCTAGGCGCACTTCCCTAAATCATTCTTACAGTTTTAAGCTTTCCACGCAATTTCCACTGGACCTTGTTTTCCATGACATGGCAATGTTGAACTATTTGAGGTAATGCGACAGGAAATTTGAAAAACATGAAATAGTAGACAGTTAAATAGTTGCTGGCAGCTCCAAAACTTCTCAGGAGGTACAAATAGTTTACTGGATTTGCTCCAAACTTTTGCGACACATCGAGTAGAACTGATCCCCCGTATTTCAGAATTGCCAGAAAAAATACGATGCAGCATAATACCTAAATTTATGTAGATATGTTTAGGACGCAACATTTGTAAAATGTGTGTCAATGGATCACCTTACATTTGTGAATTTGGAACCTTTCGTTGTGTATTCACATTTCATGGAATTTTTAGATGGTTCGATTTTCCAAGGGAAATAGCCGATATGGAAGGATATTTTTGCGAATATTTTGAAAAAGTTGGAAAATCCTTGAGGTGCAAACGTTGTCCTTTTGTCAAAATTGGTAGCCTCCTTGGTGTTACTGATAATGCCCAAATAGCTGGAAGCAACATCCCACACGACTTGACCAGATCCAAGCTTACTCATTGCAATGTTATAATTGATTAGTTGAGTTATATAAATTTTGGAAAATATTATATTTTTCGCCTTAACTAGTTCGGTGATATGATAGTACTTCTTCAAATAATCCATTTCACTAAACTTGGAAAATGGAATACATAGAGACTTGACCGGTGAAGTCGTTCAATTTTAGTGATAGATAATAATTGATTTCTTGCATCATACCCAACAGCCTTTGCATACAAATATATTTAAATGGTTCTAAAGGCGCGTGTAAATCGTGTAAATGATCAATTATAATTTGAGGAATATTTGTACATATGTCTGTATTATATGTACATAGTCTGTTGAAAAGCAACAACTTGTTGCCAACAAGTAATTTCGTCAAGTGCTCCTAATTGATTGGGTATAGCAAACAGTTGTCATTCAATCATCATTCAATGGAAAATATCTGTCTTTCCTACAATGTACCTATATGCACGTCAAGTCAAGTTTATTTGTCTAGCTTTTCTGCAAAAAAAAATCCAACAAATAGCAATCCTAATCCTAATGGATTATAAAGAACTAAATTATTTAATCCTCGATAGACAATTACTTTCCATTGAGTGACACCTGTTTCTCATACTCCTATCAGTTTTAATTGTTAATAATTAAGAGTATTATTGGGTTTCAAACTCGGGATGTGTTTTTTCTAAAAATTAGTAACGAACAGAATATTTCATCGCAAGCCGACTCATCATGCATTTTCCTAACCTCGTATTTAAATAAATTCTCTCCGAGAATATCCACATATCTGTTTTCAGTAAGCAGATATTTAAATTTTAATGTCACCCTTTCTGAATGCATAAGTACATATATGTGATCCTTTCGTTTTAGAATTAAATTATAACTTAAGTACTAATTTATGATGGAAGGACTAAAATAAATTATGCTACACGTACATATGTATCGATATCGATGTATGTACGGATTTGTCCATAAATTTGCATGCCTTGCCAAGGTAGATAGAACCTTTAAGATCCAAGAAACGTATAGGTTAGACACGAGGATGAAACTATTTAAATAAAAGTAACGTGCTTAACATTAACGAATTTCCTGTTTATGTTTAAATTCAAGGTAAAAGTTTTGAATATCTTGCAACTATATATGAAGCCGTCTGTGCCAAAATTCAGTCCTTGTGTCCATAGGTCATATTTAATTTACTAACCTACTCATATGTATTCGTATGCATCTGTATTGATGAAAGTAGACAAAATCAATGAATTTAACTTTGAGAATAATAAGACGAGCTGATATTTTATTTAACTATTTTCAAGATACCAAGATAAAGTATGTAGATATCTATCAACTTGAATAGTCAGTTATCAAACAAAATATACTTCTTTCTTTTGCAGAGACGAATGTTATCTTCATTAATTATGTACTTCCTTTCCGTAGGAATAAACAGAATTAAATCTGATTCGAACATTGCTGGCGAATAGGTGGTCAGTGGTCACAATAATTAAATTAGACAGTCCTACGATCAGACATATCTAAATATATACATATGAGCAAGATATTTAAGTTGGAAGAATCCTCTCAAAATATTTCATTTAATGCTCTACCCTCTCTAACTTATCATCTTGCTACTTAACAATATTTCAAAAATTCTCAAAATTCCCCAAAACAAGATGATTACTCCCCTTTTAGCTGCCGCTTTAAAAGTTTATGCCATACAGTTCGACCTCTTTAACACGATTCCAATTCGTTACGATATTTCGACCCAGTGCTTCGTCACAGTCAAAGGAGTGCGGCGCCTCTTCTCGTTCTACGTTCGACTCGCGGTGGTCGCAATATCTGGGATGCACTACATGGCGCGATTGCTCTACATGATCCTGTCATCGAAGGAGCACTACTTTGCGATGGAAGAAGCCCAGGATCCTTTGTGGATTCTCTTTTGTCGCATTCTTATCCTCATTTTCTCCTTGTTCACGGCTTTCATGAAGCTGTGCATTCTAGTTTATGACGATGACATCGTGATCGGATGGAGGAATTGCCTTATAATGAAGAAAGTCACCACGAAACGTAAGATGATTGTTTTGGTTCTCTGACTATCAAAAAATTTGAATTTTTCAAAGAAATTTGGGATTTATCAGAAAATGCATATTTTTCAGTCCCCGGCGTCAAAAAGCCTCCAAAGATGTCTGCCTATCTGGAAGCCGTCTTACTCGTCTCATTCGTCTTTATTCCACTCGGTGGCCCATTCATCACCATGTTCGGAGTTTACTACCACCTCGACCCACTCTATTTTCCCAGCCAATCCTTCTACGCTTACATGTGGCCGACAAACTATCCCCCGAAATTCGGTTCATGGTCGCAAATCTACATCCTTCTGATTCGCATTTACATCACTCACATCGTCACAACGACCTCTATGCACTTATTCCTTGCCCCCGTCCTTATCCTTGTAATCATCTCTGTTAACACGAAACATTCGCTGAGTTGCATTTCCCAGGTGCAAAATCCGCAAATATTTCTCCAAATTTACACAGAATTCTATCTCGCATCGGTGACATTTGAGTACGACTTAATCATGCCGGTACTTGCTTCACTCATGTTGGCGGGATTAGTTTTAGGGATCATGTCAAATTTTTGCACCATCGCGCTCTACTCGCACATCGCGATGCCGTACTATTTATGCTTTCCAATCTTGGGCGTATTTATAGCGATTGTGGTTCATGTTACAATGCCCGTTGGTGCGAACGTGTATGAGGACAGCTTAAAACTGCTGGGGGAAAGGGAAAAGGTATTCGCAGAGATGGCCGTGGTCGGGTTCGGGACTAGTAAGAAGGGAAAAATATGGGCGAAAAAATGTGCATCCTTACGACCAATTTCTGTAAGTGCGGGGTTATTAGGCTGCAATTTTTTCACGTTAAAAAGCTCCACAAGAACGGTGTTCTACACGGAGTATGTGCAAAAAAGTATCGATGCGTTGCTTTCCATTAAAGTGCACTAGATTTATCCTGACGTATTGACCATCCTGTGCAATCATATTTCTAAATGTAGGAATTGAAGAGGTCCAATTTGGTTGATTGATATGCATGCTGTGTCAATCTAATTTTTTCATTGCAAAAATAAACAATAAATGTATGTACGTATGTATTTGCGATGATTTATTTCTATGCAAATTGTCCACGGGTTCATTTCACCCGTGGACAGATTGCCGAATTTCCCCAACAATTAACAAATTTAAAGATTAGTTTAGTAAATACTTGTCTTCCTTCTTACTACTTATTATTGTTTCGATGCCTTGTACACCGTCAGCCACAAATAACTGATTTATCGTTTGTTTAAACGATAATAATCCTTCGCCAAAATTTCCCCACTTTATCCATAATCCTGCGAATGAGTTTATACTTGGCTAATCCATCACCTTATCATGACAAGGTAACTGCTGAAAGTGGAAAATCCAGGTGGGAGCCCTGGTACATGAACTACGTATGCATGCATTGTATATATTTACTTAATCTAATAATTCACCGATCAATGAAACTGGAACGAACCGTCGGGTATATAAAAGTGAATCTTTTTGCCATTAATTCGCAGTTCATTTTTGCCAATTCTTAACAAGCTTCACCAACCCACCATGAAGTTGCTTTTGGTCATTGCTACCGTTTGTGTGGTAACTTACGCCGGTAAGGTTGACCCATCCCTCCAGATCGCTGTAGAAAATGGAGTAACCGACGCAATCCTCGAGCTGCCTCAGATCGTGGGGCAGATTGAGAACAATCCAGCCCTCCAGTCCCTTTCCGGAGCTGGGAAGGTTTCCGCCCTGGTCGCCACGCTGCAAGGTCTCACGTCCGCTGCCCAGGCGCCACTCGTCACTGTCGCGAAATCCCTTGACCTCGAAACTGAGCAATATTGGGCATCAAATATCATCCTCGTGAAGGGACTCACCTTAGAAAAATTGCTCACACTTGCCAACACTCCGGGAGATTTCACCCTCCGTGAACAACACGTCGTCTCAATCAACTCAAACCTACGAGCTGGACGTGATTTAAGCATCTTGCAAAATCCACAATGGGGCGTGGCTAAGATTCGCGCACCGGAAGCCTGGAGCATCACAGACGGTGCCGGTGCGGTGGTGGGCTTCATGGATTCGGGGGTAAATCTTGCTCATGAAGCTCTCACCACTGGATATGCGGGTGCCTGGTTGGACCCATATTACAACACGGCTGACCCCACGGATCAAAATGGTTTCGGGTCTCACACTGCTGGAGTTGTCGTTGGACGCACGAATGGCATCGGAGTCGCTCCTGGAGCGCAATGGGTCGCCTGTCGCGGTCTCAACCATCAAGGTTCCGGAACTGAGGCGGCTTTAGTTACGTGTGGGCAATTCATGATGACGGCTAACCCCAAACCAAATGTGGTTTCTAACGGATGGGGCGGTGGATCCGGTTCGACTTGGTTTAACCCGGTGATCACCGGTTGGCGAAATGCGGGGATAATTCCGGTCTTTGGAGTAGGAAATTCTGGCCCTAATTGCGGAACCATCGGTTCTCCAGGAGATAATGCGAACGTGGTCGGTGTTGCAGCATCAACTGACACTGACGCCATAGCGACATTTGCCTCCCGTGGACCGGGGGCGGGGGGACTGCTTAAGCCAGACTTTGCCGCACCAGGCAGTAACACTTTGTCCGCTGGGACGGGCAGTAATAATTATGTGACAATGTCGGGAAATGGAGCGGTGAGTAATTTTAGTTAATAAATTGTAAATAGTTAAAAATATGAGAGAAATAATTTGTTATCACATTTTAAGGCTCCACACACCGCTGGTGCATTTGCTCTTATCATCGCGGCACATCCTACTTGGGGCTTTAACGAGGCGTACAATGCATTGGCAGCTAATGCGGTACACCCACCACTTGCAGACGCTGATAAAAATTGTGGACTTCCGACACCCAATGACTTTCCAAATTATGTTTATGGTAAGAATTATGTACATGCATATATCCAAAATGGTATTAATAATTGTGGCGTAGAATCTTCTGTGCATTTATGCATTTTTGTATTTCAGGCCATGGTCGAATTGATGTTGCTGCTGCACTTGGACTTTGAATTGGATACAAAAAATTTTCCCCTTGTGGGTCCGTTTTGACGTTAACTTCTGATAATAAATGATCTTTCACGAAATTTTAATTGGATATAATGAGATATTTATTTATTACAATTTTAAAGTGCACATTTTGCAAAATGTGTTATCTTTCTTTGCTTGTCAATGATAATACGAATGACACGCAAATACATACATAACGCATGTACATATGTATTAGTTGGGTCTAAACAGAGTCTTGGGATTAACGAAAGTGGGATTAATGATTAGGATTACGGATTGATTTTAAAAAATTCGGGATTGAGGATTGAGATTAGGGATTAAATTAACTCGGGATTAAAATTAATTCGGGATTAAATCTCTCAAGTCATTCAATGGGATTAGGGATTAGGATTAATTTAGTCCGATTTTAATCCCGGAATGGGATTAAAGTCGTGTTTATCGTCGATCACATTTATATCTAGTTAATGTTTCTGATGTCTTAATTAAATTGTTTTATAAGTCTTAACAGTGCGATTGAATTTGAATAACCTAATGACCATATAAATAATGACCTAAAGTGTGAGTTGTCGCTTAAGTGACTTAAGTCCAGTCTCCATTTGATTAACATTCAAGTGTGAATGAGTGGGCATTACCACTGGCCACTCTAGGTTATTATTATACGGCCACAAGAATATGAAGTGTACAGATGAGTGACATAAAATAAGTTTACTTAGTCATCAGTGAACTAAAATCAACTTTAACAGATGAAGTCTTATCAAATGTTTTTAAATACATGAACTATTTGTTGGCATGCATTTAAAGCCTCTCCAATTAAATGGGAAGTACCCTCCAAATATTTTAAAAGTACCCTTCATGGATACCTGCCTCTTAAAGTTATTTTTGAATTAGGATTTCGGTGGCAAACTACCTCTTAAAATAATGTACATATCTACAAGCCATAATTTTATCATTTTATGTAAAAAGCGTATTATTTATATACGATTAAAGTTAAGGCTTCCATAAAAGCATGCATTTTTAAAAGGCACATGGTACTCAAAACTGTTGTGAACTTAACAGGTCCTCCACGCTTACGCTTGGTACAGGTTTTGGGTGCAGGACAATATCGAAAAATTCTTTTATAATTGCCAGACGAATCTTTATACAGTACCAATTCTTAAAAAAACTGGTACACGTACAATGGTACACCGATTTTTTCTCATCAGCGCAATAAAATCGAACTAACTATAGAGTCGCGATTTTCAAAAATTGTCTTAAAAAGGTGAAATTTGGCGCAGTGAAATTAGCGATTAATACCTAATCGCTTCCCACGAAAGAATATGAAGTTACAAGTGAGCAAAGTGCAACCAGTGACACTATAGGGTCACTATGTACCGTTTTTAAAAGTTATTATTTTTATCTTAAATTTAATATGGAGGGTAAAAACCACTCATGGATAGCACATACAGCCTTGTAATTTAGCCACAAACGTGCATTTTTTGATAGACTTCAATAGGTTTTTTTTTTACATATGTCAGCGGTTTTTCCAAAAAGATATATTCTTTTAGAGAAATTAAGAAATTCGCAATACATAAATAATTCCATTCATTTATGAGCTTTCCATGCGCACTTATATCATTGTTAACAACAAACACTTGGTTTAAATAAAAATCAGGAAGATTCCATTCATTAATGTAATATGAAACCAAAGCATGTGGAAAGCTTGTTATTTGTAAGTGTGAAATATTAAGCTATTTTTCACATTTTTGCAGTCAAACAGAATAATTTTTAAGCTATTCAAAACGAATTAAAAAAATGTTTTTCATAAATACATCTGTTGGGGATCTGAGTAAACATTTTACATGAAGAGTTAGGGTTTTTAAGAACATATTCAACCGGACTCTGGTAGTAACACCCATCACTGATACGAAATTTACACAGATTTGTGATATGCAAAATGAGAGGCTACTTCCATTTAAGGGGAGGGAAAATTTAGAGCATTAAGAGGTTGCTTTCCATTTAGGTAACTTCTTAAATATTCGGAGGGTAATTCCCATTGTTTTGGAGAGACATTAAATTACTTCCCTATTTGTTTAATAATATCGAATTTTTGTTTGTGAAATACAACGATGGAATTTCGATAGTTATGGCCCATAACTTATGGGAAACATATTTTTAATTGAAACAAAAGGAGAACTGGCAAAGTCTCTGAGAATTTTCAGCAGGTGGAGCTGATTTAATCCCATTTTAATCCCAAACTTGGATTAAGATTAATCAATGCGCTCCGGGATTAGGATTAGGGATTAATTATTTTTTCAAAACTTTTTGGGATTGAGGATTAGGGATTAAAAGTCAAAACTTGCGGATTGAGGATTGGGATTAAGGATTAATTAATCCCCAATCCCAATCTCAATCCGTAATCCCGGATTAACCAGACTCTGGGTCTAAATTAATTTAGACGCTAATTCATTATATACTATTTAAGGGCTGACATAATCAGTTTGTTTGTTCACAAACACCATGTCGGATCCAGTCTTTGCCCAAAGTTTAAATCCATTCTCCGCCAGCAAAGTCTTGATCCCTTGTTCGCCCTCAGGTGCGAGAAAATATTCCACGAATATGACCTAATTTAGGCAAATTTATTAGACAAAAAAATTAATTCGAGTATTTTACATGAATATAAAACCTTAATATCGACTGAATGGAATGGAACAGCTTTCAAGATTTGATACTCATGTCCTTCCACATCCAAACTGAGCAAGTCCACCCGGCTCACGTTAATTGCTGAGAGAATTGCGTATAACGGAAAGCACTCGACCACACCTTCCGAAGTGAACAAATCTGTTCCATAAGAATTTGTGGGGGTGGCTTTTTCGATACCATTTCCGGTTTGAGTAGTAGTTTTGCGCTCCTTAATCTTGCCAGCTCCACCGCTCCAGGGAGGAAATGTATTTGCATGGCGGAGAAAGTCGACCTGGGGGACATAAAAAAATTGCACTTTCATCTGTAAACGTAAAGTAATGTGCTTATGTATGTATGCATAGCTACATAATTCACTAGCATATTAATTTTTAATAATTTTGGTAGGACAAATTAATAATGCATTTGTGTGATTTTTCTGTTAGCAATTTTTTTTGAAGCTATACTGAAGTGATTATTCTATTACGAAATTTCAGCCTGGTAGATATGAATTCCAAATCTCATTTAGGTTCACAATAATTGCATCCACAAACCTGTATCGGCTTCTCCCCACTGAGACAAACGTCTGCCACCCAAGCCTTCCGGTTTGTATTGGTCAAACTTTTCACCAAAGAAGGAGATCCTTCAATTAGCAATCCTGTCCACCCTAATTCCATCTCGAGCTGAATCGTATTTGAGAGAAATTCACCGTCATTGGCTCCACATTCGACGAAAAATCCATTTTCCGGTATCTTTAATTAAGGTATTAATAGTCAAGGTTAGCGATTATGCGGATTGATATCTCATGGTTATCCATAATCAAGTCAAAATCATGTGTGTAGCTACCCTTAAGGACATCGATAATTGTAACACATTTACGTATTATGATGTGATTTACTCTCATAGATATTTGAAAACCAGGTAAACTGTGCAAGTTTTGCAAATCTATATATTTTATAAATTTTTGCAAAATACAGAGAGACCCATTGATCTTGGTGCACTTTTCGTATTAGTAAATTTGTAATAAATTGATCAGCTTAGATTTTCCTGTACAGTCTTCGTAAACTATTCAAATTTTACAGTAATAAGTCAGATATGTAAGTGTACATATGTACATAATACAGGTATGGACGTATTGCCAAGATCTTCAAAAATGGCCTGTATATTTCTAAATAAGTTATTTTCATAAGTACTCACCCTCCCTCCAAACACGTGTCGTAACGCTGACTGCACATTAATGTCGAGTTGTTGCGGGTTAAGGATATTTGTCAGATTATAATCTGTCCCAAAATTTGGACTGATTAAGTGATGATTGATTAAATAGTTTACAACAATTGGATCATTTTGAGCGGACACTCCTTTCGTAAATATTAAATCCTTCACTAACTCTTCCGCACTTGGGAGTGATGATAAATTGGGCGAGAATAATAGCAGAAAATAATAACTTGTAATTCCAAACATCAACAGAGCCGAGGCAAATATCACAATTAGGACGAATTTAGATTTATTACGAGCAAAATTTTTACATGATGGCAAATTTCTAATCGAGATGAAGGAAGATTTCATTTTTACTGAAATTTAGTCCAATGCATGTATGTTAGTCTACCTGTTTAAAGCGATTGGACTGTGTAAAGTTTGTAAGATGGGTAATAAAAACGATTCATGATGGATGCAACTTTGGGGTTTGTACAAAAATAGCGTTTTCAGGAATATATTTGAAAGACGCGTGTGTCTGATTGTGTTTTATTATGGCTGGTACAGTTTCTGATTTTCCTGATTTTTGAGACAACTACGTAATTAAATTGGACGTTAAGTACATATATTTCCTTAAGTGTATGTATGTGGCTAATTAGAAAATATTATTAAAGGTGACATTAATGACGAGTTGAACACAAGTATAATTCGGTATTATGAACCCTACACATAAGTAGAGGTTTGTAGTAAAAGTCATAAAAATCACTCATTCGTGAAAATCAACGCAATGATGCTTGACTTGTGTCATTATCCTGCTCGACATATTTCTGCCAGGAGGGGATTTATGGATGTCTGTACTATCATTAGATATCAGATAATATACCGTACTATATGTCCTCATATGTACACAGATGTCTTAAATACCAACATTTTATTCTTATCTTGCTCATTATTTACGACACAATTTAACCGATAATGGTTTCACATTTACGCAAAAGTCATACGCAAAGCAAGTGAAACAAACCTTGCATACATACACGGTAGAAAAAATACATATAAAAAATAACTCTGTAAGAAATTGGAATATATGATTGTATAGGCCGTTGCCACATAAATTGAGCACTAGTAAATTTATCTATCCACCTACATACATACACTATATGTGATATACATACATAGATATATCTTAAGTTAAGAATTAGGAATCAACAGTCAATACACAAGTCAAAAGTACATAATTTAAATAGTCCATCGCTCGTCAAGTCCACGCTATTCCAGGAAATCGAAAGCTGTCAGAGGTGAAATCGGTGAAACGAAGCTCTGTTGCTGAATATTATTTCCCGATGACGTCAATCTATTCTCAAAAGTGTTACGGAGAGATCTAGCACTAGCACGCACTACGGGAGGCATGGCAAAGTCTTCCAAAACCGACGGTGCCACATATGTAAATCCCTGACAAGATAGAGTAAAAAATAGAATAATTTAGTCCAATTTTTAATATGTAGTTAATAAAACTTGAACTAAAAAATTACCTGGAAGATCATATTTGCACTCTCGCTTAGCTTAGTATCATCCGGGGAATCTACGGCTGGTTGTCCGGTAAATTTAGTATCAAAGTGTGATACATCATCATCACTGGCCTAAACACATGAAATAGTATCAGATATGCACTCAATTTAATTTTCAGCATGACCACATTCATGGAAATTAAAACTTACTAGTGGAGGTTTATACGGTGGATCTACCCGACGCTAAAATTGAATGTTATCATTATTATTATTTATTACATGGATGTTTTATTACCGCAGGTACTTTTTAAAAAGCATGCGATTGTGGCATACCGCTAAAACATCATCCCAATCGCAATTCTTAAAGAATTTATGGTTTCGTATTGCAACACCGTCCATTGGTCCATAGCCAAGCCTTTGGTTAGGTTGACGCTGTAACATGCAGCAAAAAGAAGTTATTTAGTTAAGCATACATACTGACGAAGACTTGTTAAAGACAAGTGTACGTTGCCTTTAAGAGCCTCCTAATAAGGTCTTGGGCATCTCGAGTAAGATGGGTTGGTAAAAGTAATTTCGCCTTTAAAATTTTGTCACAAGTCTTTTTTCGAGTCTCGCCATTAAACGGGGGCTAGGAAATAATTGGTATCCAATATAAAAACTTGAATAAAAACAATACAAACGTGAATAATGAATATTTCAACTCACAGATCCCGTCAGCATATCAAACATCATGGCACCGAACGACCACCAGTCAACTATAATACAAAAGTAATCGTATTATTACACACAATTGGTGCAAATGAATCAGGAAAAATTCTAATTTGATAATTACCCGCTTTTCCGTGGCCTGCACGCATCAAAATTTCTGGTGCCATGTAGTCAACAGTACCACAGAACGTATGCGTAAGTTCCCCTTCGGGCATTTGTTCTTTGCAAAGACCAAAGTCTGTCAACTTCACGTGCCCATCAACATCTAAGAGAACATTTTCAGGTTTCAAGTCCCTAAAAAAATAACGAAACCAAACAGTTACATCACCTTCATGAAATGATACAGAATCTAATTAGGCTAGACTTTAGTTAACCGTCGGTCTCCGATAGGGTTAAGTGATACGTCATTTTGTTCGTCTCGGCGAGCTGAACAAGAATATCGAAGCCAGAAGGCGCGGAAATGTCCCGTTCAAAAGTTATGGCGGGACAAAGTTTGAAATTTTTATTGCATTTTTGGACGTTTCAGAGAATTCTACGACTTTGTCTCACTTTGCCCCAAAGCGGGAAATTTTTTGGGGTATATTGAGATTTTGGGGTAAGGTGGTATTTGGATGTTATTTATTAAATGTAAAATGCATCAAATCCGAGCGAAGCTAGACACTGTGAACACCACAGATTCTGTGCAGGGCCCTTCGCACTTGGCAAAACGAGGGCCCTCACATGGCGACCGCGAGCGAAGCGAACCTGGAAAATGCGAAAGCGGGAGCCCCGCACTGGTAGTAATTATGTCGAATATTGGGGTATTGTTCGTATTTTAGCGAGCGAAGCGAGCAGGTTAGGTTAGATTGAATACGCGGAAAGTGCTACCTAGGAGAGCTACCTAAAAGTGTTACCTAGAAGAGCTACCTAGAAGAGCTACCTAGAAGTGCTACCTAGCAGTGCTACCTAGAAGAGCTACCTAGAAGTGCTACCTAGAAGTGCTACCTAGAAGAGCTACCTAGCAGTGCTACCTAGAAGAGCTACCTAGAAATGCTACCTAGAAGTGCTACCTAGAAGAGCTACATAAAAGTGCTACCTAGAAGAGCTACCTAGAAGAGCTACCTAGACGTGCTACCTAGAAGAGCTACCTAGAAGTGCTACCTAGAAGAGCTACCTAGAAGTGCTACCTAGCAGTGCTACCTAGAAGTGCTACCTAGAAGAGCTATCTAGAAGAGCTACCTAGAAGTGCTACCTAGAAGAGCTACCTAGAAGTGCTACCTAGAAGTGCTACCTAGAAGAGCTACATAAAAGTGCTACCTAGAAGAGCTACCTAGAAGAGCTACCTAGAAGTGCTACCTAGAAGAGCTACCTAGAAGTGCTACCTGGGATAGCTATCTAGAAGTGCTACCTAGACGTGCTGCCTAGAATTGGGGAATTGGATAGGAAATAACCCCAAAAGTCTCAAAGTACCCCGAAACCCCTCCCGCCGTGCCGTAAAATGATTGTAATTCAATATTCTGGAATAAAAACTAAAAATCTCACCTTACCCCCAAAATCTCAATATACCCCAAAAAATTTCCCGCTTTGGGGCAAAGTGAGACAAAGTCGTAGAATTCTCTGAAACGTCCAAAAATGCAATAAAAATTTCAAACTTTGACCCGCCATAACTTTTGAACGGAGCGTTTCCGCGCATTCGGGTTTCGATATTCTTGTTCAGCTTGTCGAACTGAACAAAATTACGTATCACTTAACCCTATCGGAGACCGATGGTTAACTAAATTTTTTCCTCTAATTATATAAAGTACCTATAAATAATCCCCAGTTGGTGCAAGTGCTCCAACGCCAACACAATTTCTGATAGATAAAAGCTGCAAGCAGATAACCAGGAAAATTTAAATTGTGATACTTTTATTAAACTTGTGAATAGATTAATAATTTGCATACCAGGCTTCATTTTCAAGAAACATCCCTTCTCTTTCTAAATGGATAAACAGCTCGCCTCCACTCAAATACTCCATAACGAGGTAGAGCTTTCCTCCAGTTTGAAATGCATATTTCAAATCCACGATAAAAGGATGCTGTAAACAGAGATCATACAATAATGCATTATATTTAATCTATGCAAACAAAGGCAAACTCGCTCACCTTTACAGCCTCCAAAATATTCCTCTCTGCCTTCAAGTGAGCAGTATCTTTTTTGTTTAGCACAATCGGCGCCTTCTTCAAGACCTTCATGGCAAAAATCGTATTGCAGTCTTGTCCACTGCGCTTCCTGACTTGGAACACTTTTCCATAACCTCCCGTCCCCAGAATTTTCTTAATCTCAAAGTCTTCAAGTCCTGCGCGACCATCGATAAGTCCAGATTTTTCTAGCAGGATTTCTTCAGTGTTATAATCGCTACGGATTAAATTGGAACAAATTAATACAAAATATTAATGGAATAATGCGTTAATTTATAAACACCTGCTCACCTCATTATCTCCTCTAGATCCCCGCCCTCTGGCGTCTCGCTAATCTATAAATCATGATAATCCCTTCTTTAAAATATGTATGCGAGCTGAGCCAGCCCAAGTGTACTACAAAACTCGTTTCCGTATTTAGCGAGAGGCAGAGTGAGAATCGGATTCTGGTGGGTATCCACCACCACCGCTGGCTGTCGTTGTGACAGTGCCGTATGGCACTGTCGTATGGCACTTTCGTATAAATTCAAAAAAGCTTAAGTTTTAAATTTGGGGTGATTAGGTAATTAAAATATCACAAATTTTAGTAAGTTGGGTAATTGACGTACATATCTCATTAGTGGCCAGAGTTTGTTACGGCTCTTGCAAAATAAGTCCCTCCCTTAGAAACTTTGACCCCAACTTTCTCAGGGTACCAGCGTTTCCCTTCGGGCAACAAAAGCTGAAACTGTAGCCCTTCCCAAGGAGAAAAATTTGGCATCAGACTGTCCGAAGTGAATGGCTGGTACCTTGAGTTTTTTAATGATTTATGTGTATGTGAAAAAACCGCCAATTTTCGAATTTTGAAACTTTTGATGCATTAAAATATCCGTGTTCAAGGGGGAAGTCAAATGTCAAATGCAAGTTGAGGTTTTATTCTTATTGTACCGAATGTACATTTGATTTCTCATGTTTCCCGATTTTATTCCCCAATTTTTAAAGGGGGAGTGGTTGCACATAATTCAAAAATAGCTATGCCATATTAATCCTTTCTCCCAAAATTAAATTTAGAGTTTTGTTTATTAAATTCGGTGACATCGATGCGAAAAAGATTTGCACAGTACAATTGGCCTTGCTCATGCATATAAATAATAATGTCATCCTTTGTTCATGTAGTCGTGATAATCGCATAAAACGCACATATGCACGTCAATCAAAACACATGTTTTTTTATGAATGGTTATCACCATTTACCAGTGGCCGCGGAAGCCGTGGGGACATGTGGGTACATTAATATTGTAGGATAGGGGAGGGAGGGGTTTATATAACATGAGCAGGCGATGGGCATCGAATGACCGTGGGGACATTTTCCCTATATCCCCACACTTCCGCGGCCACTGCCATTTACAACTAATTACATTAGAAATACGTATTGAGTATTTTTACTCCATACTAATTTCAATTATACATCTATTAATTAGGTAGAGACTGAGGAAGCCGAAAATTGTATTTTGCAATTCAAATTTCAAATTTCAACTATTTAGGTAACTTTGAAGGTTTACTATTTAGGAAGTATTTTGCAATTTCAAAGCAAAGCATTTTCACCACTTGTTTAAAAACCTGATTAATATTTATTATTTTACTTACATCGTCAAGGTCTATTTCAGTATGTCCGACATCAACGTCCTCGCCAATTGTCGGGACACGACGGCCGTCATACTTGATGGTAACCCCGTCCTCCAATTCTAGGTCGAATATTCCCGTCGCCATGCTGTCATCGACACGCAGCTCCGACACTACGCACGGCGATAAAAATGATAAAATATTATTGTTTTCCAATTTTTATTCCGTCCAGATTCCTTGCTCAACTTTTTCTCGCCGCAATAAATAAATAGACTGCAGGGTTGCATACCATACCCACGTGCAAGTACATGTATAAATGTATGTATACATTAGTCATAACCATTGTGAGGACAGGTATAACTATTTTTAGTGCCTTTTCCATTTTTCTTCTTCTATGCGTGCAAACGCACTGTCCTTAATTAATTCTTAGTTTTGGTTGGGAATACCAACTGGTATTCCCAACTTAAGTATGTGGTATGAAGCCCTTTTCCATGAAGGGTCTTTTCTTTTTATGCGACATCAGAGGTGGTTGGTTTATTTCTGGAGGAGTTAAATATCCACTAAATATCCACGAATATGACATTAGCGTTATCAGTATCCTCCTAACTTTGTGAATGTCCGTTAGTCCTTGCAATGAATGAATATTAAGCAATTTACACCATAATTATGATCGTAATTCATATATCATGATATTTACTATTTGTATGCAATGCTCCATAAACTAGAATTACCGAAATTTTGACGGATTAGATACGCCACCATTCAGATGAGCAATTAAAATTAACTTAACTTAATTACTGCGATTCTAAATTAGAATTTCTAATAATGTTTGAGTCAAGCATATACGTGAAACGTACATATGCGAGCGCATAGCATTAATAGCATACCTGGAAATGAGATTAAGAAAATAGCATCATATCCGAGTTCATACATCCTCCTGCTTATCTTGCACTCCGGATGTTAGATTTTTCTTTTTGTATAAATTGGGGACAAAAGTTCGTTTTCTGCATCAATCTTAGGAACCTTGTCCTAAGAAATTCAAACATTTCGACAAATTTAATTTTAAAAAAATAACAAAATGAAGGTTATTCTTTTAACGGTAAGAACAAACATTTTTGAATATCTGTGCCTACTATATTTATAGTTGCCCGATTTTAAAATTTTACGCATGAAATAATTGCAGGCTTTTGCGGTCTTGTTGGTGGCGTCAGTAGCTGCAAAGTCAAAAGATCACCCTCATGGAAGCGATGTGGGAGACAAGTTGCCCCCAAAGGTGACCACGCCTGTACCATCAAACAGCACTAGTGTAGCCCACAGTCGTGAAGATAGAAGAGTCCGTGGCGGGGGCAACAATAACAACAACAATAACAACAATGGGGGTGGTCGCGGAGGAAATAATAACAACAACAATAACAACAATGGGGGTGGTCGTGGGGGTAATAACAATAACAATAACAACAACAATGGACGCTTTTCTCGACGAATCGGTGGTAACAACAATAACAACAATAATAACAATGGGGGTGGCCGCGGAGGAAATAATAACAACAATAATAACAACAATGGAGGTGGTCGAGGAGGAAATAATAACAACAACAATAACAACAATGGACGCTTTTCTCGAAGAATCGGGGGCAACAACAATAACAATAACAACAACAATGGGGGTGGTCGAGGAGGAAATAATAACAACAACAATAACAACAATGGGGGTGGTCGTGGGGGTAATAACAATAACAATAACAACAACAATGGTGGTGGGCGTGGCGGAAATAACAACAACAATAACAACAACAATGGACGCTTCTCGCGTTGATCAGTTTAAAATCTGCACGCATATAGCAATTCGGGAAACCTTGCATGAAATTATTTCAAAGTTGAATTATAGATTATGGATTGAAATTTTTAAGTATATTTTACATCTTTCTTTATTTAATGATTTAGGTTCAAACATATTTAATTGGAAATATAAGTAGCACAAATAAATCGAGCTATATTTACATATACACAATTTGGGTCAAATATCATTAAGGATTTTTACGACACCTTAGTTAATACATAAATATACATATAAATATACACCTGACATCACGAATGTCACTTTCCACGCTCTCTTATGTAGTCACCAAAAATGTCGTTGAAGTCGCTGATGACGTACTTTTTCCACTGCTTGAGTTGAAAGGGGTGGCATTTTTCCCCTCCACGTCCAACCCTCCGCCTCCCCCACTTTCTTTGCCTCGTGCCTTAATCCTCTTATTGTAAAAGTAGCCAAACGCATTCAATGTCCCGATACTATTAAAAAACATGACGTACACCACGACCGTGACCGGCTCGAGGAATCCAAACATCGTCTGGATCACGATCGTCGAATAAAAAATTGCTGACGGTCCCACCGTTGCTATAGAAATCCGAACAAAAGTGGACAAGCATTGTGACGCCGTGGTGTGCGTGGTCACTTGAGTGGCTCTCATTTTCACGGCGACCTTTTGACCAGCCTTGACCTCCCGTCGAATCTGTGTGTAGGCGAATGTGGTACATATTGCTTGAAAGGTGCAGGAGGTAATGGCAAAAATTGAGAATACTGTTCCACCAGGGCTCTGAAAGTTTACCAGCATCCTACAAATGACAAAATAATAAAATAATTCATGTCACACTTTGTACTGTGTAAACTTTGTAAAACTACTTTATAATGTTCTCAGTTCGAAATTTATTAGGTTAAACACACCAAAAACCCGACGATCCGAACGCATCCAGCGGATAAAACACTGCAATTGACACCAATATGAAAGATCCGGCAACAGCGTGCAGCTTCCACTCCCAGCTCCCGAGGTTTAGGTGAGTACCTCGAACAATTCGTAGATATGTAAATACGGCCAGCCCAGCGTGCATTGTTTGCTGATATCTGCATGCAAAATTCCATATTATATATTTCACCACTTCAATTGTGACAATTCTAAAATTATGTCCTTACGCCAGCGTTATCCAAAGATTCAAACTCAACACTACCGAAACAGTTGGGCTGGGAAAGGTATGCGTAATTAAAAGAAATAAATGATCCGTCAAGTGCGAAATATTTAGCAGGGTGTCAGCCATTGCCAAATAGAAGGGGAAGCGGTCCGAAAAATCGAGATTGAACATGCCCGGATTTTGCGCTCTTCCTACCGCAGTTTGAGTCACTTTTTTATAAACAATTTTGCAAATTGACGTAATCACGAAAGAACAGCAGATCAGTGAGATAAAAATGCAGGTGCAGGCTGTAATATGAATGACATAGAATGCCACGTAATTCCCATCGAGGACACTGCTTCCTCCGAGATGAATGTCGGATATGTTTATCAGCCAGGAACGATAACCTTCGGTGGAATTGTTTTGTGCCGGCGGATCCATTATTATCGGTTTAGAAAAGTTACCTAAAATTTATGGGATCACAAATGTTGAGAATTATATTTTAATTTTAATATGAAACTGGGACAAAATTATGACCATATCAATGTCAAGGAGTCAGAATAATGACTGCGTGCAAATTTAGTTGGGCTTTCCATAAATGCTTTTAAAAAGTACAAAAATCAGATGAGGAAGTTTTTGTGTAATTATAGGGCTTCCAACGTTTGTATGTATGGACACATGCATTCCTGTTATGTCAGTCAGTTTGTGGCTGGATTGGCTCGTTGCATAATTGCTTTTGTTTTACTGAAATATGTATATACGAACGAAACATACGTCACTTTGGTCCTAGATGTGGTTTTCAGTATATTTGGTTTTTTCCACCTTTTTTCCACTTTTTTGACCATTTCTCTACTGGTAACTCGGTAGAATTGTGGTACCGAGATCCGTGTTGTTATGTAAGAAACCAATGTATATACTGTGTCATTACAAAATATACATAATTGACATGTTTATATTTTAGTCCGAATTCATAACAATCTAAATAACATAATAGCCGTTGGATTTTATCGTGGGTGCTAATCTCTGTAAAGCTTTTAGTAACATTACCGACTACTGTTTTCCTGGAAACATGTAAATACGTACAATTAGTTACCTGGTAAGTACTTAAATGGGGAAACAGGTTTGCATCTCACTGTCAGAAGTGTTACTGATGTGCACATGCAAAATTGCATGACAATGTTTTTTCGACATATTTGGATTTCAACACCATCCAACATTATTTACTTATAATTTTTTACCGCACAAGACTCTAGTACTAGAATATATACACACTGATTTACAAACAAATTTGCATATTTAAGTGTTTCATGATACATACAAAAAAATTATGATTTTGTATTTTTTGCAACACAGCAAATGCGTCAGCAAATGTTATTTATAATCTTCTCATTCTGTTTTTTACTCTCATTTATAATTTTCAAGTGTTTTAAGCTCCATTCTGAAGCTTTTTGCAAAAGTTTCAAGTGCGTCTTTACCACTGAAGAGACCACGATCAGCCCATATCCCAAAATCAATGTAGTCGCACACGGTGAAAAAATTGAACACCACCGGCACACTGTTCAGTCCACGTCCCGTCATTATTTCGAATTTCGAAACTGCTATCCCAGTAATATGTTCGGGCTTTCTTAATGTAATCCCGTTTGAGATGATTCCTGAAAATATCTCTCTGGGAACGAATTTCTTATTGATGAGGGAAGACGTCAGGCAGAAAAATAAGTCCCCAAGAACCAACCAGAGGAGGATGGGTGACTTTGCCAAGTTCGTAATTTGAGAGGAGATACTTTTCATACGATTCAGCGGATCTGCATCGGACACGGGCAATTTTAAGGGGGCCAGCCACCTGTATTTAATTTTAAAATGTGAATGAGTTTTTATCCTAACGCATTCTCTCCGATTTTGACTAAATTAGTGTCATTCGATCATAAATTTAATTAGTATGCAATTTGCAAATGACACTATCTGCCAATACTCAGGTTTGGCAAATATACTTGCATCCGGAGAGGAGAAACGTGAAGTAATTTTGAAAACTATAAAATTTATCAGATTTAGGACGCGTTTTCTCCTCTTGGGATTCAAATGTCTTCTCCGAACCTGGGCATATGTATGTAGGCAGATAGCGTCATTTGCAAATTTCATATTAATTTAATTTGTGATTGATTGACACTGATTGTGTTTGGTTAAAATCGGAGAAATCAATTGTTAGTAAATTCATGGTTAATAATATTATCGTGGTCATCAATTTGTGGCTTCATTTTTTTCATTGTGGCAATGAAATATGGGCAAAAAAAGCAAAAATAGTCTATACATATTTACTCGTATGTCCAAATCTAAATTCTGCAAACTTACATATGATTCGTCATCCTATCTCGTGCTGGATGACCCGGAATTGGAAATACTAATGCAAAATTCATCTTCACTTCGGTCACATCATCAAAACGCAAGCTTTTCCTAATCGCTCCCGTCAACGCTGTTAAAAGAATCGTCTGAATACTTTGACCTGCCATTTTTGAAATTTGTTTCACCCCGTTCAAATCTAACTGTTCGACGTGATGCACAGATTTTCCGGTGATTGGGGTTCTCGTCCATTCATTTTCGTTCAGCATGTTGTAAGCCATGTAACCACTTCGGAAGGGAGAAATGAATAGAAAATCCAGAATGTATAGTATTCCAATTTTTGGGGAATACTTTTCCGTAATGCGGGCTACAATTTGGTCGAGCAGGACATCCTGCTCTGGGTCGGGATCTCCAAGATTGCGAAATAGTGTAATAATCGAGTTCATGTCCATGAGGGAGTGATGCCACCGAATGAGAAATGCGTAGTTGCCGTCCTGCGTCATTAGAAAGTTGCAATTAGTAAAATCTTTAGTTGCAATTAGTAAAATTAATAAATTTTAAACTTGTGCTTCTACTATTTAATTCACTTCCATAAAAATTCCATTTTTAGCTTAAAATACTTATGTACTCATGTATTGATAACGTGAGTATCCCCAAACTACATTTTTCATACCCAATTTGCATATTATACCTTATCGATATTAGGGAACAACGTCGCCTCCCATAGTGGACAACCCTTCTTAAACGGCTCAAGGACACACTGCCCCTTAAATGTGTCAAAGTATTCGAAGTCATCACTATAATTCACTCCGAGACAAGATGACAGTTCAAAATTTGGAATTGGTTCCCAGAAAAAAAATCCCCCCAGACGAGTCAGACGACACTTGAGCTCAGCTCCCTGAACAAAATGTGCTAATTATAATTAACCATATTTATTAAATAATTATACATATTTGTAGTTAAATTACATAATTACTTATTTTTATAACAAATTTACTCACATTCCGTTTAGCAATTAATGCTTCCATTCGTTTAAATATGACATCTTGACTTATCTTTTTATCAAGATAGATCACGATCCCAATTCCAGCCAAGGGCTTATTGTAAATATCGTCAACGGCTCCATAACAACTAAATAGGTTTAACGGGATCCAGTCACTTTTAAAATATTTTACAAATTTTATGACAATTTCTCGATATAAAAGAAGGGTACAAAAAACTGAGGCTGTAATTGGAAGCGTTGCTACACCTAAAATTGTTAAAATAACGAGGATTAATTCCCTCATAAAGCGTCTAAATGTGACCATTTTTACAACTGGATTGAAATTGTAGCTTCCAAATAGTAAGAAATTTTGCTCAAGTAATCAACTGATTTATCCCACGGAAAATGTCGGAATAAAACTACATACCTAAGTTTTATGAATTTATTTCCGTAAAGGAATTATAAATTATATTGGCTTGTAAAACCTGTCTGGGATTTTATGCCAATTATATGAACGCGAAGTTGTTTGGCACAATCTAAATATAAATACATATAGGTATATAATTACATAATTTTGTTTACGGAATATATGGAACACGAAGAAGGATCTGGAAGAAGAGGAGCTGTAACTACATAAAGCGTATTAATATACATAATTGGTTACAATTACATAATTTGTTATATATTGATAAGTATCAACCTGAAGATCACATTACAGTAAGTAAACATTTACGCTACAAGAGACATAATTAGGGTTCATTCAATTTTTTGATAAGCTTGATCTACATATAAAGGTTAAGTTTGTGTGGAATAAAAACATCGCTGGATTTATCCAGATTAAGAAAGATGCCGATTTTATCGCAATTGCACACATTCATGCAGAGCTTGTGTAAGAAAAGTTTTTATTAATTATATGTAATGATAATGATGTTACTCATTACGATTTCGCATGTTCGTATCGCAACATAATTTTGAAAAAATTACGAACTAAATATTACTTACTTTTAGTCTTGGTAATGTGCAAATTCGAAAATGAATTTCAAAGCCAATTTTTTTGCGAACTTGTAAACTTTGTTTTTTTACTAACATTGCTAATGATGCGAACCCGCCGTGAATGAATACCCCCATTAATTTTAATTTTCTCCTTCTCTTTGATTCATGTGCAGATTGACAAGATTTCGAGTGAGTTCAAGACGTTCCTCGAACATGATAATTATTACCGAACAGCAAGAACTTTGGATTAGAACTGTGTATTACTCATGGATGGATAGAATTCTACTCATTGATTTCGAGAGACGAAGACGAGGATAATGGCAATGAGGGCGATGAGTATGATGACAAATACGATGATGATAAGCACGCTAATCAAAATAAACGACTGATATTACTTCAATTATTAAATGCTTGACTATTTCTTTATTCGTATTTAAATTACCATTTTTCTAAACTCAGACACGGACCTGTATTTCAAAGTGATTAAACAAAATTGATTTGTATGGAGATTTGATATCTTGCTAAAACGATTTGTTTGAAGAAAACGAAAGGTTCACACATTTCGGACTCAGCGTCCATTGTTGTTATTGTTGTTATTGTTATTTCCTCGTCGACTGCCCCCATTGTTGTTATTGTTATTATTGTTGTTACCCCCCATCCTTCGAGCAAATCGTCCGTTGTTATTATTGTTGTTATTATTGTTTCCTCGTCGACTTCCACCATTGTTATTGTTGTTATTATTATTGTTCCCGGATCTTCTCTCTTCGCGACTATGGGCGACGTTGGTCTTGTTGGATGGTGCCGGCGTGGTCACCTTGGGGGGCAACTTCCCTCCTACGTCGCTTCCCTGGGGATGATCTTTTGACTTTGCAGCTACTGCGGCCACCAGCACGAATGCGAAAACCTGAAATTTCCATGAAATAAATTTTAAAATCAAGCAATCACAAATTAAAAAATATTTCTGCAGTTACCGTTAAAATGATTAACTTCATTTTCGTAAATTTGTTGAAATTTCGAAGTTTGGAAATATGTTTTGGTAAGTATTCGTAAGACAAGCTTGCCCAAATTGATGTCTTGTTACAGATTACATTGCCAATTTATACCTAATTCTATATCCGGGTGTTAGCCGGGTCTAGGATGCAGTATGTAAATATGTATGAATTTGTGTATATACGTATGTAAAATAACATATTTCTTAAGCCAAATTCCGGGTAATGTGTTACGTAAATCTTTCCATCCCAATTAAGTTAAGCTCATTTTAATTGCTGTCCCAAAATGTGTAGATATGACGCATAGGTATATGAATACATATTTATATACGGTACTTTTCTTATTTGTTATATGCCAATAATTACAAATGTAAGTATGGTGTCAATTCCTTATTCATATTTTCTGTATTTTTCCGATATTATATGTACTTATACACAATTCCGCTTATACATGCAGATTTAAATATTATTTTGTAATGTAACGACTTTTGTACACGTCGACTGTTTAAAGTCTGATTATTTTTAGAATATCAGTTATCAAAACCTCCCCTAATCCTAAATTATCCATGCACAATGGAACCCTTCACATTTTTGTATTCTTTCAATTTGCATGTCAGTATTCATCTGCATGTATGTGTATCTGTTCCTGCAAATGCAAATACCTATCAGCCAGGATTGATAAATACTGAGGGTATTCATTAAAAATTTCGCAACGTTAGCAAAAAATTAAATTCTTTTGCGATACGAATACGTTATCCCGCAAAGAATTATTTTTGCACAATATCACTGTATTGTATTTTCATACAGATATGTATGAATGTATGTACATACATACATATGTATGTATGTACATATCTGTGTACGCTATCAAAACATCAAATTACAGAGGGCTATAAAAAGACAATTATTTGTGTTCAGTATTCTTTTCTTTCTGCCCTTTTATCAATACCTTTGATCACAAATTACCTAAATAAGTACCTTATAACTATTCCGAAAGGATAAGCCCAAACATACAATGCTCTCATTGCAACATTACGTAAGGTCAACTGAAAAATTAAAAGCTTCTCTATACTAATAATTACCTCAAAAACAGTCCAAAAATAAATTTATTACAACTCCGCAAATCAATGTGACCTTACATAACCAAAATTCAAAAACATTTGTCCAGAAATTCATCTCAAAATTTTTATTACTCGCAATGAATAAAATTTGTAAGAATTTTTCAATCCCGTCCCACACTCCATTTCAGGCGTTACAGCGTTTCACAATATTAAGTGAATCGTTTTATCCACAATTTCTTACCTGGGACCGGATCAGTTGGGAACCCAGACCCACGCCCAAATCCAGATTAGTTCCATGGATGTTATTTTCAATCTTCGTCGCCCTGTTGGGTCTACATTTCATTCTCATTCTTATCCGACAATTAGTAGCTTATGAAAAGGATCCCGATATCAATATCAGCATGGGACTTGTTCTCATCTTGGTTGCTGGGGCATTCACACTTACAACAACAGTTGTTTTTATTTACATGTTTTTTGGGAATGAACTATGTCTTTTACTTCGGAGCCTGAAGTCTCAAAGTAAGTATAATATATTGCATAAGATTATGGGACAGTGTGTTCCGCAGAAATCCGTGTCATTCTGTACCGTTTGCAAAAACTAAACAGTTGCAAAGCAGCACGGAAGAATTGTTCTACGAAAATAGTAAAAGGTACTTTGGTAAATACCAGTTTGATGATAATCATACGATGGTAATTTTCACGACTGTCTTCAATAAACTATTTTTTCAAAATTTAGCACAACAAACATCGGAACCATCTTTCAAAAGGGTTGGACTTTTTCTCCACGGTTTCCTCGTCATCCTCTTAACATCGCCCCTCGCTCTTTCAACCCTTCCTCTCAGCGGTCACAATATCGACCCCACGTATCTCTACGTCCGCAACGTCTCGTTTTTCTCTCCCCACTGGAAAATGATGCTCCGGATTACCGCCATATTTCTATCCACGTTTCACACAACCATAGTCTTATTTAGTTGTGCACTTGAAATTGCCAATGCAATCATAACGCTCAACATCTCCTTGAAATTGATAATTAATTCGAACCTCAATCCTCATTATGTCGCCAGCATGAAGAGATATCGCCAACTTCAAATTATCAACTCGATTTTTAATCACGTTTTCGATTATGTCATTTCAATCGGTTTGCTGATTTCGTCCGTTTGTGGAATAATCATGGGCTACATTTTAATCAAGTTGACGGGGACGGTTCCGCATAACATTATATTTGCCGCGACCTCTGTAACGTGTATGATGCTGGGTTTAGCGGATTGGTTGGTTCCCATGATGGCTGAGTTAGACAGCAATTCGAGAGAATTTGTCAGATCCTGGAAACTGAAAAGATTTTCTGCCTATGCCAAAAAACAGCTAAGAAGTTGTAGGCAATTAAATGTAAATGTGGGTGAGTTCTTCAATATGACGAAAGAGTCGCGCACCGAAGTATATGAGAGGGTAATTTATTACATGATGTCGTTAGTAATTTCTGTGTGATTTTTGAATATGAATAATAAATGGCTTGAATTTGACCCCACCTGGTATTGTATTAAGAAGTAATTCTTATAAATGTATTAAGATTATTTGAAATAATGCAAACATGCATTAAAACTGTACTGTTATTGTACCCATCCTACTTCTGGTTCCGAGAATCCTTCTTCTCGCTTATGACGCCGCAAATGAAAATCTTGCTCCGGGTGCTGCTCATCTGTCCAATAATTCTCCACACGTGCATCAACATTTTCGGATTTATGATTATCATTGTGAATTTAGCGATTGCATTTAGAACTTCGCTAAGCTGTATGTCTGAAGGGGGTGAAAATTCCAGCAAAATTTCCGAAGTGCGCACAACTTTTCAGAAACTAATCGAATTTCAGAAAACTTTGCTAAAATATCGTCAGCTTCAAATTATCAACACAGTTTTGAATCAAGTTTTCTTCTATATTATTCCAATGTCGTTACTTATTCCATTCGTGTTTGCGGTGGGGATGAGCTATGCGTTGACCAAGTTGATGGGAAGGGTGCCGTTCTCGATAACGTTTTTGGCGGCCACCATGATCTCCACGATCGTGAGTGCGGCACATTTCGTGCTCCCCGTATTTGCAGATATTTTCTTGAAAAGCGCAAAGTTTATGAGACTCGATAAGATTTCAAATCATCAAATGCGGCAATTGAGAAGTTGTAGGAAATTGAGGATTTCTGTAGCGTCGTTCTATTTTATCGATGAGGATTCGAGAGGAAATTTTCTTTCTCATTTGCTGGATATTACCGTCCAGTTTCTAATTTCTGTATAAGTCAAATATGAATGCACTCAATATTGTTTACTGTCATCTACTGTATTCAAGTCATGGATTTATAACATAGTAGTGTAGTAGGGATTTACATTCATGATTCAAGTGTTATATATGTATGTATGTCAGTTAATGAGGGAAATTTGAGAAAAATTCTGATATTATACTACACAACTTTGAACTGTGCCATGTTGATACATTTTCCCGTGATATTCGGCAGAAATCTGAACAATTTCCTATTTCCATGTACAAATACATTTCGCCTATGCTGTACGCGTTATACATACGTGAAATAGAAATGATGATACCAAATCGTAATGTTTGATACTTTGACATCAGCTTGCTGACTACACGGTACTAAGATAAAAACTACCTGAGTTTGCAAAAAAATGACGGAGAGTTCATTATTTTTCTTTATGTTTGTCAATATCTTTATTTTAGAGTTGAATTAAGGAAAGGTGGTAACCTGTTATTGACAAACACGTGGGGCATGTGTAGCGATAAGTACTTCAGGTTTTATTTTTCTCATGAGAATCAATAAGTAGTAAAAGTTTATGACACGTACATACATTCGTAATACACACATGTATTTGTGTAATCAATCAGTTAATAAGATGCTAAAGTGTAACTAAATACATACATAATTTAATGTACTACATGCATATTACTTAGCTTATTGTAAGTCAACTAATTACCTGTAATAATTACTCTAATAATATATGTAATAATTACCAATAAAAAATGCGACCCTAGAAATTCCTAAAGGTTACCTGGAGGAATTTTTTCATTTTGATTATTTTATCCCATACAGCAATTCGGTGGGAGAATACAAATTGCTAATATATGTATCCCTTAAAATTATTTAAAATAGCTGCCAGATAACCTTTTGGCTTTCGAAGGCCACATTTTTTACATGAACAGTAATATTGCATATGTGCATGGATGCCTATAAATACATACATATCTGTTATTTCTTACATAAAAATACGAAAATAGCTTTGCTGATACACATTCAAAACGGTTCACATTCCATATATTCATGTAGCTACATACATACATAATACTTTCACTCCAACCAAGCCTTCCTTCCGATACTGCAATCCTGTGGAAATGCGAGTCCCTTCATCGAACTCTTGAGACACTTTTTTGATGCGAAATTGATAATGCTTCCTGCCCCGTCACCTCTCCATTTCTGACTCGTCTTCGTCCCATGACAACTCATCGTGTAGACCGTTTTTCCATCCGCCTCTAAACATTGCCCAGTGGCGAAGTTCTTAATGGTGTGATCCTTACCCCAGTGCCAGTTTTGATGGCTGCCACCATTACAAGGATTCGTGTGGGCACTCCCCTTGGAGACCTTCGGTTTGACCACGTTGTCCAAACATTTGGTCGTCAAACCATCCTTGAATCTTCTACCATCAACTTGCATGGAAATGGAGAGGGCCAATAATATCGAGATGGTAAGTAGCATGATATCTGTCACAGAAAAATATGTATTTACATACATATGTAACCTAAAATATTAAGTGTCAAAGTTGCATAATTGTCGTTCTCAAATGGTGACGATTATCTTAATGACGGTACGACCTGAGAATTTATGCACTCACCAATGCTGCCGTATTCCTAGAAAATGGTAAAATCAGTTTAGTAGATTGTCGAAATAATATTTTGCACAAAATTTAACTCACGCCAAGTAGTGGTCGGCTTTTCTATTGAACAAGGATCTTCTTAAACAATGGCATGAAATTAAGAAGAAACTGAATTCAATATTACAGCTCAGCTGCAATAATAGTTCCTACATACATACGTCGCCCTTAAATAAAATTATTTTAATCATCCTTTGTTTTAAAAAGTAGATTGTTAATTGCATTTTGTTCAACTATTTGTGCTATACGATTCAACTTCCAGAATAATTAAAAACCGTGTAATTTTCCATTTTATACTATTAATCACTCGAACAATAACCAGTCTCCACATGACTCGGGTATGTATAAACGAAACTGTGATTGATTATGCATATGTAGACCAATTTGAATTTTGTCATTCGATACTGAACAAGATGGTGACGTTACATTAATACACACATAAATCAGAATACTTATTACACAAGGAAGAATAGCGAGTGATGCATGTGCAGCCACAAATCAATACGCCGTATATGCATATTTATTATGAATAGATAACTACCTAATTTTTATGTATGGCTGGTTTTTACATTACTTATTATTATATGGAGCAGTAAGTATGCACATTTGAAAACAATAACAACGGAATTTGCATAGAAGACAAGAATAACCTGAAATTAAAATCTATCTGATTATCACTGAATAACATGTGCTGAATCCTCATATAAATACAAACAATATTTACATGCGGAAACTCAATTAAAACCCGTGATCATTATGTAACTATTGAAGTAGGTAAATGACTTATGGTATGGAATTACCAGTGATGGAAGTGCATAAAAAATGTTCACTTTACATACTTTATAAGATTAATTAATACTGTGAAATTATTGTGCAGTATTACTTTTGTGAAATCCTTCAGGAAACAAATCGAGTCTGATTCTAATGCTGGAATTTACCTGCTTTCTACTACGCTTCATCTTGATTTGAATATATGCAGAATAATACAGCAAACGCCATAAGCTAACACGTATGTACACCCAAAACAAGCTAATTATGTTATAAAAAATTATGCGTATGTGTGAATTTGTTTTCCCTCCAAGTATGTGGGATTTCCCACTATAAAATAAAGTAATTCCACAGGTCCATACAAATAAATGCATATATATCATTAATTTACATTATTATTGCGTAATAGTAAAGAACCAAGAACATGCCCCTATTTAGTACAGCTTTTAATTCCAGTATGTGTAAGTACTTTAGATTAGGGGGCTCTTTGTTCACTTCTCCAACGTATGCAAATACATATGTAATGGAAGCTTAATGAATTGTTTATTATCTGAGTTGTACATATGCCCATGTCCAGGACACTTACATACAATCAAAAGCATACGTTGGGAAGTCTCCCAACGTATGCTCTCCGACTTTGATAAAACTAGTGTCAATCTACCACAAATTTGATTAATATGACACGGTCTCCAAATGCTCAGGTTCGGCAGAAAGTTGACAAATTTTACACTTTCCAAGTTTACTACGCATTTTTTCCTATTTGGATGCAAATATCTCCGCCAAACCTGCTCATTGGCAGATAGCGTCATTTGCAAATTTCGTAGGTATTAATCAAATTTGTGATAGATTGACACTAATTTGGTCAAAATCGGAGAGGACACGTTGGTAGACCTCCGTTGTTATGTAGTCATTTATATGCCAGGGACGTATTTTGCCTAACATGCCCTAAAAGCCGAAAATTTATTTTCATATCCTTGGAATTGTACAACTCTTTAGGCACGCGGACATGTGCACTGACCTCAGCAGTTGGGATTGGGAAGTACAAAACAGATAATGGATCGTTTTGTAAAACAAAAAGTCATGAACTTTACAAGACAAATCTTGAACTTCAAATCACTGAAAGCTCAGAACTGGTTTAAGTATCAACAAACACTGTGTAGTTGTTGTTGTTGCTAAAATTTCATGTAAAATGTCGTTAGTCCAGATCAGGTTCTCCATTTGAACGCACATACATATTTAGATAAACATAAATACCTGTGGTATGCGTAGCACGCTGTCAACAAGATAATTGAACATTGCGTATTTTTAGTCTTACCTGAATTAGCTTAACACGTTAAAATGGCAGTTCGAGTGCAAAACGGTTACAAAAAGTATGGAAATGTAAATTTCATACTTAAAAACCTTAACGTTAATGTCGGTCATGGAGAAATGTAAGCCAAAACTATATCCTTAGAAACTCATGTCTCATAAATGCGGGGCATAATTAAATTATATATCTTAAACATATCGCAGATATGGACTACTTGGAGCCAGTGGTTGTGGGTAATTGTCAAATCATTTATTGAAGAAATATTCCAAATCTTTCTACACTAATTCTAAATATTAATTGGTTTATAAATTTATGATCACATCATTTCAAAAAAATTGAAAATTATGCAGGAAATTTGCAAGGAAATTAATCAATAAGTACATTCATGCAATTTACAATTTACATTACAATTTTAATTGTCAGGATAAATTTAGTGCTTGAGCAGTATATTCCTGACTAATTCATGCAAAATCAGACACACATGACATACCCGAAATTTGGTTTAGTTAAATTTCATGAATTTTCTACACATCATCATTGTGCGAATCGATTGGCTCAGATTTGCAAGTTCCACAAGAAACTTGCCAAGGTGTATGTTCCTCAACACGCCCATCAAAATATAATTATGACCAGACTCAACAAAGGCCCGATTTCATGGGAACATTTGTCAAAACCTACTTAACAACAATTCCTAAGACCATCCACTCTAATAAAGCGTTAGTGTTAAGTCGCTGACTGAGTCCCTGTGGCTCTCAATGCAAGTTGCCCCGTAGAGGAGACAAAGAGGAAAGCGGAGCAAAAACTGCATGCATGAATTTTCTGCATTAGTCTCACTTCGCCTGCACGTGACTTTCACGTACGTACACTTGCCATCAAACTCAAATTAAATGTTTTAATATATAAACACAGTGTGCAAGTAAATTGAGTGTGCAGTATACATACATACATACATCACATCACTCATCAATAGTGGTTATCATGATAAGTGATCTTGATAAACACTATTAATTAATTATTTTAGTTTGAGACACTCCACCTGCAACGAGTGGCATATCAATTCGAATGTATTTTTGACGCTAAATCCAACGCCGTTAATGGTTTTGACCTCCGAGGCCCGCGTGACCTTCCCGTGACCGTGGGGGGTAAATATGGGTTATTCGTGATGTCGCATATCAATTCTAATGTATTTTTGACGCTAAATCCAACGCCGTTAATGGTTTTGACCTCCGAGGCCCGCGTCACCTTCCCGTGACCGTGGGGGGTAAATATGGCTTATTCGTGATGTCGCATATCAATTTGAATGTATTTTTGACGCTAAATCCAACGCCGTTAATGGTTTTGATCTCCGAGGCCCGCGTGACCTTCCCGTGACCGTGGGGGGTAAATATGGCTTATTCGTGATGTCGCATATCAATTTGAATGTATTTTTGACGCTGAATCCGAATCCGTCAATAGCTTGGCGTTAATTGTAGAAGCTAACGGGGTTTATGGAACTGAACGGGAGCGTGAAGCGTGGGAATTTAAATAGTTAGCTATGCAGTTACTCTCACGCGACGGGAATTTAAGTAATTAGCTATTCAACTACTCCAACAGGGGGAAATCAAATTGTACTGTGACCAGATTAATTAAAATGCAGCATGACTTGGGCAAACCCTCACTCTGATGTATGCATGTGGTATGACAAAGTCTCCAGTGGGAATTATTTAAAGTATAGTATGACGAATTTTTCGCTTTGGGCACACCCCGCACTGGAACTCTAGAACCCGGCCTTGGCCGGGCTATACGCTAGTAATTCATATAAATATGTAATCATGTGCTACATACATATGTAATGTTTATCAAATTACTGATCAGTGCAATTTTAATTTATTTTCCTAACTAGGAAAACTACCTTAATTTCCTGCATAGTTGGGCTTCGTCAGCTTGACATGGGGGAAGTCACGCTGTTTGGCCAGCCTCGTCCGGACAACCTTGGTCGAATGTGTGGATACATGCCACAGGCAAATTACTTTATCCTTAGTGTATTAAAAGATTAATCTTGTGACTTGCATAATTTAATAAACTCGGGATTTTCATCGTGTCATAGGAAATAGCACTTTTAAACGTGCTGACCATCAGGGAAACGCTTGAATATTTTGGGATGCTTTATGCCATGGATGAATTTGAAATTGAAAAGCGTATCAATTTCCTCACCACGTTCCTTGATCTTCGCAAAATAAATCATCCAATTCATAGTTTGAGGTGAATCAGTTTTCAGTATTTGCAATTTATGTCACATTTGTATTTTTCAATTCTTAAATACTAACCATTACATATATTATGTACACAGTGGTGGACAAAAAAGACGCGTTTCGTTGGCCGTGGCTATGATCCATAATCCAAAGATCCTTGTTCTTGAGTATGCGAACTCATAATAAATCCCACTAATTTTATCGGACGTATCTAATCGTTGAAATTACATATTTATTCTAAAGTGAACCCTGCGTCGGGTTGGATCCATTGTTAAGGCAGAGGTAGATACATACAGTATGCAGAATTATTCTTATTGGTCACTTATTTGCATAAATCTCTGCACATTTTCGGCGATACAGGCTTTCCTAAATTATGTCTCTCGCTAATGCGTCAGAATATGGAAATGGAGTGACACGCGAGAATAATTCTTCTATACATACCACAGATATGGAGAGACATAGATCCCTGATCTCAAATCACTCCAATGTTAAAAACTTGGAAAAATTTTTGAATGAAACTAAATACTGCTCCAGCTTCTGCCAACTGAGAAATTGGGGCAAAGTGACAACGATGTCCATATGCGTTATACCCAAATTATACCCAAATTATACCCAAATCGTTCTCCATGCCGAGACGCTTTTTTCAATAGTTCCTCCATCTATATCTCTCCATATCTGTGATACATACATACACAGATTTTCACAAATGCGATTTTCAAGATCCAGTTGACAAGTCTTCAAAATTTTGATAATTTTACAGAATTTGGGGATATCTAGTTGACCTTTCGCGCAATTATGGAGCTACAATACTTATGTCAACACATTACTTAGAGGAAACTAAGTCCTGCGATAAGGTACATATCTACATGCTCGGAAATTAGTATAAATACTTGTATAATTCCGCGTTTTTAATTTTAGGTCGGATTTATGCGAGGGGGTCGTCTCCTAGAAGAGGACAGTCCGAAATCTTTACTCTGCAAGTATGAAGTCGCAACCATGGAAGGCGCCGTGTTACACTTGTGTAGAAAAGATGATAACAATACCGACGAAGACCCAATAAGCTTTGCCTTTGAATCCGTAAAGCTAACGAAATACATCTCAAATTCCATGTCGACTAAAGTGATAAGAAATGACGGGGAGTCCATTTCACTCCCACGTGTCAAGAGCAACCACGCCAAAATTATTCACGCTCTCAACTTGAAATGGTGGAATCGATGTCGTCGGGATTGGAGGTAATGTAGATAAAAGGTCAAACTTTTATAGTACCAGGTTTTAGACTTTGCTAATCTACTACGAAATATCGAGATTTGCATATTGCACTTAAGTATGTACATACATTGTTTTTGGAGTAAAATGACACACACTCATAAAAACCTGGTTCTATAGAATTTTGACATGGGTATTATGCAAATATGCACAATAAAGCATTTCATCTTATCGTCAATTTGCAAAATAATTTGCTATTTGCAGGCTTTTAATTGGAATGCTGATCGTTCCAATTTTCTGTGTCCTCACCTTTGAAAATATTGTGGGGCCGGAACCTCACGGCGTAAGATTTGGCATCGTCCACAATAATCCCGATTTCAATATAAGCGTTCCTAATCACTGCAATTATGACACATATAATAAGTCACAATGCCTCGGGAATGTCGGAATTTGCAATTTTCTGGACAAATTTGAGACTGATAAATTTAATTGGGTGAGAAGAACAGCTTTTTTCCATGGCTATTTATAATGTTTAATTTACTCTTTGTTTATTTTGCAGGTTCACGTTAATTCGTACGAAGATGGAATGGATTTAGTTGAAGCAGGAAGCGTTATGGGAATAATAGAGTTCCCACTTGATTTTAGTGTACACATGAAAAATAGAATGTTGCTGCGTAATTTTGCCGATAATGAAACCATTCATGGGTCCACAGTATCTATCAAGATGGACGAAACAAGTAAATACCCTTCGCCAAAACATTAATAGGCAATTCTTTTTTAATTAATTAGTATACAATTCATTAGACAACATACTGTCATCTTGGGCTCGGAAGATCATAGTCGACAAATACCTGCTTTACATAGACGCCATTGCAACGGCTTGTTCTTTCAATGGGAGCATACAACCACCATTACAGGTAAGCACCACAGAGGGGAAGACACGCGTAATCTGGCAAAATGGGGTAAATATAAATAAGTACTCTATTTACATATGCTTTGTAAATATTATTTTCATAGTTTTCCGCCATTTATGGAAGCATAGGACTATTCGATGTCGTTTCTTTTATTGAACCTGGTGCAATAATTATGTAAGTTTATTTAACCACTAAAAGTTTAAACCTGACTTTACACATGTAAAGTTTGACTAATCTGTTCTACTCTGTTACCACAGAAACATGTTTTCTTTGCCAATGTCTCTTGTCATAATTTGGACGGAGGATCGAGTCGCTGGTCTTGAAGGGAGAGACTTTGTCGCCGGAGTGCACCTTTGGCATCGATTCGTTTCGAACATCTTGACTCAAAGTGTTATGATCTTCCTGCAAATTGGAACATTCCTCGCGTTGATGTGCCACTTCTACGGCATGGTGATCCATGGTTCACTCGCTCTGGCAGTTGGTTTGGTTTACTCGTCAGCGATAACCGGGTTGATGATTGGTATGAAAATGACATTTCAGACTGAAATTTTCAAACCAGGGTGGTAATTTAACCAGTTATGCATTCATTAGGTTTCATGGTTGGGGCATTGTGGGACAGTGTACTGGACGTTGTGTTCCTCATAATTTTTATTTGTATTGGTCAAATTTTTACAACGGGTAAATTTCGCATTTAAGGATTCGTATCACTGAAGATGCACAAGGAGATATCTCACTTTTTGATAATTCCCCATATGTGTTATTATAAATTACAAGAATACCCGTCAGCAATAAAGTTTTGTCCTTTTGCATCTTCAAAGGCGAGATATTGATCGTGTTCCATATAAAAAAATGCTTCTTGTGGTCTTTAAACTGTAGGAGTTATGTGGCCCTTGGAAATGGCGCCATGGTTTGCCCGTAAACTATTCGAGTGCTTCCCTGTTACGCATGCGATTGAGGCACTTCGGGCAATTTGTATCAGGGGGTGGAGCCTGACGAATCCTGTTGTTGCCATGGGCTTCCTACCGGCCGTTGGATGGATAACGATTGCGCTGCTTGTTTCAATCTTGGCAGAGCGAAAGAGATATAACTAGTCTTAAAGTGTACGTTGAAGTAATAAATTGATAACATCAGTAAATACAACTTTATGGGGCGGTATACACATACTCACGAAATTTTACTTGTCAAATAAATCAATGTAATGTTTGCGTTTATGAAAAGCAATGAGTTAAGTTAATCTGTAAATTCTTTAAACCAGAGTTTACTTAATATTCACAATGACACTAGTACATATCTGTATTATATAGAAACAACATTAATTTTTTTCGAAAACACTAGAACTGATCATTTATAAATTTGTATCTCCACGCACGGACCATCCAACAAATATTGCACGCGACGAAATTATTTGCCCAGAGATGAAATATCATATAATACATAGAGGTAAATATTTTTACTGAAAATTCATATTTTGTTACGTTTTCATCCTGAAGATCATTATTTAATACATCAATATAATCCAGATTCTGGATTCCAGAATTATCCTCCCTTAATCCAGCCATGGATTTCTTCTGATAGCCGTACATTCTTGTGGAAATACGACCCCTAACTTGGAACCCTTTAGACATTTTTTCGTCTGCACATTTATCGGGCTTCCCCAACCATCCTTTCGCCATTGTTGATACTTTCCACCATTACAATGCATTGTGTACACCGTTTTCCCATCCGAATCTAGACAATGCCCGGTAGCGGAATTTTTTATGGTCCGGTCCTTCCCCCACGACCAAGTTTGATGGCTCCCCCCATTGCACGGATTCGTATGCACACTTCCTCTGGCGGTACCCTTCACCGTACTGTCCAAACATCTTTCTGTCACGACGTCCTTAAATCGCCTCCCCACTGCGCCAACAATGGAAAGGGCGATGATTCCACACAAGCAGGAGAATCGCATAGGAATCTTGTCAAATGAGTTTGTTTAATTAGTTAATTAGTATGCAGATTTAGTTATAATTTTCATTAATTGAACCTTTCAAATAAGTGGAAGAAAATTATGTGTATTGTTTACCCGAACGTGTTTCGGTAATTGTGACTTTTTTCCCTTTGAGCACAAAATTAATAAAAATGTAATTTGTAGTGACAAAATATTTTTTGATAAAGCTGTATAATTGTACCATGTACATATGTATATGAGACCCGTAATTCTATGGGCGGATTAAACCATTCGTTTGGAAGATCGATACGAAAACCAATTTATTAAGGCATAAAGTATTGTCATTGCAAATCCTATTATTATTGTTTATGTATGCATATGTACATGAGTACGTGCAAATATTTCCCCAGCCTACCTAAGACCTCTCTTTGTTTGAATAAATCCATTGTTTATGGTCTCATGTAAAGTAAGACTTATTAAGGGGTTTTATGGTTTTGTAATATCTGGCTGTCCATTCGCAAAATGATATCTCGAGAACCAGTACGAATTTCGACATACAATTTTCGGCAATGTGTTTATAATTCTTCCGCAAGTTTGAAGATGGTTGTCGTGGGGAACACCCATGTGGTAGTCGAAATTCGATTTTCTAATAGGTACGTCATTTATGAGAGCGTTCTACATACCATACGACAATTTTGACCTCAGTTCCGGAAGTCGCGTCCACAATTAAAATTTTTGAGGTTTGGAAGCAATGCTAGAAATGCAACAGGCAACATCACGGTTTGAGATAGTGTAGCTACGAACTTCTTTGTGGTTTCGTCCCTTTGTTGCATTTCGTTCGTAATGGTTTACATAGGTCAGTTACGTTTTGAAACTTAACAAAAGTGGTTTAATTGTAATTTAAAACTAGTATGGTAGCTTAATAAAACTGGTATAATGCAGAAGTATGTAGGTAAATATGTTATGATCATAAAAAATAATTTATTCACGCATATCTTCAAGAATTACTTTTATTCACCAATTAGAAATTAATTTTCTGTAGTGCTCCGAATACCTACATATGTATATGCATATTACATTATAAATTTGTTGATTCATTGTACTAGAGCATTTAAACGGATTTTGTCGTGTTTTTCGCCCCTTTGAGTGAATGTACATATGTAATCTGTAGTGGGCGCAAATGGGGCATGGGGTCAAAACCACTTGGGGTACTCCAAAATATTAAAGGATCAAAATCAACGGGTGCAGTGCAGTCACACCTTTCACAAACTCTTGTTCGAGTTTGCACGAAAGAGTTTACTTTATTTCGTGCTCAAACCGAAATCACTAGTGACATCGTATAATAGACGAGATTCGCAAAGAAAACGCTACGCGACTCCTGTCTGAAATAATAAAATTGTCCAACCTCCATCCTCAACTGCCTACAGCTTCTCAACTGTCTCTTCGCACACTTTGAGGATATCCTTAGTCTCCAATACCTCACAAATTCTATCGAATTCACAACTAAATCCGCCATTTCCGGCATCAACCAATGTGCCAAACCTGACACAACCACACTTCCCAAGGCAACAACTAAAATAACATTGTGTGGAAAAATCCCCGTCAACTTTAGCAGAACGTAACCCATCACAATCTCCCCCCAAAATGAGAAAATGACACAAATTGGAATAACAAAACTGAAGACGTGATTAATTACGGAGCTGACAATTTGAAGTTGACGATAGCTCTTCAATCCAGTTACATAACCAGAATTATAGGTTATCATTTTTAGCGACATATTCAACGCCATCGTCATGATGGAGATTATGATAGTACAGCTCAAGACGAGAGGTGTGAAGTGATGCGAGGAATATGGTTACCACTCGGACAAGTATTTTCAGATTTGGTGATAAAAATGACACGTTGCGAAACCAGAGATAAGTTCCTTCAACTTCGGATGCAATAATTGGAAGGGCTGATACTGTTAAGGGACCAGGTATGAGAATGATTAGGAATCCGTGCAAAAATAGTCCAGCCATGTCGGAAGATTCCGTCAGGTTATCTAGATAAATTAGTCACTATGTGAAAGTTAACTACATATTTAAGAGCATATATGTGAACGCATTTGGATGCATGTATGCACTTGTAACAGCGAATTGTGCCAATACGTAAATACCAATATTTGGAGACGTTGAAAGTATGTATGTACGTAACTTGACAAATTCTACTTAGTGGGGGCAGGCTAAGTGTTAATAGCTAAAAACTTTAAAACCGTTGGAGATAATGAAAATCTGATAAGTGCATTGGATTGCTCGTGCGATTTTACATAAATAGCACATATCAGGTTTTGACCACTTGAAAAGCAGATTAGCATGAAAAATATTGAAAGGAAGTAGGTGTCAATAATTTTTCACTATAAAAATGGAAAGAGAAATGGCGAATTTTAAAAATGTGACAGGAATCGAACATGCATTTTGATTTAGCCCAGCGGACTATAAAAACGTTCATGGGGACCGGGTCGACTAAGAACAGTAGAAGAAAATTTTTTTGAAAGCCTCCAAGGACCACACCCATCGTGAAAGGGCAGAAAAATAGAATACGAAGAAATTCACGACATTCCAACGCGAAATACCCTCACCGCCGATATTGTTAATGCAGATTATCCAATGAGTACTCAAACTGAACCTTAGGCTTAAGCAGGGATGGGCAATCCCAGGATTACTTTAATCAGATTAAGTAATCAGATTACATTGAATGTAATCCGTAATCCAGTAATCCACGAAAAATTCACATTTTAAAGTAATCCGTTGTCCGTAATCCTAACTAGGTCTGGAAATTATGTGTAATCCGTAATCCTAACTAGGTCTGGAAATTATGTGTAATCCGTAATCCCCAATTTACGAGATTGGAAAATGTAATCAGATTACGGATTACTTTGTTGGATTACTTTGCTCCTGTAAACGGCATGACAGCTCCATCTTGCAACTTTTCCAGAGTCTGAGTCACTTGCTGAACTTGAGTGCTTAAACTACCTTCTGGATTCTTCAACAGAGGCGCAAAGTTTAGAGAATTTTGGAACAATTAAGAGGGTTTTTTTTTTCTTCAATGCATTTTTGTCTGCCCTAAGAAACCGACTGTAGGATGAATCATTCAAAGCTCTTGTTTTTTTGAACTAATCATCATCATGAAATATAAGTGTGACGCTATTCAGAATAAACAGTTGCAAACGAAATGTAGCAAACAGGTGGAGCGGTCACGCGGTCATGGCATGCCAAAACTATGTCTAGATTTTATTTTTGAAATCCCCGCCTAAAACTACGTCTAAAAGTATCAGTACAAAAATTCGACATTTTCGACTATGGCGTCGTCGACACGATCACTCGGTCATGTCACGTCCAAACTATGAAGATTTTTGTAATCCTCGCCCGAAACTACGTCTAAAACGGCAAAAAAAATTCGACACGTTTGACCCGTGGCGACGTGACCTTATGACCTACAATTCCCATTTTCGAACTCATCCGTACCTCAAACATTAGATACCCGTTTGCGAAAACCGCATGTTGAAATTCGAAACCGTTGTAAAGTTACATCTCGTGGATACAGACCGGCGGACAACACTTTTCCATACAGGGATTTCGTTTCTCTTCACCCCTTAATACATAAATATAGATTTTTGTAATCCAGATAATAATCCGTAATCTGATTACTGTAATCCGTAATCCGTAATCCACGTCATTAATTTATCCCAGTAATCCAACAAGTAATCCACATTATTTCAAGAACGAAGTAATCCCAATCCAGTAATCCCATGATAATTTTAAAATTAATTAATCTGTAATCCGTAATCCATCGAAATTGTTGGGATTGCCCATCCCTGGGCTTAAGGCTCTGAAATGTTGTACTTGCCACCTCCTGAGCATGCCCACAACGAAAACCCTACTACAGAAATGAAGGGCTCTCCTCAAGCGGTACGCGACAAAAAAGTGAAGAAGATTCTGTTTACAGATGAGGATATTTTCACATCGGAAGAAACTTTTAACAAACGTATTCACCTAATCTACGCACAATCGGTCAAAGACATCCCCCAATATAGGCAAAAGGTCAAAAAGTCACATTATCCAGGCTTTGTCATGGTTTTGGCAGGTGGGAGCAAATTGGGGCAATTCCTCTACATTTTGTCGAAAATGGGAGGAAGATCAAATTTCTTGAAATATGTTTTTGAGTCCGTGATACATCCCCTATGTGAAATTCAATTCAACGGAATCGATGGGACCTCTCAGCAGGACTTGGCGCGAGCTTATAGTGCAAAAAATGA